CTAGAGAACGTTCGCGCAGGGTTTTGAGGTGCTGGGCTAGTCCCATACGACCTAGAGGTTGTGTTATTAAAGCTAGATGTACAGCTGCGTACGCCGACGCCACCTGCACTAGGCACTGTCGCCTAGGAGGCGCAAACACCGCGCAACGCCCGCGAGATAGAGGCGCAATCTACGCTGATTCGAAATCGCATGCAAAAATACCAAGGGTCACTAGTAAGCTCATTAGATAAGCAGGTTAAGCAGCTAAGTAAAGGCGCTTAGCAGATAGCTTATAATATAGTGTTAATGCGAGAGGACGTAAGCCGCCTTCGAGACGCTGTTGACACGCTTACAAAGCGCAAGACTCGCAAAAGGCGGTACGTACGCGCAGAGGAGACTCTAACAGTTAGTGAGGTATCTGACTTAATTGCTAAAATAGACGGTAGTAGGCGTAAGGACAGCAAGACGCCTGCGAAGAGGGTGCGCGCAGAGAGGCGCTGCGGCCGTTGCAGCGAGGTTGGGCACAACTCCCGCACCTGTAGGGTAGAAATAGAGGATGTAGACAATAGCGATGCCTCTAATTAATATAATCCTGTTACATATAGTATAATAATCTGTTGTAGTGTTATACTGCGTTCCTGTATAGGCACTGCGCTAGTGCTTAGTAGGGCGCTCGATAGGGTGGGGCGCTCGGTGGTGAACCACGTTATACCTACTTTATATCTTACTATTTCTTATGTACTAAGTTTTACTACTAAAAGCTTTTCTGTTTACTGTCTTATGTTATTACTATAAATTACTCCTTTTACCTTCTGCATGCTTTATCTATAGTCTTTTTCCGCTGTCTAAGGCTATAGAATAACAAGTTCTGGAAAACCTTTAGAGTAAGTTTTATACGCTGTATTTCTAGTAGCGTGCAGCTTTCCTAAGGCTAGAAATGTTATAAGGTTTAAGTTCTAATTAGTTGCTATATATAGTAGAGTGTTTTAGTAGTCTTCTATTAGAAGGTGTACTTAATATAAGTAAGTAGAGTAAATTAACCTGTTTCACCAGCGAGCGGCCTACCCCACCAAGCGGCCCAGTTCCCCTACTAACACGCGTACCTAGCAACAACACGTAATGTCTTAACAACTACAACCTCTCAAGGCTTATACTAAAGCTAATGTGCAGCTTGCCCTCTTAGACGTTAAACGTAACTAAATTCCAAGCCTGCGGCGTGCGGAGGCAGTCTACAAAGTCCCAAAGACGACGATACGACGGCGACGCGACGGGAAGCCCTCTAGACGCAACTGCGAGCTAAACTCAAAGAGCCTAACGAAGCTAGAAGAGGAGGTAATTGTACAACGTATACTTGATGAGAATCTGCGTGGAGTACCGCCCTCAAAGCTACACGTACAAGATATAGCTAATAGATTGCTGCGCGATCGCGGCGTTAAGTCTGTTGGCAAGAACTAGGTTAACAGGTTTATCCAGCGTACACCTAAGCTGCGCACGCGCTAGAGCCGTCTATACAATCGCTAGCGAGCTCTCTGCGAGGACCTAGCAATTATTAAGCCCTAGTTCATGCTAGTTTAGAACATAAAGGCGAAGTACGGCATTATAGACAACGACATGTACAACTTTAACGAGTCTAGCTTCCTAATAGGCAAGATATTATCGCAACTCGTAGTAACAGGCATAGACAAGCCTAGGAAAGCAAAGAAGCTTTAGCCTAGTAATCGCGAGTAGACTACGTTAATACAAGGCGTTAGCGTAATAGGGCGCGTTATCCTACCCTTCCTTATCTTTGCCAGCAAGGTTCTTATCTCTAACTAGTTCACTAAGGACCTCCTACGCAACTAGGTTATTTAAGTAAGCCTAACAGGCTGGACAAACAACGATCTAGCGCTTGCTTAGCTTAAACACTTTAATACGCATACGAGGCCTGTAGGAGCATACAGGCTGCTTATTATTAACGGCCACGAGAGCTATTGCTTAATAGATTTTTAGGATCGCTGCAAGGAGAAGAAGATTATCGCCCTCTGTATGCCTCTACATTCGTCGCACCTCCTGCAGCCGCTTGACGTTACCTGCTTCTCGCCGTTGAAGCGCGCGTACGGCGATGAGATCTTAGCCTTGGCACGCGATCGCATCTACTACATTAACAAACAGACCTTCTTACTAGCCTTTAAAGTAGCTTTTAAGAAGGTATTTACAAGAGAGAATGCTTGCGCAGGGTTTTAAGGCGCTAGATTGTGTCTACATAATCTACAAGCCGTGTTATTAAAGCTAGATGTGCAGCTGCGTACGCAAACTCCACCACAGCAAGATGACGCCGCTTAGGAGGCGCAAACACCGCGCAACGCCAAAGAAATGGAGGCGCAATCAACGCTAATTCGAAACAAAATGCAAATCTATCGAGGGTCTCCAGCAAGTTCACTTAACGAGCAGGTGCGACAGCTAACAAAAGGCGCGCAGCAGATAGCTTATAAGATGGTGTTAATGCGCGCAGAGATAGGGCGCCTTTAAGACGCAACAGAGACGCTTACTAAGCGTAAGAGTCGCAAGAGACGCTACGTACGGGCAGAGGAGACACTAACAGTTGGCGAGGTATTAGACTTAATTGCTGAAAAGGAGGGTGGCAGTCGTGAGGAGGGTGAGGAGCCGGCGAAGAGGGTGCGCGCAGGGCGACGCTGCGGCCGTTGTGGCAAGATTGGGCATAACTCTCGTACGTGCAAGGTAGAAATTGAGGATGCGAATGATAGCGACGCTTCTGAATAATATTATACTGTTGCAAGAGTATAAAAATTGTGTTGTAGTGCTAAGCTACGTCGCTGCGCGTACGCTTCGCTGGTGTTTATGGGCCGCTCGGTAGGGTGGGCCGCTCGCTGGTGAAACAGGTTATATATGTTGCATGTGTAGTATTCGTTCTCTGAACCTAGTTTAGGCATTCCTGTCCTTTTTCTACTCTCCGTGTTATCTCCGAGTCTAATAGCCCTTTAAATCTGCAGATCCCTTAGATTCTCTGCTACAATACTACCTTCCTTTTTAGTAATTAAGTTAGATACCTTACTAACAGTTAAAGTCTTCTCTGCGCGTACGTACTACCGTTTACAAGTCTTGCGCTTTATAAGCATATTAACAGCTTCGTAAATGCTTCTTACCTCCTCTCGCATTAATACTATATTATAAGCTATCTACTAAGCACCTTTACCTAGCTGCTTAACCTGCTTGTCTAATAAGCTTACTAGTAACTCTTAGTAGTTTCGCATATAATTTTAAATTAGCGTAGATTGCGCCTCTATCTTTTAGGCGTTGCGTAGTATTTACGCCTCCTAAGTAATAGTGCCTAGTGCAGGTAGCGTTAGCGTACGCAGCTACACATCTAGCTTTAATAACATAGCCTCTAGATTATATAGGAGTAGTCTAGCACCTTAAAAGCCTGCGCAAACGTTCTCTAGTGTAAACGTCTTCTTAGAAGCTTCTTTAAAGGCTAGTAGGAAGGTTTCCTTATTAACATAGTAGATGCGGCTACGTGCTAAGAGCGAGATCCTATTGCCGTAGTAGCGCTTTAATAGTAAGTAGGGGATAACGTTAAGAGGCTATAGAAGGTGCGATAAGTGCGATAGCATGCATAGAGCAATAATCTTATTCTCCTTGTAGTAGTTCTAGAAATCTACTAAGCGGTAGCTGTCAGGCACCAGGTAACTCCGGGCCCGTTCGGGCCGGTATGCCAAGCAATCGCAGTATATTAGCCTACCTTACCGCTGTTGTGGCTCGACAGCGGTTCGTCTCTAGTCTTACAAGGCAATATACCTCTACTTCCACTATCGCGGTGCATCTCGTATCTATAAAGACTCTATTGCTTGACACTAAGCAGCTATAACTCTAAAAAACTTACAATAGAAAGATAAAAGCGGCGGCAACAGCATATAGAGAATAGTAATAAGAAGAGGCAAAGGTAGCTTATTAATATGCTACTAAGGAGCGTTGTAAGGCTAAGAAAGCGTACCCTGCAGAACTCGCTGTAGAACGGGCGCTTAAAAAGCAGCATCGCGACGCTGCAACTGCAGTAAAATCTGGCGATACACTAAATAATAGTAAGCGAAAAGCCTTACATAAAGCTAGCTAAAATCTAACAAAGCGTCGTTGTGTTGTAGCTGCAGCAAGTCGTGCTAACGCTGGTCCTCTAGCTGCGTCTCCCCTACTAAAAAATTAGCGCACGCGGCCGCAACATTAAGACACTAGCGAGATATAAGAAGATAGGAAGCTTCTAATACATTTATAGATTAATATACTAAGAAATCTCGCGATAATAGCTATTGTGTGGCGTTCTACAGCCTTATCTGTCTAGACGCTCGAATATTGTTGGGGTGGCTCACACGGCGAACTGGCTCACATGGCGCACGGGCACTGTATACGTTCTAAGTTCAATAGCCCTGCTTCGCAGGGCAATCGAGTACTCTCCTCACCCTGAGTTTGGCTCTCGTCTAACCCATTGTATAGCTACATCCTCTGGTCTGTTTATCTGCGGCGTTAGTATATGTTGACTGTCCTGCAACGAGTCTAGCAGTCGCTGACTAGCCTGCTGCGCACTTTCGCTAGCTTTACCAATAGGCCTAGGGCTACACTGACCGAACAGCGTGGCAATTATCGCTACAAATTCTACCTGTAACATCTTTTGCCCAGGGCAGGTCCGCGGACCGATAGACCAAGGAAGGAACGTGCCTTGTGGTGGCGTGAAAATTGTGGCTTGTGGTCCGTTAGTCAAAAGCCATCTTGCAGGGTTGAAAGCCAAAGCGTCTGGACCCCATGTCAAACTGGATGTGTGCAGAGCCATTGTATTCACGTGGAAAGCGGAGGGAGCGTCAAGATGGAAAGAGCTGTCTGCATAGCGGAGGGTCTGTGGCGCTGTTGTAGATCGCATCAAAAGAGTAACCGGAGGAAAAAGGCGAAGGGTCTTTAGCTGAAAGACCGAATGGTTAGCTAAAAGAACCAACCTTAATCAACAAGCCGCTGCTCGCTCAAGGAACGCGAGCAGACTAACCACGGGTCACTACCATGACAGCCAAGCACCGTATTAATTCCGGAAACACCATCTCGTAGTCTGATAACAACAGATTGTCTTCTCCAAGTACTGTATCGATTCCTATTTGGATCCAGGTTTGCCACTCTGGGTTTGCTGCGAGGAGAGCGATCGCATAGCACAATGTGTTGGCAGATGTATCAAATCCAGCGGCAGTGAAGATAAAGAGGTTTCCTGCAATTTCTTCCTCCGTCAGATACGTTGTGCTGGTCCGTCCGGATGGGGTTGGATCTGACTCATCGCTTCGTTCCATTTCCTGTTCAGAGAGCCGAACCAGTGTCTTCATGATGGTCTCCGGGGTACTCTTTGGATCCTTGATCATCCGCCCCAGAGCTTGCGGAGCATGAATGCTCTCGTTACGCTCTCGATCGAGCATAGCTCGAGTGAGATCTGGAAGCCGCTTCAATGCCGCTCCCAGTCGCTGGAGTAGTTGCGGCATTATAGGTAGCCTCAAAATACTAGCGGGGAGAAATTCAGCTATGATGAGATGTTCAGTGACCAGTGAAATAGCATCCAGGTAGGAAGTGTCAGCAGATAGTAGGCTTGGTGATGGGCCCTGAGAATAAGACTTGCTATGGCCATATGCGATACGGGAAAGCACGTTTATAGCAACCATGCGAAAACCAGGAACTATTTTCTCTGACTCCCCAGGAACACAGGTCGAGGATGGTGAGAGTAGGAGATGAACGAGAGAAGATGCTTGATCTACACTCACTTTCCACACCTCCGGGCTAACGCGCTCGTTCAAAGCTGGGGCAACGATACGGCGTTGGCGGGACCATGATTCATCTTGTGCCTTTGAGCTAAAGTCAGCTGTCAATACACAATCCGGAGATTCAGCTGTACAAGTTGTGCCAACGTTCTTGGATAAAGTAAAGCACGGAATATAAAGTCACTTCTTACTGTCACGATGTTTGCACCCAAAAGCCCCATGGCCTTAGTGGTGATGTCAAGATGAACGAAGTCTTTGCGCCTAGACATTATAGTACGAGCAATGGATGGATCTGCACACACAAGTCTGTTAAGGCCTGTAGTCACAAAGAGAAACACAGGCCCAAGCCTCTCGTGTACGGCTGCTTTATTGCGAAACTCCCAGCCCCAAATGCTGAGCTCCACGGTCGCGAAAATACTACTGGGAGGTATGTATAGGAGCAATGGGCGAAGGGGAACAGAGAAAATGGCCCAGAATACCTGATAGCACGATTAGTTATAGGTTGAAGTAAAGGCATAGGGAAATAAGCATAGCTGCACATCGGATGATATATATGTAGGTCCTCTTTGTGAGAAGAGTGAGAAGAGTGAGAAGAGTGAGAAGAGTGAGAAGAATGAGAAGAGTGAGAAGAGTGAGAAGAGTGAGAAGAGTGAGAAGAAGAAGAAGAAGAAGAAAAAGAAGAAGAAATCATTACTTACACTATCAGGATCATATGGGCAGATAATGATAGGCAGCCCAGTAGTGCGGGCAGCCCAATGATTCTTGGTGAGATTCCATATCCTGGACGCGCTGTTTAGCAGGACTACCGTTGTCAATGCGGCACTTAAAGCACTCATCCCTAAGCGCTGATAGAACTTCTGCCGTACGGATGGAAGCTTATAAAAGCGCTTTGTAACGATGAAAAAGAAGATTTTAGTAGGCGCAGAAGGCACGCGTAGTACCTTCGCTTTTCATTCAGAGGTCTGCGCTAGTAATTAGAAGAACAGAAGGCCATCTAATCTTCAACAATGGAGAGACCGTAGAGGTTTTATGACCTATGGGAAAGAAAAAGTGAACGTCTATTTTGTGATCTTGTGCATTGATATTCTTCACAGACACTTATGCTTAGTGCAACTTAGTCCACTAGCACTTCAATTTCCGGGTCGTATGTCTTCATAGTCTCTTGCCATTGCCGTATCTATGCGAGTCGATACCTACCTAGTGCGCGCAACGCTGAGACGATATAAGAATAGGCTAGTACGGCCGTTTTTCGTCGTCGAGCAAGGTCGGATAGAACGACCCCGGCTTGGTGTTCGATCGTACAGTTATGAGAGTGGAGTCAACGGCTTGCGACGTGTCCAAAGTGCGGCCCTAGAGCCGACGGGCATCACAGCATCAGTAATAGAAGGGCCGTACCTTGCCGGACTTTCGGACATATACCATACCGCGGGCAGCACTGCAGGGAGTGTCCGGATTAGTGTCGCGACAAGATCAGGTGTTCGATTGATAAGGGGCAAAACAATGTTGTACTGAGGAGTCATTAGTAACGATATCGTGTAGAGGGTGTTGTACACGTTTCCAGTGCTAAAGAGCAGTGGGCAATGATATGAACGTCACGTGCATCATGAGCGTACCAGGCCGCTGCTATAAAGGATCATCGAGAATCTGACTGTGACTGGGGGGCATTCAGTGGTGATTTGTATCCATCGTGGTATTTCAGGTGTTGGATCGATGAACTCCATCGTAGAGTCAATGCCGCTTACGGTCTTAAGATATCATGTACCATGCCTACAAGCGGCCCTCTTGACAGTCATGTGTAGCTGCCTGTTTGAGATCGAAGCTCTCTTGCCACATGGGCAATCTGATTATGACTCTTTACCACGAATGAGTTCTTTGCCCTAACACCAAGAGCCTGCGGATCAAGATTTTGTATACTCTGCCCACTTTCTTTCGCACATTTCGAGGATTTCTCTCGAAGGTCGATCGCGCCACATCTGCCATATATCTTTAACATTCAAGTCATTCTTAGCATCCACTGCAAATACGCCCGTCACGAAGATATAGGCAACATATTCCCCTCTCGCAATGATCTTATGTTGCATAGCCGGTATGAGGCTGCGTTGCGCGATGAGATTTCTGTGTAAGGTCAGCATTAGTTATCGTTATACTTCTCAATGCATCTGCCTTGCAACAGCCGGACTGTGCCTTTTAATAGCTATACAGGAAGTAGAACTTACGTGTTAGGGTCTGCGCGAACGACCGTCGCATTGCTCTCAACAAACGCCTTCACTGTAGTGTTACGCATGCAAAGATCTGTCAAGTCGACAACACCACTTCCTCCCGACTCTGAAAGTACGAAAGCGCTTTCATGGTCTTTCCACCATCCGAACGATGTCCTGTTATCTTCAATTCCAGGAGGAAATTCTGCACATGGCTGCTCAAAGATAGAGACGTTTCCTGCTGCCTGCGCACTCGCCGCAAAACCACCATCCACTATTTGCAGTGTTTCCTCCATCAAGAGGCATGATGTCCACTTCACGCAGTGTAATCTCAGGCTCCATCCAGGCCACCTTCGTATGGGTGGTACAAGGAGCGATTCTATGACCAAGTTGCGTTTATTCCATGGCTTCCAGCGACTCATTAAGATGGGTACCGTGTCCTTGCACGCCTCTATGTGAAACTCTCCGGCCTCGACATCATGTGGGTTCCATCGTACCTTCCAGTCGTCTTCCTCCGGTTCGAGTGAAACAGCCAGCGTGGAATCTGGTGCTATCTGTTCCAGTGACGGACCGCAGGGTACGCTAAAGCCAAAGGAAGAGGAGTAGGCGAACTTCCCGTACTTGGCTTCACGTGCCTTGAACCCTTTATTTGTAGACTGCCCCGAAGAGAGCAAGAATGTGTGCGCTTGAGTGTTGCAAAGTATCTGGCGTGGGGGCCATAGAAGCTTGATGTCGCTGATCTCCTTGTCGTGGTGTGTAGCAGCCTCGAGAGTTTTCGGATGAGGCAACTCTTCTGCCTGCCAGAATGCAACCTTATCATCAAGTCCGAGGACTAGGAAGCTTTTAAGGCACCAATAAACTGATTGTGGGGAGTTGTAATTCTCGGCAACGTACATGTTCGGGTACACAAACCCGATGTTTGGTGTACCGTCGGTATTAAAAATGTGCGGTTGCTTCGCCCACCACCTCAGGTGCCTCAGTAGTAAACCCTTCACCGTCCCCACCTCGTGAACTGGAGCAGGTAGCTCAAGACCTGTGAGTGCGATGGCTGCCCAGAATGCCGCGAACGCGAATCGATACGTCAGGCTTCGTCCAAATGGGATCGCTGAACCGTCCGGAGCGAAGTACCTCCAGTACTCTGTCCCAAATTGGTGAGCTTGCTCTATATATTTGGATGTACGAGCTGGATCGTATTCTGGGGCAAAGCGGACGTAGAGAAGTTGTGCAAACTGTATCGCAAAACTCCCGCTGTAGTAATCGGCCTGCTTCCTTTGTTCGCACCAGGGGCCGTCCGAAGACCACCCTTCTCCAATGTCGAATTCGTCCAGTGTTTCCAAGCTCGTATCGATGTGTACTTTCACTTCATCTATGGGGACGTGGAGCGTCTTGACCAGCGCGAGGTTTACCAATACACGGAACCACAACCAATTGCTCTGAGGCATGTCGGGTCCATTGATCTGCCGAAGCCATGCAACGAGATTGGATCGTGTAGTTGAATCAGTTTCGAAAGAGAACGCGGTGGGATTTGCCAGCAGCGCAAAAGCGATAGACTCCATCTCCACCATGCGCTGATCAAAATCAGAAAGATCGCCCCAGTATTCCGGACTTCTCGGGTCGGTTCCAGCTCGGATTCCGATTATCCATGACTCCAATGCAATTTCCGAAGAGGCACTTATGGTCTTGTTGTCATGTTGCTGGAGGCGGAGTAAGTCAGCGACGACCCACAGCGGTCGCGCGAAGCCTTCGAGTTGGGCTGCTGTTTCGCTGAAGCCTGCACCTGTGCATGTCGCAATCTTTATCCGTGCATGTCTAGGGGATTTATATTGTTCCAAGGGGTTAGTGAGTGCGATAGCTGCACGTATGATGTCGTCGTGTGTGCGGAATTGGTTGTCGGAGAATCCAGGAAGGGGCGCCATGTTGATGTTGATGTTGATGATTGTGCAGAGCCACGTGAACTAATTAAGTCGATCACACAAATGCGGTCTCAATTCATGTCCTCTAGAACAAACTGTTATGCTTTATAATTCAGTAGCTCCCCGCTTCGGACAAATATGTCGCGAAGATAGCCCGAAGTTGCGACGTGGTAACATGGGCGTTTTCCGAGTTCCTAGCGTTGATACATACATGATCATTGCACCCACTTATACACCTAAACAATAGCGAACACCAGTCTTCTCGTGACCTCAGGCCCTGCTTTACTTCGTTGCCTTGCCGTCCGCAACCTCGACATACACCGCCTCTGACTTTTCGAGCTCGTCCTCGCCCTCGGGCCTGTTAATGTCAAACTTCCTGGTTTTCTCTTCGCGACGCCAGAGATACTGTCCAATCATGAAGAGCGCCCAGTAGCATATGATGAAGACAATATTGACAGTATAGCCTTTTGTCCATTGCGGCGCCTCCAGGATAGGAAATACGGTGATCGGATAGAAGGAGAAGAAGGCCCAGCCGATAGTCATCATAGCACCAGTAGTGAAGCTTCGTGCTTCGTTGTCGTCCTTCATTATCATGTTCACCCACGGGAAGAGGATGGGGGTTACACAGGACGTGAGACCCAGCAGGTAGTAGCAAGTGACTTTAGAGATGTCAGCCATGTCTGTCGCGCGCGATAGTTGACGTTACTCACAGTGAAGACCAAGCGGAATGTACCATACTCGAAGGCACACATTTGCGAAGAGCAGGATTGCCGTGACGACCGAGAAAACGATCCACATCGGATATATCATCACCAAACTAGTGATGAAAATGCCGCAAACGATAGCAAGACCCTGAACACCAGTAGGAATAAGGTTGATCTCTTCGATGGTGTAGGTTCCGTTGAGATCAGCTTCTTTCTTTAGCCAAGCTTGCATCTGGCCACCAACGTAGCTTGTGCATTGGAAAAAGACGTATGTCAAGACCGCGACGTAGAAATGCCAATGAGTGAATACACGCTTGAGCATACGTTTTCCGATTTTTGAACTCTGTTTCGTACCCTGGCTCTGCATGCGTGCGACAGCTAGCCTCCTCTCGTCTTCTGTCAGCCACCAGACCTTAGGACTGGTGGGAAGCCCGGGGTACAAGAAGAAGCCAGCAAGACCAATAGGCAGCGAGATAGACCCGTCGATTATGAACAGCCTACAGGAGTTGAAGTATGAAGTTAGTGTGTGTCTCACACCTTTTTCTTACTATCACAACTTACCAGCGCCAACCTGACATGCCGTGAACTCCGTTGAGGTTTTTGTGGGCAGCGGCCTGTAGGTAACCGCTGAACATGGCGCCAGCGTTACTTGAGACATACCAGACTCCAGCGCGCTTGAAAACCTCATCAGAGCGGTACCATGACGTTAGAAGATAGATAGAACCAGTCGAGGCGGGTGTTTCGAGAACACCGAGGAGGAACCGGAGACCATAAATTTGCGGTACGCTGCTCAAGCGAGATTGCGTGAAAGTTAAGATAGACCAGGCAACCTCCATAGTTGGGACGTAGTAGCGAGCAAGCTTTGGGCGAGATATTATCAACATGCTTGGTATCTCGAAGATCATGTAGCCGATATTGTAACTGGATGGTGTTAGCAATCCTCTTTGTGACGAACTAGCAATCACGGTACTTACAAGGTTCCGAAGAGTGAATATTCGTTGCCCTTGATGGCCAATTCTTCGCGCATACCAGACCAATACGCAGTATTAAGTGCGTTCTGGTCAAGCCATTTTATGTAGAAGCAAAGGCAGCACAGAGTGAGCAAGATGCAGTCAAGTTTCCTTACTAGTTTCTTTTCTTCCGGAGAGTAGTGACTAGGGTACCACTACACGCAATCAGCAAGCAGTCCGATTATTTACTCCAAATAGACGCACGTCAAAAATGTACATCCAAGCAACCCAGAAAGAGCGGTTCGGCTTCTCGGTCGCAGAGCTCACGATGACTTCTTTGCCGTTGACCATAACAATCGGGTTGCGTTGACCGTCAGCATCCACAACCCTAATCTCATCTTGAGAGGGCGGCATTGTTTTTGGACGCTGCTGAGCGAGGAAATGGGCGTAGTTTTGATACGTGGACAGCAGAAGTACTGCTACAATACAAGTACTTATCAACAAGTTGGCCTCCTCTTAGGTTTAAGTATTGTGAGCTCTGCGATTAGCTTTGTGCAAAAACCAAGTCCTTGCAATTCTGGCTTTTCTTTCTTTGCCTGTCGTGTCGGTCGATGTTCCTTGGTGCTGCATACCCCGCGGGTTGTGGCGCTGCCCCATGGGGTAAAGAACGCAGCATGCACCTAGTCGGGATCCAATTGCAAGGCTGTGGGGCTGCGCTGGCTTCGTTTCGGGTCCTTGGCAGCGGGCTTCGGGCTATTGCGAACACTAGAATCATTGTACCTCTCTTCCGACACATATTCTCGGACCATTGGCATCTCGCGTTCTCTTATCCCGAAACTTCAACGCCAAGTTACTGTTATGAATATGTACTTAGCATCCATATCCCATTCGTTGGGGGACTGTTCTATCGTCGAACTGATAGTTTCTCATCACGGACAATCAGGTCAAGTCCACTGCACACATCGCACGAAAGGAAACCATCCCCCATAAAATTGAAGGTCCAACAGCGACTCAACTGCGAGACCTCGAAGTGATCTAATGGATCGACTCACAGAAGACCTCAATGGCACACAAGACGTATCGTCGCCCGAGCCGCCATGGTCTGCCCGGACTACACCGGCGGGAAGATCGAAGTCCAAAGAAGAGTCCTTGCTGACCAAGCAAGTGGAAGAAGAGATCCGCGGGAATATCCCAGAGAAAATCAGCCTCGCTCTTACGAGAGACATCGTGCCGGCAGCGAGCGTACAGTCTTCGGGAAGCAGCGTTGAGGGAAACACATCTGAGCCTGGAACAACGACACCTAGTAGTAGTGCGCCGCCCTCAGAGAGTGGGAACCTGGATTACGCAACCGATCACTTCGCCTCGAGCATAGCGATAGCTGACCTCGTGGCCGAGCTCTTCACTGAGAATATCATGGCCAAGGTCTTCCGAACCGCACAAGCTGCTCTGACATCGCTTCCTGTGGCATTTCCAGAGATCGTCCCACAGCAAAGCGGTCACGATGGTAGCTACAGCCTACGAGAAGCGGACTTCTGGACATGTGGCTTCTTTCCGGGCACCATGTACAGCATGTTAGAGAGACTCATCAGATACCCACATCATATGCATCTCTCGAGTTCAATCGACCTCGAACGTCTAAGAAGCCAGCTGACGATTTTATGTCGCACCTGGGCCGAACCAATTCGAGGTATGGACGAACGGATTGACACCCATGATATTGGTTTCATCGTCATGCCGGCGCTCCGTGCTGATTGGGAACTCTTTGGTAATCAATGCAGTTTGGATTCTATCACCCGCGCTGCACGGAGTTTAGCGACACGATACGTGCCTACAGCCGGCGCCATCAGGAGCTGGGACCTGCTGAAGAAGAAAGATATAGAAATACTTGACCAAGGCGATAACATGATTGTTATCATCGACAGCGTGTGCAACCTTGAGCTGTTGTACTATGCAGCATATCATGCACAAGACGCAAGACTTGCGAATATCGCCACTGCTCATGCGATTACACTGTTGCGAAGCCATCTGCGACCTGAACCAGTCCTGTCTTTGTCTAAGGATGCATACAGAGGCCAATGGTACTCGAGTTGCCACGTCGCCAACATCGATCCGAAAACGGGAAACTTGAAGCAGCGATTGACAGCACAAGGCTACGAGCACGATTCGACGTGGAGCCGTGGCCAGGCATGGGGTATACTTGGATACGCAGAGACGTACATGTGGACAAGAGACCACCGGTTCCTGCAAGCAGCTTGCGGACTAGCAGAATATTTCATATATCGCTTGGAAACGGCGCCTACATGCGTGTATCACGCCCGCTATGTGCCTCTCTGGGACTTTGACGCACCCGTCGAGGATGAGAACGCTCCGTTGCGCGACTCTTCTGCTGGCACTATTGCCGCTAACGGAATGCTATTATTATCGCAAGCTTTGGCAGGTATCGGAGTGACAAGCTTGTCACTGAGGTTCCAGAACACTGCATTGCGCATAGTCCAAGACACACTCAAATTTGCGTTGGCACCGGAGAGGGCTCGCCTCGTAACTGGCTCATATCATCACATTAGTGCGGAAGAGACAGTAGCAGGATATCGTTTCGACGGGATGTTGAAGTTTGGAACAGCGAACAACAATACCAATGCGCGGAACCGGTACGCAAACCATGGGTTAGTTTATGGAGATTACTATCTGGTGGAATTCGGAAATAGGTTGGCACGAATGGGATTAGTTTAAACCATTAGACACTTTAGCTGGCGCGAACAGAAACTACTTCTTCAAGTCCTTATCAAGATAACCATGGTGTGGCAGATGATGTCAGGACATGGCAAGCTTCGCATTACTACTGACTCGGTTGCAGCACTAGTGCTTGTTGACGGATGCGGAGAACCCCAGCTGCCCGCTCGGTCTATCGGGTTATCTTGATCGGCACTTCGGACGAATTACCTATATATGGCTTTTGGTTGCCTCAACTTTTAGTAGCCTCAACTTTTAGTAAAAGCATCATCACTTATTATGTCAGACGTTAGTCCCGTGCAGATGCTGAAGGAACCATCCGAGAATGGACCACCCGAGCGCAACCTGCAGCAAGCTCTTGGCCCGTCAGATGGCTTGGCTTGCAACTCGTGCCGAAAAGCGAAACTTCGCTGTTCAAGAGACAAGCCGGATTGTTTGTACTGCAAGAGGACAGGTACAGTCTTTAACGCCGACATGGTCAATTTTCCCTGTGCTTAACTTTACTAGGTGTCAAATGCGTTTATGAGTCCAAGCGTGTCAAGCCAGGGCTGAAACCCGGAGCTGTAGAGACTATACATAGACGACTTGGTAATATTTACCGTGTATACTAGCGTCCCTGGTTCTGATATCTCGCAGATAATCTAGAGCGGCGCTTTAGCGAGCACCAGTCTAGTTTTGAGCAATGTGGTCATTACAGCACGCCGCAAGGCGAGTCAGCAGCTCAGAGCATATTGGCTCTTCTAGCCAAAGAACTACCAAGATTGACCAATGGTTCATCAATTCAAAATCCTGCCATCCCAGCACAGCACGAGAAAAGGAATAAGCGAAGACGGCTAGCAGATGACGACGACGACGACGACGAGAGTACCGCTACATCTAGTGTGGATGGAACGCCTTCTCTACCAGAGCCTCAAACGCTTGGAGCAATCATAGCAGCGTACTTCTCTCATATTCATCCCTGGATCCCTATGATACATCAAGCAAGATTTCTACAACGTTTCCACGCTGGAACCCAGCGCAGACAACTCCTGGTCATTCTTCACGCTATGATCTTAGCCGCTTCTAAATTTGTGCCTGGTGCACGAAAGGAGAATATGCAACAAGCGCGTATGTATATTGTATGCACAGCCATGGAGACTTTATCACTCGAGAATCTCCAAGCACTGACGATACTCGCTTTCGATGATATTGGGAACGGAAAGGCAGCGAACGCATGGTCTATCATCGGTTCCATGACACGTACCGTTGAGTACATGGGCTTAGCACAGGAGCAGGAGGACGGTGAGCTTCGCCCCTTTTTCCAACCATTCGCATGTCTACAAAACACCAATGACTGGACGGATATCGAAGAAAGGCGAAGAGTCTTCTGGAATATTTTCCTCCTGGATCGTTTCTGCTCAGTAACGATGGGATGGAACACGAGTCTGACCTCAGATGACGTGTACCGTAGGCTGCCCTGCGACGGACACTTGTGGCGAAAGCAGAATCCTGTCTTGACGCCTTACTTTGGTATTTGGGACAAGTCAAAAGGGCGTATCGGTAATCCAATTGGCTTCATCACACGATTAACTTCTCCCATCGAGCAGCCGACTGCCACCGAGACTGCGACGCATGGCCCAGTAGGGCCAACCCAATCGATAGACATGGGACAAAACATGGTAGCAGACATGTCGACTGTCGGCGCTCTTGCGTACAACATCGAAGCAACGGAGTCCATGAGCCGCGTGATGAGCTATTTTCTCCAGCAGAAAGTCAATATCCGCGACCAGGACGAGATTAGTTCTTGGCTCACTCGTTTCAAAGAGCTAGATCTTCGGCTAGTACATTGGAAGATGTTGCTACCTCAGAAATGGAAGGCCAATCCTAACTTGACCCGACACGTTCCGTTGATGGTAGGTTTCTTAAGCTGCCGAGCAGACAGTGGATGTAAGACACTGATTTATCTTTAATAGGACCCAAACCTCACCACCGCTCATATTACACACAATGCATCCATGATACTACTACATCAGCTCATCGCTTATCCACCCTTGCATTGGGGCTTTCAAAGCCGATTACCAAGCACATGCAGCGCAGAGGCTTGCTACACCGCCGGAATCGAGATAGCAACGATCACGGAAAAGTACCTCGGAAAATCATCTGCCCTGTCACCTGTTGGGTGCCAATTCGCATTCTGCTTGTTCATAGCGGCCCGAGTACTCTTAGCTCATTGGCGATACACGCGTGGAAACCATTTGGCGTCCGAGTTCTGGTCCCTTCTGCATAGCCTGGAAGAAGCGTCAAGACGTTGGATTGCCCTTTCCGAAGTACCACCAGGGAAGGAGGACCTTTTCATCCAGTACGCTCGTCGGCTACGGAGGCTCTATGAACTGTGTTCAACGGACGACTCTTACCAACTGAATGTCATGGACTATACCAATGATATGAACCATCGCGATGGTAATATTGAGCCATCGCAGTCTTTTCAAGCATGGCCGAATAACGCGGCGACTGTTCCATTATCCGATGTAGATTTGCCCTTACTGAGCCCTGACTTCAATACTATGCCGATGCTCGATCAGGATTTCATGGACATGGACCGCATCATTGCTTTTGACGATGGTAGTATGTTTACGTCGTCATTTGATCTTGGGCCGAATGCATGGTAACACACGTTTTCATTTCTTCTGCTTTAGTCCCGATGAGGTGTAACTGAAACGGTTATTACTCTTGATTAATTCAGCTCTACTGCAAGAAATGCAGACTGCGTATGTTTATAGCACTTTACTCCGCCTTCGCCGCAGCAATCTTCAAAATCTCCTCCACGCTCTTCCGCGCATTCTTGGGGTCCTTAGCTACTGACTGCCAAATCTCACCATGCTTAGGTTCAGCCATCGCAGCCTTTGAAAGCGTATCCTCCTTCTTCTCCTCAGTACCGTGCTGTTCGAGAAACTTGTAGTACCACACCCACGCATCACCATAGTCGCTGTCAAGAGTGACAGCTTTAACGAACCACGTCGCGGCTTTGTCCAAGCGTCGCTCAGACCAGAAGATACGCGCGACAACGACGAAAAGTAGTGGGTCCTTCTCCACCTTCTTGATGGCTTCCAATGCTCGCGGCTTACGCTGAGTGCGACCCTCCAGGTGCATGATCTTTTCTGCCCACAAAAGTCCTGAGTTTGGACATTGTTGCAAAGCGCTGGCCATCAGCTGTTGCGCGGCGTTGGTGTTGTTCTGTCGACGCTCAAGACGAACCTGCTCCAGAAGAATTTCTTCGCTCTTCGGGTTTTGCTGTCGGCCACGGTCCAGCGTAGATCTGGCCTTGACAACTGCTCCTTGCTTCACCTGCAATCGTGAAAGCAAGATGTACAGAACTGGAGCTTTGGGTGCCGCACGCGTACCAATATTGAATGCCTCATGAGCTTCTGGCAGCTTCGACAGCTGTTCATAGACTTGACCCTTGATGGCATGTAACTTCCAGCTGCCAGGCCAATTTTGCAGACCCTGGTTACAAATGTCGATCGCTGTCTCATAGTTTTCAAGTTGTCGTTCGAGCACAGCAGATTTCATGTAGATACGGTCAGTAGCAGCTGATTCACGAGCCACCTGGAGGAAACTACGAGCTTGCTCGTAGTTCCCAGCGTCGACCTCAAAGTCAACAGCGCGAGTGTACAGCATTTCGTTGCCCGGCAGAGCCTCGAAACTTCTTCCCAGAACTTGGCGAGCACCTTCAGGGTTCCCTGACTGCCACATCTCTCGAGCGTATTGCAACCACAAGGACTCGGAGTTCGGGCAAGCGTTTACAGCGCGCTCTAGCACACTAAGGAGGGTGTCTGTTGTACCGTGATGCTTTTCGAGGTCGGTGGACGCATGCCAAACTGTGGTACTGTACGGGAAGACGGCGACAGCAAATCCGAGAATGGCTCTGGCTGTCTCCGGCTTGTTCCTGTTCAAGACGCTCCTGGCATCTTCAAGCCAAACATCTCGACGCTCATCGTCTTCGTCAAGACCCCAGCCCACGGTTGCTTTGATGATCGCGGCAGCTGTGCCTGTGTCGCCTTGTTCCTCACAGATCTCCGCTTGCGTGATCCACTCTTCACGTTTGATCATAGCATTCTCCTTGATTAGAGATTTGACGGCTCGGGTCATGATCATGTCTAACATGTCGACTTTGCCCAGCTCTTCTTGCAACCTGCAAGCATGAATCCAGATCGCCCAGCTGGTAGGAATAGCCTTACGAGCCTTATTAAGAATCTGCTGCGCGTCTTCAGGTTTGGAAACCCTAGCGTATGAGATCCACAGTTCCTCGGAAAGAGGCACAGTATCCGTAGCTTTGGCGAACAGTAAGCGGACTGCATCCAGCTCTTCAGTATCGTTGATTAGGGTCTTCCACAGTTCGACACTTTGTGGGTTGTGATCTAGAGCTTGCCGAGTAACCTTTTTCCTAGACGCAGGCGTTTGTTCCAGATCGATCGCGGCTTGCCATAATTTCACGGCCTTGGTATTTTGCTTGATACCATTGGCGGCAATAATCTTCGCATTGTGGAGATTGTCGCGGTTTAGCCTGATCGCTTCCTCCCAAACAACTACAGATCGAGGACAAAGTTCACACCCGCGGGCAATGACCTTTTTGGCTGTGTGAATCTTTCCAGCTACCTCTTCAAGTCGTGCTAGCGCAACATATCCAGGACCATTATGCACGTTGGTCTTGACAGCCGATTCTAGTAGCACACGCGCGCGATTGATGTCCTCGACCGGGACTTCCTCGCCCATAGCTTCCTTCTTGTTGAGCGCAGTCATGTATCCCTTGGGGTCCACGGAGGTCGAGGTTCCGGAAGTTGTTGTAGTTTGCGTGCCAGGGGCACTTGCTGCTGAGTCGAGCCGTACAGTCAGGGCAGACAGCTGCGCAGCTCCGATGCTTGCAAGATTCGTGGTCATACCGTCAGCGTCGCCTGACGAAATCGTGGTATCGAGCTCGCCACTCTTTGATGCCGCAGCTAGAACACTATCCGGAACAGCGTACGACCTCGCATTCGCCAGTCGAGCTTCACGTGCTCGTTTCGCTTTGCCCGTCATATCTCCAACCTCAGGCAGCGCAGCCCATTCTTCCTCGGAGACGCCGCCGAGGGCTCGTTTCAGATCAGCAAACTGGAGCTGGATCTTGGGGTTGTTTCGTTCGTATTCGTCTCGTTCTTGTTGCTCGCGAGCTTCCCTAGGGCGGACACAATCGGTATCTGTTCGTGGAAAAAAACACGATGAATACTTCGATGATAAAGATAGAGGGAGGAGGGCATAGGGCAAAGGAAACCAGGGGTACTAACCTTCTTGCTCTGCGTCGCTTGTCCATCTTCTCATCGACTTCTTGGTAGATGCGGTCTGCCTCGTCATCGTCCTTGTCGTAGTTCATCCCGCTGGAGAAGAGGCCGACTTCATTGTCAGGATCTTGAAACCGATCCTCCTCTTCGTCCCTCTCTTCTTCCTTCTTTTCTGTGACACCATAAGCCGAGGGTGCTGCCTGGCCCAGCGAAGCCGCACGTTTGGCCAGCATCTCTTTCATCTGTTCCTCGGAAGGACCCTCACGAGCGGGACCCAGATCGCTTCGAGTTGTGAAGCCCGTAGCTCCTCTGCCGAGACCAGCCACATAATTCTCGGGCGCGGGCATCGACAGAAAGTCGCGTCGACTCATCTTGGCGGTTATCTTGGTGGATATTGACTAAAGGTAACGGTTGTAGCCTCGGGCTGGAGCGCGGCGCAAGTTGCGCAGTGTATCACAACAGTTGATTGGGCAGCGATTTGGCGAGAACTTCGGTAGGAACGTGCGGAATTGGCCTGTGGTTGAGGGTGAAGGGTTGCGGTGAGAGGCGGTGGTGAATTGGGTGGTGGTGCTGCTGCTGGGGCGGCGTGATGGAGTGCATGGTCGCGACTTGGATAATAATTTGAGCTAGGCAACGGCATATCACGTGCATGGAAGTTCAACGTACGCTAACCCAAATGGTGAGTTTGCGACGGGTACATTAACTAGGAGTTGGCAAGAGATATCCACAATTGCGAGTAGTCATCTTTGCTGCAATTTTTCCGCTGCTTTAAGCGTAAATATAGTGGACAGTAATCATAAACTGGCTGTTTAAGGGCTACAAACTGATGCATTCGTGCACCTCTCGCCATCCTCACGCACACTTGCCGGTTGAGACATGTGCCATCACCGTACTGCATAATTCGTCGTTCATCAGCGGTCACGACGCCAACTTAGTCTGTGCCGGTGCCTTTCCCTGTGAAGACTGGAGGGCGTAACGGGGAGACATTGGGGGTAATGGTGGGACTGGGTCCTCTACTGTGCAGTCACCCCTCAGGTTTCTTCCACTATAGCATGTCAGCACATGTGTGAGCCGATCTTTTTCGTTAGCGTTACCTCTTCGTTTTCCTCAATTTCCCTCCAAACCATTTCTTGAAACTCCGACTCGAGGACGGCCGCTCCTGCTCTTTGGTGCGTGTCGTATCCGACTGTGCCATGCTACTTCTGTGACTTGACGGACTGACGTGACTGGCTTCTGGGGTTATGTCGTCATCCTCCAGCGGCGGGGCCCATCTCTCGACATCGCCATTGACTACTACAAACCAGCCAAGTTTCTCCCCTGGTGCTACCTTGTCCCTCAGTTCGGCAATGGCTGCGCTCTGATCGTCTCCCAGCCCAGCTCCCCGCATTTCTTCCACGTCTGCGCTGAGCTTGATCTCGTGTACGATATCGCATACATATGCGTACGGCTGATCTTTGACGGTAAGATCGTCAGGATCATATTGCTCAATGAAGCGTAGATCAGGCAGCTGAGCTAACTGTTCTGGCCATTGTTCTTTGAAGTTCTGCATCATACAAGCTGTTGTGGCAGGGGCCATGAGCCATTCCGGAGCTGCATCATCGAGATTTTGCAGAATGATGTGGATGCGAATCTGTGCGCGCGGCCATCTAAAACCGTGAACGAGCCAGGTGGGCATGGCGAAGTGCTTTTCGTACAAAGTCTCCGTTTCGGAAGGGGGAGTGCCGTCGTATAGCGTCGATCCAAAAAGTAACAAACAAAGGTAGATCAAGATGCTTCGGACGTGGATGCAAGCATTAGTGTAGCATGAGATGTCTTCAGCAGACTTTTGCTTGCAGGTCGCACATGGTCATAGACGTTGTGTTATGTAGGCCGGGACCGCGTCTTGAGAGCTTGTGCATAGGTCTAGACGAGTGTCGCAGCGTGGCTGGGAACCTTCCTCGTGCGGCCAGATGCACGCTAGGAAAAAGCAACAGGACAATCGATACAACCGTTACCACGGAGAAACGAGATCAGATGGACGCTATTGAACGCAGCGAGTCTAGCCAGGAACTACGGTTGCCTCCTCGAATTATACCAATAACATTGTGGGGAGAGCTGGGATGAAGGCAGCTGACGATGGTTTGCGCTTGGCCCCACTCGACGCTAATGCAAGGTCGCTCCCGTTCGCGTCGACGGGTGCCACTGCGACTCTCCGCGCCCGACCTCGCTGGCGAAAGTTAAGAAGCTCGCCTTTCCGATGGCGTGCGACAACAAACATCGAGCTCTGATCCCGTCTCCCTGACACGCTTCACTATGCCTCTGTAAGTGTTTCCGCAATACCAAGCTTTGCATACCATAGTCACTCATACGTCTATAGGCACCTGCTGGGTAAGAAGTCATGGAACGTATACAACTCCGACAACATAGCGCGGGTCAAGGCCGACGAGGCCGCCGCTGCTGCCCGCGAAGCCGCCGATGAGCAGCGCATGCAAGAGTTCGATGCTGAACGACGTGCTGCCATCCTTCGAGGTCGAACGCCCCCGCCTTTGCCAGAAGAACAACCTGGCAAGACGTCTGGACCAAGGAGCTCGGGGAATACAGATGAACGCGGACATGACAGGAAGAGGAGAAAGCTTGCTGGCGAAGACGATACCGACATGGATATACGCATGGCCAAGTCCATTACCACTCGACCTGGAGACGAAGCAAAAGACGCTATAGTCCTGAAGCTACGGAGCACTGCGAGTGATGCCCCGTTGCAAGACCATGCCGGCAACATTGACTTGTTCCCGGTGGACATGAAAGAGGCCATCAAACGCGAGAGAAATGCAGAAGCCGAAAAGGAGAAGCGCAAGAAAGAAAAGGCCCTGGAAGACCAGTATACAATGCGATTTTCCAATGCAGCAGGAAGGGGTGGAATCGAACGACCCTGGTACACTGCCGTAAAATCGCCCTTGCAGAGCACTGGAGACAAGAACCACTTGTCAGTTTACGAGGGCTTTGTGAACAAAGACGTCTGGGGAAACGAAGACCCGCGCCGCAAAGAGAGAGAGCAGAACCGTATATCTACAAACGATCCTTTTGCATTCATGCAGAAGGCGCAGGCACAGTTGAAGAAGTCTAAGCAGGACAAGAAGCAATGGGCTGAAGAGCGTGCTCGCGAATTGAGAGAGCTACGATCGGCCCAGGAACGCGAGGATAGACGGAGTAGGCATCTCAAACGGAAGAGGCGAGAAGTGGACGATAGCGAGCATCGTACTCCTAAAATGGATACTTCGTCGTCGCGCCACAAGCACCGCCACAGAAGCCCAAGCCGTAGCCGTGACAGGCATGAGCATAGGTCTTCGCATCGCAGTGACAAGCGACCAACTCATAGCAAGAGCAGAGAGCGCGGTGGAGATCGTCACAGTCATCGTGATCAACGGACCGAGGAGCTCGAAACGGCTTTCATATGAGAGCAAAGAAATCGAACACAGATAATCTCAGGTTCATACGGACTATCCTTTCAATCCACTACAATTGCTCATTGGCTGTTCCGCACCTTTGTTACACAAAGCACAGTGCGTCCTTTTGACGACGCGCACAGTTACCGCCTTCTCTAACTGCCCTCTACTGGCAACGCCCGCTTGATCATGCGCGCACCTACTAGATCCAATAATAAAGTAATCATATCCAATTCGACCCACTTTCTCCACCGCTCTGTACTCGCGTCAAAGCATGAGGCACTATCCTATGCACAAACCAACCATTTGCTAGTTCAGCATATCCTTCTTGTCACCCCTCTAAGAGTTGCTTTACTAGCGCCTGTGTAAGTGGAGGTGGCGAGGTTTAATGATTTGGCCATTGTAGTCTACAATTGTGCATCAGGGGAGACTGTGCACCAGCTGATTGAGCATGTTATGGGCTCGCTTACTCGAACGCCACATCACATGCCACACATTTGGTTTTGTGAGACGATAGTGGCTAGGCCTAGATTTCCATACCCCGCTTTGGTCATCACGACAGGTAGTGTTAAGATGTTATGTTGATTTGTCAGGATACTACAAAAACCGGTATTGCGCTGTGAGTGAAGTACGTTGAAACCTGCTATTCTTACTGGCATTCTTCGTTAACTGCCTACAGTGTAATGGAATCTAGACTCTGTGAAAAGTGCTTCTATGTCTTCGAGCGCCAGCACGATCCTGCGCTTGACCAGAGGAAATGGACGGTCCAAGATCTGGTCGCTACGTCATCATATTGTCCTTATTGTGCTATTATTTGGAGATCAGTAGATTCCATCAATGTGGACCAGTTAATATCAGATGGAACGAGACGGCGTCAAGAGGATACTATTACAGCATTCTGGCCGTTTGAGATCCTAGGTCTTAGTTCAACTGCGAGGGGCCTCATTTACAGACGTCCGTATACCGGAGGATACATCGGCTTGAGCATTTTCAGGACCCCCAAGGAGCGTGTTGTCTCAGATCCGAAAACCCCGATAGATCGTTTTTTACACTATCGAATACCTGAACGATTTATCGTACCGTCCTCTGCCAGTTCAAAGGCAAGCATCAACCAAGTCAGGCTCTGGCTAGAAACCTGTTCAACAACCCATCAACGCACTTGTTCATCTCTAGCAGACGGACAAACTGTCCCTGCGCGGCTCATTCATATAAAGAAACGAAAGTGGCGCTCGGGCTACAGAATCCGGCTAGCCGAACGGCGATCAGGTGTTGAGTACTTTTGTCTTTCACACTGCTGGGGCGACAAGAAGGAAAATTGTACCACCGTCAAGTCCAACCTTCGCAATCGGATGAAAAACATCAAATGGGAGGAACTGCCAAGTCTGTTTCAACAGGCCCTCGAGTTTACTTATTGGCTTGACGTGGAGTATCTATGGATTGATTCTCTGTGTATTCTGCAAGATGACGAGGAAGACTGGAGCCATGAAGGTATGAAAATGGCGGGCATTTATGGGAACGCGAAATTGACTTTGGCTGCGATTTGTGCTGAAGACAGCGCTGGTAAGATGTTTTACACTGTGAATGAAAGGGAGACTGGGGTAAAAGTAGACGGCCTGGAAAGCTTTGGTGTCACTGACGAAATCTGTGTCCGAACCGCCCCACCACATGCCTTGGAAACTGCTCCTTTACTTCGACGAGCTTGGGTATTTCAGGAACGAATACTTTCACCACGGTACCTGCACTTCTCGACATTCGAATTGATCTGGGAATGCAACAAAGCCATGGCTTGTCAATGCTCCGGTAGCGACATAGTAGAGGACGTACGTATACATGAACAAGTTGAGGGTCGGTTCGCAAAGAGGTCTCTTTCGCGTTCTATAGACTGGGAGAAAGAGCCGAAAATGTTCCAAAGTAAAAGTCGGAGGGCCTGGACGTGGAATATGATAGTTGAAGAGTACTCCAACATGCGGATTACCTACAGGAAGGACAGGCTTCCGGCGATTGCAGGGATGGCGAAGCAATTTCGCTATTTTGGACAGACTGGCCAGTATCTTGCTGGACTCTGGGAAGTGGACTTTTTTGACAATATCCTTTGGCATGCATCCGTAAGATCGGCAAATATGCCGAGGCCTTCCGAATGGATCGCTCCTACATGGTCGTGGGTGTCGGTGGGTGCAGGGGTCCAGTTCATCAGAGAGGCCGAGACGTCTCTTGAAGTCAACGACCGTGTTCAACTCCTAGATGCAATGTGCGAACCACTGTACAAGGACGATACTCTGAATTTGAAGTCGGCATATGTGATCGTTTCTGGCCCGTCACTCAAAGCCACGATCGAACGGAAAGTCAGCAACGACGAATGTATTGCTTACGTTCTGACTCGGGACGGAGTTACTTCTAGCCTCTTTATGCAAGACTACGACCTTTCAAAACTGGGACCATTTCATGTGGAACCTGGAAGCAACGTCATCTGCGTGGAAATTGCGAATCGACTTATTTACGATATGGATGGGAATGGAATGTTCTCGTTGATATTGAGGGAGCTTGCGAATGGAAAACATGAGCGAATTGGAATTGCAGAATGGGATGAGAACATCCGGGAAGTTTCTGATTCTGCAGAAATGAATAGCTTCAAAATTGTTTGACAAATGTTTAACTATAAGCAACCCGTGTACTCTGTTCTTACGTACAGTGTTCTACCACATAGAGACAACTGTTACCATAGAGATGGCTTGTAGGCTACTAGTGTTAGCACTGCTAAAAGCTATCTAACGAGAACTAGGGGGACGATGATATTCTATTACGTACGAAAGTGCGAATCTACGACAGCATCCTAAATACACGTAACTTGACGTTTTACACTTGCTACACCTGCGACATCTGCTAATGTATAGCAGAAGGTGACACGTATCGTAGAAGTGTAAAGAGCAGGTGCCTGCCCAAGCAAAGCATTTATGGAGATCTCGTTTCTTCATCGTAATAACATGATCAACAAGGGTATAACGAACTTGCCACATGTGAGCGCAAAGGCACGCACATCAGAACACAACTACAAGCCCCCCTTTACTCCGACTTGTGGCAGTAAGGAGATACAGATACAACAGCTTCGTCAGACTTCCATTAGGGACACGCTCACATCTTCGTGACCTCGCCCTTCTCCACGAACCTCGTGCCTTCCATCGCACCAGCCCCACCTCCGCCACCAACAGGCTCACTTATGTAATCTGTGCGCGAGCCCGTCTCATGGAGGTCGAATAGCGGCTCCATTGGCTCAACGTTCTGGCGCAAAATATGTTTCTTCATGTACCATGGTAACTTCCTTGTGTAGTAGGCTGAGAATTGGCGGTTGCCAACGTCGAAAACAGTGTCTAATTCTTCCAGCGTGAGAGCTTTGGTCTCAGGCAAGAGGAAGTAGGCGTAGAAGAAACCGAAGAAGTTCCAAGCTGCGTACCAGCAAAAGGCTCCAGTCGGTGTGAAAGCGTCGCGGAGGGCAGGCCAGGTGAGAGAAAGAATGAAATTGAAGCCCCAGCATACTGCAGTGGCGAAAGACATGCCGACATCGCGAAGATGGAGTGGGAATGCTTCTGCCGAGTAGGTGAAGGGCACAGGGCCTTCACCAGGCGAGTACACAGCCATGAAGGTGTAGATGGCTGCCGCGATTGAACCAAGGCGTGCCTGACTCGGCGTGCCATCGGGATTCTCAGGTAAGTAGAAGGACAATCCGCACCAAAGAAGGCAAAGACCCATGAGTGGGAAGGTTGTGAGCAGTAGGTTCCTTCGACCGAAAGTGTCAATCGTATAGATGGCCGGGATAGCGAACAAGAAATTGGTAATGCCAGTACCCATGGATGTGAGCAAAGCTTCAGATTGCGAGAAGCCAGCTTCCTTGAAAATGGAGGTACTGTAGTAGGCGATGACCTATCAAGGCTGTCAGCAACTCCTATGTACAATTTGTTCAGATAAGGAATGATACGTACGTTGACTCCGCAGAATTGTTGCATAAACATAACGAAGAAAGCGCTCTGTGCGGCCCGGCGATTGCGGCGGACAAGAAAGAATTCCTTCCAAGCATTCCTGCCCTCTCGCTCTGCAGTTTCAATCTCGAGAAGCTTATAAGCGTAGTACATATCACGCGCAGCTTGTATCTTGTGCTTGCGTAGGCGGCAAAGTGCTTGGAAAGCCTTGTCGAACTTGCCCTTCTCCATGTACCAGCGCGGTGATTCCGGGCAGAAGTATACTTGGACGCAAACAATCAAGGGAGGAATGCTGGTAGAGGCCAACATCCACCTCCACGGAGAGGTTGGTCCTCCGATGATCGTGACTTTCTGGAAAGCGACGGAGACAACGAAACCCAGCATGATTCCGAATGCCGTCCACATCTGCCACATCATGGTGAGGGCCCCACGGATAGTCTTGGGTGCGGACTCGGCTGCGTAGACGGGGGTAGTCGACGACTTTGCGCCGACAGCAAAACCGAGCATGAAGCGTGCAACAAGGAGATTTGGCCCTGGCCAAAGGTCAGCTTCAGGTTCAGATGTATTCCAGTAAGACAATACTCACAGCTGTCGGCAGCCGCCATCCAAATACCGGTGATGAAAGAGATGATACATGAAATGAAGATAGTGCCTCGACGTCCGAAGTACTTGTTTAGCGGTGCATTCGACCAGCAACCGATCAGGCAAGAGCAGAGATATGGGGCACCGTTAAGCAGACCTTGAAGCCAGACTTGATCATCTGTGATGCCAAACTCCTCAAAGTAGAACTCCTGCGTGGATGTAAGTGTCGTGATACTCTGACGTGGACGTAGAAAAGCCACCAACCTGAGCACCGTTGACGGCCGTCTGATCCATACCCTGCACAATAGCAGAGCCTGCGCAGAGCACAACTAGGAAATACAACATGAACGGTTGTGACCATCGATGATTTATCTCATGCCGTAGCAGATCCTTCTCTTCTGTTGACAACTGGTTGACGTATTCAAAGCCATCGTCTCGTTGGCCTACGCGAGCGATGAGTGCGCCCTTGCGAAATGCCTCCTGGTCCTCATGCAGGCCCTTCTCAACGCACCATGCGTCAACATCGGCTATGACTTGCTCCTCAGTAAGGCCTGCTAGTGGGTTCCGAAGTTTTGCGGCAACGGAAGCTTGTCGGTGCTGACGAGGTCCGGTATGTTCGTGGTGCCGCGTAGCACCAAAGTCAGACTTGCTACTTCCCGATGATGAGAACGCAGGTTCTGTAGCCTCAATATCGGGCTTGCGACGAGACATGATGGCGGCTAGAAACGAGTATCGAGTCTAGATGGAACTCCTGGATCAAGTGGAGATACCTGATCGCAAAGTGGATGGGTTGAAAGACACACGACCAGGCACCAACGAACCATGGCAGGCCTTGTTATATAGGATATGCGAAGGTACAACCAACACCCACTTTTCTCTCCATCAAAGAGCGGGTCAGGTTTTGCTCTGGGGTGACAATCCCCACGGTTTCTCCACACCATCCTGCGCGTTTGGCGCATGTAACTGTACATCGAGATCACGCACGGGGCGGCCGTACCAAGACATGGAGTTGTGTGTTTACCCAACAAGACATGTCTGGGACTATGTCATTGTGGGCACACGCGAATGTTGGCTTCTCGGCGGAAGCTAGATTTATACTTGGCAATGGAGCGCATTAAGGATCTGGGGCGGCCAAGAAAGCACGTGAAGTCTCGTCGTAGGTCGCCTAAAGACAGTTGAGTGTTCCGACCAATTGGACATTCGTCGGCAACGTGATAATAAACGCCGTTGCGATGAACGATTACGACGCCATGAGAAGACCTTGGCGTCAAGCGGAAATAACACTTGGCAGAGAGCATCGTTACCAGAACGGGCATCCCGACTTATCGACAGTCGGCACCAGGTTCCGATCTCGACCTTGAGGCTGTCAGCGCTTTACGCATGGTAAGGAACAAAATGCAACTCTGAGAACTCTAGCAAGGGCTGTCAGCGCCTTGCATATAGTAATCCACGGATTGCGCAGTAAATCGGTGTAATTGACTCGGCCTTAGACTATCGGCGCTTTTCACATACTGATATATGGGTCGTAGCAAGGAAGACGTGTCGGTGACAAAAATAGTGGGGAGACCGTTGATTGTGTTGTAAAAAAGCTGGATCGCTACCCCTAGGACTCCACAAACCTAGAGACGATAGGCAAGAAATACTATTCGATTGCCATGGAACAGGCGCATGATCCACTGAAAAGGCCTGGAAGCTTGAGGGACCCTTGAGCTTAGTAGAATCCTTCCTTCAATAGTGTGATGCTTCAGTCCACTTTAGCGTGTACCCACGCGCCACGCAATAGCAAATTATCCATTTCCTGAGCGACTGTCTCGTTCGAACTCTTGAGCTTCAGAAAATGCTGGCTGGTCCTGTGTTCGTCCTCCACCCAGACATTCGTGCCATTCGGCAAGAGATAGTTGTATCCGTTGTGGTTGCCGTACTCGAACCAATGGCCTAGCCCTCTACCTGCATAAACCATGGTCAAAAAATCCCAAGAGTATTCCGCTTTGTTGTAGGAGCCATACCATCCCCAGGCCGATTTGACTGGATCATCGGGGGGTCCGCACACGGTAAAACGTGCACCCGACGAAACTTCAACGCCCACCTCCGCACCAAGGAAGGTCATGGGGACACAATCGGGCCAGGTGTTTACAACATGTGGTGCATTCTGGATAGCGAAATTATACTCTTCATCGAGAGCTGGCTCCAGTGAGTATCCGCCGCCCATAACAACGAGTTCCTTGACTTTCGCTTTGACGAGCTCGTATCCATCCAGCGAAGAATACCCATCACCGGTTGTATTGAGAAGGCCAGACAGCGAACCCATGAAGCCGAGCGACACGATGGTCACGCTATTGTTCTTTGCCTCTGCTAGCGTCTTGCGATATAGCTCTACGGGGTCCCAGGTCTTGTTAACCTGCCCGAAGGGCACTGAGCCGCCGGAAAATTGAGCAGCTACTTTGCTCGCGTATTCATTTCCAAAGGGCTCAGGGGATGTTTTATTCGTGAAGGGTCGAGGCAGCCCAATAGGGACGGAGGGGTAACCGTAGTGGTTTACGATTGCCGATGCGGCAAATGCTGTATATGTCGAATTCACGTTTACGTTTACGGCGAGGAGGTTTGTGTTCGGCAGTGTGCAGGCAAGGAGTAATGCTGCGGTGTCGCTATTGCGGCGTTAGCGAGGCTTCAAAATTTTACATGCTACGGATACTCACTCAATTGCCTCGAAAAGATCAGCGTCAACGAACAAGTTCTTGATCTCTGACTCGGTTGTCGACTCAACTCGTGTCAAAGCCGACAAAATTGCCAGCCCGTATGTCAGTACGGAACGAGAGAGCATTGCGCCGTCTTTAAAATCAGACAAAACAACTGTCTATGGGAAGGAGGAGCAACGAGGATTGTCCAGACGAGTAGCGCTTGTGAGGTGCTGGCATGTATCCGTACAGAATAGTTGCAACCCACTTCCACGATCTAGAGCAATGATGTGCTCAGCCTGCTAAATCACTACAACAAGGCGCTCCGCCATCAAATCTCCGTATAGCGAAGCTACGGCGATAAACGGCAATCGATTCCCCATTCTTCATCGTAATGTATGGAACGAATGACACGTCGAGCTCGTGGTGCACATTATGGGCGCACGATAAGAGCTTGTTTGAAGGATCGTCGTCTTCGTTGATCTCGGTGGAATCTCGGAAGCGCGTGTCAGGCCAGCGCGAAGAGACATTTACCCTCCGGCTTAATCATGGTGTGGCTGTAGATATGCGATGTCGTAGAGCTAAGGTGGTGGAAGTCAATGACGAGGGTACCCATCAGGCGGGAAGCGACAAGGCGATCGCTGAGCAGCGTCAGGACGCGCTTACTCCCTTACCCGGAGAAGTTATGCAAGCCACCCACGAACCCTCCAGGACTGCAACACGACCGACGGGAACATCCGCAATCATGAACAAGCTCGCTCTAACCTACCTCGCGATATCGCTGCTCGGAGTCTCTGCCTCTTATCACGAACGCATCGGCGCGCAAGACGTCATCGCCAAGCTTGGACTGGAGCCAAACCCAGAAAAGGGTTACTACCGACAAACCTTCGAAGATGCTGGCAGCATCACCAATCGCTCATACTCAACCGCCATCTACTATCTGCTCGAGGGTCAAGCCGGTCCATCCTACTGGCACCGGGTCACCGATGCTGTCGAGATTTGGCACTTTTACGCCGGCGCGCCCTTGAGACTGGAATTGTCGTGGAACAACGGCACAGCAACTCAACAGCAGGTCCTAGGGAGTGATATTTTCAGGGACCAGTCACCACAGGTCATCATCGACAAGGGCCAGTGGCAGCGGGCGACAAGCCTAGGAAACTGGACGTTGGTGGGCACGACAGTCGCGCCTGGCTTTTCAGAAAATGGATATGAATTGCCGGAGCCAGGCTTCAACCCGGACGACGGCCAACAAGCCTCCTAAGTCTTCAGAATCGCATGCGTAGATCAGAACTACAGCAGGGAGTCTCGGCGACCACCGACCTTCCGGACCACTAACGGGCGACCGTGGAGGCTGCCGGAAAACATTGCCTTCACGAATTTCCCTACCGCAAATGGATATGCTTGAAGATCTTTAGGAAATCTGATCTCTGTAGTTAAATCCGCATCATACAACGAGATTGCATTTAAGTAGTGCTTTACTACGTAAGCGACACCATGCCAAGAATACCGCTTCGGGTCAGTACAGATACTAGCCTATACGTTTGCAATAACTATGGTCCTTGATCGCAAGTTCTCAACTACTTCCACGCCTGTCAAGTCGCCTCGAAAAGGCGAAAGAAAAGATTATTTAATCAGGGCCCTAAGCAAGGAACTCAATAGCAAGCTTTACGAAGCGCACATGAAGTCCGTTGGCGTGCTCGACGGACTTCGCTTCGCCGGCTGAACTGAGTTCTACAGTAACCAGCTCGGGTATCTCGATACATCGTTGCATGCTCTTACGAAGCCGATGAAAGACTACTACCTTTGCCACATCCAAACGCCGCGAACACCTACTAGGAGGGAGAGCCTGCAGCACTCGACAACGCTTGAATGCCAAAGCGTATCAGTCGAGCATACGGTTCTTCAACGAAGAGGAAGCCTTCTTGAGCTTCGTGGTTTTCCCCTCATTTAGCTTTGGTCCGCAATCAAGGCCAATAAGCGCGTTACGAAGGTGTCGGGTCGATCATGTGGATGCAAAGTAACTGACATGGCGAGTGACATACAACAGCGCCAGGCGAACGCCTATCTAGACGCTATCAGGCAGCCTCGTCTTTCTATTCCTGCCATTTCATTCTGAGCTCGTGTACCTAGCTTAGCTTAAAGGTCTAGTCATCGTGTATACCAATAATTCTCAACGAAGCACGTGGGCTTCATCGCAGGCGTATTTATGGCTCATTCAGCTCAGATAGCATTGCCAATCCTGGGGTCTTTGCTTATGGCATATACAGGCCTGTGCGCGATGTATGCGCCATGCTCTCCGGCATTGCCACACATCAGGCATAACGGGTACGCCATTAATCATGTGCAAATGTTTTACGGCGAATGCGCTACTCGCTACTTGCGGCTGCATCGACCATGGAACCAAATCCAAGTGAGCGGAGTGGCTGTGAAATTTGTCTAAGCCACCTCGCGAACTTCAAATATGGCTTCCCTCGTGCCATTGCAGTCCAGCAGACTTTTGTGCTTACGAGATTGGCCGTAGCTCTCTACTCATGGAGTCAGACGCAAAACTCCGTAGTGTGGATTGAGCGGTCAATGTCCGTGCTGACTGTATTCGTGTAGGATTGGATGGTCATGCATCTCCATCACCCTCTGCCCGTATTCATGTTCAAGCGAAGCATTGCTACGAACACGATCTCCGAACACTCAATCTCCGTTTTTCTCATCCCGAGCCATACTAGCATCCTTGTAGTTCGTGGGCAAGATAAGGAGATTGGGTTCTATTGCGCCATGGCGTTCAAGAATTTATTGAGTGTGTAAATTGACCACCTGTGTTGAAGATGAAGGCCATCTACCATGGGATCACATATAAGAGTATGAGTCTGCTGCTCCACCCCTTTATACCAGCATCCTGAGCCTTACACTGTCTCCTTCTTTCGATCTTTACATCTCCACACTCGCTGAACTCCATCACATCCAGTCAGGATGAAGTCCTTCTCCATCCTGGGAGCTACTCTTCTTGGGCTCCTCACTCCAGTCGCCATTGCAGCTGCGATTCCGGCTGAAGTCGCTGAGCTCGCTCCTTTCACGCCAAAGCGGGGCGGCCTCGAGGAACGTCAATCACCAGCTACATGTATAAATGTTGGCCATACTGCTACTACGAGGCACTGCTGGGCCCCTGGTTTCACTTCTTCCACGGATATGTACACATCCTGGCCGAATACCGGCGTAATTCGTTCATACAACCTTCGCATCGAAAACACGACGTGCAACCCTGACGGCGCAGGTTCCAGGGTTTGCATGTTGATCAATGGTAGATATCCAGGTCCAACGATTGTTGCAGATTGGGGCGACACGATCAGAGTTACTGTCCGCAACCTCCTTCAATCGAATGGCACTTCCATCCACTGGCATGGCTTCCGCATGCTCAACAAGAACATCCAGGATGGTGTCAATGGAATCACCGAGTGTGCACTGGCACCCGGAGACTTCAAAACCTATGAATTCCAAGCAACCGAATATGGAACTACATGGTATCACTCACATTTCTCGCATCAATATGGAGATGGCGTCGTCGGAACGGTTATCGTGAACGGCCCTGCTACGGCAAACTACGACGTCGATCTTGGAGTCATGCCAATCACCGACTGGTACTACAAGACCGCTTACCAAGCCGCCTCCATCGCATTCCAGAATGGCCAAGCTGGATTGGGCCCTCCGGTCGGTGACAATATCTTAATCAACGGGACTGCTAAAAATGCTGCAGGAGGAGGTGCATGGAACAATGTGGCCATTCAAGCAGGTAAACGCTACCGCCTGCGACTCGTCAATACCGCAGTCGATACCAACATGGTTGTAAACCTTGATGGTCATCCCTTCCAGGTCATCGCAACAGACTTCGTCCCCATCAACCCGTACAACACTACTCACCTACAGATTGGTATCGGCCAACGATACGATGTGATCATTACCGCGAATCAGACCGCTGGAAATTACTGGTTCCGTGCTGTCGCAGACGGACTTTGTCAATCGCGCAATGCTCGCGAAGGACGCGCCATCTTTACATACCAAGGCCAGACTGTGGCTGACCCCACCTCAACTGCACCAGCTATTCCTTTCACAGCATGTGTCGATCCGGTCACTAGCCCAAAGATTGCAAAGAATGTCCCCAGCACAACCTTCGCCGCCCAAGCCAAGAACCTCCCAATCGCTTTCGGTCCAGTAGCGGCGAACGGCAATACAGTACTATGGACTATCAATGGCACTTCGATGATCATCGATCCCGGAAAACCGACCATCAAGTACGTCGCGGATGGCAACAACAACTTCCCTCAATCATATAACGTTGTAGAGGTACCGTCAACTTCGTCATCTACATGGACCTATTGGGTCGTACAACAGGCCGTTGGAGCGCCGCCGATCGCTCATCCAATCCATCTCCACGGCCACGACAGCTACATCCTCGGTGCGGGTGATGGGCAGTTCAACGTAGCCACCCACCTTAGCCAGCTACGTTTCACTAACCCGCCGCGTCGCGACGTTACTCAGCTCAAAGGCAACGGCTGGCTTGTTCTTGCCTACCCAACGGATAACCCAGGTGCGGTAAGTACATGGTCATCTGTCTCAATCCCCGTGGAAGACTTCTCAAGTATCTTATCATGAAAGGACTTCTGTTCTATCGCGCTCTCTTGACAACTGCTGACTTCTCATATATAGTGGTTGATGCACTGCCATATCGCCTTCCACGTTGGCATGGGTTTGAGCGTTCAATTCCTTGAGCGCAAGCAGTCCATAAATCTTCCCGCTGCCGGCTCTGAGTGGTACAACAACTGCAACAACTGGGCAGCCTACAAGGCTGGTACGACGGACGTCTGGCCTCAAGACGACTCTGGTCTCAAGAAGCGCTGGCCTCCTCTCATTGAGGGTGGCTCGAAGTTCAAGCTGGATTAGACCGTTCATTGATACATACTCACTCACAAGAGACTTCAAAGGTCAGCAATGTCGTGCCCAACTCACAGGCAGTCCAATGCGTACGTTTTCGCATCGCGCACTTGGGACGTCCAGTCTTTTCCGGTCTTCGTGTTCTCTTCTTACGCTCCTTTATGCCCACTTCGTATGCACTTCTTTCTTCTGATACATACTATGTTACTGCTATTTAGGTAGGTTCCTACCATGTTTCGGGAACCGCATGTAAATACTTCTTACGCTACTCATACCTTTACTGTATATATTCCAACAAGAAAACAATCGCGAATCACGTTCCAGTCCACAGTCTATGTCAAGCCACCAATCTGATTTTGGTCATAGGTAGCACGGTGTCTTTGCTTCCGCTGATCCATTGAGTGCTACGTGATTAAAACTATCCCTGGTTGGGTACCATCTTAACTCCCGTTGTGATGCCTATCTAGGTAGCGTCATCATCAGAGCTTGTCGGAACATGTTAACCTGAATTAATACTAAGGACCTGAGCGTAGAGATCTAGAGAGTATGTCGGCTGTACAAGAATATCGTTCTGAGAACCGAACTTTGCTCCATCCCGGACTTCGGGGGAGATCTCCGAATGTAGGACCCCGTTGTCTCCGCCTCAATTGCCAAGCACCCTAGAGGTTGTTGATTTTACTTCGCATCCGCAACACCAACGCTCACCAAACACTCACATATCATAAACCGCTAATGCGCTGTTAATAAGGATAGCGCTTTTCAATTGCAGTTGCTGTTTATAGCTCCCTGGGTACGGTTAGCAACTTCTACCCTCCAACATGATCCTCGGGCATTCGCACCAAGAACGATGGCAATGTACCGCGTGGCTGAACGTGGCCACCACGCTATGAGGGGGATCTAGGCCGCTGCTACTAACACTGAAATATCTGTAGCATCGAGACGCTACCATTTTTGGTACGTAATTACGCTAAGCAAAATGACTGCACCACTACCATTGCCTCCCCTCTCCAACAGGTCATATTCGCATGCGCCGGCGGGCGCTCGTTCATCCATTACTGACACCGCCCAAGCTGTGACTCTGTGGACTATCAAAAGGAACTCACCCAATAAGTAGAAACCACATTACAGAGGGTCAATACTCAACCCTACAAAGCCCCTCAAATCTCAAGGACGCCGCTGCACGCGGAGAAGGCACTTAGTGGAAAGCCGAATCCCGTTTGTTCCAATACCTCTACCCTCTAGAGTTCGTTCAAACGCTCCAACAACGTTTGCCTGTCGTTATGGGAACGTTTTTGTGACGTTTTCCAAAGCTTCCTTGATATAGCTTTAACGTTTCTGCATACACACGGATTGCCAACCGATCCGTCCTCGTTATCGAATCGGCCATGGGGAGAAACGCCTACATTTTTGCCGGAATGGCTGCGAAACATGCGTATTATTGTACGAGAATATCATCCACTACGTGTGGAATCAAAGGTCCCACGAGATTGGATTGGAAGGATATGAGGTGGTGACAGGATCGGAACGTCAGACTGCGTTGGGACGCTATGCCTATTCATGACATGCAACCAGGACATATTCTCTCTTACTGCTGGGCATCTACTGATGAGAAACGACAAAATCGTCACCATCACGCATAGAGCGACCAATCAGCGGGCCGCGGCCGACGCTGTTATCAGACCCTTACAAGGTACTAGTTTCGCATCCGAGGTCGGTCTGGTCAAAACGAAGCGTGACGTTCGCAAACTCGTGGATACATGCAAATCCCGATGTGATATGTACAGCTTACACGAGAGCACGCCCCCTGGTGAAGTCAATGACATCGATGCAATGAACTGCAATTTCAGCATCACAAGACCACCTACGCTAGAGAATCAACATAATGCAATGGTCTATAAAGATGGGGGTCACCACGGAAACGACAATAGGCAAGCTGACAGGTATACGGCACGAGTATCCATCCTGTTGGACGACTGCGGACCAGATGTATCACACTCTCGACGAAGATATGGCTAGATGTAGGTATCTTTCCTCTCCAAACTCACCATCTCCTCTCTATCCACAACAGCACGATCTTGAATAAATCCATACAGTTCCTCGGCTATGTGCGCGCTGAACAACATCTCAGCCGCAACCCCAGCAGCAACCGCGTCCGCAACCTAAGCAGCCCGCCGACTTACAACCCGGACCCCCGTACCTAGCACCAATGGTCAATCCACAACCCAATGAAGCCGCCATAGGACCTATGAGGGGATTTCAGAATTGCCAGGCACGCAAGTGAAGGTTCGAAGATATCACGAACGGCTCAGTTAGCTCTCACGCTGGACCACAAGACGAAGAATTGGACGATGAAGAACGCGAGTACCACACCGCTGACCCAGAAGGGTAGCTTATTCCGTTCTCTTGTAGATCAGAAGTGATTGCTAGCAGCCCATACGAGATCTGTAAGCGGAAATTCAATATAATTATAGCTACGCTGGCATGCTGTAGTGGACAGTACTGAGAAAGCTGTGTTCGCCCTCGTCTACTTCAGCGCCCATCAGATAACTAAGGGCAACATGGACTATGTCCTCAAGGAGCTCAGCGGTCTAGGCGCATATTCCCAGGTCATTAGGGATGCGTGGAGGGCAAAATTCTGGAGTCAGTAAGACGACGTATGCACTGTATAAGTACTCGTTAGTGAGCCCACTAAGAAACGCTTCTTGTACTCACGTTATGTCCAGATACATTCCACCGCGGGCCGAAGCCCTTTACACATCCATGACCAGCCGTTTCGGAGCTGAGAGGGCCGACCTCTCGACAGTGGCTGCGCTAGAGCGACGGGAATATACCGGCTGTCAGTAACTTCAAGATGTCCAAGAACAGAAGCGCATGATTTTCAACATGTACTCCCCCATCGTCGAATATCTGCACTTGGATGCAGTGTTCGATCCTCCCGGTGCCTGTAACCAGGAATAGCTTCAACACTGCGCAACCATTCGATACAGCCTTCAATCCTCATTTGTATTGGCTCTCGACGCGTACATTGATACCCGCATACGATGTCGTGAGGGGGTTCAGGGCAATGCGCAGTATAGGCTCCCAGCGTATCCCAAGGTGACTAGCATGGACGCAGCTGGTAAGATGTTCTTCAATTTCCGGAAGCGCATGCCTGAGTTGCAGAGCTTCCCGAAATTTCCCAAGCTTAAGCACGTACCGGTCACGCCAGCGCCAGGTAGGCGGACGTGTCGTTATTGTTGCGCATTCTGAGTGAAGATTGCTGTCAAAAGACTGTATGCCCAGATTATCACATCCACGAGGCGCGTCGTGGAGGACGCAATGTTGTAAAGTGCACTGCGGTTCTAGACCGATTTATGTTCTCGCAATCGCTGATGCTTGCTCTAATCAGGCCTATAAATACTCCAAAATATGTCTATGGTGCCCATTGCTCTTCTGATCTACTGAGGTGTGTTCTAAAACATACATACATTATGGGATTCTCCATAGTCGCGTGGAATGAGCTTCTACCCGGAGATCAAATAGTACGGTATCGATCTAGATCTCACATCACCCCACTAATCTTATTCCGGCCATCGCACGGTGGCTTATATCCCGCTGACCTCTCCCAAGATATGGGGCACGGATGTAAGTTGTATGTTGGCCAATCAACACACGTCCAAGAATTGCCGGCCAGCCCAGTGCAAGGGAAGCGAGCGGGGAAGCCCGACCTCCACCACAACATTCAAGATGCTAACCATTGCAATATGTCCTGGCCGCAGCCTTCGGAGTGGTGGCGTTTCGGCGCGACTAGATATATATCCAGCCAACTAGAAGGATTGGCCGAGCCGTGGCGGCATTACTTGACGAATAGGAAACCATGGCTCTAGCATACAGAGTCCGAAATGAGCAACTTGTCAGGCCTGTTGTGATGTGGGTTAAGTAGTTTCCAAGACGTGGGCGTTTCGTGGATGTGTTTCCCCACCGTGCATGTGGAGAAGAGGGTTGAGCAACAGGGTACTTTGTGAGTTGATAAGTGCGAGCTACCCTGACCTGGTGCTGCAAGGTTACGATCGTTTATCCATCTTCGGATCACCAGCTGTACGAATAATTATTACAGTAAATATGGCGACCACGACATTTACGAACGCGCATCAAGTGCACACCGCAAACAGCACAGATTCTGATCGGATTGACAAGGAGCCGCGACTCACTCACACGTCGACCAACATCTCTCTTAGTCCAGAGCTGTTCGAGAAGTTGTATCTGGCTCCCAAGACACCGCATGCAAATGAACGCGCCCAACAGTATGCCAATGCGGCTCCCTTAGGCTTCCTAGGGTAAGATGGTCATCGCAGACTTGAGAAAGACGATACTAAAAGCATTACAGATTCGTCATCTCAACCTTTACCTTTTCCATGGTATTGATGGGTTGGGGTGGTGCTTCCGGTCTCCAGGCCGTTGCGTGAGTTTGTCTTCTTTTAGCTACCTGCACATCTATCATGAATTTATACTGATCCTCCTTTAGTGGCATCTTTTTCTTCACCGGCCCCTTGCTCCTCACTCTCGCTACGATCTTCCTCTGGATACAAGCGCAGTTCTTCTCGATGATGGTCTGTGGTCTCTTTTCAGTCTTCTGGCTCTCCTTTGGCATGCTGCAGCTACCTACGCTCGGTCTTGCAGCGACCTACTCTGCAACTGGCGATGCAGCAGCAGGGGCGGTGAGTAAGGAGATGAATGCCGTCATCGCATTGTATCTGCTTGTTTGGGGATTCGCATTAGGTACATTTTGGCTTTTCACGATCAGGATCAACTTAGTGTTTGCCGGTATCTTTGGATTCGTGACAGTGGGTGTCTGGGTGTTGAGCGGGGCTTACTGGGCGTTGAGCAATGGGAATTTTGACAAGGCGCTGAAGCTGCAGAAGGTGAGTTACTTGAACATATTCAGAATATTACTAAGTTTTAACAGGCTGGCGGCGCACTTTTGTTCATAGTGGGGTTCTTAGGCTGGTATATGCTCTTCGTCATTATGGCTGCAGAGATGCGCTGGTCCGTTTGCCCACCGGTTGGAGATCTTAGTAAATACTGGGCGAAGACGGATGTTGAGATTGGTGCGAACGCAAGTGAGAAGAAGGATTGAACATCAGTTCAAGCGTATCGCTTCATCAATGTTTAGAGGCGACATAATATTTTCCCTATATTTGCTGGTAGAAAATTAATTTTCAGGACGGACATCGAAGAGCAGCTGAAATCATGGCCCTCCAATCTCTGCGACCTTCTTTTCCTGTAATACCTTTCTGTCTTTTCTCTGGACCGCAACGGTCTTATCGGTGTATTTCCTCTTATCGACCGACGGAATGAAGAAAGCAGCGACCACACCCAGCAGTCCAAAAGCAAGTGCTACCAGATACGACAAGTGCGCACCCTCTAGATACGCTTGCTTGTTCCCTAAGCTAGCAGCAGCTCGAATTGTAGGGGTTATGCCTGGAATAGCTGCATATCCAGCCGCAGTGTTCGCTCTCGCTGCTGTGACCAACCTAGTAACGATATCCGAAGAGAGGTTGAAAGGAGCAAGATTATCACGAACGTGCGCAGGCAAGACATCTCCATACTTGTTGTTTGTAACGTTTCCAAAGATGGCGGTAGCTACCGCGCCAGCAAGAAGTCGAGAAGTTCCTGCAAGACCGGCCGCAGTGCCAATATCCTCCTGGTAAACGATGCCAAAACCTACTAGAACCATACCGTTGAGTAGGTTGACTGAGGTACATGTCGAGATGATGACTGTCAAAACAATCGACTTGGCAGGATTATCCATTGTGGAGGTAGACATGGCGCCAACACACGCTGTTTGCAGGGCGACGGCAAACATGATAACCCAACGTTGGTGACCGATGACCTTGCTGAAAGCCACAATGATCCCGCCGATGATGGTACCAAGAGGCAGGACTTCAGCGTAGAGGCCTTTGGAAATTTCGTCGCTGGCGTAGATGAGTTGAGAAAGGCGGGGCCATAGGGTCGCGTTGGAGTAATACTGCATTCCGCCTATGGCCATGACCAGCATCGGAACAGTGAAATGGCGTAGTGCTCTGAAGAGACGCGGCGGAAACAAAGGTGCGGTAAGGGTGTAGTAAGCTTCGTAAAACCCTAGGCCAATCAACGTTATCAGCCCGATGATGATGGGTGCAAGAACTGTCGCAGAAACCCAAGGGGCCATTGATCCACCCCAGCTGACCCCAACGATGAAGAGGGTACAGCCAGCCAAGAACAAAAACAGTCCTAACCAATCAAATTCCCGTAGAAGCTGTCCAGCCGACTTTCCATGTTCGGCCCTCTTTTCTTTCCAGGACGGGGGGTGATAAAAGAAGAAGAGAAGTGCAAGGTTGATGGTCTGGAAACCTATCATGACATAATAGCAGATACGCCAATTGCCCGTCTGCTTGATGATGACCCAGCTGACCAATGGCATGATCTGGGATACTATCGAGGCAGCGTCGAATAACCCAATGGTAACATGTCGATACTTGCTCGGCACAATCTCCTGGACCGCACCAAATGCCATCTCCAGAAATCCAGAACCGCAGCCGAACAAAGCACCACCAGCGATCATTTGGTTGATGCTTTGTCCGGTGGCTGAAACAATACTGCCGATGATGAGGATGATGGCTCCGGCAATGAAGAACCACCGCCTGCCAAAAATGTCTGAAAGTCGCCCGCCAACGGTCACGAACATGGCGCCGCCGAGATTCCAGGATATTGTGATCCAGGTGTACCTGGGGTCTGGACCAAGATCTGCGTTGATGTACGTGAGGATCGCCGGTGGAATGAGGAGGGTGAACAGGTAGGCGTTGTAGCACATGGCCATTGACACGGCGGCCATCAATGTACGAACTAGAGTAGGTTAGACATGATTTGTTGGAAAAACGCGTGGCTGTTCAGAATACGCACATGTTAAGCCCACATCTTCACCCGTGGTCTGTAAATGACGAACAATCTCCTCGTTGGCGTCATTGCTGGAGAAATGGTCGTCTTGATCCGACGTATTCGTGCTGTCATCGAGCGTTTCGATGTGCGCCACTGAGTGCTCTCGTTCTCCCTTCGTGGTCATGGTGTAGAGAGGTAAATAGGAGGAGAAATGTACAAAATCCCTCTGAAATCATCGACACTGAGCTTGAAGGATCAGCGACGTCGTAGTAATAAATACCATACCCACCAACCGTTCGCTGCGAGGATCCGGTGGCTACCCCAGAAATTACCCCGAACCTCCCCACCCATGAATGGAGATAGCGACATGCCGCTTATGCACAAGCAAGCGAGTCAAATTCGGGTATGCTTGGGGCTGTTGTACAGACTTGAGCATAAGCACCGTCATTGCCGGTTTGGGTAAAGAAATGCAAGTTGTGTGGCGGCCGTCGGCGAATGTCATTGGCTCGCTCTTCTACGGTCGGAAAAAGATAGCCCATGGTTGTTTTCAGAATAGCCGTGCATGGCTATCGTTGTCCTGTTTGCGCAACAATCTAGAGGAACATTACACGGTAGAAAAACGATTACCATTGCTGCAAAATAGTTCATTCCGCCTCATGCATCCAATGCTCAGCACTCGTCTTCCGATATCGAAGTTCCTGTGCTTGGACATGTTTGGCAGAACAGGTTGGTCAAGTTCTTTCGCCTAGTAAAGTAAGTCGTGGCGTCGTCGGACGAAATTGGGCGAATCAGAATAGAGATGGTAGATGTGAAAGCGGAAAAAAGATCAATTTGTGACATGGCTGGATATCGCATGTGTCGTAACGCCTCCCAATGCATATTTGCCTGAACGCCATCTGATGGAAGAATTGCAAAAAAACTTATAGAGCCTCGAGTTCGAAATCGTCCAGCTTATCGCGGTACTTCATAATGTTGCGCTTGATCTTGGAAGAGTCGACCCAGGTGACAAAGTCTTCCATGTTTCTTGTGACGAGGTAGGCTGGGTCTGTAACGACATCAGTTCCGACTCTCACATGCTGTTAATCTGTTAGTTCCGAAGGTCATATCCTGAATCCACTGTGCTTACTCCTTGTTCGACGAGGGTGACAGCAGATTGCACATGGTCTGCCATGCGAAGTCGGGTCATGACAACGGGCAATCTCCTCCGTGCAAAGGCACTGACTGTGAGCTTGTGTTCGACATCGCTCAACTTTCCACGGCCGCCACCACCCGTACCAAGTAGACCCATGGAGAAGCACTTCTCCAGTATCAAATCCTCCTGCTTCTGACGGAAGGGATCAGACGGATCGAGCGCGGCCACACGGTGGGCAAGCTGTCGCAATGAGCCCGCGAGCTGGTTGTACTTGCGGTAATCGTCGCGTCCTTGGATTGCGTAGCGGCGCATGACTGCTGCTTCTCGGTGATCATTGTCGCTCTTGTAGGTGTTGAAGTCGACCTGTAGGAAGACGTTAGATGGTATTCACATGGCGATGCGCCACTGCAGCGGCAGGCAGCAGGGGATCCGTACCTTCTTCAAGAGCTTCTGCTCATGATGCTTGAGCTTTCGCACCATGTTGACGATGCGCGTAAAAAGTTTGGTACGTGAGGGAGGTAGTAGTGGAGGTCTTTGCAATGGCTTCGCGACGACGAAGACCCAAAGAATTATTTGACAGGGGTACGCGGGCACTAGCGATAGCGCGCCAGACTGCCCCTCCAATGACGGCGGGGTGCATCCAAATTTCCCGTGACTGTTCGAGTCAAACATTCTTCCTTTCAAGTCACACCCTCTTCCTTCCATTCCTCTAATTAATCTTCAGCCATGCCGTCAGTTCACTTACTCGACTACGTTGCCGGCAACGTCCGCTCTCTCGTCAATGCCATCGAGAAGGTTGGCTATACCGTCGAATGGGTCAAGACACCCGCCGATGTCTCCTCCGCCGAAGTACTACATCCCGCCTACTTGGAATCGCGCATGAATTGACAAGTACTGATACAGCATCGCGCGTAGAAACTCATCATCCCTGGCGTCGGCCACTTCGGACACTGTTGCTCCCAGCTAGAGAAAGCAGGCTACACGGAGCCCATTCGCGAACACATCAGACAGGGCAAGCCATTCATGGGAATATGTGTCGGTGTGCAGGCCTTGTTTGAAAGCTCGGAAGAAGATCCTCACGTCAAGGGCTTGGGAGTCATCCCTGGGCGACTACGAAAGTTCAAAGACACGGACAAGAGCGTGCCGCACATTGGATGGAACAGCGCAAACACGTCGCGCCCCGGTCAAGTCACGGATGACTCATTATATGGGCTGCGACCGACTTCCAAATACTACTACGTCCACTCGTACGCTGTGCCATATGAGGAGGGTAAGCTAGAGAAAGAGGGCTGGGCAGTCGCGACTGCGCGGTACGGTGACGAGGAGTTCATCGGTGCAGTAGCAAAGGACAACGTCTTCGCCACGCAGTTCCACCCTGAGAAGAGCGGCGCAGCAGGCCTACGCGTACTAAAGGCTTTCCTAGATGGCAAGGTATCACAGAAACTGCCGGAGAAGCCATCGGCGGCCGAAACAAAAGAAGGATTGACAAGACGTGTCATCGCCTGTCTCGACGTACGAACAAACGACCAGGGCGATCTCGTAGTAACAAAAGGTGATCAGTACGACGTCCGCGAAAAAGAAGGAGCCGGCAATGCTGTGCGAAACCTAGGCAAACCCGTTGACATGGCGAAGAAATACTACGAACAAGGCGCCGACGAAGTCACCTTCCTGAACATTACATCCTTCCGTAACTGTCCCGTCGCCGATACACCCATGCTCGAGATCCTACGTCGGACCAGCGAAACCGTCTTCGTCCCCTTGACAATAGGCGGAGGTATCCGCGACACGGTAGATACAGACGGCACCAAGATCTCTGCCCTCGATATCGCGACCATGTACTTCAAGTCCGGCGCGGATAAAGTCAGCATAGGCTCCGATGCTGTGACCGCAGCCGAAGAATACTATGCGCGAGGCAGCAAGCTAGCGGGCAACACGGCAATAGAAACCATCTCCTCTGCATACGGTAACCAGGCCGTTGTCATAAGCGTAGATCCAAAACGCGTATACGTCTCATCTCCTGACGCAACACCGCACCACACGATCAAAACCGCCACCCCGGGTCCGAACGGCGAGGAGTACTGCTGGTACCAATGTACCATCAAAGGTGGACGTGAAGGCCGCGATTTTGACGTCCGACAGCTCGTCACCGCAGTCGAGGCCATGGGTGCAGGAGAAATCCTACTAAATTGCATAGACAAGGACGGAAGCAACAGCGGTTTCGACACTGAGCTGATCAACGACGTCAAGGATGCAATCAAGATCCCCGTCATTGCAAGTAGTGGCGCAGGCCACCCCGGGCACTTTGAAGAGGTGTTTGCGAAGACGAGGACAGATGCTGCCTTGGGCGCTGGAATGGTGAGTTACCCACCCGCCACTATTTTCTCATCTTATCGTATGATGAACTAGGAGGAAAACTAACAATTTTCGCAGTTCCACAGAGGCGAATACACAGTCAAACAAGTCAAGGACTACCTACAAGAAAAAGGGCAAGTTGTGCGGCCATTCGAGGATGAGATATAAAACACTCACGACCATCTCAAATGGAGTCGCCAGACGTGCTTCTCTAGTATTTTGTAAACATGTATATATACAGAAGTAGAGTTTCTCCGCCAGATGATAGAGCGAACCAGTGGATTCGCAGAAGGTATATGTCGTACCGTCCGGTATCAACACACATGAACCTCGAGATTCCCAACCCGCGCTTCCCACATTGCGAGACGTTGTGCCGTGCACACACACACACACACACACACACATGATGTTCATACAGATTCTCTGCGCATGTCTAAACGTGATTGTTGCTTTCGCGAGTCATTTTCCTATTACCCTTAGTTTCAAATCTGGAAAATGTTCACTTCCTCCTCTTCATAACCTTGGTGCACATGTCGATAAGACCAGTTTTCGCCTCGCTCTCGGGGAAGAAGGAGATTGCATCGATGGCTTTGTCAACGTAATCCTGTGCTAGGGCGCGGGTTTGTTCCAAGCCCGAGCTTTGAGAAACGATTTCACGAGCCTGTTGAGACAAAATGTCAGCATAACCCCATTCTCAAGCCACTGTTCTTAAAAGCAACATTCTCGCCAGCACTCACCCGTTGAACATCGCCTGGTTGCGAAAACTTCCTTCCAACCAGTTTCCCCAGACTCTGATCTTCTTTCCACGCAAATAACAAGGGTGCCGTCGCAAGTCCCAATTCCAAATCCGCACCAGCTGGCTTGCCCAACTCGGCCTCGCTCACCGTATAATCCAACATGTCGTCCACAAGTTGAAACGCCAGACCAAGATTCTTGCCATATAGATACGCCGCCTCGACAACCTCCGGGCTAGATCCACCCAGAATAGCGGCGGCGCGACAACTCTTTGAGATGAGCGACGCAGATTTGAGGTACGTCTTTTGCAGGTAATACGCCATGGTATCTTCCGTCCACGACGGGCTTTTCTCATCCAATGCCGTGTTCTTGAGTTGCATGAACTCGCCTTCAATCAGGTTTGCGATGACCGTAGCCAGGAGCTCCGTAACCTCTGGATCGCGCAGTCTAGCCAGCGCAACCGACGCCCTTCCGAGCAGGAAATCGCCTGCCAGTACAGCCATTTTGTTGCCGAACTCGATGTTGGCAGAGGGAGCGGAACGGCGGGAAACGGAGTGATCAATGACATCGTCGTGCAGTAAACTAGCTGTGTGAATGAGTTCTGTGATTTCTGCTAACCGGCGTTGAGACGGCAGGATATCGCTGTCTTCAGCCGTGTACGCAGCGTCATGTCGTATGCTGGCGATGGGACTCTGATCTGGATTCTCGTCCGCCAGGATCCTGGGGTTGGTTATCGAAATATCCGCACTCTGCTTGCCGATTCCCATGCCTCCTCTTGAACTCCGCGGCGTGAGTGCCGTCGCTCTGCTCATGAGCAGGACTAACATGGGCCGTACGTATTTTCCCTCACTTTGTGTGTAGTACTTGGCGACTGTGTCGAGGGTGGGGTGGCCCGATCCGAGTAGTTGTCGTATGTTTCCGGTGAGAAACTTCATTTCGCGGGCGACGGTTTGGAAAGGGTCCATCTTGATAGGCGCATCTGGTGGCGGCGAGGACATGATGTTTTGCGCTACATTGACAGCAGCAGCCCATGAGGACTGATTCCGCCGCCGCGAAGGGTGATGAGGTGTTGGTGTCGTCGCATTATGGGTGTGTATTGAGCGGGAGAGTGCGGCGCTACGGTAGGGACATATCGAGCGGTGCGATAGAGAGGAGGAAGTTTGCTGTCGCGCGATGGAGGTCGCGAGCCGGGGTGTTCGGCTCGTCATGGAAGGTGTCTGCCTCAAATTGTCTCTTGAATGGGAAGAGACGGTGCAATTGAGGGGCTGTGTCAGCGTCTTGCAGGCGTGCAAAGAGGGTGGTGGTGGTGAAATTGACTAGTTGCACCTCGCCCGCAGCTATCGGCTAGATTTGTCGAAGTCGAAATATCCATGACGTTCGGAACGCTAGCTTCCCTGGGTTGCCGCACATCCCTGTCGCGTCTCACTATGCGTGATGCCGCGTGCCTGACTGACGATTGTTCTTACCACGCACACACCGTATACCACCATGGTCCTGCTTACTATGACTCCCGGTATCGTCCGGGCAGTCGCAAAAGCCAGACACCTATCCGCCGACGAGTACGACAAACTCCAGCACGCCGATGAGCCCACGCTTGTGGAACCCAAAGCTGGGAATCCCATCTCACACAGCCAATTAATCGACTTATCCAAGCTGCTCAAAAGCCATGTCTCCAAAGACACCCAGGAGTCGTCAGAGAATACCGAAGACACTGGAGAACCTACGCCAACAACCCTCGCTGCCCTCCTCGCCAACACAACAGTCTACATACCGCCCCCTCCTCCCAAGCCTACGCAAACTCCCGAATACCACGCCCTGATGGCCCGTCTCCGCGCCGAGCAAGAGGCCCTCTCCTACGAACGCATGCTACACCCCCCGCCAACGCGCGAGTCCTTCTCGCAGCGCTTCCCTCGCGCCCCAGAACCCTTCTCCATTGGTGCAACGCAAACCACCAGTGAAGAAGACGACCTATCCTACGAAGAAGTCCACCGACAGATCATCCTAATCATAAACATCTTGATCTCAATTGTCTGTGTGGCAGTCTTTATCTGGGTTGCTGCGCGACACTGGAGTGTGGGAAGCAGACTAGGACTGAGCATGGGAGGGTCGTTGGGTATTGCAGTTGCCGAAGTGGCGGTCTACAGTGGCTATGTGAGGAAGGTGCGTGAGGCCAAGAAGACGGAGAAGAAGAAGCCCGAGATCAAGGAGATTGTCAAAACATGGGTCTTGGGCGACGACGATGGGAAAGATGGTGACACGACGGGATGGAAGGAGAAAGACGGAGACGGGATTAGGTTCAGAAAGGGTAAACATCGCTGAAGATGGATCAAATTACGCCAGTCATGCTTGGAAAATGCCCATCATTACTGCTCCTGAACAACGCCTGCAATGCAGTTTGTGTCCACCCGCGCCAACGCACAAATCACGAAGCTAGAAATTCTTCTCAACCTCTACTTCTTGTCCTTCCTCCTTCCGGCTACACCTCCAGCAAATCGCCCTAGGTTGCTCAAACTGGACCTGGGCTTATGTCCCAGCACGGGGCCTGGTGGTGCAGGCGTGGGAGGTGGCCTCATCGCGCTCGCCGGACTACCAGGTCTCAGTCCAGCGGGTTTTGGTGGTACAGCCGGCGTAGGAGCACTTGGGCCCATCTTCTCCTGCACTTCTTCCTCCTCGCCCATGCTGGCCATTCGCTGGCTACGTCTGGCCTTCTCCTGCGTCTGCTTGAATCTCTCGAGCAATTCTGTCCACTTGACGCTGCCACCCGCTTCCGGACCGCCTAGACCATCTCTCGGCTTCAAGCGGCCTGGACGCTCAAATGTCGAAGCATTGGGGCCTCCAGACGACGGAATTCCGCTACCACTACTGCTGTTCGAGCCGACTTCTGAGCTTTTTTGCCGCAAGTGGTTTAAAGTGGGAGAGGACGAGGAAGGGTGAACATACGTCGAGCTGCTGCGTTGCGGCGCAATGTGCAGGTAGCCGATGGCCGAGACGCTGTTGAGGCGGTTCTTAAGCGCTGCAAAGGCCGACGATTGAGGGAGCAGCATGAGTAGACCATACATGCACTTGTAGAGATGTGGGTACCGTTCCGGCTCGAGGAGCTGCATTCGGAGATCTAAACCGGTGCTGTTAGTAGGATGATTGAGTTCGAGCAGCCAAGGACCTTACAGGTGAAGACAGGAGATTCGAGGAGCTGGACTAGCTTGTCGATTTGGATGAGCATGTTGACTGTCATTTCAAGATCCGCACTGGCAGAGTCAGCAAAGTATTCCGTATCCTACCAGATAGCCAAACATACAAGACTTGAAGCAAATGATATGCCTGCTCATAAGCTTGAGCAAGGAGACACAGTGAGAAGGTGGCTACAGCGTTGTTACACCACGCCTTGAACAAAATAACAAAAAACGATTGACCATCCTTGTTGTCGAGATTCCGGAGTCGTCTTCGGAGATCGGCAAGCTCTGGTGCAGTAATGAGATTGTTGTTGAGATTTTGGACCATAATACTGGCAAACTCGACATCTTCGTCCTTGGCAAGGCAGTCAGCCATGGTACGGTATATACGCTCAGCGCTTAGTGTTATGCAAAGCTGTCTAATGATGAGGTTTCCACGAGTTTCGAGGAGTCGGCGGTCCGTACAGAACAGCTTCAGGAGGTTAACCATGAATGAAGTAAAGTAGGTATCATCGCTGTGTAAGGATATTTGTGAGAGAAGCAGCAAGTCGCGCGTGACCACGGCATCCGAAGGATCAGAAAGTGTCTTGAGCAGAGCAGGGAAAGTACCATCGTCCACAGTCAGTATCTGCAGGTTGTTAGTTTTTACTTTGGTGTCGACATGTCGGCACTTACTCTGCCAGGAGCCATCCTGTGCAACATTATCAGCCATGCTATGGCCGCAACGCGAGTAGTCTCGTGCTCGTTCAAGAACTGCAGTGTCAGAGCACTGACAGCAGCTTGGTAGTCCAGCTCTGGTATTGGACGTGGTGATGGACCTCGCTCCTCTGCCGGTGTGGGGGACCGTGTGCCCTTGCTATCGGGCGACTCAGCCTTGTTGGCTTGGTCACGAATGACAGCCTTGAGCAATCGGCCAGATAGATTAGAATCTCGCCGTTGGGTGCCGGTAAGCTCTTTACCAAGCTCGGATAGGGAAGGAGGTAACTGGATCTGTCCGCCTGCAGCCCCATCGCGGGGGCGATTGTCGTCGGACAATGACAGAATATAGTCCATCAGCGATGCATTGACCTTTACTGCGGCCTTGCGAACAGTGTCGACGTCGTGTGACATTCGTGGCAGGACGTGCGACAGGAGACTTGGGACAAAGGGCATGATGTCTTCTGGGCAAATGTCGAAGAAGTTGTCTATCCAGCGGAGTGCTGTCAGCAGTATCTCGGTCTGCTCCTCCTCTGTGTCTGATGGGGGGACCAGAAAGTCGACTAGGATCTCGAGAATCTTGGGGTGGTCGACGTGTACATCCTGCCCAGGTATCCAGTTTCCGTCTCCGTTGATAGACTTTCCGCTGTCCCCAGAGATGGAGCCGCTTTCTCCACTTGCATCGCCCTTGTCATCCATGGAGTCGTTGAGCTCAAGGGGCGTGCTGTCTGTCGCTTCGCTTCCACTATGGATGCTACCTATAGAGTGCCTGCGTCCATGTTTGTCGTTGCTCCTCTTGCTGTCGGCTATGCCCTTCTTGATTCGCGCAATCTTCTTTATCTCACCCAGGAACCGGTCCAGGGCTTGCTGCGTCATGGTGTATACATCTTGGTTGCTGTCGCTCAGGAACTTGAAGAGGCCGCCGAGGAAACGCGGGAGATGGGCGATGAGTTCGAGATCGGGTATCGAGTCGAGCAGCGTGATCCATGCCACGAGGAAGGAACGTGTGAATGGGTTCAGGACGTTGATTCGCTCTTCGAGGAGGGGGAGGAAGCGGTCGAGGTTGAAAGCGAATGGGTGGGCTTCGTCTTCGACGTCCTCTTGGTCGGGCGTGTCATGTAGCACAGAGACATAGCTGGCAGCCGACTCAGAGACAATATCCTTGATCAGGCGATCCAGCAGCTCTGCGCCGTTCTTGACAGAGAGCTCCGAGTCTGCAGCCATCTGGCAGGTCCGGGCCGTGTTAGCCTTGTCTCACCCCTCAAAGTGCATGTTGCGGGTGCTTTCTCACCTTGCAGAGAGCGTCAAACACCTGGTTGAAGTAGACGAGTATCTCACCCTTGGCCACCTTTGCGATGTTGTACATGCTCTCGCATGCATAGTACCTAACACGCGCATCTTGGTCGCCGAAGCACGCGAGGACTGGGGGCACGATTTCTTCGAGATAGCGGGCTACTTCCTGCTGCCGTGTTAGTAAACATGGCAGGCTGTATATGGTACGTATGCACGTACTGGCCCCAGGGCTATCGAGGCAGCAGCCAGACCTATCAGGCCGCCGTTGCGGGCGTGGGGCTGGTGGACAGCATAGGCGTACTCATGGCAGAGCTGGTGCACGATCTTTGCTATCCTGTCGTGGTCCTGGGCAGCCAGTGCATCCCGGATGAGGCCTTCGAGCTCGAGCGCGCCGCTCTTGCGCTTGTCGTAGAGCTTGTCATTGAGGGCTTTGGTGATATTGGCGTCCATGGTGAGGTCGAGTGGTCAAGAACTCTACATGGTGCAGCGGCCCGTGTATCGCATCTTGCACTGTACTGCGGGCGGGGTAGCGTAGAGGGGCTGTGGTGAAGTACGGCAGGGCATTCACTCGCTGCTGCCGGGTCGTGTTTCCTCACGATACTGGAGCCGAGCGAGCCACGCGAATCGGGCCCGCACGTCATCGTACTGCCTACACAAGCGCCCCCATCCCTGCTCACTAGAACCCGCCGATAGACGAGACATAGCCAAAAGCAACCTCGAGCACATAGCCCTTGGCCAAAACATGTCTCGACGACTGCCCACGCCTCATCCTCACGACCCTCACTGTCATGACGATTGGCACTTCCCCTTGCCGCTAGGCGCTTAGTCTGTCCAAGTCACTCGGTCGCTCTGACCAACGCCCTTTGCCGTCGCCGCCTCACATCACTCTGCGTTCACCTGCACCTGTCAGGTGCCCCCAAGCAAGTCGATGGAGAAGTTTAAGAACAAGTTTCTGAACCCTCATCGCCGCTCGCGACGCGAGGAAGAGATGGAGAAATTGAGGGAGCCAAAGCTCTCGCCCATCGCGACAGGGGGGTTCAAGCACTGGGCTGTGGCTTTGTAAGTCATGTTTGTCCCCTGTCTGGCGAGTGCTTACAGCAGCAGTATAGTGTGCAACTTCAATGTCGATATCGGGTAGGTAACTGCTAGTGCCATGTCTATGAGAAATGTATTGAGTTTGGTAGTCCAGAAATCGAGATACTATACCCACCAGATGTGCCCTTTACGACGGCCGATTTAAGTGCTATATGCTTCAACAGCTTCCCTGAGCAACAGAACACAGAGACAGCCGAGGATCTCTCCTACGACTTTGCCATCACCAACAATTCGCCTGACATCAAACTCACCTCGCCAAATCCCCCTCATGGTAGCGCTGACACCTTCTATGGCTCATGTATCTTCCGCCAAGAATTCGACGACACCATGAAGAGGAGCTTCAACCAGAGGACTCTGGTGCTCATCTCTCATCACAACTTCACATCATTCCATCACCGCATCTTACAAAAGATGACCGAAACAGGACATCTTAGCGATCCGACGACTCTGGAATCTGCATACTCGCAGATGAATACATGGGCACCTCCAGCTCTAGGACGTCACAATCTTCCCTTCATGGGCACTACGCTGACTCTGGATATTGCACCACATCGCGCTTTTCCTCTCCAAGGACTCCCCGGGCCTACGCCGTTGATCTCGGATATCCCCTTGTCCATCTACGCCTACGAACCCATCGGCTCTTGGGACAACATCATGCACTACATGCCCTGCATCACTGACCTATACGTCTTGTACGAAAAGCTGATACTCTGCGAAAGCGTCATCGTCATCGCAAAATCACCACAACTCGCCAGCGAAGCCGTCTCGTCGCTGGTCGATCTCATCTGCCCCGTGCCATACGCAGGTGTGATCAAACCCTACATGACCATGCAAGCGAACTTCAAAAGCATAGGCATTGACGGCGGAACCCCAACATCATTCGTCATCGGCATCACCAACCCTTTTCTATTGAAACGCATCGTTGCAGCAGCAGAAGCCAGTCACAAAGCCCGACCACACATCCTATATCTTCAAAACTTCGATGGCCCCGTACCAACACGCCGCCACCACTCGCTCCACCACAAATCAAGCCGCAACGCACTCCTAGATCTCCCCGGTGGTGGCATCGAAGTCCACACCCCATCCAAACGGTTTCTCAAATCAGACCCAACCGTCGTATCGCAAATCGAAACTCTGCTCAAGCTCGGTGACCAAACCCGCGAACTCGGTCCCATCATCCGTCGCCACTTCGCCGAGCTCACTGCGCAATTCATCGCCCCTATTAACCGCTACCTCGCAACTTCCAACGTAGTAACTCCAGGCGGCAACAACAGATATGCCAGCTTCCACGTACCGGATCTCATGAGCAGTGTGAGTAGTCACGGTACGAGTGTCAAGTTTCGCGGCACTGGGCCTATCCAACGTCATCGCGCAAGGGACGGACTGTACGAGAGCTTTTGCAAGTCTTCGAATTTTTACTCGTGGTTGGAGATGAAGATAAACCTGGAGAATGAGGCGAGCGCAGGGATGCTGAATGCGCCTGTCGCGTCTTCGGCTGCTGCTATTTGATTTGTGTAGAGATGTTGTTTGGGGGATGGCTAGTGGTGTGACTTGCATTAGAATAGAGAGTAAGTTGGAGCTGTAACGTGTAATTTGCAATGAGATACCATGAGGCGCAAGGAGTGCACCAGTATATACTGGCTATATAATATGATATATACCTCTCCAAGTTGAGTTCACAGAATGGAGTACTAATGCTCTTCCAACCAACAATTCCATATTCATTGATGCATGGTGATACTTTCTGCTTCCGGACTAGTGCGGCTCTGATGCCCGATCTCGCCAAAATGCGGGCGATTTTCAGCAGCAACAACACCGACTATCAGAGTCCCTATAGCCAAAGATGGAGTTTACCAAGCTAACTGAGATTGAGCTGCCAGCGGCCTTTGACGCACATGTGCATCTTCGCGATGGCGAAATGTCGCAGCTCGTCACACCCACGATTCGCCAGGGTGGTGTGAATCAGGTGTATGTCATGGTAAGCCCTTGGCGCCTCTCTTACTACACATCAACCCGTCATTTTCAGTCTTTGGTTCATCTGTGTCATACCATCTCCTTTTACTTACTCCTTGTCTCCTTGCGTCGTCTAGCTTTCCCAATTCTTTTTGTTTTGTTTTTCATCACGAAATACAGGTAATTATGCTTCTCTAACTCATCATGTCACCGTTATAGCCGAACCTCGTTCCACCCATCACGTCTGTACAACAATGTCTCGAATATCGCGACAGGCTCCGGGCGATCGAACCGAATGTGGATTATCTCATGTCCTTGTATCTCCACGAAGACATCACACCTGAGGTAATTCGTGAAGCGAAGAAAGCAGGAATTACGGGTGTGAAGTCTTACCCAGCAGGTGTTACAACGGTACGTAAACTCCCATGACCTCATCAAAAACGACACAGAGATGGAGGAAGAAGAGACAATCAGTACAAGTAAGCAATTCGTAAACAAGTCTAACCACCTAGCTACAGAACTCATCATCCGGCGTCCTCGACTACGAAACCTTTTACCCCGTCTTCGAAGAAATGGAAAAACAAAACATGGTCCTCAACCTCCACGGCGAAGTCCCGTCCACCCCAGCCGGCACCCATGTGTCATCAACCAAAGACACCAAAACAGGCGCCATCACCATCCTCAACGCCGAACCCGCTTTCCTACCCACCTTCATCTCCCTGCACAAGCGCTTCCCCAACCTGCGCATCATCCTCGAGCACTGCAGTACCGCTGCCGCTCTAGACGCAGTCCGTTCGTGCGGTCCCTCGGTATCTGGTACGATTACCGCTCACCACCTCAGTCTCATCATCGATGATTGGGCGGGCGACCCATTCTGTTTCTGCAAGCCTGTTGCCAAGACGCCCGAGGATCGCGATGCCTTACTCCGTGCTGTGGTGCAGAGCGGCGGGAAATTCTACCTTGGGACGGATTCTGCACCGCATCCTAGGGGCAAGAAGAGGGGTGAAGACAAGGTTGCTGCCGGTGTGTTTACGCAGCCGTATGCGTTGGGTTATGTGTTGGATGCGCTCGAGACGGGTGTAAAGAGAGGAGTTGTCAAGGAGAGTGAGGTGACCAAGGAAGTTTTGGAGGGTTTCTTTGGGGCGTGGGGAAGGAAGTTCTATCAGGTTGAGGATACTAGGGGGGGGAAGGTCGTTTTGAGGAAGGGTGGGGAGAAGGTTGTGGATGTTTTGAAGAAGGAAGGGGGTGGAGATGTGGAGGTTGTACCGTTTAGGAAAGGAGAGATGACCTGGGCTGTTGAGTGGAAGTGAGCGAGTATTCTACTAACGGGATCCTCAGAATCTGATGTCTACAAAGGTATATCTGAATGTCACGATGCATCCACAGGATATATGAAGCAATAGAAACTCGTACCGTGTCAACCCGTTGCTGGTTCCCCCACGAAGATAATTCGTCCTCGTCAAAGTCCTTCCTGAATCCTCTCAGAGACATGTCAAACCGACTGATCTACCTAAACTAACTCTTCTCCGAACCACACTCACGCACCTCTACCTCTGGTCTCTTATTCCACTTTCTTGGAACGAATTCCACCAACAATCCAGAATGGCGGGTCTGACGAGTCTTAGTCGACGAGCTTGTTGAACTTCCTCGACTATGCCGATGTGAGAACACTGACTTCCCTCTATTATTTGTCGCCTCGTCGGAAGCCATGCTGTCTACCGTTGGTGTCTCGCTGACGCGCAGTTGTTTCTTCGGTCGCTCTCGTGAAAGGTCGCTCTCACTTTTCGTAGTCATATCATCCAAATCGTTGTCTCGATTGCGCTTCGTAGCCATCGGTATGGTAGCCGGTCTGGAAGAAGCCATGTTCGATAATGAAAGCCTGCCGACGCCAGCTGTGAGGGTTTGTGAAATGCGGGAGAAGAAACCATGTTTCCGTTGGTCGGACCCACGAGACTGTGAAGACCGAGAAGTCTGTGTAGACTCATTTTTAGCCCCATCTGCTACTTTTGCACACGTCTTGGATGTCACCGAATCGCTTATATTGTCCCTGGTGTTCTTGACAGTCCGCGATCGTCTAGGTATCATCACTGCCGGCCTAGTGGTCTGGGCAGGTTGTTCTTTTGACACAGGTCTTAGCTCGCGTGAGATAGATTTGAACTCGGGTTTAGAGTCGTAATGTTGCCCAGAGTAGCTTGTAGTATCGCTAATGAAATCGACTACCTCAGCAGCGGTCTGCACCGTCCCGTTTGCCGTGAAACCCAACTCGATCTTCTGGACGGCCTGAAGTAGAGCTAGACCCATCGCGAAAGCGACCTTACGATCCACTCCATTGCCGACAATCTTATACTGCTCAATGAGGTTGCCGATGATGGGTTCCTCATCCGTGTAGCCTTGCGTACGACGGGCTTCCAACACGCTGATAGTCCGGTGTTGGTCCCAATGCAATACAGCGCCGTTGCGAGAATCACGGATACTGCAACCCGTTGTAATGCAAGGCACCAGACCGTTTGCTTTAATCCTCTGGTATGCTTTTCCAATGTCTTGTCTTGGATCTTTCAAGAGCTTCGGAACAAGCCCGCGTTGATCAGCTTCTTTGTATCCACAACCTGGCGGTAGTCGAGGGATACATTTTACCAGAGCTCTTTTCTTACGTGTAGGTAGCCCTGGCACTCTGTGATCCGGGAAAGGTATGCAGGTCTGGACTATGCCGGTTCCGATATCAGGCAACCCATCACCCACGGTCGCTGCTGATATGTACGCAAAGGGCGTTGGGTAGTGCTCCCGTTCCCCAAACCGCTCTCCATTGGGTAGGCGACCAAGGCACTTCCCAGCAGTATCCTCGTATGGTCTTGCGTGGGTGTGCCACGGCTGCGCTATCGGTTCGAGACCTGGAGCGGCTATAGTGAGGATCAAGCGCGAGCGTTGTTGCGCGCTACCGTAACTCCATGCATCCATGATGTACTGGTTGCACTGGTAGCCCATTGAGACTAGACAAGCAACCACCTGCGACAATACATTTTGATCTTCGTAACCAACGCGCGTCGACGCCATGTTGACCACATTTTCGAGAATACCGTATAAAGGCCGATACAGATCAACGTAAGAACAAAATGTACTGATATGCGAGGCGTTACGAAGTGACTTCTCACTGAGAAAGTTCTGCTGGAGAGCTGAGAACCCTGGACATGGAGATCCGGCAGCGATGAAGTCGACACTCCCAACTCGAGAGACGAGCTTCGACTTGTCACCCTTGAGGGCTGCAGAGAAGTGATCATCGACAGATCCACAGAACAGACACATTGTTTCCGGGCTCTTTGAGTTTGCTCGCTGCGTGTGAATCGCATGCTGACTGAAGTCAACAACCGAGTCGAAAGTGACTGCTCCGCCTTCTTCGAGACCTCTATCAAGAGAACCACCGCCACTGAATAGGCTCATTCCTCTCAAATTTTGAGGAGAGTACATGTCGGGGCCTTCGTTGAAACTGTTTGGAAGGCTTCGCAGGAAGACGAGGTTCTGCTCTCCTCCCTTAGCGATTAGCCCCATGGCTAAGAACCAAAGATCACCTGCGCCACCACGATTGTACTTAAATGGTATTCGGCCGTTCAGGATATCGGCCTTGGACACGAACTCGATGTAGCAGCGCCTCCGAATGCGGGATATGGCCACCTCCTCGTATTCGTCGGTAAGAACAAGCTCATTCGCCACGAGGTTGAGACGCCCAACCTTTGTTGCCAACTCTTTACAGTCGCGCTCGAATCGTAATAGTCTTCGCACTGTGATTATTTCGCTGGCTTGGTCCACGTGTTGAATGACGACTGGATCCAAGATGTGATCTTGATGCCTAGTCTTTGCTAGGTAGACCGTATCGCCCCGGCGATATTGGCCTATAGGTGAGTTCCTCGTCTTTAGACACGTGCATGTCTTGTGCGAAGACCGGACGCTTACAAATGCGCTCTCTTGGGTAACATAAGTCTGTCGGATAAAGAATCGCTTCGCATCGATCGTAGACGGTGACCAATCCACATCATACCTTCCCTTGATGTCAGTCGACAGCAGCTCTCCTTCTGTACAGTTGCAGTTGTCGGACAGAAAGACTTCATTATCGTAGGGATACGTCGCTTTGAAGATGTTCGTCTCATGATGTCGATATACCCATAACACAAATAGTTTCTGGGTTCCGTTCTTCAACAGCTCCGTAGCCTGAACGTAGGCTAGCCAGTCCCAGTCTGTATTGCGCCAAACCGTTAAGTCTATCTCGTCCGGAACCAGTGCAACAACGTCACCAACCCTCACTGGCGAGTTGCCGTACGGTCGGCAGACACTGGAGAGTGGCGTTATTATTTGCCGCCCCGATGGACTTTTTGCAAAACCGAGCATGCGTTTCCTACGCTCCTGTTCGATACGAACAGTGTCTATTGGACGTTTCTTCTGCAATTTCCCACCAAAATACATATCCTTGAAACAATTGAAAACCTCAGGCGTAGCGATGGTTTGCTCGACGACCTGCTCTTGGGTTTCAACAGCCGTCAGACCTTTGGCCAAACATTCGCCCCAAAGAGGGTGGCCGAGCAGCTGTTTAGAGTTTGGTAGGTTGAAAGCCTGATTGTAGAAGTAGTCAATATAGGCGTTTACACCAACACGAAAGTCAGTCCGGTGTCTAAAAGCAGCATGCCACTGTTTGAAATCTGCACAATGAGCGAAGCGATGCGTAAGCCAATGATGGAAGTCCTCGCGGAAGTCGTTGAGTCCGACAAAGCCCGCAGGTTGACTCTCCATATAGTCGATGATATGTTTTCCCAGCTGCGCCACCCAAAGGAACGATTTCTGAAACTCTCTATAGCCAGGAGCAGACTTTTCTAGTCTGTACCAGATGTCGTACTCGGTATCTTTACTTGCGTGTGTGGACTGTATGTAAGTTTTAACCCTAGAGGATTCCTCATCTCCATAGCCCTCAACAGAGCTATCCTGAATTGGCACAGCTTGCACATAGTACCTGGTCCCTCCCAAGCAGATGAAGCCGTCAAAACATAGCTTTTTGGTGATGGGAACCTCCAGATAGTGTAGACTAGTCATTTCATAGGCTCTTTTCTCGCTCTCTGGTGCGCGGTAGATTTCAAAATTTTGCAAGTCCGCGATCAGAAGCTGCTTCTCGGATCTATGCCCATCGGACACAGGCTGTCCACCAGCTTGCCGCTTCCATTCTGTTTTCAGTCTCTGCAGAGCTTCCGATTCAGGCGTAAGGGGTACCGGTGGAGACCAGTTGGCAATGTGTGAGTGTGCAAAATCGCTAATCGCCGACAGGCTAATGATCGATTCGCTACTACGCCTCGCCCTCTGTGTGCTTTGTTCCGGTGGTGTGGAATCTGACATCAACACCATGGTATTATCCTTGGCAAGTGGAGGTGGCATTGTGCGCTCGCAGGTATGGTCGTCCTTGAGGTTCTGGTGTGTGCGTCGCAATCCGGACGCATAATACAAAAGCGACAAAAAGGCGAGATTGTCAAAACAGCTATCTAGGGGGCCAGAGCTAGGTAACAGTCATGGCTTTGGAAAGAGAGTGAATGCGGAGGTGACGGTGATTCTTGTAGTAGTGAAATTCGTCTCTTCCAGTGACTGGGACACTGCAGAACCAACAAAGGACCTAGGGCACGTCGTGTCAAACTTTAGACAACAAAGATACAGCGGTACCAGGTCAAACTTGCTGTCTCAGACAGCACTCAAACATCTCCTCGGAAGAGGACACGAAACGTAGTGGGGATTCTTGAGCTCGGAATGTGGTAGCGACACTTGGACGTGGAAGGCAGCAGTACCTCACATAGGCAAGAGCTCCAGCCGCCTCCATACGAAGTGGCAGGGGAGGCAGGAGAGACATGAGACCAGGTTAGAGGATTACCAATCTGATAAACTGTCGCGTCGGTACTTTCTGACCGAGACAGAAGATGGTTGCTTGCGATGAAAAAGGCAAAGGTGTAGATGCAGAAACGCTATAGGCGGCATGTAATGGTGACGCCAGCACGTGAGCGTCGCACGGGGGGTGACAGCAGTCGATTTCCAAGACAACAAAGTCCGCGGAAAGTGGTAGGGAAGTTCACCTTTACCTGATCCATGTACAGTGTAATTCACAGCTACAGGAAAAAGGAATGCAAGGAAGGTAGTTGGCTTTACCTGCTACTCTCGGCCAGAATATTAAGAATAAGTCACAATTGTCAGAACAAGCAAAACACATCTTAGGTCTGTCGAAAAAGGAGAACATGCTGTTGAACACATTGTAGATTACATGATCAAACGCTGGTAACTCATGCCCGGCGCAAGCTCGTCAGGTCCATACGCCACAACTCGATAACGCCTGCCATGAACGCCCTTTAGTGCCCTGTACATGCATTTTACGCGACTGTGATATCAAACGATTTCCCTTCCCTAGCGAACGATCGAATCAGAACCACCTCACTAATCATGTTTTGGCGCATAATCCCAGATATGACTGGAATCCCAAGATTCCGTCTCCTCCTTCCTAGCCTTGGGATCCTCACCCCTCTTCTTCGCCTCCTCCCTCAACACATCCAACTCGCGGTCCTGAGTCGAGACCTCGGCCCTAAGCGAAGTGATTTGGGCAATCTCTTCTTCGGTGAAGGCAGGATCTTTGCCATCCTTCTTAGCCTCTTCCTCCCTCTTGTTGAACTTGTCTAGTTCCTGGAACTTGTCGTTACGGGCATCCTGCTTCTTGAAGTACTCTGCATATTTTTCCTGGCCGCCGAAACAAATGCCGTAGCCGTCGCAATAACACGTGTTTTGGGCTGGGCAATGCACTTCGTGGCCGGTGAAGATGTAGTGCCATATGTACTCGAAGATGCGGCCGGAGAACTGGTCGTCCATGCCGGTTGTGAGGAGCCACTTGCGGTAGTGGATGAAGCGCTCAATAGGCACTTCTCGGATGCGCTGACGTGACACGGCGAATTGCGCGCAGCAGATTCCCGAGATGGAGGGCGGGATGGGCGCGCCTGGGTGGATCTCCTCCCAGATGTTGCGCCGCCAGTAGATTTCCTCAGGCTTGCGGAAGAAGTCAAAGTCGCCGCCGGGTCGGTCCATGTGGATCCAGTCGGGGCAGCCGGGGTCGTGGTGGCAGCGCACGTTCATGTAGCCCATGCGTGCTACGCGCTCGTGGTTGAGGCGCTTTATCATCTGCCCGGCGTCGAGGCCGAGGAGCATGTTGTTGTGCCAGGCGTGGCGGTGGGCGTGCATGAAGATGGAGGTGTCGGGGAGGTCATCGTAGTGGTCGATGATGTAGGAGAGGTAGACCTGGTGTATCGATTGGTTTAATGGCTCTATGACAGATAGACGATACATACCATGGCCTCGCGGCCTTTGTTCTTAGGGATCTTGTGCTCAGCATTGGGGTTGTCCACTTCGTAAACAACCAGAGGCGCATCGGGAATCTCAGCAGCCATCCAGCTGATGTCCTCCTTCTGTGTCTTGGGCACAACGATCTTGAAAGTGTAATTGCTGCCCGGCGGCTTCTTCTCGCCATCGGAGAAGCGCAAGGGCAGGCCAAAGTCGAGTGGGTCACCGCGCAACGAGGGGCGGTCGCCCTTTGCGGATGTTCCGGACGTCCATGTTGGTATCGACGAGCCAGCGCCTGGGACGTTGTGGAGATACCACCAGACGAGGCAGATGGCGAGGAAGATGGAGACGAGTGGTATGATCCTCGGTGGTCCGCTGAGCATCTTGACGGCTTGACGGCTAGACGGCTAGACGGCTAGTAGCTTCGGCGCGGAGATTGTGGGCAATGCTTTCACCGCATTGATGGTTGTGGACAGGTGTTCGAGACCGGCGTGAGGATCATTGCACGGGAAGCAAGCGGCGCCCGGGTTGTGGTCGTCAGCTCTCCCTCGACTTACGGTGGAGCATCCCGTATAGTTGCGCGTCACTGGCGAACCACTTGCGAAGATCCTTGCATGTCTGTCTCACTAGCCCTGGACCACAACCTGGAACCAAGCCTTGCACCCACCACCGTTGCGTGCAGCGTAACGTCTTGGCAGGGGAACGAACTAGACTTTCCATTGCTTAACTCAATACTGTCTCCGTCGCCTTTCACTCTCTACTCCCTCTTCATACCCACCCGCCCGATTCCTCTCAGCCCCCACCCCAACAACAGTCCCGTGGCGCAGCTCAACGCAAACAGATACCAGAACGCGGCGCGGAACCCCTCCATCAGCGCTGCAGGGCTTGCTTTCTCGACGTAGACCGAATGCTCGGTAACACTAGAGGCAATGACTGCACTGGTCGCCAGACCCACGCTTTTCCCAATCTGCGCCACCGTGTTGAAAACACCGCCTGCCAGTCCCTGCGTCCGAGCCGGAAACACTGAGGTAATGACGAGATTCGAAACTGTGAATAGCGTGTCTGCACCAATGGGATTGAAGAACACGGAAAGAAATGCGCAGCTCCAGTAAGACCACTGCGGCTGTATGATGCACATGAGCAGTCCGCCAAGAGTGGTACAGAATACCCCGACAGTTACCGCCCAGTCAGCTCGAACCCTGTGGGCGATCAGGCCCATGACTACATTGGCGAGAGCCCCAGATACGGGTCCAGGGAGGAATCGGATCGATGTCTGAATCGCAGAGAGTTTCTGCACGTTTTGAAAGAAGAGCGTGTGGTATGATTCCAGTGCATTGAAAGTTCCCCATGTGATGAAGACGCCAATGCAGATGATGCTGAAGTTGCGGTTACGCCAGAGTGAGTTGGGGATGATAGCGGGTCGGCCCAGTCGCTCCTGTCGACCGACCCAGAAAATGAAGGCAGGAACGAGAGCGATCGCTGTGATCAGTAGGCCAAATGTGGTAGGTTCCCGAATCTTAGCAGTCTCTTCCGATATCAGGCTGGACATGTTAGTTTTGAGCGGTCCGAGATGCGAGGCTAGCACTTACGCGAAGCAGTATGAGAGAAGTGCCAGTGACGCGCTTCCGAAGAGGATGCCGACCCAGTCAATGTCGCTCTTCAGGCGGGACCAGACTTGTGGCTGCTTGTTGTCGACTTTTGGCAGGCCAAACAAGGCAACGACAAAGACGAGGGTGTTGGTAATGGCACTGATGTGGAACCCCCACCGCCATCCGATGGTGTCAGCGAAGACACCACCGAGCACGAGTCCAAATGAAAAGCCAATGGGCTGGCCACCGCCCATGGACGCAAATGCAATGTTTCTGCTCTTGCCTTCGGGAAACGTACTGGTGATAATACTGACGGCTGAGGGGAGGCAGAAGGATATTGCAACGCCTGCGAAGGCACGGAAGACTATCAACTGTGTTCCAGTTTGTGCTAACCCACAAGCTAGTGTAAAGGCTGACTGTAGGAGACAACCTGTCAGGTACATGGGCCGGGAGCCAACGACATCGGCAACTGATCCGAGAAGGAGAAGCGTGCAGCCACAGGTCAAAGCGTAGATAGAGATGGGCCTGAGACGAATCAGCATGTATGTGTTCAATAGCATGTATCAGTAGGTACCATAAGAGCACACTAGGTGCCAGCTCCAATTCTCGTGCAACTGTAGGCAAAGTGACCGTCATGACGCCAGACAGCAGGGAGCTGACCATGGTAACGCACACAACCGTCACCAAGACGATGGCAGTCGTCCCTTTCCCTGGACCATCCCGCTGCTCGGCAGCGAAGGTATCAGGAAACTCATTGATGGGTCGCAGATCCTCAGCTATCGACAGTGTGTCCTTGCTTCTCTCAGTGCCCAGTGGTTTGGCAGTGAGGGCAGGAACCGTCGTCTCAGGGTAGCCCACAAGTTCGATTGACGTTGTGGTTTGCGACATGTTTGGAAAGGAAGTAGTGATGAGAAGACACTCGGAGAGAGACGTTCAGAGCATTGTCGAGACTTATACTATAGATCCTACTAGTAAGTCCATCTCAAGCGGATAGACCCCGCTATACAAGATCAGGCTGATGCACTCCCAAGACGGTACTCGTGGACATGGATTACGGCGCCATGTCCTTATGTTACGCCCTACATACAGGGCGTGAGCCGCTAATTGATCCTGACGTACATTAGTCCAACGTCGTTTACTGCCACTTCTGCGAATCAGCAGCCGTCGGGTCATCTCTGTGCTATGAATAGGTCCGTAGCTTATGCAACTTCTGCTGACGGTTCTTTCACAACTTAGGGAGTCGCATCTAGATTTTCACTGAATGACGGAAGCTTTCCGTCGGATGAGATGAAGAAAGCCGCGCCTTATCGATAAGAGTTGGCCGCCAACCACGGCTGCAGGGATCTGGTACCTGACATTTGGACATGTTGAAGCGCACCAAGCAGTCAAGCAGTTGTTTTTGTGCTGACACTGGACTTTTCGCTATATTGTCCCTGTAATTCCTTGATGCCTTGAACTGCTCCAAACTGCTGGTTATATCCTGGCCTTATAGCCTGTCCGAACCCATCTAGACGTTATGATACACGTTGCAACTTCTTGAGATCGGGAGTTGAACTTTCGAAACACTGCGATTGTCACCTGTTATAGTTACACGCAACCACCAACTTTCCAGAGTTTGGAGCACACCTCACATCATGCGAGCTTCAGCCTCTATACTGAGTGCAAAAGCTCTTTTAGTGCTCAGCGCCTTCAGACACATTGGCACACATGCGAGCCCAAGTGTCAATGTCGCTCTCCGAGCTTCCTTCAACCCTGCGCCATATCTAGTAGAGTTATTGTAAGCCTCAAGTGTCTGCAAACGGGGGACCACAGCTAATACATAGTAGAGAGACAGTTGCAGAAGAGAACGCAACGGCATACTACCCTATCCTCGACCGCGTATCGGAGGGCTACTTCGACGAGAAGAACACAGAGCAGGAGCTATATACGGCCTTTGTAGACCTCCTGCGTAGCGATGGGCACATCATCGAGCCTGAAGCTCTCGCTTCTTTCGAATTCGCTCTGTCGGTCCGGTCGGCTGCGCCGCGGATAGAAGCACATTACCAATTCTACAAGACGTCGGTGGAGCCATCATTGGTAGCCGAACAGACGAAAGCATGCGACATCTGGACATCGTTTCACGGAAAGCAGTACTGTGATGTGCATCTGGAGGAACATTTTGGAGATATCGAGAGCGAACGGTATGTATGATGGATTCACTCAATACACAGGCGCTGAGTACTAGACAGAACATACCAACTACCCTTCGACCGAATACTTGGCAACAGCTCGGCTCTTCCCGCGATCCTCTACGCCGATATAACTGCTCCTCGATTCAAGAAATGGCACAAGACACTTAGTAAGACGGCCAAGGAGGGGAAGACGTCGTACCGTGTCAGGCACAAGCCTTCTTCCAACGCGCCGACATCGCCACTGGTAGTCAACGGATATGGTGTCGAGTTGCAATTGAAGCGCACCGACTATATTGTCATCGACGACAGACAGGCCGAGCAGGGAGAGAAGAGCGCTACTCAGAAGCCGATGGGCACTGGTCTAGGCGATGATGAAGATGTGGCGGACCTTAAGCCGTTGTCCAAGGATGAGGTATCAGATCTAGGTCTGAAAGCGGCCAGCTTTGTGACCCAAAGTGAACAACCCATGGACACCCTCATGAAGCTTGTGCAGGACTTCCCAAAGTACTCCTCCATCATCGCAGCCCATAACGCGTCGGATGAGTTTGTGGACGAACACCTGAATAATCGCGAGCAACTCCTTCCCACTGGGTACAACGTCATATGGATCAACGGTGTACAGATCCCAGCTCGCGATGTAAATCCGTACTCGCTATTGGCACATCTGCGACGCGAGCGAAAGTTGATCAACGGCATACGTAGTCAGGGTCTAAGCGGTTCTGAGGTTATATCTCTGTTGTCGCATGCTTCTATTGCGGAGACTCAGACGGAGGACGAACCTCAACGTTACGACTTCAGAGACACTACTGAAGGAGGCAATGTCATCCTATGGCTCAACGACATCGAAAAGGATCCCATGTACGAGGGATGGCCGAGTGAACTCAGAGCTGTGTGTACAACTACCAATACTGTTGATGTTAGACTAACCGTGACTGCAGCTACTGCAAAGAACTTATCCTGGACAGCTTCCATCTTGCCGGAGAGATATTCACAATGCCATCGTCTTCGTTGACTTTACCTCGGTCGAAGATGTTTCGACTACACTGGATACTATCATGAGTCTGATCAGGCGTGGTATTCCCCTACGCTGGGGTATCGTTCCTCAAACCGCCACTTCGGGGGCTCTAGAGCAGGCTAAGCTAGTCTACTATTTGCAAGACGCATACGGACTACCTGCTGTGATTGAATACCTACAAGTAGTAAGTGACAGTCAGTCTATGTATACATGTAGGTTGCGCTGACATGAAGGACAGTCAGCGGCGAAACCCGATAAAGCTGTCTTTGACACAACAGTTAAAAGAACTACTCTCCTCGAAGGAAAGGAAGCGCTAGCGTTCGATGATGTACTCAATTCTGAGGCTTTAGATCAACGTATTACAGGCGCCAAACAGTACCTGAAGCGTCTAGCAGCGGAAGGCCCAAAAGCCCCCATCTTTGTCAACGGTGTTCCCATTCCAGCAACTGAAGAATGGCTCTCTACCCTCAGCCAAAGAATCGGCATGGATCTTCGTCAAATCCAGAAGGGTGTCTTCAATGGCGTCTTTAACGACGAAAGTTGGGTTCCGCAGTACTTCTTGTTCCAGGCTGCTGCTAAGCGCAATCCTCTTCTCATTCCAGAGAATGAGAAGAACATCACACTCATCAACATGGCAGAGTTTGAAGAGGTTCATGGCGAACCGTACAGTAAGATGCCACGCATTCATGCTTCAGAGTCGGCTAGCAAGAGTGACTGGATTCACATCACCCTCGTAGCAGACTTCGATTCTGAGGCCGGCTTTGCGTTGCTCAATGCGGTGGCAAATTTCCGCGAGGCCAACCCCAACGTCGAGGCTGTTCTCATACATAACCCGAAAGCTGGCGCGGAGCAATCGAACGCCTCAGAAGATCTTTTGGAAACCTACATCAAATCCGGTCGCAAGCTTACAAGCGAAGCCTTGTCTGAACTCCTGACCCGAGAAGCGAACTACGGACCCACTCCCGCCAACTCAACCCTATTCTGGAAGATTGCTGAGCCAATCTACGACGCGTTCGGTTTGAGGCCAGGGCAGAACGGTTTACTTGTCAACGGGCGCTACGTCGGTCCCATCCCAGAAGACTATGCCTTTACCCAGGATGACATGGAGACTTTTGTGACTTATGAGACGACCAAGCGCGTTGAGCCATTAAACAAAGCGCTTGCCGATCTTCAGCTTATGGACAAGATTGCATCTCCTCTAGATATCGCCAAGATACAGTCGCTGGTTGCGCTCTCCACCGTATCCGACGTCCCAGAAGGTATCTTCGAGACTGCGTCGACTCTGAGGATGAGTACATACAACAACTGGACTGCTAAGCACACGGCTATCACTAGAGGGGACCAAGACAAAGCCGTCTTCCAGATCGTGGCTTCTATAGACCCAGCTACAGAACTGGCGCAGAAGTGGGTACCCATTCTGAAAGCACTGAGCGACATGAATGGCGTACACCTCAAGCTTTTCTTGAACCCCAAGCAGATGCTCCAAGAACTTCCCGTCAAGCGTTTCTACAGATACGTTCTCGAAGCTCGACCACAATTCACCCCCGATGGAGCCGTTGGTAGTCTGGCAGCCCATTTCACTGGCATTCCCAAGGAGGCCTTGCTGAACCTCGGCATGGACGTGCCACCCTCTTGGCTAGTTGCACCGGAAGAGTCTATACATGATCTCGACAACATCAAGCTCAGTACGATCCCCGCCGGTACCAACGTCGACGCTATTTACGGATTGGAGAGCATCCTTATCGAGGGCCACTCCCGCGACACCACAAGCGGGGGTCAGCCGCCGCGTGGTGCTGAGGTTGTTCTTGCCACTGAGCGAGACCCTCACTTTGCTGATACCATCATCATGGCCAACCTTGGCTACTTCCAATTCAAAGCCAACCCTGGATTCTACAATATCAAACTGAAGAGTGGTCGCTCCCAGGAAGTCTTTAACCTTGACAGTGCAGGTCCAATTAGCTGGGCTCCTCAGCCCGGTGACGAAACCACCGAGATCGCCCTTATGAGCTTCCAAGGAGCGACAATCTTCCCTCGACTATCCCGTAAGCCGGGCCAGGAGGATACCGATGTACTCGCTCCGGAGGAATCGCTTGCCTCTGAACTAGTCGGCAAGAGCGCGCAGAAGGTTAACAAATTCCTTGGAAAGATGGGACTCAACTTTGACTCCGAAAAGGTCTTGCAAAAGGGTGCCGATTTGTTCTCTGGAGGCAAAGCGACAAAGAAGGGCACTCAGGCAGACATCAACATCTTCTCCGTCGCTTCAGGTCACTTGTACGAGCGTATGCTGAATATCATGATGGTCTCTGTCATGAAGCATACAAACCACACCGTCAAGTTTTGGTTTATCGAGCAGTTCCTGTCTCCCAGTTTTAAGTCGTTCTTACCCCACATCGCTGCCGAGTACGGATTCGAATACGAAATGGTCACTTACAAGTGGCCTCACTGGCTACGCGGACAAACCGAGAAGCAGCGCAAGATCTGGGGTTACAAGATCCTCTTCTTGGATGTCTTGTTCCCCTTGGATCTTGAGAAGGTCATTTTCGTCGATGCGGATCAGATCGTAAGGACTGACATGTACGAATTAGTACAGCACGACCTCGAAGGTGCACCATACGGTTTTACGCCCATGGGCGACTCGCGAACGGAAATGGAAGGCTTCCGCTTCTGGAAGACTGGCTACTGGGCGAACTTCTTGCGTGGCCGCCCCTACCACATCTCTGCGCTTTACGTCGTAGATCTCAATCGCTTCCGCCAACTAGCAGCCGGTGACAGACTGCGTCAGCAATACCACTCCCTCTCCGCTGATCCCAACTCACTCTCCAACCTGGATCAGGATCTTCCAAACAATATGCAGTTCAACCTACCCATCCACAGCTTACCTCAGGAATGGCTGTGGTGTGAGACCTGGTGCAGCGACGAGGATCTTGCGAAGGCGAAGACTATCGATCTGTGCAACAACCCGCAGACAAAGGAGCCGAAGCTGGATCGTGCGAGAAGACAGGTTCCAGAGTGGAACGTGTATGATGAGGAGATTGCGGCGTTGGCGAGACGTGTCAAGGGGGAGCAGAGTAGACAGGAGGTGGTGGATGTGCAGGAAGAGGAGCAGCGGAGGGAGAAGAAGGAGAAGGATGCTGAGAAGGAGAAGCACGATGAGTTGTAAGCATCTGCGATGTGAATTAGAGAGTACACGTAGTGTAGAGAAGAGCACGACGTTCGGCATCTCCATCGCCAGCTCCGTCGTGATTCGCCAACCCCTCAATATCAAAAAAGGCCCGATCGAGCCGTCTCTCCCGACCAACCACCACCCTATGCGGTCATAACCGATCAAAAGTTTGCATACATCAACGAACCTGGTGATAACAGGTTTTCGCACTCTCTGAAACTATGGGGTTCGTCGATGGGGAATGAGACAATATGCCACACAGGTTCGGATCTCGGCTCCTCTAGCGCATGCTGGTCCCGACTGTACCTGGGATTAGGCGGAGTGGGTAGGTAGGTGCCAAGACAGGTATGACATAGGTACTCAAGCAACTACAAGCGTCATCGCTGGCTGAAGACGTAATACGGATGTTGCTGGGACGCTGGGCTGGGTGGTGTAGGGCGTTGGTATATAAGGCTGGCGTTGGTCTGGTGTTGAGAGGCATATACATCGCCATACAACTTCACACACATCTTCATCACAACTCCTTAAACACTTACCAAAACAAACTAAATTTTACGTCATTATCAACATGTCTGGACAAGGAGTCTCTCATCAGGGCATCACCGCCCCCGGTCTCAGCGAGGCGGACCAGAACATCAACAACACCACCGAGGACATTAGCAACAAGGCGTCGGGACACAAGGCCAATTTGAGCAACCCCAGTAAGTTCCTTATGGGTATCTAGATGTATGGTACATTGAGATGGGAAACTAACGGGTGGGTAGACACTAGCGAAGAGTCCAAGAAGAAGTCTGCTGAGGCGCTCAAGGCCCTCGGTGGTGAGGATGCTTTTTACGGAAAGCAGGGCAAGGGCGAGTAAGGGCATCAATGCCTTGGCAAAGGAGGAATGAGTTTATGATACCATATCTGAGATGAATATAATGTCTTTCAACGTCTATCCTTCGATTTGTTGCTTCACTGGACCTTGATATATTAAATAAGTGATGGATCGAGAGTTCCTGTGCTCCTACAAGACTTGGTTATATTGATGGGAGTCTATTATGCCATGGAGCTTGTCGCGGGTAGATGCAGGTTCCGAAAGACCTTGTGCGAGCACTTTCGCCGGCGATGAATCCGTGGTGTTCTCATGGCTCCATGCGATGACGTCATCAACTCCTGCGTCTCCCTTCCCCCACACATCTCCACCCCCAGCCATCTGATTTCATCAAACAAAGGACTTCCACAACAAAAGAGAACGAGCATTCCAAGCCATCTCCTGAATCCGGACCCGCAAACACACCTCGCCACCATGACATCCACTCCTGAAATACCCACCCTCCACTCCAAAGCCGAGTACCTAAAAGCTGTCATGTACGAAGGCGTCACAATCCTCGAAGGCACTGCAACATGGTGCAAAAACTGCCATGTCATCGCGCCCGAAGTAGCCAAAATGGTGGCTGAGTATCCAAACGTAAAGTTCTACACGTATGATGTTGAGGAGTGTGAGGATATTGCGCAGGAGTTGGGGGTCAGGTCTATGCCGACGTTTAGTGTTTTTAAGGATGGGGATATTATGGAGGGGGTTACGGGGGCGAGGCCGAAGGAGATTAGGAAGGCGATTGAGGGGTGTTTGTAAGGTTGTGTTGGTGTGATAGCGGAGTAGAGAGCAATTGGGTGAGAGACAAGTTCAGTGATGATGACGATAGAATAGGCTGGCGAATGTAGTCTATTCCTATCAAATGTGATTGCGGCTGTAGAAGCCCAATAGGTTTTGGTGGATGGTCAGTTTTCACGTCAAATAGCGGTAGAGTTGCAGCCGCCCGCCGAGGAGGTGAAGTCAGCTTTTAGAGGCGGAAGTCGTTTGCACGTAGATCCACCCCACATCACACAGGACTCCGAACTCTTCTCTCAATTCTACTGCTCCAATTCGACTTTTCTTTCCAGAGGCCCATCGGATACCTGTCGCGTGCTTTCCTTTTCGACTACTTCGGCAACTCATTCTGCCTATCAAACATACGAAAGCGCTTCCAACGGTATAGCTATCCCGATACGTCGGGCACTCAGAGTCAGTATGGCAGACGTTGGAGCGAAGAACTCACAAACGGAAACAATCAGGAAACTGGGGTCTGAAATCAGGACAGCAATGACGGCCATTGCAGATTATGAGGAGGGAGTTGTCCGATTGGGTGACACGGCCAAGGATGAGCTAATCTCAACCATGAAGAAGATAGTCCGGGACAGGAAGAAAACGCTCCAGGCGCTCGAAGCGCAATATGAGACTATTGCGAAGATGCCACACACAGAAGCTTTATCCGAGGGCCCTCGCGTACTGGTAGTCTCGATCGCAGATCTAGGACAAGTTGCCTCTGCAGAGGCAAAGGCTTGGGAAGATTACAGAATCCTCAAACTCGCGTATCTCGAACTTTCTGCCGAATACGTTCGCATGGAAGGTGAGGTTCGTGACAAAGAGCACCTCGAAGAACAAAGCAGAGGTGTCGGGTCTATCGAATCTGTAGAAGCGACGGAAGGCGATAGCGAGGTACAGAAGCTAAAGAACAACATCAAAGACTACGAAGACAAGCTTCGAGAGCAGACCTCTGCACGCAAAAAGCTTTTCAATAATGCGTACGAAGCGACGATTGCAGCGAATCGTGCCGCGAAGAGTAATTTGGTAGTCCCCGGTATTGGTACATGGACTCCCATGCCTGTACACATTCCAATCACTACCGCTCAAGTAAAGGTTAAAGATATACCCTCCGACGTTATAGCCGCCTCCAAGAATATCCAAACGGGTACGACTTCGAATGTCGCAGCCACTGTGCCCAGGAGCATGACTGCTATCATCAAGGTGGACAAAACACTTTCGAGTATTACGCTGTGCCCTCCCCAGGAGCTATACGTATATGTCAAGCGCATTGAGCAACAAAAGTTCGACATTGGCGACATCGGCTGGTTCCCTATTCTACGCCCCTCTTTGTCCGAATCTTCGTCTGACCTCCACACCGAGTTCGGCTACATCTGCGCCAAATCTTATCCATTGATCATCGTGGAAAAGCTGGAGGACTATGCTGGGTCTGATCATCTCTACATCGAATGGAAATGGCCTAAGTCTAAAACACTCCTCTATCAGCAGCCGCAGTGTCCCCGTCGTCGCTCAGTTGTCGTCGAATGTTGCCACAACGCCTAATTGGGGTCAACGTATGTATCCTAGACAAAAGCTTCGGGTTGAACTTTCCAGCTATTACAACCCGCCCGCAGGTGCTTACGCCGATATGCTGAATGCAATCATGATACCCTACGACTCGAGGTTCGAGAAGAAGGGAAGTTTAGTGGCGAACGACGTTCTTCCTCTTCAGCAGATGAGGCTTTCGGCAGTCCTCGTAAACTCTGGGGCTGTAAGATTGGGAAATATGGGCACGTTTTGGATGCGGTTGGGAAAGTGGTGGAAGCAGGCATAGATGGAGGCGCCGACGTGAGAGCAAACACAGACTCGGGAGAAAATCCAAGTGGAATCTTTTGCTTGATAAGGAGTCTGAATGAACATTTGACCTCCCTCTACTGTGTTGAGCATGTCAGATTGTCACTCAAGTCGTGACTCTCGAATGTAAGTATACGCTGCATATCGGCGTCAATGTTTTTAGTATTGTTTTTTTATTACGCTTTGGTCCATGAAACCTCTACTGCTTGCACACGTCCATAGTGTCTAGGTTTCAGTCTCGATATAGCAGTCACACTCAGTTTGGTCCTACGTGATATGTCCGGAGCAAGCGCGCAAGAGGTACTTTACGTGACTTACGCACTTATGTCGGATGGTATCAACTATATCATTCAAGTCAGCTCATCTCCATATATAAAGCGCGTTTCGCGTGCCTGGGGCGGTCAAGGTGCGGCTCTCATCGCTCATCGTTCATCGCCAAGGCAATGGTGCGTTTGCAACTTACGCATCTGAAGGCTTTGAACAGACTTGTTTTGTATTCCTCCGCGACAGATACCACGGAAAATTCATCCTCTTCACTGTCGCTGATCATCATTTTTGCTTCGTATATCACCTTCTGCCACCTATCTCCGCGGTTACACCACACCTCCAAGTCAACATGGACTTCCTCGGTGACACCACTCACCACGACTACAAGGCAATGTTACCGACATGGCCTGCCGTGTTACCTAAGCATGCGGCACATATTCAGAGCATGATCTTTAACGAAGCTCTCGCGATCGAGCTCGAACAAGGTCGAATGAGGGCTTTATTCCCACAGTACAGCAAGATGAAGTGGGATGGGGCTACGTCCGATGAGCTATCAGACAAAGAGGCAGAACTGGAGGGAACTTCAGCGAAGCTCAAGAGATACGTTGAGAATTTCGAAGCGTATGTGGCAGAATGGAACAAAAGGTTCGTGAATGTGGAGGAGATGGGAGAGAAGAGGAAGAGAAGTTGTCCTGGGGGATTGAACACTAGTGGTTCATCGCGGCCCTCCACCAAAGCAAAGACTTCAACTACAGATACCGCGTTCGATCCGACTCAGTTCGAAGAACTAGCTTCCACCATTCGCCGTCCCATCGTACAGAACAGGTACAAGAATGTTCACAACATCAACCCCAAGACCATCAGCGTTGGCGACATCGGCTGGACACCGCTACCACGTATGTCCCAGGGCAATTCCATCAACAAGATCATACCTTCCGAGTACGGCAATGTAAGCATCAAAGTCTACCCGTTCATCATCGTCAAGAAGCTCGACGACTGCATGCTTGGTATCGTCGTCTCAACCGCCAAAGGCCAAGGTCTCAAGTACAAGGACGCCTCCGTACGCCAGCGAAGCACCTATATCACTGGAGCTAGCTTCAAGGGATTCGAAACCCCACCCTACGGCTGGGCGATGAGTCCTCGGTGTCAGAACTTGGTGGTTGCGGGTACAGGCTATGATCCTGCAGCGGGTGCTTTCGTTGATATGTTGGAGAGCCACAAGATATACTACAACTCCAGGTTTGAGAAGCAGGGGTACCTTACACCGCAGAGTAGGGTTGATCTGGGACGTATGAGATTGTCGGCATTGCTATGGGGGGCGAGTGAGGGCTGATTTCGAGTTGTAGAGATAACGTGTATTGTAGCTGGATGGAGACAGCCTGGTGTACTTCAGGTAGTTGTTACCAGCTGAATGCCAGTCAAAGTCTGTTATGTAGACATCTCTGGTCCTCGTGTGCAATTGTGCACACGCCTGCAACGCCTTGCATGTCTTGCGATCTTTCCTAATGCCTGTGAAAAATGAGCCACCTAAGTCGTCCCCTGCTTGTTATTGCTAACCTCCCTAAGTATCCGTGCGCATACCTACAGTTCCTTGAAGGTCTTGCAATCTGCTACAACGCTCCAGGAACGTAAGTCCTTCCGATGATCTTCCTCCATGATCTCTCTCCATGATCTCTCTTATGCGCTGTTCCCGTTTTGTCGGTGACAACCCCACAAGACGTAGATCAGAACAAGAAGAGAATGTTAAGATAGCGTCTAGATACTTTCTATTGTCACCATTTAGTTCGAAGGCATCAACTCGTATGCATTTCTTGGTCGGGACTTTTCCCCCAAGTTCCCACTTTCCTAACGTGCTTGGAGTTGCGTGCCAAAATGTTGCATGTCTCATGACCTGCTACTGTTAGACTGATCGAGAATATGTAGGTTCCTAGCGCTTACCATGACCTCAAGTGCATCTCCTTTCCAATATTTTAAAGCCTTTTTATGACGATCGTCATTCCCTGCATCCCTGCTAGCCATTATTTGTAGAGGTACATTCAAGGGGTATTGCATAACGATTCTTCTACGATCAACTGTGCCAGTTATCTGGAGAGTAGGGGACGAGCCAAAGTATTGCCACTCATCCAATTTTTGTAATATCGTGATCCACTCGCGTTTCCGGAAACTCAGCTCGTCGGAGCTTTGAGAAAAGTAACTCTCCAAACTACCAGCTGCGATTTTTTCGATACGGAGATTGCTCAATGCATGTTTAACGGAATCACTCAAAGGAGCGAATCTAGGCGTCGTAAGTTCTGGAGCAAGGACTGGGTCTTCTTTGGTACTTGGCGAGTCTAAAGTGTCTTCTGAATCATCGCTATGCATGGTCATGGCACCATCTGTGACAGTCTTTTCGTCGTCGGATTCGATATCTAGCGTTTTTTTTTTTTCACAGCATCGTTAAAGGCCCTTGAGTATACGTCGGTATTCAGGATGACAGATTCGAAATGCCTTTCGGAGGAGTGGCCACTAGCGTTTGAACGGATCGGAAGCTTGCTAAGAATACTACTACTGGAGTCTTCAGAGCCCAGGATAGATTCGGCTACCTCAATGGAGTGGGCTTCTCGCATGTGTCGAGTATCTCTAGAGATTCTTCGCAGCATCTTGCCGTGTTCTTGGAGGATATTCTTCATCTCAGTTATGGAGTCCCTACGGTAATCAGTCGTTCGTTCATCAAGTCGATTATGTGAAAAATGGAGTCTTCACTCACATCTGTAGTAAGCCTACCAGTGTGCTGATAGCACCGTGCTGTTGGTGCAGTTGTTCCAACAACTCTTTGACTTCAGCCTCATTCCACAAAGTCTTGAACTTAGCCTTCCAGCTCAGTTCAGAATCAGCAAGCACTCCCTTCGTGATCTTGCGCATGTACTTCTCGAGCCATGTTGACAGCACTAGACAGCTTGTCAAAGTCGTGTCGAACGTTTCGACTAGTGCTGGCTTCGCCAGCAGAATATCTGTGTCACTCAAGAGTAGCGACTGGATCTACGAAAGCGAGGCACTCGTGAGTTTGAGCTGCGAACAGAGCGAAGATACAGTAAGGGGTGCGCGTTTCCATGCGATGCGTATCTCATTGAGCTCCTTGGCAGCTACGACACAGGTCGTGGTGATCCGCAGCTAAGCGCCAGATTAGCGAAGTGCTACTGGCTACAGGAATCTCGAGCTTGTGAAGACTCACCACAGCTGTTGTAATGCTCAACGGGTCCATGACCGAACATGAAGAGGATACGGCTTGCCCGCTAAAGCGCGACTGAGATAGTCGACATAATCTGTCGATGAGATCTAAGGAAGACGATCTCAACTGCCATCAGGCTGCAATTGCCAGGGCTGGGAAAGCGGCATCTAGCTGCAGCCTGCTATTCGTGGACTGTTCCAAGTCAGAACGTGACCCGCGGAGTAAGCCTCGTTGAACAGACAGCCTCATCTTGAGGACGCCACATATGCATTTTATGAGGCTAGATGAGACGAAGCCGTTGGAGTTAGTGTATGGAGTGACCAGAGCTAAGCTTAGGTGTTGTAACAAGAACGCTAGCGCACATGGAGAGCAACTTCCTTAGCTTGACTCAGATTACGTCACACGGCACAATGTGAGCCATGGTGTTTGAACGTTTTATGAGTTTCTAATATGCCTACGATGTAGTTACGCTGCTCAGCATTCTGTATAGAATGCCGTACTGCATAGTACGTCTACCGCTGAGCACTCCCGCAGAATGCAAGAGTGCTACCATAATTACATACTTCTTTCATGGGTGGGCGCACATACGACCAACAAGATCAACCCCTCCAATAAGCAACAAGGCTTTTGCGTATAAGGTCCATACCGGGTTGCCCTCACGTAAGACCTGGGCTGATTGGGATCTAACCTCCCTTTCTAGGGGCGGTAGGTACGGCAACCGGGGCGCGAGCTGCCCCTCCCGAGGACGCGCCCTTCTTACGCTGGTAGAAGCGTTCGACGACCTTACGAACGTGGTTCTCGGCCTGGGCCTTGTCGGCGGGGGCTTTGATGCTGTCGAGCGTGTACGGGGACTGGATAAGAACAGAGTCGCTAACAACGATCTGCGTGTCTACCCAACGGGTTGGTAGACTGTGTTGCGCATGTCAGTTCCGATCATTTATAACTGCTAGCTCTACTATGTAACTCACGTTCTCGATATGGCATCGAACAACTCCTGTGCTTCCGGACTGACACCTTTGCCCTTCTGCATATCCTTCTTCTTCATCTCACGAATGGTCTGGTCTTCGCGGGCTTGTAGCGCGGCCAGGTCTACCTTAGAGATGCTGGGGAGTGCGCCATCGAAACCCGCTGCAGGCTCAGCTGCCCGCTCTCCTGTGCCGATGATCTCGAAAGATTCGATGTGTGCGAATGGGATGATGTGATAATCGCCGGGCTGGCTAAGGATGGAGGCAGAGGGGTTCGGTGGAGCAGGTGCGGTGTTGATGGCTATGGCATGGGTGAGGTTGCAGGCCGTGAAGAGGGTTCCCTCGAGGACGTTCTTGCCAGGGGCACATGTTACTTTGATGCTAGTGTGCATTAGCTATTGTTGCAATTATGGATTTCCCAGAATGAGCAAAACGTACCGTGATCCAACAGCCTTGTACAGGTCGGAGTCTGCGCCAATGACATCTTTGCCCGAGCTCGTGCCGGCTTTGAGGTTTGGCGTCGCGACCTTACCCGCAACGCTATTGCGCTTGTTGTCCGCCATGATAGACCTGCTCCTATGTCTCTCGTCTAGGCGGTTGTATATTACGGGCGGCGGAGGCTGAGTTGTTGCTCCGCTACAATATGTTTCGTCAGCACCCAAATATTGCCCAGATCTACTCTTAAAGACCTAACGCCAGAGACTCATACAAGCAGTGAATATACGATCCAAAAGAATGAAAGAAATGAAAACGCGACAACACACGCGCAACCGGGTGGTAGGGAAGCGCGAGTGTGGCGGAGCTATCGTAGCTCGAAGCGGATGGGTTGATGTTGTGGTGATGCGCTGCAACTTTCTGTGGTCGCGATGCCAAGCCTTTACGCAGGGCGCTTGCTGCTGGACCAATTATACTCTGTATGCCTCCAAGGACGCCTTCCGTCCCGAGTGTATTCTAATCGCTGGGAGGCCGATGCGCGTGCGACCTTGTAACAATGTCACTTCATAGTGGGGTGGGTTCGTCAAGGGTCTACCTAGAGTTACCCGACGATCAGGCCCAAATCAAGCTAGCTTTTTCGAGCAATAACAACACAGCGGTCAAGCCGAGCTCCTAACATTCACTATGCATGTGCCAATACTGGTCATACGAATCATTATATTCATTCTAGATTCAAGGTATCTCACTCCTCACGTTTTTTGTCAAATACGAACATGGGGCGACCTTCTGCTGCCGTCCAACAAGCAATGGGTATCCCCCTCTAAGCGTTGTAGGTTGAAGCAGAGATGTTTCCACCCCTTCCGGTCCAGTTGACGTGGATGTCCTGGCCCTCCTTGTAGGTCTCGTTGGCGTACTCGGGCTTGATCCTGAAGGTGTGGGCACCGAAGTAGTCACGCTGCGCCTGCAACAGGTTGGCGGGAAGGTCCTTGGCGCGGTATCCGTCGTAGAAGCTCAAAGCGGTGCTGAAAGCGGGAGTGGGGATACCCCAGAGAGCACCCTTGGAAACGGTATCTCTCCATCCGGCCTGGGCCTTGTGGATAGCCTTGCTGAAGAACTCGTCGAAGAGCAAGTTCTCGAGGTCGGGGTTCTGGCGGTATGCCTTGGTGATCTCCTTCAAGAAAACGGAGCGGATGATGCAGCCACCGCGCCACATGAGGGCAATCTCGGGCTTGTTCAGCTTCCACTTGTACTCCTTGGCGGCGTTCTGGATCAGCATGAAACCCTGAGCGTAGGAGATGATCTTGGATGCGTAAAGGGCCTGCTCGAGGTTGTCGATGAAGGCCTTGCGGTCACCAGAGAAGCTGGGGGTAGGGCCGTCCAAAAGACCGGCGGCACGGCCACGCTCCTGCTTGAGCGAACTCAGGCAACGGGCGAAGACGGCCTCTCCGATCAGAGTAACGGGCATACCGAGGTCGAGCGCGTTGATGGCGGTCCACTTTCCGGTACCCTTCTGACCAGCAGAGTCCATGATCTTCTCAACGATGGCAACACCATCGTCGTCGTTCTTGTACATGATGTCGCGGGTAATCTCGATCAGGAATGAGTCGAGAACGCCCTTGTTCCATTCGGTGAAAACGTCGCCAATCTCCTTGTTGCTCATACCGAGACCGCGCTTCATGATGTCGTAGGCCTGATCTTGGTCAGTCGTCTACTTCTTTCAGTACAACCAGCTCGTCTCACCTCGCAGATCAACTGCATGTCACCGTACTCAATACCGTTGTGGACCATCTTGACGTAGTGACCGGCACCCTCGTCACCGACCCATTGGCAGCAGGCCTCGCCGTCGGACTTTGCGGAGATGGACTGGAGGACGTCCTGTGGCATTGTTAGACATGCCTCAAGCGCTTCTTATAGACTCCTACCTTGATGTATGGCCAGGCCTCCTCGTTACCACCGGGCATGATGGAGGGACCGTAACGGGCACCCTCCTCTCCTCCAGAGACACCAGTTCCGACAAATCGGATACCCTTGGACTTGAGGTAGTTTGTGCGGCGGTTGGTGTCGGGGTAGTGGGAGTTACCACCGTCGATGATGATGTCGCCCTCCTCGGCACCTCCCTCGAGGAGGAGCTCGATGAAGTCGTCGACGGGCTTACCGGCCATGACGAGCATCATCATACGGCGGGGCTTCTTGAGCTTGGAGACGAACTCCTTGATGGAGTGGGCACCGACGATGGACTTGCCCTTGGCCTCTGTTGTCTGTCAGAGATGTTCGTAGCGATTCGTGGATGAGCCTTACCATCGTTCAAGAATCGGTCGACCTTGGCAACGCTATCTGTCAGTCAGTGAGTGTTCCTGGCGCGGTATGTCGAAGCGCTTACGTTCGGTTGAAAGCGACGACGGTGAAGCCGTGATCAGCACTGCCTTTTGTTAGTACTGTTTTGATATGATTATGATGTGGGTCGTGACTTACGCGTTGAGGATCAAGTTCTGGCCCATGACCTATGTAGATGGTCAGCATGGCTTCTCTCTTAATGTGTTGGAGGTGAATGTCTCCGGATAATTTGTGCCATTCACTCAATGGCTGACAAGAATATGCGAAGACAAGCACTTCGTTCCGCAGTGTCCGTGAATGCGACCGGATTAGAGAAGACTTACGGCCAAGCCGATGAGGCCGAAATCTCCGACGGGCTCAGAAGACATGATTGCTGTTCTCGTGTATGGATAGGTGGATGGTTGAGAAAGTTTTGGCGGGGTAGAGTTGCAGCGACCGGGCGTGCAACACGAGAGGGCAATTGAGGCTTATAAAGCTGGTGATGGTCAAGAGAAGAGAGAAGAAGTCTGGTGGGGGTCTCTGAGATAATGTAGTCGCCGGAAAGACTTTGGAAACAAGCGGGGCACACTACGATTGCATCAATGAGCTGCACGTCCCACCATATCCCAGCATCATTCAGTTGACGGAGAATAGCTTCGGCCGCGGCGGTAAGGCTATTGCCATACAAGCCACTGTTGCCAATTCCGTCTTCTAAAACATTTGCTGTGCTCCGGACATGATTGCTGAACATCGCATGATTAGAAAGCCGCCATCCTTAGGGGCGGCCTGGACACGGGTTGACTTGCGCATATGGGTAGGAAGATGCTAGTGGCTGCGAAAAGCCATGTAGGCCACTACATTTACCACACAGGTTGGTTCGCTGCTTGTAGACTAGGGATGCAAGCAAGACGTCCAACGGTGTCGCGGTCAAATGCGGCTGCTTGTGAAGCTCCCGATTTCTCAAGTGCACCAGCCCCTCCACCTCAGCCTTAACATAGCATTACGGATGGAGGGGCAGCGTGCAGGGATCACCGGACACGCTAGGGTGGTTGCCGGAGAAGTCTGGCAATGCTTACCTGGATAAACAGTGATTAGTGAGGCTATGGAAGAAAATTCAACTCCGGTCGTGCCTTGAGTATCTCGCTGCAACGTCATGGCTTCTTCCAAGGTTGAGCCTTGCGATGGAACGCAGGTGTTGTGCAGCGGCTGCCGACATGCCGGTGACACGTGATTCGGGGCCGGAGGAGCCAAGCGGCTCACTTTCTGCGACATGACCCAACAAATAACACCAACGTCAACGCCCCCATCTGACGCATCCCCACGGTAATTGCAATTTGTTGCACCGGCCCGCCATCCCACTCTACCCCCTTCAAACGCCGATCCGGTCCTCGCCCACCTGCACCATCGCTTGCTAGACGCTTCGGGAAAGTCTTTTCTGCCTTCTTCGACGTGTAGTCAGCATCAGCCTCAGTCAATCACCTGCCGTGCGGTATTATTCACTCACACGAAGACGCTTTACCCAAAGCCTTTTTCTCCACAGCCAAAGACAAGACTGCGCCTCACCTCATCGGTACAACCGCCACCATCCGCGCCCCGATAGTCACCCTTTCACATTCTGCGGACCCTAGATTGCAAGGCGACCTTAGTCATCCCGAACCGTCCTATCACCAGTCTACCTACTTCGCGATACTAGAGCGCATCCCAACCAGTAGCTGGTTAAGTCATCACTTCGCTAAGGTTAACCTGAACTGACGCGCAGTTCTTGCTTCAACATGCAGCCCCATCACTCCCTGCCGGCGCGACCGCCGCCTACCACATACTCGGCACCGCCTTCGAGGTCAAACAACGCTGGCGCGCGTGGCCAGGGCAACTCGCCCACGTTTGCTGGTTTCACACCGCGGTCTGTAGCAGCTCATGCTCCTTCACAAGCGTCTGCTGCGCCGGCAAACTATGCGCAAGCCCCAGTGAGCGCCCCCTACCAAGCACCCGCTTACTCGACCAGCAATGCTTACAACAACTACTCGTACCCAGCCTATGCGACGGGTGCCCCTGCTGCGACCTCATACCCTGCCGCCCCGACCGTGAACCGCGGATTTGGTGGCACCTATGATCCCGAAGAAGAGGCTCGAATCGCCGAGTGGAACAGCGCATACAACGCCGGCGATGCGAACGCGAAGAAGGGCGGCAGTGCAAACGTAGGCGCTCGACCAGAAGCGGCAACCTCCCAGGATACCGAGGTGGGGCCGGCAGCTGATGGCAAGCGCAAGACTGTCGTTCGCGAGGGGGGTGGAAAACAGTGGGAGGACGAGACTCTGCTCGAGTGGAACCCCTTGCACCCGCGACTTTTCATCGGTAACCTTGCTGGTGAAGTCACCGACGATTCGCTCCTGAAAGCTTTCGCAAAGTATCCATCTCTATCCAAAGCCCGCGTCGTACGAGACAAGAAGTCCACCAAGAGCAGAAGTTATGGCTTCGTGAGCTTTTCAGACACCGACGACTACTTCCGTGCTGCCAAGGAAATGAATGGCAAGTACATTGGCAGTCACCCCGTCCTTATCAAGCGAGCCACATCCGAGGTCAAGGCCGTCACAAAGAAGGACGACAGACATAAGCAAGGAAAGAACAAGAACAACAAGGACAACAAGAACAAGGCTGGCAACAACAGCACTCCCGCGGTAGTAGCATCTCCCGCCATGTTCATACCTCGTGGTGTTCAGAAGAAGGGCAAGTCTAACGGTCCGAGGGTATTGGGTTGAAATCCTCGTGTGGATAGAGACTATGTTAACACGGCAAACCGACAGAGTGACCAGGTACGTGCGATGATCCTGTACCAGAGGGTACTCCGAACGCTTCAAGGTTAGTCGCACGAATCTTTCCCATTACTATTTTTTGAAAACCTATGCCTATCTTGCAAAATCTGCGTATCTGTTACTTTTTGCTCTGGCGTTAAATGGATTCACGGCAGTACCAAGCGTGAGGAGATCTGAGTGTCGCTTCCGTCACTGATGTACAGCGCAAATCTGTGCATTCATGCGTACGTGAGTAGTTGGGCGACATAAGGAGTAGGAAGGTCTTCAATGTACTTGGTATACCCAAGTCGAAGGAGCGGAATCGTGGCGAAAGCACATGAACCAGATATAGAGTAAATGGATTGCATGAACCAATGAACGTTGTTGTATGTCTTTCGCGAGATTCGCTGCACATGGGCCTCATGTCCTTCGTGTTCACGTACTAGACTTTAACGGAGCTACTTACCCAACCTCTTCACCTCCTGCACAACCCCGTCACCACCTCTCTCAACACCCATGCAGTCCAAGAAATCATAACTCATATACTCCCTCCTCGGCACCCTCATCCTCCAACACAGCCTCGTAGTATGATATCTCATCTTCTCCTTCCAAACCGCATCCGCACCCGTTCCCCACCTCGCCTGCCCACTGCCCGTCCACGTATACTTCACCCCATACCTATCATCAATCTCCAACACCGTTCCATCCGCCCTCCTCAGTCCTAAACTCTTGCACGCCGCGATCTGCTCCTCCAACCCTGGCCAATCCGGCAACAAATCCTCCCTCGTCTCAAACTCAAGATTGACCTCTTGACAACTACTCGGCAACACCAAACTCGCCATCGTGCCCGCCAACCGCTGTCGTTCTTTCAGTTCTGCGAGTAGGGGTGGGAGGAGGTACGCGCATATCGTCCAAGTAATCCTCCTCCAACACAAATGACTTAGTAAGAATTTCTGGAAGTTGGATGCTTTTAGTGCGACGAGATTATCGTGTAGATGGTACAATTCCGCACCCCGCTGTTTAGTAATATGGTGGAGCCAGATATCTCCATTGTATAACCACGACGTACTGCCAAGGTACCGGAAATGATGCGTAGCACTCCGTAAGGGGATTTGGTGGGCTTCAACGTAGATGAGTCGGCATGTGAGGAGTAGAGCTGTGTCGATTTTGGTGCGGTGAGTGTGTCGGGGGCGGTACAAGGGGGAGATGGAGTGCGTGTCTATGGGTCGGCTGGGGTCATGTTGTTGGGAAAGCACGTTTTGGTAGATTGTGAACCGGATTTCTGCTGGGAGGACGGTAAAGAATGCGGATTGGAGCTGAGGATGGGATGTTGAAGGTGTTAGGGCGGCGAGGGAGCGGCGAGTGGCTCTGGCGAGCCGTTGGCGGGTGTAACGGTCTTTTGGGAGAGATTTCGGCTGTGGCATCTTCGGTTCTTGTTGATTTTGGTTGCGTATTATAAATGTACGTTGTTGGTGATGACGTCGTCAGGTGAGGCGAATAATGGCTACACGGGGTGGAATCTCTCTTTGCTATAGGAGTCTTATACAAAGACACCTGAAATTCCCAATACTATCTCTTTCTGTGTTTATAACCAACGCCTTGCCATCAGGATTGGTGATTGTGTTGTCTGGTCGGGGGTCTCCCAGTGCAAATGAGGTTCCGCCGAGGCACGTGCACCAGCTTTCGAGCTTCGCCCTCAACCTGCGCCTTCACCCCAACTTCATCACCTTGACAGTATAGGCGGTCATCTACAAGTGTCTAACACAAGGTACTGACAAAGGTAATGAGCCTCAATTTCTCACAATCACGTCTGCGTTCGACCCTCTTCTGGGCTCTGAGTGAGACGGAACCGATCGGTTGAGACGCATACCTCGGATGTGTTCAAGACCGACTATCAGCTCTGGACCTAGTGCAACACTCGAGTCCTTTTCGTTCGGGCGTACTCGGAGACATGATAAAATCATTAGACTTGTTGGTCCAACTCCACATTGGCATCATGGATACTTGCAATCGCCCACCCACATGGCTTCCCCCTTGAGATTGAATGCATACAGGTCATGTTCAACGCTAGCTTACTTCATGCAGTAACGAATCACTAGAGTTCAATCAATGCGGCGCCAGATTTTCGACACAATGCCGGCTGTAAGACTACCCCATCTAGCAATAATCACGAATCCGTTCACGCTGCGTACTGCATTCACCAGAAGTGGTTGGGGCTTAGTAATGAATAGATACAGGCGACGGCTACAAGGACAGTCACTACACAGCGCAGCCATTCAATCAGTAACTCTGCAACACCGTGCACGCGCTGGACTACATATAAGTCGAAGCTTCCCGAGCTCTTCCAGACTCCATAACAACCCTCATTTCCACACCTACCCACTACTTGCAAACTCTTCAACCAAGTCTACTCGTACAACCGGAGCTAGTAAAATCACTGTACCTACCAGTATGGGACGTCAACAAGCCCGACCAGGCTTATTTAGCACTCTATCTGCCTTATTGTCGACCACACTACGTTCTCAGGCTACTTCTAGCTCGGTTCCATCGACTACCCCTGAATTCGATGCCGTTCTAGCTAAGCACAACCTCACCCATAAGGATCTCAAGAATATCCAGGATGTGTTGATTGGCGTTGCCACGAAGGCAGGGGGGATCATGGTGTCAGCCGAGTATGCGATCATCATGACGGCTCAATTCAAGAACAATACGTCCGATGTTGTTACTGTATTCGATAAACAGATCGAATACATGGCCGAGGAGCGTCTCCGAAAGGCATATCCTTCCTTCTCCTTCTTAGGCGAAGAAACCTTCAAAGCCGGTACAAAGCTATCAGACACACCAACCTTCGTAGTCGACCCGATTGACGGCACACTGAACTTCACCCAGGGTGTGCCCAACTGTGCCATATCTCTGGCCTTCACAATCGATAAGAAGCCTGTAGTTGGTGTTGTCTTCAATCCTTTTCGCGGGGATATGTATCACGCAGTCAAGGGCCAGGGCGCGTTCTTGACAAGGCCTGCCACTGGGCATGTAATCAAGCTACCTCTCCAGCCGAATCCAAAGCCGATGCCGGCTCTGAACTCCTGTCTGGTGGCCATTGAATGGGGGAACCAGCGCTCTGGTCCTAACTGGGCATTACGCACTTCGGTCCACAACGCTCTTCTTACCTCTAAAGACGAGGGTGGCGCAATGTGCAAGTCCGTACGCTCCAACGGATCCGCGGCATTGGACTTCTGCTACGTAGCCCACGGTATGATTGACGCCTTCTGGGAAGGGGGTGTATATTCTTGGGACGTCGCCGCGGGATGGTGTATCCTAGAAGAGGCTGGTGGTATCGTCGCGAGCGCTAACCCTGGTGATTGGGATCCTACTCTAGAGGGCCGCTTGTACTTTGCTGTGCGTAACGCGAAGCCTGAGGATCAGAAGGCTGTTGTGGAGGAGCTTTGGGGTTTGATGGGTGACCGCAAGTTCGTTTTTCCTTGAATGTTGTTTTCTAGAGTTTCCATGGCAGGTTGGATGTTGTATGCTATATGGAATTAGCATCAAGGCGTTTCATACAGTGCGGTATTAGATGTAAGGTTATATGATCACAAGTCGAGTACTGCACTGAGCTTATACAAAGTTCGTATACAGAATCAAGAAAATTCCTATAATGACCTGTGCTTAGCTTTCCGCCTCAAGTTCCAAAACGCATCCACTATGAACCTCTGACAACTAATATCAAATTTCTTCCGCTGCAGTCCAATGATAGAACCCCTGATAGTTGGCACCACACTAAAGTGATCATTCTGCCCTTGATGTGCCTGTTTATCGTATTTTCTCCGCTGTCGCAACGCCGGTTCCCCATTGCGTGAAAATTACCGGTAGTCATGTCTTAATTCGCACGAATGGAGTTTGTCATAGCTTCTGAAAACCCTCAGGTTAAGGCAGTCACGATAGACACATGCTTCTGCATCCGCTGTGAGGCCCAAACAAACAAACATCCCCAATCAAGCTCTCCTCACACTTTCATCACAACACACCTTAACGAACAACGATCAAACCACATCAAAGCATCATTTGCTATCACACTGTTATCGTATAGCACATCCTTATTGCTGCCTCTACAAACCACTCATCAGTATCCCACACGTCATCTCGACTACACTGCCTCGCAGTTCAGCATCAGCTTAGTTGCATCGCGTGCAGCTTCTGCACACCTTCCCCATCACGTACCAATCTTGTCACTCCATACCCAACAGCATCTACACGACCTCATTCGACTACACCTACAACCCATGCAGCTTCTCACTCATTCGGTACATGCCATTTGACATCTGACCTTACAACAACCCTACCCGACGCAAACGCCGCACACACTCTTATCGCCCGAGTGTCATCCATAAACGCCGGACCATATTCGATCAAGGGCACAACCCCAGAACACACTCCTACTCCGGTCGGCCACTCACTTCCAACGAACGACTGCACGTTGCCCGTCAGCGGCTTCGCAAGTTCGAAAAGACACAATCTCGAAAGGCCCAGCGGAAGACGTGGGCCCGTAACAGAGCCCCATCTTCTCCAAACAAGCTAGACAGACTTCACTGCAAGTTGAAGAGGATCTTGACCGGCAAGTTCTGAGAACTCTCACTCCTGCATCTGGAGATTTGAGTGTGTTTATGAGCACGACTGCTACATCTGTAACAAGTGCCGTGTCTTGTGCTGCACTTCCAGCCCCAGCCCCGGGACAGGGTCGAACACTCTCGAGCCACCGACCGGCACCTACCAACCCACTTGAGCCTCGCGAGAGGAAGAGAATCATCGAAGAGCGAAGACAACGCAAGCTCAGGCGCCTCAAAATCAAAGCCGAAAAGAAAACCGACTGGAAGTTCAAGAAGGGGCTCCGCGCTAAGCTAGCCGGTCTCCTGAATATCTTCCGACTTAGGTAGACAGCTACACCTTTCCATGACCGGCGGAGTCACAGCTGGACATTGTGGAGCTGGTTCAGTTTCTTGCGCACATTCTGCGTCCGGATTCACAAGCACACCCGGTATCGCCTCGTCTTCTGGTACAGTCGGCTTCGCACCTACTACACCTTCTTACCGCAAGCTCACCGCCGAGCAAAAAGAAGAGCTGAAGAAGAGACAGGAGGAGCGTGCAGCGAAGAAGCGGCAACGCAAGGAAACTCAAAACTCGGCCAAGGCCAACACCAAGGCGAAGATTCCGGGCGCGACTAGCAAGAAAGTCAAACTTCGCCTATACGTTACTGTGCTGAAGCTTAAACTTCACTTCTAGGCTTCCAGTCGGTTTATGGCAGACGGTGGTGACTGTGGTAGCTTCAGTGCTGGTGATTCCGGTGGCTGCAGCTCGTCCGCAGACGCAGGTGTCTCTAGTCATTGCCAAGCAGGAGACGGTGGAGACAGTGGCAGCTACTACTCAGCTGGAGACTCAGGGCTTGCAACCATACAACCCGGAGTCGCTAGTACAAGCCAGACACGGACAGCTGAGGAGAAAGCTGAACGGGATCGTAGGGAGCTAGAACTACAAGAGAGGCATCGACAACAAGCAGAACGCCGCCACGAGAAGAGACAACAGCGAAGAGAAGCCAGGGCTGAGGTGGCTACTTCAGTCAAAGGAAAGCTCCACGAAGCCACTAGGAAGAAGGAGAAGATACGTCTGGCTGTGACATTGCTTACTCTCAAGCTTCATCTTTGAGTCACGCCAAAGACGATCCCGCTTAGGCTTTGAATGGATTCTCCATTCGCCACAGGCTGTGGAACGACACCCTCAGACGATTGCGGAACAACGTCAGCGGTAGGCTGCGGCATTACATCTGACCCAGCAGGCGATACGGGAGGTGACTGTGGTACTGATTCAGGGAAAGACTGTGCTGGCACGAAACACCACTTGACTGGAAACGACTACACATATACCGACTTTGCTCCTGGGTCTCAGCCGTCCGCTGCAAGACCTTCCGACTCCTTAGGTCCCACAGCACAACCACATACCCGCACACCAGAGATACAGGTACAAGAAGAACGTTCAGAGGCGAGAGCGCAGCAAAAGAAAGAGCGAAAGGAGAAGGCAAGAAGGATTTTCAACAACGTCAGACTTGTGGCAGAAAACATCATCAAGGGTAAGTTTTGAGGCGCCATATGTGCTTGCATATACATCAGCAAGCTCAAGTGCGAACTTGTGAAGATCTGCACGGATGGGGACCAGCATTCGCAGTGGTCATAGCGTGCGATTCTCCCACGACACAAGCCTACAGTCAGAGGTGGACTTCACGCGTTGGCCGGGGGTGTACGTCCATCCTGGGCATTTCGTACACGCTGCCGACAGACCCAGGGATCAGGAAGCGTGGGAAAGGGCCCGCAGTCGTTTGAAAAGGCTGAAGGCTCGTGTCCGCAAGACGAAAGACGGAAGAAGCCAGTCGCATGGCAAACGTCGACAGTTTCGACGTTCCTCACCCTAACGTGGGTGAGCACACCTACTTCCAGAACGTGGCTTGCTACATCCTCATCTACGCGCCGGCGACTGTACATGCAACGGCGCCAGAGACGCGTGCCTCAGTGGGAAGCTCACGCGAATCGGAAGCTACTCAGTCAGTGCCAGAGAATTCGTTCACAATCGCACCCAACCTCTGTCTTATCGATCTGGAGAGCATGAAGCGAAAAAGACCCGGGAAGCGACAAGCCCTGCTGGAGTGGTCAATCAGGAAGCTCCAGTGGTTGCTCCATAAAGTGACCTAGAGCTGGAAAGGTCGGTTATTGTGAATGTGGTGGTGCGGAGACCATAACGGCAAAGCTCGTCGAGCTCGACGGCCTTTCGGTAGGCGTCGAAACATACGTGATTGGAACAAGCGACGCGAAAGGATCTGGTGTTGGCGTAGACTACATATCCTGGCGTTGAAGTACTGGGTTGTCGACGTCGCGCGTCGCTGATCCACGGCCAGTCGGAAGTGAGCACAGACCGCCCGCAACTGTGCATAGTATCGGCACTGCTGCTCGCCAGACTCCACGCCATGTTCGCCCGCACTACCCGCAACACTCTTGCTACAGCCTCGAGACAGCCGTTCATATGTCAGTCATGTATACGCCGCGTCAGGCAGTCCCAATTGGGTGCCGTACACTCCCCCACGCGGCACACAAGACGATCTCTCCAGACTGAGACCCAGCCACCACCACCGCCTCAAGATGGCACGTCGTTCCGCAAACTGCTTAAAGACGCCGCAAAGCAACAGAAGAAAGGAAAGAGCGCTTCTCCCGGCTCATCAAAGTCCTCGAAAAAGAGCAAAGATGCGCGGCTAGAGAAATGGGAGCTGACGGTTGGAATCGAAGTCCATGCCGAACTCAACACTGCGCGGAAGCTCTTCTCCAGTGCTGCGACCTCGATCAGCGAACTACCCAATACTCATGTGTCTTTGTTTGACGTCGCATTTCCCGGCACTCAGCCTCACTTCCAGAAGGAAACTCTCCTGCCCGCCTTGCGCGCTGCCATAGCCTTCCAATGCGAGATACAGCCAAAGAGCAGCTTCGACCGCAAACATTACTTCTACCAAGATCAGCCCGCTGGATATCAGATCACGCAGTACTACGAGCCCTTCGCGACAAACGGCAAGATCACCCTCTACCCTCATGACTTTCCGCCTGGTGCTGCCCCGCAATCAGAGCCCTTCGATATCGGTATCAAGCAGATACAAATGGAGCAGGATACCGCAAAGACTGTGCAGCAGCCACCTTCGACCCACCTACTTGATTTTAATCGCGTCTCGCATCCCCTAATCGAAATCATTACCCTTCCTCAGATCCACGATCCCACAGTTGCGGCCGTTGTCGTCCGCAAGATACAAAACACACTCAAGGCTGTTAATGCCTGTACAACCGGCATGGAGCTAGGCGGGCTACGTGCGGACGTCAACGTATCCGTTCGTCGGCGCAGAGGGGAATCTTCCGAATCTAGCCACTCATACTCCGGTGTTACCGGTTTAGGACAGCGAACTGAGATCAAGAACCTGGCAAGCGTCAAGGCTGTTGAGGACGCCATTATTGCAGAGCGTGATCGACAGATCGACCTAATCGAGGGAGGAGGTGCCGTCGAGGGCGAGACACGTGGATGGACTCTTGGAAGCAAGACGACCAAACGTCTCCGAGGCAAAGAGGGCGAGATCGACTACCGCTACATGCCAGACCCAGACATCGCTCCTGTCTTGATCGGACCTGTAAGATTCGACGTTACTATCGGTATGGAAATTATGCTAATTATCTCTAGGAACTCGTGGAACACCTCCGGAACACACTTCCTAAGCTCCCCGATGTGAATGTTGATATGCTCGCAAACATCTATGGGCTTACTACTAAAGACGCCATCACACTTCTATCTCTCGACGATGGTGAACGGTTGGAGTATTACCTGGACGTCATTCACTGCCTAGTACACCAAACTGAGCAGGTCGAGAAAGATGTTCCTTTGGAAACATTGGGCAAAATTACCGGGAACTGGTAAGTACATAACCCATTATATGTCATGGGGTCAGACTAACTCCTTTCAAGGGTGTTGATGGAGCTCGGCTCTCTCTTTCAAGATGAACCTTGGGACCCCGACCGCGTCCCAGCTGACTATCTTGCTGGTGTCATCTCGCACGTGCGTCGCAGAGAGGTCACTTCGCCTTCCGCAAAACGGCTGCTTGCCATCAAGTTTGAAGGAGATCAACGCAGCGTGGCGGAAGTCGTTCACCAAGAGAATCTCTTCCTGCAGGCATTAAGTCAGGAAGAGTACGTAAAGTTAGCACAAACGCTGATAGAAGAGAAGCCGGACATGGTGAGAGACATTACCGAAAAGGGCCAGGTTAAGAAGGTAGGATGGTTCGTGGGGCAAATGGTGATTAGAGCTCCGGACGGGAGTGTCGAACCAGACAAGGCCAAGGAGGTACTGCTGAACGTGTTGGGTCTAGGAGAGAAGGCAAAATAGTGTTGTGGATACCCTAATGAAACATTCATATCGATGGTGCGTATCGTATATGTGGCGTATTTGATTGATGGCTATAAGGGTTCAATGTATGGGTAAGGATGTCAGAAGCCACTGATATTTGACAGCTCAACTACAACGAACCACCACACGAGCCATAGGGACTGGACTCTCGGTTCCAAACTACACCAACCCACAGTGCACAGTGGGAGCCTAATAATTCGACAATCGGTTCCATACCCGAAGCAGTAGCCGCAGGTGCGACACACCTGTCACTAACCTACGACCCGAAGACATCAGTTCACACCCGGCGCCCATCGTTCCCCGCACTCGCAAAGTCACCGCCGAAGATACCTGCGTAACACTTCCAAATTACTACTCACAAACACAACCTCGCACCATGTCCTCCCAGCAAACTACCGCATACCTCGCCCGCATCCGCGACCGCATCGCTGCTGTCCGCCAGAACGCAAACACTACCTCCCTCAAGACGAGAATAACCAATACCGTGCGCCGAGATAGTCTAGGTCGACGAGGAGAGGTCGCTCGCCAGACACTTGCCGCTTCCCTAGGCGAGTACTATGAAGCGCAGAGGTCAGAGGATGACTTGAGAGATCTAAGTCCTGTAGCGGGATGTTGGGACGGGGAAAATGGGGAGGATGTGGAATGGGATGGAAGATCGGATAGCATGGAGCCTTTGAGAGATGGAGAAGGGGAAGATTATGGAGATGGAGATGGAGATGGAGATGAGGAGAGAGAAGATTGGGAATTGGACATGGACAGGGAGGATGAGCGATGTATGGAAGTCGATCGATTTATGGATTTGGAAAGCCTCATAGCAGAGGAGAGGTTCTTGAATGGAGAGGTAGAGAGTGAGATGTATGTCGCTTATCATAGTCTGAACAGTAGAGCGGTGAGGAAGATGAGGTTGGATGAGGTGCAGAGGATGTATCAGAGTGGAGAGAGGTATTCTACGGTACGCTATCAAACCTTGAGGTGTGACGAAGAAAGAGTGTAAAGCAACTAATGCTAACTAAGATGTGTGGGTCGGTAAGAAGAAAGGCTGCCAGATACAAGATACGCTCCAGAAGTGCAGCGAAGAGGCGCCGGATACTGAAAAGCTAGAAGACGAGGAGGATGTCATATCAAACCCCTACCCTGAAGACAACGACCTCATATCACTCACACGCCAATATAAGAACAATATAACCCCTCACCCAGCCCCCAACAATTCAAGAAAAGCAAATACAGGGTCCCCAGCCGGATTGTCGAAAACATCGATCCCTTACTCCGAAGACGCCCCAACCTCCATCCACCAACCCTCTCCACCATCACAATCCTCATACTCCCCCCACCGCATCATAACAGCATCCGCTCACCTTTCACGCTTCCCAATCTATCCGCCAGATCGTATAATACCGCCCATTGCGCCGTTCAACGCATCGCGGCCCCACTTACCACCAGTACCCCACGCGCCATCTAATTCAACACAAAGTAACGCGCCCCCCATCCCAGACTCGCAAACCAATGCACACAATAATGTAGAAGATTATGCATCAAACCACCCCTACCACGGTATGAACCAGCAAGAAACCCAGGAATATTGGCATCACCTGGAGAATTATAACACGGAGAGTGAACGGAAACTCAGGCGGGGAGAGGTAGCAGATGGACACAGCAGGCCACGCGCTTTATCCTCGCCTGTTCAATACCGTAATGACCGTGTTTTTGATTCCGCTGGAGAGGATTGTCAGCGGGATGCACGGGTTAGTCAGGCAAGGGATGGTGAGGTTATGCGGCAGCATTTGGATAATTTGAGTCCGAAGACAAGGACATCGAGATTTCTGGAGACGGAGTGTGAGCAGAGGGAGCAGGTTGGAATGAAGAAGGTGAATGTGGTGGGTCGATTTTTCAGTAATTTCGCGTGTCGACCTGGTGCAGTTACGCCAGAAGATGCTGCTGTGCCTGTTAATGACAGTGCGCCTGCTGGCATGGTGTCTATTGTACCGAAAAAATATGCTATGGCCTATCTTTCGAGGAGGATTAGGCGGCCGCAGCAGAAAGAGGAGGATGCTAGACTTGGGGAGAGGCTTCTGGCATTGCAATTATCTGCGCCCAACGATAAGAGGGCGGGGGATATTGAAGACAACAGGAGAGCCACAGAAGACGCTCCACAAGTCCAGAGAGCTAACAAAAGGAGCGAGAACACACAACATAGATCAAAGCCTCGAGTCGTAAACGTGGAGAACCAGACACAGAGTGTCATCGGCCCACCCGTTGATCTCTCAAAGATGATACAACGCGCACCAGATAGTATCAGAACATCATCTCCGTTACTGGGATCGGAAGTCGGGCCTTCAGGGATCAGAGAGGGCGTTCATTGTGCACGTCGGGAAACGCATTCGGGCTCAAGCTCAAGTCTCAGTGACCGTCTACGGCAGACGAAGCTTGAAGATCTACCTCTCCGCTTTGGAGCAGCAGAGGAGATACGTAACCTAATGCTGGATCTCGAAAGAGATCAAAACGTACCGACAAATACCCCTATTCAGCATAGAGTTGGACACCCCGATGCCATCGATCCAACCAATACACCTGCTAGTCAAGCAAATGAACTACCCGGTGGTTTCTCAAGGCTAGGAACTGTAAGTCCAGGCCCAATCGCTAACTCCGTCCCAACTTCTGGACTAACAAACCTCTATCAGACCACCACACCTCCACAATTCAGCACCTCCCCATCCCACTCCCCCCGAGAAACTCTAGAACGACACTTCCGCACCCAACGCCAAGTCAATGAGCGGTTCGCTCTACAAATCAAAGCTGCTAAATCACACTCAAGTAACCTTACCTTACCGCCGAGTTTCCGGGTACCGGAGATGCATAATAGTGTGCTGACAATTCCACGCGAGCCGAGCCCGTTGGCGCAGGTAGCTAGTGCTGAGGATTTTGGGGCTACGAATTTGGGCGAAGAAGATGTTGACAGTGTTGATGATTGTGGTATAGATAGGGGTAATGAGAACCGGCAAGCTGATATCGAGGACTTGGAGGAGTTTCCGGTGTGAGATACGGGTGTGGAGGAGAGTGGAGAAGGTGCATGAGAGGTTGAGTGAGTGATGTTCATGGCATGCTACGAACAACGTCGAACATTCACCCGATTGATTCACGAAATCGTTGCTTTGTTGAAGGATCGACGCTCTGATCATCGCGGTCAACAGTTCGAGGATAATATGACTATTTGATACGACCAACCGTCAGTCAAAAGATAGGCTTAAATGAGATAATATCCATCTCTGGATCGCGAGACGCACCAAGAAGCGAGACAATTTCGCAATTAAGACCTCCGGAATTTCTTGTAGAGAGATTATAGTGATGTGCCTAATAGGCAGAAATCCATGGCAAGTGCTTCCCTCTTGGCTTGTCTCCAAACAGCATCTCCAAAATGTAGGTCATGCCGTTAATCTTTTCTTAACGATGTTAATCACCCTGATACAGATATACCTCTGTTAGATCGGAAGTTCATAACTCTAATGAACAATCGGAGATACATCAAGAAAGTACAAGTACTAGTTATATTATGTCTAAGATTAGAGGGCACTTTGATTGTGGGAACATAAATGCCGGCAGTTTCGCCGTGCAGGGGAGAAGGCACGAAGAGCTTCGGGACTTGACGGAATCCTCTAACCACATGCGCTTGAGTCAACTTACTGGCTGGCACATACACGGAAGAAAACCTAGCGCTATCCGTATCTCAGACGTACAAAGATAATTGTAGCGCGTGTTGTAGGCTTGGATGAAATCTGGTTAGCGTATTCTGGCTTAGATTCTAAAAATACTTGCGGCTTCTAATCCGTCTATCTAAGATGTATGGTGTTCGGGCGCTTCCCCTGCCTCGTGGCGCGTAAGATCAAGTGTATCGCCTAGCACGACGTTCACTATCTCAAGCATCTGACACCAGCTAAATCTTCTGCGAGAAAATGAGTATGACTGCGATGATAGCCTCGATACTGCTCACCCCTCCCAGCAGTCCGTCTCCTTCACCTAGAAAGCCAGTGGCTATTCCCATCGCAACCGCTGCAGCCTTGCAAACAAAACTGCCCTCACAACCCGTTAAAGATGCTCAAGCCTTGTTGCAGCCAACATCCATACTAGCAGTGAATGCGATATCAACCACGAATACCAGATCAACGCTGCAGATCACAAACACCAACTCCCTACCACGCACACTCGCCGCTCTCAAGAGGGCCCTCCATATCGACGGCTGGCAGTGCGGCGCCCAGACGCTTAAGAACACAGAATGCAAGCGCTCTGTTATAAATGGCAACAAGAACCTCATTGACGCGCAGCTTGCGTCCATGACAGGCCTGACGCGTGCCTCTCCAGACATTCAATCCGCCCTGCTCAGGCTCGTCATGCTAGTGCATTGCTACCAGCACAATGCGGGCCGACCAAAGGAGTGCCGACTTGAGGCATGGAGGCTTGCATTTCCGTCTGGTAGTGCTGATGGCAGCGCGTTTGAAGTTCCTATTGAGCAGCTTATCAGGAAAGCTCTCGAGCCGTTCAGTATCAAATGCATTGCCCACGATAACACAGGACCGTGCAAGGGGAGGATTGGTGGATGGAAAGTGCAGAACTGCAAAAGAACGCTTCAAGAGCTCATCAAGCAGGAGATATACTCCGACGGCGCTAGGCTCGAGTTCCTGCTTAAGGTGTTGGAGTGGAATAGGACTTGCAAGACCCATCAAAGCTCGAGGCGATTCACATGGGTTGCGGCGTGGAGAGAGAGCATTATGGCGATACTGCCTCTGTCAACGCCACTCGGCGACCAGGCCCTTACAAGCAACGCACCGAACAAGCTTCAAACCTCTGCAAGGGCTCAAGCTGGTCCTCTCATCGCCACAACTTTGTTGAGGACAGAGAAGAGGGACTCCCTCACCGTGCAGATCTTGCCGAGCCCACGAGCTCCCCCCGTTAGCCTAGACGCTGATCCGGCATTGTACTGGCCAGAAGCCTACGACTCGAGCCCTTTCGACATCCTCCCACATGCTGACCACAACGCTAGTCCTACACGCTCGCACACGCTGATCTGCGACGAGATCAAAAAATCACTAGATGCCCGTGACCCTCGAAGTGGATGTATCTACGCGTACGAAGTCGAGGGCAACGAAGGCTACATTAAGATCGGGTATACCACGCGCCCCGTGATAGAGCGGCACGACGAGTGGTCGTTCGACTGCAATAGGCAGACAAAGCCGCTATACCCTTCCCTTTCTCAAGCCGCTGCTACCATTTCAACTGCAAAAGAAGCCACAGCAGCGCCAGCCGTGCTTATCCCACACCCGCGTCGCGTTGAGGCCTTGTGCCATGCTGAGCTTGATCATCGCCGCATCAGAATTTATTGTACCGCGTGCCTGAAGCAGCACATAGAGTGGTTCCAAGTATCGACCATGGAGGCCACGGCTATAATCCAGAAGTGGTCCAGGTGGATGACCACACAGCCGTATGAATTCCGACAGCTGAGGGTGGATTCTAGGTGGGAGCTTAAGATGAGTGAGGTACGACAGACGTCGAGACTCGACCAGTTCATGCAAGAGATTGCGGAAGCGCCTGCCTCGCCATAGAAGCAGCGAAAAGGTTGATCTAGTTATCTCCTATCTGTAAAATCTAGGTAGCTCCTCGGTAAAAGCCCTACCAAGGCGTGGGGTATGGACAGATTATAGATTTATTTTGCTCAGACATGTTGCTTGGGACTAGAATGCGGTCCCAGACAAAACGAACATCCAAGATCAACTCTACAGCGGCAGCTGTTGCAACATCTCGATTGCACAGAGTCGCACAAAATTGGAAACATAGCTTATCTCGCTACGCACCTGTCCTTGATAACTCGACTGCAGTCCAACTAAGTTGGGCTCAACCAAACTTCTACGGTAAAAGTCAAGTGTGATTTGAGGACAAAGACACATAGAATCAAGTATAATGTCAAATATGATTGATTGCTATCTGAATTGCAAACTCAAGCACACTACTTGGCACGTTCTGATAATCTCTTGCGGCCATAAAGATAAGATCGCATAGTTAGCATGCTCGCAGTTGGTAATAACCGCATACACGTGTTCGAAGCGATATCAATTTACAAGCCGATGTAATTGAATCGACGCAAGTTCAGATAGACGCAGTGTGCGTTCTCGTGACTAGCGGGTAGGTCAAAGAATGGAGAGATCTACTGGGCTCGTGGTTAGGTTAGCATAACATCGAGACTTTCACGTCGCAAGGCACAGTGCAGAAACATCAAAACATCACGGAGCATCGCAGCGGCGGTGGATAGCGCAGCCGTCCAAACGCTGCATGGTACAGGCATCGCATGAGCGAGACAGACATCGAAGGCCAAAGGTTGATTCAGGAATGGTCATATTGTCTATGAAACATTCCTCAGCCACCACGCTGAACGCAGGTCTACGCAGACCCGTGGGGTATAACTGCGGACTTGAGGATCCATCCCAATCATTGCCGTTATCCTTTTGTATGATTCCGAGACGCCTTATCATGCACAATCGTATCGTGGCGCAGTTTATGCGACGAGCTGAACGACACCACCGGCCTCCTTGATCTTCTTCTCAGCCTCGGCGCTGACGTAGCGGGCGCGGACAACGATGGGGACGGCGGGAAGACGGCCCTTGCCGAGAACCTTGGAGTAACCGTAGTCGAGGAGGTTGAGGACGGGAGCGTTGCCGCCCTTGTTGGCGAGGTACTCATCGCGCTTCTCAGCGGGGATGAGCGACCAGAGCTTGTCGAGGTTGATGACGGGCTTCCAGAAGCCGTTTTGCATCTTGTGGAAGTACCTCATACCAATCTTTCCGAAGTAACCGGGATGGTACTTGTCAATGTTGGTTCGGTGGTGGTGTTGACCACCGGCCTGTATGACATTAGCTCATGTCCCATGTGCAATTCGCATAGGATTGTTTATTACTTACCATACCACGACCACCGGGATGCTTGCGGTGCTTGCCGACACGTCCGTGACCAGCGGAGACATCTAACAAAACAATTAGAAATTATCCTAGAATGAGTATTCTACTCCAGCGACTCCTCCTCCGCCCTTGCGACACCAATCTGAGTGACAGCCTTTGTCAACTCTCACTCCGCCATGGTATTCGTAGGAAAAGAGGGCAGTCGCTTTCGTAGGGTAAGGTGTAACGTACGGCCACGGTGCTTGCGAGTCTTGGTAAGGCGAGTAGGCATCTTGACTTGCTGTTAGGTTAGTTGCGTTCGAGCGGAGCCTGAAAGTTCGATGGGCTGTTTTGTTAAGGTGGGATAAAATCGCAAGCGAGGCGCGCTAACGGACGGGAATATGTTTTACCGACAGTCACGTGCGTGATACCCTTCTAACCACCTCCAATACAAAAAGTAGGAACATCAAAACCAGCACCATAAAGAAGTTTCAATAGAGAAAAATTGTTTGGTGCATTGTATACGTGTTCTCATTCCTGTTTTATAGTAATGTTCGCCGTATTCCCCACTTTCGCTATGCAATACAGACTCATTCATCGACGCCGATTTGCTTTCGCTAGCCCCAGTACGGTGTCCGCAGACCCACGAACGTCGAGCCAACGCCATCGCCTGTGTCTTCTTTCTTGCGCTGCCCTGCGAGCTATTCATGGGTCAGCATATTTGTCATCGAGCGCTGCAATTGAGATCAAATTACCTCTAACTGTATATGCCTGTGGACATGCACAAGCCAGTCGACATAACTCTGCGCCTCGTTATTCCGGTCCTCGTACAACAACCTCGCGAACTCGTATTCCGCGCCATCAAGTCCTTGTCGCGCAAGTTGAATAGTGAGCGCTTTGGAAGCTCGCGTGCCTTCTAGGTATTGCAGGATATTCCGTACTTGAGCGTTGAGATGGGTCTCGAGAACAGGAAGAGTGGATTGGAAGGGATCGAGTGCCTTTAGGCTGTTGTTGCCTTCGCCAAACAGGTCTTCTAGCAGGTTGGGTGAGACTTGAGTGTGCAGCCACAGCAAGCATACTTGGCCATTGTCTACAATGTATGCGCCGCCTTCTTCGACCTTGGAGAAAGATGCGCGTATGCCTTCGGGCATGACCAGATGCCCCTTTTCATTTGCAAATCCATCCCCTACATCGAGATTGTGGATTGCGATGATCCGCGGGTAGAGATACAATGACATCTCCAAAGGTCCCATCGACTTGATCATCCGCATGTCGTGGACTCTCCGATCAGTGGGCTCCTTGCCACCCTTGAAGGCTCTTGACTTGATCAGGCCAAGAATGTACATGCCGAACTCCTTCAGGTTCTCCGGTAGCACGAGTTGGCCCGGTGGGTTGTTACCAGTGAAGTTCTTCCTGTAGCCAGCAAGAATGTCGACAGTTTTCTCGGTTAGAGCTCCTCTAATATCCTTAAGGTTCTTCTCCGTCATGCGAGCAGCAGCCTCTTTGGCGATGATGTTTACAACAGCATCCTGATCAACGAACTTCATGCATTCACCAGTGTTTGGACTGACGCTAGCCACGATATTGGTGCATCGTACTCGTCGCTCACCGTTGGCAGCTGTGTACAATAGCGCGCTCTGGAAGTGTGCGTCAAGCTTTGGATCTAGTTTACCATCGTAGCTAAACATAACGCCAATAGCCTTGTCAGCGTCGATGACTCCAAACTCCAGATCGGCGCCGAAAGTGTGGTGGTAGAAGTTCCCGTGATAGGCGGAGACCTGCAGGCCATTCGAGCAGCGAACCTTCATCAGCGCTTGATATCCGGTTTCTCGTGTGACTGTGTGGTGGATTTCCTTGGATAGCTTCAGAGTGTCTCTAGGCGAATGGAAGTTAGGGTAATAGAAGACTTCTCCGCCGGTTACAGCAGATACGTGACCTAACACATGTTAGTAGGTAGCATCCGTAGAAAGTTTTTAGGGCTTACCAATTGTTGCAATATCAAGGTAGCCACCGCTGGGTGCTGCAAGGAAGAAGTCCACACCAATACCATTTTGTACCATTTTCTCGGCAACCTTCTTGAATCCAGGATGCTCAGTCTGGAGAAGCTTTCTCTCAGCATCTGTGTTATGCATGTTGCCGTCATCGCGCAGCACCAGTCGGCCAGGACCCCAGGTAGGAAGTGCAGCTAAAGAGCATACTATCTTTCCACCGGTAGCTGACAAGGCTGCTACGGCAGAGTTCAGGGTAGGAAGTAGGGCCGGTTCAGGATTCTTGACCTCGGAGAACATGTTCGGTAATTGCGCGAGTAGTGATGTGATGACTGTCTTTGACTCCACAGGATCGACGAACAAGCCTTCGCTAAATGGTAAGAAGGGGTCCTCAAGGTCGGACATGACGAGCATTTGAGCGCTCGTCAAACTGGCGTTGAGGTTGTAGAAGTGCATTTCCTTGTCAAACGTCACGATGCCGACTTTGGCACCCTTCGGTATCCGACTCGCGGTCTCGCTGCCCTCTCCTTCAACTCCTGACTCGCCATAGAGCGCTTTCATGATGCCCTCGCAGAACCCATGAAGGAAGCCACGGTTCACTGCCTCTGCAGTCACGTCGACCAGGAACAACCACCGCAGACCGACGGGCTCTTTCGACCAGTACTCTTTGGGTACGAGGAAGTCGACAGTGCCTAAAGTGAGCTCCGGACGTTGTAGTCTGTCTATCCTGACGCCGGACTGATCGGTAGGCGCAAAGTATTCACCAGGAACATCCCCAGGGTAGGTACATAGGTTGCACACGACCTTGTTTCCACCCGCCTTGAACTGCATAAAGGGATTGATGTACGCTCGACATCTTGCGCATCTTGGTGGGCCAGTCTCGCCAAAATCCAGTACAGGTATTGGTTGTTCTCCTTCCTGTTGAGCAGCCAGCGGCTGTAAGACCATACCAAGCGGTAATGAAGTCGCAGCAAGAGCTTGCGCAGTAAGTGGAATGTTGTTCATTGTCAACCGTGCGAATTTAGGTGAGGAATTGCCTTGGTCAAAGGCGACAAAGGGAACCGTAGCTGGAGGTGGTAGGTGGTGTTCCATAGTTGGGTATACGTTCTCTAGATAGTATCTCGCCGGCGCATCTCGCGACTTTGGTATGCTGGGTATCTGCTCGGGGTCTACACGTCCTTGAGCTGACCCTACCGCTGCTCCTCCGGTCTGATGTGGTGCTGCTGGTGTTCTCGCAGCGTACTGCATAGGGGAAGCCTGTGACCCAGGGCTAAAGATGGGGTTTACAGGTGCGGGAAATTGGCTCATGGCGGGCGTAATCTGAGGCTCCATCCATTGTGCTCCTCCGACTTGCGGCGAATTCTGGTTTAGGAATTGTGTAGGTGTACCGTTCTGCGGCGATCCGGTGAACGGTTGTGAAGCTCCTCCAGGCCCTTCAAGATTATGATATGCATGCCTGTTCTTCTTCTTGTTCTTAGGTTGTGCCACTTGATCCACGCCCAATCCGACTGCTCCCATCTGCCCCGCGAGATTGTTCACGTCTTGATCGCCCTGGTACTGCTGTTGACCCTGCGCAATCGCCTGGTCTGGGAAGTAACTTTCTTGTTGCATCGGCGTGCCGTATTGCGCTGGCGTGCCGGCGTACTGATTCGGAGGTTGAGCCATGGCTGGGCTTCCGGTCTGGTGGTAGCCTGCAGGGCTCGCAGCGACTGGTGGGCGCCATTTGTTGGGTTCGTCTTGCCTGCCGTTTGCGTTCGGAGGGTTGGGAGAGCCCGTGCCCATGGCATGGTACGCATCGAACTCGGACATGATCGCGGCGCGGGGATGTTGCGGTGGATTCGACGGACGGGATGGTTCGAGGCGGGTCAAGCGTGTGGCCGAGGAACAACAGGGTGCGGAATGGCGTTATAGATGTTCATATCACGGGGCGGGCATGCTGGGGTGAACTTGGGCACCGGCGAAGGGACAGATCTCGAAGAACCAAGGTTGATGATCTGTCTATTTTCTAGACCTCTACTTCCATCGTAAGAGCGCGTCCGTGCACGCTCCCTCACATGCAAGCACGAGACAGGGTCTATTTACTCGCGTGTCACCAACGTAGACTCAGGAATCGTTTCGAGGAGGAATAATCCTGAATATCCTTATGGGCTAGCATCATTTATAGACAGATCCCCTCTCTTCTTTCGTCCGTACAAAACCTTGGTATCAATAAAGGTTAATGTATACCGAACAGAGCCATTATGGGTTGACTTTGCACCTTAGTCGGTCTTAAGGGGACCATGTTCGTTCTTCTCCGTATATGTCCCTTGGCGCCACATGGTTACCAATGCCGCTACCCTTGAGTGCCTATCTGCGGCTAAAGGTGCTGGGCGAAGTGTCTCCGACCATAAGCTGCGACCATGTAGTATAGCCACGTCTTATCCCTATATGCCTTATTCCAGCTTATCGAGATGTGCCAACCGCGTCAACACAACCTGTTTGCTCGTCTCTTCGATCTCACCCGCAAGAAATACTTCGTCGAGGATCGCATACACCTTGTAGAAGTTGAACACCAAATCCAGCTCACAGACATTCCCAAAGAACGCATCCAATACCTCTACGAAGAAGTGTATGGCTTCCAAGTACGCCAGTTCATTATCGTTGGTATCGACGCATGCGCAGAAGAAGAGGCCGGCGTATCGGCGGTATACGATCTTGGACATGTTGCGGAACTCGACAAAGTTGGATTGGTGTTTTTGGTCGCGTGGCGCAATGAGGCGGTGCACCTGTTATGGTTCTTAGTTTCATCCGGGGCATCAGTATGTGAAGGGCTGGAGTATCGTTGCTCAGAGGTGGTGGGAGTGTATGGACGGTGAGGTGGATGGATGATGAGTAGGTAGGAAAGTGTCGCATACCTCGCCTTTTAACTTGACCTTCTCTTCATCCTAAACAGCAATTAGCAACTCCTTCTCCCGATATGTTTCAGCATCTCAACTTACACTATACGGCGCATACCATTTCGCCAACCGCGTCTTCCCTCTACAGAGCGCAATAGGTTAGTCTCCGCCCCTTCCAACCTGACAGGCAAACTTACTGCCTGTTCTGAATCAGGATAAACGAGAGCACCATCTTCGCAATGTGCCTCGTGAAATCAGGCTCGGCGCGCTGTGAGAGAGAAGGAGAGGGAAAGTGTGACGATGACGGCAAGCCGCGTGCCTCCCTGCAGCGTTCAGGGCTCACTTCCGTGAAGTAGCTGGCTCGTGCGCGGGACAGGTACAGGTCCATCCCTGTAGGAACGTGGGCGGACGGAAGTCCACTTTTAGCCGCACAACACCACAATCGACGTTTGCTTTTGTCACGAGAACAGAGCTCTTGGCTGATTCGTATAGCGTTGTTTGTTTGACATTCATGGTACTCGTACTACTCATTGACCTGCAGAGGGCTGAGTAGGTGAACGAGAGTTGTATTTTACACTGAACAAGACTGATAGTCATTCTCTCTACTCTGCACTCGATGCAGCGGCGCGAAACCTTCTATCAACATATCCGAATCATCCAGACTAACCTGGTCGTCCGTTTTCGTTACCACGGGTCTCGACATCATATGTTTCTGTCCAATATGTTTCTTGTCAGTCGTGCTGTGTAGTATAGAGCGAGACTTGACGCGTCGATATCGCCTTCTGCTAACCAAGACCTTGAGAGCGCCTACAGCTGACGTATCGGAACCGGCTGCTAGAGAAGTGCTGCCTGAATGGCCAAGAAGAGCCGGGTCTATTGTGTCCATGACCACATCGCTGTCGCTAGCTCTCGTCGTAGAGATGGTATCGACGTGTTCCTGTGCTTCATTTCTCTTCGTACCAATGGAAAGCGGACTGGCACCGCGTTCACCAGGGGTTTTTCGTCGCTCTGCGCTTGCCAAGAGTGCACCCCAGAAGTTGGTCTTGTCGGCTTGTCTCGATGTGTTGATGTTACCACGGTTCTCACGCTTGAGGATGCCTCCCGGCATGGTATTGACAGGAGCAGTCAGTGTCGGCATGGAGTTGACCTCAATACTAGGGAAGGCCATTTCGACAGGTGTGTGGATGCCGAACTGCTTACCCCAACGACATTCAGATGGGTAGTCGCACGTATTCCAGCAGTCTTGCTTCTCTTGGGGTTTATTTTGCCTATCAGTCGCTGAGCCTGTGTATAGTATGGTATTGTGTTTTGGTCCATCTCGGCGCCACCGACCCAACGCTTTCCAGCCGGAGTAGTCGAATTCACTAGCGCAGGCACGATGTTTTCGAGATGTACGTGGGCTGCTTGATTTCCGTAGGGACTTGATGGTGGTAGCGCCGCTGCAAAAATGGTGCCCATCTTCGAGACAGCGTCGTGTTACGCCTAGACGATAACTATGATGACACTGGTGACATTTCCATATCCAAGACAAGGGACTTGTTGGCGCCTCGACTGCAGGTGTTGGATACACTGGAGTGGTTTGTTGATCTCGCTTCTCGTCTCGTTCTCGGATAGAAAGAGTGGGTGTGAGAGGCGTGCGCGGTGAAAACGGCGAAGGTGGTATGGAGAGAAGCGAAGGTTTAAAGGGTGCTACGGATATCCGGAGAGGGTTTCGCAACTTATGGTAAAGCATTTTGAGAACTCTCCGAGCGAAGGAGCTCTTTACAAAAAGGAATGGCTGACTGTGATGTCTGCAAGCACCGGCTGTAAGTTAAGAACGATCCTATAGTAAATATCGCAAGGTGAATGTCGATGCAAAGAATATCGAGACACCAACTTTGCTAACTTTCGCCGTCAAGAAGAACCCATCTTTTCTACGGACATCTCTGATGTCAGGTGCTGTCGCAGCCTGAGCTGCGCTACTTCTTTCAGGAACATGGGCGAGGTGTTTTGACAAGCGTTGACAAAGCTGTGTTCGACAGTGACCTTTGTTATCGCGACCCATTCTTACGCTATAGTGATCTTGTATGAGTCTCGCAGTTCGGTCCTTTGTCCGATATGCCCATCTCGAAGGTCTGTTGCCCCAGTCACGAACACATGTTTGCTTTGTTCGCGTGAGCATGCGAACGGCGTGTTGTCACCTTGCCATCGTTTTCCATCCCTTTGCTTATCTAGTGTAGATTACAGTGTGTCTCATGTCTAATTTGGGACCACACTGTGAAGTGCCAAATCGGCTATCCATCGGTAGGTTCTCGTGAGAACCACGGGTCTCTCGACCGCCGCACAGCCCACCCCCACACACAGCCTCCTTCGTTAACCCATGCTTACCCAGAGATAAGGCTTTAAACGGCGCAATCGTCTGATCGGCGAAGTATGGTAGCTACCGTGCTCCTAATATTCGGTGTCGCGATCGGGACCAGTAGGCATCGGAACACGAAGCCAATAAACTTGGCATAAGATGGGAGCGGTAGAGGGACCAGTGAACTCGCGTATGCAGACAATGAATGTGGTGCGTATGGGATGCGACTTTCTCATACGTTCATTGGAGTCGAGATAAGAAGTAGCTGGCGTATTGGAGATATCGTGATATGTGGTGGGCATGAGCGATTCGTGTGTCGGAAGTCTGCATCGCCTTGCATCGTGCATCTGCCATGCTTAGCTTCGGTAGTATCGCGGTGTTCTGACATCATCTTGCTGAGAATCCGGGGTCGACAATAAACATTGTCGATCGCCGTCCTGGAGGAACGGCAAAAGATAAGAAAGTGAGGAGTGCGGGCTTGGCACAATTGCATGGTGAACGCCATGCGACAGATGTGGTAAGTCGATCATGCTTATACAGATAAGGAAGCTCGGCATTGTACCCAGCAACATCCCAGTTGTTTGCACTGCTTAGAGCGAACCTGGAGGAATTTGGGAAACGCAAGGGGAAATGGGAGACGGACGAAATAGTATGTTGTTCAGGATATTCATTCTTGAATTATGTATAATACAATGTTAAGGAAAAACTATAATCGAAGGTCTAAAGTATGTCAGAAAGCACATCTCAAAGACGCGAGCGCAAGTGGTATCTCGAAACGGTCGACTCAAAAAAGTCGCAAGCAACAAATCCAAATCAGCAATGCAGCAAGAGCTTAGGTTTGAACCTGCTTCTCGTGCTCGGAGCCCATGGCCATAGCATGCCTGTCGCCTGCAATGCCAGTGTGCTCGTGGCCTGAGCTGTGTTCCGAAGGTGCCTTGCCCTCAAGCATCTGGCTGTGCTGGGGAATACCGTGACGCTCTCCTTGGGGTACGGAGTGCTCGCCATCGATAGGCTCACCCTTGGCGGGTGTCCATGCAAGGTAGTCACGGCGAACCTCGACGTAATCGTAGGCGAATTCACCGAGCTGGTCGTCGTCCATGCCGAGAAGCTCAGCTTCCTCAGATGCGCGAAGCTTAAGGCCGGGGATCTTGTCAATAACGAAGGCGAGGATGGCGCTGACGGTGAAGGAGTAGGCGGTGACGGCGACGATGTAAGCGATCTGCTTGTAAACTGCGGCTCCCTCGCCGGTGATGGCACCAGCGGTAAGTCCGTTGTTGACACCATCGAGACCGATGATGTAGTCGGCACCAAAGATTCCGTTGAAGAAAAGGCCCCACATTCCAGCGACACCGTGCTCGGCGAACACATCGAGAGAATCATCGATCTTGATCCAGAACTTGACTAAATTATCGTTAGCGAGCAGTACGTAAGTCGACTTCTAAAGGGTACGTACTCTTGGTGGCAAAGTTAGCAACAATACCGGTGGTAATACCGAGGATAACGCTGGCCCACGGAGGGATAAAACCAGAGGCGGGAGTGGCAGCGACAAGTCCGGAGATGACACCTGAGCACCATCCGACCATGGACCACTTGCGAGCAAGGCGCCAATCAAGGAGGACCCAAGTCATGGCGGCGAACATGGCGGTAAGGTTGCTGTTCCAGCATGCCATGACAGCACGGAGGTTAGCGCCGAAAGCGGAACCACCGTTGAAGCCCAACCAACCGAACCATAGAAAGACAGTTCCGAGGGTGATCAAGGAGACGTTATGAGGACGGAAGTTGAGCATCATCTTCTCCTGGCGACGTCCGAGGATCATGGAGTAGGCCAAAGCTGTGCAACCAGAGACGATCTCGACAGGACCACCACCAGCATAATCGAGTCCACCCCACAGGAAGAACCAGCCGTTTGCGTTCCAAGCCCAGTATGCGACGGGGCAGTATACGATCGTGGCCCAGAGCCAAATGAAAACCATCATGGGGATTAAGCGACCGCGCTCAGCTACGCAACCGACAACAATGGCAGCGGTGACAGCGCAGAATTGCATCTGAAGATAGCATTAGCGCGTGAGAATGAGATATGGTAACACATGCCATACCTGGTAGAAAGAGTACAGCAGCTCAGGAATCAGCGGACTACCTTGGCTGGGAGCACCAAGTACGCCTTTGAGACCAAACTTGTCGAGGTTGCCGATGAAACCATTTGTGGAGGGACCGAAAGCGAGCGAGTATCCCCAGAAATACCATTGGAAGGTAATGACGGAGGCGGAGAACATGCAGGCCCAGATGAGGGATAGGGCGGACTTTCTGCGAGCAAGACCGGAGTAGAGGAATGCGAGACCGGGAATCATGATCAACACCATGGCCGAAGCCACGAGGATGTAGGCTTGATCACCCGATGAGTACCATTGGTTGAGGTTCTCGGTGACTGAGGATTGTATGTTAGCATTCTGGTCGCGCGACATGCGTGTGTTGCGCTCGGCACGTGTGCAGTAGCACATGGGGACTTGTACTCACCAGAGTCACCACCAGTGATTGAATCGGTGCCATTGAACTCGGCCGGAGGACCGATCCATGAGTACGACATGGTGAAGGCGTCCTGGGGGGTTGCCGGGGTACTAAGGATATACGGGGTCCTTAAGTACTATGGGGAAAGGAAGGACGGTTCCACGGGATGGCCTATGGAAGGAAAAGAGAAGGGGATTGAAAGCTGGATCGGTGCCAGTAATATACGGCTGCTACAGGGAGAATCCGGAAGCCCTACTGTAGATTACGGTAGATGCGCCGGGACCTTTATGGGTGGAACTTGCTGTACTACTCTTATCTATCCTGGTCCACGGGCCAACACTTGAGGCAAAATAGACGAGGGTACATCACCCACAGCCGCGACCGTCGTGGGGTTCGCGTTAGATCTAGCCATGGAGCTTTGTTCTTTTTCTGCCGCGATTGATCGCAGGCTGCGTCATTGTTGCTCCTAACGCTCTAACGCCTTATCTCGCCGCTCGCGAAACATTCAAACATGTGATTGAGAAGCTGAGAAGATAAGGGCCAGCACCCACACTGGCGGCCACGTCGCGTCTGTTTGTAGGGACAGGCCTCATCGCGGCGCCTCTCTGCCATGGGCTCAACACGAATTCGCATATGCTATTGCAGGCAACTCCAGTTTCATCCGGGGCGGAAGGCTTGGCGAGTGGGTGGTCAATGTTGCGTGGTGTCAATTGCATTTCTGGCCAAAGATAAGAAGTCGGCGTTGCCCAATCAGCAGCCTCGTCGGAGGAAAAGGAAGCTAGCCGCTTTGGGTGCCGCATCTTCGCCGGCCATCCTGCGACGCGTTCTCACTAGACACCAACCAACGCCACCCCGTCCCTGGCGATTTGTTTATGCGATTCACGTACGTTGTGTGCGATAAGACGACCATGGCTGTTTGCTCGCCATCCTCCTCGCGTCTAGTGCATCTCACCCCAGAGTCTCTCGACATCGATTCATGACAGTCGGGCGAACATCGGGCGCCCAACGAACCTTCAGAAACCCAATCTTTGGGTTCTTTTGGTCTTGCCGTTGCGACACGGCGCTACTGAGTGCACGCCCTGCAGAAGGACCGCGGCGTGCAAAATCCGGCTATGGTTGAGCAGATCGAGACGCCCGTCCGACCGGCGACCATCTGTGGTTCTTCAAATGATCGCGGCCACTGTCGTACCGTATCTTACTTTGTCCAGTAACGGGTACCCACAAGGGCAGCAGCTAACCTCGTCAAACACTCAGACTGGGACTATTTTCGAGCCCTCCTTAGAATTATTTCCAGTGAGCCGACCAACCTGCCGGAGCATAAAGACTATCAGACCCTGTTTCCCGATGGCCGTGTCCTCGCATGTCGAGAGGCGACCTGGGTACGCCTGCCAACAGCGTTCTAAGAGTGGACCGCGATTTCAGTAGCGATGCAACCAATCCCTTTGTCTTCATGTCTCCGCGCTGACACGAAACAACATCAAAAGTGGCATGAGCAGCTGAAGCCGTTGTGTACTTTTGCACCACGACCCGTGCGGCGCGGCATGCAGTAGGGCTCAGCTGCATGTCAGCCTCCCGTACCCGCCCGGCGACCCTTGGCAGCAAACTGTCGCGAAAGCATGTGAGTCTCGTCCCCAGAAGCGAGGCAGTGGGGCTCATGGCCGCCGTGGTGGGCTCGTGGAGAGGTCGACACAGTGGTACATCCCTCTTGCGTGGGGAAACTGGAATAGAACACAGCAGCATCGTTGGCTCGCACGCGACTGTCCACTTTCCACATATTTCGCACCCTTGATTGGCATTTCGCGCCAGTATTATTGACGTGTGGGATCGTAATTGTTTATCTCGACATATCGCATGTTGTGCAATTCCAGCACGTTTCGAAGGATGCGAAAACCCGCCGGACCAATGACCGCGCCCCGAAACCGGAGCCCTGACTACGCGTTTGGAGTAACCTTGGATCAGATCATTGGTGCATCGCGCCCTATCAATTCTCCGACCGGTCTTGTTCTGCTGACTCCGGACTGAATGTCTTGTACAGATAGCTTGGTGTAAGAGCGAGTCAGCTTGGCTACTCCTTTTGCTCTTTCATTGACGTGTGCCCTTCTACTATCGCGCTGGGCAATACTGTTGGCGATATCTAAAGTTCAATAGAGAGGCCGGCCTGTAGATACGACGTAGCCAGTGCGCCATCGATAGCCTGTTCATTCCAGAATCACGAATCGGTCGACTAGTCTGGTCGAAACGTCACTACGATGAGCACAATCACGAATCTTACATTTCCACAATTATACAAAATGCATACCTTACGCCCCACTTAAGCCATTTCCTGAGGCACTGGTGCAACAGAGGTAAGCTTGTGGTCGCTTGACCTTTTCCGTCGGACGAAGAACAGTAAATATGCCGAAAATATACACAGTCCACAATGAACGTGTCGCACAAGAACTGACCGAGTCTCGATGTAGCACATGCCTCGTTTGTGCAAGTCATACAGTCGTTCCACGACGCTTTGCTCTTACGCCTGGATGCAGGGTGATAATAACGGCACATGACAAATGGGGGGCGACCTCTCGATTGACCATGCACACAGTTGCCCATACACAGTCGAAGGCTCTGGAGTTGTGACACCGCCAGAGCTATCATTAAACCAGGTTTTGCATTCATATTGTCCGAAGATCAATGGCCCTACACAGAACGAAATATGCTCCTTAGTACTGTCACCCATAGTAGACTTTTCGGTACTTCCGAGCGCAATGTACCATCAGCTTCCGGCTTGGACAAATATCTCTTTCCGCACGATCCAACTACATCGAGGAGCCACCATCTATCGAGATGTTCTGCCCGGTGATACTCCTGCTCAGCGCCAACGTCCTGACCTGATCCGCGCAATCTTCCACCGTAGCCAATCTCTTCAACTTGGTGTTGTTGATCGCAGCATTACGCTTCGATTCCGGAAACTTCAGTCCCCATTCTGTGAGTAGCATACCCGGGCTGATACTATTCACACGAATCTTCGGCGCCAAGATAACAGCCAGACTTTTCGCGAGATGGATCTGGGCTGCTTTGGTAACAGCATAAGGAACACTGCTCCCACTGGGCTTCACACCCGCCACACTCGCCGTCGAAATAAAACACCCTTCATTCTCAGCCAAGGCATCCTTCGCAGCATATGCGAGCCACATGTGTGTTTTTACGTTCATGGTGAAGCATTTGTCCCAGTCATCATCGTTGACTTGCTGCTCAATGTCGGTAAAGGTCGTCATGCGCGTCCAGCCTGCGTTAGAAACGACGACATCTAATCGGCCCATTTTTTCGATTGTTTCTTTCACGAGGTTTTGAACTGATGGTTTGGAGGACATGTCTGCTTGGATGAGGTGGAAACGAGGGTTTGCCTGTGAGGATGGGCCGGGTATGGATGATAATTCCTTCATGAGGGATTGTGCGCGTTCCGCGTTTGATGAGTAGTTGATTACCTAGATGATGTTAGTTGTCTTTTTTTTTGTTCTATTATATGGGTAAATGTGTGAATAAAAGCGTTTTGTACATACTACACGGAAGTCTGGCGCAAACGCACGTGCTATCTGTGCGCCCAGACCTGCTGAGCTGGCCGTAATCAATGCTACTTTCGTGGTCGCCATCGTGTGTTGTTGCTAGGTGAAGAAGGAATGTCCAAAGTGAGATATTGAATTATACTTATAAGGAGAAACGCTCCATATGAATCACCGCGGGGTGGACGCGGGGTTGGCGTTCCGCAATTGGAATGCAGCTGCGGAACCATTCCGTAGCCCCTAGTACAGCCCTTGACACTTCCAGAGCTCCCACTCTATCACTGTCAACCTTTGTGATCCTTGCCTATCACCGAGAGAAGACACATCCCATTCTCCTCGTTCTCAGGTCTTCACTTGTTTTACGCATCTCGGCATCGCCCTTTCCCACGAGCTCCGAAGGGCCTAGCTCATGAATCCGGTATCCATCTGGGAAATACTTCTGGTCTCCTGGGACGACGCCCCCAATTAGTCGCAGTAATAGCGCCTTCGGACCCCACCTTGTCATGAACGATGGCTTTATGTACCAGGGGTGAGCGATGTATTGACCGAAATGGGCGCGACCAGTTCGGTTATCAAGCTCTGTAAACCACTCCTTACGCAGGAAGTGCGGCCGGGGGAGGAAGAAGTTTCGCAACGCAAATTTCCGAATCTCAACGACTGTGTCGATGATCCGTGTGTAGATAGCCGGCGGTTGCGGTAACCTTGGACATGGTCAATATGGTACGCATATAATGTGAGAGAACCCCTTTTCACTTACTTCATCGCTTTCTGTAAGCGTGGCTCGAGCAACGAAGAAGCTACAGTAAACCCATACGGCTTAAGGAAGGAAGGCACATTAAACAAAGCGATATCGAATGTGCCGCATGCAAGTGTCGCATTCGTATCAGCAGGTACCATGTTCCGAGCTTCGTAGGCCAAACTCCACGCCTCCAATTCTTGGAGCCAGTGAAATCCGTCTCGCCACCCTGGGCTCGCTGAAGGTAGAGTGTCGTAGGATATCTTCATCGCTTCACCCAAATCCTTCCAGTAGACACCCATGGCGCATCTTTCGAAGTCCGTAACACCACGCCACTCGTATTTGGCAGTCCACCGAATCGGCTCAAGCACGAAAAGACTTAGCGTATACAGCATATCATCATTCGATATCTTTCCAGCCTTGATATACCGACCATGGAGGTAATTCATAAGCGCTATGCCACTAATGGCTCGTTCAGAATCGGGTTTGTTGAGCACCACCTCGGTGATGACAACACCAGTATCTGCTGCCCTTTTGGATGCTGTTTCCGGAGCGGACAGCTGTCCTGTTGCAACTAGCAATTTCGAGATGCTGGGAATGCCATATGTTTTGAAAAGGGCAAAGAAGACGGAAACTGAAAACACGGTCGGGAACTCTAGTTCGGCAAGAGCGAGCTGCATGGAATGCGCATCTTGGAGAGTCATACCACTCCACGAAGAGCGATCAGGGTACTGATTATTCTGTCAGAGTCCGGTGTTTATTAGTGTTGGCGATGCTTCTCTTACATTGAGGCGGCGAGAGACGCCATCGCGGCGCCTATAACGGAGTACGCGAACAAAAAGCCAATATGCGCCGAGAGCGGTACACATCCAGATTTTGGAACTGAAAAAAGGGAGAAGCATGGCTCCCGCGTAAGATGATATTTCAGACTTTGTCGCTCGGGTTGCGTTGGCTGCTGTTATTACAGCTTGATTCAGTGGAATGAAGATCTGGGTAAGCTGAGCATGGAACCGCGGATATCAATGAAGTTGAAGATTGGCGCACTAGATCGCGGTGTGAGGTTTTCTACACTTTCTGCCTGAACGGATCTGACATCAATTTAGGTCACAAAGTATGGGTGGTGTGAGGGCGCATAAAGGTGCAGATGGTTCTACAAGGCTCAGATAGGCTAACACCGTCTAGGTAAGGCGTTCCCTCCTGGCTGCCCCACTTGTTGGGGGTCGAGAAAGAGCCTTAAGCATCTCGTACTGTGCCACACAGCATAGGAAAACATAAGCATGCCATAATGATTCTTCTCACTGTCCATGATATCGTGGTGTTAGTATAGAATGCACTCAATTATCTTCGCAGTGCAATTTTGTCCTAGAATACCTCCGTAGGTAGGTATCGCAGGAAGTGCCAGCTCCTCGGAACTCTTCAAAGATCTATTACTTCATCTACACGCTTCGAAAAACTGGAAACACAGCTTTCCTCCGAAACTGTGCGATCGATATATGATACGTCCAACAAAGCTAATAATACCCAGGCATCACCAATGATCACTGTGCTCAATCCCATCACCCACACTTTTGGCCCCATCCCAACTCGCCAATACGGGTTATTGCAGCCATCGGCGCCTGTCGCTTAGAACATCTGGCTCATCTAGTTAGATGATTGGAAAGTTACAACACACATTTCGTTCTTCAGGTTACACGACATCGATTCGAGTTACGATTGTGTCTCAGCCTTGCGCCCCCGAGGGGCGCGTTCGACTTCCCATGATGTTTTGCCGTGTGTAATGCGCTGAGGCGCTGTTATCGCGTAAGCTGAGTTACACTCTTCAGCTTGAAGCCTTGAGTCCTCGACGCTACCAAACCGCCGTGGTGCTAACTCTGCTCTTATCCAGTTCTCTTTCAGTGTGTTGCGACTCAGGGAAAGCAAAATAACACCACTCAGTCCTCCGATGAGATTTTCATATTGGAGTCATGTCTAACAGCTCAATCATCGTTCCTATCTCCCGCCGGGGCTGGGTGGGCGGACCGGACGAAAGAGGTACGCTTGATATTGTTTGGACTTGCGTATCAACGCTGTTCATCTGCCTGTGGAGTATGCTACATCTCAACATCCCCTCTCAGAAGGATACTTTCTGGAACATCTTCTGGCGTAAGGCGCGTTGGCTCTTACTCGGCGTTCTAGCGCCTGAAGTGCCTATGCTCTTTGCAGCTGGTCAATGGGCCTCCGCGAAAAGGTCAGTCAAAGCTATGCGAGACATTGGCTTCGACGAAGAAGAATGGTCACTTGAGCATGCCTACTATGCAGACAGTGGTGGGTTCGAGTTGCGGACTGCTGATCATGAGGCAATCCCCATCACCGCCAAACAGGTCCACTACCTGATCGAACACAACATAATCACTCTACCAAAAGTCACTAAGAAGGAGATCTGGGACAAAAGCAATGCAGACAAAGTCGCCAAGTTCCTTGCCTGTTTCCAAACTGCATGGTTGACAACACAAACGATCGCATGTGCAATACAGCATCTGGCCATTACACCACTGGAGTTATCGAGCATCGCCTTGGCTTTGACGTCACTTACTACCTTGTGGTACTGGTTGCAGAAGCCACTAGATGTAGAGACACCTACAATCATTCACACAGAGAAAAGTACAAAGGATATCGTTAATACCTGTGGTGGTGACGAGTCCGATCAATACACGAACACTCCGCTTGATTTCATCGAACCACACACTTACATTGCCCGTAAATGGAACCCATTGCTTTTCAGATGGATACTCAATCGCAATCTTCAAACCAAACCCATTGAGCGCATTCCGAATGATCGAGACCCGCAGCTGTCCAACCTCTACCAGCATCTGTCGCTGGCCGTGGCCACCGCCTCTTTCGCCAGTATCCACCTTGCAGGTTGGAATTTCAGTTTTGAAACCAATTGGGAAGCATGGCTCTGGCGTGGCAACTGCCTGGTAATGTGGGGTCTCTTAGCTACCTATGGGACGACAGAAGTGGTGGCTTGCTGCAACGAGAAATTCCAGAAGCTAGGCATGGATACGTTGGGGGGTTACAAGATGCGATGGCCTGCATGTCTCTGGTTCATCATACCCGCATCACTGTATGCAATGGCTAGACTTGCGTTGTTGTTTGAAGTGCTGTATAGCATGCGCAGTCTCCCATCTGATGCTTTCGTTGAAGTGAAGTGGTCTTCTTTCATCCCTCATATATGAAATTGATCTTGGATATTGCGGTTGATCCATGACGTACTACGGGTTCTGATCGGTAACATCAAACTTCTAGAGAGAAGGGCAGGACAGTAGCGCTGCATGTTTGTACTTTGGACTATCTTGCCTGTCTGCGCTACCTCATATTACCTCCCTCCAGTTAAAACTAGGAAAGCGGCAAGAGTGCATCAACAGTGGGCTGCGGAGGTTGCACAATGGCGACACAGGTCAAAGTCTACCAACAGTATGCCGCCTGTGAAATGATCGGGACGAAGTGCATATCCTAAGGGTAAACAGTACTGATGAATCTACGCCCGATCTCACCGGTGTTGCTCAGCTCAGCGATTGCGTCTCCTCTATTGGATGCACCGTTCGCGGGGTGCAGTGAAGGACGAAGTGGCTGACCAACAGGATCACCGCACTCATAAGGCTGAGAATGCAATCGAATTGACAACTCATGAGTGCATATAAAACCCCGCGTCTTGCAATGATTGACAACGCATGTATTTTGAGCCTCATTCTTGAAGCGATGGTTGAGATGGATAAATGGGGGTGTCTTGCCTAACTTTCTCGCAAGTACCAACGACCGTCGCTTGGTGTTCTCGCAACATGTCTGTAAGCGATAACTCTACCTTAGACGTTTCGCATGATAATGATGGTATGGGCGGGTACTCGTACGGTACGGGAGACTTAGCCGTCAGTCCTGAAGAGATATCGTAAGTTGCTCACCACCAATAACTCTTAGGAAAGCGTTGACAGTTCCACAAAGCCCCTATGCAACCACACAAATGGTCTCGCTGGAAGTCGGGCCAGAAGCGACCCGGTTCCTGGTTCACGACAGCGTCTTAAGCCGCAGCGAGGTTCTTGCCGCAAAGTCTTATCCGGTGGCTTTCGTGAAGCAGTCCGTACTTCTACCAGAACTGGATCAGAACACGGCGCACACTTTGGTACACTACTTGTATACCGGCAAGTACCAGAGTCTTAGCACTGTGGCGTCATCCGACAAGGCCATACCTGAGGTTTACAAGCTGGGTGCTGGTGTATACTGCGCTGCCGCTCGCTATAAGCTACCAGGCCTTGCCGAGCTGGCCCAGAACAAGCTGAAGTCTCTCGATGAAGAAATGAGCATTTTCGATATACTTACCGTAGCAAGAGATCATGCATTCCCTTTACTACCAGAAGACGATGTATGGTATCCAAGCTACGTTGAAGATTCGCTTAACAACGCCATGGCGGACGACCCGGAGCCTTTCCGAAAGCCGGATTTCATTACGACGGTAGAGGGTAACAGCAAGCTCCTGCAGCTCGTCTGGAAGACAGTGATGAGCAACTACGCCCGTGCACCGGCAACGCCGTTGGTCGACAATGATGAAGCCACTACTCCAACAGCTGAACTCGTGCCGGAGTTACAGGAATCGATTGGTGGTGAAGATGCTGTTTCTGCAGTTGAGCCAGTGAAGGCTGACGAAGCACATGAATCTATCGTGGAACCTGTGCCAGCGCCTGCTTTGAGAGAGGAAGCTGCGGAGGCGCCGGCTGTAGACGACACGATCGTTTCGAAGCCCACCAAGGAAGATGCTCCAGAGGTAGAAGTCGCTCAACTCAAAATGGAAAAGCCAGGAACGCTTGAGCCTTTCACGGACGAGTTGGACTTCAAGTCGTCAAAAACGTACCAGCAGATGGGCAACAAGAAGCCAGAACAAGTCAAGACTAGCAGTATCTCTTCAGCCGAAACCAAAGCACCTACTCACGTACGTTCGGACTCAGTGATACAGGCCGAGCAGCCGTTGGTAACTCCTGTTGACGGAGAGAGGAAGACCGATGGTGCTGCTCTATTGGCAGATGAATCCGAGCGAGTAGTATTGGCCGAGCAGGGAGATTCGAATGACTTGAAAGACCTTGTCACACAAAGCAAAAAGAAGAAGAACACCAAGAAGAGCAAGAAGTCGAAGCCGGTCGCTGTGGAGTAAGCTCATAACATGCGGAGGTTTGTTGGGGCAAAGCATGTACAACTTAGGTTTAATAAGCTTGTTAAACTGTCTCAAAAGTGCCAAGATATTCTGAGATTACTGTGACTGAGATCGGCTTAAGTCATATAGCCATACTGTTTGACACTGTTGATAACGGAGCTGTGAGAAAATGAGATGAGTGCCCAGGTGGCGCAGAGGCGCCTTCATTTAGATGGGAAAGGCTGAGCTTGGATGGGCCTGGTGTGGTGCCTTATTTGCATGATTTTGATTGTTGTGTTCAGGCTGCCTTTGACAATATATGTCCGTCCAAGGCGATTGAGCGAGGTGGTGTAGAGGTAGTGCAATCGTTGAGGCATATCGGTGGTTTAGCGGCAACGCACGGCCATGCGCTAACATATCTCCACCCTTCTTCCCGCCTCCTTCCAAGCTTCCTTTCTCCATCGCTCAGGCAGTAACAAACCATGTCATCGACCATCGCATACCACTACTTCCAACTACTTCGCCAAGCGTATCTCATCCGTATTTTTCTCGGCTAAGCAACCTTGCCTACGTACTGCAATGCCTACTAGCATGGTCCGACAAATCGCACGAGAGGGCTTCAGCCTTCTAAGGTTGCTCCCATGACGCAATACGTGACAGTAAGGTGAGTGTATTGCGGACACAGGAGGTAAGATTGCAACCCATAACTTCGTGCATGCAGACATTCTACTTGAACCGTATTTTCTCTACTGCAGTGCACTGGTTTGAAAGAACTATTTGAAAGAAGAGGCTGCGTGTTTCTGTTCTGGCGCTTTATGGCTGAATGCAGCCCGAGCCTACTCTCGGCGATCTTGTAGAGAATATTATGGTATCCAGCCTTACGTCAAACGCATTGGCATTTTCGGAGCCCTTTCCATGCAGACAAAATGCCGTACTGTCTGTCTATCACTGCTCTCTTAACCCTTCCGGACCATCACCGCCGCTCGTCATTTACTCGACTCGAGGATCGCGATAGCCTGGGTCCGCGCCTCATCCGAAGCATAGATGTGTATGCATCTTGCTGATACCGTCGAACGTTTGCGATATCAACCCAACCGGACATGGTCGGTCTGACATGGATCGTTGCAAGCTCTTCATCTGCATGGCATTAGTTGTTGCATTGAGCAGGTAGCTGCTGTGCCACTTACCATTTATGAGTATTCTTCGCCATCTTGACGCTGTCCAACGATTTTGATCCTTAAGGCAGTGCTTGCACGCCAGACCTATGCCGGATAGCAAGACCATGATGAAGATGGAGACTAGGGCGAATATGGCTTCTCTAGACCATGGCTGACTATCTTTAGCAGTCGTAGTAAAGTGAGTCACTGGAAGCGATCAGTATGCCGGCAACTATACATGTTGTTCTCTTTTCACAAATGCATAGAAGAACACGCATGATGCCACAAGTCAAAGCTCAATGAATACACTGAAATCATGCGTACAATTTGCCTCCATGTTTTGGGGAAACTAGCGATGATACTCGAGAATACCGGTGATGAGGATGAGGGCGCTAATATGGCGGCGACGGTTTTGAATTTGGAACGGTATAAATCGATAATGTAAAGCACCAGGAAGTACTGCGTCGAAGTTAAATCTACTATGGAGTAGCAAGAGTGTAGAAATAGAATTACGGAAAGCTGCGAGCTATAAGTGCCAATGATAGGGTAGGTGGCCAGTTGGGAGGTACTTTTCTAAGTGGCCGATCGACCTGAGCTAATTGGGCTATGGGGCGGTGTTGATATGAATAAGAAAAAAAAATTGCTAAGCTCTCATGGTCCTGATCTGCTTGAAATCCTGAAAGACTAAACTTGTTCAAGGGTTATTGAATAGAGGGAATTAACGTGCGACTGTAAGACTAATAGCAGACATCCCTTGAGGCCCTGGCTGGCGCCGCCTCATCGCCCGCGGTAGGGATCCGGGGGCCTGGGATCAGGATGTACCCTTTGCGTTTCTGACTTGACACCACTACTTTCCTGGCTAACGCACCTTATCGTCCGCGGTAAGGATCCTGACCATAGTGCAGCTTCTGATTCGCTCTCCTCCTGTGGCTTTACGCTTGCGGCGCGCCACTTCAGGTCTTCTCCCCACGAAGCCTATTGGCCATATGTAGAGGCACAAGTATGTCTGCCGGAGATTTCGGCGAGATGAAAGCCAAAAGAGAAGTCGCACCATACCCGGAGTGCTAACAGAGCCTACCCAGAGGCACAGGCGTCGATGGGGAGTGTTTCCCAATCACCACAGCTGACAGATTTCGTCCCTGCCAATGGAAGATTGCGCTTACGTGTTAGCGCGATGACCTGAGTCCCCAGTCATCACGAGTTGTAGCTTCCTCGCCCTGCTCCGGCTATCTGACGCCAGAAACTTCACTACCGAAACTTTGTATTGAGAATAGTATACTAGCAAGTGTGGACTATCATCGAAAAAGATTCAAAGTCTGGTATAGTCCTCTACCAGTAACCGAAGCTTTATGGCTGACTTCATTGAAGGGTGGTACTCACTTGTCACTGCCATGAGAGCGGCGGGACGTAGGATTGTAGGTTTGTGAGAGATTTCTGGATGAACACAGTAATATGAGAAGGCAGGGGACGATCGTTGAAGCTACGAGAAATAGGTTGGGTGAAGCAAGAAGTTAGAAGAAAGGACAAAGTATTTTGTATACTCATTTCATTCCCTATCCAAAACCTACTCATTCTCAAAGAATCTCATACCGATCCTACCTTCAGCGACCCGGCACTTACAGTAGACATATATGCACCAGGCGCTCAAGGTGATGGAAAGAAGGTATATACATGAGCAATCCAGCCCATCCGAAACCCTCCCAGCGGACAGGTAACAGCAAAACTATAAAATATCCTCAAGACATTATCGACTAAAGTATCTCGCCTCGCCTGCTCCGAGACCGTCCACATAAGTGTGGCGGGGTGGGTTAATGCGAGGCTTCGGGGTATAAGTATCGAGAAGCAAAGAGGTCAAGTAGCGTCTGACTCCCACTGCGAAGCGTGTCATTCTACAATGTACGTACTCGAAGAAATAGGCGCGATGGGAGTAGCCGCTACTGGGAATCGAAGCTAAGCGAAGGGAACGCGGTAACAGATTCGCAAGGAAACGGATACCTTCAGATGGAAGAAAACAAAAGGAAATAGATAAAGATAAGAAACCGCTCAAAACATTCCTCATAAAAGCACCAGTCTTAGATCAATTCAAGCTTACATGGCCATACCAGGGACCGGCTTCCGACTCGGCATGGGAAGAGGACCGTTAGGGTTCATGGGGCTTGGACCGGGAGCTGGGCCTCGTCGTGGGTTACCAGCCTGACTCGCGGAGTTGGATCGGGGACGACCGCCCATTTGAGGTGGAGGGGCCATCTGTGGTCCGCCGCCGTATGGGCCGGGAGACATGGAGCGTGGTGGACCAGCGTAGGGCGCATTGCTGTTAGAGCGGCCACGAGGAGCACCTTGCTGAGGAGCGTTGCTGTTTGATCGCATGCGAGGGCCTTGCATCTGCTGAGGCGACATCTGGCGAGGAGACATTTGGCGAGGACCGGGGCTACCTTGAGGCATGCCAGGGGAGTTCATGCCACTGGCCGGTGAGAGAGGACGGGGCTGAGGACCACCAGGACCCATCTGGGGACGGATAGGAGGCCCACGCATGTTACCTGGTGGTGGAGGGCCCTGACGTGGCGGGCCGTTACGAGGCTTGACCGGGTGTTTGGAGAGACACGTGCGAGGAACGACACCTTGTTGCGAACGGTCCATGCGGATGCAGAGAGCCTGGAAATAGTTAGTCACTGTTGTTCAGTCAAAAGAGAAAGTCGAACTTACCCAACCGTCATCGTACTCGTGAAGCATGCGAACAAGTTGACCAGCGCGGAGATCGAGTTCATCTTGCATAGAAGGCTTGAAGTCAAGTTGAACACGATGTACATTGTTAGGACCTGGACCGGCGGCAGGGCTTTGGGGACGAGCACCAGCCATTGCGCCAGCGACAGGAGGAGGACCGGTGGGAGCAGGGCCAGGAGAAGCGGGGATATCTTCAGTCCATGCCGGGCTTGGGGGAACACTTGCGTTGTTGGCGGCGACTGGTGGTGGAGGGGGAAGCTCGGAGGTTGGGGGAGGGATCGAAGACGCAACTCCTGCCAGTGCAACAGCATTTACATCAGCTGCAGCAATAGCCGGAGCTGGGTTGGCGAAGTCAGCACTGGGCTGGGAAGAGTGCATTGCGGAGGCCATTGGAGAAGCGTTGGGAGGTGAGTCGGGAATTGAAGCTTGCTTAGTGTCGACCGCGGCCTTGTTTCCGAAGGGGTTCGCTGAAGGAGGACCAGATTGCGTCTCGGGATCCTTGAATGGGTCAGCGGCTGGGGCGTTTGCAGCACCACGTCGCTCCCAGGCGCTTGTCGGACGCTCGGCGGAGACAGAAGGTGAGAGGTTGCGGTTCTGTGATTGAGCAGCAGCACCACCGGCAGCAGCAGCAACGTTGAGCAAGTTTCCTCCGCTCTTTCGCTGCTCGTTGAAAGCTGGATCGAATTGGGTGACTGGTCGCAGGCTGAGACGGGGGGCAGTTGAAGCGGTGCGAGCAGAACGGATGCTAGCAGCTGGAGCAGCACCAGCCATTACTTGAGGAGGCGGTGGGTGAGGTGCATTGTACATTTCAGTCTTCTCATTCTCCTGGGCAGCGGCTGCAGCCATTTGCTTCTTCTTGCGACGGTACAAAAGCAAGATGCCAGTAAGTATGGCACATGCGACCAGGAGTATACCAAGGGCAAGACCTGCCTTTGCACCGGTGGACATGCCATCCTCAGAGTCTGCTGCAGCGGCCGAGGAGGAAGAAGCGGTAGCTGAAATAGTGGCGGCTGTCGCAGACGCAAGACCAGCGATTGATGAAGCGGGGCTGGGCGTGGGAGACTTGGTCGCTACCATGAGGGTCGAGGCAACCTTGAGCGGGCTCTTGGTCGTCCCGGTCTCCTCCACAATGAGGTCGTCGTCTGAATCCTGTGTCGAAGACGGCTTCCTCGCGGTTGTGGTGGGCTTTGTGGGCTTGGCGGTCTCCTCCGGCTCGTCTTCTTCCTCGGTAGTGGTGGTTTCGCGGGCGCGTGTCGCAGGCGCAGGCAATGCGATTCCGGGTTTCTCGGTCGGCTCTGGTGATTCCTCTCCTTCGGTCACTGCGATAACCTGCGTAACAATCGCGACCACATCATCATCGTCGTCGTCGCGACCGCGTTGCCGTCGTACAAGATGCGCTCCTGCGTGTTGATGCGCCATACCGTGCATTGTGGCGTATCAAAAAGGTCCAGTTGATGTGATTATGTGTTATGTCGTTTTGTTTGTATGGCTCTCAGGTGATAGATCCCCCGTGAAATTAACTGTGACCAGCTCTTGCGTTCGTTCGAGGTTCCGTGTAGTGCGTGATTACGTATTACGCGCAAGAATGTCTCGAATGAAGTCGGCCGGATGTAAAGACTGTGGTGCTCGAAGAGGGCACAGGGTTGGATGTCGTATTGGGTGAACTAGGCACTAGACAGAAAGGAGTGTGTAACTATGTGTATGTTTGTAAAGAGTGAAATGCGGCAGGCAGCGCTTGATGAAAGAAGGACAAGACGACAACCTGGCCGCAGGAGTACGTGATGTCGTGAGAGGAATTAGAGAGGCGGCGTGGAGGTGAAGGAGCGTCGGTGAAGGACGCAGCTGAAAGACAGGGAAACAAACGGCAGAGCGACCACACTCGAAACGCCCGCGTGCCTGGCAAGGCCGAACCATGAGAGCTGATCCGTGCAGCCGTACATCTTGCCGTGTTGCGCATTAGCCTGAGCTTAGGGCCAGGCACGTGTGAATCGTGATTGGACTTCTCATCTAATTTCCTGGGGGCGTTTAGCGCTCGAGCTATTTTCTGCCTCAGCCTCGCGTTGGTGTGCGAATGGCGGTGCAGACCCCCTTATGGAGGGTGATTATCGGCGCGTTTGAGATAGCGACATGGCTTGAGCCGTCTTCAAGTTATCCTTCATGTCATCATCGTTCATTGTGCAGTAGTCGATGCGCCTTGTTCATATGTACTCTGGCGGCGTAACATTGTCTCAACTAACATGGCTCACTGATCTGCCCCGTTAGGCTGTTCACGTCGACATAGTAGTGATATGGCGACCCAAGGACTATCCTGCGCATCCGGTAATTACATGCAGATGGCAGATGCAAGCCTGGGTGCCTCGTGCATAGTGGTTGCTTTCTTGGGCCGGTACCCATCGAGTCGCAATTTCGCTCGTCATCAAAGCTGCATGATGACACGGCAGAGCGCGGGCGATGACAGCATGAGTGCCGTACGCGGTTGTATGTTTGCGACGATAGCTTCTAGCCGTCGCGTGCTCACGCTTTGTGAAGGCAGCCTGCGAAATGCGAGGGCGAAGGCGGACAGGACGAAAAGTAATTAGCAGCGGAGATTTCCAATAGTGACATTGGCAAGAAGCAAGGACAGACTTGTATTGCGCATCGTTGGTTTCCGAGATCACGGCGAGCCGAATTTTGTTCTATATCTGAATTTCGCGATCATGTTCAGATGTTGCTATGGACGTGGAGAGTACAGGTGTGGGTACTTCCTTACATAAATCCAAACCTTGACACTCCACGATTACCATAGTACACAAGGACCATTCGCCCACATTGTGTTCGTCATATTTTTATTAGAGATATTTATTGTTAAAAATGATTAGTCATCATCAATACAACATCAGCCTTCCTAGCTCAGTGGTAGAGCGCGTCACTAGTAATGACGAGGTCGTCAGTTCAATTCTGGCGGAAGGCATTGCTTTTTGGTGGCTGGACTCTAGTGGCGCACCAACAACAACCATTCAATTCATGCTTATGCAACGTAAATATCTATTCTTTTTGCTTCACCAGTAGTAATGCGACTCACTATTTCGTTGACATATTGGTTTTCCTAGTGTGCCCATTAAAGCAATCTCCCATCATCTATGTTGCCAGAAAAGTTTAGACTTGCATTTAATGATCATGATAAAGGACAACGCACAAGATCATCCAACAAATTACCTCCCTTCAATGCGACCATTTCCAGCCCAGCTTCCTTACACGGTTCCAGTATCTACATCTATAGGGGCTGCGTTCTGCCGGGAGCTACGGCGATGCGATGTGCGAAAGTATATATATACCGGACGTAACGCACGAATGGGTCGCGATTCTAACGAGCGTGGAACCCAGTCTATGTTGAATGATCCATGTATACGTGTGGAATCTGGAAAAGATCGGAGGCAATCGTTGCAGCCCAAGCGTGCTATGGGAACAGTGAGATTGCTTTCAGCATGGCTGCTGAGGATACGTTCGTGAGTACTGGACATGTGATTCGGAGATCGAAAAAGTGTGATGGCATGCTGAAATACCGTCTCGAAGAGGGTTGGGACAGTTGAAAACTGTGATGCGAAAACATAGTCGGCACGTATATCACATTTGAATATTCTGTGTAGATGCACGTTATAGTGAATTTTGGTGGGGGAGTTTTGCATGTGAAGCTTGCATGCAGCTATGGGGAAAGAGCTTGACAGCCTCCCAGGAGCTGGAGCTTGGGCGCATAATAAGTGGGGCAGGCTAGGTCGTTGCGCTACCGGCGCCCAGTCACCGATCCATAGCTTCTTTGCATCCCGTCTTTCGGATTTCCTCATCATGCAATCCAAGTCGATAGCAATCTTCTGAAGCAGTGGAGAATTCTCACCGCGATTGCTGCTTCCACGTCTGACCATTGTGGATCCGGACTCTACTGCAACATCGCACATCCGGTTCAATCTGCCACTCGAGCTTTCACCCAGGATCAAGGATCTTCAATCGATCAGAGCTCCCTTTGATGGCCAGCGCTGCTCCCATTCAGAATAGGCCATATCGCTCGCACAAAGTACCGGCCTGTACAAGATGTCGCTCGCGCAAGATCCGATGTCACATCGACATTCCTGGAGAACCATGTCTATCATGCCGGGAAAGACGGCTCAAGTGCCAATATGTCGAGAATTCAACGACCAGTTCTCCTACAGATGAGGGTTCTGACCGACGGCCCTCCAAGCGGCGACGGCACAGCGAGCCTGAGGACGGCCCTTCTCGACCTCGCTCAGCGCCCATCTTACACAAAACCAATAACAACCCGTCCGCGTCTATTATGCTTGCACCACATTTTGCTGAAGATATAGACATCTTCAATCGACATATTTCGCAGCATCGCAAAGCGGAGGGCGAAGTGGAATCTTCCAACTACCAGACACTTCTACACGATGCGAAAGACCCGGTGGTGTATCTGACTGTCCCAAGGTTTCGCACTGGCCTACCGCCCAACAGTGGATGTGGAAGAGAGCAACTTGAGATCGTTGAACAGATCATGGGGCCTTTCAAGAGAGAAGTGGTGGAGCTCTATTTCAATCACATTCATTATCATTTCCCCATCCTAGATGAAGAGATGTGTGAGACGCTGCGAACTGGTCAATACGGCAAAGTACCAAACAACTTAATGTGTGTGATCTACGCATTGGCGTCACCACATTGGACAAAATCGGATACCCTGAAGATGCACCCCAAACCAAACTCATACTACGTCTGGAATAAGGGCATCTCAGCAACGCTAGAAGACTTTCTCAGCCCCGGAATGTCTACTATACAAGCTGCTGTGCTCGATCAGGTTGGACGGCCTTCGGTTTCTATTATCGGCAATATCACTCTATGTGGCCGGACAGTTTCATTGGCCCAGACATTCGGGCTACACAGGGATCCATCAAAGTGGAATATCACGGAGAACGAAAAGTCGGTTCGAATGCGACTCTGGTGGTGTGTTCTCATTACCGATCAGTGGTCTAGTGTTGCATATGGCGCACCGCCTTATGTGTCAAAAGGCTACTACGACGTCCCGCGCCCAACTGTGACGTCGCTTATTGGTAACAAGGCGAGCTCGCAGCAGAAGCAAACTACTACCTGCTTTATACATTTATGCTCTTTGACGGAGTTGCTTGCGGAAATCTTGCCTTTCGTCTACCAGATCAACCCAGATCGGATACAGCTTGCCCGGGAGATTGATCGTTTCAAGCACGAACTGAACGACTTGGAAGCACAGCTTCCTGAATGGCTCCCTCTTCCGAACCGTCCAGGCACGCCCATGCTGTGGCTCTCATTCCTCTCAATCAGGCTTGTACTTGCCCGCGTCATCTTCCGCGCAGCAGTTCTCGATGGAGATGGTAGTATAGGGCGGAACCGGATGGATCAACTGCGCATCGCATCGTCGGCAGTCCTCGACTTCATATTGACAATGGGTGAGACCCAATTCCTGGACTTCTGGCTACCCTATGCGACTCATCTCTTGGTACACGCCATCACTGTGTCGCTTCGATGCACTGTGGAAACTCAAGACCCTGAGATACGGAACACATCTGTCGCACGCCTTGAACGTGTCATTGCGCACATTCAGCATGCACGAGACAACTATGATTGGGATCTCGCAAACTATGTGCTGGAACGGTGCGCTGATCCTGTGTCGAAGATCGCATCGCTAAACGCACGAGAGGTGCCACAGCCGTCGGAAACAGAGCTCACTAGCATTGTTGCTAATGGGAATGGGAGCGATGTGCCGGTGATGCCCAACTTTGACGACGCGAGCTTCTTGTTATCTGACATATTGGACCCGAATGCTTTCGATTTCTCCTGGGATGCATTATGGGATACACCGTCTGGAATGACGAACTTCTCGATCTGAGGCATCTGTTTATACACTGCCGTCTATGATATGTACGATTAAGTTGTCACGATCTGGGCACAAACATCTCATTCTTAGTGTGTGTATGAGAAAAACAGCCTGCCTTCTGCCGCCCATTCATCAGACAGCCTCATGTGAGAGTGATGACACTGTGACTTGCCCCGCACAAGCCTCATGATCTTATCGCCATCTCTCAGTAAGGAAACCCCTACCCCGCTACACCTGTAGATGAGTTGTTTCATCGTACACATGTCTCGGTTACAATCGTAAACAAGAGCTTTTTCGGCAATGCTCTTGGGAGCGAATGCTTGTGCTGCTACCAGTGATGTCGCTACGGAGAGAATGGTCCAACTCTTCCTAGAGCGCATGCCATACTTGCACTCGTATATTGGTACTTTTCAGTGCTTCCACTGAAGAAGATACGGAGTAGACGCTGGGAAATATGGGGGATCTTTTTCGAGAGGATTGTGCGCATGTTGGACTCTTCGGAACTGTTAAGAGAAACTGGACTTATCATCACCCGAATAAGATAGAGTGGGATAAAAGATCCACCGCGTTGCGGTACCAACGCATTTAGGAATATGACAGAATTGTCCTTCGGGGCATTTTCTCAATCACCCGAAGCGCTCGGTACTCTTTTCGATCCGAAACTCTAGAAATTGGTTCACAGAGAAGATGTTCCCGGTCATTCAGGGACCCTATTATTCGTCAATCAGCAGTGAATTGATCTTGATGTACTGCGGCGTCGAATTGCGTATTGTGATATGCATCACGGTCTCATGTGCAGGAGGCGACTACTTCCCAGGAAAGAAGATATCATCGAACCGAAATTTCTCGCAGACACTAAGGGTTCTGCGAACATTTAGGGATACGTTTGCAATTATGAAGCTTCTTGGCTATCGCTATCTACGGGTGGATTCGCTGTGTATCGTGGGTACACGGTTGTGCAAAGTATCTACCCCATTATCCTCCAACAGGAGATGAATCAGCCCAGGCTGGTATACATGTTGACTCCTAGTGCGTGATACTTCAGCCTTGCTTCCGGCTGGATGAAAACGCATTTGAGATGATGAGGAAGATTCCAATGAGCTTGATCTTACAGGATAGGTCAAGCCAGACTTTTTATTGAAACAGCAATGTCACTTGAAGTTCAGCAAGGAGTCTCACAGCCGTTACTGGTATCCTTTCCCCGTCTCAAAGTTCAATGATGACGACTGAAAGACATTATCATTACAAACAGCATATCTTTCCACTAGAATTGGGCGCGCGTATCTGTCCGGCCACATCATAACGGGTACGCGTATATAGGGCAGATGCGACGGACGCGATTGCTACATATGACTCACACGACCAAATGGCCAACATGTCGGCTATATAATGCTTCGTGACAAGAAAGAGATGGGAGTACCTGGATTCTCCGAAATTTTATGCTCGGTGGAGCTTGTGGCGACCTGCCAAGGATACAGGGCAGATATATTCGTTGTTAGAGAGGATTAGAACGAGTCTTTGGCTCCGCCTCAATTAGCAGGCTCGGTGCTCTTCAATGCCTATCGAGCATGCTACTTCGTGCTGTGGATCGGATGGATCGATGGTATTGCTTACCCGAAGGCAAGCGGGGCGGTCGCTGCAGACGTGTGGGAACAAGATCAAGAGAAGGAGCCAGTGGATCTTATCCTGGGATAAAGGACACGTCTCGTCGCATATTGCCCGGCCAGGCGTCTTCTATCACTCATTTCACTTCATTGAACCTGTACACCTTACTTAGTCGCGCAATTTAGCCTTCTCTTTCTACAGCCTGCATGCAATACGAGCCGATCGCTCACACATCAGAGACCACAAATTCATAACTGATACACCACGAAACAGTGCAGGTGAGCAACTAACAATTCGGCTTCCGTGTATGGTAAAGTTCAACACATTCACCTCGGTCTCTTTGAGCATAGTCTCACGGTTTGGTAAACCACCATCAACCTCCATCCCTTCAGTCGCAAGTATATTCAGGCTCTGCCTACTAGCCTAGGCATATTAGAATCTTCATTGAACTCATGTTAGCCATGCGCCATACAACCGTGCCACGCATATTCATCTCCCTAACCGTGCATCGTCTGCCCACCTGGTCCCCTCTCCCAAAACTCCAACGTCAGCGCACTAAGGAAACAAGGTATCTCCTTCCTTCCCTCAACCCAGTACACAATCTGATCGCGTATCTCGCCCGCAAAAACACTCTGCTCTCCACCCGAGACCTTCATTGTCCCATTCTCGCCATCAAACACTATGCTATTCTCCCCTTCCTCATCCGCAGGTTTGAACATACTGGTAACCTTGACCCGCCCGTTGGGCATAAAATCCAGCTTCCAGCCCAAGATCGAGGCAACAGCTTCTCTAAACTCGAGAGATTTCGCCGTCCAGATCTGTTTTAGACGCACGATTTTCTTGGACGAGGAGGCGAGTTGGGCTTTCAGTTCTTCGAGCTCGTCTCTAGCGGCATCAAGCGTGGCGAGTGGGACGTTGGAAGGCGGTGTTCTTTGGTTTTCGAGCTGGTCGATGAGCTGGACGTTGGCTTCGCGGAGAGTGCGCACTGTACTCAATTTGAGGGCTTCGGCGTCGGCGGTAGGATTAGATTTTAGCTCTAGGACGCGCGTGCGTGAAGATTCCTTTAGCTTCTTAAGCTGCGAGTGCTGCGCTTTGTATTCGGATTCGACGAGCTTCATCTTCTTTTGCAGAGTGTTAAGGTCGTCTTGTAATTGGCGGTTCTTTCGGCGTAGCTCGCCTACGCGTTCGTCGTCTTCGTTAGTGTCAAGAGCGCGCTTTTGGCCTGTCGTGGCGGGAGCAGGTTTCTCTAGGCTATTAAATTCTTTCTGTAGAGTATCAATCTCCTTGCGATATTGATCGACAAGATCTTCAAGCTCCTTTATCCGCTCGGATTTTGCGGCATCGAATGTGTCAGGCTGCATCTCACGCTCTTCGTCGTCGAAAGCTTTGACTTGAGCGCGTAGGAAGTCGACTTCCTTGGTTGCTAAAGCTTTCTGTCGTTCAAGCCGGGCCCGTACTTTTGCGTCAGCGTTATTTGTCGCGGCCGTGTTTCCGGCTGTCTTGAGTTGCTGGATCTCGGCTTGTAATTTGGCCTTCTCCTCTTCGAGTGCTTGTATATTGGCCTCCTTAACAATGAGCTCAGGTTTGATCTCGCCTAGTCTATTGAGAAGATCGGTCCTTTCTATGCGCTCTTGAATGAAGGCTCGCGCAAGGTCTTGGGGTGTTTCGAAGAGTACCTCGCCATGTATCTCTGCCTCCGCCTCAAGGTATGACGTCCACGAGTCGCGCTCTTCTTCCAGGAACTGTTTCCTGAGCTCTGCCTCGCCCAATTGCCGTTCTAGATCTTCCATCATGCGCAGCTTCGTCTGTAGTGACCTCTTCTCCTCCTCGACTACCTCGATAGCCTTGTGTTGTTTCCGATACTGCTTAAGCTCAGTATTCTGCTCTCTAGTCAGGGTCTCCAGCTTTTTGATGTGTGCAACTTGGTCAGAAAGCTCCCTCTTGATAACTGCCAGTGTTTCCGCGTCGCCCGTGATTGCCTTCAGGCGCAACACCTCGGCCTCCATTTGACCGACTTCCTCCTCTTTCTGCGCGAGCTTCCTCTGCGACGTTTGCAGAGCATCAACTTTAGCTTGTAGATCTGCATGCATCTCTTCTACACTGTCCTTGAGTGCCTTGTGTTCCGTTTGTAGCGTGTTGTACCTGTGCTCATTCTGCCGTTGTGATGTCGCCAACTCCTCCTTAACCTCGTCGTATTCCTCTTGTAGCGACTGTGCCTTCTCTTGACTCTCGCGCAACCGCCTTTCCAGTGCTTGCCGCTCGTTGGCAGCCCTTGTCTGCGCCTCAGTCATTTCTTTGGTCAGCGCATCATATTTCTTAGTGGTGAGAGTATTCGATGCCTCGACTTGCTGCGCTTTTCGGAAATCGGCATCGGCGCGGTTTTGGGCGTCTCGAAGTTCTTGCGCATGCTCCAACTTCATCATCTCTTTCTCTTGTTTCGCCGTCTCGAGCTCATATCGCACGGTGTTGAGTTGCGCGCGTAGGTCTTCGTTGATGGGGTCGGAAGGCACAACCGTATGCGGCGCATTCTGTGAGGCTCGCAATGTGGTTCGGAAGGTTTCGCGCAGAGGTTCTCGTTTGGCAGTCGCAGGCGCCGGCGTTGGCTCCTCCTCCTCGCCAGTGAGGAAGTTGAAGGACGGCTGTGTGGTGTTGCGCACCGTCATGGTAATAGTGACTCCTGTTGGTTTGTTTGTTGTGTCAAAGTTGGGTAAAGAACGTATATCGTCGGAAATCGAATGCGAATGCGACGACTATGCCATTGTGTATGCCGGGTGAGGTTCTTTCCTCACAGTGACGGCGTGGAGTTTGAGCGAGTGGTTGATAGATAATCGTCCTTGTTGTCGCAAAGCATCGTGTCTGGGGTTCAACGCGCCGCTCGGGCAAAGCCGCTTCGGGCCTAGTGTGTAAGGCAGCTCATCTCGAATCTGGCGTTCTCACGTGATTGTACGTGAGACGCGCGGATCAAATGTTTCGCCAGTTCCGACGCGGGCGCGCTTTGACGCGTTCGGCCATGCTCTCTCACTGCCCAAGCATCTATCCAAGAATCATCATCACCTCACAACCATAATCAGCGTGTGACCACCATGCGCCTAGAGCCCAAGAATCGCCTGAGTTATATTGATTAGCGACTGCAACCATGTTCAACTTTACTCCTCTTCTGGGCGCGCAGAGCTCGTCGCCAGCGTCGCAGTCATTGCTAGAGTTCGATGGAGGCATACAGATCTTGATCGATGTTGGTTGGGACGAGGATTTCAGCGTAGAGAAGCTTAAAGAAATTGAGAGGTAGGTCCTCGATCTGGTTGCGAATGCAGTGTGGATGACAGTTGAATTGCGGACTGTTCATACATAGCACATGCGCCTAAGAAGCACTGGCAGCGGGTAGCAAAGTCGCTATATAGCAATACACTATACATACACGACGACTAATCTAGACACTCCAGACATGTCCCCACCCTGTCCTTCATCCTACTTACTCACGCGACCACTGCGCATCTCGGAGCCTACGTACACTGTTGCAAGAACTTCCCTTTGTTCACACGAATACCCGTCTACGCGACAAACCCCGTTATATCTCTCGGCCGAACGCTACTACAAGACTTGTACGAATCCACGCCGCTTGCATCATCGATAATCCCCGCCGAAGCCCTCAGCGAGTCCGCATACTCCTTCTCTTCGGCACTGAAGGGCGGGAAGAATCCTAACATTCTTCTTCAAGCGCCTACGTCGCAAGAAATTGCCGATTACTTCGCCCGCATCAACCCCCTTCGATACTCGCAACCACATCAGCCTATTCCTTCACCTCATTCGCCTCCACTCAACGGTCTAACAATCACCGCATACAGTGCTGGGCACACTTTAGGAGGTTCAATATGGCACATACAGCATGGTATGGAGTCGGTCGTCTATGCCGTCGACTGGAACCAGGCTAGGGAGCATGTCCTCTCTGGAGCTGCTTGGCTTGGAGGACCCGGCACTGGTGGCTCTGAAGTCTTGGAACAATTGCGTCGTCCAACTGCCTTGATCTGCAGTAGCAAGAACACCGGTATGGTTAAGGTGGCCAGATCGCCCAACAAGCGAGACGAAGCCCTCCTTGAGATGATCCAGGATACAGTAGCCAAGGGTGGAACCGTACTGATCCCATCTGACTCAAGTGCACGTATACTTGAACTGGCATATCTCCTTGAAGAGACATGGGAGCGGGAGGCAACAAACACGGAGGGTGTCGGTGCACTACGAAGCGCAAAAGTCTACCTAGCGAGTAGGACGGGTGGTGCAACAATGCGCTACGTGCGGAGTATGTTGGAGTGGATGGAGGAGGGCATTGTGAAGGAATTTGAAGCCAGCGCTGCCGATCAAGATCGAAGGAATAAGAACGGAAAAGAAGAAGATCGAGCGAGAGTCCCGTTCGACTTCAAGCACATAACGTTGGTCGAGCGTAAGACACGTGTAGCTCGCATGCTGGGCACTACTGGACCGCGAGTGATTTTGGCAAGCGATGCTACGCTCGAGTGGGGATTCTCAAAAGATGCTATACGGAGCCTGGCCGCTGATGAGAAGAACTTGGTCATACTTACGGAAAGAGCTGGTCAACTGGGCGCTCAGAAGAAGGGCCTCGGTAGATATCTCTGGGAGCTGTGGAACCAGCGCAACGCATCACCGGGACAAGATGCTCCCTCTATCACTGTAATAGATGCCGCAGGCGATCAGGCGCCGCTCAACACTGTACGGGCAGTCGCACTCGAAGGTGACGAAGTTCCGCTTTATCAGCAGTTCCTTGCCGGCCAGAGACAACGGCAAACCACCATGGGCGGCGACAATGCAGCCATGCTCGAGACATCCGCTGATGTTGTTGACGATCGATCATCAACGGAGTCGGAGAGCTCGGAAGGCTCTGGTGACGGATATCGAGGAAAAGCCCTCAATGCAACCGTTGCTCTCCAACATGCGCGAAACAAACTTGGTATGACAGACGCGGAATTGGGCGTCAATGTCCTTGTACGCCGCAAGAACGTTCACGACTACGAAGTGCAAGGAAAGAAAGGAAAGGAGAAGATGTTTCCGTTCCAGGCCAAGAAGCGTCGTGCGGATGACTTTGGTGATCTCATTCGCCCTGAAGACTTTGCGCGTGCTGAAGAGGAAGACAACACTGCCGGAGAAGCTCTTCGTGGCGAGGGAGCAAAGAAGGAGAATGCTGTTGGTCAGAAGAGGAGATGGGATGATCTATTAAACAGCGCCGACGCCAGTAAAGCCAGCGCCAATCAGAAACGTCGAAAAGACAAGGAACTTCGAGAAGGCGAGGATGGAGAATCTGACAGCGAACCCGAAGACGACCCTGACAAGGTGGAGGGTCCATCGAAAGTCATTATTGAATCGGAAACCCTGGAGATCCGGTGTCGCATTGCCTTTGTGGACTTCTCAGGCCTACACGACCGCCGCACGATTCAGCAGCTTATCCCGCTTATCAAGCCTCGCAAGCTGATCTTCGTAGGTGGTGAGGAAGGCGAGACTCTCGAGCTCGCAGAGATCAGTCGCATAGCGCTGAATGCGAATACCGATTCTGCCAACGCCATCGATGTCTTCACACCCACTGTGGGCACGATGATTGACGCCAGTGTCGACACGAATGCTTGGAGCGTCAAGCTCAGCCGCAGCATGGTGCGCAACCTCCGCTGGCAGAACGTACGTGGCATGGGCGTTGTAGCCATCACTGGCCGCCTCGCAGCCGCAAGCCTCGAACCTGAAGTCAAGGAAGAAGCGGACACGCCTGCGAAAAAGAAGGCCCGTCTTGACGCTCCCGCCGTCCCTGTGTCTAGCGACAAGAACGATGATACGCCCATCCTCGACGTTGTCCCCACGAATATGGCCACCGCCGTTCGATCCGTCGCACAACCGTTCCATGTCGGTGATCTTCGTCTTGCCGATTTGAGGAAGCTCATGAATGCCAATGGCATGCAAGCGGAATTCAGGGGCGAGGGTGTGCTAGTTATCAACGGCACGGTGGCTGTGAGAAAGACGGCTACCGGTCAGATTGAGATCGATGGAGGGGCTTATGGTAATCTGGATCCAAGGAATAACGATGCTGCGACATTCTCTAGGGTCAGGAGACAGATCTACGAGGGCTTGGCCGTGGTCGCTGGAGGTTAAAAAGTAGAGGTATGAATCGGTTGGCATACTGGGCATTTGCTTTAGACCTGGGAAAGCTGTCACATCTAGTCTGCTCCAATGAAGTGCAATGATCAGCGTAGTAGCAATTGATGGGTTTTTAGCTCAACAACCTCTGAGACGGGTGCCTGCCACTATGCGTGTTGCTGCGTGGTCTTCTTCCTCAGACTCCAATCGCGGTTTTTACGAGGAAGCCTGTTTCTTCTGAGTTCTACCTACTCATGGAACCATTGAACGCCAAAACAACCCCTAAAATACCTTCGTGTACAGGTTATATATGAGGTGATTGGCCCACTATTGTAGAACACAGTACATATCTTTCGGGTGAACTATTGCTGGGTATAGCTTGGGAAAACAGAACTTTTTCGTGGGCAGATAAGATAAGCGTTAGGTTTACCACGAAAAGAGGGGTAACAACCGCGACGCAACTGCACAACGTCTGAATCCAGTCTTCGCATTCGCTTAGCCTTTTTCCTCATACTACTCTTTTCCTAAAGCGCGAAAGTCGACATTCACCTGCATCGAACACCATGCCGTCTAGTTCTGAAGAGGCACAAGCCCTCGGCCACTCAGAGTTTTGGGACGAACGGTATGCAAAGGCTGATGGTGATAAGCCAACGCACGAATGGTTCCGCGCTTTCGATGAGCTGGAGCCATTCTTCAAAAAGCATTTGTTTGATAAGAGGTGCGACGAAGGAAAAGATGCGAAAATTCTTCATTTGGGCAGCGGAGATAGTGTAGGTTCTCCCCTGGTTGAGAATTGAATTGCTACGGGCTGCACATAACTCAATGCCCAAGTGATGCCATTCTCCATGTTTTTATGTTCTGAACTGAACTACACAAACCTACGTCATCTTTGCGACCACGTCTTCGTAGGCTGACCCATTACTAGACCGTCCCATACGATCTTCTAGAGCGAGGATATACGAACCAGCTCTGTATTGATTTCTCCGCGGTGGTCGTGGATCTGATGAAATTGCGACACCCTGATAAACCCCAGGTAGAATGGAGAGTTGGCGATGTCCGGGATATGAAAAGCATCGATAGCAAATCCGTGGATGTCGCCTTTGACAAAGGTACATTAGATGCCATGATTTACGGCAGTCCTTGGAGTCCGCCTGAAGAGGTTATGGACAATAGCGGGAGGTACATCAGTGAGGTGAGTGGAAAATATGGGCATATGCAAATAGCTTTGAGCGGATGCTGACTGTGAGAAGGTTTGGAGGGTCTTGAAAGACGATGGTGTCTTTCTTTACATCACGTACCGGCAACCGCACTTTGTCAAGCCTATCCTTAATCGGAAGAATGAGTGGAATCTAGATATGGATATTATGGGTGGAGGCGACAGTTTCCAGTACTTCGGTTTCATCCTCAAGAAGAATACCTCGGACGTGAGCTAAAGACGCGATCGAGCATACTGGACCTGAAGATGAAGCAAGTGCATTGGAGGAGAAATTCGATGTATCCTGAGGATTGCGACAAAGAGTCCTAACGGTACGAAGTGCGAGAGAGCTCATTTCATGTCTTTGAAGATGTACTGTAAAAGTATATACCGTCGTATATTTTGTAAGCACACTGACAGTAAACACAGCGTATGCTCTTCAGTTCTAATCCTCCAAAAAGCGAGCTTCTTCGTAGCACAAGAAAATATTGGAGATGCGGGCGCGACAAGGTCCGCTCATCGCACAGACCACTTGGTACATATCCATCTCTTTCCCATGTCTCCTTCCTCTCAACTACACACCGAACATCACACCGTCTTCTTCTGGTCTTCGCGCTCGAACTTGGTGGATTGCATTGCTGGAACCTTGGGTTGTACATTGAACAGCATCACACTGTCTTACAAGACACAACCGACAATCCATCCTTGGTTCCCGGCGTGCACACGATTGGGGATGAACTTTCGAATACCAGCTCAATGCTTCCATTTTTCGCGCCCGAAAATTGTATGTTTGCGGATGCGTTCGCCGAGTTCAAGCCAATCCCAGCTCCGACTGTAATGACTTCGGGGGTTATGTTAAAGCCGCCGCCCAAACCGAAGTCGCTGGACCCTGCTGTAAGCCCACCTATATCGCATGTGTTAGCTGGAGCGAGTTGGAAGGAAATGCGCATAACGTACCTCCGTACGACACGTCGGCTTGCCAATTGATACCGCAACCTACGCCAATGTCGCCAAATGGTGTAAGACTACCTGCCGCCGCGACATTGCCGGACCCGCTTGTTGATGTGACGTTGCTGTTTAGGTTCGTGATATCAACGCCGTCGGCCCTTCGGTGTTGGTGTGGTGTTGCGGATGCCAGCATTTGCATAGCAAGGAAGGGTAGGGCGAGTTTAGTAAACATTTTGTCGTTGACGTTATTCTACAGTGTTCTTGCAGAAAAGCAGGACCGTTGAACGTTTATAGAGAGGAATGCCGTTGGGTGAGGCTGTAGAAGGTAAACAAAGTTCTATTTGGAGTCGATGCATTTTATAGTTTGATGATCAGGGGCAGCGGCATCTTCTCCAGCATCATTTAGGCTATTCACTATCCGTGTGCTTCTGATCCATGATTTTGTATGTTTTTACTGTGCTACAGTATGTTCCGGACGATCCGGTAATTGCGGTTTCAAGAAAGAACGACCATTCGGACCGGATCTAAGCCCCCTATCAAGCGTATGCCTTATACCGCGTTAGTAAGACTACTCGGCCCCACAAGAATCTGGAAACTTTAATTTGACCGCTGCGCTTAAGCATACTGGACGGATTTCCCTGCGAACCGTTTGGAGGTTTCTACAAGATGGAGTGCGAAGCTGCAGGCTGGGTGGCATCCAAACATCATGACTTCGGCAGGATCTCGGTACTTCTCTTGGAGGCGTTGGGCCGTACTATAGAATCTCACGGGTCCATCCTTGCCGTCAGCATCGCTGACGTAGATCACAGTTCGAGCACGGTAGACTAGCTATGTCAGATTGTGCACAACCAGATACCGCCACCATTTATATAGGGAATCCCTTCTTGTGAGATCGGGCAACGCCCATCTGCACTTTATCTCATTCAAGATGTTTACCCAGTTAGCTCTTGGCCTGCTCTTGGGAGTAGTGCATTCAGTCGTAGGTGAAGAGTCGTACGCACCGTATCCGACATCAAAGAACGAATCGCATCTCCATACTCATGATGGAGGGTTCACCCCAGACTTCTATCTCTCCGTCACATACGAAAACCACACTGTAGCATGCCAGCATCGCATGTCTGCTTTGGTCAATGGTACATCTCCTGGGCCGACGTTGCGTCTTCCAGCAGGGAAGACGAGCTGGGTGCGCGTCTGCAATGACATGGAGGAGTTTAACACAACAATGGTATGACTAAATCCAGACACTGATGTTTGAAGTTACCGCGTCTAACATAAATCAGCATTGGCATGGCCTTACTCAACGCACAGCACCTTTCAGTGATGGCTCGCCTGTCAGTCAGTGGCCCATTGCACCACACAGATGCTTCGACTACGAGATACACCCCGAAGTTGAGGATGCGGGAACCTACTTCTACCACTCTCACATTGGCTTCCAGGCTATCTCTGCTGCTGGTCCGCTTATCATTGATGACTTTGGTCTTCCTCCATTTGAGTACGACGAAGAGCGTATTGTCTTCCTCCAGGATTACTACAACAAGGCTGACGAGGCGATGGAGCATGGCCTCGTTGCGACACCATTCGTTTGGACTGGCGAGACAAATGCAGTACTATTGAACGGTATTGGTGTAGCTACTGGTGAAAAAGCTGGCCAGGGCAACTGCCAACTGCCGGTGATCGATGTGGAGCCTGGGAAGACCTATCGCATGCGCTTTGTTGGTGCGACAGCCATATCTATGGTCTCGTTCGGTATCGAAGGCCACTCCAAGCTCGACGTTATCGAGGCAGATGGCCATTATACGAAACCCTACACCATAGACCACATGATGGTGTCATCCGGACAGCGTTTCGACGCGCTTCTTAAAACAAAGACTGTAGAAGAACTCGGTAACCAGACCGACTACATCATCCAGTTTGAGACCAAAGACCGGCCTGCCATCTACACTGGCTTCGGTGTCCTACGCTACCCAAGCAATGGACCGAAGATCGCCTCTGCGCCCGCAGTAGCCCCTCTGACTCTTACCAACGCTACCTATGACTTTCTCGAATACGCTCTCGAGCCCTTGGTCCCCAACAACTTCCCCCACGCTTCCGAAGTAACCCGCCGCGTTCACGTAAGTAATGTGCAACTCAGGCAATCAACCACCATATGGCAGCTCGAAGGCCTGAACTGGACCGAAACAAACTCGGCTAATAGCCCCCCATACCTGGTCGATATCTACAAGAACGGCCCTGCAGCAATGCCAAATTATACCGCAGCCATGGAGAACGGCGGTTGGGACCCCTACACACTAACTTGGCCCGCCAAACTCGGCGAAGTCATCGAAATTATCTTGGAAAACACAGGCAGTCTCGTGGATAACAACGGCGGCTTCGACTTCCATCCTTTCCACCTGCATGGTGCCCACTTTTACGACTGCGGAAGTGGAAATGGGACGTACGACCCTGTTGAGAACGAGAAGAAGCTTGCGAACTACAACCCTGTGCAACGCGACACGACGAATCTGTACCGTTATCGCTCAAGGGGTACGGCGGGAGACGACGAGGGTTGGCGCTGCTGGAGGTTGCGTGTTCAGGATGCGGGGTGTTGGATGCTACATTGCCATGTTTTGCAGCATATGATTATGGGTATGCAGAGTGTGTGGATTATGGGTGAATGGGATGAGATCGCACGGATTCCGTACTCGGGTGCACAGGGGTATCTAGACTTTGGGGGTACAGCTTATGGAGGACAGGATATCTCGCCGGTTGCATACCACAACTGGAACGAGTAGATTGTGTAAGCTAGGCTTTCTCTTCTTCTTCTTTCTGGCCGTTAGGATCCAATGTCCTTTCTTTTCTGCCAAGTGTTTCCATTTTGAGTTGTATCTGCTATGCTTTGCGCGTCCTTCCACATACTACCGCATATGTAGATCAAGTATGAACGATAGCCTAGCCTTCGTTCTCGTTGAGATTGCTATTCGGAATCAGAGTCAAAACTGTTTGATGACTCTAGCACGTCTCCACCTGGTCAGAAAATAAAACGTTAGTTAGATGATCTATAATATGATGGGTAGCGGACGCCATCTCAGGACAGTTGCGGGTCTTGCATAATCCTCAGATCTTGGGATTACTTACCAGGCATGACCTCCCCAGAATCCATCCAGCTAATCAACCGGCGACCGGTGTAGTCTGACACGTCAGCATTTGGAAACGCCGCTCGGAGTTGGCCTGGTACATCGACACTGCAATTAGGGTGATCCACATAATTGTGATAAAACTCATCGACGCCTTCATCGTGTGCCTCGAATCCAATCAGCCGGATGACTTCCAGATTCGGGCAACTCTTGGACTCGAGTAACGCAGGAAGCACCATCTCGACAAACCGGGTATAAGAAGGGCTATTTGCGCATTGTCGCATATACTCCTTGTTTCTGGATCCATGCGCCACATTTTCCTGCGCGACAGGTCGTTGATCCAGGGTTAGATGCTGCAGTGTATTTCGAGTCGCCCTTAACAGCGTGTTCCACTCTTGGAAAATCCGCTCATCCGAGAACGTGGAAAAATGCAGAACATCGTCATCAATCTTCGGTCCGTTGCTAGGCTTGCAGAGATACAACCTTTTAAGGTTGATCAATCGTGACATAATCTCAGGCGTCAGACATGCAAGTGGACGAGGCGCAACCCATTTGCATGACGTTAAGTCTTCATGCTCGTCCGCGTTCGCGAGCTCATCCTCGGTCATATCTTTAGGGTCCTTCGGTCTTTGATTCTCGAGCGGTGGCGGATTTACCTGATTCTTTCCCCCGGCGCAATTCGAGTTACCTACTGGCCGATCCAAAACGGCCAACTGCAGCTCCTCGACCCCTTCAGGTTGCATGAGAAGCCACCTAACAAAGTCCTTGGGGAAATAGCCACGCAATTTCAGCGTCGTCAATTTTTGCAATCCCGGCAATGGCGCCTGGAAAACATCCATGCTCGGATTTGGCTCCCAAAACATCGAGATCTCTAAATGTTCCAGATTCACGAAATGCGCGAAGGTTTGGGCCAAAGTACTCGGGGCCTTGATAATTGTCGGCAAACAAAGCCATCGCACCAACGTGCCTAGTTCCTCCCCCTCCCTTCGCGTAGCTCTTTCCCCCACGTTTGATCGCCTGAAATCATCTTCAGAAACTCCTCGCTTCGACCGCGCGCTCGGCCGTCCACATTGTAAGGTGGGATCGTACGCCTTGTGGCTTCTTCGGCACGGAGCTCGTTGTGAGCGCTTTCCACGTGGAAGCCCGACCCGTGCATTTCAATCACGGTCCAGAGAAGAGGCTGCACAACGGTGTGGTATGCTTTTGTAACGCGGCTCAGCGCGCATAGGTCGCCCATAAAGAGGTATTCGGTTATACAGGCGAAGACGTCAGTTGGTACTTGTTCAATTGGAGAGGTCATGATTGCGTGATAACGGTGCGTGGATTGGGAAGCGATTCTTCACTCAGCGGAGTGTCTCAATGACCAGCGAGAAGGAAGCCAGGCAGAGGTATGAGCTAAAAGCGTTTATCCTTCGTGATTGGGAAATGTCGACTCTAAGCGCTCCTACGTGTAGGATTCATCAATTATGCCGAGTCTTACTCCGAGATGCTAATTAGTCCAAACTTGGAGTTTTTACTACTGAGATTTTCAGCACCTGGGATATGTTGTATCAGCACTCTAATTCTTCCACATGCGACCATAGCATCTTGATAATTAGGATACCCGGTTGGTGCACCGTAAAGTGCCGCTTTTGGTACATCTGTCGTATCCTACATGCTTCACATAGTGGATTGCGCCTCAGCCTCGGATAAGTCCTGTGCCCATCAACGGCTTTTGCTTGCAAGTAGTAGCCAAAAACAGCATCAGGACCACTGATTTTTACCACAGCAAGAGGATGGGCTACAAAGCGCATCTTGGGGACTGGGATATATGAAGGAGCGTGTACACTCCCTTTCTGCTGCAATCATTCTGTCCTGCAAGTCTGACCTCCGCGTAAATACATCGTGGCTATCAGCATCCGAGATATGCGCACTCTTCATGGCGTTGCGACAACGATGATATGGTCTGATCGGCAGGGAGCGAACGTAGCGCAGCATTGACGACGGGCGCCAGCGGGGCCACCCACACCGAGGTCCCCAGGCAGATGGGCTGCGCTACCATATCCCGGTTTGCGAAGAACGCGGTTAAAACCAAGTAGGAACCAATTGAGCAAACAAACAAACAACATTGGAAACCTCCAGAATGGGCATACACTTTGTCGGCGCCAGCTGTTACCGCATCAGTACCACGAGGCCTCTTTCAAATATTGCAGGCCGTCGCTCGCTGCCTCAAGTTCCATGCTTTAGCATAGCCGCAAATGGTATGCCGTTGAAGGGAGCCCTTGCGTAGCTGCGCATGCTTTGGTACCGCGGATATTATACTGGACTGCGAGAATTGAACGAATCAAGACTTGGACTTTCGATACGCATGCCTTGCATGCCCTGGGGAGGATATGCCTTTGGTGAAGCAGCTGGTGAATCGGCCCAATCAAGTATTCAAACCTTTGCTCGCAGCTAGTGCAATCGATTTCTCGCTGGTATTTGCAGTTCACTCACATCCGCTCAATGAGTTCATCAATCATCACGAGTAGCTTAGTTTCTGCCAGAGTGTAACGAGTAACAAGTGCGCTTTGAAGGATTCGCTCCACACGCCATCTTGAGGTCTAATTTGCACCAAAATCCAGCCTCGTCGGCCCCAGGTTTCCCGTCTTCAACGTTTCATAGGCTCGATTTGCGCGCTGTTCCCTCTGCAGCTACGCATGGCTTACAGCAGGCGAACTTATATCCTCAAGCTTCTCACCCAAAACCTACCTCCCTTCGCAGCCATGACAGACTAACAGGCCGCCACTCCAATCCGGGTCGCATCGCCGGCCTTTTAGGGGCCCTTCGTTAAGATCAACAAAGGCATCTTTCGCCACAACCGTTGTGAGATCCCTTACAACAACGCAATGATGTTATTCTGGCTCGCGAACACTTAGCTTTCTTGGAGCTGCAATCGTGAGCTGTTAAGTATGCTGGGTGCTTGAGGCCTATTTCGCGCCCCTACGTTCCTCACCCTGATCATATGGTTCCATTGTTCTCTGAGACCTTGACTTCCTGCAAGTTTGTCGTTCTTTCATTCTCAAGAAGGACTCCTGAACATGGCAGATCCTAGTTATACAGCAGCTAAGCCAGGAGACTTCTTTTGTCCCCGCGGAGGTACTTGGTACGTCGAAGATCCAGCACCAGAACGGGGATGATCTTAAAGACCAAAGCGTGTCTTTATAGCACTACGGAGTACAGATCTGACCATGATCAGGTACGCGTGTGAGACCGGGACCAAGTTTGTCGGGTGCTGCATGTCGGATCCGTGCAAGAATGGCTGCTTTGGTGACATACTACGACCGGCAGGTCGCTCTACATCACTCGCTAACCTGTCGCCCGGCGGATCTTGCGGTGGTCAGACACCCATGTGGACCTGTGGGATGGCGCCAACATTCTGGGGGTGTTGCAACGAGGATCCGTGCATCAACAATTCGTCATGCCCACCTGGAAAACTGGAACCAGCATTCTGAGATCGACCAGACCAGTACTACTACTTCCATGATCTGAATGTCGCGCTTTCGTCCACTGTTCCCAAACCCATGGAATTTTCAACAGCTAGCAGCACATCTGTAACCGCCAGCAATACGCCTACGGCTGCAGCTGCCGCCGGCCCCAGTAGAGTCTCTGGTGCGGTCATTGGAGGTGCTGTTGGAGGCTCACTCGCTTTCCTGATTATCATGGCAGCCGTTGTGCTCTCTTTATGCTACCGGCGGCGCAACCAGAAGAAAAACAGTGTCGAGATGGAAGAAGCGGACAACTCGGTGATACCAAAGGCGGAACTGGCATCGCCTACAACATCCACAGGGTTCTCGTGTGCGTCTCTGTACAATCGACCTAAAGAGTCTCGTTACTGACTGTGTGCAGCACCTCTGACATACACTTGGGGCAACTCGCAACAGAAATGGGAATACTATCAAAATGACCCTCAGGAAATGATAGGGGATACAACAAGATCTGAGCTTTACTCGCAACCTACCGATGGGTTCGCCGAGCTCCATGGAGGTTCGGCGGCTGGAGAGCTTGAGTCGCCAGAAAACACTCCAAAAGCAGTACAGGGAGAATTCGCTCACGATACGTCGAAGCAGCAAGCGCATGGCTTGGGTGTCACTGTTGATGAGAGAGCGTCAGCGTGGTTGAATGCGCGAACGTAGAGGGCGTCGACCCTGCTTTAATGTTAATGTTTCTGGAAATACTCTTTACATAATCATAAAATGCAGGACGGAAATAAGGGCGAGTGCGCAAGACGCTGAAGGATGGCCTTCGTGGATTGAAGAGTATGCTTCCTTCGTTCACTGCACATACCGGGGGAGGTAACCACTGCATTTGGGTATCGTACGCTAACGACAGCCGCGACGCGAGCGGTGCGAACGACGCACCACGCAAGCGGCACATCAGGCACGTGAGCCGGGTACGAGATGTCATATGTATACTTTATGAAAAACATGATACCCTACAGTATATAGCGACTATCGCGGGCATGCTTAGTTTTGCCGTTGGAACATCGGCGTCATCATACTGGCGTAGTTGTTCATGACTCAAAACGACCTCTCTATCCTCGGTCGCGGAGTGCCGAGGCCGCTTCACGCTACTGCTCACCCGCTTTCAAGTCCTGACTCTTGCTTCTGCACCAACCGAACTATCTCCACAATACTTTTATACCGACATCTCGGCCAGCTAGTCGCGACATTCTTAGCGGAGCGGAGCACCGAGCAGCGTCGTCCTTCCTCACGCTCACCCGCTCCAGCCTATCTCTTCTTACTCCACATCTCGCTCCCACACCCCGACCCCTCGGATCTGGGCTCCGAGGTTCGAAACATGGTCCCTGGAGCTCAAGGGCACGATCCTAGCCATGCAAGCGTAAGTCTTCGTAGCCCATTTCCCGGTTGGTCACAAGGGGTTTCGGCACGAACTAGGACGCTGACGTCGACGTGCAGGTGCGATCACTGTCACGAGAGAAAGGTCCGATGTGACAAAACTCTTCCATGTCGGCGATGCAGCCTAAATGGATCGGAGTGTCGCTACACTGATCGGACGAAAGCACGCACCTACAGCCAGGCCCATGTAGACACGCTTGAGCGCAGGATCAAGCGCTTAGAAGTTCAGAACAGGACTCTTGTGCAGCAGAATAGGGCTGGCCCAATATCCCCTGGAGGCCAAAATACTCCCATCGTAATCCAGGGCAATCTTTCTACGAATGATAGCGGCAGTCCGCAGCATCATACATCTGCCGACGTCGCGGGAGAAGTATCATACCTGTCGATCAATGCGTCCGGAGAAAGGAACTACCTAGGATCCTCGAGTGGCGTTCTCCTCGCGAACTTCATTAGAGCCAATGTAGACATCGAAACTTCAATACGGTCGACAACACCACCCGGTGACAATGAAACTACATATCCAACAGCTTCGGCTATAGAGCTCGGTCGCGACCTACCATCTGAACAGATAGCGAGAAGACTTGTACTATCATATCTCAACCATGACCACTTACGCTACCCTGTGGTCCGCCCTGCCACTCTCTTGGCGATGCTTTCGGAAGCATACAGCACAAACGTGACTTCCTACACGCGCTCCGCAAGCGAAGCCTTTATCTTTGACATAGTGCTTGCTATCGCCACGGCCAGTATCTGTGGGTCCGATCGGCAAGGGCTACCAAGTGCCCATAGTCATTACACACGGGCGATGAAGCAGGGCTCGACAGTCTTAGAAAAGGGAGGGCGTGGTGCCCTCCAGGCAGTTATCCTCTTGATTCAGTATCGCATGAGCAGTTCCATGCAAGACACCTCAGCTAGTATGTTGCTACATCTCCATGAATTGGACCAGAAGTCGCTTGATCTAAAGACTATACAGGCATGTGGCATTTAGTGGGAGTGGGAAGCAGAATCGCCCTCGAGCTTGGCCTTCACTGTGAAACTGCCTATCCTTACAAACGCTCAGATGTGTCCACAAGGAATACAGAACTGAGTGCCAGTCTTGTCCAGCAAGAGGTCTCCCGGCTTTGTTTTTGGAGCATCGTGGCCATGGACAGGTGCGTTTGAAACTTTTAACACGAGAGAATTTGGGAGGAAAACTCAGCTGATAACATAACAGAATAGTCAGCAACATACTAGGTAGACCCCTCGCAATCCGCAATGACGACATGGATACGGCTCTGCCATCTGATCTATGCGACGAGATCCTGCTTTCTGGTGTCGACATGCCCATGGCCGAGCATCTGGTCACATGCCGCCGCATTTCGATCTTCGTTCAGATCATCAAGTATCGCCTACTTTGTGGTGACATTATCGAAACACTGCACAACCGAGGTCGAAAAAATCAGTCGGATGATGAGCTCCGCCACCGCAGAGATCAATTCGCAGCCGAACTTAAGGCCTGGCGGCTGGATGCCGAAAGGGTCGCTCTTTCAGGTTCTGTGGATGACGCCGGACCTTCATCTTGCTTCACATCACCTACTTGGTTCGAGATGATATATCATAATGCCGTGCTAATGCTTCATCGGCCATCCCCTACACTGGACACGTCTAGGGACTCAGTTGCGGTGCAAGCGATTTTTACCTCCTCTCAGGCTTCCATATCTTCATATGCCAGTCTCCATCGTATGGGGCTCCTGAATCACAGTTGGCTTACACTACAAGCTTTGTTCATAGCAGGGTTGTCATATGTGTACGCTGTGACGATGCATTGCCAGGCCAGTCGCAGACAGCAGGGTCACCAATCAAGCGGGCTGCTGAACAAGAATCCAAGCACCATGGAAGTGGTCAGCGATACACGCACGTGCTCGAACGTCCTTGTAGCGGTTTCAGAAAGATGGAAGCCGTTGCAACGCTGCGTCGATGTCTTCAACAGGTTAAGTGATGCTATTCTGATCGACGTTATCAAATTTAGTACAAACCCCATTGCCGCCACCCACTTGCCGAACAACTACTCGAGAGACGGTGACCAGCAGTACTGTGACCGGTCTGAGCTGACGGCAGAAACACATCCAGATGAGTTGATCCAGCCTTCTCAATGGAACCACGCGTCATATCTTCAGCCTATTGGAACCGATCGAATGGTGTCTAACTCATCGCCACTGGCTATCGAGAACGAATTCAGAGGATCGGTATTTGATTTACAACAAATGTACGATCAGCAGCAAGTCGATATGTCTGTTTATCGATTTTCTCAGGCTTGGTTCGACAGCTTCGACCTGTATGGTAATATGGGACCGCAGATTAACGACATGACGATGGATACACACCTCTGATGTTGGCCAACTCGCATGCTACTTTGAGAACATGACGCCTGTACTCTCCAGTTTATATGTAACCCCGTTGGAGAAATCTAATCGGAATATCTACAACCTTGCTTCGCAAATATTCCCCGATGCCTTTGCCGAGTCCGTCAATGCGTGAGCTGCTGGCAATACCACCATCTAAGAAATCGAGTACTCGGCTGTACAGTTCAGTCAATAAAGTATCTTCTTGCATAGGTTTCCAGGTACTTACAAGTGAATAGCGAGAATGTTTGGAAACTCACACCTCTCGGCTTTATACCCGTCCTTCCAATCATCTTCGAACAGAACACACAGCCGCTCCACCGTCAGAAAGCTCTGCAGCCATGGGTACTCGTCGGCATACCTGACAAAGAACCCAACATTCGAATTGTTGCCTTTGTCGCCAGATCTTGCATGAACAATGGCGCCCAATGGGGCTTTTGATGAGAGGCCAAACGACCGCAAATCCAGGGCCGTTGCAGTTTCGTATGATGGTCGCAGCTGTGGGTATTCGGCGAACATGGGTGGAGACGGGGCGTATATTATGGGCTCGTTGTCCAGCCGCATTCTGTGGTTGATTTGACTGATCGGTATCGTTGTAGGAAAATCTCCATGAAAGGCTTGGGATCCATTGAGCGGAAGTCCAAGTTCATGTGATAGCCTGCCATAGGTCAGATTGCTAATATTGAGAGATGCGCCTCTTATGCATTTCTGACTTACCGGGATAGCTCTGCATACGAAGGGAGTAGATGGGGATCCGGAAATTGCTCGCCGCAATGTCTTCTTTCCTTTTCGCTTGCACGAAGACTCGCAACATAGCTGTACCCGCTGCCTGGGATTTTGGATCAAGCGCCTGGCCGCCGTAAAGCTCCATGGACAGTTTACTGAACCGATGACCCTGGAAAATGCTCGTCAGCTGTCGCTTCATCATCTCCGCCTTTTCCGAGATATCGAGGCCGTTGAGATAGTAGATAGTTTCAGCTTGATATCCTCCTGGAGCTGCGACCATGACCTTTGTGGTAAGCGGTGGTGGATAGCCCTTCACTCCGCTGACAAGAACTTCCCGTCGCGGCTCGGCTGTGGGCGTGATATGGACGGTGCGTATATCGGCGACTACGTCTGGGTTCAGATACATCTCACCCTGGAGCTCATATAACAGCTGCGCGGTGACATTTGCAGCAGTAACTTTGCCGCCGAGATCCTCCTGTTTTGTTATGTAGCTGGATCCGTTGCGCATGACCTCAGCAATGGGAAAGCCGACGTCGACCAACCCTGGAAGAAGATCCTTGAAGCCCGAAAATTTTGCGCCACAAACGTAAGGTCCGCATTCGATCAGATCTACATCCAGTGTTAGTGCTGAATGACAGTACAGAACATGACTGCTCTCGACTTACGCCCCGCAACAAGCGCCCCAGCCAACTCATCGAAGGAGTCTTGCTTCCAGTCGTGCCACCAGGCTGCTGCACCAATCTACATTAGTCAAGTCAGTGACCTCGCAAAGAAGACAAGACAACTATAGCCAAACATACCACTGGAGACGCATCCGTAACTCTCCCACACAGTACAATATCGGCCCCCTTCCTCAACGCCTCTACAATGCCCCCAAGCCCCAATATACGCCACCGCACTCGCTGGTTCATCAAAACTCTTCGCCCACTCCACCAGGAACTGGTCGCTGTGATCTAAATGCCCAAACCCGCTTCCTTTCTCACCCGGTGCCCTGCGTACCATCTCCACAACCTCCGCCGTGACATCATCCCCCAGCACCGCCGCGATTCTTAAATGCCCGTACCTTTTCTTCGTACAAAGCTCTCGAACCTTCTCCCGTAGCCCCTCCGTGTTCAATGCGCCCGCGTTTGTAACGACCTTGATCTTCTTCTCAACGATAATGTCGATGCTTTCTTCGAGCTGTGACAGGAAACCGACTTCGTAGCCTTGGGACGGATCACTGGCTTTGGCTATAGCGTTCCAGGCGATGTTCATCTCGGATAGCCAGTCCCCGGTGATGAAGTCGACATCGCCCGTCTGTGCCATGCGGAGCATGGCATGGGGAGCATCGCCGGTCGCACCAGAGACGTTGCCTATGCGGATGCCGCGTTGCGGTGCTAGACGCGTGCGCATGGTAAATATGATATGGGAAGAACAGGCTGGAGGTTTCTTTCTCGAAACTGGTCGAGTACGGCCTCTCAATTGCTCGTTGTCGTAGTGGTCGGGAACGTTGCTGTTACACGTTCACTCGGACGGATCGATCATGTGTACAATGATGCCAATGTTTTGGCTAGATTCTTATCTGCGTGAAAAAGAATCCTGGATCAATGTAGCTGACAAAACTTCTCCGTATTTCGGCCCAGCCTGTGTCGCTCTTATGCCCATTGAAGCGACTAAACGACAGTTTCGAGAGTGCCAGAAACCGGCCGCAATCAGTTAGCCAGAAACATTGACACCACATTAACTACGATCTTGACGTATTTGCACCTCTCGGTGGACGTGTTAGCTGCGGAATAGTTACATGGGGACGTCGTTCGGCGAAGGTACGCCGAGCGTCGTTGTCGCCGAGCAGTCCACACTCAAGCTTGCTCGGGACCGCGTTGCCGAGGGTGGCCCGCCACAGCGAGTCAGGTTACCTAAACTGTGATCTTAGCGCCCCAAGCTTGTCTTTAGTGCCTGATATCTTATGTGAGGACCCCATTTTCCGGGGGATAAACATGTGGAGAAAAGCTAGGGTTCTGATACGCGGGGTAAATGAACAAGATTCCATATAAATCTCCATGCCATCGACAGGGCCATACGTTTTCTACAAGTTGCCATCGTCCCGGCCTTCTGTCCTTCTCTCATCGTTGTGAAACTTCTTATCGACACTACCATGGCGGTACAGCAATCCGAGCCCGTGGAGGGTCTAGGATCTTCCGTGCCAGATCACACCGCAGACCCCATCGATGAGAAATTCCAGGACCAGCATACTGAGTATGAGGAGAAGGTTCAGGTTAAAGCTGACTATTCTGGGGCCGTGGCCAAGACAAGCCCCGAGGAGAAGAAGCTCGTTAGGAAGTTGGACATCTGGATCATGGCAAGTTAGCCCTCTGCATACCTTTCAAAAACCAACTAAGATTCCAATTTAGCCTATGCTCTGGCTCATGTACTGGCTTAACTACTTAGGTAAGAATCTGTAAAAGCTTCTGTAATATTATGAAGCTATCGTTCGGAGAATTCATGTTTAACAACTACCTAGACCGCAACGCCATCACTCTCGCTCGTCTCAATGGCTTTCAAAAGGACCTCGGACTCACCAGTTCCCAATATAGCACTGCTATTTCTCTCCTGTTCGTCGGATACATCCTTGGACAAATACCTAGCAACATGATTATCACTCGGGTAAGACCTTCGTGGTACATGGGTATCTGCATGATGGGCTGGGCGATTGTAAGTGGACTTACGGCCATCGTGCACAACTACACCGGCATCGTGCTTGTGCGCTTCTTCTTGGGCGTAGTCGAGGCCCCGTACTACCCAGGAGCACTCTACCTCTTAAGCATCTTTTACACGAGAAAGGAGATTGCGACACGCATCAGCATTCTCTATTCTGGCAACATCCTCGCGTCGTCCTTTGCAGGACTCATTGCCCTTGGCGTCTTCAAACTCGATAACGTCCATGGCATCAGGTATGACCCCCCATGTACGCAGCACATGTGAAACATCTATTGACAACAACAGCGGATGGCGGTGGCTTTTCATAATACAGGGAATCGTCACCTTTGTCATCGCCGTAGCAGCCTGCTTTATCCTCCCTGACGAGCCTCTAATCACATGGTGGCTCAACCCCGAAGAACGCCAACTTGCGCACGCTCGGGTGGCAAGAGACACGGTTGGCCACTCCGCCGACGTCTCCATGCTTGCCGGCCTCAAGGAAGCTATCCGCGACCCTAAAGTTTGGGTATTCGTATACATGCAACACCTGTCAGTTCCAACGGTTCCGCTACATTCACCGTCTCTAACATTGTCTAGTCACATCGCGACCAACGGATTCAAAAACTTCATGCCGACGATTGTTAATACGCTAGGCTTTTCACAGGAAGTCACACTTGTATTAACATGCCCACCGTACTTGATAGCAGGGGCATTCTCCGTCGCATGGGCCATATCATCTGGTCATTACAACGAGCGCACCTGGCACATTACCATCGCTAAAGGCGTGGCTGTCTTTGGATTCGTGCTTGGCTGCGCGACTATCAATGTAGGCGCGAGATACTTCGCCATGTGCGTTTTCACTATTGGCACGTACGGCGTTAACAGCATTATCCTTGGATGGGTGTCCTCGACGTGTGGGCAGACGAGGGAGAAGAAATCTGCTGCTTTGGCTATCGCCAACGTCGCGGCTACCCTCAGCTTGATCTGGACTCCCGTAAGTTTAGCATATCCGTCGCTTGTTGTGAATAAATTGACTGAAGCTTAACAGTATATCTGGCCAGAATGGTCGGAGCCGCGGTTCGTCTTCCCCTTGTCGATGAGTGCTGGTATGGCACTGATGTGTGCGGCGGGCGCGTGGTTCATGCGCTGGTGGTTAATTCGGGAGAATAGGAGGATCAAGAGCTCAAACTCTGAGACTACAATGTTCTACGCCTATTGATAGAGACGGAAACTCGCCGCGACATGGACGTTCCCCACACTATTTTCACACGACCGCAGCTGCTAAACTACGGATTATAAAGTTGTTTTTTTCATTTTCTTCCACATACGACCATAGGACACTGAAAATTAGGCTTCCCGTCCGCTCAGCCATATACAAGCAGTGTACCGGCGGATTAGTAATTAGGTGGGTGACCACTAGCGAATCCCCGCTGTTGTATGTTTTTGTTTTTCTTTTGGCTCGCTTCCCTTTTACTTCTTCTTCATTCAATATTCAATCTCGCGTCTTTACCCCGTCCGGCCGATCACATTCATACCAAGATCATGCGCTGCACTTCTATGCCACTGACCGCCTGCTGATCATGCAATTCCCCGTGCATCATCCCAAGCACAAATGCCTCGCCGATAAACTCGTAACGCTCAAGCTCTTCTGCTGGCCTCACAACCACTGGAACTGGCATTCCCGTGAAAATGCAACATTCATCACCCTTCTGCGTAATTGCCGATGCTAGCGCATACCTCCCGGTCTTGGTAAGCATTATGCTGCGTTGTCCAGCCCAGATGCCAGCGTGCGTCGTAAAAGCCTCCGCATTCCCGCCTATTGCCGCCTTCTCCAAGTCAGACTCATCTACATCGCCAAAGCACAAGCTTTGGCGACAAAGAGCGAGGGCGAATGCAGCCTCGTCGGGATGAAATCCCAAGGTATCATCTCCGTACGCCTGGCGGCACAGTGTTCTAACAAAAGCTAGGACATATGGTAAGTGACTACCTGGAGCTTGAAGTTCAGCAAGATATTTCCAGGCATCAACTAACTCTTTCTCAATACCTAGTCCAGGCGCCGCCCATTCTTCGTCGTTTGGCAGCATATCTGATCGCCAGGTGATAGTATCGAAGACGACACCTGTGACTCTCAACTCATCTCCAAAGGTTGGATCAGGCGGAGTCACCGGAAATCCTTTTGAAGCATCGAAGCCGGGGCTAAAGAGCCCATAGTAGTTGGTCGAAAGTGTAACGTCCCACCTTGGCACCCAGGATGGCACGTCACTCCGAATTGTATCATCCCGGTGCTCAATAGCTGAAAGCAATGCTAAATCTTGCGTTTTACTCAACCATGAGACAGCAAAGTCCTGATATATTTTGCGGTACTCCTTCGCATAGTCTGGAACCAATACAATTTCTTTTTCTGGGCCGACTATGGCCTTTGGAGAGCCCAGGAAACCATATATACGGTCCCGGTCATTTTTGCAATGGAGGGTTTTCGCTCTTGCAAGGGTTTCGACGAAGTTAGGCATCGGGAACTCCTCCATCCAGAAACCACGGCCATGTACATCATTAAGCCATGGTTTAAGATGAAACCATACGTGTCGAGCTTTGCTCAGAAGCCATTGATTAACGCCCGTGACTCGCAACCAAGGGATCTTTCTAGTGCCCCAAAGTATATAGGGGTCGTCACCCAAGGCAGCCTCTTGGACAGTCCAGGTTCTCGAGAACCAGTCATGAGCCACCATAATCTTGTACGATTTCCATCTCTGGTCGGTACTGAGTGGATCATCCATAGCTAGTTGTGGAACAAATCGTGAGTCGATGAGGCTCCCACCCTGGTGCTCAATTTGCTGAGTTATCTCTTCGAGCAAAGAAGCCACAGCTTCTGCATGACCATCAGGGTCTGTACCTAGATGTATGATCGTTCGTTCTCCGACAGCGTAGATTCGGCCCATCATAGCTACCTGTTGGCTTCTCTCGCCAATATCCGCCTGATTGATGCAGATTGCGTCTACCCAGATTGTTCGCTCCGCGTTGGGTAAACGAAGACAGCGTAGGACTGCATCAAGACTAGCAGTTATCGGGATAACATGCTTGCGACAGTAAACTTGCGACACCTTTTGGTCGCTACCCCATACGTAAGAAACGGCCTCGAATGGAGGGCAATCCTCAGGACATGCACTTCCTAGAACGATTTTAAGGCTATCATTCGAGTCCTGAGCTGGCAAAAGGGTGAGATGGCGGGTATGTGATGCCGATGAGAGTTTCTCGTACTGATAGGTCTTGGTGACGAACTGGCTTCGCAGAAAGTTTGGAAGGATCTTGGCTGTGGCGTTGTTGAGCAAGGCTCGGAAATTGCGGACAGATGGAAGGCATGTCCAGCCTAGCTCGTCATGCTGAGATTTCCGCCTCTCTTGGCTTCTTGTGATTGAGTTACTCGTTGGTTTGTTTGAGAGTTGCATGGCTACTTAGATTTGGTGTGCGTATGGCAAGTACCTAGGTAGAATACTGTGGAGTGATTAGCAGGTTAAGTTGTACTATACGGAAATCAAACCCTACTTATGAATACTGCTGCTTGCACACGTAGATACCACATGTCCCCTTGAAACAGCCTTCTCCAACCCACTACCAAGACTTCCTTCATCTTGTGCTGAAGGATCTGGTACACTCTCAACCGGTGAAGCTGTCTTGTTGAGACCCAACACACCACCTGTAAACGGAAAGCAGTACATACATAAACGCCGACCCAGACTGACGTGTTCGTGCTATGATACCAGGTAGCTAATATGTGATAATGACACGCAGCCTTCCTACCCGCCTATCAAGGTCTGTCGTATTCCCGGGAGTGGCATCTGTTATGCTCGGGTAACTGGTTGGGCTATCTTATCTGATCTACGCGTGTATGACCACCAATCAGTAATGACGTAGCCGCGCCACCAACCAGTGCCAAAGCTTTTCAGTGATAATCGGCAGTGACGAGGTCACGCCGCCATCCAATACCAATGCCTCGCAATGACAAAAATGGTAGTATCGCAGCACATTTTCATTTCGTATCCGGATCGAACATCGCTTCCCTATGTACAGGCATGTAGGAAGTCTTGCGCCGTCATTTATGACTCAAGGCTGAACTCAAGGCTGAGGCAGCCTGATGGCCTGTATAGTGTTAGCTCTCAGCCTGATGGTCCACATAGTTTCGGCTTCTTACATGCGTGGAGCGGGATGGGTAAGTATATCTAGAGGTCTCAGTAACGTTGAGAGTTGTCGAGAATCAGAAATTTGTTCAACTTACGGAAATTTCAGGAGCCTCACTGAAGCTTCTGGGCCACGACAGCGATGCCTCACGCTGTGATTGACGAACCGACAGCACGAGAGACTGTATTTCTTAACCACGCTCTCGATATAACTCCGATCGACTCACCACTATTCGCTTTCCCTAAAACATCAAAACTGAACCCTACATCCTATTTGGCCCCTACAACTGCTCCGTACGGTCGACATGTCGCAGAATGGCAAGCCAAATTCCATGGGCTTCGAAGCGAGAAGCTACTTTACAGAATGCAGCCCCTCATTGAACCCATTCGACAAGAGGCTACAACCCTGGTTGCAATATTCTATCCTGCCAATGAACCGGAGAGTACAACTCGGCGTCCAGTTGAGATCTACCTAGAACGGATCAAGCGGTTAGCAGCCTTGAAAGAGCAAGTTATAATCTACGCTCCCCCATCGATCTCTCCAACGATCCGCGGCCTTCGCGACGACAAGCACTGGTACGTGATCGATGACTATGAGTCAATATGGGACATGCCGAACAACATTCATCAAAAGCACAACTTCACTCACGTCCAGCCAAAAATCTTCTCTGCTTTCGATCGCAAAGTCGGCGTCCTTGGCTGGGAGCCTGAAGACTGTTACAATCATGCGCATCGTAGCGCCGTATACAATGCCAAAGTGTTCATAACCTACGATGCCGTAATGCGAAACCCATTCGGCTCAGAGCGGTGGATGTACGTTGATGCCGGAGTATTCGGCGAGTACGGTCCTAAGAACGAGGATGGAGAATACTGGACCGAGATCATTTCCCACAAGCTCTCTCCCAAAAAGTTCGATCGTAGTATCAGTCTCAGCCGTGAGTCAGGCGTCGTCATCGGCGAGTATATGCAGTCTCTCGCGTACGGGATCAAAGACATCAACCACCCAGCCTGGACGGATCCAAAGAAGTCATGGATGTGTCAACACTTCATCGCAGGTAACTGGGTAGGCAGCTCCATAGGTATGCTCAACTTTGCTGTGCGCTTCATGCAGACTGTGGATGACATGGATGCGAATGATATGTATACTGCGCGCGAAGAATTTGTGATCCCGCAAGTCATGATCAGATATCCGAACACGATCTTTTCGATACCTTGGATGGAGATGGAATGGGGAAAGTGGGAACATCCTATCAAAGGCGCATACTCGACATATGGTGGTGAGGAGAGTGTGCCTACGATTGGCGATCCGATTGAAGGCGTCATATGCAAGGGTTACAAGCAGCGGAGAGGGCATCTACCTGGTGGTGGTGTCTATGCATGGCCATGGTTCAAGCGAAAGAATGTATATGGGGCGAGGTATTATTGAATACTCATGATGGGTCATTCTGCGTCAAGTCGCATTACTGAAGAGCCTTGGTTTTGTTTTAAGAAGTCTCGCCTGATATCAGAGAATACACGAACATCTGTTTGGTTCAGCCTTTGCACCGTCTTGCAGTTGCCGAACGAGCATGCTCCCAGAAGCCCTATTCAGCGTCCACACATGGACACTCGTCATTGTTTTCACTAGCGCATACCTTTTCCACCCAAGATGTTGACCGGTCTTTCCCATCATCAATAGCCATCTCAGCGATCTCCTTGGCCGCAAGGCGAATCGCGAATACAGCACAAATGCCGCCACGTTAATCGCCAAAGGTCTTATCAAATCTCGAGGCCCGATCACTCTCGCAAGCCACAATAGCCGCAAGATCGTACTCCCATCATCGCTCACCGATTGGGTCAAGTCCAATAAAGATCTCGATCACAGAGAGCTTGTCCGACAAGACTTCTATGCAGACTCTCCCGGATTCGAAGGATTGACTCTCCTCCATTCTGGCAACATGCTCATGGACATGATTAAAACCAAACTAGGTCAGAACGACAGCTTGATGCCCGTGATAAATGCGAGTGTGGTAAAAGCTCTCGAAATCCACTGGGGCAACGAGAAAAGCTGGCATACAATCGACTGGCAAAAGGACACTACCGGTATCATGGCAAGCGCAGCATCTTCAGTCTTCGTTGGTCCGGAAAAGAGCGACGGTGCGGAGTGATTGGATATTGTGCAGGGCTACGTCGGTGCTTACTTCTCCGCTGTGAGCGAGCTCCATGGATATCCCGCTTGGTCGAAACCCATTGTTCAAGATTCCTCCCAAATGCAATCACTTGTCGTAAATACGTAGTTCAAGTCCGTGCTATGATGAACGAGGTACTCGAAAGGAGACGAGAAGAAGCTGAGAAGACGAAGCTGGGAGGTAGATTGCCACTGGAATACAACCACGCGCTTGCATGGACGCAAACTGCATCGAGTGGAAAAGCTGAAGCAGGCGATATCCAATTATCGCTAGCGATGTCCGCGCGATTCACAACGAGTGAGCTTCTCCGCCAAGTCTTGCTCGATCTGGCTGCCCATCCCGACCTCGTCGAGCCACTGAGGGAAGAAGTTTCGCAACAGATCTCCACACATGGGGTATCAGTCGCCGCCACGTCTTCCATGGTTCTTATAGACAGCGTGCTGAAAGAGTCGCAGCGACAATCGGCTCCCTTGGGTACGATCTCTATCCTCTACATCTGTACTCTGTATCAAAGTTGACATATACCCCAACTCAGTGAGCCTCGAGCGCGTCGCTCTGGAAGAAGTCACATTTCCCAGCGGCGAAAGGATACCCACTGCGTCGCACATCATGGTCGACTCTACAAACCTATGGGATCCCGCTGTTTATGCCGAGCCAGACCGCTTCGACGGCTACCGCTTCCTGCGCAAGCGTGAAGCAGGCGATAAAGCTAGTCAGTTTGTCCAATCCGGCCCGGAGTTTAGTGCGTTTGGCGGTGGTCGTTACCTCTGCCCCGGACGCCTTTTTGCGAGCAACGAGTTGAAACTCGCTCTGGCTCATATACTGCTCAAGTACGACATCCGGCTTGCAGAGGGGTATGAAGTTAAGTCACTATCAGTTAGGTGTGTACAAAGTTGTTGATCCGATGGTGAAACTTGAGGTAAGGAGACGGAAGGCGGTGGGGGTAGATATACCACTATGAGGAAGGAAGCGAGATCTTGAGCTGAAGTAATTCTAGCAACACCGTGAGCACTTCTTTATATGTGCAGATGAAATAAAAATATCCCAGGACTATGCGTGATCGAACTACGCCCGGTCACCTTGGACATCTGGCTTCGCGACGAAAACTCCTGAATGATGTTCAAACAATGTTATACAGGTTGCCAGCTATTGTACGAAGAACTGATTATGTTGACGGAGAACGTGCTTATTTCGAGTGGATAGCGTTCAGTCTTTCGAGGACTTCGGTGGCTCAGGCTGCGCAGCGAGGCGATTATCACCCTTGGGTTTCGATTCGGCGTGGAATTGTGCGGACCGAGGCGTGGTGCTTCCGTCGTCCCAGAATTCAACGTCGCCTTCTGCACTCAAAGAACCTTTCTTGACTAGGCTGCCTTTCTCCCGCATGAGGTCTTCAATTGTGACGGACTTGTCTGAGAATACCTGCTAGTCGTTAGACTACATTGCCATTTGGTATGTTCTCTGGACATACCTTGAGATGATCGGCAATCAGATGCCTGTTCTTGCAACCCGGACATTGTATCAAGACTGTCCCATGGTGGTATCCTTGCTTGGACAGACGATGCGATGAGCGCGTCTTGCAGGCGTTGCATGTGAAAGTGAGTTCGTATGACGGGACTTGTTCGCGTTCCAGTCGTGAGTCTGGCGCATTCGTGGACGTGGGAGAGGCTGCGTTTGACTCAAAGCGGACTGTACAAGGTATCCGCGCTCGTGATAGTATGGGTGAAGGGCGTATGGCAGCTGACGTTCGTGGTGTGTGGAAGAGGCGCTTTGAAGGCGCTTGAATGCGCTCGACATGGGAAATGCGTGCAGTTCGAGGCGCAGTGCTTCGGGCGATGCCGCGCAACAAAGAGGAGGAAGAGCGCATAGTAGTGTATTTCGAACAGATACGAGTCAAAGATAGCAACATACAAAGCTGGCAGCTGTGAAACGACGTGTGAAGTATGACGAACGGAAGTGCAGCGGGCAAAGAATAATTGACCGAGTGCCAAGCCATGACGACGGCGAGCTTCCGTTCGGCGGGGACCAGCCGCCCGCAACAAGCCCGATACTGGAACATCACCATCACTCGCGTCTGCCGCCACACGTGCCATTCTTTCACCGTCACCTTAGCCTTGCTGCGTGTTAGGGCTCAAACTTGCCCCTGAAACACCGTTATTTCCTCTCCATCTACACCACACCAGGCCTCTCCACCACCAGCCTTCTTCAACTTCCAACCGCACCGAGCCCTGAAGCTCTGAACTCCATACAATCAAGAGAAGGCAGGAGCAACCATGATCGCAGGACGAGGCAGACAGCGGATACGGCCGCCAAGGAGGGTATGTATTACCCTTTCGCCTTCACCTTCATCGCGCCCTAGTCTTTGCCGCTCCCCTTCGCTGTCATAGATAGACTCTCCACTATGTAGACCCAACACTGACAATGGCACGTTCGCAGGGCCTGCACGGCGACGAAATCGACTTCGAGAACACGTGGGCCACCATCGAGGCGGCCTTTAGAGAAATCCACACGAAGAATGCGTCCAAGCTATCGTACGAGGAACTATACCGCCATGCCTACCGCATCGTCTTGAAAAAGAAAGGCGAGGCGCTGTACGAGAAAGTCCACGAATTCGAGCGAAACTGGTTGAGCACTGAGGTCCGAGCCTCCATCTCGCAGTTACTCTCACCGAATCTCCTCGTAAACGCGCAGAGTGTTGGGGGAACTACACCGAATGAGCGACGTGTAGCAGGCGAGAAGTTTCTCAAAGGCTTGAAACAGGCATGGAGCGACCACCAAATCTGCACGAGCATGCTAGCAGATGTGCTCATGTACATGGTAAGATGACACTCCTTCAATTATTTGAGCAGAGGACAATAGCTAACCTGGAACCGTACAAGGATCGTGTCTATTGTGCAGACCACAGGCGACCATCCATCTACAACGCCGCCATGGTCCTGTTCCGCGACGAAATCCTCAACTCCAAAATCTCCCCAACCGACGCTCGAGCGATCATTAGCCTGCTGAATCACATTATCCTCGACCAGATACAGATGGAACGCGATGGCGACGTCATTGACAAGCAGCTTATCAAGTCCTGCGTGTGGATGCTGGAGGGCCTACATGAGGGCGAGGTGGAGGCAGAAGAGCAGCGACTTTACAACACGTCTTTCGAGAAAGAGTATCTTGAAACCAGTAGGATCTTTTACCATGGAGAATCGGAACTCCTACTTCGCGAGTCGCACGCTGGCGCATATTGCAAACACGCGCGACGTAGGATCTATGAAGAGGACGAGCGCTGCAAGCAGACACTTTTGGAGGGTACCGGGCCCAAGATTCAGAAGGTCGTGGAGGACGAGCTGATCAAGAACCGGATACACGAGCTCGTAGAGATGGAGAGCGGTGTACGCTTCATGATCGACAATCATAGGTTAGAAGAGCTGAACCTGATCTACGACTTGAACGCGCGGGTAGACGAAAAGAAGATTGAAACTACCCGAGCCATTCAACGGCGAATCGTCGAAATGGGTTCAGACATCAACAAGGATGCAATCGCGGCATCGCAAGCGCCCGCCGTTGTACCTGTTGCCGACTCCGCCGATAAGGGTAAGGGCGCTGCGCAAGACAAGAGTCTGAACCAGCAGACTGTCGCTGCGATCAAATGGGTCGAGGATGTCCTTGCCTTGAAAGACCGTTTTGACAAGATTTGGCGGGAGTCATTCGAGTGCGACCCACTGCTGCAACAGGCGCAGACAGCGAGTTTCTCCGAGTTCATCAACTCGGTGACGTTTCCACGATCATCCGAATACATCTCTCTCTTCATCGACGAAAACATGAAGAAGGGTATCAAAGGCAAGACTGAGTCTGAGATCGATGCTGTTCTAGAGAAAGCTATTATCCTACTACGATACGTACAGGACAAGGACCTTTTCGAGCGCTACTACAAGAAGCACTTGTGCCGACGTCTGTTGATGAATAAGTCTATCAGCAACGAAGTCGAGAAGCAGATGATCTCGAAGATGAAGATCGAACTCGGCAACAACTTTACGCTGAAGCTGGAGGCCATGTTCAAGGACATGACTATTTCTGAAGAGCTTACCGCCGGCTTCAAGAAGCATGTAGAAGGTCTCGGAGAGAAGGACCCGAAGCGCATCGAGCTATCCATCAATGTCCTGACCAGCATGACATGGCCTCTTGAGACTATGGGTGGCGCAGCCGCAGACGAAGAGGATAAACGACCGCGATGCAACTACCCTCTTGTCGTAGACAAACTCAAACGCGGCTTTGAGAAGTTCTACAGCCAGAAGCACTCCGGACGACAGCTTACTTGGCTCCCCAATATGGGATCGGCGGACATCAAGGCTGTCTTCCCCAAGGTCGCCCAAAAGGATGGATCTTTCAAGGAACGTCGGCACGACCTGAATGTATCGACATATGGCATGATCGTCCTTCTCCTGTTCAACGAGCTTGGTACGGATGAACGCCTGACTTTTGAGGAGATCCAAGCTCGGACCAATATTCCTCCTAGTGATCTCATCCGAAACCTGCAGTCGCTTGCCGTAGCGCCCAAGACGCGCATCTTGATCAAGGAGCCCATGTCCAAGGATGTGAAACCTACCGACCGATTCTCCTTCAACGAAGGTTTCCAGGGCAAATTCGTCAAGATCAAGGTTGGTGTCGTCAGCGGCGGCAACAAGGTCGAGAGCGATCGTGAGCGACGCGAAACCGAGAAGAAGAATGACGACTCGCGAGGGTTCTGTATCGAGGCTGCAGTTGTGCGAATTATGAAGTACGTATCTTCCAGAACCTATGACCAGAAGCATGCTAACAACGGAATAGGCAACGTAAGGAGCTTTCGCATCAACAGCTCATGTCGGAGACCCTCAGTCAGCTGGTCGGTCAGTTCAAGCCTGAGGTTAACATGGTCAAGAAGCGCATTGAGTCGCTTATTGAGCGCGAATACCTAGAGCGTGTAGAAGGAGCGCAGATTGATTCATATAGATATCTCGCTTAGAAGAGAGAGGACTATTTTGAACAGCTACTCAGCATATGTTTGCAGGCGTTTCGGGAGTGGTCGATGGATTTGGGCCGGACTACCATAATGAAATGCATAGCATTGGCGTCGACGGATTAGGGTCATGGGCGTCGTTTATCGACACCTTTCACGATCAAAATAGGCGTTTTCCCAATACTCCAATACGACGACGTATGAATGAAAATAGTCGCTGCGATGAGTACATGGCAGATGATGATTTTTGGAAATATTTCTCCTAACTATCGCCGTGAAATCACAGTAATCGATCATCTCTCACTTGTACCTTCCAACAACCTTCCTCCTCTTCTCAAACGCATCACCGGCAGCTGACCCAGAGCCTCTTGGGCCATCTCCAACAGGCCTCTTCCTGCTCTTCTCCAAACTTCCCAGATTACCACCCTTCTTCTGCGTCAAACGCTCAATACGATCAATCCCAGCACCCAAAGTTCTCCATTCCTCACCACCAAATCCACCATCACGCTGCTGTCTCGCCTTCTTCTTCGCAGCCTCCTTCTTACTATCAGGAGCCAGACGCGTGAAGTTGGATTCTTCGTACTCGCGTCTCTCGTTTTCTTCGCGACGCTCACGCTCAGACTTCGTGTGTCGACCTCCGTTCGTGATGGTGCTTCCGATACTAGGTTCAGCAATGGGCGCACCGGAGAGCTCAGTAGCGATGAACTCATCCAGGGTGGCTGATTTTCCTGGGCGGCGCTCTCGGCGCGTCTCGCGACCTTCGGGCGTTGGCATGGCCATGGGGGTGATCTTGGGTGGGCGGTAGATGCCATCCTTTGCTGATTCGCGGGCGCGCTCCTGTGCCGCTTCGGTCTTTTGGCGGGTTACTTGGGCTCGGCGGGGGCCGTAAGCCATTTCGTCTTCGTCTTCTTCGGTTTGCGCGGAGCCGTTGGATTCGGCGTCGCTGACGTCTGAATCAGATCCGGTGTCTGTCTTGCTCTTTCTTGGCTTGGATACAGGTTTTGCTGTGGCTTGGGTGTTGCGTCGTGTGGCATCATCCGCGGTCCTCAGGATTTTGTCGATCTGGTATTTCAGGCGACTTTCGAGTGGTCGCACACCCTTCTCTAGGTAGACCCTCAATTCAACAAGCTTTTGAACAACTTCATCTTGAGGATGGAGATCCGTCTCTTTCTGGTTACCCTTGCGCGACCGTAGCTTCAGCAGAATAAGGAAAACGAGGTTCTGTAGATAGGACAGAAGTAGCTCGTTCTTCACGTCCAGTAACGAAATGCCCTCTTTCGGTGGCAAGATGTCATCATTTGGAAGTGCCTCCGTGGCGGATTGAATGGATGTAGTCAGAGTCGCGAGAAGCGATTCCAGCGAGTTGTCGACGGCCATGATGTTTGAGAAGGAGACGTGATGGTGGTTGCCGCGCGCTGAAGATGTTGGAGGTTGCAAAGAAATTTTAGTGGGGCTCGAACGCGCTAACACACGGTCCGATGTCTGGCCTCCACCAGCTCTCAAGACCCCACCCTCATCTCATCCAAGCATTTTTCGTTGACACGCCTTTTGAGCACACTCAAAGGCTTTCTGAGCTTTCTTTCGCGCTGCACGACTTCCTTTCGACACGTAACCCGACCTTGCTACCCTCAATATGACGTCATACCAATACTCCGGTCTTTCAACTTGTACTTCCATCAGAGTGCTAGCCGTCTCAGGCACCCAAGACGCGCCGTCATATAAGATAGAGGAAGTGGATCTCACAGAGAAGCCGCGATTTGAAGCACTGTCATACACATGGAGCGACTACGATAACGAGGAACTTGAACCCATTAACAGGAATACTAACACTTATGCGACCATCACTATAGCCGGTGCTGGGTCTCTTAAAATCACGCTACACCTCGTGCATATCCTGAATCATATTCATGAATTACTAGTACAAACCAAATCGAGCGGAAGAATATGGATCGATCAGATCGCTGTGAACCAATGCGATCTGAACGAGCGGAGTCACCAGGTTTCTCTTATGCAACAAGTCTACGGACAGGCGGAGCGTACGCTAATGTGGATTGGTATGTCTGTTAAGCATACGCCGGTGCTACTTGATTTGATACAAAATCTACGCGATCTACCGCTTGATGTTGACTGGGATCACCCTATGCTCAAGATATTAGAGAGCAGACTGCTTGCTATCTTTCGTCAAGAAGATGAGCTACATTACTCCTACACAAAAGCGCAATACACCAGTGCTCTTGATTGGGTCCTCGGTCTTCCGTACTTCAAGCGAGCTTGGATTGTCCAAGAGATTGTTTTGTCAACTCAGCCTACGCTGCTTTTCGGATCGACATCATATGATCTATACATACTCCACCATATGATCTTCCTTATCAGGTATTCCGCAGACTCGTGCATTCGAGACATCTACTCACTCTTAACACATCCCATTGGAGTCGATCGCTTTTTAAGCATCGATACAGCACGTAGGTGGCTACAGGGCGATCCTAAACAGAATGCTTTATACGGCGATTTCTTAGATGTACTATTCTGGCTCTCGTCTTCACGCGAGGCAAGCGACCCAAGGGACTCCATCTATGCATTTTTGGCTTTACAAAAGGATCACTCTGGCTCACGTGCTGTTGCGGACTACAATCTATCTACCTCACAGGCATATCGGAAATTTTGCGTAAAAATAGCAAGGGAAACCGGCTCCCTCGCGTTTCTAGGGCTTGTACGTGGTAGTGCGGACAACAGGATACCTTCCTGGGCGATAGACTGGCGGATGTGCGTCTCTTCTGCGAAAGACAGATGGCAAGGTTACAGGATAGGCGACACGCAACAATACCCGTACGCCGCCGCCAAAGGACGATTATACCAAGCGGCTGGAATGACACAAGAAGGCGATATGCGCTTGGTCGTTCGAGGGCGTCTTATTGACGAAGTCCAGTTCGTGTCATGTGTTACGCGTAAAGAGATTGCAACCAGCGGGTTAGAGAATGTGCGATTGTCCGAGGAGATTTCCAATATAAGAACATCAATGCCTACAGTGGATGTCGACACCTCCGCCAACGCACAAATTGTTAAAGAACGTGTTTTCATCACACTCTTTGGTCTTGATCCAGACGAACAGCGTCTTGAAGGGCCACTACAACATACTACGGAAGAGTTGATTTCAATGTACGAACGCTTCATTGATACACATACAGCCGACGACGTTGGTGAAGAAGTCTACAAACAGCGATTCTCTCATACGAACCTGAGACTTATGCACAAGCGACTTCTTCTCGGCCGCAAGCAGCTGTTTGGGCTTGGGCCGGATGCCATCCTGCCAGGCGATTGCATATGCATTCTTCATGGCTCTACGGTCCCTTTAATATTAAGACGATGCGAAAATGCAAAAGAGTACACAGTCGTGGGACAGTGTTACTATGAAAGCTGGATGTATGGCGAGAAAGTCGATTGGGAGGAAGACGAGGCTGATGAATTCGTGTTGATATGAGGAAACCCTTAGCTTAGCCGGTCGTCGAGTCGAAGAGCGTGTCCATGTCTCAGCTCATGCGTTCCCTTCAGGCTTCAAGAACCATCGCATACCCATGTTCTAAGATGCAAGTTTACCTGACGCGAAAGAATGGGCTCCGACGTCATTGCCATATAGTTTGTGCTTCACGTTCGCGTCACGATATTCTCTTTGGGCGAACACATACAGCCAGTGATGTTGCCGGAGTGCGCTCCCGTCGTTCCGACTGTGGCGTCCTGTTAGAAACAACGCACCAATCGCAGTTCAGCGTGCTAGGCACTACTGAACGCTCTGGTACATTCAAACCAACCAGCGACCAAGGTCATGCATAAAGTATAACACTAGTTGGGGGGATTTCTGGAATTTTACCTTGTACATTCTCTCAAGATCAGATAAACCCAAGCCACGGTTCTTGCCAACTAGTCAGCCCACCGTATTACATGGTCGGCGACTCGGGGTGTGGTGGCTGCAGTACATGACTTCAACGGGCGTTGAGTTGAGGGTAAGCCTCTGGAAGACGTGTACGCGTAGCACATCTAAAGGTCGGTGAAGGCAAGGTGTAGTCAACGTGGCTATGAGACATGGCTTGCTACTAGGCTACCGCAAAAGAGTCATGCATACCGTATCCATGATGACAGTACAAACATGGTTCGACTCATCTGACTGTCAGCATCATCACCCACCAATACTTCATTGCCCCTCACATCATCCCCTACATCTCTCCACCAACCCATGTCCATATCACACACACATCTCCGCACTTCGGCTTCTCGAAGGCGTTCAGGAATTCCACTGCTTTTCCAGAAGGCCCGAAAGGTGGGTGTACGGGTAAAGTGACAAACCCATGTGTGTGTGGGGTAACAGGCTACCCTACCCCTGGTCGCTGTTGCAGGATCTATATTGCGTCTCCGAGGGCCGCGGTAGCCAATGCGGAAGAGCGCGCGGCGCGCGCTATGTAAACAGTTGTGATGCTGCACTTCACATGCACAGATACACTAAGACTGGATATGGTATGGAGTTTCTTGAGATGTCCAGGCTGCATAAGTGTGACAGATGTCGTAGCCTCATGCAGGATGCCTCACACTGACTATGTAGCAAGTCACAGTCATCGTTCAAGTGGCGGAATAAACCACCGTGCCGTACCGAGCCCGAATTCATATGGGGTACATCGTAGTACCCACAGATTGTCCCTCAAGTTCATTGCCTTGACCCACCCAGCGCCTTCTAAGCTGCGCTTTGCCACCACTCGTACAAGATAGAGTCGCCTGGTGATGTCCAGGCTGTGCTCCACCAGCCTTACTTTGCTCAAGATCGTCCCAGATCGCTTTGACTAGAGCCTCTCAAAGTAGTTAGTTGTCGTCGAATCTCGTTGTATACAATTTGTCATGTCGAAGTAAAAGAGATTGAGTGGTGACTCGCTAAACGCTCTCGGCATATACGCTAGAGGTATGGCAGATTCGAGGACCTGGTTGACGGAGACCTAGCACCTGTCTGCCTCAACGTCCGATACAGGCGTTGAAGATGGCGGTCTGTGCTTTGACCCAACTGTGGGTTGGTCGAAGTACGCCGTCTGCGTCGTGTTGATGATAGTCGCTGTCGCGTGTGATCATCGTTTGGCTTGCTGATCCACATGTACACGGAGGCTACCGAAATTGGAAGGTAGGTCTCGCTACGCAGTGTATAGCAAGCGTATCCATCAGCAGTGTAGCTTTAATCCCGGGAATAAGCGCAGTCCTGGTCGCGTGTTGCATGGCATTATGGTACCGTGTTGTGAGCGTCTCAAACATCGAATTTGAGTCCTGCTGTTCGTAGCCACATTTGGCGCTTCCCTTCGGCTTCGCGAATGATCTCAGCGGATAGTTGGAGGCTGGGAGCGAGGTGAGCGTATCGCTCCATTTCTAGGACAACATTGTTTATGATGTCGTCCATAGTCGCTGGCGGAGGCAGTAGCTGAGATAGCGAGGGAGTCATGGTCGCACCCATGATGAGCAATGTCTGGGAGATGATGCTAAGACGATGTTAGTGAACGTTTTTGTTTTGAATAGTTAAACTTACGAGAGAGCACCCTGGAACAAATAGGGTAGATGTCCAGCGTGGTGCGCAGTGATGTACTCGAGTTGGCGGACGCATGCCTCGAGGCATTTGTGGCAATTGTCCTGCACGCTCGAATCCATCGCCAGAGTTTCGTCCTGTAGAACCAAAAGCACATAAGGTCGGAAGATGATAGTACGGCATGCGAAATAACGCAGTCTTAGGACCGTTTGAACCGGATTCTGCAAAGGCACCCTATCGAGTGGGAATTGCATGGCTGGTGGTAGTCCAGCATACCATTGATTCAGCTGATAATCTAGCTCCACAACTAGTGGGTCCAATTGGGCGATAGATGTCGCAGCTGGACCTTTAGAATACGGTGTCGTCCTGATGTATAGCATAGAGCTCACGCGGTTGAGTAGTCTTCGGAGAGCGATCTCTGCAAGAAAGTACCACAGTTCATCTCGACCAACTGCTTCTGTTCCTAGATCTTCGAATCCCGTTGGCAATGAAAAGCCCTCTTCGAATTGTGCGATACCGGAATGGGGGAGATCCAGCTCTGCTAGCAAGTCGCTTTCAATCATCACAGCATTCCAGTAAACCCTTCTGCCTAATTCCTCCTCCGCTGGAGACACTCGACCAGGCGCGCTCAAAAGGAGCTGTAGCTTCATGCTGGCACCTGATAGTACGTTCCATGCTTCGACGGGGCGTACAAGATATACCAAGTATGCTGCAGCGAGGATTTGACATTGCGCGGCGACCATGTTGTTCCTTGTCATGACAGTCGGCAGCAGGCTCCAAGCTGCGGTAAAATATGCCAAGCCTGGAGGATCCTTTTCTGGATTTTGCTGTGTAATACTGCCGGTGCTTGCAGCATGACCTAGAGCAAGAACTAGAAGAACTATGCAACTTTCAGGGCCGTCCCGAAAACCATGGCTAAGAGCGATCTGGTAGTGGCTACTCCATGTGTACGGATTGACGACTGCGTAGAAGACGTTTACTCTCTCAAAGTACGCTTGCACATAGGCGCCAGTGTTTGAGAGATCCAGCCCGCGGCTCGTTCCAAGGCTTACTGACTCCCGGGTCATCTCCAGCTGGAGAAGAAGCTTGGCATCATATTGGCGAGACACAAGCTCTCTGATCATTGGAGATGACAAAAGGTTAAGTGCTGCAGTATTGTGGGTTTTCGGCATGGTGGAAATGTTCGAAGGATGGTTGGTCCATGTTCCTATGCCGTTGATCGGCTGGACCATGCCGAGATGGGGTATATTGCCGGTGCTACGCGCGAGGAAATCTTCGCTGGTCGAATTACTCGCGGCTGGCGAATGTGACGATAGTGAGAAGTTACTGGTAAGGCCAGATTGAAGTAGGCCCTCAATACGACTCAGGTGTTCCAAGATCAGCTTGTCGCCTGCGTCTAGCTTGATGCCTGGCTCTCGGTATATGCACTCTGCATTCAATTCTGTACAAAGTCTGCACTTTGGCCTTGTTCCATCGCATCGACTTTTCCGTGACCGACATATTTCACACTATTTGTAGTCAGTTTCTGGAAATGGGCAAGTCGAGGTAAGGTTGCTGTACCGCAATGGTCGCACGTCGTCTTGGGTAGTCTATTGTGTCGGTACTTGGGCGCTTCTTTGTGCTTGATCGTGGTTCTGTGCTCGTGCCGTTGGTACCATTGCTGGTAGGCGCGATTCCATTTGTTTGAGCTGGTGGAGTATTGTCATTCGACATTTCCCTGTCTGTACCAGATGATTGAGACATGTTGCGGGGCCGTTTTCTGAATGGATTACTCAGACCACCGCTTCCTGAAAAAAACCCATTCGGAGAGTCGAGCAGATGAGGAGACGTCAGGGCAGATTTGAGGATAAAGCTGTTTGCGTCGGGCAAAGCGGAGAGATTGAGGCAGAAGGCGTCCCGAGGGAAGCCTCCATTAGTGGTCGCCGCTGACACGGGACTAACATCTGGAGAAGGTGTAATTCCCGCCATGATTGGTGGACGGTTAGATAGCGGCCGGGGCACGCTGCACAACTTCTGCGGCGTGCAGCCACGATATTGTGACAAAGTCTTAGATTCGAAGGCGGCAAGGGGAGTAAGATGGGTGTAGCTGATGGAAGCAAGATACATACAGCAATCCGACTTGAAGATGAGACGGCAGGACCAGCGACGATTATAACCACAGCAAATCTCGCCTCTCATTAGCTCCTACACCTACACATGTCACAAAACCGCCTTCGTGAGATGAGCGAGGCGAATGCGGGGACGACAAGGGCATTAAGCACTCCACATTACGCTCAGACAATCAAAAAATGGCGCCAAACGATCCTTCAAGGGTCCTGAGTCGCGAGCCGTGGCCTGCACCATGGCCTCCCTACCCACCAACAAGGCCACGGCTTCGCCCAGTTGACGATAAATTGCCTGCAACATGCCGAACGCTTAGGTAGACACATGAGTAGCGCAATCGTGGTGGCACCCATCGAGTGAGTGGTGGCAGCCTGCTTACAGAACAGTCTGCAGGAAGCACGGAGCATGGGAAAACCATGCGGTGTGTCTGGAGAGGGCCGCGAAGCGAGCGGCCTACACCCAACCCTCAAGCATGCTAACCGCGTACAACAGGCTAATACATGAGGACAATGGCCGACTAAGATCGTGCTGTGCATGGTATTCCCTTGGCATAGAGGGTCCGCCATGACTGTGATCAGCGAACGGCGGCAGTGGACCTGCATCAACAGCATCTCCTGATCATTCCCGCTACGCCAGCACGGCTTCCGCAGCATTTTGATATTGCTACCAAGCCACACAAACTCCATTCGAAGACTCACAAGCCTTTCTGATAGGCGGGCAGAAGCTTCCATGCAGCAATTCATATTAATTGGCTGCCCGAACGCAATCACGGGGTGCCTGGGTATACCCTGGCTTTTCCCTAGGTACCTGTAGGAGCCGTAGAACAAGTGGACACTTGCACACAGCGGCTGGGACCTCAACCAGTGATATTCACTGCTGTCTCCGGCCTTGCTTTCTGGGATTGATTGACTTCGACTATGCGTGGTGTCGGCGATCCAACGCCGTGTACAGAAGCGCTCTTATCGACCAACTCAACGCTGAGTTGAGGTGGCGTAGTGATTGTCATGGCCTCAGTTCAAGACACGGACTTGTCGGTTCTCGTATAGGTGAACCTAGGGAACAAATGGCCTCGAGCACGCGACCAGTGAGAAAAAGCTTCTAGGAGATGAGGAAGGAGGCGTGTCTTGGGTATGTTATTGATCTGCGCTTCGAGCGGTTGAACCACAGTCATGCGCCACATGAAAGGGTAGACGCTCGGTAGGCCAACACGACCAGGATGCTCTCTGCTCTATGGCGTAACCTGAGGGCTATGTCCTAGGCCATGTGCGTCTGTCTTCTGAGCGCAAGATGAATAGCCGGTGGGTTCCTGAATCTGACCACCGTTCGATGGCGTACAGTGAGATCCAGATGACCACTAGCGGTTCGGCCGACAGGAGAAAGCGTTCGTTACGTCTGGCTAAGTAAGAGTTGCGCGATGCATGACGCAGGAGGGTTCAAGATGGGTGTTGGGTCAGGGTAAGGCTGGCTTATCGGCTGCTTGATGCAGCGGCAGATGTCAAAATACCTAAGCAACGTCATGTTGTACGTCCAAGTATTTTCGCCAGAGCCTCCTGTTCCAAGGCTACTAATGCACCAAGCACTGCATCTAAGTGATGCAGCTAATCTATGTAGCAACGATTATAGTCTAGGGCTAATACTAAGGTACGCACTGCACAGGGTGAGTTGGATCTAGCTTCAACATTGCACCTACTCCTGAATTGCAGATGGGATGAGACTATCTAGTTGATGTAGTAGGAAGTACCCGTGGTTCTTGACTACGAGGCTTCTTGCTGCCCGAAACGTTGGCGCAAGCAGGTACTTTTGGAGCTTCACAGGCTGTGGACAAAAGGTATAGGTTGCTCAGGTGAGAAGAGTACCCGGCGCAGACTCAACTCAAAGGGATGCGGGTTACAATACTCTCAGAACCGATCACGCTCTCTATTGCGCCATATCGAGTTGTTCTCACCATGACGTCGCTTCCAGTTACACAGATACAAACGCCTAGTCATGCGAGATAAGGAAGAGCGGCACTGCGACAGTCTCGCAAACACACAAACAAACAATGAGCTATTTCGAGGAGTTTATGGAAAGATCGCTGCCTGTCGTAATCCACCAAGTCACACAAACAATCTAAAGTTCGAGAAGATCGCGCGATTAATATAGCAGCAAGTGGACAAACACTAATGAAGAAGACCAGCCTCTTCGTACAACTGAAAGTATGACGCCGGAAGCACTTGACGCTCTCACCACACAAACCATGAGGCCGAAAGCACTCGACGCTGTTGCAGCGCAAGAGAGTAGGGAGAAGTCACTAGACACAAAATCACCGACTCAGCAGCAAGTAAGGTTCTCCTCTCACTACTTCTCGAATCTATTTCATGCTAACTCTCACCAGGTCCAGTCCGTTGACGATTCAGACACGGCAAGCCCAACCTCCATACCCTCAAAATCGGCTTCAGATGGCACCGTATCAACCAACGATGGCACCACCGAAGACACCCCAATCGCTACATCCATTGTCTCTGAGGTCGTCCAAAGCGTCAAGTCAGCAATCGACAGTGCCATCACATGGGCCGAAACGAAGGCCGAGAGCCTGAGCGCAGAGCAAGACAGCACAGGCCCATATGCTTCACCAGCGACATGTATGCCCTCGGATCTTGATGTGATTGCAAGCGGGATCCTACCTGCTATGCCGACTGCGAGGCAGTACGACGGAGGTGTTGACGACGAGAAGAAGGAAGCGGAGAGCAGTGAGAAAAGCGTGGAGGCTGGAGATGGAGAAGAAAAGAACGAGGAGGAGCAGGATGGTGAAGCAGAACCTAAGCTGTAGGATTCTGAGAAGAGTTGGAAAGGTGATATGAATTGAGGTTTGCATATTGGAGTGGCATTTGATACCCAAGCATGGCTTTGAGCGATCAGGAACAACTCAGAGGGTCCGTAACAACGAATACGAGTATAGCACAATGCTATTTCGAAGCATTGCAGAAGAGCCAGGTTGCACCATGTCGACACGCTCATTGCTTGCCCTCATAGTCCCTCTTCCACACCTCCCTAAAGCTCTCCTTATCCACAGCAAATTCCTCAAGGAAATCCCTCTCGAGGTCGTGTGTCCGGCGACCGAGCAGCACCAAACTATGCAGCGGCTTTCCGAGATCCGCGTCACATAGCTGTGCTAACGTGCCGGCAACGATCTGCTGATCCTCGGCACCCACGCGTGCAACACCCACAGCCAGACTATCCTTTGTGTAGGCACCCTCCTTCTTGACATCCTCCTCAATCTCCAGCATCTGCTGTGCGCACTGCGCGACTGTCATGTACCGCGGTGGCTCGTAGATCAGGCGTCCGCGCGCCATGTTCTCTATACTTTGTTCTTTGACTTTGATGTCGACAAGGACGAGCGTATGTAGGCCGATGGAGACGTTCTCCTTGATACGGTCGTAGAAGGAGGCAGGCTTCCAGTTGTCGAGGAAGAAGACCATGGAGACTGTTTGTCCGAAGTTGTAGAGCTGTAGACCAGTTACGCCGATGGATGTCAGGATGCTGGCGTTGGGAATGGAGCGAGTGGAAATAGAGAGTTCGCGGGCACGGAGGACAAGGTCGGTGTGTGTGGTCGCTCTGTTTGGTGGTTAGATAGACATAGTCGGTGGCCATGAGGAAGCATACCCGAATGGGTCTCCTACTACGAGGAACGCGACATCGACTTTATCGGCATCTTTGAGGATATCGTCGCTGGACGACTCGACCATCTCGCGGTCCGCTATGATGACTTCGCGGCCATAGAAAGCTTCCTACTGCCGTGATAATTAGTTTCCCCGTGCTTATCCATCCTCTCCATTGTCGACTCACAAGCACATCCTTCTCCACCAGCAGAACAGCCGTGTACGCCTCGAGATAGACGCGTTCAGCCTTCTTCACAATCTCCAAACCCTTGACCGTGATGTCTTTCTCATCTGCCAAGCCGAGACCCACGAGGTACAGCATGATGGGCGATTGTGACGCGTGTGGTAAATGTATGGTGGTGGGGGTTGTCACCAAATTCACAAAAAGTTGGGCGGGGCTGATTTGCATGTGGTAGGGCTGAGCGTGCGCGGGCCACCGGGGCTGTCGCATCAGGCATCGTCTGAAATCACGCTAGTAGACCGCAAACCGCGTTCCAGCTTCGGACTCCATTCACATTCGCCGCAACGTCCAACACCTCTTGTATTCAACTCTCTGTCTTATGTAACTGTGGGAATTTGGCGACGCGCTTTGTATGATTTTAGGAGTTGTTGGAGTACGGAATAAGGCACCATGTCGGACAAGGATAAGATGGCCAAGTATCGGACGGAGATCCAGCAGGTCAGTCACTCGCATTCCCTTCTCAACGCTTTCTTATACTCTTTTCCTATCTCCCTTTTAAACCTTCAGAGAATGAGGAACTAGGTTTGGAAATTCCGAGTTGTCCTACGCTTTTGGTCATGATCCGCCTATACGTCCCCTTTCCTGTTCACGTGGCCACTTCCATGCGCGCATACCCAAGATTTGACTTGATAGTCGTTTTCTGTCATTTGAAGACTTCATCCATGTCTTATACCCTCTAAACTTTCATGTTCTCGTTTTTCTCATTTATATTCATGTTTCGACCAAGCCCCAACATGGCCCGTACTCTACTTCACCCACAGTCACCTCAACTCCCATCACATCTAGCGATGCTACAACCGAGCTTCCACCAAAGCCCACCCGCAAGATGCCCATGGCACTTGTATCACCCACCCATTTCCTTGACTCAAATCTCTGCCCCCATCCATACTACAAGAAGCCACCATCATGGCCTCGTCCGCATCCTCCCCTGCACTATCATCGTCCCCGATGTCTCGGCCCCAATCGCCAGAAGATCTGCTCTCATTCGATGTCGGCTTGAATCTAACGATCCCGCAGATGATGTTCGTCTCCGGTGAGACTGGCGAGCCATCTCCCGAAACGACTACTTTGATCGAATCGATCGTGCAGGATCAAGTGCAGCATATGCTGCGGGAATGCACAGCCCTGGCTACGCGCCGTGGCAGCAAATCGATATCCACAGACGACCTCTTCATGCTCATCCGCCACGACCGTGCCAAGATTTCCCGACTGCGGCACTTTCTCCAATGGAAAGACGTTCGCCGCTCAGTCAAAGACTCAGATGACAAAGGTGGCGACGCCGGTGCAGATGTAGGAGCCGGTGATGCAGACATAGCCGCGGGCGTAGTGGGAGCAGGTGGTCCTGGCGCTGCCCCCGTCGACGCTTCGAAAAAAGCCAAGCGCGCCAAAGTCGACTTGGTCTGGGATGTGCAATCCTTCTTTACCGAGTTCCCACCCCAAAAAGACGATGTCGAAGACGAGGAAGAAGAGGAGATGAACTATGCCACCCTTCAACGCTTGAAGAACGCAGACGAACGTACCAAGAATATGACGCGCGAGGAATACGTCCATTGGTCCGACTGCCGCCAAGCATCCTTCACCTACCGCAAAGGCAAGCGTTTCAAGGAATGGGCGGGTTTCGGCCTCATTACGGATTCCAAACCTTCCGACGACATCATCGATATCCTAGGTTTCTTGACATTCGAGATTGTGCAGACGCTTACAGAGGAGGCGCTCAAGGTCAAGGATGCAGAAGATCTGTACAAGAAGAACCATGGTGGTGAGCAGAATCGACTCAAGAGAAAGAGGGAGAGGGGTCTGTTCGATCCGCCGGAGGAGGCCAGGGAGCCGGTACAGCCGAGCCATGTGCAAGAAGGCTATAGAAGGCTGCAGAGGGGCAACAACAAGGCCAAGGCTATGCTCAACTTCACTAGGAATGTGCATAGGGCGGCGCTGAAGTTGGTGAGTACTGCATTGCAGCAGGCGACGATGTGTGTTAACATGACCTAGATCTAGTCACAAAGCGACGCGACTGAGGTTGGATCTGCACATGGTGTTTGGATGGATAAGGCGCTTTTGGTTATTTGATACCCTGAGCAGGTAGAAGGGTGTATGGCGTCTCTGTCAAGGAAATTGGGTAATTTGCGAGCTTTTAGGATACGCGCTGCTGTATGTTTGACAGACGAGAAGCGGTCGAGCAAGTATCATCACTATTATCGTAGACGTAAACAATGCATGAAAGCAGACCAACTCCAAGTTTGACTACTGGTTTCTAATTCCGATGCTCATTTCCCTTTTTGGTACACTCATAGCATCGGTGATCAGAGTGGGGGCAGCCTTGTCGGTCGAGTATGCATGGAGAGAAGAGTCCTTCACAGACGTAACATGAAACATGACCGCATATGCCCAGATAAAAAGGAGATTGACGCCCTCCTTTAACCTTGAAAAGACCCACGCCAGGTGTTCATCATGATATCCCGTGCTTACTCCGCATCGTCGCCCAGCTGAGCTTGACGCTTCTGCTGGACACGCTCCTGCCTCCTCTCCCTCGCCGCCTTGGTCTTCGCACGCTTGGCGTCCATCTCTTCCTGGATAGCCCTCTCGCGGGCCTTCTCAGCCTTGGCCTTGTGGATCTACAGTACATGTTAGTTGCCGAAGTTCAAGCGGGGTTGACATAGTCATGATGTCATGGTCAACGTACGTGTTCAACGAGAGCACGCTTGTGCTTGAAGGTGTTACCCTTGGACAGGAGGTAGAGCTCGTGGTAGAGGTGCTTGTCGATCTTTCCTGCGGCACGGTACTTGACGAGGAGACGGCGGAGGACACGGAGGCGGCGCATCCAGACGATTTGGCTATAGACATCCGCGTCAGCAAACAGTCTCCATCATCATCTCTCACTTCCCACAATGAACCTTTCCAGAGTCCATTGTGATGGTGATATCGTGATTGCGTACCTTGGCATACGAGCATCCTTGGTACCCTTCCTCTTACCGAAACCACGGTGGCGGCCAATTCGTCGAGCGGCGGTCAGCTCCCGGGCGCGGGCACGCGAGTGCATGGTGACGGGCTTGCGGATGATGAGGCCATCCTGAACGAGCTTGCGGACAGTCTGACGGGAGTTGGCGTTGGCGATTTCGCTGGTCTCGTTGGGGTCGAGCCAGATCTTGCGCTTTCCGCAACCGACCACGGCGGCCGCGAGGCGCTTCTGAGTGCGGAGGTTGACCCTGTGAAACACTCTAGGTCAGTATTTTGATCAATTACACGGTAATAGGCGATGGAAGGTGTTGTCGTGGAAAGAGGGGTTCGCCACGTCTCGAGCGCCTATTGAGCACAGCGGCGAGTCGGGAAGGCTGTTGCGGGTGCGGAAGAGCTCCTCGAAGTGATGCTGGAGGGTATGCAATCGGAATTCCTTACATTTTGGCGGGTTGGTTGTCCTGGTGGTTAGTATCGAGAGTCGCGGCACCCTTTGACGTTGGATGGATTGAGAATATTCGCTGGCGCGTGTGATCGCTTAGAGCGCCAAGACAGTCACGTGCTGCTCACTAGTCGTTTTGCGATGCCGACCCCGAAACACAAGCAACATCAATGCACCACCCAAAATAAAGACTACGGCTGATAAACCATGCGAATCACACCAGCCTCTGGGAATTTTCCCGATATTATTTCAACAGGACTGTGATTTTCGCATCTGCGAACATGCAACGCCAAGGCTTACGGAACTAAGGTCACTTGCGTGGCGACCTTCGGCTGCTGTTAGATGTACCTAGGTGTACATTTGGCTAAATTACTTTATGATGCCAAAGTATCTGGTTACGAGTGCCCTCTTTCTTTGTCGCTGACAAGCATCTCAATGATGCAGCGGCTCATGGCCAGACAATTCTTGGTGAGTCGAAAGGTCTGTCACGCGACAACACGCATGCAGTGACTCCAAGCATCAGCAATGGATGACGCCCAGAGATTATCGCTGCATATGTCACTGCGCTTCGAATAGGTGTCGTGTGTCTCATAATGACTCATTTGCGATCGCCCCAAGCTAAGTTCTAGACTTGTAGTAATGCCGCGGAGCCTACGTAGAAGTCCGCTTCGTCTTCATATCGCCGAATTTGGTCGTCATAGTGCACCGCGCCACCTTAGCTATCTAGGTACTATCTGGCGGCGCAACATGGCAAATGTTATCGCATAAGGTACGTACGTGGAGATGATAATCTGCTAAGACCAGGAGCGCAAGCTTGCAGGACTGGTAGGATTGCTGGGTACTGTTCTTATAAAGAGCCATTATCTTACTGCTGACCTCTATCTCCATGAAGCCGTGAATCTTCAAATAATCTCGAAACGTTCGTCGAGATCCATTAGACTTGGAGATAGACAGGTAACAAACAGGACGACCCTAATAGTCTCTCCGCGGTCACCTTTTCCAGGACAGCGTAGACATTCACTGCTTGCCTCTGCTTCTTGGCTAGATTCTAGATAGTCACGACATGCATACTATTCACTTAAATGTGCCGGTAGTTCTCCTCCTAGAAGGTATTGCCCATAGTAAGAATCACTTCACGGCTGTTGAGATCAGTATATGTCCAACATGCATTTCGTGCAGCCATAACTTACCTGATTGCTGGACAGCGGGCCATGTCCAATCAAATCATTATTTGCATAACGCAGCCAGCAGATTCCTAGTAGCGTGTACAGTCTTCGCTCTCTTTCTATCCAACCGAATTGAATGCCAGTCAATGAAAGCTATAAAAAAAAGTTTGCGTGCCCAGTTTCGTTGTATCCGAGCTCACGGAGGAGCTCGTTGATCAATTCTTTACCAAAATCGGTACCAGTGGCATAACGCAAATGAGCAGGTAAGGCTGGGTCCGATGTTGGGTATGGTATGCTCCGAAGACAAGGTTGGAGATTGGATGGTACTCGAATTCTTCATGCGCATCATTTCCAAGGTTTGCTTTGATACAACCACTGAGTCTTGAACAATATAGGCTCGTTGTCTATCCCGTCGTCTCGTACGTTGTCAGTGACACTGTCGATACCAGCTCACCATAGAGGTAATTCCTCTATACGAAGAAACTTGTCCTATGAGTCGTACCCTAAAATACCATCCTAGAGGTATACGCCTGATTTCTTTGTTTGTACAGGCTTTAGATTAACGACGACATGTCATTTAGGTCGTGCTTTCAATTTGCGTAAAGCCCATTCAAACCAAGCGTCTTTGTAGGGAACTCGCATGACGTATCAATGTTATCTTGAACAGCCTGTTGAGGAAGGGGTGAACCTGACGAGCCGCCGCGGTATAGTAGTTGTGAGCGGGTCGCTGGAAGCTGTCAAAGACGTGGGAACAACATCACCCCGAAAGAGAATCTATCTGCGGCTGATACATGGATCTTGTGAAGTTCTTCAGGCGCGGAAAGATGAGACATTTAAGACAGGGAACAGCAGCAAATAATAAATAGGTCGATTCGCTAATTAGAACAAGAATGTCAAGGAAAGTGTATACCTTTGGGATGCAATGTTGACGGGAAGAACTTGATCAAACGAGCTTCTTCGGAAGTATATTGCTCTTGGTAGCATCGAGCAAATATTCACGTGCCTCGTGAACGCATGGGACGCAACGTGGAAGACGCGAGGTTCTCCTGGGACCCTTGTGGCAGCCACACTTCGCCACATGTGCGTCGATATACCGCGAAAGCGCCAGGTTGTCGGACAAGAAAACAGCGACACCAGCGTGAAGGCCGGTGAAAGAGCATAATGAGTGCAGTAAATGGCTGGCTGGGGTACTGCATGTGATAGGGGATGTGGTTTCCCGGTCTACAGCAAGTCGTGTGATTGCGGGTGGGCTTGGCAGCTAATGCAGGGAAGGACAAGGTAGCGGAGATTATGGGCCAAGTTTAACGGCGGGACCCCGACTGGATTGATACAACGCTGCTCAACTCCTTACTCGACGTTTTGCACCCGTAGACGTTTCGAGTCGCAGAACAAGCTTCACAACTACAGCTGAACGTTTCCGCTGGTGCACACGTCAATCGCACGCCACACAGCTCCATTGATCAGCACACGTTACGGCGCATACCGCTGGTTGATCGCCCTATAGTTGGACCTCCTTGTACAACCCGCCCTTGTTTGAGCGACGTTGCCAACTCCGAGTCTCTGGGACTCGCTCTACATTAGACAAAGAAAAGATAAACAACATGTCGGCTGCAGCAACAACCAAGCCACCAGGCACGCCGCGTCGCGAGGCCAATCCCAGGACCTCGTCCTCCCCTGCAGCTGCGAACCGTACGCCAGCCCGCTCCTCCACGCCGACTACGAATGGCGCCGGCGGGGTTTCGAGGACACGATCTGTTCGTGGCGGGGCCACTGGCACTCCCGTTTCAGCGCGCGCCGCCGTTAAGAAGCCCGCAGCATCTTCAAATCTAAGTAACACGTCGCAACCCGATGCTGCCGATGACGACGCCAGGGAGGAGCAAGCTGCGCTGCTGCAGGACCTCAAGGATCGGCTACAGAAGGCAGAGAGCGAGGCCGTGGAGCGACAGAAGCAGGTCGAGATCCTCAATGCTCGCCTCGACGATGCTCTCACCGAGCAGGCCAAGCTTGAAGAACGTGCTCATGAGGAAGAAGAGAAGGTTGAGTCATTAGAGAACGTGAAGAAGGAGTTGACTCGTCAACATCGCGAGCTCGAGGGCATCTATGAAGCAGAGCGTGCGCAGGTCATGAAGGAGAAGGAGGAGACGATGTCAAGGGAAGAGGAAATGCAGAGCACTATCCAGCGCCTCAAGGAGACCATGGCAAGCAAGAACATGCCGACTGGCGAGTTTGAAGAGGAACAGCACTTGTCACGAGCCTGTAAGTCAACACTCCTACCGAACCAACGTGGCAATCATGTAGATACTAACACACCTCTTAGCAAGCTTTCGCAACAACCCATCCCGTACCAACTCCTCGCAGAACCTCGAGAACGTCGCATCCTTCGCACCGCCCAACTCAGTCCAGCGCAGCAACTCGCGAAACAACTCGAAGCTCATTCACCAGAAGGACAAGATCATTGAAGACCTGCGCCTCGAACTCGCCGAATACCAAGTCAAGGTGATGGAGGTAGAGAATGCTGGCGGCGGGCGCATGCGCGAACTGGAGAAGCAATTGGTCGAGACACGCATGACCAATGCCAGGCTCATGGAAGACAACGAGAGCTTCCAGCTTCTGCTGGGAGAGAAGACTCTCAATGGAGATTTGAGTCGCGGCGATTTCCTACGCGAGACATCCAACGCTGATGACCGAGCACCATCCCGGAGCGGTCCTTCAACCAGCTTGGCTGATGAGCTTCAGTCGGCCGAGGAAGGCGATGCTGAAGTCGTTCGCAAGCTTGAAGCTGAAGTCAGCAGCATGAAGGCGCAGAACCAGGCCCTCACCCTCTACATCAACAAGATCATCGGTCGCTTGCTCACACACCAGGGCTTCGAGTCAGTCCTGGGCAATGACGCTGACAACGATCACGGCTCTGGAGGTCCTGACAAGAACAAAGAGCTGCCACCGCCTCCTCCCCAAGAGAGTGATCAGCCACAAGGATTCCTCCAGCGCGCTAAATCCGTCGCCATGGGCGGAAATCGCAAGCCACGACCTCTCAGTATGATGGGCCCACCACCAGTCACCAACCAGCAGAGCGCTCACGAAGATCCTGCTACTGCTCCCAGCATCCCGCTCACGCGCTCCACATCTGGTCGCCACCCCAGCGGCAGCTACCACCACCATCGCCGCTCCACTTCTGAAGTACAGGGCGCCGCAAGCGTAGTCAACAACATGTACCGCGGTTCTCCCGCAGGTACACCCAACCCGGTGTCGCCAGGCGTCGTTTCGCCTCGCAACTCCTTCTTTGGTCTTCCTGTTAGCACTGGTCCTGGGTCTAGCAATCCCGTTTCAAGAGTACCTTCTGGTCAAGGTCCCGCCATCCCGGAAGACAAAGAAGTCGACACAATGACAGTGTCATCTTCTGCGAGCCACGTCGATACACCCAGCCCACCCCGCCCGCTGCAACGCAGCGAGACTGGCACTGGTGTCATGACCGGCAAAGGCATGCGACCACTACGCTTAGTCCAAAACGAAGAAGAAGCCTCCAAGGCACGCAAGGCAGCCAACCGAGCGAGCTGGTTCGGTGGTCTCTTCGGCCAGAACCCACCACAGCAGCAGAACCAGGAGAACACGCAGTAGAACTGTCGTCGTCCTCCTTTTTAACAGACATTTCTATGTAAGTACTTCTTCAGCTTGCTTGCTACACAGCGTGGGTGGCTTTTGGAAACGATGACGGATGGATGTACGACTTAATGTTGGGAAAGCAAATGAGGAATGAGGAAATGGATTCAAGATAAGACAGGGGATGAGCATACATATACACATTTGTGGGCGAGGAGTGTCAGTCATGGGCTTTTTGTTGGACTCTTCGCTTGCACCATTCTTGTATACCCCCCTTCTTCCCTGCTTTTGGATATTCTATACTTGCGTTTGGGTTTCTGGTTTGGTAGTAGGTGTAATGACATTCTTTCTTCGCTTTTGACTCGTGGTCTGATGTATCTTCACTGTGGTTTTGTGAGTGCGCATCTCTTCGTTGTTCTTTTCCTGGGTTGCTGCTGCTGCTCCAGAGCTCTGGGGGTGGGTTTCCTGTCTTGCTTGCCTTGGGTAGAGAGCCTCGGGCTCTTCTTTCGCTCACACCTGTCGTTCACATGCATGGTTTTTAGTGCCATTTCTGCTGCATCCTCCCAATCTTCGCCATCTTTTTCATCCTCTCCACCCTCCACCACACTACTCAACTTCCGCTTCCTACTCTTGAAAATCTCGAGGCTTTCTGTCAAGCTCTTTCTCGGCAGTACACTCAGACTACTTCGCCTTTCCTCGCACCTCGTACACACTCCTCCATCGCTAACCCGTCGTCGCTTCATCCGGTTCGGGCATCTCGTCGGATCTAAGCTATGTATAACGGCATGACTGCATTGTGCATAACGCATGCGGATGACGTTTGTGCATCTATGGGGTGGGTAGCATGAGTGAGAAGAACAAGTTGAAAAAAGGATGTAGCACATCTTCAGCGGTTATCGAGAGAATATTGAACGGCGTCGTATTCAAGACAGAGATTCCGGCGAAGTGGACATGCGTCGGATAGTCGCTGCTACGATGAGCGCGGTCGTTTAGGGGGATGTTATACATATTGAAGGCTGCTTGACGCGAGTCGGTTTGTGAGTGCGCGAGACATTTCCTATCATCCTTTCATCCATGGGTTCGAGGTGTCCAAACAATGCATTGCCTTTGTGTTGAAGCTGATGTTGAGTTATGTTGTTCCTCCATGTTTTACTTACATGTCTTACTTTGCAGGTTGAGACATGAGCGTTGAACAAACATTTGTAACAAGAGAAGGTAGCAATCCCCTGAGTTATATTACAAAGACTAGTGGCTATCTAACAGGTTCACTAATGTAGAAGCTCGATTTGGTCGTTTGCAAGGTGAAAAAGACCACCTACGTACTTGGACGTGCAATCTACGCGTGGTCCAGGAGCTAACCGCTTTCATCGTCGATGAACTACAGCTGCGAAAGACTCTCAGAATTCAGATCTCTGCATTATTTTCATCCTCTTGAGAACATACATCGTGAAACAAAGAACCCATCATCATTTGAAAATGCACTCTGACGTTCGTGCAAAGTTGTAAAATAATATCTGGCAACTACGTAAGAAGGTACATCAAAGCGACCAGCGCCAATTGTAAACTATAGATGGGTATCAGCGTAACTAGGGTATCATACATGAAAACACGCGCTAGAAGTACATCAGAAGGTGGAGATGGAAAATCACCCTCGTTCACAGTCCGGTAGTGACTACCTTCGGCCCTGCGGCGCGTTCCGTCCATGCTATCAAACCATGGTCAGCATGCGCCCAGTACTCGCGCGTCTTCTTGTACATAGCCATTCGCTCAGCAAGAGTTGGAGTTGCCATTATCTCCTTGAAGGGGATCGGTCGCTCCTGCACAGGTATATTGGCGAAGTCTATCGCGGTACCCGAGTCTGCACGTTTCGATCTCGCGGGTGTTTGCGCGTTCGCAGTTGGGGGCCGGCGCTCGAGAGGCGAAGGTCGTCGCTGAACGACGACAGGCTGTTGTTTGCGTGTGATCCCTGTTTTGGGAAGATCAAGATCTGTCGTCGAGTAGATGGAAGAGGTCGTGGTGAGACGCGCCAGTGCCCTTGTATCTTGTAGTGGCAGGTAATCTCTTCTCACCAGCTCTGGTATGGGTTGTGGTTCAGGAGTGCGCGTCTTCGATGTTGGCGCTGTATCGTATAGTTCGCGATCTAGTCCGACCCTCTGCCGTAGTCGTGACATGCTCGACTGCACCCTCAAGGGCCTGCTTGCGTTGTCGGATTTCCCTATTTGACTATCCACTTGTTGATTTTCGCCAGCTCCACGAGCTAGTTCAGTATGATGCGAGGTTGAGCTGCGCCTCAACTTAGAGAGGCTTCTTGTCAAGGAGACGCTCGGTCGTCGTAGCGTGCCGGCCACGGTATCTGACCGTCTCGGTACTTCAGTCCTCCCAATCGCAACAAAAGTATGTGAGGGTCGCTCATCCGGTACAATCGAGGTGCTAGGGAAGTAGGTGTCGAGATTTGAACTGCTGTTGCCCAGTACGTTCACGCCGCCGACGTGTTTGGCATTCATCGGACCTGAGATGATAAGCGTCTTCGTCTTAGCCATGGCTTCAGTACGGCCCCAGCGAGTTAGCGACGAAGAGGGTGAGCCACGGAGTGTCTGATGACCGTGTGCTGTCCGCCTGAATACAGCTCGTCTCGAGTGAGTGTGGATCTTTTCGAAGATGTTCGCGATGGAGCGGAGGATGCGACACTGGGAAGATGCAATGACAACTTCGAGAAATATACCGGTCAGCCGTTCATGTAGTTCGTTAAACAAATGGTCTATAGCCTAGAAGAGACGAAATCTTCGTCAAGATGCGTAATAGATCTGGCGAAGATGACACCCAACTCAGTACATTCGGCAAAAACATCTTCAGAACCTGATTCGATCCTTACGAGCATGCAGCCTAAAAGTCTCGATGATGTGGTTACGGTGCTTCGAAAGCGTTTTGAGACTCAAGATGTGGCTGCACCCTGGAAGTAGATCATGTTGCCTGGGTTTGGGCCATCTGAGACGCACAACGTTGCGAGCACGTAATATGTCCAGTGCTATCCGACTCGTCTCAGTACCAAAACACACGGGAGATTGCCCATGACGCAATACAACACAACAAGGCTCTCCTAACATCCAAGGCATATGTGTGTGGCGTTGTTCTATACCCATAGGTTCTCGGTCACTTGTCGGAAACACGAGATTCCGAACATCAGATGCATAGCATTCAGAATAAACTGCCGGCTTTAGATGGACAATCTCGGTAATGAGGACCTCCTTCATGACAGACTATAGCTCTGATCCGCACAGCGTATGTTGCGGGCTACTGTGGATGACACCGTCCGTTTGTAGGTCGAAGTCCTCTCCTCTACCCTGTCTGCATTTGTGTCTGATCGCACTTCGAATGCGATAAGCCGGTTGGGAGATCGTAGAAGGGCGGAGGTAGGGGCAAAACGGCGTGTACAAAGAGCCTATTCTATCACTACGGCTGCGGGTGGATGCTGCTCCTGTGGAAACGTGATTCAGCTAGTTCGTGGTCATCCCAATACTGTCGCGCTCAAAAAGATTGATGCGCGCTTTCTGAGGGCAAGCGAGGGCGCGCCGGCGAGCTGAAGCATGTCTTGCGACGCGCAGAGTACACATTCAACTTACGCGCGATCATCTCACACACATATACCGTGATCTCCAGGCAGCGACGCTGTTGATAGGGTTGATGAAGCAGACCGCGTTCCGAAGATTCGCCAGCGTCTCATCCAGGCTTCCCGAAAGCGTTAGCGCGGGTCCACCTACAACGGCCCTCCGCGCCTCACGAGGTTAGCGAGCCATCGCCACATTCGCGAGGCTGCACGGCAACGACTTCGAACGAACTTCACCTTCTATCCAGGGGTGGCCTTCATGCAGTGCCGCCTCTATGCATGGACTGGTCTGGCGGCTCCCGCTACGGAGGCTCACTTGACAGGTGTCAGGCACGCTTGAAGCGCAGGACTGCATAGCATGGCTGGTAGAACTTAGGCTGTATATAAGGCACAATGCCTTGCGCTGCATGGAATAGCATCATCAGCATCTATCTACGCAAGTCTTTCATTCATCGTCTTTCAAGTCGTTCACTTCATTACCCTTCTTTTCATCGTTCCTGGAGAATCGATAGGCCGGTCCACTTTCGTTATACATCCTACATAGACCCTATTCTTGTTTATTATTCACGATCACGACCGAGAGGAACGATATAGATATTCATCATGAAGAACTCTGTCATTGCTCTTACCCTCATTGGTGCTGCGGCTGCCCACCCGGCTGCCTTCAGGACCAAACGCGAGGTTCCTCAGGAACACGCTCACCGCAACGTTAACCTTGCTGTCAACACCCTGTTGAAGCTGAACAACCCAGACAACATCCAGGATAGTGTCTTTGCTCTACTTGGAGCGAAGGCGGCCGCACAGGGTGCTGGAGACATCGCTGATGCAGGTGAGTTGCTTGAAACGCAGGATACAAGCTTCATCAAACTAATCACGAATAGACTGCCTTCAGCAAGCCGTAGCTGACCAAGCCTTCACCAACGCTAAGGAAGCTGGTGATGTCGAGGGCATGACCATGGCTCTCATTTACCGTACTTTGGAACGAAACACAGGCTCCGTCGGTCTGGCTTCCGTTCCCTGCCAATCCATTCAGGCCGTCAACCCTGAGATCGCTGCACTTCAGCAGCATCAGGACCCTGCCGGTGATGGAGCTCAGGCGCTCAACAAGCAGATTGCCGAAGAGCTCGCACGCCAGATCGCCTCAGTTGGAGGTGACCCATTGATGGCTAACGAGGCTTCGACTTTCGCGCCTGGCAAGATCGGTGACCCAACCGGTGCCGGCAACACTTGCGACGTCGATACTGATGATGCGGGATGCATCAACACTCAGAACCTTCGTGTTGATGATCTCACCGAAGACGAGATTGCTGCTGCGGTCGCTGGTGTCAGTGGGGCTGCTGGTAACGGCACTGCTGCAGCCGGTAACGCTGCTGCTGGTAACAAAAACTCCAACGCTGGCAACGGAAACAACGCCAACGCTGGGAATGACAATAACAATGCCAATGCTGGTAACAACAACAATGCCAACGCTTGTAACAACAACAATGCCAATGCTGGAAACGGTGGCAACAATGCCGCTGCTGGTAATGCTGCTGCTGGTAATGCTGCCACTGGTAATGCTGCCACTGGTAATGCTGCCACTGGTAATGCTGCCACTGGTAATGCTGCCACTGGTAATGCTGCCACTGGTAATGCTGCCACTGGTAACGCTGCTTCTGGTAACGGTGCCGCCGCATTCGGCAGCTGCGACCCTACCATCACCTTTGGTATTCCTTCTGATGGCCGTAAAGAGGAGGCTTTCGAGCCCACCGACCTGAGCACCTTCAACCACGGGTCTGCTCAGAAGATTGATATCATTTCACAATTCATCTGCTCACAGATGTCTAACAAGTGCAATGTAGACGCTGCAGCTGTCAGCACCTGCGATGCTGCTGCGTCTGCCGCTTCGGGACTTACAGGTCAGGCGGCTGCAGATGCTTTCAACTCTGCTCTCGGTCTGTAGAGAGAGAGTGGGGCCTGCAAGAGATACAGTAGGGGAGAGGATGCAACATCATACATGAAATGACGACTTGAACAGTATGTGCTGGGAGCTTTGCACTAGGTTATACTACATATAGGAGAATTCATGCACTGGTATCAATTTTTGAGATTTTCCTCATGCTCAAGTTATGTTTTGCGTGGATAAAAGCCTACAAGGAATTGGTAGCAAATATAGAGATTTGATAAATGATGACTACAGAAACTAAGATAAGTGGACAGCGAAAACAGTGTAATCCTATACCAAGCTACTAGGAAATTCTGATCGTGTCTTGCGCAACTTGGAGGTCTAAGGGTGTTGTAACTAACCAAGCGTAGCTCTTTTGTTATCGTATGTTCAATAGAGGTTTTTGCTCGCACGCCTCGATAACATGCTGACTGAAATTTTGATGGCAGTTGATACGCTCCGGCGCAGAGATCATACCACCCTCACCCGAACTCTAACTCAGTGTACTCTGAAAGACGCTTGCACAATATGAGTTGCTCAGGTCATGTATGCCAGCGCTACGAGCGTGGAGTATCTAAGAGAGGCGCGCGAGATCGTGCACCTGACACTGCAAAGCGTGGGGCAGGCGTGTTTCCTCATTGCCCATTGGACTGACTATTCTCAATGATCGCCTCGGATTTGCTGGGGGTGTGCATGGCCTTCGATATTGTTCGTGAGCGCATGATGCCCCCGCATTCTCGACTATTGAAGACATTAGATTCGCACGATATAGCCCGTGGTCTTCCTAGAATGGGTTGCATATTAGGCCTCGTGCTGTGTTGAGCAGCTGGAGCCCACTTCGAGACCCTCATGGTGCTCGGCAGTCTTCGAGAAAGCGATATTCAGCCAATGAAAACTCAAAAACCAGAATTGCTGGTCGACTGCACTTCCGGATCGAGCAAGATGCGTGCATTTCGGGACAGCTAGATATTGGTGTGTGATGAACTGCAGCCGATCCAGACCCTTTTCGCAGCCAAGCGCGGCATGCACACAACGTTGCGGCACACCAACTCTAGGCGGGTGCGAAACTAGGCCGTCGCGTTTGTCAGTGCCCAATGAATATCTACGCCGACAGGAAGGGACCATTAACGTAGACGGAAGACTGGTTTTTGGTTGAGAATCTGCCATGCAGCGGGATGGATCAGAGCGCTCGAAGCATTGGCTACGGTACAGCTATGTAGTAATGACTCGTGCAGTTGTTGTGTTGTAAAGCAGTGACCCGCGCTCCACTGTGGAGAAGAGGGTTAGAGTAGTAGCGAATTGGGGTTCTCCAGTGTACCATTGGCCGTGCGTAGTCTGCGTAGCCTCGCGTAGTGCATAGGTGGCAGGTTTCTGCTGGTTGTCGCTCATTCATGTCCACGAAGCAGCAGAAGTGATGAGGTGGGGAGGAAAAGCAAAAGACAACGGGGAGTGACCGTTGTGCATGCCGCGAGACCGCCCACAAGCTTGCAGCGAGTTGGCAACGGGAGACTGGGTGGAAAAGTCGTGACAGGTGTTCGTGCTTGCAGAAAAACAAGGCCTCTATGCAGGGGCCGTCGAAAAGAGCGCCACGATCAAGGTATGATTGCACGGACCATGAGAGGTCCAATACGGTTAGGCCGGGAGAAATGAGCGCGTCGCAACGCGTCAGTTTCGTTGTCGACTGTCTGCGGCAACAGCTTCATGTGCTGTGTGCATGCACAAAGGCGAAGAGTGCTATGCAAGCCAACGTAGAGAAGCGCATGAAGCGTTGCGTGGGCGACTGCGAAAAAGTGTTGGACGAGAAGTGTTTGATTTTGTATGGGGCTCGGGGCACTTGGTGGGTTTGCAGAGGTTCTATCGACGATCTTGGTCTAAGCCCGTCCGCTGGCTCGCGCTAGCCGGGCAGCAACCGTCAGCCGACTTTTGCGAACCTCACCGCACATCACCTTCACCATCACGACTTTCACGACAATTCCGAGCCGACCTCGCCCGTCGCACTCCCGTGTGCGCCACGCGACTTCCTGACGACCGTTTCCTTACGTCTTTCACGATTCTTCACTTTCGCTTGCGCTCCCCATGGACGCGGAATAAGGCGCCCACTTCCTTCCGCCCACGCACCCAGACCTTTCACCGCGACCCACGACTCCCATATTTTGCCCCAAACTCGCAATCATCAACCTCCACGATTATTCACGCGTATTCGAACGCATCCTTGGACCTTCTCGCATCGTCTTCGACCATTGCTAATCGCGTTTTCGCCAGTTGCAAGCTGTTGTCGCGACTTGGAGCTACGCGCCATCACCACCAGAAGGGGTTCCCGTGCATTGTCCTTTGCTGTAGAGCTTCTGCAACACTGAAAACTCTCGTCGCCAGTGCAGCTAAGAGTCCGCGACGCCTTGCGACAGTACACTCGCGTTATCAGGCGCATTCCATCATAATTGCACGTGTTACCACCCTGCAGCCGCACTGTCGCGTTCGCAGAGTACCAAACACCTGCTGGGACCTAAGCCATATCGAACCTACCGCCCTGCATTATCGAATCAACCCGACATCAATCGGATCACGCTCGAACTGGATGCATTGATCGCTTGTCGTGCCTGAATTGTCCCATCTCCTTGCGGTGTCTTTGAGATTGATCTCTTGCTGCCGTCATCAAAGACAGCCGTATCCTGAAACACCCAACATCCCGATCATCTCAATACGTTCGCAACATGGACGCCGAACGCCCCAATCTATCTACTACCTTACCAAGGAACTTCATGTTCCATTACCATGACGGCCCGGCCCCACAAACCCCCGAGCCAGAGCCGCAGCCCGAGCAGTTGCAACCGCCGCCGCCACCTCGACAAGTGCTCAAGGTTCGTCGTCGCCGTGCCACCTTGGTCATGAACCACGACGACATGGACGCAATCATGGATCAGCGACCCATTCCAACCATTGAGGCTCCCGAAATCATGTCTGAAACTTCGAGCGACCTGCCACCGTACTCACTGCCTCAAAACGACGCGTTCTTGTCACCAGGCTTCGGCTACAGTCGCATGCTTTCTCCACCCAAGACTCCCGTTGCGCAGATGAGAACCATCAGCCACTACGAAGGACCTCAAGACTGGTCTGACGTCCCACATGTCAGTCAGAGTGAAACATCAAGCAGACCCACCTCCTCGTCGGGCTTCTCAGATTCTTCTGTCTCGTCCTGCGATAGCATCGGTTCATTCATGTCGAGAAGCGGCAGCTGCACGAGTCCCGAAGAAGAACTGTCAGACCCCTTCGCGTTCTGCCCACCCACAAACAAGTCTCAACGTCAAACCTCGCCTTCAATGGCTACCCCACAGCCTCGCCCTGCTAAGAAGCTAAGGTTGAGGGCAACCTTCAGTGAAGAAATGGATCACCACTTGTGGATGACTTACATGAAGTACCTCCAAGATCCTACAGTGACGCCCTTCAAAGCCCTTCCGAGCACCACTCCACCGAACGGAGTATGCCATCGTGTAGCGAGGATGGCCCGCAAGACCTGGAAGGGCCCAAAGCACACTCGCGCTGGTGGTCTGCACGCAGCCACACCTGTAACTCGATCAAGCAAGTTATTAACACGCTACCCCAGCGAGAGGCAGTGCCGAAAGCGATTACGAGACTTGGCCAAGCAAAAGCCGACTCTGTCTGCACACTATCAGCGTATGCTTCGTCGATCACCTTCGCCGCTACAATCCTCTCCTCCGCCGGAGCCCGAACCACAGCAACCACAACAACCACAACAACAGCCATTGTCGTCGCCGTTCTTACAGGGCTCTACTAGCTTTTCCACAAGAGACATGAACTTGTCGCTAGCTACAAGCACTGCCGCATCGATGCAGTTAGGAAACCCGTTGTCGCAACTTGCCAACGATATAACACCAAGACCGTCGCCGCGAACATGGTCAAGTGCGCGTTCTTTTGCTCATCAGAAGTCGCAATCGCTTCATATCGGTTTGGGACTGGGCAACGTGCTGGGTTCACCTTTCCATGCTAGGTCTGAGTCCAGCAACAGTAGGATGAACCAGAGCAACGCGCGAACGTGGCATGCGCCGTCATCCTCTGCCCAATCACCACGTCTTGGCTCACCTTTCCAACTACACGCGCCTCGACCCAAGTCAAGAGTGTTCAAGCGACGTGCGCTTCACAACAGCTTCGAGGATAGGGCGCGAAACCGCGGGGACAGCTTCGTCAACGAGATCTTTGGGGCGCCAGCTGAGTCAAGTCATCGTCGTGTGAGGAGCCGCGGCTTCAGTTTGGGTGACATGATGGAAGGTGCCCGACGACTGCCTCTGGTCAACGATCCGTCAGGATTCAACCCGTTCGCGCACGCTGGCTCTGCCATGCCTAGCCCAGCTCAAACCTCGCCCGCCGTGCCAGCTGAGTTTCAGAGCAAAGGTACCGTTCGACTGGGCTCACCGTTTGTTGGACGCTCGAGCAATACCTTTCCTCGGGCGACAGTCTCGCATAGCTTCGAGCCTCCAGCATCATTCGAACAGCGTTTCGCCGGTGTGCCTAGCGACTCGGCGTACCTATATCGATCATAGAGCTCGATTGTCTTCTCTTCTGCTTAATCAATGCACCTAAGCATGACTGCATCATCGGCGTTACGACCGACAGCCTCGAGCGCTGTCATTGCATATACCTGCTGTCTGGCACATGGCCTTACACCTGCTTCCTGTTAAAAGCATTTCCTTTGTTATGTCTATACCAACTTGGACCTTCTTCAGTGTCAGCCTTTGGTCTATGTTCTGGACTTTTACTTCTTGGACATGATCATGTGGCTACATGTGTCTTCGATGAACTTCAGTAATTTGGATGTGGGAGGCCGGGAGCCATGCGGGAGTGACGTGGAAATCCCTACAGCCAGAAGGCGTCCGACCAGGCTTGTGGCTTCGGTCTCCCTATCTCTTTCGCATATTCCGGCATTCTTGCTTGACTATAGCTTCCACTCTTTGTCGACCGACCACGTGGTGCGGCTCTTTATTTCCTTGTGTTTATGTCTTTCTCTTCTATCACGACGGACATGATGAATGTTATGAAGCGTGGGTGGGATATCGGCGCCAACAGGGTATGAAGTCTTCACGAATCTCAATGACTGTCTCGAAGCGTGAACGACAATACCTAGTTTCTTGTCTTTCGGTGGTATCTGTTTCGGTGTGAATTTGGTCCTAAGGATTTGATCGGCTGGATGGGTGATATGGCGGAGGTGACGGTTCGGAGAAGAGCCTATACACTTTGGTAGATCAGCTGGTCCTTTCTGAAGGAATACACATGCTTCGAGCAGACGAACTATTAATGAATGAAATGGATGAATTCAAATGAAAAGAGTGTGAAGAAGAGACTGTGCGTTCCACATAAGCCCCTCTCAGTGCACTGATCTCCGCACCGCCGTGCCGTAAAGTAGTTCCGTAACGTGAGCACAGGCGTCATCACGTCTGGTCTGTGCCGATTGCCCATGATCCATGGTAGGCAGTTAGCCCTAAGCCACGACACGAGAGATCCCCCTGCTGAACCCATTTCCCTTTGATGAAAAACAACAATTGTTTCAATACCCTGTATAGAAGAAGAAGCCAACAAGTCGTGAACATGTCTGTATAGATGAGTCTGACCGGCGAAGACTAGCCAACAATCTTCCGGGCAGAAAAATTAAACATGCAGCAAGTGGATGCACCAGCCCACATCACCAACCCCAAAGTTGAAGTTTCGCGGCCGCATGCACAGTTAGCCCAGGCAATACGCCGAGGCCTAACGTTTTCCTCGTTGCCGCACCTGTCCGGCCAGTCAGAGGATGCGGGCATAAGCAGTAGTATCCACTTGGGCTTATTGTGTGCAGTATTGTGATGGAATTGTGTCGCACGTCGCGTGCCAAGTTTCTCAGCCCGTGCCCTCTTGCTGGTGCGACGCGTCGCAAGTAAATCATGTGCTACCGCGAACGCGTGAGACGTGTCAAAGGACGTGCTGACTGCGTAATACTTGGTCCAGATACGGTAAAGTCATGGTTTGGCATCGCGAGGGGCACCCTGAGAGGGATCATCGCGTGCGTTGGTGATTCACCTAGTGCAGCGGCTGAGTTGCTTTTGATCACTTGGGATAAGCCCTTTTGCGATGGTATTGGGTGCGGATGCTCATGCTTCTGCCGGTGAGCGTGTACAGTTGAAGCAGGTTTAACTAAACGCGTATATAGAACGCGGACTCGCTTGCTGAGCGAACTCGCGATCATCGGTTGCTGATGTTTATTCCCCTCACCACTCAGCCCAATCACCGAAACTTCCGTTCTAGGCCTTTCTTTGCTTTCATGGCTCATTCGTGTCCTCACGACACCATAACACGATACTGACGACACGCGTTGAAGACCTCAGCCGTGGCCGGTTTCACGTTGAGGGGGCGGGGTGTGTGTGTGGAGACGCTGCATGGGGAAGGTTCGACGCATGATGATATTGGGCTGAATACTGGCGTCATCCTCAATATTACCACAGCAACTGATGCACGCCTAACGCGACGGATCGTCTTTGCATTATTGAAGACTCAGCTAGATCTTACGATCTTCTTTGTGGGTAGTTATCTAGCCATGCTTGGCCAGGAACTCTTCTCCGTCGCTTCAAGTGGTTGCAACCGTCCGAGGTCATCCGGCGCGCCTTCGGTTCTGCCACCTCACACCTAGGGGACCCTCGGTCAGAATGCGAACTTTCCTTCTGCAAGCTCGTCGACTGGCGAACTGATCCTCTGTTTGCTGCTCAAGATAAGAAACTCCGGTACTCGATCAAATTCTGGTCATCACGCTCTATACGCACGCCTAGTTCTGCCCGCAGTTTCCACGTCGGATGACTAAACATATCGAACCAATATCCGACAATCGGATTATTACTCAACGCCTTTAGGTTTACTTGCAGCAGTCGAGTAGATACATGTGTACTCACATGATGCGCGGAAATATACTAAAGATGTATGGTAGCGATAACACACACGAATGCGACCACCAGCTTCCCGTGGAATTGCAATCTTTTTCACCCGATTGTAAAGCCTGGTTTCATTTGAAATGGGGTAGATGTAAGTGGCTAGTCGTCTCAAGCGACTACCACATATCCAATGCAGTAGTACCGTGGAATGTTTGCATCCTCTACTTAGCTACCTCATTTATGTTGCAACAGAACATTCACCAAAATCCCGCAAAATACAAACCCCACCGCTCATCTTGATGGAACCTCACCATGCAAAGATGCTCTTCGATAAACCATTTCCCTTTCTCGCACTCAACAAATCGCGCTGCCGCCTACTGGAACTTCCCCGCGAGCTTCGCGACGAAATCTATAAACCCGCTCCCGCATTCGATGAAGGTCTCAGCGTCACAGAAGATATGAAGCTTCATCCGATTACGCTGAGGATGAGGGTAGTAGGCAAAGGCGGATTCTCACACCTCGAAGCTAACACGCTCAAGTATACTTGCCGTCAGATCTACGCCGAAACCAAGAACTTCACCTTGAAAGTAAATGACACCTTCACCTTCAACTCGACCACTGAATGTAATTGTGGTCTTGATCGCTTACTCAGACTCGCTCCAGTCTTTCATACTATACGAAACGAACCCCGATTAGTCAACATCCACCCGCATGCCGTGTTCGACTGGAGGGCCAAACTAACAGAAAAGATGGCCCATGTGCTCAACACCATAACCATCCATCGCCTAGCAAATTTCTGCCGACAGTTTCCCACAACCAAGGTTCGATTACACTTCCAGCACCCGCTTCGGTCTTACAAAGACATGTATAACGCATACCCTGGATTGAATCAGTGCCTGAGGGGCCTACGCGGCGAGACACACTGGACAGTGGATCCAGACAGTACGCCAGAATGCTTTGCATTCGAACTGTTCATATCGATATGGAGTTGGCGTGGAAAACTGCCTAAAAACATACGCATTGTGCTACAGTGGGACCCATGCGGTTCGTGGAGCATCCTGAGTAGTGTCTTTTTGTAAACGTTCCTTGGAGACGGGACCTGGAAGCCAACAGTGCTTGGGCTAATCAGTGTCGCTGGTGTCCCATGTGTGATTGTAAGATGAAACCTGCCCCGCTCGTGGCAAAGTACAAAGATGGGTTAGAGCATGTTGGTCATGCTCTGGCCAAGGGCACTTATACTCCACTCTCGTTTCATGATTCATCTCTTCTGGATCGTAACTAGGTAATCTGTACCCTAGAGGTGTCCGCCATATGTCACGTCCATATAGCAAGAGAACAAAATGGCAATCAATTATCTTGAGGTGTATTTCTTTTGGTGGCACAGGTCTCATTCTAGAACAGGCTTTCTCGTATTAGCGTATAGTAATATGATATAGTGGTGTATTGTACATTGGCATGAGTCTATATAATGAGAAAAGCAGCGAGTCTTGGTCCAAAGAAACATTATGTGGTACAACAACGTATCCCGAACTCCTAGCCGTGGCTAACCCGGGGTATAGCAACCAATGATGCAAAAAAAAGCATACTAATATCTACAACCCGCCTCTCATTTGTACAATTTGTTCCCCTCAATCAATAACGCCGATCACGGCTCCTCCCTACGACGATATATCGCTGCCGTTCCTCAAGTGCATCTTGCTCAGATCACCGTTCTGCTGCGGCATTTGCGCCAACCAGGTAGGCGGCGCCATACCAGTCTGATCATGGATTGTGCTGAGAAGAGGCGGCAGGCTCTGGAAGAGGTTGCGGATAGGTGCTGACGGATCTGCCATACCTTCACCGCCTTGGCTACCAGTGTTCCAGACGTTGATCTTCGGTTGAAGACCCTTGATAGCGTTACCGTTCGCATGCGCAAGCTTCTCATACGTGCCGTTGGTAATCATGAGGTATTGCATGAGACCCTGAGGACCGCCGAGAACGTTAGCCATGTCGCCATATGCCTTGGCCATTGCAGAGAGACCCTCGGCTTCGCGTTGTTGGGTGATGAGATGGGCTTGAGCTGCACGTTCCTGGGCGAAGTATTCGGCTTCAGCTCGACGCTTGGAGACGATAAAGTTGGCTTCAGCTTCGCGCTCCTTAGCCTGGAAGTCAGCCTCAGCATCACGGAGGCGGCGGAAAGCAGCAGCTTCAGCCTCGGCTTGCTGGCCGTACTTGCTTCCGTCGGCTGCCTTCTCTTGAGTGTACAGCTCTGCGTCAGCCTGCTGCTGCGCACTCTCCTTCTCAATCTTAGCCTGCACGACCTTGGTCGCTCGAAGACGTTCAAGCTCCATGAGTGCCCTCTTCTTCTCGACCTCCATCTGGAGCTCGGCATCGCGTCTTTCAGCTTCGCGTTTAGCGTTGATTCGAGCTACGTTGAGGTCACGACTGATTTCAATCTCCTTGTCAGTGAACTTTGCATCTGCCGTGGCCTTCTCAGCTTTACGTTCGGTTTCGAGGACAGCCGTTTGGGCGTGAATCTTGGCGACTTCCTGCTTCGTCTTTCCTTGCTTCTCTGCTTCTCCGACCTCACCCTGCATACGAGCATGAGCGACGTCGACTTTGGCCTGGTTGAGCGCGCCTTCGTGCGCCTTGCGGGAGAGAAAAGCAAAGTACTCCGAACCCGGTGTGTCTTGTAGTTCCTTGACATTGGCGTTGTAAATGCATAGACCAAATTGATCGAGTTCAGATTGCACTTGTTGAATTACTACTTAAAGTTAGTGTTTTTCTCACATGTAATCTGGATATCCAGAACTTACCTTTGTCCTTAAAGATCTTACGCTCACGGAACAGCTCTTCCATGGTCATAGTAGAGACAATGCTTCGTGTCTCACCCTCAATAATACCCTTGACAATCTCTTGGACATGGTTCCGACCCTCAGCAACTGAGACAACACCCTTGGCTGCTGTTTGAGTAGGGCTTCCATCGCTCTCGCCAGTAAGCAATACAGCGTATTTCTCAAGAGCTTCCGGGCTGTCGGCAGGACCGATTGTGAAGACTGCTGGTAGAGCAAATTTAAGCTTCTCAATAGTCATAGCCTGGAGGGCCATGGAAAAATCAAAAGGTGTAATCGAGATCTTTGAAACCTTCTGCAGTGGATATATAAAAGCCTTTTTCTTGATCAGCACTTTCTCAATTCCTACACCCGTAATAACGAGGTAGGAATTCGGCTCGGCGACATGGTACCACATGGTGTTGGTTGGTGGTCGACAAAACTAGGTATTGTTGGGGCAGATTTGACGAAGTCGGTGTCTGATATCCAAGGATCGCTGACGAGGATTGGAATAGGTCGTACAGTAAAGACTTGGAGTGATGTAGAGTTTGTGGAGGGTATGATGTGCTACTCAGTAATAGAATGAGAGGCTCTTCGTGAGTTAGGTGGTGCTGATAGAACCACCGTACTTGATGTGCTTGTGAGTAATTCGAGGTTGTACCGTACCAGAACTGAGGCTCGCAATGATGATGAACAGGTGTACTGAGGCGTATTAGGCAAAACAGGGGCCATGTCCATTGCTTTATACATCGTGAGGTCTTTGTGGTGATAACTGCGCATGCGGTTTATCCGTGCAGCCGGCATGGAGAGGCGTTTTCGGTGACCGTCTTCGTCTGGTGTTGGTGGAAACGTAGGCACGGACCACGTGGACTAATCCCGAAAGGGGGAGAGCTTTCTGCCTTGTGCGCCACATAGCCACTTGCATGTGATCATTTCAGCCTTGGGCCTGAAGAGAGGCTCTATCTTCTGAGAGGCATTTCTCCAGCGCGGTGAGCCAAACAGGGGAGCCTTTGAACTGCGCAATAGATCGTTTAAAGAGAAGGGCCGGCAAGGTGATCTTCAGGCCAGAAATCAAATCGAGCTCGCCAAACTGGGCGTTCCTAAGCCTCCATCTCGTACTTGCTGATTGAAGTTCCAGTCTTTTGTCTTATCGTCTCCAAGTCATGCATTCACTCGAGCCAAGCCTCCCGGGCCGAACGCCTCGCGACCCAATGTCTGCACGCTTGTCATTCGCTTAACGGAGACGGTGCAGTACATCCGTGCACCCTTATTCCCATAGCTTACAATATCACGAGACCATACAGGTACCTTTTAGGTCTAGTTAAGGCCTCAGTATACGGGGCTGAGGCAGGGCAGACTTCTAGAAGATCTGTTCACCCAAGTATGAGTTTGCCGAGATCCGTGGATATCTACGAATGACTCTTCTTATTACCGCCACTGAAGCGGAAAGCAGAAGTCTGGTAACGAGAGCAAGTAACTGACCAAGGTACACATCTTGCCGCAGCAATTTCCCGGTCGTAGAATCTACACTTCCGCACCTCTACACATAACTGGTTCTAAAGCATCCTCAACTCCCAAATCCAAGCAATACCACAACGATGTCTCGAAACGAAAAGCAAGCCTCTCCTCCACCGTATTCAGAGTACAGCTCTCCGTCCTTACGCGGCCAAACCATACTCGATCAATTAAGCACAACGCGCACAAACCACATCCAATCTGTGATCGAGAGGCATGTAATTCCTCTCATCGAAGAACACGCTACATACGGCATCGCCCAAACAACCATCGCCATGCTTCCCTCCGACATCCCCTTACCCGCAGTGGAAGAAAAGTCTGAATACAGCTTCGACACCTCCGACTCCAAACCGGTGGAAGTAGTCGGTTTCTCCTCAGAAGAGGAGCCAAAAGTCGTACGCTTAGAAGGCCAGATGAACCGTACAGAGTTCTGGAGACCTCAAGTCGTGATTGTGGAGCTGGAACGTATGCTAGGCGAAAACTTGAATGCGAATCCGGTTCTGAGGAGTCCGAGAGGGGACGGGAGAGTCGGAGCAGATAGTGGGCAAAGGCAATCAAGAAGAGGGTTTCTGAGTAGGGTCATGCCATCGTTGGGGCCGGAGCTGCGCTCGCCGAGCGGGAACCCAGAGGTCGGCGTGAAGCAACTGGAACAAGGAAGGATGGTCGTGGTGAAAGCTAGGTTGGAGGAGATATGTCTGAGGACGGTCAGCGAGTTTGGCTTGTACGATACCATGTCGAAGCAGTGTGTTATTATTCGGGTGGATGCGCGGTGTTGATATATTCCTGGATTATGTAGACTCCATCTTGAGTTACATAGTTAGCAAAGATGCCCGGTGTTCTTCCTCGTTCGTAGTTGGAGATACAGTAGATGATACGCAAGTATATTATACTTTGACGTGTTCGAGCGGCACTCCCTACTTTAGACCTTGTGTGGTAAAAGGTAGATGCCTAGTCATGTTCTGTGAGAGTATCAGCTTCTAGACAAGGCCTCTAGTACTTTTGGAAAAAAGAAGAGTCAGGCATGCTACGGTGAACCTTATCATACACTTATATATGGTGGTCACGGATGCAAAAAACAATCCTCCTCCGGGAAGGCTCGAACTTCCAACCTCCTGATAGCTACTGGTGTAACAGTCAGACGCGCTAGCCAATTGCGCCACAGAGGATTTGTTGAGCCGATACCGCTGAATGCGATCCGGTTTTTGAGTGAAAAAATTTCCGATTACAATGTATATATTCGGCGGAGTTCAAAATTGGTGCTGGCTGGGAACCGCTAAATTGTTCAAAATCGTAGCGTGTCGAGTTGCGCCTGACAAAGTGGGGTAGCTAGCCCCTAGCCCCCACCACCTCGGTGTTCACATCCATGCCGTCAACGTGATCTTTCATATATTCGCGTCCTCATGTGCTGTCGCTATGCCGCCTCTACGTCGCTCTTCAGTACTACGATGCCATATGGATCCCGATCAACCTCGCTGACGCCAATTTCAAAGTCATCGTCCTCCAATGCCTCTTGTAGTCCCTCGTTATCCTTCTCCTCTTCCCTGACCTTTGTCCACTCCTCTTGCACTGCCTCTTCCAATTGCTCCATCAACACGTCTGCCAGAAAGCCGCGCTCAGAATTGCTATGGAACAGGCTAATGACAACTCTTCCCTTCTCAATCGCAGCAAGCGCCGAGTGATGGTCCATCTCGCCTGTGAACAGTAGATCCACATCTAGGCCGTTCAATAAACCTGAGCCTGAGCCTGCGCAGATGCCTACGCTACGTATCTCTATGTCAGAAATTGTCTTGTCTTGTGGTATAGCAATCGGGAAGCCCTTGGGATTGTTGAGTCCCTTGCCTATGCGATCGAGTAGTGTGGGCAGCGGTTGAGGGTGGTCGAACCTCACGATGCGACCCATGCCTGCTCCAGGGTGTGATGCGAGTTCTGGCGATTGAGGTTTGATGGCTTCGCGCTTGTGAGGAGCGGTAATCGGGACCGTAGTGGGGGCGGGCAGCTTGCCAAAGCTGATCATTGGTTGACTGGGATGATGTTGCAGGGTGAACGTTGGGCGCAAGTTCTTCTCAATGAAGGGATCGTCATCGTCAGCCTTTGTGTTGCTTGTAGCTTCCGATTGATCGTCTGCTTCTGAACCATCACGAACCGTCTTCGTGCCTGTTACGATGTCTGCTAGCCAGTCTCCAAGCCCTCCTGGGGCCGAGTCAAGCGCGGTATGTGGGCTGTATACACTAATGCCATGGCTAGCAAGGCGTAGTAACGATTGCTGTTGAGTATCCGCAAGAGTTAAGGACTTCAAGCCCCTAAATATGATAGGATGGTATGCGATGACGATGGAAGAGTTGAGCGCGATTGCTTCGTCGGCGACGGCTTTGGTAAGGTCGATGGTAAGGAGGACGGTGTTTGACTGGCGACGCGACGGATCGAATGGCGCTTCAAGTAGTAGCCCGGTGTTATCCCAGGAGTTGTCTGCAAGCTCCCGTGGATACCTTCGCTTCGGTTAGTACACGAAGCGTACAATGTTACTTGAAACGTGCAGAGAGTCTCTAGACGTGCTATACACTGAGGAAAGCACGATGCATTACGAGTGAACTTACAGCTTCTGCATAGCCCTCACCACCGCCTTCGAAAAGGGCGCTGAAGTAGTCGTCGCACTCATAGCGAATCGTCGTGCCGTAGATGCAAACATACAGCTTCTTGGTGAACAATTGCAGAGCAAAACTACGCGTGCAGCAATGCCAATTCAACGCGCCTATGAACCCTGCAGCTATGCGTCATTGCCCCTCCCCTCCCCAATCCCGGCCTTTCCCCGTTCGGCAACTGCATCTTATCAGATCCGAAGATAGGAACACCAAGTCAATATCACATCATCGCCATATGGATCCTCGTCACAAACTTTACAAAACTCTTGACAATCTTGCTATCGAACCAGACACCAGAGACACTATGAGTGCAAGGACGGACGAGGAAGCGGCAAATGTCCAGGCGACTTCTGGCGTTACCATGGAGGGACTGGAGAAGAAGTTGAAGGAGGGATTGGGCGCAACCTATGTTGAGATTGAAGATCTGAGTGGTAAGCATTAGCCTCTTGTCTCGAGAATCCCGACGCAATGGAAGGATACTGCATTGGAGAGATTGTGTCGCTTGATAAGTGGAGATCTAGACTGGTGTTACGAGTACGTACTAATACCCAAGAATAGGCGGATGCGGGCAAATGTACGAGGCCATTATCGTGTCACCACAGTTCGCCAAGAAGACTACTCTAGCACGCCATCGGCTAGTCAACTCGACTTTGAAAGAGGAGATTGCGGCGATACATGCATGGACGCCAAAATGTCATACGCCAGAAGAGTGGGAGAAGAAGAAGCCTCAGTGAAAAATAGTTGCACCGAAGTGTGGCAGCGAGTGGACGTCCAAGAGAGTAGGAGTACGTTTTTACGTATCACGAACCATGAATACAATGGGTACGATGCATGAATGTGGATTATGATGATCAGCGTCTACCAACTTGTATATACTTGTCACGGCAGGCCCTCTAGCTGAGCAGCACCCGTATCTCACCACTGGTGCGAGGGAACAGATCTCTCAACCCAGGCTCCTGCTCCTCGTCTTCCTTATCTTCATCGTAGGTAAGATCATCGGCAGCTATCATCTTGCTTTCTACAATCTCAAAGTCTTCGCAGAACTTGTTAGCTGCTTCTTCTGTGATATCCTGTATCATCTTCCTGTTACGTAGTCGTTTGATGTTTTCCGATGCGTCAATGATAGCAGACGGCAAGAATTCGTCGAGTTGCTGACTGGCTGCAATGAGTGCATCTGGCTTGAAAGCTTCCAGGTCAGGAATCGTCTTGAGACTTTCCGGCGAATCACTGATCCCCTCAAGAGCATTGAGGAGAGTGATAAGACCAGACTCGTGAATAAGGTGTTGATGTTGGTAGTTTGTCAACTTCGCAACGTTCTCATCGATCGTATCATCGATCTCGCTGACTCGCTCGCTGGCGAAGGCATACTGAGAGAGGACCTCTTTTGCCGCAAAGAGGCAATTAATAGCGAAGATGGCGCTGTCCGGCTCGTTCATTCCTTTCTGTAGGTTCTCGCAACCATTCAAGAAAGGATCTAGCGACTCCGCAAGTACAGTCTGGAATCCTTGGCCATTATCCTCCGTGGCTGCAACTGATGTGTCGTAGCTTTTCGCAAGGACCCGGAGCATCTGGAGCGCATCCTCGAGGAATTCGGGAGCGGACAAGTCGGCTGGTGCTACGGCGAGGTCACTTTGGACATTGGCAACATAGTCTCTCATGTTGGCACGGAACTGTCGCATCGCGGAAGCTTCTAGTATGTCAAACACGTCCAAGACATCGGAATCTGCTCCAAGCAGCTTGGCAAAGGTGCCTTTGTAGAAGCCAATCAAGTTTGCGATCTTGTAAGCAAGAGTAGCATCATCATGACTTTGGACTACCTGTTCAGTCCGCTGCCTCAAGAGACGAGCCACACCAGTGAGATCGCGGCTGACAAGCTGATTCAGAGCTTTCCGTCCGTCGAAGACTTCTGCATCTTCGTCGCCTCTCAGCCACGGTTCACTTTCAAGTCCTGCCTGAATGGAGCGTTTGATCTCGTCGCCATCTGAAATAAAGAGGTTCTCAAGTGCCTCCCTCTCGGATACGGTGGTTGAGTGAGACCACGCAAGCATGTCTCCAACATAGCGGAGCGGGTCATGAGCATGGAATTCGATTGGTTTAGTGGCTATGTGCTCGTCGGACGTCGATCCGGTCAACGCAGCATGGAATGAATCGGAAAGAATGGATTCTCGGGCCTCAGCGAACGAGTCAAGGCAACTTTGGAATAAAGTAGGACGTTCGGCTAGCACGCGCAAAGACCGGCGTACAGAAGCACTGATCTGTGGGTTCTCCAGATCCAGTGTCTTGAACTCGCGTTGAATCCACCGGTACAGTTTCTGGAAGGCTGAGTTGAGTTGCTTGGAACTCTGCTCTAGCACCTCCAATCCCAATCGCTGGTCCTCGGTTCCGAGCAGCACTTGACAGTCGTGATGTATCTTCTTTACGCGGGTCAAGACTTGGAAGAACTCTTCGTTGACAGGCTCAGCAGTGGATGTCAGGATGGTAGCGTCTTCTTCAGATATCAGGAAGTGAGTGCTGAAAGCGTTCAAGATCTGTTGCTTAGATTCCACCTGCTTCCTCTGGGTTATGAGGCTGGTGGCTTCTTCCAAGACAGGCACAGTCTCTCTGTTGGCAGCTTCAATGTGGCCGCGCATATCCGCGCAGTAAGTGTTCAAGCTACTGATAGCAGTCCCGATGCGTTTAAGTTGCTAGTGAAGCTTAGTTCAATGTTCTTCACCATTCGTGTTCCAACATACTTCCGCGACCTGACCAAAGTCCTTGATGATTTCGCCATTGCACTCGATGACCTCCTTTTGGACATCTAGACGCAGCTGACGTCGCGTTTCGGCCGTGTTCTGCACCCCACGTGCATCCAGAGTTTCCAAGGCATCGCGGATCTCTAGATCTGCATATGATGCAGAGAGCACACTGGTGATCCTGCTCGAGAGGGCATTTGTACCTCGCAACGCGGGCGCTGTCGATGGAGTAGACGGAGAGGTGCCATTCTGAGAAGCGGGAGTTGCTCGCTCCTGGAAATAGCTCACCGACATGACTGGATGGGTGTTGTGACTTGGGCCCAGAAAGGTGGCATATCGGGCAGACAAGGGGCAAGTGCAGCCGAGCCTTATCGATATCGGTCGCGTCACCTGCATGCATGCCGTGTGCATCAGTGATAGCCGCATCCATCCTTCTTCCGAATCTCTATCACGCTGAAATGGTCACTGACTAAGTCTACGTCAGTGCTCATGGAGGCTCGTCTTGACTTTTGGGGATCACGCCTTCGGTCCTCTGACCACTCTACCAACCTCCAAACGCCCTTTACCCAGCGCAGCACGGCCACGCGCCCCGCCGTTGCCTGAGCGCATCACTGCATATCGACCATGATGGCCTCCAACCTACTGTCTAGGCTTCTTCCTTCTGCCTCGGACGAAACATACGAACGCGAATCCTTGACCGCCCACGACCGCCGCGACTCTACCTCGACCGAGGAGCGACACGAGATGGACATAGACGAGGAGAACTTTGAGGCTCGCTTTGAGGAGCAAGACCTCGCACACCTACTCGAGGAAGCATCGTCAAGCCAGATGACGACTGAGAGTCGTGCCGTCTCCCCGGAGGCCCAACGCAGCGCTCCACCCGGCATCAACACAGCGAGCCGCACGCCAGCTTGGAGACAGCCAGCCCCAGCCCGCACCGCACCCTTGGATGACGATGACGATGTACCACAGTCGTTGCTTCTCGAAGGAGGACACGAACCTGGGCCAAGTTCGGCGCAGCGCAACGAAGGCCTCCCTATGCCAGTGCCAGGCCCGGCCACGCGACAGACACGGGCACAGTGGAATGCTACCAGGACCCAGCAGCGGCTGCATGATGATGATAGGAGCGGTGCATCTTCAAGGCCGTGGGGACATACCAGCAGGCCTGGGCATTTCGTCGCCGATCGGAAGGAGAAGGCCTTGTGGCTGTGGGTGAATCAGACGGATTTGGACAACTACATGACCGAGGTCTACGAGTACTACGTCGGCTGCGGAATATATTCCATCCTTCTGAGACGAGCTCTAACGCTCGCGCAAACTGCCTTTGTAGTCGGCTTCATGACTTTTCTTGGCTGGTGCATCGACTACTCCAAGTTGTCAGAAAGCAACAAGATGAGCCAGGTCCTGGTGCCCAAGTGTGCTGCGAGGTCAGTGACGTATTCCCATCAACTTAGCTCCAGACTGACATGATGTAGCATCCATGGGTTTTGGATATTCGCCCTCTGGCTCTTCCTCATCTACTGGCTCTACTCTTTCTACACCTTAATCACCGATATACCTCGCCTGCGGGCCATGCACGACTTCTACCATTATCTACTCGACATCCCCGACCGCGACATACAAACAATACAGTGGCAGCAGGTGGTGACACGCATCATGGCGTTGCGGGACCTGAACTTGGCGACCGCCTCAAATCTGTCTCCACAGACGCGCAAGTTGCTCGATTCGAAAAGCAGGCAGCGGTTAGACGCTATCGACATCGCAGGTCGTCTCATGCGTCGTGAAAACTATCTGATCGCCCTCTTCAACAAGGAGATACTGGACGTCACTGTTCCTCTTCCCTTCTTTGGCAACCGACATATCTTCTCAGAGACGACCAGATGGCACGTCAACCTCGCCATTATGGACTTTGTTTTTAGCGGACCGAACGGCCAATTCAACCCTGACTTCCTGAAGGAGCGCAACCGTCGAGAGCTCGTAAAGAGGTTAAAGACCCGCTTCTTCTGGACTGGCATCATCAGTATCCTATGCGCACCTTTCGCTGTGGTATTCGTGCTTGCATCATACATGTTCAAGTACTTCACTGAGTACCACAAGGATCCTGGCCAACTCAGCAACCGCGACTTTACCACTTTTGCTCAGTGGAAGTTCCGCGAATTCAATGAGCTTCCTCATTACTTCGCCCGTCGTCGTAATATGGCCTATCCGTACGCAAACCTCTACCTCGCCCAGTTTCCCAAAGACAAAACCGAACAGGTTTCCTCGTTTGTCGCATTTATCGCGGGAGCATTCGCATTTGTCCTTGTGGTGTTCACGCTCCTCGATTCGGAGTTGTTTCTCAACTTTGAGATTACACCCGGCAAGACTGCTATCTTCTGGATCGGTATTCTTAGTACGATATACCGTGTCGCACGTGGAAGCAGCCCTCAGGACGATCAAGTCACCGATCCGTCCTTTTACCTCAACCACGTCATCTACCACACGCGCTACGAACCAGAGTCGTGGCGTGATAGGCTACACACGGACGAAGTTCGCGCCGAATTCGCTCAACTGTACCAGCCTAAGATTCTCATCTTCGCTGAAGAGATACTGAGCATGGTCATCACACCTTTCCTACTCATCTTCCGGTTGCCTCAATGCAGCGACCGCATCGTTGACTTCTTCCGTGAGTTCTCGATTGTAGTCGATGGCCTGGGTGTGACATGTTCGTACTCCATGTTTCCCTCTACAAAGACCACACGCAACGCCAATAACATCCCGGCAAACGGATCTGCTGCCCCAAGAGAAGATCCTGATCTTCGAGAAGACTACTTCATGGCCAAAGACAACAAGATGATGGCATCGTACTATGGTTTTTTGGACACGTACCAGAACCCTGGACGTGGCTACAACGGTCGTCTTCAAGGACGAGGCCAATTCAACCCTCCACCACAGTTCCCAAACAACTTTGGCTCCATGTCGCAGACTGCTCAGCCAGTGGAGATGGGTGCAAGAGGAACGAGCAGAGGACCAACCGGACGACAGAACCCTCAGCAGAGGACACCGAGACATAGGCCGGGTACTAGGGATGAGCCCATGAACTCTGTCCTCCTTGATCCTCATCATCAACCCTCTTCTGCATCGATATTACGCGGTTCGCCACGTCAAGCGCCACACAGCAGATATCGAACGCCGCTGCAAGCAGTCCCGGATGCACCAGGCCCATCGAATACGCGGATCGAAGAAGAGAGTACACTCGGCGACTCATGGCGAACAAGTCGTCTTGCACAGGATGACGATGACGAGGAGGAAGAAGTACCAGGCAACAACCGCGGAGGTGTTCTGCAGCTCTTGCAGCAGTTTTCTCGTGCGCAGGCTGAAGGACGAGGCGCTGGTGTTGGTGTTTAAACTATACACATGTATTGCATTTACCTCTGGTCATTGTGAGGGCATGCTGGCGTTGGTTCAATGAGTTTGTCCGGTTGGGCTCTTATACCACTCATAGCATACAAATATTACTAGTAGAAATCATGTGCACTTTTACTTCTACGAAGAAACTTGCCTATTATAAGTCGTACCTTGAGAAACCCTAAAGGTATACACCGTTACTTTTCTGCTCAAGTTCTAACGTAGATTTGTATGCATACTTATGAGGTGCATACTTAGTACCAAGTACAACTTGAAATAAACGAGCATCTTCGTAGACAGTAATCGCAGCTCACTGGTGATACATGTCTCAATCATACCGTGACAAAATCGTCTATCCTGCGACTAACGTATGTTGGTGGATATGACTGCGTCAGAACTGTAGCTGCAATAGTTGAGATCGACTCGCAGTCTTCCATATGGCAATATAGAGTTGTCTCAATAACAGTCACAAGCACGATCATGTTGGGAACAGCGGTTGTTGTATCATTTGTCATTGTCCGGCTGTGTCTGGTCGTTCTCCACAGTTACACGCCGCAGATATTCACCCTCCAGCCTTCATCCATAAATGATGAAGAAAGCAAATCACGCCGTAACCGAATTCCCATTGGACCCATGATCATCATGCACACAACTCATCTCTCAATCCCAAATCTAAGCAGAGGACTCGAAAGCCTCGGGGAAACGACGGATGTTGTTGGCGAGGTTACCCTTGTTGCGGAGGAACTGGACGTAGGCACCGTCAATCTTGACCTTGCCCTCCTGGCGGAGGTCAATGTACTCCTGGCGCTTGAGGGGAGTGAAACCCCAGTTCTTGGAGACGATGATCTTTTGGCGACCGGGGAACTGCAAACTAATTAGCCTCATGTAAAATATGACGTCATTTTGCAACATACCTTGTACTGGCAACGCCTGAGAGCCTCGAGAGCGACGGCGCGGTTGTTGTCCCTAGTGCGGACAGACATGAGGATCTGACCAATGTTGACACGAGCGACAAGACCGTTGGGCTTTCCGAAAGCACCACGCATACCCGTCTGCAATCTATCGGCACCAGCGCAAGACAACATCTTGTTGATACGGACGACGTGGTAGGGGTGGACGCGGACACGGAGATGGAAAGATTCCTTTCCACCGTTCTTGACGAAGTACTTGTTGGCGCAAATACGGGCGGCCTCGAGCGCCTCGGAGGACAGCTGCTCGTACTCGTTGGAGACCAAGTGAATGCAGAGCGGGAAGTCGTCTACGTTGGCCTTCTTGCGACCAAGGTCGAAAATGCGGATCTTGGCATCGGGGACACCACGGTTGAACCTGCTCTTGGGGTACTACAGCCCAGTCAGCCTATTGTCCTCCTTTCGCGATATTTCCATTGTGACGTACGGGCTTGTTCTTGCAGTAGCGGTAGCAACGGGCGGGACGGCGAGCCATTGTGACGGTTGTTCCTGCTGTATATCAATGAGCGGGTGTCCGGGATTCGTCGAATATGAGAGCGAGCGCAAACTGATGCAGTTGTCAGTAACTCGTCTACCGGCGGAGAGAAATGCGACAGCCGTACGTACCTTACCCTGTATTTAAGTTGGTAGGGAGTTGTCGTGTCGGAAGGCGAAGGGAAGGCGTCGTGGATTGCTAAGCGGGAATATTGACGAACGCACGGACCCTGTGTGGGCAATCACCCCAGAGCCGGATTTCAAAGCACCGCAACGCCACAGCCCGACCACCGAATGTGCAATTCGTGTCGCTAGAGCAAAACGTACCCTAAAGGTACTCGCAGTGTTACATGTTTATAGGTTAACCGAATTTATCTATATATCTACCTAAGACGTATAATATATTCCACAAAGACAGGCCGCTTTGTGGGCGTCTGACGCGACACAGATTCCTTCATCTCCTGGTGGCGAATGTGCAGTTCTAGGGACGCATGCAGCGATCTTCAGTAGCCGATACAAAGCATGTTTCAATAAGTTATACGCAACATAGAACCCAAGCGTATCTTTCGTATTTGCGATCCATAGATGAAAGCTAAGATCACCAAACATGTTGCATTCTTTCCGCGTACATTGCAGTGAGGTGTACGTCAGGAATGCTCAAATCGTACTTTAGATTTAACATGGGCCATTTAGCAGACTTGCTCTACTTTGGGATATGTTAATAGCTTCTTCGTACTTACATCGGCGTATAACGGCCTTCAAGAACTTGATCTGTAAGCACTAGTGAGAAGGCGAGGATGTGCAAGCCTGTCCGGGATGAGTCACGTCGCAAAGTACAAACATGGACAGTCATTATGGCTCATGAATCTTGTGTCATTCATTGGATATCATCATGGGTCTAGCTTGCGCCACACCCTAGGTATCATGTCTAACTGCTTCCTTCCCATGCCATGGCACTCTAGTTCTCGGTGTTCTGGCTCAGGATGTCGGAGTCACCTATCAATTTGTCAGCGGACTGTATTTATCGTGACCAGAGGAGATACATACCGGCATCAAGGATGGACATGACGGAGCAGCGGAAGAGCTTACCGCAAGCGGTGCCCAACTCGATCTAAACTGGTATTAGCTGATAGCTCTCCGAAGCCATGTTCAGACCTCTTCTCAGAGCCAGCCCTCGAAGTATACCCAACACGAAAGAGCTCGTTATCGTCGCGGTCGCATATATGTTCTACTGCATCTTGGAACCAAAGGACAACGAGCTCTGTAGCGTGCAAGACATCTCGTCGTTAGGCAATGAGAGTGAACGGGAGTGTACGTACGTTGTTACCGGAGAAGTGGTGGACGGAGGTCTTGGACAACATGGCGTAGTCTGTCTGGAATTAGCGATTGCTTGCAATCTCAGATAACGGTATTGCTTACACTCGAGCTCAGACTTCCTCAGGGGAGGGGTGTTTCCGGCGATGATGACGAGCTTGGCCTTGCCAGTTCGCAGGCTCTTGAGGGTGGACTTGTAGCCGAGGGTGACCTTACCGGACTTCATCACAAGCGCAAGGCGCGAGTTGATGGAGTCGGCGGTTCTCTTGTTCTTCTTGGGGGCCATCGTTGCTCGTAGGAAGTCGAATGTGGTATTCCTAAGGGTTGTTGAGCTCCGGTCGTTGTTGGTTGTTTGAAGGAAATGGGGCAGTCGCGCAGAAATTGTGTGGGCAAATCTTGGCGCGCTAGCGACTTATGCGAACACCGAAGACAGCATCTCCATGACTTGTGTAGGAATCCGGGTTAACTTTGAGATGTTGATATGTTGAAGAACGAATTACAAGTTAGAAGGGTTGGAGTCAGTGGTAACAACGCGATCGCGTCAAATACTCGTATCGGGACGTATGCGCATCTCGCGCTTTTTTTGCTCACACTGTGGAGTGCCTCATGCGTTTGAAAATTGCACAGTGAAGGCAAAATCGTCAGGCATTTTATACAGATATTCTATCTAGCTGAGAATGATCATTGTGAGTACCTGGCACCCAGTTCTATGCAGACAAAATATAGGCATACAAAGAACGCTTTCCAACATGGTATCATTGCACCTTCACGCGCCGTTAATCAAAACGCACCCAACAAACTCCTTCCTCTAAACACGTCTACTAGCTCATCACAATGAACGTTTAACAGCCGATGACTACAATCAAGCCGCTGCTCTTTGCGCCTGTCGCCCTCCTCGAGTCGGAGCTCCAACAGCGCCAGGCCTGTTCAGAGTATACTTTGCGAAAGCCCTTGCCAAGGCTTTCTTTGCGCTGACCTTTTGTGATCCAACGAAGGAGTCAACTGCAACAGCAATGGCGCGATCGATGTCTATCGATGCGACGTAGTCGGAGAGACGCATCTTACAGAAAGACTCTGCAATACGCAGAATAGCTTCGAGATGACGGACCTGTAGTCGTGAGTAGGTACTTTACTAGGATAAGAGTTGTGTACTTACGGTGATAGGATAGGCTCCAGTTGCCATAGATTCTCGGCGCATGTCTGCAAAGAGACGGGCAATCTTGTCTTGCTCGATTTGGTATAGCTTGGGTCTGCATTTCTCCCTCGCGTAGAGAATATACTTCCTGAGTAGGTCTTGTGGAATCTCACCCTCCTTTTTCGGAGCATTGTCATCGACTTCCATGTGGTCATCTCCGTTTTGCGTCGCCTTTGACTTATCAGAGTACCCGTAAGCAGAGTTGACAAGAGGGTGGGCACGGCCGTGAGAGTTCACCACGAACTTGGCTAAACGCTCATCCTCCACTGGATCAACAGTATCGCGCACGACACACAGAATATCGAATCGAGACAGGATAGGTTCGGTAAGCTCAACGTTCTGCGAGAAAGGAATCGTTGAGTTGTATCGGCCACCAATGGGGTTGGCAGCTGCTACAATCGAACAACGAGCTTGGAGGGTTGTGACAATACCAGCTTTTGAGATGGAGATGGTTTGTTGCTCCATTGCCTCGTGAATGGACGTTCGGTCCTGGTCGTTCATCTTGTCAAACTCGTCGATGAGGCAAGTACCTTTATCGGCAAGTACGAGTGCACCACCTTCAAGAGTCCACTCGCTCGTCATGGGATCACGACGAACGGACGCGGTAAGACCAACAGCGGAAGCACCCTGGCCAGTTGCGAAGACAGCACGATGGGCAGTCTTTTCGACGAATTTCAAGACCTGGGACTTGGCGGTACCAGGATCTCCAAGAAGTAAGACGTTGATGTCGCCACGAATAGCGTGACGGCCAGCGGCCTCTTTGCTGACACCTCCGAAGAGGGAGAGTGCTACAGCGGTTTTAACATCAGTGTGCCCGTAGATACTTGGGGCCATAGAGTTGATGATCTTATCTACGATGCGAGGATCCTTAGATAGTCGCCGAATCTCCTTCTCGTCGTCTTCGGTCAACCGGAAGCCAGCGAGTTGGTCATGAGACTTGACGACGTAGTTTGCCTCAAGAATGGTCGCAAACACAGGGAAACCATTCTTGTTGTTCAGAGCCGCGTCGTAGTTGTTACGGTAGATACCAGTAACTTCAATCTCCTCACCAGGCTTTGCAGAGTCAATCAGGTCCCAAAGAAGGATGACCTCACGATGACGAGGCAAACGTCCCGCAGGTACAGTACCGGGAGACTCTTGTAGAGTGAGCTTTTGGTAGTTTCGGTAAACTGTACGCTCGGAGTTGACCGTAAAAGGTCCACGCGATTGGCAGTTCTGGCAGAAGGAGATTTTGACCTCAACGTTGGAATCTTGGTGGAAGGGACCGAGAGTAACGCCGCACTTTGTGCAGTCAAACTTGACGTATTTGAGTTGAGGGAAGACTCCGCTTCGGCGGGTGACAACTCCACTGACACGGACTAGACTGTTCAGATGCGATTGGCGGAGCTGGCGCAGAGTATACTGGACGGGTACGTCGGTGATGCGAACGTGAATCTCGGAGTGGATGCGCTCGTAGTCCGGGTAGTGAAGGAGAGCAACTTCCATAGCCACCTGGTCGAAGATTTTCAACATCTCAGTCGGAGTGTTGGCGAGCCAATAAGCTAGTGTCGCTTTCTGTTCGGCAAGGTGGTCGAATGAGACCTCTAAAGACTCTGCGTTGACCTCACCCAAGGTTCGAATGCGGGCTCCGTATACTGAGTGACCTTGCTCGTCGGTGTATTCTGTGAGGAAAGACTTGAACTCGCGCGCGATTGTCCTAGCGACTTGAGGTTGGGCCACCCAATCCGTCAAGGTGTTGGCTTTTACATCGGTAAGCGCCTCAAGCGTCAACTCCTCGTTCATGATATCGTCGGTCATATCCATATCATCTTCTTCGTCGTATCGATTTCTCCGAACGCGGCGGCGCCCCATCCCCATCAAGCCTGCCAGGCCATCCTGCTCGTCTTCATCTGGCAGGAAGGCAGCGGGCATGCGGCGTCTTGCCTCTCTGTCCCGAGCATTGAGTCGCGCATCAAGTTCCCGCCTTTGGGCAATACTAAGCTCTTCGTAATCGCCTTCATCATCGATACCCTGGCCTTCGTAGGCATCGTTCTCTCGAGCTGCGTAGTCGTTTTCAAAATCGTCGGCGAATAGATCGATTCCTTCAGCCTCTTCTGCGTCTTCGTCGAGGTCGTCTACGTCGCGAATGATGTCGTCATCGTCAAGCATGTCTGCATCGTCGTCTTGGGGAAGCATGGGAGGGGAGGAGGCCATTGCTGTGCTTGTTTAGCCATTGTTGTGTTGCATGTTTTCGTCGCACTCACGGCTGGACGGCGGATGCGCCGCTGAGGAAGGGAGGTCCTCATCATCTCTTGCACGTTTGTTGCTTCTGCTGCTAGGGCCCACACCACGGTTTGCGGACGACATATTGGAGCGAAGTGGTGGTGAACTGATGTTTGTTAGTGTCTTGTTGTTGGTGGTAAAGAGGGGCTCGGGTCGGTGCTCGGCCTACGAGTATCATAGAAATCTGAGACACATACCTCATATTCACTCAATGCAAGATTCTTTACATATACAACCCAGACAAAGTAAGGTGATAGCGGGCTGCAGAGCGGGGTTGAAGGTGGGAGAGAAGGGGTAGTAAGGGCCAGCAACACGTCCGCGTCGCGCTTTCCTTTTCCACGCGTAAAGTGGTTTCGCTGTGGCCAATCAGCGACCAGGCGCATCCAGCGCCTTCCTCACTGTTCACCAGAGTTTACGGCCCGTATTTACTACAATCGGATTAATTTGGTATAGAACCCCGCATTTCAACAATTCGTCAGCTCATACTACATTTCAGATTCCGTTTCCTTTCAGATAGAGTTGTTACGCGTTACATCGCAACCATGGCCGACTCGCAGTCAACGACCATGTCCTCGAAGCCGCGCACCAGCAGTATATCGCAAGCCTCAGAAAGCTCACAAACAGCAGCCGAGTACATGTCTTCTCCAGCGTCGCTTTCGGTATTGAGACTAACGGCATTTTGACAGCTTTATCAAGGAACAACTCAGCCTCGAGGCAGAAGCACGCGAGGCTCTTCCATACGTCAGTACACATACCGCTCCGAATGTGCGTTGACTGACAAGATACAGCAATTCGATACTTGCACACGCGACCTCGGTCCTCTTCGTCAGAGCCTCTACGCATGCCTCACCTGTAACCCAGCACCCGCATCGTCCGCTCAGCAATACACTCCAGCAGGCGTCTGCTACTCGTGTTCGATCTCTTGCCATGGCGAACATACTCTTGTTGAGCTATTCAACAAGCGCAACTTCATATGCGACTGCGGAACTACCAGAATACCGGATATGACACCTTGCACGCTTCGCCTCAACGCAGAGACTGGGCGGAAGGGCGATGTGACGGGTGAAGAGCCAGCAAAGACAAACAAGTACAACCAGAACTTTAGGAATAAATTCTGTGGCTGCGGCGAGGACTATGACCCTAATCAAGAAAAGGGTACAATGTTCCAATGCCTTGGACTCGGAACTTGCGAGGAGGGCGGCTGTGGCGAGGACTGGTGGCACCCTGAGTGCCTGGTAGGCATCACTCGGGCCGAGTATAGCAAGATGATAGAGAAGCCGAAGGCTGAAGAGACGAACGGTGGGACAGATCCAATCGAGACCGACAAGCCTGCGACAGATGAAACCAAGACCAACGAAAACACGGATGAGAATGCGCCTCCAGTTTCAACGGATATTACAGCTGCAGTGGCAAGTGGTGATGGAGTTGATGGAAACGACATTGCAGCGGAAACTGGTGCTCAAGACGATGACGATCCACCACTACCTCCAGGTTTTCCTGAGGAAGATGACTTCGATCATTTCATCTGTTATAAGTGCGTTGCGGCAAACCCATGGATCAAACAGTACGCTGGCTCGACTGGCTTCCTCCCGCCAGTCTACCACGACAAGACCATTGCGCTTTCTCATGCTCAGAAGTCCACCGTCTCAGCTCCAGCGCACACAAACGGCGACTCTAAGAAACGTAAAGCTTCTGATGAAGATGAAGAGCAACAGACAGCATCGCATCTGGCAGCACCCACTCTGGCTAAGCGCCAAAAGTCCGAAGATCCAAGTGGCACACTTTCCAGCATTGCCGAAGATATAACAACACTTCCCATAACGCCAAAGAAGCCAGAAGTACCGGAAGCGCCAAAACACGCTTCCCTTCCTTCTCTACCCGAGACTGCTCTCACAACACCCTTCTCCCTCTTCGTAAAGCCCGACTTCCGCGATCACCTTTGTCACTGCGACGCCTGCTACCCCCAACTAAAAGCTCATCCCCAACTCCTAGAAGAGGAAGATACCTATGAGCCTCCCGTATCCGAAGAGGGCGATGAAGGTGGACAGTCAGTTGGCACAGGCAGTATTCTCGACCGTGGCGAAGCAGCGTTTGGCAACATGGACCGTGTACGTGCTATCCAGGGTGCCATGGCGTATGCGCATCTCAAAGACAAGGTCTCGGCGTTTTTGAAACCGTTCGCTGAGTCGGGTCAAGCTGTTGGTGCAGAGGATGTCAAGGCCTACTTTGAGAAGCTGAGAGGTGATGCACAGGGTATCCAGGAGGCTGCTGGTGATGCCAAAGCCAACAGGGGTGATGGAGATGATGACGGGGCTGAAGGAGGTGGGAGGAAGGAGCAGAGTGGGTATTGACCGTATATCCATCTCTTTGAAGCGGTGCAAATATAAAGTTGGGGTTCGTGGGAGCACACTTCACACTAGGAGTCTATGTCAAGTCTTAGTAGCACGAAATTGAATAATGCAATGTAGCCCAATTAAACGACAGTCTCTCTTGCATTATACTCTGCACCGAAATCAAGAACACGGCTTTGCAATACGACGTATAACTGGATATACGAAATGGATAATATTCTCAAGGTTTGGGTATCAAATTAACACTACGTTCTTTTCCTTGCAAACCAGCGCAATTAATCATTTTAGCAAAGCATAAAAAACACACACACAACGTTGTCCCTTTCGCTCATTGCTCAAGCGGTTACAGTAACAGTAGCCGTCTCCCTAACCGTCTCCTTCTCCGTCGCAGTCGCAGTAACAGTTACTGTAAATACTTGACTCGGTGGTATCGGCGTGATGATCAGCGGACCTTCCGATGTTGTCGACGAGGGCGCCGGCTCTGGTTCTGGTGATGCAGAAGACAGCATCTCCGTTGTTGTTGTCGGTGGTGTCGGCACGGCGTCGGATGTCGATGCAGTTACTTCTGGAGGTGACGCAATGGAGGAAGAGGAGGAAGGCTGTGAAGACGCTTCTGGAGGTGGTGCCATGGATGAGGGAGACGGTGATAGCTGTGCTGAGCTTTCCGGGGTACTCGACGTGGTTGGTGTAACGGAAGACGACAATGCGATTGATGTAGGTGTAGGCGCGGAAATATCCGACATTGAAGACGATGATGCGGGTATTGTGGGTGTTGGCTCTGCTGCTTCCGAAGACGAACTTACAGTTGAAGACGATGTGGCCACCGAACTGGATATGATCGGTTCTGGAAAAGCTGAAGAGGCAGGTGTTTCTGATGTCTGGCTGGGTTCTGGTGTTGGTGTTGGCATGACTGTGGTATATGATGTTACAATCACCACGGGCGGGACTTGAAGAGATGCCGACGGAGATACTTCAGCTGGAGCATTCGATGGAGACGGCATGGATGCACTAGCTACTTCTGATGTTGGAGAAGCTAATGGAGCGGACTCTTGAGCCTCAGTTGGCATCGCTGACTCTTGTGCGGGTGTCTGAGGTGGCTGGGATGTCGCATAAATGGTGGTGTATTGCGTGACGATGATGCGCGATGTTACATCTATGGCGTCTGAAGCAGTCTCAGAAGGGAGAGCAGCTGTAGGCGAGCCGCTCGATGTGGGAACTGGAAGTGCCAGAGAGGTTGAGTTGACCATAGGGGATGAAGAGGACGCCTGTATGACCGACTCGATCATAGAAGATGCACTTGCAATCGTCGAACCAGTAGTGGTATTGGCGGACGGTAAGTTTGAGGGTGCTGCGGCGGGATGAGTGAAGCCAGGTAAGCCGCCTGTGGTAGACGCCGGGATTGCACTTGTCGCCGGTGCAGTAGGAGTAGCAAGCGAGGTAGATGTCTCTTCCTCTATGGGCGAATAAGTAAACATGGGAACCTGTTGACTTGTCTCACTTGCTGTCTTGTTATCGACTGCGTCAACTGAGCTTGAGAACGCTGAGGATCCAATGACAGACGATATCGGCACGCTAATACTTTCTATGGGCGTGGGTACCGGGCTTGGTGTTACTGAGGGGGTAGCTACTGCGCTTGAACTTTCCTCCGTGGTCGGTAAGGGTGAGGGCGTGATAAAAGAAGTAGAGAAGATAGTCTGTGGATCTTGTGTCACAAGTGGTTTTCCGTCAGGATTGACGAACGTGATAGCCGGTGCTATCGATGTCACGACAGTTTGTTGGATTGGCTCCACTATGATAGCGGTCTCTGCTTCCGCAGTCTTTTGCTCTGATGTTGAGAAAATGGTGGAAGTGGTGTTGGTATAACTAGTAAAGCTGTATGAAGTCAGTGACTACTTCCGCAACCTATGAGTGAACTTCTTACAGTTGCCTTCGGTGGGCCTGTGGGACCGGCCCAGCGATTATGGATGTGGAATACGCTGCCAGCAGCAGAATAATGGAGAAGATAGCCATCTTCAAGACGACAGTTGATTAGGAGTAGATGAACGAAGGAAAGACGGCGCTTGCAGGCAAGATGGGAAAACGACAGAATGAAGGATGGGACTGAGATAGTCAACGCTTAAGAGAAACGATCGACAAGGAGAAACAGACGGCAAGGAAAGCGACCAAGGAAAGAAACGAAATCGTTCGTGTCAATCAAACCACAATCTAGACGTTCAGATGGCTATGGCAAGGGCCTCATTGCTACGTGGGCTGGCAGCGGGTTTTGAAGCTGCATTAGCCGCCTTGAGCACGGTTTGAGTATACAATGGAGCAAAGAGTAGTACTGGCCCAGCATTGCCGCAGTGACCTGTAATTTGGACGTGCCACTCGAGCCTCATAGAAAAGTAGCGCTGGTGACTGGAGGAGTGGCTGTGGTGCTCTGATGCGCTGGAGTGGTGTTTCATCAGTGGACCAATGAGACAGCGACATGGCATAATCGAGCCACGACCTTCAAGCGCCTGGCCGAACGACTCTGCTTCCCGCGCAGAGCCTCCAGGTCTCCATATGCCAGAAATAGCCTTTCGGAATGAGGCTCGATTACGCGACCCGAAGCCGTTGAGTACTGCCGCTTTCCGCTTGATCATGCAACACACTGCCAGCTCTCGGCTTTAGGAAGCGTCAGAGATGTGGACCCTGCACGATTTCTCCACACCACGCATCTCAACATCCACGATAGCATGCCACCTGGATGCCTGTAAGTAGCAGCTATAGCTATCGACGATTTTCATAGTGGATCGAGATGTGTTGGCGGGTTTGCACGTGCCTGATGTTCATTCGTCTGGGCGGTGGGTGGTTGCTCAGGTAACAGGCGAGTTTCGACAAGGAAGAACAACACAGACCGCCATTCCGCTAGGACCAGGCCCTTTGCATTGGCAGAATATCGCCAGAGCTTCGACGTCACGTACGGACGATAGGTCCAGCATTCTTTTCTCTGTAGACGTAGACTTTTGTTTCTCTTTTATCCTATCGCCTTGCATCCTCGGTCTTCACCATGAGCGTACGCGTCGTCGCGAGGATACGTCCTCTTTTGAAACAGGAGCTCGACAAAGACACCATTGTCACCGCCGAGACATTGGACGGCGAGACCACCCCGGCAGTCGTACGGATACCGAGTCCTAAGAACGAGGCCGAGTCCTTCAGCTTCCAATTCAGCTCTGTGTACGAGCAGGACGCGACACAGCAGCAGCTTTTCGATGCCGAGAGTGAGTTGGCCATGGACGCGTTTCGAGACTGAAGCTGACTCCAAGCTAGTCGCGCCGACGGTGAAGCACCTTTTCAATGGCTTTGATCTATCCATATTTGCCCATGGCTGCACCGGTACCGGCAAGACACATACAATGCGAGGAGGAAAGTCGCTGGCAGACCGCGGTGTCATCCCAAGACTGTTGAGCTCAATATACCGACGATGCAAGAAGATCGAGAAGGACACGGCCGGTGCCACACAGGTCGAGGTTGCTCTGGAGTACTTCGAGATCTACTGCGATCGCGTCTACGATCTCTTCGAACCCCCAGAGAAGCGTACCCCGTCTGGTCTGCCCATCAGAGACAACCATGGCAAGACTGTCGTCGTTGGTCTTACAGAGAAGCCATGCACGACGCTTAAGGAGTTTGAGCAGCTCTATGACCAAGCCAACATGAACAGGTCCACATCTGCTACCAAGGTGAGGATTCACACGCGTTTGAGGTAAACGCCGCTAACGATACTGCAGCTCAACGCACACTCTTCCCGATCACATGCCGTCCTCTGCGTCAAGATTACCCAAACCACTGAAGAAACTGTTCGCGTCAGCCGAGTTTCTTGCATTGATCTTGCAGGATCCGAAGACAACAGACGAACCGAAAACAACAAGGAGCGCTTGGTCGAGAGTTCGGCCATCAACAAGTCGCTGTTCGTACTTGCACAATGCGTGGAAGCTATGAACAAGAAGGCCAGCCGTATTCCATACCGCGAGTCCAAGATGACGAGAATCTTGTCCCTAGGTCAGAATAAGGGCTTAACTGTCATGATTCTGAACCTTGCTCCTACCCGTGCATACCACCAAGATACGATTAGTTCCTTGAACTTCGCCAGCCGAACGAAGAAGATTGAGGTCGCAGAAGTGGAAAACGATCCCATGTACAGGACAGCAGTCAAGCCATTGGCAACGACCACTGGCATCAGCGGAACAACCATGGCACGGCAACCGCTAAGATCGCTCGTGGCCAAAACCAACGCGAACATCCCAGAGCCCGAGAAGCAGAAGAAAGGAGAAAAGCCTGCCAAGGCGTTCTCTGTATATTCTGATTCTCATAAGGCTGCTCCCCGTGTGACTAGCCTTGCACAGAACCAAGGAGTACGAAGGACAGAGGGTTCCAAGCGAGCAGCTGAACCCAGCAGCACCTTTGCGACACGACCGACAAAGGCATTCCGAACTGGGGATAACACCTCACGGATACCGAGTAGAGAGCCTGCCCTGACTAAGGCTTCGATTGAAGCTCTTATAGCACAGAAGGTGGATGAGAGACTAGCGGAGAAGGCATTGCAAGATGCCGGCACTGTTGCTCCAGCGCTTTCTGCAGAATTGCAGAAGCGGCTGGACGAGCTTGAAAACCGGATCGATGCACACGAGGAAGACGGCAAGTCGCAGGGCTTGCAATTCCTGCTGATGGCGAAGCAACACCACATGCGTGGCGAGGATGCCAGTGCACTGAGAATGTACCAGCTGGCACAGCCATTCTTCCCTGGTAACGCAAAGCTCGAAGCCAAGATGAGGACACTCGAAGACCGGATACGTGCCAAACGGGAAGAAATTACCAAGCACGTCTCCGCCCCTATTGAACTCCCCTCGCACACCGCCGCTCCCGTTACCAACCTCCTCATGGCCCCCCTGAAAGCTGAAAAGAAAACCCCAAAGCCAAAGATAGTCTACAAAGACGCATCAGAAGAAGATGAAGAATTCGCTCCCCAGCCTCCCTCCGACCACGAAGAATCCTATGCCTCCGACACTAGCTTCCAATACACCAGCAAACCCAAGGCCACCCGCAAACCGAAAAAGACGACCAAGAAACTGCCCATTTTCCGTGACGACGCCGCTGCCACCACCACTACCGATCTGCCTGTCTATTCCGCCGCTCAGCAAACACCTCGTACTTCCCATCTCCTCAAGATCATCAACTCGCGAGACGTCAATCAAATCAAAGCGCTAAAGGGTGTGGGTGCAAAGAAAGCGGATAACATTGTGAACTGCCTGGTTGAAATGGACGATGCCGAAATTATGGATCTGGAATCGCTGGCTATGCTTAAAGGTGTTGGGGGCAAGACGGTGGACAACATGAGGATGGGATTGAGTATTAATACTGGTTATGACTTCTGAGCTTCGGCTCGCTTTTTGCTGTTTGATTTCTTCTTCTACCAAGCATGGTGTTCACGGCGTTTTTGGCAGCGCGCTTGTCGTGAGCGCAAACTTATATTGCATAGAAATGGCGTTTTGGGTTCCGCAGCATATGCTGCCTTGCATAGTTTGGTTCCTAGGAATTCAGACTCTTCATCACCGGTATTTTGCTTCAAACATGTGCTTAACTCGGGTTGTGATAGAGGGGCGAGGGATGATAGTAAATCATGTATATTATCATTATCATACAGGATCGTAACGCTCAATCTCAGCCAAGAAGAAAGTAGCCGTCCTCATTCACACTCAATCGCAAACCCTACCACGGAAGCATCTAAAACGGCCAAACCCAGTCCTCTGTCTCCTTGGGATCCATGCCCTCATGGTAGGCATAGTTCTTGGCCTTGATTTGCTCATCAAGCAACTTGTCTCTCGTTGCCGCACCCTTATTACCCAAGCTGGGAATGTTGTCAAGTGCATCAATCGCCAAGCTATAGCGGTCAGTACCATTCCTGATAGCCAGCTCGAGGGGGGTATCAATGTTGCCCTTCTCCCTGTATCCGCGGACGAGCAGATTCTGCTGACCCTTGCGGCCATATGTCAAGCGGTGGATCAACCAGGGGTAAGAGTGGAAGTTGAAGATGCAAGGTACGTTGTCCGTGAAGATGGCCCTGTACTCGTGCGCCTTGAGACCGTGAGGGTGCTGGTCCTCGTCGATGAGTTTGAACAGGTCCACAACGTTTACGAAGCGGATCTTGAGCTCAGGCAGGTGTGTGCGCAGCAACGCTGTCGCGGCCAGGGATTCGTGTGTAGACACATCACCGCACGATGCCATGACAATGTCAGGCTCTTGATCCTTATCGTTACTTGCCCATTCCCAGATACCAACGCCCTTTGTGCAATGGGCGATAGCCTGCTCCATGGTGAGGTACTGGAGATGCTCTTGCTTGTCGGCAACAATGACGTTGACGTAGTTTTCGCTACGAAGGCAGTGGTTCATTGTCGAGAGCAGGCAGTTGGCGTCTGGTGGGAGGTAGATACGGACAACCTCGGGACTCTTGTTCGCCACTACGTCGAGGAAGCCTGGGTCTTGATGTGTGAATCCGTTATGATCTTGTCTCCAGACAGTCGCAGTAAGCAAAATGTTGAGCGAAGCAATCTTCTGTCTCCATTCGACTTCGAGACACTTCTCAATCCACTTGCAGTGCTGGTTGACCATGGAGTCAATGATGTGAATGAAAGGCTCGTAGCTGTTGAGCAGACCGTGCCGTCCAGAGAGAATATAGCCCTCTAACCAACCCTGAACAAGGTTAGTACTGCGGTATTGAATAATGCTGTATATCTTACCTCTACAGTGTGCTCTGAGAGCATCTCCATAACGCGTCCTTCGTACGCTAGGTTACCACCATCCTCGTCTTCCTCAAAGTACTCGCCCATCCAAACCTTCTTGCCTGCCTCGTAAACCTTGCCAAGCTTGTTGGATTCAGTCTCGTCAGGACCAAACAGACGGAAGTCTTTCTGGTTTTCTTTGATGATATCGCGCAAAAAGGCGGCGCAGTTGGCCATACTACCAACCTTTGCAACACCTCCCTTCGTGACTTCAATAGAATAATTACGGAAGTCGGGTATGTGAAGCTTGTGTCGGATCAGACCACCGTTCGTAACAGGGTTGGCGCTCATCCTTCTGTTGCCAGTTGGGGCCAATTCCCTAAGTTCGGGGACAAGCTTGCCATTCTTGTCGAAGTGCTTCTCAGGCTCGTACGAGCGCATCCACTCTTCCAAGATCTTGAGCTGAGACTTGTCCTTGAGGACGTTTGTAAGAGGGACTTGATGTGCACGCCAGAAGCCCTCCAGGAAGTGGTCTCCATCGAGCTTCCTGGGTGCTGTCCATCCCTTGGGGGTACGGAGCACAATCATGGGCCAGCGCGGCCTGAAAGCCTTGCCTGAGTCCCTAGCCTCCTTTTGGTATTCGCGGATCTTCGTGATGCAGCGTTCCATCGTAGCAGCCATGGCTTGGTGCATGGATGGGATATCGCTTCCCTCGACAAAGTAGGGCGTCCATCCGTAACCGACGAAAAGCGCTTCGAGCTCCTTGTGACTTACACGAGCAAGAACGGTCGGGTTATTGATCTAGGTAGTATTAGCCACATCCTTCCACCATCTTCAGCGCCGTACCTTGTAGCCGTTCAGATGTAATACGGGCAAGACCGCACCATCCGTGATAGGGTTTAAGAATTTGGTTGAATGCCAGCTCGTAGCAAGAGGGCCAGTCTCAGACTCGCCGTCTCCGACCATGGTTAGAGCGATAAGATCCGGGTGATCGAATACTGTTCCAAAAGCGTGAGAGATGGAGTAACCAAGCTCTCCACCCTCGTGCAAGCTGCCAGGTGTCTCGGGTGTGGCATGAGATCCGATTCCACCAGGGAATGAGAAAGACTTGAAGAAACGCCTCATACCCTCCTCATCTTCGCTCTTATCAGGGTAGACCTCAGAGTAGACTCCTTCGAGGAAACTGTTTGAGAGAACAGCGGGTGCGCCATGGCCAGGGCCGGAGATGAAAATAGCGTCCAAATCGTACTTCTTGATAAGACGGTTCTGCAAAGTCGCTGAGTTAGCTCATTACGATACCAGAATCGCGTATGTCTGTTCATACCATATGAATCCATGTGAAGCTCTGTCCGGCATCCGAACCCCAATGTCCTAAGAGGCGTCGCTTGAGGTGATCCAGGATGAGGGGTTCACGGAGTAAAGGATTCCTCCGGAGATATATCATGCCCAGGCACATGTATAGAGAAGCATGGAAGTAGTCGGTCATCTTCCTCACCTCATCCTCACTGAGTGGGTGTTCAGTGATTGATGATCTCGCGGGTCCGTATGGGGAGATGCTGAGGTTCTCGACATCCTCGACGACTGTCTCAGGATCTGCAGGAGCTTTCGCTACCATGGCGTCCATGATTGCTGGCTGGCTGATAGGTCCGACCTTTCTTGCGTTCAGGTAAGGTCTCGAGTGAAGCTGGGTTTGAGGAAGTAGTTAAACTGCGTAAAAACTATGGAAGCTCCAAAGAGCAATCGCGAGTAGCGTAGTTTTTTAGGGATTGAGAGGTACAGTTTTCAGATAATGCTGGACTGTAGAGGTAGAGGGCCTTTAAGCAGTCGCGCAGTAGTCGCGGTTGAAAGCTTGGAAGCTGGCCAGCGGCAAGGCCGGAGACACTCTCTTGATGCATTGAGCTCTGTCATTGGTGCTCTGGGCAGGATCATGCTACTGCAGCGCGATACCATCATAGCGACAAATTCCTTTTGGAGCTGTTTGTTGGTTGCGTCATGGCCTGATGGACCGAGGTGGGGTCAACCAACAGTCACGCTAGTGGGCGACGCGTTCCTGTCAATCCTCGCCATGTGCTATACATGGCGTGATATATACCTGAGCTGACTGAGCTGGCGATGAGGATTACCTAGGCACAGCACCACCTGATTTTTCACTTGCATGATAATAAGTACGGTTAAAACGATGGAGCAAGCTTAATGCGCCAGTTCTGGGAATACCTTTAACATATTCCAAGAAGCGGAACGCGGCGGACAAGCAAGCCTCCACTTCCCATCCGACCCTAGCTTCGGGATCGGAACCTTCATCCGAGCGGATAGTGATCTACGCACGCGTCTACTGCAAATTTGCGACTAAAGTATCTCTGTACAGCCTAGGCAGACAGGAGAACCAAAGTGACGCTTCAAGACTCCATCACTGTTACAATAGGGCCTTGGATCAGGTAGATGTATAAACGTATCAGATTGATCTTGGATGTCTATTATAAATTCTTCAATGCATTCCATAGTCTCCCTCTGCGGCGATCGTCCTCTGGCATTCAGCAAAGATTGCAGCTTGTCTTGCTACATCAGCCAGTCGTCCAACGACCAGCTTATTGCCGTCCAGGAAGCCGTACAACGCGTACGGTATATCCACTTCATTACAAAACTCCTGCACCAACTTTTGGGTCTGCCTCAGATTATGCCTGGGGATTCGTGGATACAGATGGTGGATAGCCTGAAACTGTAGGCCACCATGGAAGAAATCCAACCACTGCGGGCAGTCAACATCCATTGTTGTGCGAAGCATCTTCTGGGCAAATGACTCGTGGATACCCAGATCCGCTGTGCTCATAGCGAAATGAGACAGCGTAATCTGCACATGAAGCGGTGACGTAAGCGCGTGGGCAATCATGACGAACCAGAATCGACTCCAGTTGTCAGGAATGGACTTGTACACAACACCGTAGCCGAACCAGGTCCAGAAGACAGTCATGCCCACAATCTCAAAGTATCGGTGCCACCATGCGGGTCCTTTCTTGGGTCCCTTTCCAAGAAGCAGATACATCCATGAAAGTCTGTACAAATTGAAACGCGCAAACAGCATGATCGGGTAGTAGGTGTAGTGCTGTATCCGGATCATGAGCTTTGCAAAGGCATCGTATTCCATGACCCACTCGTAGAAGGTCGTGGTGAGACTCTCCATGAATCGATGTGTGATGGAGAAGAAGGGAATATACTGGATATCGGGATCGTGTTCGGGGTGGTTCGTAACGAGATGGTGCACGTTATGATTGTATTTCCACCAGCAAGCGCTCAAACCGCCCATATACGAGGCGATAAACATTGCAATGGTCGAATCGGTCGTAAAATCGTGGGTAATGCCCATGTGACCAGCATCATGGACAGTGAATGTGAGCTGGTGCCAAAGGCACGCAAGCGGGATGGCACTGGTAATATACCATCCTGTTGACAAAAGAAACAGGAACGCGGCCAAGAAAGACCCATAACGTAGGCACTCAACACCGTACGCGGTATAGTTGCAGTCGTAGAGCCCTTCTTGCTTTATGCGCACTTGCAGCTCGCGGTACTTTTGTGTGATGTGATCTTGAGTGGCCGGATCTAGAGACGGATATTTGGCCTTGTCGAAGTCTAGCTCTTCCTGAGTTCGCCTGTCAAGCACTGACATCTTCGGAGATACCTTATCTTCCAACTCGACCGATGAGACGCTGGAAGTCGAGGAAGCTCTGCCAATGTCGGCTCCATTACGCTTGCGAATCGAAGCAGAGGGACGATCCGCTGGTTCGAAGAGTGGGCTGCTGTCGGCAGAAGAAGCTGAGCTAGCAGTCTCTTGCTCCGAAGAAGAGCATGATTCCATGTATTCCTCCTCTGAAAATTTGTCCAGCTCTTCTTGTGTCCTGAACTTTCCACCCTGTATCGGCGGTAGGAAGTTGATCCATCGACCTTCAATGCGGCCGACTTGGTAGCGGTTCATGAGCTCGAGTGTTTGCGTAGAGTGGAAACTAAGCATACAAGTTAGCAAGTAGCTTCTCTAGGTGATACAAGCGGACATACCGAGTGACTTCGTCTGTTGCATCTCGTCCCACCATGTGCCGGATGGCTTTGTCCCCGCCTGGGTGGTAGGGTAGCCATGCGTCTACCTTCAAGACCTTGCTGTCCACTATGACAATTGAGCGTCCATTGGCGATCTGAGCTTCAATCTCTCGCCGACTGAAAACCTTCGACTTCCTGTCTGCCCGGGCGGCCATGGTGCGATGCGGTGTGGTACACGAAGCGTACTCGAATGGGTACTCAACTGCGGGCTCAATTGAACAAACGAAATTTAGAGCAGACGCGCTCAAACCATAGTTTTGCAGTGCCTCAAAAGGAACTAAGTTTCACGGTGTGTTGCGCCGGAGCCAGCCAGTGGAACAGGAGAGGATGAGCTGATAAACTTCCGAAGCTCGCCTGGGCCCTGCACGCCAACGCCCCCACGTTGTCCTCGCCACGCCCCCAGAGCCGCACCCAGAACGGCTTCACATGTCAACCTAGGAACATCCCATGGCGTGAAGGCGCCAGATGTGTAAGCAGAAGCGCATCGAAATATACACGTGAGCCTAGAGAAATTAAAAAGTCTTGAACGGCATAAGTCTAGCAGGTGCCCACTTGAGCCTGCTGCCGCCCGCTTTCTTTCGGCAAACTCCGACACTCCTTCACTCTGCCACGCCTGCCACTTCACGACCTTCCTATGCTGACTAACGTCTGTTGACTTCTAACCATCTGTTCGTTCCATAGTTTCTTTCAAACTACTTGCACAACACAATCGTCCTCTCAGATATCAAGCCCCCGACAATGACCCAAGATATCAAAGAGTTGGCGAGGGAATGGCTGGAGCTCGACCAAGACAAAACAACTACAGATGAAATCTACAAATTGTTAGTCAATGGCGACACCGGCGAGCTCGAGAAGCGACTTCGACATCGTATCGCTTTCGGGACAGCTGGACTCAGAGGGCCTATGCAAGGCGGCTTCGCTTGCATGAACTCTCTGACAGTGATTCAAGCTTCTCAAGGACTAGCAGCGTACCTGCTCAAGACTGAAGAAAACGTAAAGAGAAGGGGTGTGGTCATTGGAAGGGATGCGAGGCACAACTCAGAAAAGTTTGCCAGGCTCACCGCCGCTGCGTTCGTTGCGAAAGGCATCAAGGTGTGGTGGTATGAGGACCCTAGCCATACGCCCATGGTTCCCTTTGGTGTGCGCGAACTCGAAGCCGCTGCTGGTGTTATGATCACTGCAAGTCATAACCCGGCCAAAGACAACGGATACAAGGTTTACTGGTCAAATGGATGCCAGATCATCCCCCCACACGACAGCGGAATTGCCCAATCTATCATGGAGAACCTGAAGCCTGTTACCTGGGATACAACAGTCGTAGACTCCTCGCTTCTAGTGGAAGGAAGTCTAGGACTGGTACAAGACAGCTACCACAAGGCCATCCTCTGCGCAGCACAGCCCGAGCACGTTCAAGTCAAGATGGACCCAGAGCTCAAATTCGTATATACGCCTATGCACGGTGTTGGTCTTCCTGCCATGCAGCGATGTGCAGAGACACTTGGTGTAGCCTCGCAAATGACCGTGGTGGAAGCTCAAGCACAGCCAGACCCCGACTTCCCCACGGTGAAGTTCCCAAACCCCGAAGAGAAGGGTGCGCTCGATCTGGCAATCGAAACGGCAGACAAGTCGTCCACACGCCTGATCCTCGCCAGCGATCCCGACGCGGACCGACTTGCCGCAGCAGAGAAGGTAGGAGATAGATGGCATATTTTTAGTGGGAACCAACTCGGAGCGCTGCTTGGCTCCTACCTCTTAGAACGCTACCCAGAGTCGAAGCCGCGAGAGAAGCTCGCGATGCTAGCTTCTACTGTTAGTTCCAGGATGCTCGCGGCTTTAGCGAAGAAGGAAGGCTTTAAGTTTACCGAGACTTTAACCGGATTCAAGTGGCTTGGAAACGTAGCGCGGCAACTCGACAGCGAAGGCTACGATGTCGTCTTCGCGTTCGAAGAAGCCTTGGGATACATGATCCCACAAACCGTACATGACAAAGACTCGATCAGCGCAGCTGCAGTCTTCCTTACTGCTGCGTCGCATTGGGCTACGCAAGGTCTCACACCATACGCCAAGCTGCAGCAACTCTACAAGTATCTTGGCTACTTCGAGGACGCAAACACCTACCTCGTATCGCCATCCCCATCTGTGACAACGTCCGTGTTCACAGCCATCCGCGCATTGGGCAGCCCGCACCCCACCACCATCGGGTCCCGTAAGATCGTGCGCTGGCGAGATCTGACCCTAGGCTATGACTCAACGAGCAAGGACCACAAGCCCGATCTGCCGGTAGATGTCACTAGCCAGATGATCACATGTGAGCTCGACGATGGCGCGGTATTCACAGTCAGAGGAAGCGGGACAGAACCAAAGATCAAACTTTACATTGAGTGCCAGGGACAGAGTAGTGAGGAGGCGAAGAAGGGCGCTAATGAAATATTGGACGATCTTCTGCGGGAATGGTTCAAGCCTGAGGAAAATGGACTTAGGCTTGCTTAGAGTTGGACTATGTAGGTAGACTATTTGTGATGCAATTATGTTCATGCGCAAAAATGAAACGTGAGAAGACATCATAGACGCCATCTCATGTGCAATCAGATTGCTCGAGTGATTGTACCATAACTATATGCTACTCACTTTCACGTTCACCAAGAGTTTGTCGGCTACAATTTTTCTCCCACAACTGTCTACATTTCTACCACCCCATTTGCCTTTTACAATCCTATAACCCAGCTACCTTCTACAGACTAACATCACCGCTGCTTGCTACCAACTTACTTCCCAACTACTTTCGACGTACCCAACGACCACCGTGGCAGCTACACCCATCGTCGGCCTCTTGGCCTCCTGGAACGATCTCAACGAGATGGTTGACGTCGAAACCTTTGCCGACCCGCAAACCAAACAATGGACCAAAGGACAAGTCAAAGCCCAGTTCCAATTCAACAGTCAACCTCTCATATGCTGTCCTCTTCTCCCAGCGCCCTTCGTTCCTACCGCTGTCATCGAGATCAATAATACACGCAACAACATACCTGCTATACAATACTACATAGCGGAAAACCCACACTGGCTCGCCCACCGGATCCTCTTCCAAGCCCAATTTGTGTCAGCCACCCGCTTCACCACGGAAGAAAGCTACTTTTTCGCGGAAGAGGGCGAGCCAACAGTCCAGTTCAACGGAAGGCCGTTGACGGAGGCAGAGCGCATGCAGCTTCATCATGAGCCTGAAAAGATGGATATGAAAGACTTCCAGCCCACAGAAGTGAAGATGAAGAGGGGGATTGTGATGATAATTCCGCCTTACACGGTTTACTGTTTCTTGGTGACAGACGATTCGCTGATCACGGCAGGAGGTATCGTTCCGAGGGGTGATGAAGGGCTCGTCTGAGGGTTGATAAGACAAGATTGGACGATGGAATGGTCCAGCTGCAGAAACTAAGACTTCAGATGGGGAGTTATGGACGATAAATCTCGAACGGAGGATTTGGATAGAGAAAAAACAAAACCCGGTGGATACCTCATTTAAGTTGTACGGCTTGTGGTGCCGAATCTCTAAAGTCGAGCATATGAGGTGCAACATGTAACACGAATACCATAATTCCAGAACGATCGTTAGCACTGTCGCAAATTGTCCTGCGATAATTGTCTCGGCAGCTATGGCAAGACATGCATGCGATCAGAATCACCGATGGGATACGTAAGTGCTTCGCGGCCTCTGACTCCTCCACGTGAGGCTCCGCATCGTGTATGCAACCTCTGCAAGATGTGAGATGCAACACACGAGATGCGCCCTACTCATCACAAGATGGGACGAGCGCTCGGCAGATTCTTGTATCTGAAAATGATGTATCATTTCCTCGACTAGCGCCCGCCTTCCCGATCGAGACCCTGTCAGATGCATTATAGACGCAGCGCTGACGACAACTAGTCACATACAGTTTCTGCCTTGTACAGATTCGCCCATACCGGGGCTGATATCTGGGTCCAAACTTGTCGCCATACGCAGCTATCCATGGTCGGGCCTGTTGGACGTGCAGATGCAATGCAGATGCGCAATGGTCCTTCTCGAGTATTGACCAATGAGCGGCACCCCATGTCGATTAGAAAGGCGCCATGTATGGTGTTGTTGCTGCCTTGACAAATAGGGCACCAGCATGTAAGACTCGAGAGGGTGCAAAAAATTCGCTTTTTCGCACAAGTGTCAGGGCTGTTATGGAGGGTTTACTTTTTATCCTTCGCAGCCCGCGCATGGCGTTTATAGCCTCGCTGGATTCGACGGAAGGGTAGCCAACGGCCAGGGTGTTTGCCCGGCCGTCAGCTAAACAGGGTAGCCGGAGGATTGTGTCGCCTCAACCTATCATGTCGACGACTTTGTATCGATAGTCTATCCCGCGCGTACCCAGACTCCGGGGAAGTGTAACAGGTGCCCGTCACTAAGCCGTTGCGGGTTGCATGCATGCGTGCTACAGAGTCACGGCCTCTTTCCCCTCCGCATGCCCACCAGTTCTGTCGCGTCTGTCGCGTCCTTCAATCTCCGCCCTGCCCATATATAAAGACCCTTCGCATCCCCCGCCCGAGACGAGCTGGTTTTCGCAAAGTGCTCGCAGAATCTTCGGTACGCTCTCGGCCCCACCACCATTATTTCCTGGAATCGTGCTAACGGGATGAAAGCCTCGATAGGAACAGCGACATGTCTCAATCTTAGACTTTTCGCGTCCTCTGCGGGATGCTCAGCTATCGACACCAATGGCGGGGTTCGTGGACCCAAATACAAACATCACGCGACAAAGCAATCGTGCGCCCTTACAACGGACACCCTCGAGACGATCGCTTCCAGACGGACCATGCAACTATCGCGACGCGAATGTAGGACAGTGTGGATGTGATCAGTTCTGGGACAAACTCAGCGCTGAGCTGCATGATGAGAGCGCAGAGCATCGGCCTAGCAGCGAGCGCTCGACCTGGTGTGTTTGCGGGCACCATGCTTGCTTCCATCTGAGGGCGTCGCGTGCGCCAGAAAGGCCTGCGCCAGTGATAAATGCGCCGCTGCAGTCTCTATATGCGGGAGCTGAAGAGCAGGCCCAATTGCTGCCAGGCACACCATGCGACATAAACGCCGGCTTGCGACAATTGGGAGACAACCTTCTGTCCGAAGGGGGTCAAGCTATATACAATGAGCGCATGCATCAGCAGCCTAGTCCCAGTCAGCGACTCTTGCAACAGTCCACTCAGACCAACTCATTCAGTCGCTTGATACAAAGTCAGGACACTCCTTCACAAATCAGCACGAGCGGTCTTCCTGGAATCCCTTCAGTCTGCTTGCTATCTCATGAACGGCGCCCAGTGGCTAACAACGAAGCTAGGAATGGCGCAAATCAGTCGCGCCAAACGGTGGCGGGTCTTGGTCTTTCTATGATGAACTTGGAGAGTATGGGTCGGATTAACCGTCAGCAGTCGCCTACACCCACCATACCCGACGACATCAACATCGCTAATACCCCGCGAAAGCCCTACAACGAGCCGGACAACACCGCTGCCAGAGCGAGTACGGTCCAAAATGAAGCAGATATCACCAGTCCATCGCGTGGCATTCTTGAGCAAGTCTTCGAGTTCAACCGGAACTTCCAGCCGGACGAACCTGGTGATACCATACCAAACACCTACAATCCCGACGACTACATACAGAGTGCTACCGAGGTGGCCACTCCAAGTGTTGGGAATACCCCAGACCTGAGCGCTGCGGATCGGGCCGTGCAGGATGGAAAGGACATGATTGACGCAATGAAGCGGATAACTTCAGAAATTCAACAGCAATCGGCTAGCTCACCAGAAGAACAAACATATGTCACAATCCCCACCCAGCTCTTACCAAAGAACGCTCCTGCCGCCCAGCAGGAACAGCTGCAAAACCTTCTCCAATCGGCTTCCCCACAAGGCCTCCAGAAGCTCGTCTCCTACCTTGCTCCTCTACATAACCTGTTGAATTCCATACCTAACGTAGCCAGCACCATGCAGGAACTTGGCAGCCGCCTAGATTTGCTGGAAAACGGATCCTTCAATTATGTACAACCGGAAGACCTGCATCCGACCTTGGAGATGTATGAGGGTAGGCTCATCGATGTAGAGCATCGCCTGGATGAACATGAACGGATGCATCAGGCCATGGATGACCAATCCAGCAACAGCTCCTTTGGCCGAAGGCGCATCGATAACGCGACGGCATCATTTGGCTCTGTAGACTCGACCACTTCTTCAGCACTTATACTCGCAGCTATGGATCGCAAAGATACGGAAATGGAGCTTGACAACATCAAAGACAGATTGGATGTGCTGGAAGCTGCTGCGCCACCCACATCGCTGCAGCCCTGGGAGGTAGAGGTCGTTCTGCTACCATGGGGTCCCGACCTGAAAGGTATCTGGTTCTCACCTGAAGAACCAATGCATGATATAGCGAAGACGACGACACAGAACTCCGAAGAATGGACTCAAGCTCGGATGTCAAAGACTACCACCCTACCATTCCTCGGGCGAGATACAGATTCCAGTCCGTACCCTGGGACCCGAAATTCTGCCAAAGGTTCCATACCTGGTCAGTCCGAGAACGGATGGAGTAGCCAAGATATCAGTAATTGGGCTTCAGGGTCTACGGACGATTGGTTGTTCCCGAAAGCCTGTGGAAGCAACAACCTGGTCTACAAGCGACTCCAAAGCAGGGGGTTCGTTCGAGATGTCACCTTCCGGGGCTCCAGCGCCAAAGATATACAGGAAGCTTTGGCACATGCTTTCTCTGACGTGTTTGATTATCTGCAGTACGATGACAGCGACGAGAACCCTATGATTGCTGCGTATCCAGGTCTTCGGGCGCCGTACATACCATTACGAAAGGTGCTCAAAGAGTCGCGACTACGGTTCCTTACGCCTGCCGAAATGTCCAGCAGCGCACTCTGGAATGCCCAGTTCCTTTCAGCCGGCGTGATGATGAGGGTCTCCGGCGGAAAGAAAAGGCTATACGTGACAGTGCGCGAAGCGTATACACAACAAGTTGACCGTAACGAGTTCTTCGTCATGGAACAGTCATGGCCGGAGCTGCGGCAATTACCTCGCTACCAACCCGATAAAGGCTCACAAATGACAGGCGACGATGGAGAATGTCAGCCTCATGTTCCAGAGGCGGATGCGAAGGAAGCATGCTGGCAGTTCGTTGAGACATATGATGCTCCGCCTGCTAGTGTGCATTCTTCCTTTGGAAGCAACCAGTCCGTTCAACTATCAATGCGCCCTGCTGGTCGAAATTGGCGACGGTCAATCACTCCCAACTCGATCTTGAAGAACAAGCAACCCCAGCCCATCTCTCCGCTGAGTGAGAACCATCTGCAACGTCCACCGTACTCTCGCAATCGCACGGTGTCTGCTTCGGTTATCGACACCTTCCCATCTCGTTTGTCAAAGCGCCGCCTCCACGCTTCTGCTACAGAACAATCATCTGCCCCACAGCCAATTTCCCATGCACCTAGCCTGTCGGTAACAAGGCTAAAGCGGCGTCGTGTGACGAACTCCTCCTCCCCACGTCCCGAGACAGCACAGGTTCCAATATGGAATGCGACTCCTCGACACTCACGAGAACCACCTTCACCGTTCTACTCGTCGCAACCTGCACTACCGCGATCAAATTCAGACATTATGAGCAGACCAAGTCAGCGCTCTGTTGCAGTAGCAGGGAAATTAACACCTTTCGCCTATGCAACGCCGCACTCAGGACCCTTTTTGGGCGGCCCTGGCTTTAACGCATACAACAATGGTGGCGATACTGAGCCCGACGATGACAACGATGACGGGGAGCAAAGCTGGCCTGGCGTCACTGATGGCGACAACGACAGCGCCTCGAGCTCAATCCTTGACGCTGACGTTGGTGCGCAAGAGGGAGCTAGCTTCTCAGGTGATGATAGTGGCTTCGGCGGCGACAACGGAGAAGAAAGCGATGCGCCATGGGATGACGACCTCTATGCACAACGCCAGCAAGATGAAGATGATGAAGATGACGATGACGTCTTTGACTCTTTGCTTAGTATCATCGAGGACTAGACGTCCATAGTTGTTCTCTCTTTCCGAAGCATGCGGGTGATTTGGCCATGGACGTGGCAACATACATCAAGAGCGTGGGATTCTGGATATATGAAGCGAAATAGAGCATACACATTAACATAGGCGTTATGGGTTAGATACTTTTTGTACTATACTGCTTCTTTCATATCTCCAGCGTTGTCTTCAATTTCGGACCCAAGTTAACAGGGTATTTTTGTATACTACTAAAATCGGTGTCGGAGCATGGTCATACAGTTTAGTGTTAGGGGGTGTCCACACCTCTTCTCTCTCCCCTTATGGTGGCTGAGTTGGGAAATGAATATCTTCAGATACGCTACTGGAATCTTTTCCTTCTTAGTTTCCATTCAAAGAAGTTGTCGATATATACCGTATACGTATGATAATGCACTCACTCGCCTTCAACCACTACCTCTTCACAGGCATCGCGTATATACGACCACTCCCCCACTCTCCTCCTTCTACTTCAGAACCCTACTCTTACTATACCATCACACGACTGCATCAAAAACAATGTGCACAACCTACCAAATTTGCTACCTCCCTTGCAAGCGCGAAGGCTATGGCCGCGGTCCCGAGGAGAACATGCCCTGCATTGACGAAGACTTTCGCCAATGCAAACACGCTATAGAGAGCGGCGAGGGCTGTCTCGAACCAGTCGTCAGATCCATTTGGATCGAGTACAAGTGCCCGCAACACGGGGGACTAGAACCACAAAAGAGGGAGGAGCTGATGAGAGAGAGGGGGCTACAGGGTAGGGATAGGCAGATTGTAGTTAAGAAGGGGGATAGGCCGAGTGCGTGGAATAGTGCGGTTTGTAGTATCATGTGAAGGAAACTGCTCTCTTCCGGATCATTCTAGTACTCTCATGAGCTTCTTGAGTTATGGGAATTTTGGAGGAAACAGGGCTGATATCATTCTTCGGAACGAATTCGACAAATCTAGGTGCGCAAAGTATTGGCGTCGTTGTAGATCATGAGTGATGTGCCACTCGCATCTGCTTTAGCCCACGTACTCTTCTAGTATGTTTCTATCACACTACTGAATAAAGAGCACAGCAGATATCTTTCAGGTACACGCTGAAGAACAAGCGTTCTCCAAAACTAGGTGTATAGTTAGATGAGCAGCTTAGAGCGGTCCCGCAAAAAGTGGGGAAACCGTCCCAATCCATACTAACCTCGGCTGGTGACTAGCCAGAGCATCACGACGACGCGATCGTGACATGTGCGTCGCTGCAACAACAACAAAGAGACTTCTCCTTCCTTGTTCCCAGTGTTAAGCCTTCTCACCGTCCTCTATCCCTCAACTACATCAGCTTCAGAACGATTGTGAAAAAACACAACAATTGACATTATGGCGTCGACAACCTCTCAATCACACCCGCTTCTGCAAGCTTCCTCAGCTGCCTACGCCATTTTGGCGATCGGCCATACAGTAACTTGGGAGCTCTCTCTATACATGTGAAAACATGCTGACAATGAGTCTAGATGAAGGGTCTCGACCAGTTCAAACACCCTACGATGAACACCCTCCCACTCATGCTCCGTGGCGCCAGCAAGATCGGCTGGTATGAAGGTAGCGGATTCTTCATCATCATGAGTAAGCTTCTGAACAATTTGTCGACCTAAGAGTCATGGTTCACTAATATTCTGATAGGTATACTTAATTACAAGTGGTCGGTTACTGGTATCTACGATGTGTACGACAAGAGCATAGCGGGTGTCTTGACTACTATGCTAGCGGCTGCGGGTGTGGCTTACTGGAAGAGTAATGATAGACCTACAGCCATTACACTGGGTGTTGTTGCAATCCTGCAGGGACTGGGTGTGAGGAACGGGTCGTATTCGCACTTTGTCTAGGGGTTATCGCGCGTATGCAACAAGGTCAAGAGCATCGTAAGGAAAACACATCATCATTACTGCTATTCCAGGCCCACTATTGGCCATACTATCTTGGACACTATCATCGTGAACTCGTAAGTCGCGAACAAAGGAGATTGTGGGTATAGAATACCGTCATTGCCTTTGCTGGATTTCAACCGTTGTGACCATAAAAGCAATCAAAGCATTACCCGTACCGTGAACGCCGTCACTTCTGCGCCATTTTCATGCCAATGGACGTTTAGTGAGCTAAGAATCCCTGACGGCCTACTCGCTCGCCTCCTTGTTCTTCTGAACGCTAACAGGGACGGCCCGCTTGTCGCTGCCGAGCAGGCGCTCAAGGCGAGCGACGTAGTATTCGGCGAAGGTTTTGCTGCTATCTCGCTTCCACTCGTCGTCAGCCAGCTGCTCGAGACGGAGACAGGTGCGATCGACGGCCTCCTCAATCTCTTCGGCCCAGTTGCTCTTCTCAGTGACACCATCGCTCTTCTCGCTATTGCGGTCACTGCCGTCAATGACGGTCTTGAGCGACCCGGTGCTCGTCTTCATGAGCGTAGAAGGGAAACAAGGAGCAACCGAGTTTGTAGGCAAGTCATCAGAGGTGAAGGTCAGGTACTCCACGATGCGCGGGTTCACGGCAGGAGAACCTAAAGCGATAGGCAATGAGCCCTCGATCACATCGATGGGATCAAGAGTCTTACGAGCATGTCCGGGACCTTGCTTGTCCCTACCGCTGTCACTCAGCATCTCGGAGATGCTCGCAATATCGGCCTCCTCGTCCTCGGCGATGGATGCCTCGGGCGAGTAATTGCTAGATCCCACGTCTGCTTCACGGTGACGGAGCTTGCGGTCGTTGATCTTCAGCTGCGCGAGTCTATCGCCGATCACGCTGAAGCCGCGACCGCGGGTCATGGGGTGGCGATACGCCACAGATGGAGCTGGAGAGCCGAATACAGGCGTGTTGATGGGTGGGGACGGGTAGTCGGCCTCTATAGCGGCCTCGTTGAGCGACTCCTGGATAGGGCCGAGGATCTTGGCGACAGCCGTATAGTCCATCTCAGGGGGAGGGTCGATGGGCTCAAAGGGGTTACCGACGGGCTCAGTAGCTGGCGTCGGATTTGGCACTGATGGGCCATCGGACTGCGAGTCTAGGGATGTGACTTTGGTCGTAGTGGACATGATGGTGTAGTTGGAGTTGGAGTTAGAGTCCAAGTCTGAGACTATGGTCTTTTAGCCCTGCTGAGACACTCAAGCTCTACGATAGGCTGAAGTTGCAAAGTAGTCTTCTGGTAGCGAAATGGAAATGGAGTTGGTGTGAGTGTAGGTTGGCTTACTGGCAGTTGCTACTGGTGCTGGAGTATGATTATGATAGCGCGGTTGAAATGTTGTGACGCGAAAGGCTGACCGTGAAGTGGCTCTAGTAGTTGTGCTTGATCTGAGTGTGAGGAGTGCGAGTGTGTGATTGCGGAGGAGGTGCGTGCGCCTGCTCAAAGTTGAAAAGCCTGGAAGCAACGGACGCGTGACGAGCAAACACAAATCTGGAGGTAGCCGTAGAATCTAGACTTATTGCCGAGCAAAACGGGGTACAGGGTACAAACGGGTTGTGGGGTGAAAGGTGTAATTGAAGACCATAAATTGGAATTTGACTGAATCTGCGGTTTACTTACACCCTGCGCGGCAAGTGCTCCAGACCGGCGCCACGTACCGAGCTCATACTGCGCTGTCGAATGACTTCAATTTCACTCGATGGCGTTCTGAACACTGAAGTACTGGAGGGCAGGGCGTGAAGCGCGATGCCAGATGCGACTTCCGCCCCTCCGTCAGACTCACCTACGCCCGTGTTGCTCTCCGCCTCCTCCTTCTTTGCAACGTACCAGGACGGGAGGTTGTAATAAGCTCCGCAAAGGAAGATTCCAATCCAAAGCATCAGTTCAGTGCCATAGATGACCAAACCCAGGACATCAAGCTTGGGCTGGAAGACGACTGACACCAAGGAAAAGACGTCGCCCAGAGCATCGATGCCTACAAAAATGAAGGAAATACCTCGAACCGTACGATGGATGTAGACATCCCAGTAGTGTCTCAAGACACCAGCAGCGAGTAGAGCGGCCGAAGCAACTGCCATGGGGATACTGGGCCAGTGAAGACCCTCTGCCTTTGCATGCTTGATGGCGAAAATGAGGCCAACTTGGACGCCGCCCATTAGGCAGGCTACAGGCACTACTACAGCGAGCGAGCGGAAAACGGACCAACTCTGTCGAGTGTCAGCCACAGCACTCGATGATAAGCTTAGGAGAGAACTAGTTTACCTTCTCGTAGTAGTAGCACTGGATCCACGTTACCAGACTCAGTACGGTGAGGATCTGAGGCTGTATGCGCAGAGCAATGTTGTAATATTCTGCGATGTTATAAACTCCGAGTGGGACTCCAGCCCATGCCCACAGCATCATCATAGTAGGCTGGAGCCCGGTAGCATTGTGTCTGCGATAGTTGATAACGATCTGAGGGATCAACTACGCCGCACTATCAATAAAGTTCCTCAACCATAGTGATTTAAGATGTGTATATACCTGAACGGACCAACAGACCTGTTTTTGTTAGCACAATTACTTTCCAAGTCCAAACTATGCATACTGCTCCTAGCGTACCTAGCACGTTCGCGGCCACTGGTACGTCCATGATCGATGCACGAGAACTGATTTGTTGAAGTGATGTGATTGTGATTGTGACTGTGATGTTCAAGAGCTGTGGTTCATTGACACGCACCACTGTGCGTCCACCAAGTCTTTTGTATCTACGCGCCAAGAGCAATTGGAGCGCAACAACATGTCGCGGAATGCGGTACGAGATCACGGATGCACGAGATTTAGCAACTCGGATGGCGATGGATTGCCCGCAGATGTACCGTCGCTACAGCGAATGCGTGATGATGCATGACATGGATGACCCTGGAAAGCTGCATACCTCCGAGGTCCGATTATCGAAGAGCTTAGAAATCACCACTTGAACTCTGCAACATATCGCAACCACAATTAGGTCTTCGAGGCAGTAAAACATGACGCAGGAACAGACGAATACCGAGGAAGGGCAGGACATAGCAGGAAGACCTGGGTACAAGAAGCTGGCGAACGGCATTGTGATCGGTCCAGATGGCAAGCCGTAAGTGCCGTGAAGTCTATAATGCGCCGGAAGACATGCACGCAGGACAACCGCCAATGTCACGACGAAGACATGTGCTGATATCTGTGTCCAAATTACAGATGTCGAACTTGCAATGATGTAGCCTCCCTCTTCGCCTTTGCGGGCAAAATGCCCACGAAACGCGCTCCTGCTGCGACCACCACCACCACCGCCGCCGCTGTCGCCGCCGAAACCGCACCTTCTCTCCCCGCCGACTGCCCACCAGATGTTGAAGCTCTCGGCCGTTCATCATGGACCCTGCTACACTCCATAACCGGCGCCTACCCCACGAATCCGACCCCACAACTACAATCCGAAACAAAGTCCTTCCTCACCACATTTGGCAAACTGTACCCGTGCTGGGTCTGCGCAGAAGATTTCCAGAAATGGATGCAGAAGAACACACCACGGGTGAGCAGCCGAAACGAATTTGGAGAGTGGATGTGTGAGGCGCACAACGCTGTGAATGAGAAGCTGGGGAAAGAGCAGTTCGACTGTAAGAGGTGGGAGGAGCGATGGAGAACAGGGTGGAAAGATGGGAGATGTGACTTCTAGACGGCAAAGACAAGGAAACATGTGTACAAGGTGTATGATTATATGTATATGAAGAGCATAGATGGTGGTTTTGTTGCATAGCGAAGGACACCATTCTGTACGAACACAAACTAGATACCGGCATTGGGCGGCGTTCAAAGGCACAACAACTCAACAAGATCAAGATGGCTCATGGTCAGCCGCTATCAACGCGTATTTTGAGTCTTTTTTTTTGGTGGCTTCCTATGCGACGCATGCTGCCCCTCACCTCCCACACTGGTTCGCTACCAAATCTCCCCGGGTCTCGAACACAACGACACTCTGGTACAGAGCCAGACTATGATTTCACAACGTGTAATCGTCCACATGTGAGCATATTCATCTGAAGCAGGGGTCACATCTGCCAATAGGCATCAAAGCTAACATGTCCTCTGTGAAACTCGCGTGCGCATTCTCATCAGCGTTTATGACCTTCATGGCACCCATCTTAGCCGGAACATCACAATAGCAACAACATGGCCGCATGCATTATTCTGATGGCAAGCAAACGCGAAGCCGACTCCTCGTCTTCTCCGGAAGACACGGATACGCATATCGACTACAACTTCGTGATCGCGTTGTCCATCATCCTCTTCCTGGCCCTCGTGGCCATCGCATGGTACTTGCGCCTCCGCTTTGCGCGGAAGCGACGAGTAGATTTAGACCAGCAGTTGCAAGCCGGTGAAGGGCATTTCGATTCGGCAATGGGGATGGTTACGTGGAACAGACAATGCGGTTCTTGTGGGGGAGAAGAGACGGAGAGAGCTAGAACAGGGAGCTTATTCAAGTTGAAATCAGTCATGGTGAGAAAGGATTCTGTTGCCATGTCTTCATCGGGAGGTAGTCCTGGGACAGGAGAAGTGGGGGGGGAAAGGCAGAAGAGAAAATGGCCCGGGTTATCTCAATGGCGGACGCAAGACTCTAGGTCTTCGACGTTGGGACCGAATGCCTTTACTATTCTTGACACTACTGTTCCTTTGACGTCTACCGAACGACCTTCACCTACGCACTCTCGTCGTCAGTCTTGTAAAGGCTTCTTCGATCCTCTTACCCTCCACAATCCTCTTCATCACGTACCGGCTCAACGGCGCAGCTCATCGGTCTCACGAGACACATATCATAAGCGGTGGTGGAACGAAGCTGCTCTACGGGGTTCCACAACAAGTCCCATACGACAATCACCAGTGTTGGAAGTTGTGCCAGAGCCGGGAGTCAGGGGTCATGCAGGCGATACCCGAGATGCTGGTGGATCTAGTGCTGTGAGCAAGGATCATGGTAGACGCAGTACTGGTAGTGCACATGCGTCTTGGAAGGGAAGTAGATGTGCGTCGGTCATGTATGACTGGACAAGACCCACAGATGCTGAAGTACATGCAAGAAATGAAATGAACTTTGGAGATATCATTTGGGATGGGCCTCGTGGCACAGCAGCTAGTAATGCAAAGGTGCAGGACGAGCACGTTCAGAGCACGGACTGGGCATTCAAGATGTAGCCTGCATCCAGAGTATGGGCTGCATGCATGGGTCACGAGGAAAGGCAGACGAAATACCAAAACTGACATTGTCAAGATTGCAAAGAAGCAATGTATTCCTGCCTTTTCCTATCTTACGTACTGTGGTTGTAGGAGATTTCTTGCTGTATGGAGCGCGATTCCAAGCGCATCTCCTCATGTCTTCCCTACTATCATTGCTAACATTATTTCTTCTGCTGAGAATCCAAATTACAGGATGATTGTAAACCCTCCTCGAATATGGTAGTGAGCTCAGGCCAGCTAGCTGTGGACAAGTTCCGGAAATCGACTCGATCGTGGTATCTTGTGTATATCTCGCACTTGAGAGGAAACGTGGGAGCTTATCGCATGATCTCCTGGTAGATAAGGACTTGAAGATGTTAGCAGATATCCAGGGTAGGTGCGAGATAACGACTTACGTTTCAGCTGCTCCTTGGTCAGGTTGTCCTTGTTCTTATCAAAGTCGAAGAACTCCTCTGGAATTGGGTCGGCAGTCGGCTCGTCATCTGGGTCATGGTATGGCTCAAGGTATGGGTGCTTGAGCGCCTCCTCGACTGTGATACGCTTGACGGGGTTGAAAGCGAGTAACCGCTCGAGCAGGTCAAGCGCCAAGTCGTTGGTCTTGGGGAACATGGCCTTCCATGGAATCTTCTTCTTGAACGGCAGCGACCGAATATATTCGCGAGCTCGGCGGGACTTGATGCCGTAGTAATCCTCCATGGTAGGCGTGCCGAGCACATCGAGAATCAGCGTAAGCTGGTGGTGGTCTGGTGATGATTAGCAACCAGCTCCTGACGCATGGTATTTGCGCAATACTCACAGTCTTTTCCTGGGAACAGAGGCTTTCCGCTAAGCATCTCAGCGAGGATGCATCCTACACTCCATACATCGATGGCTTTTGTGTACTCCTTGAAGGTAAGCATGATCTCGGGCGCACGGTACCAACGCGTAGCAACGTATTCCGTCATGAAACCTGAGTTGTCCTCGGTTGAGGCGGCTGATCGAGCAAGACCGAAATCGCAGACCTTCAGATCACAGTTGGCGTTGAGGAGCAAGTTGGAGGGCTTGAGATCGCGATGGAGAACGTTTGCTGAGTGCATGGCCTTGAGCGCGCGCAGGGTCTGATAGATGAAGTACTGGCAATGGTCGTCCGAAAGCTCTTGTGTGCGAATGACGCGGTGCATGTCGGTCTCCATGAGTTCCTGCGCACTGTGTTAGTGACTGTCAATTCTCACAACATTCTGGAATTACGCACCTGGATCAGGTAAACTTCGGTGAAGGTCTCGTAGTTTCGAGGCTTCTGAATGTCGAGAATGGAGATGATGTTCTCGTGGTTGAAGTACCGGAGTAGCTTCATCTCTCGTAGCGTTCTCAGACAGAACATGGAGTGGTCAAAGGGTGTGATCTTCTTGATGGCGACCTTCTGGCCTGACGGCTTGTGCAATGCGGAGCTGTTGTATGGTTAGCAGCAGTCTGGCTGGCTCTGACAAGTGGGACCTACCAAACAACACCGTACGCGCCCTCTCCTACGACATCTTGAATATCGTATTGCTCTGAGACGTTGAAAGAGATCTTTCTAGAGCTACCGCTCCCCGCTGGTGGCATGTTGGCGGTTGTTGTGGTGGTTGATATGCACTGATGCGCGGCGGACTAGGTCAATTGAGCTGATGCTCAGTGATTGCGGGGTCGTGATTGCTCGACAGCGGACAATTGAAGACGCGAGGAAACTGAATAAGGATGCGTATGCGGTGGTGAAGGTGAAATCTAAAGAGTGTGCCTGTCAGCTTGAGCTCGGGAAGGCTATATGACAAGCATTGTTCGCAGAACAGCAAGCGTGTCTTGCGCGCGCGTTGGTGAAACGGGACTGTGTCAGACACTGAGCCAGCCCCACGTGCTAGCCTTTGAGCCGCAAAAGGTGTACATGGCGGCAATGAACACGACATGGTACAAAAAACGGCTTCCTTGTGTTCGTCGCCGCCTGTGTGTTCATCTACGTGATTTGACATACCCGAGAATTGTGATTGCTCGAAGATCGAGGTCCTTGCAGCACCAGAGTCAAGAAGACGTGCGTGTACTTGATCGTGCCTGGCAGATGTCGCCCGTCTTTAGCCGTTTAATGACACTGGCTACCGAGAGATGTCGTTGACCAACCGGTTGGAGCTGGGGCGGGTGCGCTTCGGAGCTTCTCGAGTATGCTGGGGTGATGCCCGCGCAAGGTGGAGAGTGAGTGAGGCGGTGACAGAAAGGAGACGGATAGGGTGGGGGCAGGGTCTGTTGTATTGCCAAGTCAGTCCCAGATGCGATATCAGCGTGGTAGCGGGGGGGAACGTGGCAATGTACCGTAGCTCGTGGCGTTGCGACCGCGTGTGTGAGGAGGATGCGTCTCCACACGAGAGAGGGTTGTGTAAAGCACAGGGAAGGTGCGATGGCGTGTTTGTTGCTGCTGCTGCGGGCGGTGGTCGCGCTTTCCAAGTGGGATGGCGGGGTCAACCAGCTGAACGCCAAATGGACTCAGGTACAATCTAATACGACACTACACAGTTCGAAGGGAAATGCGCGTGAGAATCAGAACTCAGAAACAACAGCAGCATGCGTCTATTATGGTCTGCAAATATACCTCACAGAAGGCTGCAGCCTTTTGTTTGGTGTCCGCGACGGCCGCCGCCCATACTTTGAGCTAACCGCCGAGATGATCCAGCCATTGTGTGAGCTGCGCGAGTCACATCCTGTGATTTCTGCTATATATGCACGAGAATCATCTTAAACATTAGAGAGTTGTTTCGCCAGTAGAAGCTACCATTCTTGGGTCACCTCGTGCAGGACACTCCGACGGGGTTCTGTATGCTGGATTTTTGCATTCCCCGCATCTACCCAATGTCAGCCCTCAGTCACTACCTTTTCCATCACCGCAGTCTCCTCTTGCAGCAGCGTGGTCGCCTGTCATCCACTTCGTCACTGAAGCTCAAGGCTCGGATGCTGTAGGGCCATGGCTGAAACTGGCTAGTTGCAGGGGCCTAGTTCCACATCTGCAACGGCTATACTTAGCAGACCCATTATGAGACCAGCCTCACCATGCGGGTGCGCCCTCTCCGAACCTATTGGTTCCCGGCCGTTCTCCCAAACTCAACCACCACCAACCGTCCTATTCTTACATTTCCAGTGGTCCGGGTCCAAGGCTCTTGACGGTCTTATCGTTGCTCTGTACGCGCCACGCATTTGCGCCTGTATTTTCCACAAGTCCGATTGGGAGTGAGGATGCTATATTCGCCCGGCACGTCGACATCATAGCTGTTTGATGCCGAAGCATCTGAGACTTCTAGAAGTTGTTTCAGATGGTCGCAAAGCCTGACAAGCAGGATTGAGGCCTCAGGACACCCGCTTTCGTGGTCTATATTGACCACTTCTGTCATCATTGTGGTCCAGATCTATCCGTTGGTTACCGTGCTACACAACTCCTTGTGCTATGTCGTAGCTTCCAGCTCCATGCCTCTGGAACGAGCGATGAACACGACTGCAAGGTCCCGTCAGGCCGCAATGAAGACCTTGTCGTGCAAGGCGCAGTCTGTGTCCCCAGCTTCTCTCTTTGCCATGTCAAACACCTATCCTGCAGCATCATCGTCATCACTGCATGGGCTGGTGGTCATTCCAACAGCTGCGTTGGCATGTGGGACAGGCCGAGGGTCCAGACAAAGCGATCTTCACCACGACACCATCTACAAAGCAGCGTTCGGAAAAATATCGGGTATTTATTGCAAGTCGCTAATGCTCTCAGAAATCTAGTCCATGTGTCGCTATCATAAATCATCACACCAGTACTCCCTGTGTTTCCAAACTCCGAGAAATCCATCTTCAGTACGGGTTCGCTCCTTGTTTATGCCTTGGAGCCCCTCAACCAAGCTGGTAGTCACGCCGATGCTAGTGTGCCCATTGGCGGATATTGGTTCCCTTGAGGTGCGCATGTGCACCATTGCTCTCTGGGTACGCTCTCCATGACGCCAGCGACGTGTTTACCGCAGCCCCACCATGTGATCTTGTCTGAGAGTTGTTAGCAATATTCAGACAATCAGCGTATGGTGGGTGACATACTGCAGGAGTCGCAGGAAGCCTTCTTGCACATCGTGAATGTCTAGTTGTGGATGTCGAAGTGTGGGGTGGTGTAGCGTGGAGTAGAGAGATGGAGACGATCTGCCGATGATGGTATGCCGAATGCAAACGAAATATGCCGAAGCCTCGAAGTAGAGTTGGATAGCGTAGAGTCTGGTAGAGCAGTAGTGTTGGATGCGTATCTTGGTTGAACGAGATACTGAATGCGGTCAGTTCGACAAGCTCCCCAGACCCTTATATATACCTCACACCTCCCCACCTACCCATACTTCTCGCCGAGGACCCTTTCAAACATGATACATCACCTACGCGTCTTGCGATCCCTCAGTGAGGCATGGAAATTCCTTCGGGCTCTAGGGGACCAATCCTCCCCAAAACACCGGGCCTTTGCATCTCGTCCTGCGTCTCTGATTGGCTGCATATGATTTGTCCGAACCATAGTCGGCGACCACATTCGGCGAAGTACCACTGGGACGCTTTTTTGCACTATATGGATCTAGTCTGCGGGAAGGGCGTCTGCTAGAACCTGTAGTAGGGTCCGTTAGCGAGCCATCTAGAATGAGGGTTGTCGAGGATTTTGGGTCGGTATTCCGGCTTCCGTGCGGTGAGGATTGGGAGGTGGAGATTCAGATCGTCTTAGTGGAGGAGCGGCGTGGGCGTAGTGCATTGGGTAGGCGTTTTGAACAATGCTACGCCTTTTGGCTGGCGCATGTGGATGCAGCTGGCTTTGAGATTGCCCAGGCCAGCTACAAAGGTGCATACGGTATGATGAGGTGGCTTCAGCCTCTTTGCGTGGTGGTCCTGAACACAAGCAGTTTTAAGCGGCGTACGATTGTTCAAACGGGCACGGTAGTAACATTCCAGAAGTCATATGACTAGGCGTCTCTCTAGCCCGAGTACAAAATCAAATCATCGATTACGAACAACAGAAGATCATGCAAACTAACCAGACTAGGCCTCTAGCAAACACATGGCGATCTATACAATGTACACTGCCGGAACTTTTGCTTTTGCATGATCCGAAACGCCTCCCGCTAGAGAAATCCTCTTGTGTCTAAAACTCGATCTTCGCTGCAGCCGCAGCTTGCGGCATCTACTTCGCCGACCAGCTTCTTTACGAGTTGCCGAAGTCCGCTTCTGACAACACACGCATAGCCCCATGAAACTTAGTCAAAAGTAATCTTAGTAGCGGCCTTGGTGTTGTCGGTGTCTTTGTAGAAGGCACCGTATGCACCATGTTCCTTCTTCTTGACAGTTGTACCAAACTTCATCAAGTCTTCAGGCACGTCCTGATTTGCTGCCTTGAGGACGTTGATCAACCTAAGAATAAAATTAGCACACTGAGACAATGCAAACGAACGCAAGGAGTACTCACGATCCGGAAAGTGCTTTGTCATGTTCCGTGAAAAGCGTGATCGCCAAACCCTCTTTTCCGGCACGACCCGTCCTGCCAATCCTGTGAACATAGTCCTCGGCTGTCAATGGGAACGTGACATTGATGACAAGTTTCACAGCTGGGATGTCAAGACCCCTTGCAGCAACATCAGTGGCTACGAGGAGCGGCACGTGGCCTTCCTTGAACGCCGCCAGTGAGGCGCTGCGCTTCTCTTGGCTCAAGTCACCGTGGATGCCACCCACGCGGAAGCCCTTCATGCGGATGAAGTTTTCGATGCGCATTGCTTCCTTCTTGTACAAGCAGAACACAAGGATACGATCGTCCTTGTTCTTGCCAGATTGGTACTGCTTGAGCAACTGCAACAGACGCTGCTCTTTAGCGCGAGGATCCACAACCTCGACGAGTTGCTTAATGCGCACATTGGCACGGAGCTCGCCAGATTGGTTGTCGCCGATCGTGATCCTGACAGGCGAGTTCATGAAGGTGGACGCAAGATCCCGGACGGAAGGCGGCCACGTAGCAGTAAACATGAGGGTTTGGCGCTTCTTGGGCGTCTGCGAGATGATTTGCCGAATTGCTTCTTCGAATCCCTTATCAAGCATACGGTCGGCTTCGTCGAGGACTACGTACTCGGCTTTGCTAAGGTCCGCTGAGCCATCACCAATCAAGTCGTTGAGACGACCTGGTGTAGCGACTACGATGTGCGCCTTACGGCAAGCAGCGACCTGAGGGTCTTTTGGCACACCACCGTATACGCAAACCACGGATAGTCCAGCCGGTGTCGCCAACGCTACCAATTGATCGTAAATTTGGACAGCCAGCTCACGCGTGGGTGAGACAATAACAGCCTTGATGCCCTTCCGCTTTTCCTTGGGTAACGCCGAGATGTATCGCACACAAGGTACACCAAACGCCAACGTCTTGCCGGAACCTGTCTCTGCAACACCAACCATATCCCTTCCTGACAGCAAGAATGGCCATGTCGCTGCTTGTATAGGTGTAGGAGCGCTGAACTTGGCAAAGAAGGCGCGCTGCGCATCATCGACTGGGAGGTACTTGAAGTTCAGGATAGGACGCAGCTTGCGAGCGGCGGGTTTGGGGTCTTGAATAGTCATGGTGTTTTTGGCGAGGAAAGCGTCGACCTCGGCCTGAGGGAGCTGCGTCAGCTCCTTGCTCTCTTCATAATCTCCTGACTCGGCAGTGGTTGCGGTGGTTACGGTAGGCTCGGCGCTGGTTTCGACCGATGTAGGTTTCGATGAAGGTACGGACTCGATAGCTTCACCCTTGGCCACAGCCTTCAAGCGCTTCTTCTCTGCCTTTCGCGCAGCCTTCTCAGCCGCCTTGATGGCTTCTTCGCTCTCTTCCGCAGTCTGGCCAGCCGGCTCATCCTCCGCCGCAGCCTTCAGCGCTTTTTTCGCCTCTTTAGCCTCCTTCTTTGCTTTCTTCGCCGCCTTGCGCTCGGCCTTTGAGAGCTTTTCTTCGTCGTCTGAGTCCTCTACAGCCAGGGCATCGCCATTCGTCTCGGTCGCATCGATTGCAGGCGTCTTGCTAAGCTTCTTGCTCTTGTCTTTTTTGCTCTTCTTTCTTGAAAGCTCGGGAGTAGTGGTCGCGCCATCTTCGGCGACAACATCAGAAATCGGACGTTTCCCCATCTTGTTGGTGGGCAATAGTACTTGTGGAGAAGCTGCGAAGGATGGCGGAAAAATCACTTTTTTCGTCGGCGGTCGGTACTAGGTACTATCGATAAGGCCACGGCTAGTCCCAAAGGGTCCAGCGCGATCATGGACCAGCAAATCTCGCGTCTTCGATGCCTCTTACCACCGTGCGCATGCATGAAGTGACGCGTGTAGGTTATTGTATCTGTCGATAGCAGGCTGTAGTCTCTACACCGTTCGGAGTGTTGATGCTAGGAATTTTCGCGATTTCGCGCTAGTCAAAACTTTTACACACTCACACTCACCACTGTGAGCCATGACCAAAACCACTAAGCAACAGGGGCCACTTTTCTCAAGACTTGATGAGCGATCATGGCGGACGTGACAGTGCTGAGATGCTGGCCAGCCTGTGTCGATGCGATCGATTGGTCTCCGGACGGCATCATTGCATTAGCGTCTGATGAGCGGGTAGAGCTGCTCGTGAGTTTCATTCTGTGTGTGTGCATACACTACGCGTCTTTTACTGATCACTGGGTAGTTTCCAAACACCATCGACTTTGAACGAGATCAGGTTGCTCCGCAGTGGCAGCATGTACCCCTCAAAGTACCTTTGTTCTCGACCGACGAGCTACCACTCAAAGAACCTGCGCCTATCTCAAACTATTCCATTGGAGAAGAGATATCTAATAGCGCTCCCATAAACATCGCGTGGTCGCCGCCTGGCCTTGCCAAGCACCGAAAGTGCGCGCTTGCGGCTCTCACTGCAAATTTAACGCTTTCCATCTGGTCAGCAGAAGGCAAGCCACAAGAGGAAGGAAGTTGGAGCCGACGACTCATCATCAACGACGCGCTCGCTGATCACTTCGAATATCGGGATGACGAGCCCAGTCATGTGACGGTGTCATCCAAAGAACGACTGCGATTGAGAAGCCGCATTCGAGCGTTCGCTTGGGCACCCGCTCTACCTTGTCCAGAACCGGCTGGTGTCATTGGAACTCACCTGTTGTACGGTCAGCACATGTTAGCTGTCTCCAACGATGACAACCACCTCGTCTTCCTGAAAATTGAATCACCAACATCCACCCTGGGAGCTGAGCGAGACTGGATGGCAGAGGTTTTGATACATAAGTCTTTCGCACCGCCCTCGGAAACTATTTTCTCACAACCCAACGTTTTCGAGGACATGATCAAACAGCAGAGGTACATTTCTCACATCGCATGGAGTCCTTGGGATAATCGTGAGGAATCTTACCATTCCGTAGTCGTATACGCTACGAATGAAGATGTGCGGGCGCAGGCTATCACGTATACTAGTGGGCGCATGACCTTTGACAATGAAGTCATCTACACAGGCTATGCACTCCGATATGATGGGCCAATGAAGTGGTTCCACAAGGTCGAAAGCGGGAACAGACTGAGGCTTGCCCTCTTTACGAATACTGAGCTAGTATATTTGACAGTATCCGCCCTCGACGCTTCTATCATCGAAAAAAGCACGCATGATTTGGACGGGCGATGGGACCCGATATCTGGTGTTGTTTGGGACACAACCGAGGCGGTAACACCTCGTCTCCACATAAGCTCACTAACATCGACCCTCCACAATCCAACAGCCGTTCTTAAGCAGACCTCCAGTGGCCTGAAGAGTCTTGGCACCCCAAGTTGGCGGGAGAAGATTGAGAACAATCTGGCGCTTTTCAGTGTCAAGAATGGACTCAAAGGAAATAGCAAGGTGAAGGTATGGGGTCTAACAAGGTCACCATTAGGCGACTTTATTGCTGCATGCAACAGCGTACATCCTTCTGATATGATCGAGTACGGTATTCCGGCTGACCGAAGCGGCACCGTGGCAATCAGCTCCCTGCGACCTGGTAGACAGCAGCAAGATCTCTTTCCCAAAGAGGAAGTCACCGCAGAGGGTATAACCTACAGTCTTAAGAAGTTGGCAGAAGGTGCGGTTGAGGACCCTGATGAGATGCCTGCTTTCGCCGAAGAAATGGTGGGAAAGCTCGTCATGACTTATACAGCTCCTTCTCTCTCCGAAAGAAGCTCGAAGACAATGGCAGTGTACTCGAATATCAATAATCTCAACTTACTCATAAGAGAGTTCAAATTGTCCGGCTTTCTCGATTCACATACGCTGAAGGACCGCTATACCATACTCGTATCCGAAGCATACAGAACGCAGATCCAAAAAGACCTTTTCAGGACACTGATTGCGTATCGCCTCGCACTTGCTTTGCAGCGTCTTCCTCCATCGCTTTCACATACTATCTTTAGCGCGGCAATTCTCATCCATCACAAGCAACTCATCACTCTTGTCAACATGGTCATGGGTCATGATGGTACGCCGGGAGCCTTTCCTGCTACAGATGGAAATTTGGAGGACAACAGCGCCTCACCAGTCAACTTCAGTATGGACGGTAGCGACTTTTCAAAGGATCAAAGTCCAGCGGTGTCAACAGCAGAGACGTGTGATTTCTGCTCGGCGTCCATACCCTTCACAGACCCCGCATCAGCGGCTTGTACCAACGGACACCAGTTTCCCAGGTGCGGATTGACTTTTCTGGCTATCCAAGCTCCAGGTATCACCAAGTACTGTGGCATATGTAGCACCCCGTTTTTGAGTGACGAGTGTGTTATGGCCCAAGAGTACGCGGACAGCAAGAAGAGTGTGAAGACTGGAGATGACACAATCATGACAGGCGTGGCAAGAGATGGCGAGCTATCAGAGGGAGGGACGAGGGGAGAGAGGGACAGTGGGTCATTGAATGGGGCGGATGGAGACGGTGCTGCAGAACAAGAAGACTGTGACGAAGAGAAGGACGAGGACCAAGAAAGCGATGACTCAGAAGGTGAGGACGATGTGTACGAAAGGAGGGAGCTTCCTGTCACATTGGCTCGGGTATTGTTCCTTTCTTGCGATGCCTGTATATACTGTGGTGGCAAATTTGTTGGTTGACCAACGCTCGACCAAACTCATCCGGCTGAAGAGATATAGTGCCTATCCTAGCGAAGAGATCCCGCTTCCATACTTCCCCACGCTCGCTCGATTCATTTACATGTTGTGGTCAGTTGTTACATGACTTTTCAACTCTCCAATTGGAAAACTCAGTCACTCCATTCGCTTGACCCCACACAATTAACCTCACATGTCTCTTATTGCGGGACGGAAGAAGAAGTAAAGGCCGAAAGCCGGCTTGAACCCACGGTCCGGATCCCTTGGCACCCATCCGCACAAACTACGCAACTCCACTTTTCACCCGCGGCAATCCCTGGCGCTTTCTAGAAGACTGGCTAGATCACCGCACAAGTCTCTCACGCCCCGCCCGACCAACCGCACAATGTACGCAAGTAAGTAGGAGCCAATGGCTAAGAAAAAACGCATGGGGCAAAATGGAGCCATCGACCAGTGAGGCCAAAGCTTACAGTCAACCTTGCTACAAACACAGTGGGATGCGGGGCAAAAGACGTGAAGCACACAAACGGGAGCCGCCGCTGACGGCGTTGCCGCAGGGAAGAGGTGGCATGAATTACCCTGCGTTTACCCTGCTGCCGCACAAGTCGCGCATGCTTTGGGTATATAAAGACTTCGTTGCTGACTCTCTACTGCTTCCTCCTACATCACAACAATCAAGTCCATCTCACAAACTCATCCAATCAACCTTTCCAACCTACCAAACACCTCCCAACAACCATCAACATGAAGGGTAACTGCGGCTGTGCTTCCGGTAGCTGCAACTGCGGCTCCACCTGCACCTGCGATGGCTGCCCCGTACGACATGCCCTGTCCTCCACTACAATAATCATGCTGACATCTTTCCAGGGCAAATAAGTCACCCACTCTACGAACTGAGGATGTGCGACGAAAATGATACGGTGAGTGACGTTGTGTCACTGTCACGCACATATCAGTGTGCTGACACCGTGCCAGATGAATTCAGGCAGACCGCGTCATACCAAACCTTCGAAGACATGTGTCATGGATGGTAGTTGAGAGACGTGCGACGATTAGGGGAAGGGAGAGTTCGGTGGCTCGAGAGACACCACATGAAAAATTCAATCACTTCACCACAATATTCGTGTAACATATGTTCTCACCGTTTCGTGAGCCTTGTCTTTCCATTAGTAAGCCTGTGAATGCTTTCGAGCCATGTAACAACACTGCGATCCATTGTTGTCACCGTCCTGGTATCCTATCCGCAACAAACCGTAGCGTTCTCCTGCATACGATCGTCGCCTCCGCTACTCACGTTGAAGCTCTCCCACCCAAAGATAAAGTAGCCCAAATATGCCCCAATGAAGATGCAGATGATGAAGTATCCGTTGTAATACATCGCCAACAACATGACGAAATACGCCACCGCAAATGCACACATGTGCAATGCTGCCCTAATCGCCTGTTGCATAACGCTCGGTCGGAACTTGCTCGTTGTGGTGGCTACAGGGCCGCAAGCAGCAGCAGTAGTAGCGGCGGGATTCTTAGTCGTGCCGTTGTCATTCGATGCGGAAGAAGCAGAGGAACCGATCGTTGAGGGAGCGAGTGTCTTGGAGTGTTGTGAAACGATGTAGCGATCGTACTCTTTCGCTGCACGGCGCAGAAATTCAAGGAGGATAACGAGGAGGACGACACCGATGCAGGAGCCGGCGAACATGGCTTTGGAGCGAACGTGCCATGATTCTGAAATAAAGCATGTATCGAGTACGTTCCAGTTCCACAACATCTATGTAAAATCTATGTTAGCTGAGACTCGCGATTGCGAGAGTACATGAAACAGGACTTACGCTAATTTTGCATCCGCCCATCATATCCATTGCGTCGTCCATACCGCCCATACCGCCTGATGAGGTTGCCATAGGCGCCATGTCACTAGCAGTCGGTACCATAACCATACTGGACATGGCCATACCGGTGCTGGTCGGTGCCATTGACATACCCATATCCATAGACATAATTGCTTGTGCCTGCATGGAGCGTGATGAGAAAGAGGTTCGAAGTTATATCGTAGTGATTGCAAACAAATGAGAACTTACCGAAGACTTGAAACAGCGCAATGAATGTATATATTCCAGTGGCGTGAGCCAAGTGACGTTGAGCAAGTTATGAGCAGATTTCCAAACGCGATACTGAAAGGAAGCGGCAACCACAACGCGATTTACTTGCAAGAGCTGTAAATTCAAAGAAGATTGAGAGCAGAGTGAAAGCTGCCGAAGATAGACGTCAAAGGAATATAAGTGGAACAACAGCGCTTATACTTTTCCTCGTGGTGTAAGCTTCGGAGCACTTCCCACGCCCAGAAAGCTTCTACGGCTGTCCCTGTGCAGTGGCGGGGGTCTCACAGACCGTCCACTCCATGCAACCTTACACAAGCGCTCCCGATCGTTGTCCCAACCTACCGTGCCACAAGACAATGCGGCAAGAGACCCGCAGGTTAATGTGGTGATGGTCATTGAGACTCGAGGAGCAGGGGTGGCCCGCAGAACGCTATACCAGAATGGGTCTAGAGGGCAAGCGAAGTGAGAAGGTTTCTGAGCACATTTTAGGCCTTCCTCCGAAACACGCGTGATAACAACAGACAACACTGTCCGGAAGGTCCTGAAATGCAGCAAGGTGTTGGATACATGCAGGTGGTGGTTGTTCGTTGGTGATGTGAGGGGAACGGGCCGCTTATGTCGCATATGTTGGGACTGCAGCTTACAGGCAGAATACACTTCAGTCAACGTGCGATAGATGACATTCGTATTACAATCACAGTAGGAAATCGTGCGGCCGTGTCCCGGCGATGTGGTTGCGAGTCTAGAAGGGTGAACGGTTGCAGGGTCTGCGCTGCATGAGCATGTGGTCCTGCATGTTGGATGCAACGAGCAGATCGATAAAGTGTCGAAGCTTGGGTATACCTGCAGTTATATCAATACTTTGATGTTCTCAACACTGCGAGATGCTTATTCTAGAAAGTTGGGTTGAGGAGCAGTCGTGCAAACCTATAAGCCAATGGGCTTACGCGCATCACGTCACCTTGAAGTAGTCGGCTGGGTAAACATGCGCTGACAGTGTTGGTACGAAAGAAGAGCGTCCGGTGATGTTTTGAGGTAACCTGTTTCACCAGCGAGCGGCCCACCCTACCGAGCGGCCCATGAACACCAGCGAAGCGTACGCGCAGCGACGTAGCTTAGCACCACAACACAATTTTTATACTCTTGCAACAGTATAATATTATTCAGAAGCGTCGCTATCATTCGCATCCTCAATTTCTACCTTGCACGTACGAGAGTTATGCCCAATCTTGCCACAACGGCCGCAGCGTCGCCCTGCGCGCACCCTCTTCGCCGGCTCCTCACCCTCCTCACGACTGCCACCCTCCTTTTCAGCAATTAAGTCTAATACCTCGCCAACTGTCAGTGTCTCCTCTGCCCGTACGTAGCGTCTCTTGCGACTCTTACGCTTAGTAAGCGTCTCTGTTGCGTCTCGAAGGCGCCCCATCTCTGCGCGCATTAACACCATCTCATGAGCTATCTGCTGCGCGCCTTTTGTTAGCTGTCGCACCTGCTCGTCAAGTGAACTTGCTGGAGACCCTCGATAGATTTGCATTTTGTTTCGAATCAGCGTTGATTGCGCCTCCATTTCTTTGGCGTTGCGCGGTGTTTGCGCCTCCCAAGCGGCGTCATCTTGCTGTGGTGGAGTTTGCGTACGCAGCTGCACATCCAGCTTTAATAACACGGCTTGTGGATCATGTGGACACAATCCAGCGCCTCGAAACCCTGCGCAAGCATTCTCTCTTGTAAATGCCTTCTTAAAAGCTACTTCAAAGGCTGGTAAGAAGGTCTGTTTGTTGATGTGGTGGATGCGATCGCGTGCCAAGGCTGAGATCTCATCGCCGTACGCGCGCTTCAACGGCGAGAAGCAGGCAACGTCAAGCGGCTGCAGGAGGTGCGACGAATGTGGAGGCATACAGAGGGCGATAATCTTCTTCTCCTTGCAGCGATCCTGAAAATCTATTGAGCAATGGCCTCGTGGCCGTCAATAATAAGCAGCCTGTACGCTCCTACAGGCCTCGCATGCGTATCAAAGTGTTCAAGCCAAGCAAGCGCTAGATCGTTGTTTGTCCAGCCTGTTGGGCTTACTTGAATAACCCAGTTGCGTGGGAGGTCCTCAGTGAACCAGTTAGAGATAAGAACCTTGCCGGCAAAGATGAGGAAGGGTGGGATAACGCGCCCTATTGCGCTGACGCCCTGTATCAACGTAGTCCACTCGCGATCACCAGGCTGAAGCTTCTTTGCTTTCCCAGGCTTGTCTATGCCTGTCACTACGAGTTGCGACGATATCTTGCCCATCAGGAAGCCAGACTCGTCAAAGTTGTACATGTCGTCGTCTATAATGCCGTACTTCGCCTTCATGTTCTGAACCAGCATGAACCAGGGCTCAATGATTGCTGGGTCCTCGCAGAGAGCTCGCTGGCGATCGTATGGACGGCTCCAGCGCGTGCGCAGCTCAGGTGTACGCTGGATAAACCTGTCAACCCAGTTCTTGCCAACAGACTTGACGCCGCGATCGCGCAGCAATCTATCAGCCATATCTCGTACGTGTAGCTTCGAGGGCGGTACTCCACGCAGATTCTCATCAAGTATACGTTGTACAATCACCTCCTCTTCTAGCTTCGTCAGGCTCTTTGAGTTTGGCTCGCAGTCGCGTCTAGAGGGCTTCCCGTCGCGTCGCCGTCGTATCGTCGTCTTTGGGACTTTGTAGACTGCCTCCGCACGCCGCAGGCTTGGAATTTGGTTACGTTTAACGTCTAAGAGGGCAAGCTGCACATCAGCTTCAGTATAAGCCTTGAGAGGTTGTGGTTGTTGAGACATTACGTGTTGTTGCTAGGTACGCGTGTTGGTGGGGGAACTGGGCCGCTCGGTGGGGTGGGCCGCTCGCTGGTGAAACAGGTTATGGGTTTTGGCCATCATTTGTTGATGCTAATGTACCAAAGCAGTGTACAGATAGTAATAAATACCGTGATAAACTTTACATATCGCAGCCATACACAATGTAGTTCTGGTCGAGGTCGTTCCAACGGGTACGCCTACTTAGCCACAGTCTCATTCCTGGCGAACGGGTCAATGCTTGGATCCGTGATCCTCACATGCTCGATGAAACGCGCGATGTTTGTAGCATTCTCTGCGCTGTATGTTTGTTCAACCCAATGCAGCATCATATCGATACCAGCTGTGACTCCTGATGAGCTCCAGATAGGTGGTAAGCTTGAGTAGTCCTCGACCCATCGAGCAGACGGCATCCAAGTCGTATTTAGATTGGCTGCCACTGTTGTCGGCCAAGAAGATTTGTTCGCAGTAGCTTTCCTACCGTTCAATATACCAGCACGAGCCGCAAGTGCTGATCCTGTACATATAGTGAGGACCTGTCGAACTTTTGGTGCAGTTTCACGGATGTATTCCATAGTAGCGTTCAGACTTGTTGGGTTGCGCCATCCCTGTCCGCCAGGAATAATGAGAACGTCCAGTTCCGGTGCTGTCTCGAACGTGTGTGTAGGCGTAAGAGATGGATACACTGAAGAGTTCAGTGGGTTCATCGCCGCCATTACTGGACGCGTGGTGACTGGCTCCAGGGTCTCGGCAATATATACGATATTTGTTTGGTATGATCCGCCGATGAATTGTAGGATCTCCGATGGACCGTAAACATCAAGCATGTCGAACATGCGGAAGAGAACAATGCCATAGGTGCGCGGTACGGTGGTATCAGACACTGTTTGAGGTCAGTCTTTTTCTTAACTTTCCGTCGTTGGCAGGGAAACCATACATGCTGCTACTTGGCTGAGAGGAAGACAGAGAAGAGATGCGAGAGGCCACATGAACTGCAAGAAACCAACCATGGCGTATGTGATGAAGATGAAACGTGTCGAACGGAATGCCAAACATTAACCCACTGCATAGTTTGCATTCATCTGAATTAGGTTGATAATATACACTTTTGTATACTTAGACTTCCACCGTCGAGTCACGCAGACGTGTCAGGTGTTCGTTTACTCTATCACAGACAATATAGGACTCTTGGCCAAATCCCATATTCTACGAGTACAAGCGGTTGTTAATGAAATATGGGGAAAGGCGTCCAGCCAACTCTCCATGCCGATGAACTCTCAATCTACGGTGAAGTTGTTCACAGAGCGGACAGAGGTGTGATGCTGAAGCTCTAACAAAGTATGCCGGCAAACTGCTAGATTGCGTTAGCATTGTCATACAATCTCGCTCAGATCCTGAACATCTCCATCTTTGTCGCGAATATGCGTGGCTGATGCTGCGCTAAATTGCGCAAGTTCCTGCACGATGTCAGATGCAGGAGATAGGCGAAAGGAGATGAAAGTGTAGATGGCCCGTACGCGAGAATGTGGGGAACAGGCCGAAACATGAACGCGATCGCGTCTCCGTCATCCACGCACAGCACTACTTAGGTAAATGTTATCACCACGCACTTATCACCAACAACTCGTGAGATCACAAACTTGAAATGATTATTGCGGGCTGCAGTCTTGTTTGATATATCATGAATTGCTAACGTAGAGAAGCGCCCTTGCACCCAACGCCAAATCTGCCCAGTCCCAGGTATCAATATAGGTGATGATCTCACCATGCTTCATAAATTACAATGATCTGCTAAAAACAATGTAGAAATAGACAATACGAAATTTTAACCCCAAGACGAAACCATCATGTGTGCCCTACGACTGCGACCGAATCGAACGAAGCATGGAAATAACTGGGATGAGCTTGCGCAACCTGTTCTTCTCTTTTGACTGAACGAAATGCGTATCCTGGCGTCTGAGGGGACTCGGATTGATGGGTGAGACGATGACGGTAGCGCCTTTCTCTGCGCTGGGATCGCAGGCGATGACGGACGTTTTCCTACGCACAATAGGGGAACCCACAGGAGAACGCATCTTGTCGGAGATTGGCGAGAACATGGCCTGCTTGCGACCGACAGGCGAGCAGACAACAATGGGTCTCTGTCCGTCGGCAGTGGGCGAGGTGACCACAATTGGGTTGTTTTTGCCGACGACAGGCGAACAGATGATAATGGGGTGCTTCTTCTCGGTGATCGGAGTGACGAGCACGATTGTGCTCTTCTTGTTTTGATTGAAGACGCTGATCTTCTCTGTGGGGGTAGGTCCGGGGATGATTAGCTTGGGCGGCATAGCAACAGCAGTTGTTGTGGCTGATTTGCGCTTCAAGCTGAAGTAAGATCCGTCGGGACCGTCAACCCAAGAGCCATCGAAATCTGGACTTTGCAGTGCTTTTCTGGCCACCTGGGCCTTGGCCAGATACATGAATTCGTCGCCCTCCACCTTGATCATGCAGTTGTGCCAGGGTGTCGGAAGCTGGTATTCGTAGACTGGATTTGGCTCGAGACGCGTCTCAAGAGAGTCGATCGCGCGGACCATGCTTGCTGGTAAGAGACGGATGGCGAACTTCGGGCCTGCATTGTTGTGTGCGTGGATCGACAGACGAACGTAGTTGGGAAGCAGAAGCTCAGTCAAGTTTGAGTAGGCTTGGTTACGAGACATCATTTCTTCGGCAACAAGAGCAGCTGTCTTCTTCTTCTGCTTACCGCTCAGAGACTTGACTGAAGGAATGTCCGCAAGGTCCTCAAGCATAAAGCGAGTTTGACCACGGTAGAGACCAAGAGCGTCTGGCTCCTGCTGTTCGATCAACTGACGGATATATGCGCGGTCAGGTCCTCCAATTCCCAACATCAGCTTACGGCACAGCTCTGCGTCCCCGGTGAGCTTAGTCTTGACAGGGTGCGGCATCTGATGAGAGTTCAAAAGCAACTTCTGGAGACCTTGGAAACCGTCAGAGTCGGCAGAGAAAATGTTCTTCAGGCCCTTAAACTTGATGGTGGGGACAGGGCTGACATCTTCCGGATATCGCTCCTTATATATCGCGGCCATGCAGGCGTCGTATGTATCGATCATCTCATCGTCAACACCGACTGTCTACGCTTAGTACTTGTCCTGATTGGGAGCGCTGGTAGGAGACTTACTACAGTCGGAGAAGACATGTCCATCGTTGATAACCCACATAGTCGCACCAGGCTCGTAAACCGTGTTGACCTCCTTGACAAAGTCATGTAGCACATCCATCGCGATATGCTCAGCTAGATCCGGCATGATACCACCAACCTTGTTTGGGTTGGGCGATTTGCAAGGGAAGGCAGGTAAGGCAAGCTGGATTGGAAGGTTCTTGTCAACATAGCCGTAGACGCGGTTCAAGAAAGCTTCTTTTCCGCAGACATGCCATTGGTCGTCCCTAGACACGTTCTTGAGCCTACGTTCAAAAATATCGGCTATTGTCGCACATGTTTCCCGGTGCCTTGCTGCCCACGGTGTCGTCGATGTTGAGATGTGAGCAAACGGCTGGAATTCGGTTTCTAAGAGAATGAAGCGCTCCGCCCATACCCCAAAGCCGTCGGCCTTGACAGACTTTGGTCTTGATGTCAGCATACCCAAGAAGAGACCATTTTCGTGCTCGATCTCGGATACCTGGGTATGTAGTTCTTCTTGCTGATATGAAGGAGGGTAGTTCGAACGAATGTTAAGAAGAGCCGGGATATCGGCTGTGATCTGGATAGTCTTGATGGACTTGCCAGAGGGAAGTTGGAGCGAAGCCCATTGCCTCTCGGTGGAGCAAACAATGTCCTTCAATTGTGTCCAGATTTCCGGTAGTGATTTGGAGTTACTGCCTTCGACTGCTAAGAGCTCGCCAGAGGCATTCCTCCAGTATAGGCCCTGGATACAGTGATAGGTATTGATGGACTTGTTTAGTGGTGCCATGGTAAAATATCAATGATGAGAATCGGGGTTTCGCTAAAAGTGAATTGCTAAAAGTCGGAACAAAGAAAAAGAGATGAAGGAGGCGTGCGTTGAGCGATTGTAGGCTGTTTACTGGCCTATAGAACCGCCAACAAGCTGGCTTCTAATATATGAAAGAGATACAACGCGCAGGTCCCGAACATTACAAAGGTGACACTCCACGCAGTCAAAGCGCGCTCGCCCCTGCCCGCTGCGGATGGCATCAAGGACAAGCCACAGCTCGTGCGCTCCGCACACCGACTGGTACGCTAATTACGGCACCATTCAATCTCGCTACGCACCGGGTCAGCCCATGGGATTGGCCGTTATGCTCAACGTGTCGGGCAGCTGTGTGGAGCTGTTCGATGCTTTGCTACTGCGGTGGGACAAATGGCATGCTGCTCCTAGCCGGGATGCATAACTTGGCATCAGCAGCAGCCTAGGGCTAGCTGAACCAACTCTGCAAGTAGACGGCGAGCTGTCTTGCACAGACGTCTGCCATACGCCAGGATTTAGCGAGCTATCACGCAACAACCGGTCTAGGTGAGTGGTCGTGGTAGAGGTATCATGACCCCACGACATGTGCATGCACTGCTTGGCGGTATAACCTGGGTGGAAGGATCTCCACCCCTGTCAGCCACACCACAAACGGCTGGTTCATCCCCCAGGTGTCATGGCAAAATCCGAATGTTACCACCCAAAACTCCTTACTATCTAAATGTAGGTGCATGGGGCTGTTCAGGCGTGCAGGGTGCGTGCGCCAGCCTACCTCGCTTCAGCCTTCAGCCTTCGCTTAGAGACACTGCCCCCAACATACCTGGGTAGGGCTGAGATCCTTCGAGCATTGGTGGAGAGTTTCATATATGCCCTGGCTGAACAGTCGTCGTCAGTATTATCAGATTGACAGCAACTCAACATCATGGTTTTGTCTCTTTCGCTGGTGTTTATCGCCGCTTTTGCTATCATCTTCGCTGTCGTCTCATTCTTTGTCTACCTATTTACACCACCTCGCAATTTTCCAAAGAACATACCAACTATTCCATTCTATTACGGTCTTCTACCGCTTTTCAAAGATGTCGATCAAGCTGAGCTTTACCGACAATACCTTAAGGAACCTCTGGCCAAATATGGCGCAGTCAAGTTGTTCTTCGGTGGACAGTGGTGAGTTTGCCGATGTGCCTAATACATGTGAAGCACACACTGACTTCGCATACTTCTAATTTAGGAGCATCTTGGTAACCAAACCAGGATATATTGCGGAGATGTTTAAGTACGAAGATACCTACGCCAAGTCCGGAAATCAAGTCAAGATTCCGCACAGCGTGCTCGCCGAGTACACAGGCGAGAACATCATCAGTGCGCATGGCGAGAAATGGAGACTCTACCAACGCGTCATCAAACCCGCTCTACAAGCTGATCAAGACTCCGAGCAAATCTGGAAGAACTCTAGGATCCTCAGAGACATGTTTCTGGGCGACTCGAAGACTGCTGGCGGCAATGGCATCACAATATACTCATCTCTTCACCGGTATGCACTCGCCAATCTCTCGGAAGTCTTGTATAGCTCAAGCTTCGAGACGCTGCAGCATCCGGACGCTCCACTGCACATGATCCAGATGAAGATCAAGCCGATCATCTTCAAGCCTATCTTCATGAACTTTCCATTCCTCGACTATCTGCCATTAAAGATTCGGAAGCTTGGTCGTACGCTTAACAAGCAGTTCCGCGGCACGCTTCGTACTGCCATTTCCAAAGGACATGCCCGACACGTCTGCAATGAGAAAGACAACAGGAATGTCGCTTGTAGATTACTGGGCTCGCACCGTGAAGGCATACTCAGCGACAAGGATCTCGACGACAACCTCGTCAGCACCTTCCTAGCTGGCCATGAGAACCCCCAGCTCGCACTCATGTCCCTTATGTACCTTCTCGGTACACATACATCAGTCCAAGAAGCGATTCGCAAAGAGATCTCAATCCTTTTCCCCGTCGATGCACCCGCCGATTACGAGCCATCCTATACCGATCTCCACGATCTGCCACTCCTCACCTCAGTCCTCTACGAATCCCTACGCATGTTCCCCCCGATCTCACAACTGATCAACCGTCGCACTACAACGCCCGTCGTCCTCGGCAACAAGATTCCTGTACCCTCCGGTGTCTATATGGGCTATAATGCGTACTCTACAAACCGCGACATTGAGTTCTGGGGCACCGATGCCGAGGATTTCAAGCCGCAGCGCTGGGGTACTACAAACGAAGAGATCAACCAACTATACCGTCGCGCCAATTCCAAGGGCTCCTTCATCAGCTTCCACGGTGGAAGGAGAGCCTGTTTGGGACAGAAGTTTGCGATGCAGCAGTTGAGAATTACTTTGGCAGAGTTGGTGAGGGGTTGTAAATGGAGGGTAGATGAGGCTTGGGATGGGAGGATGACACCTGCTGGGCCGTTATATCCCAGAGGTTTGAAGTTGAAGTTTGAGAGTGTACATGGATTGACGGAGAAGTCGAAGTAGACTTCCTGCAGAAACATGAGTAAGGTGAATTTGCATGTGCTTGCATAGCGATCGGAGTTTCTGGGTATGCATTGCATGACAGATGAAATGTATATGGATTTTGACTCTCAACATCCCAACTCTATGTTTCTATCATTCCAACATTCCATAAATTTCCCTCGGAGCCTGTTGTTACCTTTCCAGCATCTACATCGGCAAGTACTTTTCATGCTCAATCTAAGCATCCCAACTCAACAGTTGGACGTCTAAAGCTCTTGCACTGTATAGTGGTCGTACACGTTATGTCAGCTCAACAAGACTGACCATGTCCCTCAGCAGAATACCGTTTACCGGGATGTGATAAGCGCGTTCCACTTGGGGTCCAACACAATGTGACTGTGCGAAGGATCACAGCCCTGCAGCGGGTAGCAAAGGGCAGGGGTAGCACCAGGCGACTATCGGGCGCCTGACGAAGGCTCATGCTGCGATTATTCCGCATGCCCCAGTACTATTGCGGATACCGCAGAAATCCAGGCGTACCTCAAGCTGCTAAGTGGATCGGATTCAACGTGTCATAAATCCTTCGACTGATTCCTGGAGTGGAGGTGTTGTGATGTGGAGATTTGCGATAAACATAGTGTACCAAAGCGGGAAAGGTGGGGACAGACGGTAAGAAAATGCAATCTCGGCGCAATGATACGCCAGATGTGACATTACCGGGGGTCACCACGTCGCAATCAGGCGGGCTAGAAACGTGACTTGCTTACGGTGGATTGCTCCGTTGTCATGTCAAGACAAATCGTGAGTTTGTCGGTGATTACCACTCAATACATGAGTAACTGAGATTTTACGTACTCGGCGAAGTTTATGTTTCGCAGTTGTATGCACAAAAGAACGCAATTGACGTCTCCTTGTGCCAGTTAATGGTTACGGACAATGATTCTGTCGACCGATTGGCTTCCTCAAATGCGTCCAGGGAACCAGGCTTGGATGATGGCGTCAGCTGCAGATGTTTACCCGCAGCATCAAGAACAGGTGCAGAACAGAAGAAAGTGCAGCTGTTGAATGCCCGAGAAAGAGCTGAATGTGTTGCAATTGGTAGAGATGGAGCGCTGAAATCTCATCAGTTGGCCCTAGGTGCTGGTGATGTGTTGCATATCTCTGCTACGGATCTAACGCCTATCAGGCGGATGAACGCTGCCACAAACTGGTTCCATGGATCGTCGATCTTTTCCGGCAGTATTTTATGTTCTAGATGAATAGTTTCCGGTGCTTAAGCCTGTGCCACAGCATCATGATAAAGGCCGAACCTCGTTGTGCTCTTCGACCTGGCTTCAGATAGCTCATGGTAACCCTTCTGGTAGCTGCAATCTCAGCAACGCCTTGAAACACTTCCAAGACGCGATCATGCGGGCAAGGTTATACTCAACCCTCAGCGAATCGTTGACGAGGCGAAGTACTTAGAACAAAGTTATCGGGCTTAGTGTAGCGCTAAGCAGTTCAGCCTCACGCCACCCCCAGCTCTTCGGATCTGCGGTGTAAGACGGAGGGCGCTAGTGGAATAGACCTGTTTTGCTGGTGTTGCTGTATCAAACACCATACCCAGACAGTGCACGGCCCATATGTAATGCTAGAATGCTATTTCGCGTTTCTATGCACAAATAGCGGCTTCTCCGAGCTTTGGATGTTTGCTGTCGAAACCAATTGTGATGGCTGCCGTAGTTGTGCAAACCACGTAATGCAACGAGAAGTGTTGAATGCAGATGCAGGAAGATGCCTCCAACTTGGAATCCCAAGCAAGATTCAACATTTGCATTTCGAGATTGTACATACAAAAGTGGTCCGTGTAGTCGTCAACTCATGCCGGGTAATCCAACACCAACAATGCTATTCCCAGCAGATTCCGCGGCTGGTAATCCCTGGGGCTAGAATAGCGGGTCGCTTGGCGATGCACGAAGTGGCGCGGGATGCGCCTAAGCGTTGCTCTGAAGGGAGCTGACCGCAGCCGAGACAAAAATACTTCCTTTGTACCAGGACGTCTCCCTATTGGACGTGACAGAGGCAGGGCTATGCTATGGCCCGAAGCACAACGCAACTATGCCTAGAACGAGATCTCAAGTTGTGCAGTCTTGCGCAGCGCATAGTCGGCACGTAGGACGCTCCGAGAGGACGCTCCGAGCACAGGGCGATGCTAGTGCCTCTTTCATACATATCAGTCTTCTTGTATCCTTCAATCCCAAGAAGGCTCACTGTAGATCATCTATTGCATCATCTTGTTATTCCCTTCTTCAGTCATGCGTTCTCCAATCGACTTCGAGAAGGCTCATCATTACGACAGATGTCGTGAGAGCTTCGACAGCGATGACTACCCTTCACCACATGCCGTAGACGAATCGGAGCAGTCATTAACGAATGACACTGTTCCTCCACCACCACCGCCGCCAGTATATTCGGCCTTCTCAATCAATCGCAGGAGGTTTATCTTAGGTGTCGTTACCGCGGCAGGCTTCTTTGGACCACTATGCGGAGCGGTCTACTTGCCATCTCTGAAGCTGTTTCAAAAGGTCTTCGAGACATCAGAAACTGCGGTCAATGGTACAGTTTCAATGTACATGGTGGTGTTCGCGATCGCTGTAAGTTGTCCGCTCCCGTATCTTGAAGCGCAAGACTGACAACTCATAGCCTCTCTTTGGTGCCGCAGCCTCTGATGTTGGTGGTAGGAAAACGGTGTATATGGTCGGACTCGGCAGTTTCCTCATCGCCAACACGTTGCTTGCTGTACTGCCAGCACACATCGCTCTCTTGTACTTTCTCCGTATTTTCCAGGCATTCGGATCATGTATCGTCTTCTCAGTTGGAGCCGGTACAGTAGCCGATATCACAGAGCCTGCCAGACGTGCATCCGCCTTAGCATGGTTCCTCATGGGACCTCAGCTTGGCCCTATCCTTGGTCCACTTATAGGCGGTCAATTCGCAACCGAGACCAGATGGCGATGGGTTTTTGGCTTCCTCTCGCTCACCAGTCTTCCGGTGTACCTTGCCATCGTTTTCTGCATGCCAGAAACCCTACGATCGCTAGTGGGTAACGGCACAGCTCTCGCGCACCAGCCTTGGTTTTCGATACCAAAGTTCCGGACGAAGCCCTGTACGGACACGAAAGTCCCGAAGGCTCCCCGGCCATCGTTTCGAAAGTTCATGCATCTCCTCAAGTACCCTCCTCATTTGATTGTCTCTTTCAATGGAGCCTTCCAGTTTGCCGGTTTGTATGGCATGTACATATCCTTCCCCACCATTTGGCAAGAGGGCTACAATTGGACAACTGCAGAAGTTGGTTACGGCTTCCTTTGTCCCGGTATTGCAATGTTCATTGCCTCGATCTTGGTTGGTCGACTTTCCGACTACATGCGAAAAACAGCCATTGCGAACAGCCCCGATGGCAAGGTTGCACCCGAACGAAGGATTGCCATCCAGATACCCGGTTTCCTCATCGCTGCGGCCGGAAAGATCATGTTCGGTTGGTTCGCACACAATCGCGTACACCCAGCGGCAGGTCTCTTCAGCTCGGCTCTCGCAGCAGTAGGCGTGTCGGTCGTCTTCGTCACTAGCACTTCATTCCAAACTGAGTGTGATCCTGCTCAGACTGCCAGTCTAGTGGCATTAGGAGGCTTCCTTCGCAATGTCGCTGCGGCGATTTGCGCAGCCATCATGGGTAGCATCTTAGATGGAATGGGCTGGGGATGGGCGTTCACCGGCCTAGGAGTCTTGGACCTCATCTGCATACCAGGAATACTTGTGATCATGGTCCGTGGCGCAAAGTTTCGTGAGGCGTTGAAACGCGAGCAGCAGCTTAGCAAGTAGATGGTTGACTGATAACAGCGACGATTTTTTTTTTCATAGCGCGGCGTTGGTGGGCATTCGGCATTTCGTATTAACATGATACTTATCGAATAACATATAGTTGTAATCACGACGAAACGCATAACATGAGCCACTGCACGTATCTTGTGACGTTACTGTAAGTACGAAAGCTCGTTTCGTGACCACGGCCTTGCTGATGCCCACCTGCTTCGGCAGGTGAGGGGAGCATCACCAAAGCTACCTAGATACCCCACCATCACTCGAACGACAACCTTGGACCAAGTAATGAGTTTGTGTACCGTTGTCGCATGCACATCTCTAAGACAGATCAGTAATCGAGCTATATGCGATGGAAGAGAGAGTGGTGCCTTTCTGGAACAAGCGCGAAGTTTACTGGAAGGGCGAGTTTGGCCGGTCGTCGCAACTTCAACCTTGTCCGCTCAATTTGTCAGCAACACTCGCCATCCATCTCGGTATAAAGAGCAAGTAGCCTGGTGACTATGACATCACTTCATCAGCGAAGTCTATCTCGCACAACTTCATCGTGGCGTTCAGAGCAAGTTTACGCAAGATGACCAACTTCAAGGTCGACATTGTAAGCGACACAGTATGCCGTGAGTCTCCATAACCAAGTATTGCATACATATGTATTCAGCACTAACCAATATACAGCATGGTGCTACGTAGGCAAGAAGCGTCTGGAAAAGGGTATCGCAGCCTACAAGGAGAAGCACCCTGATTGCAATGACACCTTCGCAACCAACTGGTTCCCCTTCTACTTAAACCCTGATGCGCCCAAGAGCGCTGACAAGCAACAATTGTACGAGTCTAAGTTCGGAAAAGAGCGCACAGCAATGATGCAAGAGCGTCTCTCACAGATTGGCAAAGACGAGGGGATCAACTTCAAATACGGTGGCAAGACTGGAAACACACGCGATTCGCATCGACTTGTGCAACTCGGAAAGCTCAAGGGCCCGCAGATGCAGACCCGAGTAATTGAGGAGCTCTTCGCGGCATACTTTGAGAACGAGAAGGACATCACGAACCGAGAGATCCTAACCGAGGCTGGCATCAAGGCTGGGCTCGAGGAAAAAGAGATCAAGGATTGGTTGGAGACGGGTAAGGGAGGCCCTGAGGTTGATAAGGAAGTGCAGCAAGCAGTTCGACAACAGATTACTGGCGTTCCCAACTTTACCATAAACGATCAATTTGAGATCGGTGGGGCGCAAGAACCGGCTGCTTTTGTACAGCTGTTCGAGAGGTTGAAGAGGCAGGAAGGTAGTCTGTAAGCGGTTCGATCTCCGATACCCCTCTAAGCAGATCCTAAACATTCGCAATTCTAATATTACCACGTTACCTCGATACATCATAGCATCTCGGCGACTATTTATTGGCCTCTATGTTTTCCAGCAACCTTCTGTCCATTTTGGAGAACACAGTGCACAAGGTGGCGCATCCCTAGGCGTGGCTGTATCTGACGTCCGTCAGATGGGATCACAAAGGTTTACTCCAGCCTATCGCGGAGCGGGCCTCCTGTAACACCAAAGCTAGCTGACTAAATCCGACATAGAGTTCGTGATGTACCGACACATTTAGTCATTTTGTGTGGTGTTACAGAGTGCAAGCACCAGTGAACACTTCCACCCTCCCGAGGGAGCCATTCTGATCCTCGACCACTAAAATCAGTCTTTAACACTCATCAACCGATTCAAACCTTCCTTCGCTGACCTCTTTGCGCCATGTGAGTCTCCAATTCGTAGGACTAATTGCTATCTTGAGGCAGTTCCGCCGAGAGTGATCGTATACATAACCACGTCGCTTATGAGGCAGATTTGACTCGTGTATCTGCTCGGTGCTTTGGCAGCTACACAAGAACCACAAAAGATTCAGTATAAGCGAGTTATACGAAAAGAAGCTTACATCACTTCGGCTATTCCGTGATGGGTACATTAACCTACCTAGAATGTACTCGTACATGCTTGGAGCGCAAGTGCGTTACTTCTTCCAGATGAGAACTGCTACATATATGTAAGTGTAAAGTACCAAGAGATGCGACAAGCCACGCTATAATAGCAAACGGCTATTGGAATTTTTGGAAGTAATGGTTACCAGAAAGATGAAGGATTGGGATTATTGAACTGTAAGCGACTAAGTGTTGGAGGTGTCTTTGGCGCTGTGAACGTCCTAATCACTGCGGTGAAGGCCTCCTGAAGGAGACATTCGCGGTTACGGGCTTTTTGTAAGGCGTTCGCAGTTATTATGGTTGCCACTTTCATATAAAAAAACTTGCTTCTGCACAAACGTTCTAGGTACAAGTACCACCAGCACCATCAGGTCACCGAGACTTACCGCTTTACCTTCTAGTTTCTTTCAAATACTTGAGATGCGTACTACAGGATAAGATCCCTCGTTCTTGTCCTAAGCAGTGCTCTGCTCACTGCGTACTTCCTCACTCTCTCCCTCCCATATAAACGGAAGTACTCTCCTTCGTATATGGAATCAATCAATCATCAAATCTTCTTTCTGTTCTACATTCTTGGCCACCGAATGCTAATCACATACATACCACCTGGCCTACAACCCTACAACCCTACAAAGAAGTATATCTAGAACTCCATGTTGCAAATATCGCGTCGCAGATGCGACTCGTACTGGGCATGTACATGGACAATTTGCACGACAAGATGATCGCACAATCTGTCTAGCTGTCAAGGATACAGGGGTTCCAAGCGTGGGGCATTGGCCATGACAATGCAGAAACCGAGAAGTGGACAGGTTCGACGGACTTGGTGGTAACCAGGTATTGCTTTTGCAGGCGCTAGAGGCGCTTTTGGGAATCGAACAATATCTCTCGCCAAGGGACATGGAGAGGAACGTGCCAAGGAGGCAGAGAGATCTTTGCTATGCTTTGAGAAAACACTCTTTGCGCCGAGCCCTCGGCGAGACGAACAAAGAGGACAAGGATGTTGTGGCAGCTTTACAAAACTTCAATGAGATCTTAAAGCGACTGGGAGTAAGTCTATCGTCTCGAGGCTGTGCTTTCTGCAATGCTTCTGAAAGATGCAGCTGTTTCGCGCTGCGCGTCATACGAGATCAAAGGTCTTTCTATCTCAGCCTGCGCATAAACGAACACCCATGACAGTTGGTAAATCATTGCTGGATGCAAGTCTTGACGTCAGTCTGGGATTTCTCGATGGTTTCATGGTACGACAGGTGACTCAAACTGTGTAGATTGGCAAGGCTTTGAGCGTCGAGTTCTTAGAGTGTGACAATATCGGATACAAAGGGGTGGTAACTCACATTACCGGGTTGTAAGTCGTCTAAGACAGAGAGTACTTGAGAGGTGGTGTTGAGGTTCCTCGTATCGCTCGTGATGACCAATTCGTGTGAACATGCCGCCGCTAGCCTTCACCTCGGCAACTGCACTTAACAGTAATCTTGGTCATGGGCGCTCTCCATCACAATCCTATAACACTTCGAAAGTGAAGATCGCAAGTACTAACGCTGTGGTATGCATCCTCAGGACAGGCGGGTAGTACAGCATGTAAGCACCGATCGACGTGCCACGCGGGTGGCTGTGGCGGTTAGCGCCAGTGTCATTACATCTGGGCATCTGCAGGGTTCACCACCAACAATTACCAAGGCGCGCCTCCGCAGCGCAACTCTCATAGCTGTTTATCGCTACGTCCTAGGTTCCGATCGGAATTGCGGTTGAAGACCTTCGCGATGGCTAACGAAACACCTCCACAAACCCCGGCTGAGCGCCGCTTCCTGCGACCCAGTGTAAGTCGCGTCTCTGGGCAGTAACATGGGCAATGAGCTCACTGTACCTTACAGCTACGCAGCGCGACCATGGTCCAGCCGAAGACGGGCGAACGCGTCAAGAGAGCCTTTACTCTACGAAGATCCCAACACCGACCGACCGAATCCTCCGAGTTTCTACTTGCGCCGGGCCAATACAATGAGGAGAGGCACCGGGAAATGGGAAGAGTCGAGCTGGCCAAAGTGATACTAAGAAACAAATGTCGACAAGGCTACGCATATGCGACGAGTGATACGGGAATTGGCATACTGAAATGCTCGCTGGCCTATGTTCTCGGATCCTTGGCCACGTTCGTACCAGCGATTGCAGGACTGCTGGGTAAAAACGATGGAAAACACATAGTCGCAACCATTACGGTGTACTTCCACCCGGCCCGATCAGCCGGCAGCATGATTGAGGCTGTCATTTTGGCCTTTGCCGCCTTCATGTATGCCGCCTTCGTCTCCTTCTCCAGCATGGCCGTGTCCGCATACTTTGGAAACCATGATCTGTTGGTACTTGGGCATGTCATAGTGCTCATTGTATTCTGTGGAGGAGGTCTAGGGCTTGTTGGATGGACAAAACAAAAGCTAGGCAACCCACTGGTCAACGTGGCTTGTTCCTTGACTTCACTCGCCCTCATCACCATTCTGACCAAGGAGGGAGCTGTTCAGGCAGCCAAGTTCTCCTACGTCAAGGTCTGGCAGGTCTTGAAGATGATAATTCTGGGCTGTTCCGCCTCAGCAGCCGTATCGCTCCTCGTACAGCCAAAGTCGGCGCGCTACGAATTCCGCGACACTTTCATCAAGTCCACCGATGCTATGGCGGAGATGCTGAACGGCATTACCATGAGTTTCCTTTCCGGTGCCGAATCAGACCTCAAAAGCGAATCTTATATTGAAGCCTCCGAGAAGAGCCAGTCCACATTCAAAACTCTTGTAAAGAACTTGGGAGAAGCCAAGTTTGAACATTACGCGTTGGGTACCGAGGAGGAGTACAAGATCAACGCCAAACTGGTCAAATGTCTCGAAAAGTTGATGCAGAGCTGCGGTGGACTGCGGAGTGCTGCTGAGACCCAGTTTACGTTATTGGCGCAGTCAGAGTCGGAGCCCAATGGGGCGTCGCATCAACCTATACCTGCTAATGGAACTGTCACCTCTTCGATATTTTCCGAGAATACCGTGTCACTAAGTCCCCCGCAACTGTCTCCCAGCATCAGCCATACTGAGAGGCGGACCAGCATTCTTGCCTCCATCGATGAGTTGCCCGAAAGTTCTGCTGAAGCATCCGCATACCCTTCAGCGGCTGGATCTGATGATGAATCTACTCCAACCAAGAAGAAACCTAGCCAGGCTGCGAGTCTGTTGCAGTCAAACCTTACACCTGCTGACATGTTCTCCGTGTTTATTGCTCATCTGGGACCACCAATGGTATGTTCGGAGTCCCAATCTGCTTCTTTTGCTAACATCAGTAGAAATCTTTGGCATATACCTTACGCGAAGTTCTTTCTGAATTGCCTTTTGGACCCGGGCCCGAGTACAACATGGCTATCAACGAGCACTTTCGTCACAGTCTAGTCGATGCGAAGGCTTTGTTTTCAAACGCACGTCGGGAAGCTCTCTCCGCAGTCTACAAGAACAAGATACCAACGCGGGCCAGCTCGGCAGCGGTCGCTGCGGACTTCGAAGAGGTGGCTGCAAGTTGTGGGTACTTCAGTTCGTCTTTGTTGGATTTTGCTGAAGACATGGTCACATTTCTTGATATCCTTGAAGAGCTGAAAATTAATGTCAACCGCTACCCGCGACAAAGAACCTTTAGTTGGCTGAAGTTTTGGCAACGCGGGCGCAAAAAGACTAAATCGGGAGACGGCTCGGAGGAGTCCAGTCTTGCTGATGAGACGGATGCCCACACACCAGGAGGGTCGCACGAGATTCACAATCCCATCTATCGGAAGTCAACTCGTGGAGATCCATACAAGCCAGAAAATGAGCAGCCGCTGTCGTACCGCATCTGGACATCATTAGCCGTGTTTAGGAGGGATGATCTCAAATTCGCAGTGAAGGTTGGCATTGGTGCAGTCCTCTACGCCATGTGGTCCTTCATCAACTCGACTCGAGGATTCTACGGTCACTGGCGTGGCGAGTGGGGCTTGTTGTCGTACATGTTGGTCTGCTCCATGACCATTGGTGCCTCCAATACCACTGGCTTCCAACGTTTTGCCGGTACATGTCTTGGAGCTGTGCTTGCGATTGCCGCGTGGATTGCAGCTGATGAGCATGCCTTCGTCTTGGGGTTCTTCGGTTGGTTCATCTCTCTCTTCTGCTTTTATATCATTGTGGGTAAGGGCAAAGGGCCTATGGGTCGCTTCATCCTGTTGACCTACAATCTCTCAGCGCTCTATGCATACTCGCTATCTGTCAAAGACGAGGAAGACGACGATGATGAGGGCGGCATCTCGCCCGAGATATGGGAGATTGTGCTTCATCGTGTGGTCGCTGTGATGGTTGGTTGTTTGTGGGGTATCATGGTGACGAGGGTCATCTGGCCCATCTCAGCACGTCGTAAAGTCAAGAAAGGCACATCTTTGCTATGGCTTAAGATGGGATTGATCTGGAAACGCGGTCCTTTAAAGACCATACTTGAATCCAACGAAAACTCAAGCCGAACGTACTCGTACATGTCCGAACGCGAAGAGCTTGAGCTTCGTCGATATCTGTCCCATCTGGATACGCTGCGTGCATCAGCCGCCGCCGAATTCGAACTCAGGGGCCCCTTCCCGGACAAGAGCTTCAAAATCATCCTGGGCGCGACTAGCCGTATATTGGATAGCTTCCATGCTATGAATGTCGTCATACTGAAAGACCTAAAGGCGTCTGAAGGTGAAAAGGAAGCACTAAGGTACACCAAGAAGGAGTGGACAGAGCTGAGTTGGCGCATCAGTCATTTGTTCTCAGGTAAGTAACACCTACCAAGCTTTACTGGTCGTACTCACTAACAAACTACAGTTATGGCCTCTTCGATGAAGCTAGCATACCCACTCAACGATGTACTGCCCAATGTCGAACACACGCGCGATCGATTGCTAGCAAAGGTCTTTGAGTTCCGACAGAGCGGACTGGGAAAGGTCATTGCCAATGATGAAGATTATGAGTTGCTATATGCGTACGCCTTGGTGACTGGGCAGCTCGCGCATGACCTCAACATCATTGGACAAGAGATTGAGAAGCTGTACGGTGTGCTGAGTGAGGAGGACCTGAAACTACAGTAGAACAAGAAAAATATAGGTTATGAGAGGAATCAAAAGTTGTTACTCAACAGCGACAATTCGTTCTCTCTCCAGTGATGTATTTTAAAACATGTCATTGTAAAGCTACTGGTATAGAAATCCAGGGATGCATATTGCATGAACAAACCGAAATGTTATGTTGGAACCTCCCCGATCACAATACACAAACCACTCCTAGTTATCTAGGGGGTATCTATCCAAAAACTTGAACGTACGAAGGCCCTCTGAAAGCTGGTCCACAACCGTCGAGACATCACCTGAAGCCTCGAACGAGTATACACCAGGAGTAGAGGCCTCAATTCCGGCAGCGCCGAAAGCAATGTTGCTGGAACCGAGCACACCTACAGGCTTACCAAAACGATACCCATCTTGCAAGATCTGGAGAGGGCGGCCGGCAGGGTAGAGAGTCGAACGGGCGTTGCTGGTCGCGTTGCGGGGCACAGTGGTTGTGGAGTTGGAGTTGGCCAAGCTGGCGGCAGGTGCGAAGAGGCTTTCTGCGTTGCCATCTACGATGATGGCATCGAACTGGACCGCAGAGGTAGCAGAGTAGGTCTGATCAATATTGTCACCAAGGTGCTCAGCGACAACGGTCATTGCAACGTTGAGATCAGCGAGAGCTGACTTCAAGGCCTGCGCGTTGTCGCCCGATGACGAGGCTGCGGTAGTAAGATAGCCGACCTTCAGGCCATCCAGCGTGAGCAACGGCTCACCAGAAGCACTAACACCAATAGTCTTGTTATCATGATAGTAAGTATCATCGGCTTCAGGTGCGGTCATGCCCAGTGCTTCCGCCACCCTCACGGCGATGTCGTGAGAGATGCGGTTGAGCTGGATAAGCACGTTGTTCTTGACAACGTCACTCTTTAGCTGTGAAGTCTCGAATCGCATAGCGTTGATGACGAATTGTTGCTCAACCGGCATGAGAGAGTTGAAGAAGAGACGCGGCTGACTCCATACATCCGCGAACGTGCTGGACACGGACCGGACGATGTTTCCACTTGTAGAGCGACTTGGAGCTGTGAAAAAGCCACGACCGTTGGTTTGGTTTGCTTGCCGGGGGGATCCTTCGTTCAACGTGTTTGGAGAGTAGGCTGCGGTGTTGAGAGGTACGAACATCTGACCGGCGCCATCCCTTTCGTTGTTGTGGACAGCTACACGCGGTTGGTTAATTGGAATTTGCTCGAAATTGGGACCGCCCATGTTGCGGTTTAGCTGAGTATCGAGATAAGAAAACCTTGTACAATGTCAGTATACGTCTCACGTGAAGTTCGTAAAGGGACATGACTAACATTCTTCCTTGAAGCAGCGGGTCTTCCGTTAGATCGATTCCGCGGACTAGATGCCCGGGCTGGAACATGATCTGCTCGGTCTCGGCAAAGTAGTTTCGAGGATTCCGGTTCAAGGTCAACTTTCCGAGCGGAGTGAAGGGTACAATGTCCTCAGGCACGATCTTGGTTGGGTCCAGAAGATCAAAGCCAAATCGAAGCTGGTCTTCTTCTTCCATAATTTGAGCCTCAAACACCCACTCTGGAAAGCAGCCTTGCTGGATACTGTCAAACAAGTCCTGTCGGTGGAAATCGGCGTTCATGCCCGTAATTAATTGCGCTTCTTCCCACAACAGGGAAGCTTTGCCTTGGAGTGACCTGAAGCGAAACTTGACAAGTTTGGATTTGCCCTGGTCGGTCACAAAGCGGAAGGTGTGAACTCCCCACCCATCTGTATGCCTGTAAGACCTTATAGTCCCATGCCCTGACATTGCCCACAGAAGTGTGTGCATAGAACTGGGCTGTTGGCTGAAAAAGTCCCAGGCTGAGTCATGGGCAGTGGCCGCTGCAGAGATGGAGATATGAAATTAGCGTATGTCCCACATGCATTTCGTACAGTCGCAACATACCTTGCGGGATCTCGGAATCTGGTTTCGGCTTGACAGCATGGATCAGATCGGGGAATTTAATAGCGTCCTGGATGAAGAAGACTGGAATATTGTTTCCAACGATGTCAAAGTTTCCTTCGTCAGTGTACCACCTAACTGCAAACCCGTGTACATCTCGCACTGTATCGGCACTGCCTCTCGATCCAGCAACGGTGGAGAATCGAATGAAGATCGGCGTCTCTTTGTTGGGTGCGTTCAGGAAAGACGCTCCCGTGATGTTTGACCAATCTCCGTAGGAAACAAAGGTTCCATGGGCACCTGCACCTCTAGCATGGACAGCACGCTCAGGAACGCGCTCATGGTCGAAGTGCATGATCTGTAGAGATATGAAGTTAGTCCGCGTCTCATCATTATCCTGCATATGGAGAGCTTACCTTTCTTCTGAAGGCTTGGTCCTCCAAAAGGGTCGGACCACGCTCGCCAGCTGAGAGGCTTTCTTGCTCCTCGATTGGACCGCCAACCGGGTTCGTCATGTAAACATCGCTGTCGTCGACCTCATAACGGCTCATAAACTCATCCGTTGTGGGATTCTCGTCTCGACGAACGACAGCTTCGCCGTCCATGTAGGGACATCCTGCTTGAGCAACATGCAGCAGGGCAGTAACTGCCGTCAAGATCTGGGCTCGTACCATCTTGAATTATGAGATATCCTAAAAGACGTGAACAGTAATGGGCGGACATTTGTGGATTTATACTGCACCACGACGTCAATAGTACTGGCAACAGAGCAGTACGCGGCCTTAGTAGCGTGCACAATTCGACAGGGATAATGGTTTGAATCCCAGTCTTTCACAGTCCTAAACTATCCAATAGTAAGATTTGTATTTGACGCATCATTGCGCGTTTGGGAAATTTCCAACCTAACGGTATCCACTTACATTGGAGTTGAAGTCTATTCGACGCAATTGTAAGGGTGCCAAGTCTAGGTGGGTCAAGCGCTGGGATGTGAAGCTGCATCTACATGATGCAGGCGTAATTCCACAAGTGGGAAAATGGCCGCGACGTGATGAAGATGGGCAGTGGATCGACTGCCGTACCTCGTTACCTGTTACCCAGGCCGTACTCACGCCAAGATTTCCTCAAATTGACCAGCCTGTTTGTGATCATTGTGGTCTGGCCGGACTAAAGACCCAAGACTAAACTGTCAGCTTTTTGAGTTGGATAGGAACTGCTAACAGTGTAGCAGTTGCGACATTTTAGTTGTTGCTGATCATGGTGTCAGGTCACTGTGCCACTTGGCCAAGAAAAGAAAAGTGGAGTTGGATCCGCGTGAAGTTATCGAGTCGAGAAGCAGTTACTCGGCAACTTCAACGAGCAGTTGCAAAACAAACCGCGCCGTTGAACACAGAAACATCCGATAATGACGCCGGCAGCCCGGCTTGGCCCGGTCAGCGCCTATGGGGTGGTCCCGCCCCCGAGGTTGATCCTTTTCCGGTGATTATGAAATGCTCATGGTCCAGGCGCCCAGGATTGGAAAGCAAATTGGGCCAATTCGCCAAGACTTCGACTGACGATAACGCCACTGGGCAGTCCTGAATAGCGCGAAAAATAGTACCCTTCTCTACCATGGTATGCAAGGCGTTCGGTGACTACACATTGCATGCCAAAATTGGAGGCTTGGTACCGGGGGATCAACTCACAGCCTGGAACCTTGGAAGGAACACATTCCACCAGAATACTGGAGTATTCAGCCTGATTCAAAGCAGTAGCAAGGAGTATGCGGCACGGTGTACGGGGCTTCGCTACGCCATAGCGATGGTGCGTGTGGTGAAGCTGCTTCGAGGTGTGAGATCACAGAACTATAATAGCTGTCAGCCCAGAATAGATCAGAAGCGCCGCGGTGGCACAGCAGAAAATGGTCGCGCCCAAATACCATCTTTAGCGGTGAGCATCTTGGAGGTGATACGGAGTGGAATGATGGTGATGGGACGAGCGTGGTCCGCGGAGAGGTCGACAAGAGGACTGGTAAACGCATATAGAAACAAACGAATGGTTGTCTTCGGTAACACCGAACATTCTCATCCTAGTCTAGATCGTTCCGTCCAGGTCGCCCGACGTAATGGGAAGGTCCTTCGTCGTATTGACAAGATAAGGATGCTCGGCGCAAGCCAAGTGTGTTCCTTTGGATATACCGCACTAGGACGTCTCCACGTGTGTTGAGATGAGTTGACCACAACCAACGCCCTGCCTGTGGGACATAAACACGCCTGTATTTGTCAGAGGCTCGGGCTGTCATGGAGTGATATAGACGTGCGGTCTCGATGAAGCCTGATCAAAGCCAAATCATCATCACAGACTGTTCTCCCAGCAACGATGCTGCGAATCTGTGCTGACCGTTCCATCAGGAACATGGAGATTGAGTAAAACTGATCATCTGTCAAGGAGTCGAATCTTTGCGCCTCTTTCAGTTGTGCCTTACGTCCAAGGATAGGGAGCATCGTTTTCGGATACTTGGAAATGATACATACTCGAACGTTACCTGATTAGTAACTTGGTAATATCGCCAGAGATATAGGCCCTGTGTAGCAATCCTAAAAAATATAGGCTCTGTGGTTTCGAGGCATGGCAGCACATTGGACGATCGTTAGTAAGAGAGAGGAACTACTACAGTATGTCGTGGTAATTTTTGAGCGGCCAGATGCGCGGAGTCAAGGCTGTACCACGGGCAATAACACCTTGGAATATTCTTGTCATACCTGCTCTGACAGTTGTGAAGGTGAAAGTGCGATATGGCATAGGTTCGTACACTGGATTACGGACAGGCCGTCCGATCGAATGTATAAAGACGGAAATAGAAGAGGCACAGGGAGACACATGCAAATGAAGAGTTCAGCTCTCATAGGTGACTTGGAAATCGGGGATGGCATTTTGATAGAAGACGGATGACTCGGCAGTAGTGGTCCTGTGACTAGCTGTAGAGGCCAACCTTTTGTTCGCGATGCGCAGCTTCCGGGCGGCCAGACTATGACATCACCGGGTCTTGCACGACTTCCCCAGGCTGACCCCCGCTTCCCAAAACTCAAGCAGCAACTGTTTACCGCCCAATACGTTAACCCTGGAATCGTCGCGATTCTTTTTGCTATACCCGCACAAAGGTATGTCCCCACATAACTCAATTTCAACACTCACAGATCGCGTCGCGATGCGCGTGCTCTTCTGATGCATAACATAGCAGTGCTAACAGCTCATGAGTATAGATCTACGCAAACACCAAAGTGACAGATACCCCCATCATGTAAGTCTGTTCTTAAGTCTTCTCCGGTGCAGTACCATGATGCGCTTCACACTTCTCTCTCTCCTCGATTTCCTCCCACATCTAGTACCATTGTGCAGTCGAACGATAGTGTCAATAGTATCTTGCATATTTCCCTGATATGTGTAGCTTTCGCACGTATGATGCGGAATAGTCGCTAACCATGTGTTTCATCAGGAATCGATCACTCTCAGTCCGCTCGAAGAAGGGCAGTGGTAGCGGCAGTGGAGAGAAGTCCGCGCCCAAGCACCGCTTTACTATGGCTTCTCTTAGAGGTACGCAGCAGCCGGAGCTTTCAAAGAAGCTATTCAAGATCATCAAATCGGAAAACCACGCTATTGGAGCTTATGAGGCTGCGGCACGCGAACGTGCCGGCATTGCTCAGCAACTCTCAGAATGGGGTGAGGCTACAGAGGACGAAACGATTTCGGAGATTTCAGACAAGCTCGGAGTGCTGCTCGCAGAGATTGCAGAACAAGAAGATCTTTATGCGCAGGCCTTGGAGGAATATCGAGGCGTCTTGAAGCAGATTCGCAACACGGAAAGCTCGGTGCAGCCGAGTCGGGATCATAAAACCAAGGTATGGCCTAGCGCTATAGTCGGGGTACTTGATACTAACGAGAAGATAGGTGTCGGATGAGATTGCCAAGTTGAAGTACAAAGAACCTCAGAGTACTAAGATTGTCCAGCTCGAACAGGAGCTTGTCCGCGCGGAGGCTCAGAGTCTTGTTGCCGAAGCGCAACTCAGCAACATCGTATGGAGGCTCCGTAATGATATTCGTCACTTGCTGACCGTTTTAGACCCGTCAGAAGTTCAAGGAGGCGTACGACCACCACTTTGCAGCCACGATCGAACGTGCCGAGAAGCAGATCATCCTAGCCAAGCACGCTCGTCGTCTCTTGAACCTTGTCGACGACACCCCCATCGTACCCGGCGATGTACACCCTCCATTCGCAGAGGTAGAAGCAGCACGTCAGGTCCTCACTGACGCTGAAGACGATCTTCGCCATTATCAGTTGGATGTCGAGCCCATCCACTCGAGTGCAGGCAATCTCGGAGTGGGTGCAATGCCGGGAGCCACAGTGCCAGGTGTCGGAGTAGGAGGAACAGCTGGAGTGTCAGTCCCAGAATCCACTACGTACGAGAGTACAGTACGAAGCGAGAGTCCCGTGGGTGTGCAGTATGATAAGGCGGGTTCAGCTCCTTACCCCTTGGAGGAGGCGGACAGAGTGGAGAGGCAGCAGCAGGAGGCTCCTAGACAGGAAGTTTCCAATGTGGCTTAAAGGTCGTATCCGGTGATGTCTAGGTAGCTTTCTGGGACATTTTCTTATGTCTGCGTGTACTAATGGCTTGATACATCTCTTGACCACGCATTCTCTTCCGTAGCAAGACGAGATTCTGTAACGATACGTATGCTCAATTGCTTTCGGTGATGGCGTAGAGTGATGCAAGCAGTATGCGAACAAATCAGACATATAGTTCGGACAGGTGCCTAGAGGTCATGATGGAAAAGCAGAAGTAACCCAAGGCGTCCGGTATACGGTTGGTCCCACCTAAACCCTAGAATTGTCCGTGCGCACATTTTGGCGGGGACTCTTAGCGCGGAATGTGCCGTTCCCCAAGAAGACACATCGAGCTCTACCTCATCTCCAAATTCACGCGCAAGCCCACTAACACCGCCAATCTTCCCACCACTACTTCCCACCTCTTCCACCCACAGTATCCGCTGCTGTAGCCATGGCGGACCGCAAGAAGAGAGATCGCTACGCAGCAGGAACAGGATACCAATTCGGCGCGAATACACAAGAGGCCGCCGCCCAAGCTGGAGGAGTCCCCCCACCTGTAGTACCTGGCTATGGAGCTCCAGCACCTTCATATGGGGCACCATCACCTGCCTATGGCGCTCCTTCTCCTGGCTTCGGCGCCCCAGCTCCTGGCTACGGAGCGCCAGCCCAGGGCTATGGACAGCCTATGCCTCAAGATCCGAATGCCCTCAACCAACAGTTCAGCCAGATGAACATAGGCCAAGGACAAGCAGCCCCCCAAGTTCAGCAACCGGCCGCGGCTACCCAGCAGAACCAACTATTCCCCTCGGACCTCATCGCGCAGCCCTTCCACGTTTCGGAGCTATATAACCCTCCTCCTCCGATCAACCTACCGTCCAATGCCGCAGCTACCCCCTCCGAGTTCGCAAACGAGTCGAGTAAATACCTACGATGCACGCTCAACACCATCCCTACAAACCACTCGCTGCTCAAGAAGAGCAAGCTTCCTTTCGCGCTCATCATAAGCCCGTATGCTAGCTTGCACGACTCAGAGGACCCTGTGCCAGTAGTACACGACCAGGTCATCAGTCGTTGTAGACGATGCCGCGCCTACATCAACCCTTTTGTCTCATTCCTAGACCATGGGCATAGGTGGAGGTGCAACATGTGCAACTTGACCAACGACGTTCCTCAGGCATTCGATTGGGATGCCGCGCAGCAGAAGAGCGTAGACCGCTGGCAGAGACCCGAGCTCAACTACGCCGTGACCGAGTTCGTTGCGCCCCAGGAATACATGGTCCGCCCCCCACAGCCTCTGTGCTACTACATCCTTTTGGATTGTACACAGGGAGCAGTTAACAGCGGATTGCTCGCTGTCGTCTCAAGGGTCATCAAGGAGTCACTCGGTCGGATACCAAACGCAGACGGTCGGACACGCATCGGATTCATGGTAAGTTCTGGGTGCAAAGAATACAAGCACTCTGTATACTGACTTGGCAATAGGCCGTCGACAATGGTCTGCATTTTTTCGGTATCCCCCCAGACAATAGCGAATCCAACGAACCACAACAGCTTGTGGTTTCCGACCTCGATGAGCCCTACCTTCCCATGCCCTCGGACCTCCTGGTCAGCCTCAGCCAATGCCGCAACAACATCGAAACCTTCCTTGACCGCCTTCCAACCATGTTCCAGAACACACACGTCCCTGGATTCGCGCTGGGTTCAGCTCTTCGATCCGCACACAAGCTTATCTCCCCACTTGGAGGAAAGTTGACCGTCATTGCTGCATCGCTACCCAATGTTGGCCATGCAGCACTGAGCCCCCGAGAGGACAAATCATTATTAGGAACCGGGAAGGAAGGCAGTTTGTTGCAGCCTGCAAACAACTGGTACAAATCATTCGCGGTAGAATGTTCCAAGAACCAGGTTTCAGTGGACATGTTCCTATTCTCTTCACAGTACCAGGATGTCGCAACGCTGAGCAACCTTCCGCGATTCACCGCTGGTCAGACATACTTCTATCCAGGATGGAATGCTGCAAGACAAGAGGATGTTGTTAAGATTGCAACTGAGTTGGCTGACTACCTATCTGCTGAGATCGGTCTAGAGGCTGTGCTCCGTGTGCGTGCTACCACGGGATTGAGAATGTCTGCATTCTACGGAAACTTCTTCAACCGCTCGTCCGACCTCTGTGCCTTCCCAGCATACCCCAGAGACCAAGCAGTGGTAATCGAAGTCGCTATTGATGAGACGATTTCCAAGCCGTTCGCCTGTCTCCAGGCTGCTGTGCTCCATACTACCTCAAGTGGCCAGCGCCGCATCAGAGTCTTGACTCTTGCTGTGCCTACAACTGAGAGCCTAGCATCAGTCTATGCATCGGCAGACGCGCAAGCGATCACAACTTACTTCAGTCACAAGGCGGTTGAGCGAGCATTATCAAGCGGTCTTGATGCAGCGCGAGACGCGTTGCAGGCCAAGGTCATAGAGATCCTGTCAACCTACAGGAAGGAGTTGGCAGGCGGTAGTATGGGCGGTGGTGGCCTACAGCTGCCACAAAACCTGCGTGCTCTCCCTATACTGTTCCTTGGTCTTATCAAGAACGTTGGTCTTCGCAAGAGCGCTCAGATTCCGAGCGATCTCCGATCGGCGGCTCTCGATCTCCTTTCTACACTGCCATTGCGACTGCTTACACAGTACATTTACCCATCTTTCTACTCTCTTCACGACATGCCTGATGACGCTGGCGTACCGGAACCTACCACTGGTCAGATTACAATGCCACCTGCAATGAACCTCTCCAGTGCAGCCATCGTTCCGTATGGTCTGTACCTCCTGGACGACGGTGTCAACCAGTTCTTGTAAGTGTATATACATATTCGCCATTGAAGCGGAACTGACGTTACTAGATGGATTGGCCGTGATGCTGTCCCAGCGCTCCTAAATGATGTGTTCGGCGTCGAAGACCGTACACAACTGAAGCAGGGCAAGACTTCATTACCTCTTCTTGACAACGAATACTCGGAGCGGGTCCGAGCTGGTGAGTCATGATTGCTGACAATGCAGACGATTCAGAGCGCTGACATGTGATAGTTGTGGAAAAGTCGAGAGATCACAAGTCAAAGGGTGTAGGCTCGATCACTCTACCTACGCTGTACATCATCAAGGAAGATGGCGACCCAAGCCTCAAGCTATGGGCGCAAACATTACTCGTTGAAGACCGGGCAGACCAAGGAGAGAGCATCGTTCAGTGGATCAGCAAACTCCGGGAAAAGGTATACTAATGAGTCAGCTGCGTACTCGGAGACAAAACTGACGTCTCACTTAGGTTGTGCAGTAAGCACCGACTAGGTATATGGGCACGTGTTCTTTAGGCGGTATGAATTGAGCGAGTTGATTCCGTAGCATTGGCGCAAGATACGAAGAAGAAATCATCATTGCTTGGGTGGTAGGTTAGTGACTGGGAGTCGCACCAAGCGAGTTCATGACTTATAGAACAGAGCAATGTGATACCAGCTTTTATCAGTTTGTTCTTTGTCGCCTCGGCTATGTGCTCGTACTAGGGTTTGTGCGGCGAGAATGCTGCCCGTCATTGCTACACGACGTCAAATGCATGGCGATGAAACTTAGTGCTAGGCTGCCGTGCGAGTACGAAGGAGGGGTCAAGTCGAACTCGGAGTTGATATCTATTTAAAATGAGCTTTTAATGCGCACAGCTGGAATGGCAGGTACATCTCACGTACTACTCCGCTATTCGTAATCGATAGGACACACCTCGGTACTAGCGCACGGGGCTATCACGGTACGGTGGCAGGTACGCACTGAGCGTTGACTGACTCCACCACTATTAGCCTCGCGATTCGATGCGAGTAATGACCCCTCAACACCATCGCCACCGCTCGAGGCGCATGCTCCCAGACATCTGGTTCGCCCGCCAACACAAGCCCGCATAATTCGGTAAAGCTACTTTTCGCGACACGATGGCTCGAATGTTTCATCGTTTCGCCAGCTGCAGCAGTTGTCAAGACAGATATTTTCTTTCCATGTATTGCGCACGCTCCTCGTGTGGATATGCGCCTAAGCAATATTACTGCATCTCATCTAGGCACCAAAAGCGACATCTTAGTAGTCTGAGCATACAGGGGAACCAAAGTATGGTACGGACCGCGCAATGAAGCTCAGATGACCACGATATTCACGATCCATAGTATCATCCCGCGTGCGTCCGCCATGTTCCACCGAATCATATTTTGCTTGCCAGGAACTAGTCGGACCACTTGGTCCCTCGCCTTTCTGTCAGCGCTTCCAAGCTATGGACTGTGATGGCAAACAGCTGTCACGCACCGCCCAAAGCCCAACGCCATGGGTCAGACCATTGTCTCTGACCGCCTCGTTCAATAGCTTCTGGCGCCGTTTGCGCTGCAAGACGCAAAATTTGAGTCGCTGAAGTCCGGCAGAACCACGGATGCTAGCCTTTCGCTTCGGCAAGGTACAAAGATACAACACCTTTCTGTGGATCTGGTCGAGTCCCCTTGCATCGGCGCTCGCTCACGCTGCTAGCTTGCAGCGATTATCCGCGTCAACCAATTGCTTCGGCATGGCAGTGTCAGCTTTGTCTGGGGACAAACGCCATGCCGGCCTGCTTATGATTACCTTCTCCAGCGCGCGCGACTTGCCTTTGGGGACCGGCCAGCGGCGCCGGCGCTGCTATGGCATGGTCAGCCAACATGTTCCCGGTCTCTCTGATAACACGTGAAATGCGGCAGTAGGCGTTGGTAGATGTTTCGTCATCAATAATCAACCTTGCGCGTGCTCAGGTCCCGGCCACAGCGCACGACCTAAGCCAAGTAGTCAGGTTCTTACGACCCAACGCTGCAAGCATGTGCTATGACCGTTGTTAGCAAGCGGAAACAGGCAGTGGTGCCCAGAGCCCCGCCGCTTGATATGGTGCCATGGCCGATGACTTGACCGCGGATAAGTGATGCTCATCAGGGCTTGCAGACAGCACTGTTGTCTGGTCTGACAGGCCGACGAGTATGCTCTGTGGCTCAGCTGCACCTCTTCATCGTGTCTGGGTAGGCGGGCCAAGCATCGCTAATTCCAAGGATCTGCAGGCAAGACGTGCCTTCGTCGCAAGGTGGATCGGACTCTAACCCCAGCCTTCTGCCAGGCCGTCCGTCCAGGGCACACGACTAAGCCGCTAAGATCCCGTCCTGTGCCTTACCAACCCCTCCTCGCATGCAGTTGCGACGCAATCGTGAGTTCGTCTCTAATCACGCTCTCCTGCATCGACACCTGTTCCCTTGCCTTCATACCCGGGTCTTGCACTGTCTAGCTGCATCGTATCAAGAGCCGCATCCTGCCGCTTCTACTCGAGCCTTTGTGCGCATCGAGTCTGCGTCAACGAGGGGCCAATCTCCCCGCCACCTGAGGCACTCCATCCCGCGCCTTATCATACCCAGCCCAAAGTCCGAGTATCCGTGGTTGCTCAACCATCACCACTGGTCCGCCTTTGGACGACCCCAACTTCACGATTTTACGACGCAACGATCGAATTTGACCAGACCTTGTGGATTTTCTTGACTTTGCTCGCTGGGCGCTGCGTCCGGATGTTGTTGCAACGCCGCTCTCTATTCGTCATCATATCGTTTCAGCCTTCCCACACCCGCTCCAGCAAGGAGCCGCCCGCAGTATCACACTGATTGCGCCGCTGGAGGCAACCCGCCTGGGACCTGCGCTTGCATTAACTCCTCAGTCTTAGATCACTGGCGCTACCGAAGCGTGTCCCGTCGTGTACGCCCTAAGCTATACGCGCCTTGTCACTGTAGACCTGCGCAGCACGCTCCGCACGACACGGAACAAGAGGCGGACATTGCAGGCTGCTGGTCACCGGCCCCTCCAACATGTCTACCTTCCAAGCAGTCAACACCACATTGTCGGTCCCAGATCCGCCACAGGGCCGCCCAGGTGACGAGACGACACCCACCACTCCTCGACCGAATAGCAGGTTCTTTGCCGAATCGAAAGCGACCGAGGAAATCCGCACTGAAGACTCATCAGCTAAGACGCCTACACGCAACACCTTTGCGGGACTTGTCGGCCAGCGGCCACTACCTTCATCGCCCTTCACGCCTGGCCGTGAGCTGAGCGAGACACCTTCAGCTTCGAACAAGAGTGAACAGAGTAGAGAGGATTCGCACAGGTCAACAGCCGACGGCCAAGATGTACACATGGGCGACGGTGACGAAGACGACAAGGACGGGTCGGACAACGAAAGCGTGACTAGCGACTCGAACCGACCGTCCAAGAAGAAGAAGGGACAGCGCTTCTTCTGCACCGACTTTCCGCCTTGCAATCTGAGCTTCACACGAAGTGAGCACCTGGCACGACACATTCGGTACGTCTTTTGCTATATAATATACCACGTCGCTAATATCATGAAGTAAACACACTGGTGAACGTCCCTTTCAGTGTCACTGCTCTCGACGGTTTTCGCGTCTCGACAACCTCCGACAGCATGCTCAAACAGTCCACGTCAACGAAGATATACCTTCTGAGTCACTTGCCGCGACAGGCACGAGGTTTCAAAGACAGATCCGGACCGACCGAGTAAGACCACCTGGAAACCGCTCTCGAGCGAACACACTAGGCAGCACAGGAGGGCACAGTAGAGGTCACAGCAGGAACCTCTCAGCCTCCAGCATAACTTCTACAATATCGACGATGAGCGTGGCACAATCTCCCGACATTCGACGACGACCACCGCCTTTGGCTATGGCTAGCGATGGCGGTGCCAGTGCAAGAGCGCGCTTGTCGCTCAACACTATGAATGCGTATGACCCACCCATGATGGGTAGTCCTGGGCCCGTGGAATATGATACGCAGTCCAACGCGCCTACAACGCCCACTTCTGCTACCTTTTCAACGGTTACTGGCAGCCCCGCTCGCTTTGGATCCACAATGCAATCTCCTGTATCGACTTCATCGAGGCCAGTCTCATGGGCTGGGCCACCACTTCCAGGACGTCGCCAATCTATCTCATCTAGTGGCAACCCTTTCTCTGGTGCACCAGGACAGGCTCCTCCTACCTACATCACGCCTCTGCAATCGACTGCTGCCCCCACCTACTCGGCACAGAGTAGCGCATATGCAAGCCCTACAGTATCCCAATTTCCAGAATCAAGGAGAGACTCGAATGCAGAGGCGGACTGGAGGCGACGCACTTGGCATCCAGGAGTGTACACTGGTCCTCGACCAGCAACTAGTGGACTTGGATACCACCAGACACCCGACGCTCCACGGCCGTTGTATACGTCACAGCCTGCCGCTTCTCAGACCACGAGGCTCCCAGGTATTGAAAGCTTTGACCATGCTCCGCCTCCGCCTCCGCTACCTCGGCGCCAGCCAAGTCCGATGCAAGTTGACGCTCCAGCGCGTCCACTTACTTATCACGCACCGATGGAGCACACGTCTAACAGGGGTCACCATAAACGAACGAGTATTTCATGGGAAATCGACCGTCTGAACATTGCTAGTCCAGGTTCTCAAAGGGATCAATGGTCACAACAATACCCTGGCAGTGCAGGCCGGGCGAACGCTGCACGACCTACAACAGCCCCGCATGGCTACTTCAGTCGCCAGCCTTCCAATGTTCAGCCCATTCAAATTCCTTCAATTAGCGGTTCGCCAAGGACCTCACAAGAACAGCCCGTGACCCCCCGAAAGAACAAGCGACAAGGCTGGTACAATGGACCTGTCAGTCAACCACAAAGAGCTATGCAAAGGACGTCACCTGAAGATTCCAGTAGCAGTGAAGGTGTACCGACGCCAGGTACCATGATCGATTACCACCCGGCCATCGTGCACAGCAATGGGTACGTCGAGGCGCCAGCAGTCTCAGAAGACTACAAAACCGTACCATCAACGTCAATTATGGAGAGACCTCACCCTTTGCATTCGCAACCTCCGCAACATTACCATAGCCACAGCCTTTCGAGCTCCAGCTCAAGCTATCGTCCGCAACGCGAACCCGAGCGGGGACCCGTAACGTTTGGTCAGCCGCTACCCCAGACCGCCGACAACGACATGAGACGCTTGGAAGCGCTTGTAGCAGTGGCCACTGGCGAGCAGCAAGCCGTCGAGAATCGGTCTTAGGTCAGCTGATCGTTACTCACCGATCTACATTATGCATCGTCCTAACCACAACACATCGCTATCATCACATGACTTCGAACCTTGCAAGTACGCCCACGATGTCACGACTTGGAAGAACATTACGAATCTCCTATGATTTAACGCAAATGATATACATCTGGATTTGCCCCAGTTACCGCATGACACCTCTTGGTCTTTGCTTTGTTTTTCTTCCTGCCTTACCTTCGGTGATCCGCCAATGGTGAGCGCTCCTGTTGTCGCTTTCCATATGATACCAATCGGAGCTTCTGCTCGAACTTCCTTGGGATACCCAAATCCGGCATACATTTTCCTTCCTTTGTTTCTTTTGTTTGTGTGCATTTGGCTTTTTTTGCTGTCGTTTTAGGGATATACCAAATCGATCGTACAATAGCGGCGGGGTCTGGAGTTCTTTGTCATGATTTTCTATTTTTACATGACGCCTTTTTTCTTTAGTTTTATGCTGTCACGCTGTCATGAATGGGGAGCGTCACTGATGATGAACATTGGTAATGGCTGGAAGTTGCTTTCTGGTGGAGGGTCAGTAGCTGTCTTCGGACATTCTTAACATGCCTGTATATGCTTTTTGCTACTTGAATCTGACATGTCGTTTGTACTGTGACTCTTTTCTTGAATATTGCCGAGGTTCGGTATGAATTCGCATGTCAAATGGGCACGCATATAAGCACCAGCATGCTCTTCCTACCATTCCCTTCAACCACGATTCTTGCCAAAAATCCCCAACAAGGCGCACAAGAGGTACATGTGTTTGGTTGTTGTTACCAAAAGAATTCAGAGCAGGATCAAGAGTGAGCCTAGAATTGGCACATGCCCATGTGATGCTCTCTCTACACTGCCGTAATCAAGCATTACACAGACTGGCATTCTCCTCCTTTAGGACCTGAGGCTGATAATATTTTTCCCGTCTTGAGTGGACAAGGGTCTATACGCGACACGAGCTTCGTGTATCATGCACTTGATTGATACGTCACTTGTAGTGCGCTCCTCTCATACAATTCACCGTCTGTGCATCTTACAGCGTGGCTTTGGAAGGAAGTGGCGGCCCCTCGTTGCCCGTAGCAACGTGGGTGAATCGGGCATAGCGTCTTCTAGCATCAATGCAAGCCCCGCGTACCCTTATACACAAACCGCTTCCAGCGACAACGACTGTGGGTAAGACTTTCGGTTCTCTACCTGTGTTTTTGATACCCACCTTTTTCTTCTTCTTTCTTTGTGATACCCCTACCGGCGCCATGGGTTCCAACGACCAGGTCGTCGACTTCGAAATTATCGAACAATCGAAGGAAAACATCCAGTCTCTCCCCAGCGGACGCTCCGCAAGAGCACTCGCCCAGCTTTACACGCCTCCATTGACTTCAGCCGCTGGCCAAACACCGTCGCCTTCGCAAATGCAAGATGCAAACAGCGCAACCCGTCTCAAGTTCGAGAAGGAGCTCATGGCGATTGACGACTCTGACGACCCCCTCGATGTTTACGACCGATATGTCAAATGGACGCTCGACGCATACCCATCCGCACAAAATACACCCCAGTCACAACTCTGCCCGCTGCTCGAGCGCGCAACGAAAGCCTTCCAATCTTCACCGCAGTACAAGAACGATGTGCGCTATCTCAAGCTCTGGCTGCAATACATTCATCTCTTCTCAGATGCGCCACGAGAGACTTTCGCCTACCTCGCACGCCACAGCATCGGCGAGAATCTCGCCCTATTTTATGAAGAATTTGCGGCCTGGTTAGAAGGCGCAGGTCGTTTCACACAGGCAGAAGAGATATACAACTTGGGCATTGACCGAGAGGCCCGCCCAGTTGAGCGCTTGATTCGCAAGTACGGAGAATTTCAGCATCGTTTTGAGAGTCGCCCTCAAGAGGTTCCCGAACCTTCAAGCCCCGCACTCCCCGCCGTTCGTCCAGCCCTCGCCGCTAAAATGGACCCCTTTGCGCATGCATCACCGAGTGCGCCGAGCCCACAACCACAAAGCCAGCCCAAAACTGCTGGGGGTGCTTCTCGCTCCGGAAAGCCCAAGCTTGCCATCTTTTCGGATGGTGACGATGCCGCAAGACCTGGCTCGACTGGAAGCACGGAAGGATGGGACAGCATTGGATCGCTCGCAGACCGCAAAAAGGAGAACACAACGGAAGCACGGCCTTGGGCTGGTGAGACTTTGAAGGTTGGAAAGAAGAACACTGGGGTTCCCAAGATGTCTATCTTCAAGGATGAGGTGAGTTGATCTGCCTACATCAGCCCCCCTTCATATATTTACGATCACAGGACTAATTGGTGGGCATTTGCCATTCATGTATTCAGACCAAATCAAATCCTAATGACGAAAATGTCAGCCCCCACCCATTGCGTGAACATCAACAGGCTGTCAACCCAAGGACTGGCAGGCTTGAAGTAGTATTTGTAGATTTAGAGCAAGTTTACCCTAACCACGAGGACCCCATGTCGGAGGAATACTCATTTGAAGAACTGCGAGCTAAATACAGAGGATGGATGGACCATGATTGGGATGCCATTCGCCGCAAAGAGCAGATGCAGGCGAGGAAGGCGGCTGAAGAGGTTGAAGAGGCTGAAGTTGCTAAACGGCCAAAGCCCAATGCCGCACCTCTAGCACCCAAACAGGATTTCGAGCAGCCTCCTAAGCCCAAGACCGTACCCTTAAAAGGTAGCGTTGATGATGACATGGATAACGACGAAAACGCGCCACCTTCACAAGCAGACTTGGAGAAGGCAAGGGCAGCTAAGAAGGCTAGGCGGGAGGAGCGTGCCAATCGGACTAGAAAGATCAAGGTTATGGAAGTCAAAGAAGTTCGCGGAGAGACTCAGACAAGTGAGTGTTTGGTTGGACATGGGCTTGTTGCTTATATACTAACACAAGATAGTCCAAGCCAACTTGGATTCTCCAGCAAAGCCAAAGATGCGGCGGAAGAAGACTGGTCTGGAAACGACAATGACCCTCCACACCAAAGAAGCCATGGACGAGATCTACGATATATTCAACGAACCGTTGAAGAATGCCGATGAGGAAGTCTCTGAGGTCCAGAGTGTTGATGAGAGCAGTGGGGACGATGAGGATGACTATACGAGTGGAGCCGAAAGTACTGCTACAGGTCGCATATCGTGCGCTACAAGCGAGTTTGGAGATGAGACAACAGCTGGAGATTTCACACTTGGCACCAGAGTTCTCAACACTGAGGAGGACGACGACGAGGACGACGATGAGGAAGAAAGCGATGCCGACGACTCGGACACCAAGAGTGTCTCTGCATGGTCAGAGTTCACGGAGAGCAAGCATGTGCCCAAGGATCAGGAAGATGGATCAGATGACGAGTCGGAGCATTCGGAGCACTCTCAGGACGATTCTTTTGACGACGTAACGCGCGCAGATGTCGACTCGGAACAGCAACACGAGTCAGATGTCGTCACTCCTACCTCGCCTTCAGCGCCTGCATCGCTACCTACCCGCTTTGTCCCTGTGCCACCAGAGGATTATAATCCAGCCATGCAACCTTATCGAGACCCGATACAGACTGCGAATAATCGATTGCCATTCATGACGCCTATCGTCGAGAAGACAGAGTCGTCCTTGGGCATCGCCACTGCTTATGCGCAGAAGGATTACTTCACTGCCGCCACGAAGACACCGTCACGATCGAAAGGTACAGCTGGCATTCTTGAAGACGACGATGAGGATGAGGACGATACTTGCAGTAGCCCCTTCGCAGATCTTCTAAGTCAGGTTATTGACGGCCCAGGGAAACTCGCGAAACTCGCCCTGACAGAGTCGAAGCCGGTACCTAAAGAGCCCACCACCGAACCGCAACGAAAACCGTTGGCTGCAAAAGAGGTCCCAGCTAAAGCGCCAAAGGTCAACGGCCCGATCATCAAAGACGCGCAGTGTAATCCAGTGGATGAGAGCGTCCGCAAGACCATTCTGCAAGAAATCCAGCCCCCACTTGATAGCTACGATGGTTACTACGCAGACACCGAAGAGACCTATGGAAAGGGTGCTGATATACGAAAGTACACCAAGTCAGTGTCCAAATTGGGTAAAGGAGAGAAGACTTCCACGAATCCTCCTCTTTGCCCTACTCTGCAATTCCCAGGAACAAAGCGGACATATACCGTCAAACGTGAGCTTGGGAAAGGAGCCTTCGCTCCAGTGTATCTGGTGGAGAGCCAGGATCCTGAAGATGAGGAAGATGAGAACAAGCCTTCGCAGATGGGCAGGGGCGAGTTCGGCTTGAAGCGGAAGGATCTGGAAGCAATCAAGATGGAGGATCCACCAACGCCATGGGAGTTCTACATCATGCGACAGGCCAAGAGACGACTAGGTGTATCCCGAGCGGCCGATTCGATCGTTCACGCGTACGAGATGCACGTCTTCAAAGACGAATGTTACCTCGTTGAGGAGTTTCGAGATCAAGGTACGCTGCTTGACTTGGTGAACCTTGCTCGTGGAGAGAATGGTGTCATGGACGAGCAACTTGCCATGTTCTTTACTATCGAGTTATTCCGCACGGTCGAGGCGCTCCATTCAAAGGGTGTAATACACGGCGACCTCAAGTCGGACAACATTCTCGTGCGATTTGATTCTTTACCAAAGGATAAGCACTGGGACTCAGAGTACAAACGCGATGGACGTGACGGCTGGTCTGCAAAGGGTATCTCGCTGATCGACTTCGGCCGTGGTATCGACATGAAGGCCTTCAAGCCAGATGTCCAATTCATCGCAGACTGGCCCACGACAGAAGCCGATTGTGCAGAGATGCGCGAATTGCGTCCCTGGACCTACCAGATCGATTATCACGGCCTCGCTGGCATAGTTCACAATCTGTTATTTGGCAAATACATCGCTACAATCGGTGAACGGGGCGCCACTCTTGGTGCTGGCGCAACCAAAACGTACAAGATCAAGGAGAGTTTGAAGCGGTATTGGCAAACGGAGATTTGGCACGAGTGTCTCGATCTGCTTCTGAACCCGCTGATGCATCTTGATGGCGAAGAGGGGAGGAAGATGCCGGTACTGAAGGGTATGAAGGAGGTGAGGGAGAAGATGGAGACATTCCTCGAAAGCAATTGCGAGAAGGGTATCGGCTTGAAGGTCCTCATAAGGCGTATGGAGGAAGCTGTTAAGAAGCGGTGATGCAAGTTACTCTTTTGCTCATGTGTATGATGTCTGGAGTGCGGCTTGGTTATTAGGCGTTGTTGGATAAATGATACCACTGATGGATGATGCTGAATGGACTTGTAATTCTTTACTTGTACATTCTTACTTTGTTTCGCTTTGAGACGATGTTGAAGTGCACCGCCATATGGAAGGAGGTGGGGGTGCGTTGCCGTCCGTGCGTAGGTGCCTTGAGCTCGCGGGGAGCTTGATCACCTCCGTCTGTACAAACAACATTTGAATTGACTTGCGGCAACAATACCCCTCTCCTTACTGTTCAACCCCGACACCTGATTCTAGTCCCAAGAGTTCTACTGGAAACCGAACAAACATACTGCATCAGAAGTACGCCGGCAGTAGCGACACGATACCCCACATCGCCGCCCTCCGGCTTGCCTACGCGCTCAACCCACGATATCCCTCGACACCGCCGCGACAATGTCGGGCGAACTCACTAGTATACTGCTATCATTTCAGCCGGACAGCCCGGAGCTCGAGAAGAGGCGCGATTACGACACGAAGGCTCGTCACTTTGTCTCACAACTGTCCAACATCCCATCAGCACCTTGGTCCAAGGGAGCAGATACATCACAAGATGTTCTTTCGGTGAGGCAAATGGGTTGTATCAATCTGGAAACTGCTGACTTTCCAGATACTCAACCCCGCCGTAAATTCAATAGCGTACGCCTTTGCCATATGTCACAGGATCTCTACCTTGGTCGAGAAGAGGAATATACCAGATTCGCTGCAGCCTGGAGGTTCGTTATGGAATCAGTTGGTACTCTTCCTCGAGACTGCGGACCCTATACAGCTGCGATATGTCGGAAAGGAGTGGAGGGCATTGGTGGAGTACACAGAGTACATTGCGCGCGCATGCGGATCAGTATGTTGAATGAGATGCTTTTTGCTAGAGGAAGATACTGATTACTACAGCCGAGCCTCGCTATTGCGCCAATGCGATCAGCTATGACTCGACTTGATCCTACTACAGGCACTTTCACCTCAATCCACCTCCTCTTCGTACAACTATGTTGCGAGATACGATCGTACGCGGCCGCCGAACCCATTCTCGACAACTATATCCACGCTATCCCCCAGAAGATCCCCAATGTTGTCCGCGACGGTCTCGAATACTCGGTGCCATGCGCTGATGTTGCGAGTAGTGGGGAGTACATACATCAGAACTCAGGGCACTCGGATAAGGTTTCAGTGTCAGAGATACAGGAGTACTATGTTCTCGGAGCCCAGGCATATCTAGGTATTCGCCAGTTCAAGAAGGCGCAACAATTTCTGGAGCACGTCTTGGTTATGCCCACAGCCAATACAGCGAACGGTCTGATGCTGGAGGCGTACAAGAAGTGGGTGTTGGTGAGCTGTCTTGTGGAGGGAAAGGTATGTTACGGTTGAGTGGTATACAATGGAACGAGCTAACACGCGCAGATGGGCATCTGTCCGCGTACTTCGAACGGCAATGCGATCAAGACGATCAAAGCTGCGTCAAAAGCCTACGAAGCCTTGGCGGAGGCGTATGAAGAGTTGGACAACATGTCGAAGCTGAAAGCACAGGTCCAAGCTGGCTCTGAGATCTGGGCAGAGGTATGATTATGAAACACTATCAAACATTGAATGTTTGCTTCACAAACGCTGACAAGACATGCAGGACGGCAACGCTGGTCTCGTCAACGAGCTCATCAGCAGCCAGACGCGGGCCTATGTTTCGCGGCTGTCACGTACATACTCGGCGATTCCAGTCTCAAACATTGCCAACCACCTGGGGGCTCCGGCGGATGAGATCGCCCGATACATCGACACACTGATCAAGGATGGGCACCTGAACGCACGGTTGGAGGAAACGGACAAGTCGAACGCGGGGATCGTACTACGTTTCTTCTTAGACCCAACGCAAGGACCTCTAGCCAAGAGTGAGAAGCAGCAACAGCAAGCGCTGTTTGAGCAGACGCGCCGTACCAACATGCTCGCCGAGCAAGTCAAGGACGCCGACTACCGATTGATGCTCACCAAAGAGTACGTTGAGAACCAGAAGCGGCTGAACAAGAGGCAGAACAACAACGGCGATGCCATGGATACGGCATGGGACGACAGCCTCGAGGCGGAGGAGGACATGATGGTCGATCTGCATTGAAGAAGAAGAAGGGCGATGGGATAGGCATATAAAAGGTGGATTGCAAGTTCACTAGGAATGGGAGGAGTGAAGCTCAAGCGGCTAGTGGTGCTGGAGCTGAGTGTTTGGCAGGGTCGGGCATGAACAGTAGTCCATGACGCGACAACGGTAATGCATGAAACGAGAGGTGGTGGATCCCAAACAACAAAGGTGATCATGGTCGGGCCATGAAGGCTGGCAAGCAGCTAGAGAGGGCTGCGGAGTGGCGAGACGGATGATATATGGTCGTACAGACGTCATATGCACGGTAGTCCTGAAGTGCAGCGAAAAGAAACAAGGAAGCCACCAATATGCCATGTATTTGAAGAGATTGCGTGATGCAGAATTGCTTGTTGCAGCAGATGCTTTTCGTGTCAGAAACGGCGGGAGTGGAGCGCGATTCAGACAGTCGGGCGTGTGTCAGTATCGGATGATTATCATATGCGTGAGACGACCGCGATGGTGGGACCGTGTGTCTGATAACAATGCGGCTTGGCGCGCGTGGCAAACGGACCGAACGGGCTCTCATCACCATGTTCGGGCGTCGGGCTGCCATGAGCGCGCAATGGCAAACGCGTTCGGTTGTCGAGATGCTGGCAACGGAAGTCTACTTTTGTTCACATTGTTTATTGGAGCAACAATGCCATTTCCCGAAACATGGGAATGTCGGTTGAGCATTGGAAATTTGTTTTTGGGCTATGGGAAATGGCAAACGGAGAGGTGGAGTGGGGAATGGGGATGGAGGGTGATGCAGACTGTGGCAGGTTGTGTGCACACTAGAAGAGCGACTACCGATGATGGACGCATGGAGAGATGAGAGGAGAATAAAGTATGTTTCTAGTTGGAGAGCAAGTCAGGAACGTGGTGCTATCGAGTGCAGACGACGGCAGCCACATGGGCTAGTTGCCAGTCCTTCCTAGCAGTTCCTGCAGCAGAGTGGCCAGGGTCCAATTGAGATGATGATGGGACTCAGGCATCCCGTCAAGGCCACCACTAAGAGAGAAGACTCCGCCGGCAGGTCCCTCCAGAGCCCCTGAAGCAGAGCGATTGGGTGCAGCCGCACAGAGAGTCGTAGGGGTGAGTCGTGTGTTCGTCCGGACTATCGTATAAGCCGTACCCGGGTCGGCCGGACAGGGGTGTTTAGCATGTTCCCCCAACCCCCCTGGACGTCCCCTTCACTCTAACCCATGTTCGGAAGACCCCTTGGGTGGCTTTGCGGGTGCTCCTTGGCGGCATTGTCGCTCCACAAGCCGTCTCTCGTCGCTCTACGTACGACATATTCAAGATAGACAGCACCATTGCACGACAGCACTGAAGACGCCGCCCACGACGCCTCGCCGCATCTCCGCCGCCTGCCACAGCGCGTTCCTGCTTGCGGCAACCATGCCTGCATGCGCATTGCATTAACCGCTGGCTTGGCCTGAGACACGCATTCCTGCCTCGACATCGGTCGACTACTGCTGCAACATGAACATCACGACCGCTCAACCGGACAATCCCTCGCACCGCCGCCAGTCGTCGCGCAGTGGCTCCATTTCCTCCTCGTCGCTTGCCCGGTCCGCCTCGCTGAGGGACGCCAACAACCCGGAATCGGCGTCCTCGTCCACCAAACCCCCCACAAGCGGGACACACCGCCCCCGACCACATCCAGACGCCGTTCAAGTGCCGCCAACGGCGCAGCAGATGGCATTGCAGCTGCGAGGGACGGCCCAGCTGCCTCTGCCAGTGTGAACCGCTGGTCTCAGAGCACCGCAACCCCCAGTCGGGACCAGCAGCAGGAGCGGAGGGATCAACACCACCAACACGCCAACCACCAGCACCACCCGAGTTTCTCGCGCAAACTGAGCATCACCACGACACTGCCTACCACGACGCCCACCACCGCCAATGGATCTGCTCCCCACCCGCAATCGCCCTCACGCACCGCCAATTCCGCCAGCCGCTCGCCCACGAGTCCTCGCCGACAACGCCCTCGCTCTCCAGCATACGACCCTCCATCGTCTGTGACGGCTCCCCCAAAGATACCCTCGCTGCCCCCGATACACCTGCCATCAACAGTCTACGACCCCAACACCCCCACCAGCACCTCGACCGCCAACAACTCGCCCTCTGCGTCTAGCCTCTTTACCCCGAACATTCTCTCGGGAAATCAGCCACGCGATTACTTCAACTCGAAACCCGCGCAGCCCCCACCTGCCCAAAGGCCTCCCTCGCGCACCACCAAGGCTGAAAGGGTGTTGGGGAAGTCGCCTCTCGAATCGCCTGCTGTCCTCCACGAGGCCGCCGACTCCACTTCGGGCCCAGGTCGGCCCTCCACAGGACGAAGACCCTCGATTGCTGCGGCACCTAGGGATATCGCCCAAAAGCCCCCACCGAGTGCGGGTCATAGGCAGGCCGCCTCACGGGACCACTCCAGGAGCCAGAGCAGAGAACAGTTCAGGTCTGCCAGCAGAGCCCACGCCCGGAGCCCCAGCAGGGATCACCTTCGCACTGAAAGCAACGCCAGCGCTAGATTAGACGACGGCCACCAGGGCACTCCTCCCCGCACACGCGAGCGGAGGGAGAAGGACAAGAAGACCATGTTGTCGCGCGCTCTGCAAAAGGCAAATACGGCCGTCTTGCTCGACAATGCGCAAAACTTCGAGGGCGCCATGGAGGCGTACGAGGATGCCTGCAAGCTCCTCCAGCAGGTCATGATTCGCAGCTCGCAGGAAGAGGATAGGCGGAAGCTGGATGCCATTGTAAGTAATGCGTGGATCATCTCCATAGACATGATACTAACCCAAGTAGCGAGTAACATATACCAATCGCATAGAAGAGCTGCGACGATTAGACCCTGGCTACATCAATCACAGTGGTAAATCGCTACCAGCTCGTCCTATGAGTGGGGAGTCGCTGGACGAACACCGCTCAATGCTGCTCCTGGACGACGATGACGAGCAACCTGCAGTAATTGAGACTGCTACAGTATCCCGCATAGTTAACGACCGTTCCATATATGATACCCCCTCCATGAGCGAGCCTACACCGCCGCTCTCACAGCAACTGCCCCTCCGCAAGGGCTTCGAAGGTCCCCGTGAGTCTGTCATATCCACAGCCATCCGCGATGTGCAAAGAGGCATGCAGAATCCACAGTTCAACCTGCAACCCCCACCTGGACGACTTGCGCCCTCTACGTCATCGGTTCGATCTTCCGCTGCCGAGTCCATGATGGACCGCGTGTACATGCCTCCACCACTGTCTCCAAAGCGGTCCAAATCTCCCCTCCTTAGCGGAAAGACTGAGACTGAGCCCGGAGAGTATGGCCGGCTACTCCAACCACAACAAGCAGTCAAATCGAACCACCAGCGAGTCCACAGCAATGAGTCAACGTCATGGCTCGACACTATAGACGAGTCTGGAGGATCATCGTGTTCCTCCTCAGTACATTCCATGTCTCCTGGAGGAGTACGCCGAAAACATCTACGAAACACAAGCGGCGGAACTGAGGCAGAATTCGATGCGGCGCTTGATGCAGCCGTTGAAGCTGCGTACGATGATGGCTACGAACCTTATGATGACGACATATCTACCCCTGCTGATTTGATAGCGACCAAGATGCGGAACGTGGAACTGGCCAAGGAGCGAGTACGTGAAGCGGAACGTGAGGAGGCCATTGCTGCGGCCAAGTATCGTTACAAAGAAACGCAGCTCAGAAGCGAGGGACTTCCACATGTGCGCGAAAGCGCTGAGATAAGATTCAACGACGAGGCGGATGAGGAAGAGCGATTACTGGACGAGATGACAAGAGAATACATGCTTGACGGCTTTGATTTCGATCTCCAAACAAAGTCGGCGCTGCCGCGGCAGTCGGACTCGAGCGGCTTTTCTGGAAGCACGTACAACAGCTCGGTATCCTCGCACAGAACGACGGGTGGTACGTCACTTTCGACGGTTGCAGAGGTCATACACCCGACATCCAAACAGCCACCCGTGCATCACCCTCCCCCGGTCCCTGCTCCATCTGGCGCTTTGCCTGCATTACCTTCGGTTCCGGAGTTACAAGCATCGCAACCAATCGACACCGCAGAGGTTACACCCCGGCCTACTACCGCTACCAAGGACGCAGCCTCAGTACGAAGCCGGAGACTATCCGGACAAAATGCAAAGTCTCTGAAAATCGAGACTTCCGTATCACCAGTCCCGCCTGCACCGCACACGGAGAAGCCTCCGGTGCCAGCTAAGGATGCGCCTCTCGACCTCCCTATCCAACCCAAGTCCGCGGCACCAACATTCAGCACTACTAAGCCAGCACTAGACCCCGCATTCAAACTTCCCGCGCTGCCGCAAGCGTCCCAACAATCTGGTCTCCGAGCTCCATCGCCTCAGCCTACCCCTTACAGTCCCGCCGAGACTGCTCCCACTGTTTCACCGGCGACGCCTGCCCTAGGCCATGCTGTACCCAACGAAGCCGGTCTTGTACCAGGTTCACCAAAGAATGGGAAAACCTCAGCGATGGGAATCAGGAAGAACAAGTCCTCTCTTAGCCTGAAGCAGCGCAATCTGTCGATATCCAGCCCAGATGGCTCAGATGCGTCTATAGGAACGCCACTCAGCACGACTTTCTCCATTACGGGGCGCAAACCTAGCAATGCTGGACTAGCGATGCCAACGCCCAGCATCCCCACATTCAACGTTGATGGTCTACCGAGTGGAGGGATGCACTTGTTCGAAAGTGATATTCACTCACCGTTTTCGCCCGGTTCGCCAAGCCCAGCCATCACAAACGCACCGATACCCCTAGAGCCATGTCCGGATTCGTATCTCCTGAGACCGTTCTGGTTAATGCGATGCTTCTACCAGACTATTGCACATCCCCGCGGTGGATACCTCTCAACTAAGCTCTTTATTCCTCGCGATGTCTGGCGAGTAAAGGGCGTCAAGCTAAAGAACATCGAGGACAAGATTGCCAACTGCGACATGCTTACAGCAGCCTTACAGAAGCTGGCATCTGTGGATACCAATGATGCAGATGCTGTGCTAGAAGAGATGCAGTCTTTGGAGCTAGTGCTCGATCAGGTGCAAACCCAGCTAGCGAAGAAACTAGGCAACGACGTCGGTGTACAGTCCGTAACCGCACTATTCAGAGACGCGACTACCGTCGGCGAAGGTGCAGCATCAGCCGACGGCGTCGGCAAGCATGGTTCCCAAGACCACGCCCACAAGGGTGCTGTTGCTCAGGGCAAGTCGTACCTTGCTTCTTGGCGGAAGCTTCGATCGAAGAACTCGGGCGTCAACCTCGTTGGCATGGCTGGTGGTGCCAAGAGTGCTGAAGTACCCAAGGACACTCTTGTCATGTCGACAGTTCCCATGACCAATCTCCCGAGCATTCGCTTCGCCAAGCGAGACATCTCGGGTCTTGTGTTTGAGGGTCCTAATGCAGGCTACATGGGTTCTTTGGCGCGGCTGTTTGATGCGGTCCAAATACTAGGTATGTCTTCCATGTCGTCTCTCATCACGACTTGTATACTAACAACTCCACAGACCAAATCGCCCGCCAAGTCGAAGATCCAGGCCTCAAGTATTCCTCCCCCACACACGTCGGTCTGGAGCTATCCACGCGCCACGCCGCAGAGTTCTTCGGCTTTTACATTTGTCGCTTTGTCCTCCAGGACGTTACCATGATGCTGGATAAATTCATCAAGAGAGGCAGTGAATGGGTTTTGGTTTAAGTGCAACAAAGACTTGCATCTGATGTGTTTTAATGGATGGACTTTTAATGAGAAGAAACTTCTTTCTTTCAAACGTTTGTATCACCATGTGGAGACGGTCAGGTTCGGTACTCTTACTTTGCGCGCGCTGGCATCCTGTAAACACCCTGCTCTGGTTATCAACACGTAAACCACAGTACGGTCGGACTGTTATGAATGAAGAAGAGGAGAATAGCGACGATGGGTTGGAAAGAAACGAGGAATGGTACGAAGCGGGACTGGTGTTGGGATTCGCTCTGGTCAGAGTCATGAGGTTATGGATCTTCTTTTCGCCTTGTTGAAGCGCTGGATGGTGCTAGCTTGGCTTTTGTTTCAATGTTGTCGTTGTTTGTTCGTCACTGCGTTGCATACTGTCTTCGAAGATATCCCCCCAGACTCATCTCAGCTTATCGTTATTACTATCGAAGCATCTTTTTATCAAAAGATTTAGAAGACACTTATTTTGCTTGTGTGGTGCACTTTCATATCCGGGGAATGAGCTGAGGAAGTTGGACTCCAAGACGTATTACGATTCATTGGAAAGAGGAGGGAAGAACTACTCAGCAGGCTAATCATACCCAAGGTCAAGAGGAAACAGTACAGAAGAACAAGCCCCAAACTCAAACAACAAAAGGCCGGCCTACCTTCGCCTTCTCAGCAGCAGTGGCACTTGAACGCTTCTCCTCCGCTTGGACCACAACACCGCCATACGGCGCAGTCTTCCCTTCCGTCGACACCCTACCCCTTGGCTCCGACCGATTCCACAACTCGAGATGCGTATAAAACCTACCATCCTTAGGCGGGGGCCTCTGAACTTCTGCTCGGCCCAAGATACCCGGCCTATTTGAAGCCGGCGACGGCGAAGCAGATCCCGCATCATCATCATCATCACTTCCACTACCAGGTAGATTGAGAGAGCGACTCCACGCTGTCCCCGCACTTTCCAAGCTACTGCTCGCGCGGATAGTGCGCATAACGGCTTTGGCCGTGATGAGATCGCTTTCGATCATTGCGGTTTGGAATGTTGTGAGGGTTTGTTGGAGACCTGTGACCGCTTCGGTGACGGGCCTATTCATTTCGCGGTGGAAACTGCGACCGAGCGTTGTGAGACTGCTGCTTAGGTTGGGAATGGCTTGCACGTAGTCCATGTAAGGGGCTGTGAGGTCGACAGTGAGGTTGTCAAGCGTGGGTGTTGTGGAGGGTGGAACGCTAGGCAAGGCCAGACTGGCCGTAATGGGGAGTGTGGGTGTGGGTTGGACAGGAGCTGTGCCGCTGATAGGGTTGGAGGTATTGGCGAGGTTTCCTGGGAGGAGCCACGACGTCTGTTGTTGTTGTGTGTCAGTAATGGCCGTAAGTAAGCTTGGTAAGATGTAAGACGCATACCCTGTTCGTGTCAAGCTGAAACTTCCCTCTCAAGATGGTATTGGTGATGTTATTGACTAGGTCCGCAGTGCCCATTTGACCGCTACCACCGAAGAGATTGAAGCCAAAGCCACGGTTGGGATTGTTCGGATCCCCGATAGCACTTGCGGCCGCATTGATGACGCTTCTCATATCGACAAGTTCCTGTACAGCGGGAGTGGCGATGGCGGTGGGAATCAGGATGATACCAGTGACTAGCATCGTGTGTAGCAGTGAGCAGGCCTTTTGGTAAGTCGAAAACATACTAAGCTGACAATGCGGCGAGAAAATACTCGGAGTTGTTATGCGTGTAGGTGAGAGGTGTTAGAGGTGTGTCAAATTATGCTGCTGGAAGCTAGAGGTGTCCTGAGTAAACTCTTGGTGTATAAGATTCGGAGGTTACGAAGCACTGCTGGCCTCTTATGGAGGTAATTCTGGGGCTAGAGGGAAGGGAAGCCGCGATAGGTACGGAAGCACGTTGTTGTGGATGCACAGGTGTAGAAGGTAAGAGCGATGGGTCGTTGGTCGTGAATATGCAAGCATGGCCGAAGAAAGCATAGATGCGTCGATAACACTACGTCGAGGCTCTATCGGATTTCTAGTATACAGCTTCCCGATCGCTGAATCTCTCAAATTATGTCCACCAACACGACCCCATACCTTCCAGCCCAACTCCACCGTTCCTTCCCTCGCCGTCAAGACTACGGGCATCACTTCAGTATTGAGAGTCTCGGAACCTGTATCACTAGGAACCGCCTTCTTCTTGCTGTTGATTCGAGCCCTATCGCTTAGCCCCAAGTCGTCTTCACCCTCGTCACTTTTGTTGATGCCTTCGTCCTCCTCAGCCCGGTTCTGCTCTTGCTTCTTGACCGTCGTCCCGCATATCCGCGAACTAGATTCTGCCACAGGATCAGCTCCAAAGATTGGCATCGTCTTACTGCTACGCGTTCCATGTTGCTTGAAAATAGTAGCAGCTTGCGCATCATGATCATCCAGACCCGATGAATGTGCAGTAAGCTCTACCTTCTCATCAATGAGAGATATTTTCTTCGATGGAAGACGCGAGAAGTCATAGCCCAAGGTGCCTGGAACAATAGGGTACGGGCGATGTGCTTTCGCAGCATACGCGTCTGAGCAAATCGTACCGAGCTTGTTGAATCAATGTGTCAAGAACCGAGAATCTGGATTAGTCTTTTCTACGATATCGGTCCCTAAGGACTGTGTCATGGTAGCCTTGATAGTGCCCGCGAAATCTGCTTTCACATTTCCTTTACCCTTAATAGAGGTTTGCTTCACTCCACGGATATCCAGTAGTGTTTTCGATAGCCCCCTTTTCGTGCTGTTGATTTTGTACGACAATTTTTCTTTTCCTTCTCGCTCAATCCGCCTTTTACCAGCTTCTCCAAGTTGTCACCCACGAGACTAGACAACACTGGCGACACGAGGTAGTAGCTGTAACGTGTAAGTAGTATATACCCTTCACAACTAACCTGGTAGTCTGCAGATTGTGGGGGTTGGTGCCGTCAAAGAGTGTATTGAGTTCTGTGAAAACGAAAGCAAAACTGTACTCTGTATAGTCGTTCAGCTTACTTGTGTCAAGATGAACCTATAGCGTCTGTATGTCTTGAAGATCTACTTCGGAATTGCGTATCTTGTGGAGCAGGTCTCGACACTTGATCTTATTGTCGAGTATGATTTGATCGGGATTGCGAGGTGAGTTGACAGCCAAGTTTGGGTTGGGCTTCTTCCTTGGTAGTATAACCCGCGAAACGACTGTTCTGACATCTTGTTCACCTTTTTCCTGCTCTTGTGGCTTTCTGCTGCTTTTCCGGGCACGCAAGGTGTGTTCGTAGGGTATCTACGGCGTAGGGATAGTAGTTTTGCGTTACTGACTCTACCTTTTGCTCTGGCTCCATAGAGTTGTCGCGCTCCAACTGAACTATCTTCTGTGATTAACGTGTTAAAGTAATATGGTTGTGATCAAGGACCCGGGTGGACTGCGGTTAAGAAGGATGGACGGTTTTGCTTTGTGGAAGACCCAAGAGGGGCTAGGCTACGCATATAGGTGGAGAGGGTAAGTGAATACTGCCCTCGTATATACTTCTAGTCTCATGGCAACATTGCGGGGCGTGACCAGCTGGTAGCAATATCAGCCCCAGTGGTGTCCAAATGCATTCATGTGACCATATGGTGCTCCAGCTCTAGTCCTCTGACACGGGTCTTTTACAACGTTGAACCATCTGATACATCCTGATGACGTGTCGCAGTTAACGGTGCTGATGGAAAGGCTTCCGATATTCGAGGAGGTACTACGATAGTCTCCATCTAACCTTGATATTGTAATTGCGCACTGCGACTCTCTCACTTCCATTAACCATGGCTATGGTCAGCTTGTTGTAGAGTACCCATAGAGCCTCCACTTGCTTTCTCATAGGCCCTCCACCATAGTCCCATATTCGCTGCGACTAGCAGGTCCATCATCTTCAGGCCTTCGTCTTCCAGAATGATCTTTCCCAACTTCGCTTGCTTGCCACCAAAACCACCACCCGCGAACTCCTGACCTAGAGAAAGATCCAAACGATCCAACGAGCTTCTAGCCTCTTCGGTATCATCATCACAGCCAAGTGATGGAGACGAGTTGTTGCGACTGTGTCGCCCTCGACGAAAGAATGAGGAGCGTTTTGAGGATTCTTCGCCTCTCGGTGTGGTGCCTTTCGGACCACTCGGAAGGTTGAATCTTACTTCGCTAACCGTCATGGCTGTGGACGGCGCTCCTTGAAGCCCTGGGACGATGTGTCGACACTACCATAGTAGTCAGTATCATTTGTGGCGCATCACGTTGGTACAAGTGAAGTCACCTTTAAAGACCCCCCGCCTACTCCCGTGACGAACTCGCATCGGCCGTTCCACGGACTTGTAAAGACATAACCGCGGAAACTTGTTTGCCTATCAGAGACTTGAATGCTACTATACGTCTGGTCTTCCCGTGTCATAAATGGAGGGGTGGGAGGAGGCCGCACATCTGTTGACGCAAAGTTGGTCTGCGCATTATAACTACCTCTTGAGTCAGGGCGTCCGGTGTTGTGGTCACGGGAATTGATTTTCCTATGTCCAAAGCCACCTGTATGCTGTGATCCTTCCATCCAGATGCGCCGGCGAAAGACATTCTCGTTCACCGATGGGTGATTCCCTGTCTGCAATGTTTGGATAGACGTGCCACTATCTCGGCTTTCCAGAGGAGGCTTGCTAGTGGTGTTGGAATGGAGAAACTTGGAGTAGCCGGGATTGAACACTTCGATGTACATTGGCGCTCCGATCTTTTTCTTGGTGCTAGGATCATTCGATGTTTGAGACGAAATATCCAGGACAGGAGGATCCTCAATGCGAGCAACATTCCATTGCGCGCCAGATGCAGGATCTCGCCGGATAAGAGTGAGTGACGCACTAGCACGTGATGGGTTCTCCGATCGTCTGCGTGGTGAAGCTGTCGGTCTCCGGTTTTCTTGTTGGTACTGGTTTGAATCGAATGAACGTCGTGGGCTTTGGCTATAGTCTGGGGCGAGCATTGCAGACCTCCGCGCATAATTACCTGCATCGATGTTTTGGTTGTTTGAATAATTGTTGATGGGCGCGAGAGTGCTAGGAACAGGTTTTCGGATGGGGGCAGTAGTTATGCCGGGTACCGCTTTTCTAAGAACGACAGGTGTAGAGGCAGAGTTGAAAGGAATCTGATTCTGTTGTAGATGATCCGGATCCTGGACTTCGGGAGGGTTGACAAGGTAAGCATCTTCTGGTTGCTCAACGTGGACGAAGTAGAGTGAGCTTTGTATGTCTTCTGCAGTCACCACCTTCTCCCGCGGCTTCATCGGAGATAAGAAGACATCTGAAGCACGTTAGGCTTACATTAGAAGGATACATGTTAACAGCCGTACCTCTGCTGCCAGGAACACGGGCGATATACAGTACTAGTGGCTCATGCCTCTCATGAGTAGGATTCCTTGGATAAGCTGGTGGGTTGGAAGCAAGAGCGGTAAGCGACGAGAGAGATTTGGCTTCGATGATGGGCGTAGCCATTGGAGCAAAAGATAATGGCAGTGTTGATAGCCAGACAGCGCCGAGGTGGTTGCTTATTAGGTGATCACTAGTTGTCTCCAGGGCAATGTCCGGGATATATTAAGGCAAGCAATGACGAGGTTGTGCCTGTGTTCGGGTGGCTGTGCGGACGCGTCTCCACCCACTATTCATGTACAACAAATAGATGGTCTTGGCCTATCGTTGTAGAGCGCGAGGGACAAGCGGACGAGGCTGATGCTGGTGAAGGAGCCTGGAGCACGCGAGGCCGTTTCGCGTTAAGCCCGACCGGGCGGTGGCTGGGGCGGCGGCACTCTATTGGCGCAGCAACTAAGGGCCCTAGCGCTGAAGTTCTGCGAAATCTTGGCTTGGTTTTGACCTCGATTTTCGCGACCCGCACGACACGCTCGCCCCGCCAACTCTACGCCCTGTACCTTTCGAAATAAGTACAGACTATATTGCGAAAAGTGCACTGCGTCTATTGTATCCGCAATGGGCGACAATCTCGAGGTATGCACCGGGAACGACTCCTGCCGGGCGTTCTCGCCGCTAACTGAGAGCTGCAGGAGCGTCTAAAGAGCCATGCTCGTGCCTTTGAAGGTCTCATGTCTCTGATACCCGCCAAAGACTACTACGGAAAGGATGAGAGTATCACTAGCGTATGCACCTCTTCACCTCCAGGCCTCCGCCTTATGCTGACATAATGTCCGCAGACGCAATGGCAAAAGAAAGGGAAGAAGCAGACCCTCGAGGAACGACAAGCAGCCAAGCGAGCGAAGCTGGATCCTGCCTCACACAAAAGCGCCAAAGACGTCATGGACGAGAACGCGCTGAAGCGGAAGCGTGAATTGGAGGGTGAGGAAGTGTCCGAGCCTGAGTCGTCCGACCTCGACATGGACATCACAAAGGAGAAGCCTCTTGAGGGAATCAAGAGCAAGGCAAAGAAGCAAAAGACCCAGCCCGTCGAGCCAGAAGTCGAGGAAACCGAAGAGGCTGCTGAGACCCGGGCTTTGTCAAAGGCGGAGGCTAGGGCTGCCGCGAAAGCAGAGAAGCGAAGGGAGAAGAGAAAGGAGAAGCAGGAGAAGAACAAGAAAAAGGAGGAAGCGAAGAAGACGCAGCAGACGTCGTTCCAAGATCTCGCCGCCGCCAAACAACCTGAAGAGGACGAGGTCGAGGAAGACGACGAATCTGCAGACGAACTCGAACACCCAGATGAGCGCATAGAAGCTTTAGACGTCAGCGGTCTCGTCGAAGAGGGTCAGTCTACCGATCCCTCCACTGCTGCCAATTCCAACTCCTCTACAGCCTCGGTCGCATCAGCCGCTTCATCAAACTCTTCATTACCCCAGTCCGGCGAAGAAGCACCACAGAAGAAAACCAAGAAACCGTACACGATCGACCCACAAAAGCATGAAGATTTTCGAGCTCGGTTGAACGCAAAGCTAGAGGCAATGCGTGCGGCGCGCAAGGCTGACGGTCCAGATGGACGTCCGGCACGGAATCGCGCAGAGTTAATCGAGGCACGACGGAAAAAGGAAGCCGAGAAGAAGGCTGCGAAGAAGGCCCTTCGTCAGGATGCGAAGGAGGATGAGGCACGACAACAAGCAGAGGAGCAGCTCGCACGGATAAGAGGCGGTTCGGGTTCACCTTCCGTGTTCCCAGCGAGGTCGCCGGAGCACGAGCGCAACTTCAACTTTGGCAAGATCGCATGGGACGGCGCACAGCTTGAGGGGAATCTCTCTGGATTCCTCGAGTCCAAGAAGAAGAAGGGCAAGTCGGATGCAAAGACAGCACTAGAGGCTGCGCAGAAGAAACAGGCTCGTCTAAATGGCTTTGATGAGGACAAGCGCAAAGACATTCAGGAGAAGGACCTATGGCTCGCCGCCAAGAAGAGGGCACAGGGTGAGAAGGTGTTCGACGACGTCAATCTTCTGAAGAAGAGCCTTAAGCGTCAACAAAAACAGAAAGACAAGAGCAAGCAAGAGTGGAAGGAAAGGCTTACCAACGTTGACCAAGGAAAGGCAGCGAAACAAAAGAAGAGAGAGGAGAACTTGAAGAAGCGCAAAGAGGAGAAGGGTCAAAAGGGCAAAAAGAAGGTCAAGAAGCCTGGCAAGAAGGTTACGAAGCGACCAGGCTTTGAGGGTACGTTCAAGGCGAGATAATCATAAGGCTGGACGGAACGACGGTAAATAAAAGGAAAAGGGTGGCGGCATGCACACTATTGGAAGGCATTTGGCGTTTGATACCATATCATGGCAGGCATCGTATGAGCGTTAGGAGTATCAGGGTCTTGAATATTACGATGTCTTTTCTCCGAATGTATTAGTTCAGATGTCAAAGCTGTCTCGCAAACCAATAGCAATGCATTCAACTGGGCCCTTGATTGCAGTACACTCAATGTTTACATTATATGCTCCCGAGGTCTTTGATGTGGCCACACGTGTTGAGATGATCTTTTCTTGTACTGATGCATTGACAAATGAAACCCGACTGATTGTGTCAGGCGGAACCGCTCTTCTTATATATACAGTAATTTCGCACCGCGCCTATCCATTATCTGTAAGGCGCATCCGCACGAGCAGCTGCAGCGATCTCAGGCTCCCACTTGTCTCCGTTTGCTAGCAACTTCTCCTTGTTGTAAAGTAACTCTTCTCGTGTCTCAGTCGCATACTCAGCGTTGGGTCCTATATCATGTTAGCATGTAGTCCCGGAGCTCACGGGAGACGTGCACATACCCTCAACAATGGCGTCGACTGGGCAGCTCTCCTGGCAGAGACCGCAGTAGATGCACTTGGTCATGTCGATATCATAACGAGTGGTCCTCCTGCTACCGTCCATGCGCTCTTCAGCCTCGATTGTGATGGCCTGCGCAGGGCAGATGGCTTCGCAGAGCTTGCAAGCAATGCAACGCTCCTCACCCGTGGGATACCGTCGCAGAGCGTGCTCGCCTCGGAAGCGGGGTGAAATGGGGCCCTTTTCGAATGGGTAGAAAATAGTGTATCTTCAGAAACGTCAGGTCACGTATTCCGAGTGTCCAGCGTGCTGGCAGCCTGTGTATTGAAGTACTTACGGTGGTCGGAAAAACTGCTCCAGCGACACATACATGCCACGGAACATCTCCATGAGCAAGAAGTACTTGCCGGCGCGGTCCAATGCACCCTCTCCTTCATCCCATCGCTTCGGTTTGGGTAACCGGAAGCCTGGCGGCGGGGGTCCTGCTGGGGTGGCGGCTCGGGATAAAGTGGTAGAGAAGAAGGCGACGGTGGCGGGCGAGGGGAGGCGTCCTGACGCGAACTGTGGTGACCGGAGCAGCGTGGCAGCTGGGCGGCTTCGCGCCAACATTGTCAATGGCTTTGCGCTGGCCATTGTGAGCGTGGTGGAGTCGCTGGCGAGTTGGGGGGTTGCTGGCGGATATGGAGGTTGTCGTCAAGCTCGAAACTTGAGGTTGTCGCTTGTAACGCGGAAGCTGCGATTGGCCGAGAAGTCCAATGACGGCAACAACGGTGGGAGGCAACTCCGAGGTCAGAGATTTGTATTGAGTAATATCGAAGCGTCTGTGAAGGAATTTCAAGTCTTATTTGGACATTTACATTAGTTGTTGTAACAATCGAAGGTGCGTTTGTTTACTCGTACTGAAATGCTTCTTGACGGCTGACTAACGTAATGTAACTTTAGTCTGAAGTTCTAGTCGAGCATCAACATCACCACCACCACCGACCTTGCTACCTCGCACGACACCCTCGCAACCCGTCACAATGTTCCGAACAGCACTTCTCAGGTCCGCCCGGTCCGCCGTCCGCGCTGCCCCACGATGCCAGGCCGCAATGGCTCGCCCCGTTGCGCGAAGCTCGTTCGTCCAGCCAAAGCAAATGAACCCCTCCGTATACTTCCAGGCCGTACGATGCTACGCCGCGAGCGCTGGTCTGTCAAAAGATGAAGTCACTGGCAGGATAATGGACCTTTTGAAGAACTTCGACAAGGTAAATGGCTATGCGACTGGATTTTTAGGCAATGGCTAACGCAGAAGCAGGTCACCGATGCTTCCAAGGTAGCTACCACACGTATGCGAGGGCTCGGAAACAAGTACTTACAATTTATAGCTGAACGCTGAATCGCACTTCCACAACGACCTCGGTCTCGACAGTCTGGATACCGTAGAAGTAGTCATGGCAATCGAGGAGGTTAGTTGATGCACACGCGATACACGGAAGGCAAATCTGACAAAGTGGTAGGAGTTCAGCATTGAGATCCCCGACAAGGAGGCCGATGCCATCCACAGCGGTACGTTTCGAGGTGCAGGGTCAAATTTATACATACTGATGATATCACAGTCAAGCAAGCAGTGGACTACATCCTGGCTCAGCCCGATGGTGAGTCGCAACTTGAAAATGACAATGTTATTTCACACTAACTGTATTCTAGCTCACTAAATTATATTGAGATCCGCGCTGAGAGAGAGATGATGGATGTGGAATTGGTAGTCGGTCCTACCGGCATCGCTATATATATGCCTCCTTGTAAAACAGTCGCCTGGGTCGGCACCGTGTACTTCTGATAGAATTGACGCTATCCACCTCCCATTGCTCTGGTTATTGTGGTGTTGGACGCCTGTCTACTTGATCGCTGAGGCGTGCGTAACTAATCTTGGCACATCCGAGACCGAGCCCTGTCCGCCGATAGATGTGGCATGAGAATCAACCCCCAACGCGAAACTTGCACAAGCGCCTTACAGTACCCCCTTTATCGTTACATCGCCGTGCTCTACTACCCTCTCTTACATCGCCCTCACCGAAAGTCCCACATAGTCCGACACCGCGTATGCGCAGCCCAAGCGCCCTCATCCCTGCGCCCGTTGAGGAGCATCACCCATAATTTCAACATACACTCCCCACCAGTTCCACAACCACACCTGATGGCTTCTAGCTCTGGTCTGACGCGCCGGAGAGGAGGCGGCGGCGGCGCTGCTGGCAACGGCGAAGACGAGAGCAGCCGGGTCAGCTCGCCAGCACCCAAGCGCAACGACGACCGCACCCCCGAAACCTCCTACGAAAGCTCCGAGAACGGCCACAAGATCGCATTCGATCCCCGGGATATTAGCGAAAATGCAGAGAGGAGCAAACAGCCCAAGCTGACGCTCATGGAGGAGATCATTCTCATGGGACTGAAAGACAAACAGGTGTGTACACCGCAGGCTGCGGGCGGGCCAGGGGCAGCAGGCTGATGAGTGAGAATTAGGGATACCTGTCGTTCTGGAACGACAACATTTCCTATGCGCTACGAGGATGCATTGTCATAGAATTGGCCTTTAGAGGCCGTGTGAGCATGCAGAAGGACTCGAATCGGCGACGTTTCCCCCTCGCAGACAGGGTCATTGAGGTTATTGATGACACGTTGACTGGAGAGGTTCTGCTAGACGAGGCCCTGAAGATGATGAAGACGAGCGAAAAGATGAGCGTCAACTCCTGGATCGACCTCATGAGTGGTACGTCGACGCCGCACGATTTCAAGGCTGGTGCTCGTCACTAACTATATATATATAGGAGAGACATGGAACCTCATGAAGATCGGCTACCAGTTGAAACAAGTACGCGAACGACTATGCAAAGGCCTCGTCGACAAGGGCATCCTCCGCACTGAAAAGAAGAACTTCCTGCTGTTTGACATGGCTACACATCCCGTCGCAGACGGCGGCGCAAAGGAGGAGATTCGACGCAGAGTCCGGAACGTCCTCACCAACCGCACCGTAGTCCTCCCCGGCAGTCAATTTCTCCCAGAAGAATTGGAGTTCCGGGTGCTCCGAACAATTACCATGGTCTGCGCCGCTTATGCCGCCAATGTCCTAGAGAACGCCTTGACAACTTTGGGTCACGAAGCGCGAGAACGGGCTTTCGCTCAAGTGGACGAGTTGCTGGCAGAATACTCACAGTGGCCATTTGCAAAGAGACAGGGAGGCTCGCAGGGTGTAGGCGCAAACTTGGGTCAGCTCATCACGGACGAAGTCAACGGCTCCAAGGATAAGGAGCTGCAGCTTGAGGTAAGTTTATTACGTTTTTCTTTCTAAAATGTCGACAGAGCGCTAATGATTGTACCACAGGTTGTTGCTGCGTGCTTGAGTGTGTTCACTCGACTTGACTCACTGCTTTGAGCGGGGAGTACGTGTCAAGAGTAGTTATATACTGAGCTGCAAGGAGGCGCAGGCCTTAGCAACAGCGAACCTGGGCTATTGGAGTATCTACCGCCAGCAAACCAGACACATATAGCCGGTGAACTTGAAAGCGGCGGTGTGCCCGGACCGGGACTGGAAAATGTCGGGTATCGTCAGTTTCTAGCATCGATGCAACTAGGACGGATTCGGATGCGAGGGCGTCGGAATGCGATGACGAGGTGTACCCCCAGACGCTTCTTCTTCTTTTCAGCTAGGCGGTTCTTTCCATAAAATACAACCTTTATTCAAGAACGAACGAAGTGCATTACACGGTGGCTTTGGCTCGAAGCTTGCCTATCTAGGGATGCGCTAGCATTCGTCATGGCGTTACACGTGATGAGTGCGTGGAGACGATGGAGTGCGAGTGTAATTATGTGGAACAGTCGGTAGAAGGAACATGGCCTCTGCCCTGGTGAAAGAAACCACGCCTAGCAGAGGCTGTGGCTGCGTTGGAGCGTGCCGACCAGCTTCAGTGTTGGTTATGGGCTCTGGCTGGCTCGGCGCTTGCAAGCGGCAGAAGTGGTGCTTTGGCGCAAATCCATCAATGCCTCTGCCTGACACACAACACATCATTCCAAGTTCCGAGCTTATCCACGGCCGCGACCCCGCCCAAGGTATCGCAGTAGGTGTTTCGCCGATTTAGGTTTCCTGCCAATACTCTCGCCTGTGAAAGGCTTACAGACGGGCTGCTGCGCGCTTGACTACCCGATCGGCACTTCTTTCCCTGGACAGCCAAACAGAGGCCCAGCCCAGCCCTGTGACCTGTGACGACGCGCAAATTGCATGCTCCCAAAGGTATGTGTTTTTTCTATTGCTACTATTTATTCTCGTGATAGCGGCGCGATGGATGCGCTTTCTTGAGATGGCGGTGTTGTTGTTGCTGTCGCCATCGCATCGCGCACCCGCCCCCTTCTTCTGCCAGGCGCGACCGCATGGGACGCCCATTGACCCACACGAGCCTCCATCACTCCTTCCAGCCTCCATGCCTCGGCTCTAACAAGGGCAGCAACACGCAGGTCGCTCCTGCCGCGCGCATTAGATTTCACTACGCGATGCCCTCTCCGCCCCTAGCCGACTCCCAAGCCCTCGATCCGACCCACGGCGCGTCCACAAACGGCAACAGCAGTGAAGGTGCTGTCCAACCCGCAAACGCCCCAACCACCCTCAATGGACCCGACATCGCGTCCAACGAGAACAACGCGATTCGAGACGGAAAGCAGAAAGCCAAGGCGGTCATGGCTGCATCCGGTCTGAACCTCCCCGGCGCGCAAGACGACATGGCATCGCCAGCGCAACCCGAAGCCATCAACGGCGCGTCGCCTAGCAGAAAGCGATCGCGTTCGGGAACCCGCAAGTCTTCACACACGCCGTCCCACGAAGACGGCGCGAAACCCACGGCCTCGCAGACCCATCTCCTCGATCGATACATTGCGCGCGACCTCCTCGATAGTGTAAACAAGTACGAGCGCAACAAACATTCCGAGAAGGTCTATGGCGAACTGAACGATCTGCGCCATTTCTACCGCGACGAAGTATATCCTGTCCGGCGACAAAATCCCGGCGCCATCTTTGGATATGGGTACGCCGGCTATGGCAACGGCGTGACCGACATACCAGCCGATCCCAGAGACCCGCGAGCCTTGCCACAAACGAAACTTCTATACCCTGAACATGCCAAGCGCGCCGGCCGTCGACTTGCACCGCAACTGAAGGTCTCGAAAGAAAAGGCGGTGCAGCAAGCAGATCAGATCGAGGAACTTGTACCTGTGCGTTTGGATATCGAGTTGGATAGACTGAAGCTTCGCGACACTTTTACCTGGAATCTCCATGACCGCGTTACCAACCCTGTGCTCTTTGCCCAGACTCTCGTCGAAGACTTCCAAATACCACCCGAACTACGCCAGAATGTAATGCAACAAATCGATCGCGAGATCCACGAGCAGGTACAGGACTACTATCCTCACGCTTTCTTCGACGACGAACCACTAGACCCTAACCAGCCATACTCGGCATACAAGAATGACGAGATGCGAATATTAATCAAGCTGAACATCACCATCGGCCAGCACACGCTTGTGGACCAGTTCGAGTGGGAGATCAACAATCCTCTGAATGCGCCCGAGGAGTTTGCAAGACAGATGGCCGCTGATTTATCACTATCCGGAGAGTTCACCACCGCCATTGCCCATTCCATAAGAGAGCAGTGCCAGATGTTCACGAAGAGTCTATATATCACAGGACATCCCTTCGACGGGCGGCCAGTCGAAGATACAGACATACAAGACAACTTCTTAGCCTCTCCACTCCCCTCCGTATTCCGCCCGATGCAGTCTACAAAGGACTATCAACCATACCTATACGAACTAAGCAACGCTGATCTGGAACGAGCCGAATTATCTATCATGCGCGAACAGCGGCGCCAAAAACGATCCGTCAACAGACGCGGTGGCCCTGCCCTGCCAGACCTCAAGGATCGCCAACGAACCGTGCGCACCTTGGTAGTTTCGTCAGTCCTGCCTGGTGCTGCAGAGACCATTGAGGACAGTCAACTCTTCAAGGCCACGCGCAAGGTCAGGGAGGGCCGCCGCCGTGGCGCTGAGGGCAGTTCAGATGATTCAGATAGTGACGACTCGGTAATGGAGTCTCCGGCGCCTGCACAGATGACTGGAGGTACTGCTCGAACCCGTGGCATGCGTGGAGCTGCTACTGCGGCTCAAGCAGCAATGCGGTCCGCTATTGGGAGATCAGCAACTCCCGAAGTGTCTAATATCCAAACTCACCACGAGCCACGGGCGTCCAGATCCCTACGATACGAGGCGCGTGAAGAAAGCGTTTCTGAACCTACATCACTCATAGTCAAACTCCGTATCTCGCCCGCAAAGTTCAGGGAGTGGCAGAGGAACCCAAGAGCTTTCGCAAAGCCCGCTTCGACTCCCATGATGGCACCCTCGCAACCACCAGCACGAAGCACGCCTACCGCAAATTCAATGCCACCTCCACCATCACCGGCCATGCCTCCTCGCTCCACCCCGACCGTACCAACATCTGTTGAAGCTTCGCCGAAACCGCCACCCACACCCACACCATCAACACAGAATAAACAATGGCAGTACAGGCCGGACGGCTCATTGGAGGCACCTTGGCCAGCGCCTGCCGCTTCACAACACGTAAGATCTCCCCTAGCATATATATATAGATTTCTAGCTGACCCGCATTAGCCTCCCACTCCTCCGTGGCTTCAACAAGCTCTTCAAGATTTACGTGATCGGAACCCCGGCGAGCTCTTCGAATCTACTATGCGCTACGCTGTCATGAATGAGCGCCATGAGGATCCGAAGACTGGCGAATTCGTGTCCAGACAAGTCAAGCTGGATACGTTGTCTCCAAACGCTCCCCTGCCGGCGAATCACAAAGCATATTTCTTACCGCGAATCCGATGCATAGACTGCCCAGGGAAACTTTACAACGCTGGACCCGAGCAGACGGTCAGTAATTTCGAACTACATCTGAAGAATCGCGTACACATGGAGAACGTGCGCAAACGGACTGGTCAGCCTTTGTAGGCTTAGCATTCCGATCATCTAGCTGCGCGAACGGGAAATGATATTCAGAAGCATAGCGAGTTCTTTTTGATATATGCAAGCGCATTTCAGGGTATAAAGTCCCGTGTAAAAACAGCGGATCAGTTGGGAGCATGTGGAGTTGCGCATACAGACAACGTGCTGGTGCATCGGCGTTCTCATTTGCCAGCTACAACTTCTGAAATCAGTAGCCCCATGTTGGATTATCACTTGGAAGTGTGGGCACAATTGCAAATTTTGATCTTTGTCCGAGACTACTATCAGCACCTTCCTACTTCTCTTAGTTGGTGGTGTCGTTTGTAAAGTATAAGTAGGGTTGGTAGTCTCCGACGCAGCGATGTAGGTAGGCGTCAATCACAGTTGTTCATGTCACCAAGTTGTGCAGTTGTGTTCCCTTCGATATCGCAAAACTCTGCGCATTCCGCAGTTCCCGATCTCTTTCGCTATTGTGACAGAGAAAACGTCGTCCCCGCTTGGAGCAATCATTCCATCACGTGTTCGGTTCCGGCTATACGTAGCCCGCCGTCATGATGCTCAGAGCGACTTTTCTTATCACCACTCTCCTCACTCTCGTCATGAAAGCTCACGCTGCCACTCTTCCAATCCGAATCCTAACCCACAATATTCGCTATGCCGCCAACCCACCAGCCTCAGGCGAGAAACCCTGGCCGACACGCAAGCAACTGATTCTCAATGAGCTGCACTACAATACCCTACACAACCCAGAAGCTTTCATCTGCCTCCAAGAAGTACTCAATGAGCAGATAGTTGACATCATGGCCGGCCTGGGCGACGAATGGGCCTACATTGGCGTAGGTCGAGACGACGGCAAAACAAAAGGAGAATACAGTCCCATCATCTACCGCAAGGCCGTCTGGGGACTCATAGCATGGCAGACTGTCTGGCTAAATGAAAATGGAGCCGTAGGGAAGAAAGGCTGGGACGCTGGATCCGTCCGCATCGTCACAATCGGCACGTTCAAGCACAACCAAAGCAAGAAGACCATGGTAGCGATGTCTACGCACTTCGATAACGCAGGCGCCATCTCGCGCCGTGAATCCGCGAAGATTATCGAGAAGGTCGTTGCTAATGTCGCTTCCCCCACTGCGAATGGCTCGTCCGCTACGTTACCTTTCTTCCTAGCTGGTGATCTTAACTCTGAGACTTCGGGCGAGGCATACACGATTCTGAACAATGGTTCGTCTGTTATGCAAGATACGAAAGAGCAAGCTAAGTGGTTGTATGGAGATCAGAACACGTTTACGGATTTTGATGATAAGACGAAGACGCTGATTGACTTTGTTTTTGTGGGACCGAGGGGAAAGGGTGATTGGGTGGTTGAGGGGTATAGCGTGTTGCCGAATAGGTTTGAGGATGGGGTTTATGGGAGTGATCACAGAGCGGTCGTTGTGGATGGGTTATTGAAGATCTGAGGTTGGACCTTTCTTTATTGTCTTGATCAAGACTGTTCTTAGCGTGTGATTATACGCGTATGCTTAGGAGACATCCACCTGACTGTAGTGAAATTGCTCTGCAGTTTCACCTGTATCGGATTATGCAGCAAAGTACCGAAATCCGCAACTGTGGCCTAGGTGATCACGAGTCTAATTTCAAGATCCAGGGAGATTAATTCACTTTAGGAAGAAAAGCAGGCCGAGTGTGACGTTGTCAGGCGATCGTCGTCATTGGGCTTTGGTTAAGCGAAAGCTCGAAAGCACCCCACTGAGGGGCTGGTCTGTGAACACAGGAACGACCTCGCGCACCACTCCAATTCTAGCTCCAGACCATCTTCCCACACTCAACCATACTCAAGATGGCGGAATCAACAGCTGTCGGTAAGCTCAATACTTATCCCCTGTACATGTCGTCGACATGAGAAGCTATTTGGACAGAGATATAGCTCAGAACAGTTTTGTCTCGTCAATGAGTCGCAGAAGCTAACCCTCATTACAGACTACACCATGGCGAACCCAGATACTATCACCAAGTACAAGGTCGCCGCCGAAATCTCCCAGAAAGTCCTCAAGGAAGTCTCCGGTACGACGCTCTTCAAGCTCTCGCTTACTTCGCGCGCATGAATAGACATATGAACTGATCGTTTCAGGATGGATCGCCGCCGATGCCAGCATTGTCGAGCTCTGTGAGCGCGGTGACAAGCTCCTAGATGAGGAGGTTGCCAAGGTCTACAAGGGCAAGAAGGTCCTGAAGGGCATTGGACACTGCACGACCATCTCTCCGAGCGCCTACATCACCCCGTACACACCACTCAAGTCCGACACCGAGGAAGCCGCTACGACACTGAAGGAGGGAGAGGTGGTCAAGATTCAGTTGGGCGCCCAGATCGATGGCTTCTGCGCAATTGTTTGCGACAACGTCATCGTTGGCGCCTCCGAGGAAGTCACTGGACGGGAGGCAGACCTCATTCTGGCTACACACTACGCGAACGAGCTCTTGCTGAGGTTGATGGTACCTCCAAGCTTGGTTCCCCACGGCGACGAGGAGGAGCAAAAGAAGGCTGCGTCCAAGAAGCCCTACACTCAGAGCCAGATGACCAACATGCTTGAGAAGGTTGTCAAGGCGTACGGCTGCAACCTCGTTGAGAGCACCACAATCTGGCAATTCGACCACAACGAGATTGAGTCCAAGAAGAAGATCATTCTTGCGCCCGGCGAGGGTGTCAGGGGCGAGGGTCTTCCTGAGGTCGGCGAAGTGTGGGGTGTTGAGATGGGTGTCAGTCTCGGAAGCGGCAAGGTCAAGAACAACGGCAACAGGACCACTCTGCACCGACGTACGGCTACCACCTACCAGCTTAAGCGCCCTACCTCGCGAAGCCTTTTATCTGAAGTAGTAAAGAAGTTCGGTACCTTCCCCTTCAGTCTGCGACAGCTTGAGGACGAGAAGAGTGCCAAGGTTGGTGTCGTCGAGTGCGTTCGCACTGGTGTACTTCGCCAGTACGAAGTCGTCGTTGACAAGGACAACCAGCCCGTAGCTAGATTGTTCACCACTGTTGGTAAGTTCCTAGGATTTCCCCTGCTCGCTCCCTGCTCGGGAGATGCCCGACATTGGCCGATGTGGCCCGCTATTTGATTTCCAGATCATCGACCTATTTGCTGAAGGCAAAAGGTCGTACAGGCCGTTTCATTAGCTAACATTTTGGCAGCGATCAACAAGAACGGCATGCAGCGCCTAGCTCAACCTGCTGCCATTGACACCTCCAAGTACAAGTCTGACAAGAAGATCGAGGACGAGGAGATCCTCAAGATCCTGGAACAGCCCATTGGCAAGACTTCAACAAAGAAGAACAAGAAGAAGAAGAAGAAGCCTGCCAAGAAGGCCGCCGAGGGCGGTGCTGCTGCCGAAGAGGAGGAGAGCGACGATGAAGAGTAAATGTAGTTTCTAAGGAAGCTTAATGCCATATCCGCCATTCGACTATGAACCTGTATAACACGGACTATTTTGAGACCGTAAGAACGGCAGGACCGGGAACAAATTCGGCAAATGACCTAGGTCTGATGTGTTTTGTACTATGGCCACGCATATGATTATGTAGAAGCGATAGCATTCCACAAAAAAAAAAGATCAGTTTTCCGGACACCGTCTATCGTAACTTCTGTCTATTAAAGACTGATTCAGCACCTAGTGAATGACAGACTCGCACTCGAAATTTGCTCCTGTGATCTGCGAGATGAGACCGTGCATCTCGACGCGTCTCTTGCCCCAGTCACCTGATACATCAGCGATCTTGAGTGTGAGATATACATATGCTAAATCAAGGGACGAGTCTCGGTGGTAAACTATTGCCTCTGGAGGAGTGGGAATGTGGTGGGCTATGTCACGTAGTTGTTCGTGTTTTCAATGAGCTCTCTGTCTGTCTCACGCTACTGTCCCGTATGCGTCAGAGGCAGCAAGTCTGGTAAATGCCCAAGAACTTCTTGATTGCATTAGACAATATGGAGTACTATACCACAGTCCTTCATCCGAATAACCAGGCACAATGTGAGGTGACGCAAAATAGTGAGCAGAATTTACCCCTGAGCGGAAGGTGCATAGAGTTGCTTGTCCATTAAAAGTATTTTGTAGTAGAGCTGGGTACTACGCCGATACAACTGTCTCTGTCGGAGTACACATTCTGAAATCGCGTGACGATGCCTGCGGGCCGCGCTTGGTGAATGTGAGAATGGCACGTCAGGGAAAAAGCGTACTTGGTCTCGCGGATTCCCTTTTGTATAGTCGTACCACCACTGTTATACACCCCTTTAGTCAACGTTGAGAATCACACAGAATAATCGAAGAAGCTTCTGTCCATCCGTAAATACAATTCGAGGTTTCTACAAGATACTGCAATATTTGCGGATGCGTAGGGGGCTGACATAATAAGAAGGCCCGTCCAAGCGCAGGGCACCCTCGACCAACCTTCAGCAACTCTCATTCTTTCACTACCGACCCACCACAACGGGCACGGCATTGCGGCGTATCAAATTCTCGGGCAACACGTGAAGTGAGTCTGACCATGTCCATATTTATTACAACGCGCTGACCAAATTATAGTTTCGCCATGCCGGCCCTCCGCAAGTCTCTCCGGGAGTCGCGCGACTTTCGATTGCAACAAAGGTCCAGCACCACACCTTACGCCTCACCTACCGGCACCCCAAGCGAGCCCACCAACGAGAAGAAGCAACGTTCAATCACCGAGTGGACTGAACCCCAACCGCAAACTCTCGCCCCGTCATTCGAAGAGCACGGTTTTGCGCGGCACGGCGTCTTGGAGAACATGGCCCCCCTTGGTGTACCTCCAAAGGCGAAAGACAAACAGCGCGCGCGCGCTCTCGATGGACCACCGACTGCTCGACATTCGTTACTGGGGAAGAGCGCGATTTTTGGTGGTGACGAGGTTGGGTCTACGCCAGAGGTCACTCCAGCTCCTGAGCTCGAGCCGGACGACTCAGAGCGGCAAGAGGAAGACGAGATGCCGGTCGGATTTCCTATCCTAGAGGACGACGAGGACGACGACTACGAGCCCAAGACGAAAGCGAAGAAGAAGGTGAAGGTGTCGAAAACTCCCATCAGGGGCAAAACCCCAGTGCAGAGCAAGACACCTGTCAATGGGAAGACGCCCGTTAAAAACAGCCACACCAAGAGCGCCTCTGTTTCGACAAGTCCGGCAGTACAAGCTGTTTCCATGTCGGAGCCAGTCGAGGCTGCGACTCAGCGTATACAGATTGCTGTTAATGATGCCATTTCCAAAGCCAACAGCAATACGGGCAAGCGCTACGTGGGCATCGCTTTGCGGCGCGCCTACGAGCAAAGCAAAATAGACTCCGATTTGGCAGATGCGATTGAATCAGTGATTCATAGAAAGAGCACCAATGAGCAGCTCTACCGATTTCGTAAATTTATCAAGCAGTTCAAGCAGGAGGAAAAGATGAGGCTGGGCTTGAGCAAAGACAGGCGCTATGACCAACAAACCGTGGTGAATCACGGAGCCTCATTCTTCAGTCAGCAGCCGTCCCCAAGGGCCAGCAGTGAGATTGTTCCTGATGACTCTGTCTCGGCTGTCAATGATTACCAGGACAGACAGTTCATGAACTCTACTAGTTCTGCTACAAACTTTTCTCACAAAGCACTGCAATCAGCTCTTGATCGAAATTCAGGTCAAGTACCACCTCACCCATTCAGTACCGCACCAGCTCTTCCAGCGACTGCTGATACCTCAGCTGAGTCAACACCGAGAATGCCGTCCAAGTCCCCCCGAAAACGAACCGCTACCAATGGAACATTGGCACCGGATTCTGCGATGGAAGTAGATGGAGGGCTGTCTACTACAGCACCCACTCCAGCAGCAAGGACGCCGGACACCGGTGCGAGCGATTCTGAGCTATCAGATGTCAATGAAGAGATCGTCCAGAAAGGCCCTCCAGAACCTGTGCAGGTCAATGGAAAACCTGCTACACCTGCGCCAGTCGTCGCACCGAAGAAGGGAAAGAATCCTGCGCATGCACGTGCTGCTAAAAAGATGAAGGGCAATGCTGGGAAACTATTCGGGAAGCATGCTCACAAGCTACAACCACCTACTGCGGAACAGCAAGCGGAAGATGATAGACTTTATGAGATGCGAAAAGCTATGGTGGACGAGCAGCCTATCCGCAAACTTGAGCAATTCCCTCCCACCGTCTCTGATGTCCGCTTTGATGACGAGATTCTTGAGACTGAGTCTTTGACCGAGTCTCAAATTGCGGTCGGGCCACCTGTTGATTCTGATCAACCTCGACGCGCTGGACGAGTTCCGAACCACGGCACCAAGCGTCTGCGAGAGGATCCGTCACGGTTCTCCTCACCTCAGTTCGAACCGGCTGCGTCGTCGCGCCCTTCAACACCAGCAGTGGGACCGGCACCTAAGCGGGTCAAGCTCACTAACGGGCAAGGCGCCAGAACGAAGCGATCGTAAGTATCCCCAGTTCGTTCTCTCAGCATCCTAGTCATTTCTTCAGCGTTGGTCGATGCATGTACCCGTTCTAGTACAGGGCTGTAAGCGTCGACTTAGCAAGCTCTACGTGTTTGGACGTGTTTGCATCGTTCATTCCCGTGCACATCATCAAACCATTACAAGACTAACGTTACACGTATAGGCCGGTCAAAAACCGAGATGCAGGACCTATTGCTGGTGTAGCCTTTACTGGTGGTGGCGGTTCGAGACAGCTGGGGCCTGATGGCAACGACCCGGTAAGTGCCACTGGAATTCCGAAGCATCCAACCACACCATTCCTCTTCCACCACACAACCCATCAACAACATTTTCTCTTTTTCATCCCCAACATCAATGTTGCTCACTACAAACATCACGCCACTCAACTTTCCATATTCTCCTCCACTTTCTGTCCTTTCTTCACCTCTAACGGAATGTCAGAACTCGCCACAATCAGAGAGCGACGATTTTTGCTCTGCATGTAGAGGCGCAGGCGAGTTTGTATGCTGCGAAAATTGTCCACGCGTTTTCCATCTCCTCTGCTGCGATCCGCCGCGAACTCAGGTTCCAGATGGAGCATTCTACTGCTATGAGTGCAACGCAAAGTTCGCTGCACCTGACGATGCTGCAGACTCGTATCCTAGCCTGGGGCCTCTCTTCAACAAGCTTGAGCGCACCAACCCTCGCGCGTTTGCTCTGCCTTCAGATATCCAAAATAACTTCGAGGGCGTTTCTGCACGCCCTGACGGTTCGTACTTTGAGGAGGTCAAGAAGTTCCCGCTGTAAGTGTGACGCGTCTCGTCGCGTGATTTGGCACTAACATCATAATAGGGCGAAAAACAGTGGCTATGGCTACCAGAGGCCCGAATACACCAAGCTCATCGATGCTGATCACAAAGTCATCCTATGCACGCAGTGCGGAGTGTCGAGTGGCCACAAGCGCCAAATGCTGAAGTGTGACTTTTGTCACGCGTACTGGCACTTGGACTGCGTAGACCCGCCTCTCGCTAACCCGCCACACATCAGCCTTGAGGCATCTCAGCGGGATGCTTGGAGATGTCCTCGACATATCGAACATGATCTTCGCAACGGTCTACTGCTGCAGAATGATCTGAGTGCCAAAGATGAGGATTCTGAGATGGCCGATACCGGCACAGTAACGCGGGTGCCACGCAGAGTTCGAGTGCGCAAGCAACCCGAATACGTTGAGCCAACGTTTTCACGCGGCATGCGCAACAACGGTTTGATTGACATCACTAACGATCCTGACGATGACACTGATGGCGAAGGCAATTATGTGTTCGGCGACAATGATCCCAAGGATGTCAACTCCAAGATCTTCCGTGTTCCGGAGAAGGGACTTATCCTTGACTTCGTCAGCAAGGTCAAGAGGTATATTCAGTCACATCAGCAAGCCATCACACCAGTCACTAACGCATCGCAGTGGACGTGTAGTGAAAAAAGCCGAAGCCCAACAGTCCGCAGAGGCTGCAATACGGCGCAGAGCATCTATACAAAATTTCATCGCGTATCCATTTCCACAGCAGCAAGCAGCCCTGGCTCTGGCACAGTTGGCAAACAAGACGCCAGAGACGAACCTGGGTGAGGGCAAAGTCCATGCGCTCATCCTCGGTCTCACGGTAAGACTTCCTGTGGCCCACCGGCCTTGTTTTGATCATCGGCGCTAATTCACGTGAAACAGTCCGAAGCTCCCCCAGCTGTCTCCTCCGCCATGTCCAACGCAGATCCGCCGCCGCCATCAGCAGATGAGCGCGCGCAGTTGGAGATGTTGCAGCAGCTCATTCAGCGTCGACTTGGAGCCTGATTGCTACTCAAGTACACCGGATCTTAACCTAAACATTTAGCCTGGTTGTCGTGACGCCACCACACAACATGGATGCATCTGGCCCCCCACACCCACTACCTTCCCTCAATCCAAAAACTTAACTCCGCCAGACTACCCCAAGGCATCCTCGTCAAGATAGTGCATAGTCCCATGGCAGGCTGTGGCGAAGCGTTGGAACGCTCAGCTCAGCTCAGCCGACCCGTCTAACCTCCGTACTCGAACATGACACTTGTTCGCTAACGGACGCGCGGCACGGTCCTTGCTCGACACGTCAACGATTTTTGTCTCTTTTGAAAAAAAGCCTCTTTCCCTTCCACGTCCTTGTTCCGGTGGCCTCTCGTGCATACGATGCGTATATTCCACGCTCGTTTTCCCCCCATACGTTTTACGGTACAAACATGTATCGATTGCATCCCCCTGCGCCTTTGGACAGGGAATTTCTTTCGCTGTACCACAACTGCATAGCGAGGAGTTTGAATCGGGTACCTTTTGTACATTGCTAACTTTTGGTGAGGAGCTTTCTCCATCTCCATGGCGTTTTTGGGGAGCTCTATTGAGCGAGATGGGCGTGAGACAAGTGCAAGCTTTCGTCCTAGTTTGGGATGCTGGTTTCAGGCAGCTTGCATATCGACTCGTTGCTCTCCTGGGAGGATTTTATGATGCACATCTTAGGAAAACATGTAGTTTTACATAGGCGACGAGCAAGAAGAATGCCGTGTCTCTGATTCTGTATGACCCATACGAGCCTCGTGTGAGAAGTGAAACCATGGCTTAGCTACATGAGAGTCGACCAGGACAGTTTGTTGGCTGACTGGGTTTCACAAGGTTGGCCATGTCAGACACATTGCACACGTTCCACGACAAGTAAGCCAGTGAGACGCTTATAACCAATCCATAGTCGACCCCGCTTCATGGATACGGAGTAGATCGTTTTCGGTGAGTTGTAACAAACACATTTTAACAGAGGCATACACTATCTCGTATTGCCTAAACTTGGCAACACAAAACACTGCAACTTCCTTCACGGTAGGTTTTGCCAAGTACATCGTAGAAAGAACAAATTTCTTCGCACGTTAACAAGGCGGTGTGACACTTGGCCAGAAAGGGAAAATAGAAACAGGGCGGATTGAACATGTTGACTGGGTATGAATTCATCTATGATTCGTCCTATCGTCTCAGCCTAGCGCGACGATAGCGTCACGTTTGCTGGCAAAGCAACAGCCCGACAATTGCGTACTCGCATCCGGCGAATCAACACATATCTCATCTCGATTCGCAGCAAGAGCTGGGAAGAAAGACATGTAAGGACAGGAAGCATGAGGCTTTCGCTCAAGGCTTGCAGCGGCCGAAGTAGCGGGGGTACAGGCAGCAGTCGCGGACGGTGTGCTGCTTGCAGAGCCAAGCGAGGAAGCGCTCGAGACCAAGACCGTAACCACCGTGAGGAGAAGAACCGTACCTAGGAATTGTGTTAGCAAGTCTTCGATTGGTTTAAAAATGGGCGATGGGTCACTTACTTCCTCTGGTCAGTGTACCAGTAGTACGCCGCAGGATCGATGCCTTCCCTTCCATACGCAGCCATCAACTCATCATAGTTGTCCATCCTCATGCTACCTCCAACAATTTCACCAACACCGGGCATCAAGCAGTCTACACTCTCAGTCACCCTTGCGTCGTCCTTGTCTTTCAGCATGTAGAAGGCCTTGATCTCGGCAGGGAAATGAGTGAGGAAAATGGGCTTGTTGATGATATCTGTCATGCGACGCTCAGCAGCCTCGGCGATATCGTCACCGAATTTGTGCGGCTCGCCATCTTCGTTGGGGATCCCGTGCTCAACGAGCCAGTCTATGGCGTCCTGGTACTTCATGCGCTTGAAAGGTCGCTCTGGTACCTGGAACTCGGGGTTGAGATCCATGATGTATTGCTTGATGACAGGGTCAGCCATGGTAGTTTCCAGGACACGGCACATGACTTCCTCCAGGTGGTTCAGTAGATCGTCAAAGTTGATGTAGTCGAGCTCGGCTTCGACGTGCGTGTACTCAGCCAGATGGCGACGTGTCAGTGACTTCTCTGCACGGAAAGACTTTTCGATACAGTAGACGTCACCCATGGATGGAAGACAGGTCTCAAGGTAGAGCTGAGACGACTGGGTAAGGTAGGCCTCCTCGTTGTAGTAGCCGAATTTGAAGAGCGTAGAACCACCCTCGACCTGAGTTTGGACGAGCGCTGGCGGGCTGACCTTGCGTAATCGGAGCTCCTTGTAGACCTGGTTGAATGCAAACTCGACAGCATCACGAACGATCAAGACCTTGGACGCTGTCTCTCCGCGCATAGTGAGGTGTCGCAGATCCAATAGTGTCGCGTGCTCAGTGTCCTTTGATACCCTGTTGGTGATGGCGTCGTCGCCACCCGCAGCCTTCCATCCATCGTGGATCTTGTAGTAATCGACGTGCAGTTCGCGGTTGTTGGGTGCGTGTGCGCCCTCGGGGATCTTTCTCAGCTCTCCGAAAACCTCCATGCTAGTCTCGCGGGTCAAAGTAAGGGCGTCGTACGTCTTTGCCAGCTTGCCGGTGAAGATGAGCTGCATTTGGCCGTAGCCATCTCTTAATGTGACGAACATGACATCCTTTTGTCTTCGCTCACGATGTACGCGACCGAAAACGCGTACTCGTGTGCCCTTTGTGTCCTTGCCATCTCCCAGTGTAATCTTCTTCGAGTCGGTGTCGTCGAGCTTGATCCTGATGGGCTGCGGCAAGCTCTTGTCCTCTTCCAAGACAATCTTCTTGGCTTCATCCAATACCTTGTTGCGGTCATGCTCCTCCTTCATGCGCTGTGCAAGTAGTTGTTGGTCCTTCTCCTGCTTCTTCTTCTGTGTCTTCGCGTAGTTGACTGCCTTCTTCATGGCCGACTTGGCAACTTCTTTCCATTCTAACCTCGATGTCGCGTCGGCGCCTTCTGCGACCTCGCCAGTGACACTCTTGCGGGTAAGGAACTTTGCCGTCTCGCCGCGGGTGAGGACAGCGTATCCGAGTGATTTGTAGGGCAGTGATTCGTCGCCAGTCTGTTCTGGGATGTCGTGACCGACATCTTCGTCGATATAGTAGGTGGCTTCGGCCATGGTTGCGGTATTTGGAGTCTCGAGTTGTGTTCAATGGGTCGTTGTGCTCTGAAATGTTTTGAGCCGCGGGGTGACTCAAGATAGGCCGCGGGGCTTGAGTCGAGACAACCCCTCCCTCCAACAATGCTCCGTGCGCGCCTATGTGAAGCGCTCCATGTATCGATAAGACACACACTTTTAACGCCGCGTCCTTATCTGTCGGTGAAGAGTCATATCAATGCGACTTATATAAAGTTCGAAATACTAACCCTGCCTATTTATTCGTCGTGAGAAGAATACCTAATCGTTACCCGTGCCCAGCTGGAACCTAATGCTTCCACAAAGGCTTACATCGCACACATCGTACGTGACCGTCTTAAATTGATGCTATGATTCACAAGACCTAGGCTTCACACATGTAGTGAAGAAAATTCTGGATATATGAGTACATCTGAACACGAAATAAATGCATTGGGTATTGCAAACCGAGGCCGCTCTAATTCCGCGCTGACAAACGGGGTAACCTCTGATGGATACTGTTCATCGTTATATCGTATATAGTAGTTACTTGGTCACACCGAGAAAACCGAATTTTCTATCTTTGTATAATACTTGACCAAACAATGGCGGATCCCAATCTCTACAAGTATGAGTCCCCTCTGAAGGGCTATGAAGGCCTCGAGCCACTACCAAAGTACGTTTTTCCTCGGCATTCTTTCTGTGTCACCTGGCGATCACCATGGTTTTTCTGATTGAGATCAGTGCTAATACCTTGAAGCGAAAAGGCCACGGACGGGAAGTCGTATATAAACCCACCAGCCGAGAAGAAGAGCGAGTCGTACAAGTCTTTCGTAGCTCCAATAGACAACGGCATCCGTGGAGGCTTCGAGTAGGTGGTGACATGGAAAGTTAATTGCTGCCATGTCTGACAACATCCAGCGTTCACGTTTACTTCCTCCAAACCGACCAAGAAGAGGTCAAGTTCGCCAACGAGCTGTGGGAACGGATACGGCGCGAATGTGAGCACAATGTTCATATACTTGACTTGCACATATGCTAACAGAACATGAGTCCCTGAGCTACGCATCTACCGAGTATGGGATCGACCTCTTGGTCCTCATCCTGTTGCCATGTTTGAGGTCAACATATTTACACCCGGTACATGTGACGACTGTCCATATCCGAACCTATACTGACGATTGGCAGAACAATTCGGAGCTTTCATTCCGTGGCTCGTGATCAACAGGGGGCCATTATCGGCTCTCATTCATCCTAATACTGACGATGAGTTGAGAGATCACACCCAAAGAGCGACGTGGATGGGACAACCGCTTCCTTTGAGTACAAAGATGTTCAAACAAACGTAAGAGAAACTGCAAGGGCAAACGTGCAGATAGTGAAGTATAGATATGATTTGGTAGTGTCTTCTGGTGCGCCTCACTCCATTCGGGTCTCTAGCGCTCGGAGAACCATGTTCTGCTGAACCTCCTCAAATAAGCCATTATTGTGACTTGTTTCAGCAGCCTCCTCCAGTGGTATACTCGTGATACTGCCCGAGTCCTCAAGACTGATCAATCGATGTATTCATGACACCGAAGTGCTTCTTGCGCGTGTAATGGTATCGTAATGCCCGAAAGTCCTCATACTTTGGTCTCGCCCTTCTTCTTCTTCTTGGTCTTCTTCGCCTTCTTCTTATCTCGCTTCTTCAGTCCGCTCATGCCAACCTTGCAAGCCTCGGCATACCGTGCATAGAATCCATCCAACTCATCTGGCTTGACCACGGTGCTCAGCTCTATCTTAGGGATATCTTCTCTGTCGGTACCCGCTTTCTTGCTGCTCTTGTTGTTGTGTGCGCGAATCAAGACAGGTAATGGCTCCTCAGGATGTGTGTCCCATAAGGGATCGTCGGCGACTTTGCTGGCTGGAGGTGGTATGGCAGAAGTGTCGAATGTCATGCGCTTCTGTACTAGGTAGACGCTGCCGTGGCCTTTGGTGCGCGTGTACTCGAAGAGATTGGCGAGTCGAGTGAAGAACTGTCAAGGTCAGTACATGATGGGCTGTCACCAACTCATGGTTTGTACCTCGTCGTTGCTTAGGTGATCTCGCCCCATAGTGAAAGTTGTGTTCTATATTATGCGCGCCATGTAGTAGGTCGCATAGTGGGATGCCCGCGGCCGTGCTGTGGAGCGGAGACGCGGGGAAATCTCTCACCCAAACTCCGACTTTACGAACTTTTTTGCGACCCTACCGTCTCGACCATCTCAATATGCGCCCAACCTTCGGAGGGCCCAAACTGCCCGTTGAGCTGCGAAATCAGCTTGGAGGTGTGTTCGATATACTCTAACAATGTTCTATTATTGATATCAGCAGATCCGGCCAACAACAAGCGACGAAACGGTCCTCGCAATGGGCCACCGAATCGCAAAGACAAGCGCAAGGCCGATCGCATAGAGAAGAAACGTCAAAACAAGCAGGTTAGAAGACCAGCACCATCGCATCCACACAATGGTCGGGGACCACGCCGCGAACCCGAATCGGACGACGATGAGGAGGAAGAGGAAATAGATTGGGACAACATCGAATCCGACGCTACACCACCCCCGATAACTGCGAAAGAGTCGCCCAAACCGCTGAAAAGCATTCTCAAGGCAAAACCATCACAGCCCGAAGAAGCGTCACTGCCACCTGCGAAGCTATCGCGCGCTGCTCGGGAGAAATTGGCGCAAGATGATGCTGAGATTGCCAAGTTAGAGAAGAGGCTAGGCGTGAAGAGCAAAAAGAGATCCAAGGGGGCAGAAGATGGTCTGGACGACATATTTGGCGACCTTGGAGATTTCAGTGACGACGAGGATGTACAACCTACAAAGAGGAAGAGGGACGAGGACAACGATTGGCTCGCAAGCAAGAGGCGGAAGGCCCTGGGTCAAGAGTCGAGTGAGGAAGAGGACAGCGAGTCGGAAGGTTCGGAGTCTGATGATGACTTAGACCTGGAAGAGACAGGCTTCGACGAGGATGAAGAGACAGAGGATGGTTCGGATGACGATCTAGGCTCAGAGGAGGACGACATGGAAGACGAGGAGCCCGAACAACCACGCATACGAGAGAATCCATACGTCGCCCCTGTAGCGCCAAATGCCCAACCAACCAAGTACATACCGCCTGCGCTGAGAGCACCCCCTTCGTCAGACACTGAGGCTTTGCTACGTCTCAAAAGGCAAATTCAGGGTCTCTTCAACAGGCTCTCAGAGGCCAACATATTGTCAATTCTACGCGATATCGAGAACATATATCAGAACAACCCTCGCGGCTATGTCAACAATACACTGGTTGACCTACTCGCGGGCATGTTGTCGGACCCGACAGCTCTCCTGGACACCTTTGTGAACTTGCACGCTGGTTTCATCGCTGCGGTGTACAAGGTTATCGGACCCGACTTTGGTGCACAAATAGTGGAACGCATCGTCGCAGAGTTCGATCAACACTATCAGGCCAACAAAGACGGCAATGGAAAACAGACATCGAACCTGATATCCTTGGTAGCGGAGCTGTATACCTTTCAGGTTATTGGTAGTAACATCGTCTTTGACTACATCCGATTCTTCCTTGACGAGCTCACGGAGATCAACACTGAACTTTTACTGAGAATCGTCAGGGCAGCTGGCCCACAACTGCGGCAGGACGACCCGACTTCGCTTAAAGACATTGTTGTCTTACTGCAGAAGTCTGTGGCAAAGGTTGGACAGAGCAACCTGCCGGTTCGAACAAAGTTTATGATCGAAACGATCAATGATCTCAAAAACAACAAGATGAAGACGGGTATAGCCTCCTCCGCAATTTCTAGAGAGCATACGATACGCATGAAGAAGCAGTTGGGCACTCTGAACTCAAGGAACCTCAAAGCAACTGAGCCACTACGCGTTGGTCTCAAGGATATCAAGGACACGGAGAAGAGAGGCAAATGGTGGCTTGTAGGCGCGAGTTGGCGTAATGAACCAGGCAACGAGGAGAAACCCGAGGAGCCAAAAGGAGCTGGCAAGACTACAGCAAAAATCGATATGGAAGACGAAGACAGCGAAGTCGACCTCGTACAACTTGCTCGCGAACACCGCATGAATACGGATATTCGGCGTGCCATCTTCGTCTCCATCATGTCTGCTAGCGACTTCAAAGACGCCCAAATACGCCTGAACAAGCTCAACCTCAAAAGATCCCAAGAGGCAGAGATTCCACGAGTCATTGTCCACTGTGCAGGCGCTGAGAAGACGTACAATCCATACTACACAGTCCTTGCCCGGAAGGTCTGTTCGGACCATAAGACACGGAAGAGTTTCCAGTTTGCGCTCTGGGATATATTCAAGAGCCTAGGAGAGAAGCAAGATGGTGCAGATGACTCTGATGATGACGATAACGACGCGGGTGGCGACACGTCTCTGCGAAAGCTGGTTAATCAAGGCAAACTGTACGGCACACTAATTGGACGGAAAGCTTTGCCCATCACTTCTCTCAAGAACCTCAACTTCCCGTACTTGCAGCCCAAAACCAGGACTTTTGTCGAGGTTCTGTTAGTGACTACAATCCTGGAGTCGCTAAAGGTGTCCAAGTCAAAGGACAAGCGAGATGAGCGGGCAGTACGCGAAGTGTTTGTGGAGGTAGACCAGGCTCCCGAGATGATTGCTGGGCTGCAGTTTTTCCTGAAGAAGGCTGTCAGCAAGACGGAGATTGTCGAGCAGGCAGAAAAAGAAACTGTCCGATGGGCTTGCAAGTCGATCATGGACATGTTGACGAGAGTATTGGCCACAACCACATTGCAGGAAGATTGAAGGGATGGGAAGGAGTAGGCCGTTCACTATTACATATCGCTAGAATACCCTCTGTTTTGCCATGTACAGTAATGCGAAACCCATTTTGCCGCGACAGTTGGACGAAGATGTTACGGAGTAGATATGAGGCACTTTGTCAGCTTGGCGCCACCCTTGACCCTACAGAAGCCGCATAGACCTTCCCGGCCGAGCTCCGCAAAAAGCTCAACTACATCTCCCATCCCACGCCCCATCCATTGACGCCTGTCATCCCCGCCGTACACTTCACGGCTTCTCTTGGTAGCGATTCCTTCGGTAGTCTCCACCATGTTCCGCTCACTGGCACCCCGCGCCATCCAAAGGGCGACGCGGCCCGTCTCCCAAAAGACATTTTGCGCATCAAACATCTACTTCCAGAACCGGTTACGACGAGGCTATGCATCGGAAGCTGGTAAGTCGCATTGCTGCGAGCCTTTGGACAGAGCCATGTACTGATTGCTGGGCAGAGGACAAGGACCTAGTCATCATCGGTGGTGGTGTCGCAGGCTATGTCGCAGCCATCAAGGCAGGACAGGCGGGCATGAAGGTCAGCGAACACCAACCTAGAGATTCGATGGTCAGGAGAGCTGACATGTAGCGATAGGTCACCTGTATCGAAAAGCGTGGCTCCCTCGGTGGAACCTGCCTGAACGTCGGCTGCATTCCCTCAAAATCGCTCCTCAACAACTCGCATCTTTACCACCAGATCCTCCACGACACAAAGGGCCGCGGTATCGAGGTCAACGATGTCAAGCTCAACCTCCCCGCCATGATGAAGGCAAAGGACACCTCCGTGTCCGGTCTCACCAAGGGAATTGAGTTCCTCTTCAAGAAGAACAACGTTGAGTACATCAAAGGAACCGGTGCGTTCCAGGACGAACACACTGTTGCTGTCAACCTGGTTGAAGGTGGTGAGACCACCGTCCGCGGCAAGAACATCCTCATTGCCACTGGCTCTGAGGCTACACCCTTCCCTGGCTTGACCATCGATGAGCAGAAGGTTATCACAAGCACTGGCGCTATTGCGCTCCAAGAAGTGCCAAAGAAGATGACCGTCATTGGCGGTGGTATCATTGGACTCGAGATGGTAGGAACAATCTTCTGATTCGCACGGCATTTCTAACCATTTATAGGCCTCCGTATGGTCGCGTCTCGGTTCAGAGGTCACCGTTGTCGAGTTCCTGGGCCAAATCGGTGGCCCTGGTATGGACAACGAAATCGCCAAGCAGACCCAAAAGATCCTACAAAAGCAGGGTCTGAAGTTCAAGCTCAACACCAAGGTTACTGCAGGTGAGGTTCACGACGCTGGCGTCAAGGTCAGCGTTGAAGCCGCAAAGGGTGGAAAGGAGGAGAGCGTAAGTTCAGCGCAAGCAATCGGGCTCAGAAACATTGTTAACAGTTATAGCTCGACGCTGACGTCGTTCTCGTTGCCATCGGACGCCGCCCGTACACCTCTGGTCTTGGTCTGGACAACATTAACCTCGAGACCGACGACAGGGGCCGCCTGATCATCGACCAGGAGTACCGCACCAAGATTCCCCACATTCGCGCTATTGGAGACTGCACATTCGGACCTATGCTTGCCCACAAGGCCGAGGAGGAGGCTGTCGCTGCCATTGAATACATCCACAAGGGTCACGGTCACGTAAACTACGGCGCCATTCCTTCTGTCATGTACACGCACCCCGAGGTCGCCTGGGTTGGACAGAACGAGCAGGAACTCAAGGAGGCTGGTATCAAGTACAAGAACGGAACCTTCCCCTTCTCCGCCAACTCAAGAGCCAAGACCAACCTCGACACTGAGGGTATGGTCAAGTTCCTCGCAGACGCTCAGACTGACCGGATATTGGGTATCCACATCATTGGACCCAACGCCGGTGAGATGATTGCTGAGGGTACCCTTGCTCTAGAGTACGGTGCCAGCTCAGAGGGTGAGTCAAAACACGGTTCCTTATTTCTTGGCAGAATACTAACAATATCGCAGATATTGCCCGAACATGTCACGCTCATCCTACCCTCGCTGAGGCGTTCAAGGAGGCTGCTATGGCCACCTACGACAAGGCTGTTCACTACTAGATTCCCCCGTTTTGGTCCGGCTTTCCTTTATGCATCAGCGATATGATGTTCGAGCTCTCAAGCACGCGAGCAGGGAGTTGTGAATAGTATTTTGTAGAATATATCTGATGCGTCATGCTTGCCAATTACATGTTCGGGAATGATGTGCATGTAATGTGGAGCCGATAAGGCTGAGAACCCCTGCTAGTGGCGTTTTGTCGCGTGCACGTAACGCGTACCGCGATCTGAAATGTTGATGTCAATTACACCCGCTTCGGACCGTTTTCACCCAAATCACTACTCCCACACAGGACGCCATGAGTAACGACGAGGTTGAACAGCGCTGCACTGAACTACGACACGAATTGAAGGCCTGGGAAAAGAAGTTCGCTGCAGAGAACAATGGCCAAAAGGCGGGACGCGATGATATCAAGGCCAATGCCGAGATCTGTACGTATAGAACATTCCCGGTCCCGCCACTGTTATGCTGAACATAGGTAGCGCAAATGTACAAAGAGTACAACAAGCTACGGGTACGATTATCAAGCAAAGCAGCACCACAGACCCCCTCGAAACGAGCCCCAAGCCGAAAAGCGAGCCTCGATGTCGAACGCACACCAAAAGCCGCACCCAAGCCCACCGTCTCCACGCCGATGAAGAGGAAACGAGAGGATGACGATGCAGTAGAGAACGCAGACCTAGCAGCCGAGCTTCTCTCGCCACAAGGACCCAACGTCATAGGACCTACGCCCCAACGCGATGGCATAGTTCTAGGTCTCTTCGACATGCTCCCGTCGGGCACGCCGAGCAAACCGAGGACTGTTCTAGGAGACGTAGGATTGAATGTGCCACAAACACCGAGTAGGAAGTTCCAAGATGCAGCAAGCGAGACGTCACTAGAGTCAAGAGCTAGAGGAGAGCGGACACCACTGTCGGCGGGGAAGCGATTTATTCTGAATCAGTTCGTCACACCAAAGAAGAGAAGGTTAGACGAGGAGGGTACACCATCGTCCACGACACGAGGCCTAGCTACACCTGCGTTCCTGAGGAGAGACAACGTGCTGAGTGCTATCGATGAGGATGAGGAGGAGCCCATATCACGGCCGGCACCTTGGATGCGACGCGGACTTGGTCGCAGTCTGAGTTCCATGATACAAGCTATGAGGAAAGACGAGGATGACAAACTCGACGAAGAGGCCGACATCATGCGCGAACTGGAAATGGAAGAAGAAGGCATCGCCGTGCCCAGGAAACCTAGAGCGCCACAGATCTTGATCGAAGACAGCCAGGCGGCAATGCCCCTAGGGCCAGACCGAGGTCTTGAGTCTGACGAAGACAGCGACGAAGAACCAGAACTCGGCCCTGACGGCAAGCCACGAAGGGTTTGGAAGAAGAAGGGCTTGAAGAGGCAGACACGGCGGGTGATAAGTAAGATGTGCTGTTTCCGTTAAATCTGCTATTCCACTAACAGTTTCCAGTGCGCCCGAACATCGTAAAGCCCAAACCGACGCCAGCACTACAGGTACAGGACGAGCCAGAGGGAGAGCAAGCAGGGGTGCCGGAAACTCAAGTGCCGGCAGGTTTAGAAGACGAGTTTGGCTCAGATTTGGACGGGGACTCGGACTACGCGAGTGATGCTTCCCATACCCCGAGGAGACGGAAAGTGCCCGCAAAGAAGCCAGAGCAAACCAAGGAGAAGCCGGCCAAAGAAGGCGTACTGAAGACGGCTGCCCGTAAGATCAAGGCTACGGCAAATGCTAATTACCGGAGGCTCAATATCAAGGGTAAAGCAGGGACTGGTGCAAAGGGGAAGTTTGGAAGGAGGAGATGAGGAGAATGGATCTGATTTGGAGACCTCCTGTCTATGCACCAGTAAGATGTGTGTTGGAACTATTGATCGGTCAAAGCATGGACATGTTCATTTGCTCCGGTACTGTACTCAAGGTAGAAGATATCCACAAAAGTAATCTCTACTGTGACACAACGTAGGGCGTGGCGTGCTGGCTACCCAATCGGTCACGCAAGGCAGAATCTGTATACGCCCAAGACGAGACGTCAGCTGCAGTATCGCGAACACAAGTAGACCAATGCGAAAGCAGACCAGTTGCCAATAGTGATATTCCCACGCTGAGACAATGTGACCGCCTAGGTCATCTGCAGGTATTTGTGCCTGATTCGCGTGGGATGTCAGGCTTATATCTGGGAAAGAGTTCAAACAGTATTTTTGCCCTGACGGACCCATTCAGCGTGTTTGATAACAAGTGAAACAAATGGCATATATTCGTTATCGAACGTTTGAGGGCTATGACACGCCGTGGCGGGCGGTGAGTACGCTAAGCCCAGCACCTCCGACGCCGACGGTCTCCCGACGTAAACCACCGAAGCTTCCACTCGCCGCAACAAGCACCCCAACCACATCACGAATTCAACCCGTCCAGTCCCCTCGTCCAGTCCCCATATCATCGACTTCTACTACTATAACCAAATCATCGCACATCATGGCTGAAAGGGAACTCTCCACCGTGCTCCAGCAGCTCCATCAGACGCTCAAGTCGCACAACTACCAGCAGTCGACATCATTACTAGGCAAAGCCAAGATCGCCCTCCTAAACCTCAACGCCCTCATCCCACAAGAGAAGACACCGCGGAAACATCTCCAGCTTGCCCGTGAGACGCTCGAGCTAGGCGCCATCATCTCCATCCGCCTCAAAGACACCGAGTCCTTTACCCGCTACTTCCAGCAGCTGCAGCCCTTCTACTCTCTGCCAGAGTCTACACTACCCAAGGATGGCAGCAATTCCAGCAAGGTCACGGGTCTATATCTGTTGCTGCTGTTGAGCGAGGGCGACTACGCGGGGTTCCACACACAGCTTGAGACGCTCGAGGTGGCGGCTGCGCAGGCGGGTGCGAAACTTGAGGCTGATCAGTTCATTCAGTATCCGATAAGACTGGAGCAGGCGCTTATGGAGGGAAGCTACGACAAGGTGTGGGTTGAGACAAAGAGCGAGAGGGTGCCTGGCGAGGAGTTTGCGTTGTTTACTGAGGTACGTCACTACTATTATCACACAACACGTCGCATCTTGTATCCGGAACTAGATTGTTTGCTAACACATGCTCAGATTCTCATCGGAACTATCCGTAAGGAAATCGCTTCCTGCAGCGAGCGCGCATACCCCTCCATTCCCGTCTCCGACGCTAAATCTCTCCTCTTCCTCGACTCGGAAGGCAGCGTTGTCAACTTTGCGAAGGAGTCCGGTTGGCTTGTCAAGGATAGTCGGATATACTTCCCTCAACAGGAGGATGAGTACATGAGCCGGGATATTCTGGTTACAAGCGATCAGGTCATCGAGAACACTCTTGGATATGCGAGGGAGCTAGAGACTATTGTCTAAGAGAGTGAGAAGCAAAGAGCCAGTATTAGCGAGAACCGAGGTTTGGTGGAGCAAAGGAGTAGAGCGGTGTACGATACAAGCATCAAGACACATGGAGCACATGGACTAGAGTGTGTAGGCAGCAGGCTATGTGCTCTGCCATAGCCTCACAAGAAGGAGCAATATCAATGACAAAACAAGGATAATGATCATCATCACCACGAATCTTCAGCAACACCTCCTCTTCGCCGCACCTATTCTTCGGTATCGTTGCATACACAGACTGCTGCCTTGACATGACCCCGAGCCAGCGCACATAAAGAGCAAAGGCTAAGTTTTAGGTAAAATGAGAAGATCTCCTCACGTCTCCTGTCCATAACGGAGAAGGGTCAGTCTTTTAGGAGAAAGTATAGATGGTAGCTGAATCTTTTATGATTTCAAGAATGGGATAGGCTGATTCGTTTTCTTAGGGAACACCAGCGAGACAACATAATCATGTTTCCATGTGCATTTTTTAGTCCAGTGTAAAATATTCTTTTGAGACACAAGGGAAGCAATATACAGAACTCTAATACCCCGGGTCTTCATATTTCGCATGCCCCTCGCATACTTATGGTGAACTTTTGGTCTATACATTTGGGAAGTATTGGAGCGTAGGATGCGGATCCCTCGCAGCTTCATGAAGATGTCGTGTAGCTTTTATTTTCCCGCAAAAATGAACGCCAAATCCAAGGCGATTTGATGCTTTCGGACGGACGGATAATTTCGTTGTATACGCTCCATTCTCGAGTGCTAGAGTAGCAAGCCGTGACTGTAGTAGCTAGACTCAGAACATAAATTGCACATCTGTAATTTTGGAAGCAGACATATCATCATGACTGAGGAATCTTGCAGTGAAGAGGAAGGGAAGAGCATATATCATTGAACACTTCTCCGCATATTTTAGTATTGGAGAAAGAAGGGTATGGTCGATGGAATGGAAGCAGACTCGTAGATTGAACATTTTATACTCGGAAGTGTGTAACCTGAATTCCAAAAATTTGTCGTGCAAACATCATGTACGGCTTTTGGGTGAGTTTGACAGGACAAAGCACTAACGATATGAGTATGTTATCATATAAATTGTAGTTTTGTCCAAATATGCATGGTTCATGTATATGGTCAGTAGCCTCTCAATCAAACACAACACCCATACGTCCTTTTGCTTTATGCGTATTCATCAACTCGACCATCTTCGGCACCTCCTCAAGCTTGAACGCCGTCATATGCGGCTTAATATCATGTTTTGCGGAAAATTCAATCGCCTCCCTCATGTTGTAACATGCTAGAGACTGGTCAGCTTCATGTCCTTTTGCGAAGAGCGTGTTTTACTTACTCCCGTTACTCGATCCCTTGATCTGATACTTGCCCAACGCAATATCTAGTCCATTAAACTCAAGCGGCTGCTGCGGAATACCTACAACCATAATCATACCCTGACCGGGTTTAACAATCGCCGGACAATCATCATAAGACTTCTTGGATGCGGTAAAGTTGACGGCTGCATGTACACCACCTCCGGTAAGCTCTACAATCTTCTTCGTGTAGTCTTTGTCCGTCATGGAGTTGAAGGTGTAGTCTGCACCGCATGATTTAGCTTCTTCTATCGCGGCCTCTGTGATGTCGATGCCGATAACTTTGTGGCCCATTGCTTTGGCATATTGAATGCCCATGTGGCCGAGACCGCCACATCCGATTACTGCGAGCCAGGAGCCGGCGGGTAGCTGGCAGTCAGCGATGCCGTGGTAAGCTGTTACGCCTGCGCAGAAGAGGGACGCAGAGGATCTGGGGTCCACTGGAGTAGTAAAGTTAGCATGCCATTAAATGTCCGCTCTCTAATCCGATTGATTTGACTCACGGTTCTCGGGTAATACGATAACCTCCCTAGCATCCACGACTGCATATTCGGCGAAATAACCGTCCGAACTGAATCCTTGCATCTTGGTCTCTCCGGTTTCGCACCATGCGTTGTGCACATTCTTGCAAGAGTAGCATTCGAAGCAGCAGTCGACTGCACAGAGGAAGCCTACAGGGTCGCCCTCCTTGAACTGTCTAGCTACCTCTCCCGAGCCGGTCGACACTACTCTGCCGGTTCCTTCATGGCCAATGGTGACAGGGTTCTTGCCGAGAATAAGACCTTGGTCATTAGGCTCGAAGAGCATGACATCGGAGTGGCAGAGAGACGCGCAGGCGATCTTGACTAAGACCTCATGTTCACGCGGTGTTGGGATGGGCACGTCGTTCAGGTGGAGTTTGTTGTCTCGCGCATCGTACTGTTGCGCACGCATGGTCTTCTCTGGAATCGAACCCATGATGGTGATTAGTTCAAGGAGAAGATGTTGGGTATGTTTCGGGCTGGGTTACGTGTGTAACGTGGGCGTAAATGGTAACCGTTCCTGCAAGCCGAATGGGAAAGAGCAAAGAGAGGGCGGGCAGCGTCGACGAAGCACACGGCAAGGAAGGAAAATTGCGACACGTTGTACGGTGGAGACATGTTGATATGTCTACCTTGTGCAATGGTCGGGAATGCTCTACCGCTGCATGACAGTGGAGTGAGGGTGACCATTCCCGATACCCAAGGAGAAACAACCCCGCGACGCGTAGGCACGACTTCGGGATCAAACACAAGAGAGGGCAAATGTTGGAATGGACATCGTTGATGTATTAGTAGTATTATATCGCTCGAGCGTAACAGATGAATCTAGACTGGGTATACAAAAGGGTATATGCTGGCGAGATGGTAGAGTAAAGCCCATGGCTTTTGGGACAAAAGAAACAATGAAACGGGTATCAAAGATTGCTTGCAGCGTATGCGGAAAGGTGGACTGCAGCCCCGCACCTTCCATCGTCACCATGGCTCGGCAGGCCGGATCTAAACTCCGAGCAGCCTCCGATCATGCATTGGGACCAGGGTATGCGTCGGCAATGCTTCCTTGCTGTCTTCCGCTGGTCGACGTTGTGTTTCGTTCTTTTTCGTAATAATTGGTATCTTGTAAAAAATTGTTTGTGGTGGTCAAACGGGTATCCAAGTCGTCGAAGCGACGTTGCGAATCGGCGCTACGAGGAGTTTCTCGCAGCGACTGCACCTCTCTGCAAAGCCTCGCAATGGTAATGTCCGGACGCAGGCGATGGACGAGCCGACAGAGTGCGTATTTAACGCACCCAGGGTAGGAATCGAGCCCAAACAGCCTTCTTCTTCTGCACGGGCGGCCTCTTTCCAAGATTGGCCATGTATAGGGCGTAGCTTCTCTCCATCTTCTCAAAGGCTTCTGCCTTGGCTTTTTCGCACTCGAGCGGGTCGTGGTCCCAATCAGGGTTGCTTTCTTGAGTGTGGTCGCCGCGGTAGCGAGGAGAAACCGACGGCCAACCAAAATCTCGGACAAGAAGGTCTGTAGGAGGACAAGACATCTCGAACTTTTCGTCAATGACTGACAGGTTCGATAAACTGGAGGAGGAAGAAAGCGACATGGTGATGTAGGTTGTGAGAGGGATGCGCGGATTGCGACGCGTAGGCGACGACTTGATGACGGCCTTGGCTACGTGTTATGTGGGCGATACAAGAAACAGGCCGAAAAGAGAGCGAAGATAGAATTATAGAGAGTGAAGGAGATATTATGGGGTACTATGTCATGGCCCGCTGGCGATGGGTTGGGGTGCGTTGTCGAGAGATGGAAGATGAAGAAAGCCTTGAAAGTTGCGCACCTTGAGATTGCCCGTCAGTGCGCGTCAGGGGCGGTTGGTAGTCAGCGCCACACATTCCATCGAGGCGCACGGCAGCGTCCGACTAGCGACATTGACCTCATTCCGGCTGTGGAACAATGCAAGCCATGACGTGTTAGCTGGAGATCGTCCCTGTGGGTTTAGATTAGCGCACCTATCTAGAACATGCATGCACGTTTCATCCTCTGATTTGCATTGCTACATATATCGCTGCCCTAACATTGCCCATCAATCACTCTACTTCCGTCGCGTAGTCAATGTCTTGTCCAAGTTGAATGCCGCTGATACCAACGCCAGATGGCTAAATGCTTGCGGTGTATTCCCCAGCTGCTCTCCCGAACGCGCAATCTCCTCCGAGTATATGTGTAGATGGTTTCCGAAACTCAGCATGTTTTCGAAAATAGTAACCGCTTGTAACAAGTATTTCTCGTCATACGCGCCAGCCTGCCATCATCAGTAAAAAACAAAATTCAGTGGGGGAACGTATGGCACTTACCCTTGTCAAGGCCTCGACGAGCCAAAACGTGCACATACTAAAAGCGCCTTCCTGCCCGCCTACGCCATCGTCGCTCAGGGCATGGTTGTACCTGTACACCAAACCGGTACTGGTCAGACCGCCCTTCTCAGGAGCCTTGAGTATACGGTCCAGAGTTTTGAGGAAGCGAGGATCAGTCGGAGATATGAAGAAGACCAAAGGCGCAATCAGTACGGCCGAGTCGAGGATATTGTTCGACTCGTAGCTCTGGATGAAGCACTCCAAGTCCGAGTTGTAGCCCTTGTCCATGACCTCTTCATAGATTTCATCGCGAACCCGATACCACTCAGCTCGGTGGGGACACGGAAAGCTCCTCTTGTCCGCCAGACGTAGTGCTCGATCAAGAGCGACCCACAGCATCATCTTGCTGTACACAAAGTTCTGCTTCTTACCGCGTACTTCCCATATTGACATATCTGACTCCTTCCACACGGTGCAGACGTAGTCCGCAATCTCTCGGACTAGAAGCCATTGATCGTACGAGATCGGACGTCCGAATCTGTTCACGAGATAGATTCCATCCATCAGCTCACCGTAAATGTCCAGCTGTACGTGGAAAGCCGCGCCATTGCCGATCCGCACCGGTTGACTGGTCCTATACCCTTCTAGGTGAGGTAGTTCGAGCTCGGGTATGTCTGTGCCGCCCCAGATAGTCATCATGATTGGTAGAGCTCCCTTTCGTGCTTTGGCCTCCTTGACGCGTTGGAAGATGTAGCTTATATAAGCTTCTGCTTCATAACTGAATCCCATCCGGAGGAAGGTGTAGATGGTAAAGGACGCATCACGCACCCACGAGTAGCGGTAATCCCAGTTTCGCGATCCACCAAAGTCTTCAGGCAGGGAGAATGTCGGCGCAGCAACAATGGCTCCGCTGGGCTCAAACGTCAGCATCTTGAGAAACAGCAAACTCCTAGTAACCACCTCCTCCCATCGACCCATGTATTTGCTTTGTCCTATCCACCTAGACCAGTACTTCTGGGTGCTAGTTTGCAACTCTTCGACTTGCTTTGTTTCAATGACGTCTGGACTGTGATCGTCTGCATCGCGTAGGATGAAGGATACAGCCTGGCCTTCTTCCAAGGTGAAAGTAGCCGTAACGCCTATGCCCAGATCATGCGGCTCTAACGACTTTTCGAAAACCACCCTTGGGCATACACGGTCTGGTTCATCCCCACAATCGATCGTCGCGTTGAGCTCCAGGGATAGGTCCTTCGATCTGAAGGTGACTCGCTGTAGACCATGTCCCTTACCCATGTCGACGATCTCGGTAGTGTGCTTGTCTTGCGCATAGTTGAAAGCAGGGAAGATTTCGACGCACACGTCAACTTTGCCCCGCATACATTCTACTCGACGGACCAGCCACTTCTTCAGATCGGGGCGATCAGGCACGTTTCCTGTGTGGTTGCTTGCGATTACACTCGCATGATATTTGGCATCCCAATTCTTGTCGTTTGGCCTCGGGAAGAAGTCCACGACATTCATGACGCCCTCCTCCTTCAGGTAGCGTGTTTGAAGAACATTGCTCACGGGCAGATACTGTTGCTTGGTCGTGCAAGAATCGTCGCCAGTTGGACCTATGGTAAAGTGGCCACCCTTGTTTTTGTCCAGAATCCGGCAGAAAACCGATGGTGAATCAAAGTAAGGCCAGCACATGTAGTCTAGAATTGGGCATACAAAGTCAGCGTGTGTCGGATATACAGCTAGAGTGTGGGATCCACAGACCGATTCCGCCATCTATAGCAACCATAGCACAGGTCCTCATATTTCCAATTAATCCATAGTCTTCGACGGGCATGTATCCATTCGCCGAGCGCCTTGAGGCAGAGGTCTGAATACCTGATGCAACTCTCTTCAGCTTTGGATTCTGCATCTTTTCTTCCTTGTTACTATGCTGTCTGTATAGCTCGGTGCCGCTATCCCTATCCAATGGTAAAGGTGTGCGGGTGATGGATGTGTTGATGACATCCTTGAGAAGCCTGGTGCCGGGCGACCCGGAATCCATTGTGCCATTGGTAGATATGGACATGCTTAGTGCACTAGGCCGGAATAGTTGGATCGTTGCAAAAACTGCTACAAGCGGCAGAGTAGAAGGGGACCGATCAAGTTGTACATATCATCGTGATGCAGTGTATTGGTGTTGGTTCAGCCAATGGATGATCGTATTGTGACGTCAGACGATCTCGCAACCTCCACCTCCACCCACGTCAGATACAGCTATCATGCGCTATCGCACCATCGAATTTTACATATCACGTTCACTTTGTCTAGAATCTTGAAAAACACTCACAGTACCAGCTCTCATCTTTGTATTCTTAGACATCAAACTAAGAGCTGCATCTAGCACTACGATAAGCCTCCTAACCAACCGGTTAACACGCTGGTCTCCAATGATATCATTATGCAAACACTATGACAGATCATAGAGTAGAAGCAGAGAATCATCAGAGCGAAAGTTCTGTTCCATCTTCGGCAGGCTTGATCAGAAAACCACAAGCAGCATCCAAAATGGCAGTCTCGTCGAGCACATCGAAGCAACCGATCCATAGGCCCTTGTCCCACTCACCGCCGATTCCCAACCTCGCTATAACCCTGATGAGCTTGTCTTCTGTGGTAGCGCCAGAGAAGACCTGCACCCCCTCAGGCTTCACAAAGATCTTGCGAAGACCAGGGAGTATTTGGCGCATGTCCGGTACAGGCAGGCTGAGGTTGAAGGAAGAGCCGCCGTAGTTAAAAGTCCGGAACCTGTGAAGCACGTACGGTTCATCGATGGAGATAGCAGTGATAGCACAACGTTGGACGAAAGTGAGCTGCTTGGTAAAGGCCTCAAGTCCACTAGGCGAGCTGGAGTGGAAGTAGTTGTTCTTGTACTGGATGAGCGCAGTCTCGATGTAAAGTTGACGGCATACGCGAGTTACGGTGAAGATTTGAGATACTCGCTCGGTGTCAGTGATTTGTCTATTCGCCTGATGCTGTAGGTCATCCACGTCGTCTCTGCCGCTATCGCCATCGCCATCTACGCCCATAGAGAGTTTCGGTTGGCTAGAGATAGCGAGGCGGAAGATAAGGTGAACATCGGGGCTTGGTTCGAAAGGGCTGGTACTATCGTAGCACTTTATCTCGACGACGACGGTATGTCCTCCGATAGCAAAAGCGAGGATTTTATTGCGAAGCTCGCCCGGAAGACCCAGGAGTGGGGAATGAGTCCTGTTTCGCGCAGCACTATGCGTGTTAGCGATGCGGAGTAGACTATAGACAGAATCTGTTTACTCACATCCGGGTTGCCTCGCAGGCCAGTTCAGCATCGCTTGGTGACATCTTCTTGATAGCGTTGCGCTTCAACAGCTTTGGTAATGGGTGAGATTGTGAGAGTAAGAGATGATCTAGGGAGGAGAGTCTCTGGAATCAAAACGCAAACGCGTGGTGAGCTCAATGCGGCAGGTACCCACATGCCAATCTTGCGTGACTTTTGGCAGAGTCGAGGTGAAGGCAACTTACAAGCCATTACGAAGAAGCTCGTACTTCCCAAGTTGTATCATCGTCACAAAGTATTCCAAAAGTACTTGTTGTGCCTTACAACGATAGAAGCATGGTATAAAACACTGCGAACATCTTTAGGAAAAGTTGTGCATCGTCATAGTGCCGCTGATGGCTCTATTGATCTCACACAAGATTGAGCAAAGAGCCATCTAGTAACGGCGGCCTTGACCAAGCCTCCGCATGTGCATATTTTGCTGAGACAAAGAGTATATGTTTCGTGTTATTACATATGAGGAGTGTTGATGCACAGGCAGGGCAACACAACGCGATCAAATAACTTAATACAATAATCTTAATGCAGGTGATGTTTCGTGTCATATTACGCGCGATAGTGCATCGGTTGACGATGTGTTCGTCATGAAGAGCGTGGGATGTCGTTGTGATAGTTACAGTCTGACTCGGCCATTGTTCGCGTACGATGCACAAATTCTTGTACGAACAAGTTATCAGATGAATACTTCGTATTCGTAATGCCATTGAGAACGTGTTGCGTACCATTTTATCGTGATATGACAATGACGTCACGACATTTGGAATGTAAGAACGCCAACCAGCCGATACTCCGAAACGTCACATGTGGTAATTGCAAACATGTGAGTGGTATGCCAGGCGGAAAGTTGTCAAATACAAGCTCCTAAATTCTTTCTCTTGTACTCAACCTAACATTACTTGTACGCCAACATATCCCTACAACTCTAGAGACCATCATGCAATCAGTTCTCCACAAGATCGTCGGCCCTAAAGAGGTTCATCCGGAGAACCTCGAAGGGCGCGTCGCAGTAGTCACTGGCGGCGCTCTCGGAATCGGGTACCGCTATATCCCTCCCTTCCCCTGCTAGACTCCCGCTAACACTCCTGTAGCTACGAAGTAAGCCGCGCGCTAGCCCTCGCTGGCGTGAAAGTAATTATGGTGAACCGCAAAGAAGAACAAGGCTCCGACGCCATTTCTAGCATCAAGAAAGAAAAGGCGGACGCAGACGTTGAGTGGAAGCATTGTGATATGGGCAGCCTCAAGGAAGTCAAGGAAGTCTTTACCGAGTTGCGCAACTCACTCGAGCGTCTCGACTTCCTCGTCCTTTCCGCGGGAATCAACACGAACCAATTTGGGAAGGACGCCGATGGTATCGATCGTCACTTTGGCGTGAACTACCTAGGTCACTTTTATGTGTGCAACCAGCTATGGCCGGTGCTTCGCAAGACAGGAAAAATGGGTACCAAGCCCGCACCAAGGGTCGTCTTTGAGTCAAGTGAGATGCATCGCACAGCGCCACCAGATGTGCACTTCGCGAGCATGGACGAGATAAACGATAGCTCCATGGACCCCACACGACTGTATGGACGCACTAAGCTGGCTATGATCCTGTGTGTGAAGTTCGGCCTACGAGACCGTGTCATTAAGCCTAATGGTGATAACGTATACGCTCTCGCTGTACACCCAGGCGCAGTCAATACGGCTATGCAGCAGCAGTGGAAAGACGCATATCCGGGCATTACCGGCAAGCTGTTGTCGAATGCCATGCTCTTTGCCGGCCGGGACGTTGAGCAAGGGTCCTACAGTGCGCTTTGGGCATGTACAGCGGACGAGATCGAGGAGAAGAACATGAACGGATTTTACTTCAACGATCCTGTAAGTCACCTTTGGTTTTGGATGCATGTTTCCTGTTGAACCTATTGACTAACATGTAGTTGCAGGGCCAACCAGGCAAAGAGACTTCCCAAGCCAGCGACGAGAACCTTGGTGCTGCGCTGTGGGATTTAAGTGAGCGAATCATCAAAGACAAGCTGGGCGAGGATGCGCTTGTTGACTGGGCTGCGAAGGAGTAGAAGCGCGAAATTCAGTATGGCGAGCGCAGCTCCACCTACGTTCATCTCAATCTGGGACGAGTAATGATTAATGTAAACATTGTAATATTCGATATCCTATGAAAGTCCACGACACCCCCTAGGAGTGTTGATTGTGTCATAATACCCTCAATCCACAAGTCCAGGAGACATATGGCCAATTGCCCCGTGGAAGCCATTCCGACTTGTCTCCAAAAAGGTCTGGTCAATCTGTCCGACCGTTGTTCAATGAAACCACAGCATCAGATAGCTCTCGGCAGAACGAAGACTCCTGAATTTCTAGATCCTGGAGCAGAATGGAATTGTAATTGACGATCGACACTATCGCCTTCCGCAGATCCATCGCACTCTCGGAAAGATATTCGTAAATGAACAAGATTGCATCAATCATCTCTGGATGCGCATGATAATATTGGGCTGCCTCCTTAAACCTCTGGGTGCAGAGTGCTTGAAGATCAGGTACCGAATACTTATCTGCTACTTCCCAGAGCTGGAGTTGTAGCAACATATGGCGAGGTATTTGTCTGTCGTAGAGCGCGAGCCCTGAACCGCTTGGTATGCTTGGAACGACGCGCTGTCGTTTCAGTGACGTAATATCTGGTCGTGTTTTGTCTAGAGTTGAGAGCATCTGCTTGTTCGAGCTGTGTGATGATGTAACGCCGGCATTCGGCGGTGAATGTGTGGAGAACGGGCTCGATATGTTATCACCACTGTGTGGGCCATATCTGTCTATATTTTCGCAACTCGCGTACAGGTTTCTACCGTGCGCCCTGACCTACATCAAAGATTCTGCGCTCGTGTCAGGTTTCCAGAAAGTGGGATGGTAATCGGCGTTGTGAAGGAACCCAGTCATGATATCGACCATGTCGGGAGCGTCACCATGAAGTGCTATTACTCCTTCGGATGCCTCCGTCCCGAACTTTGATGCACGCCTAAGGTATTCCGAGAAAGGAGAAATAACATCGATGTCAACACTATAACTTTCGGCACCAGACGTTATCGTAAAACTGGGCGTCATGTTTCTGAAGTGTAACCAACCCGCGTAGAAGTTGAGGTCTGGGCGGGTAGGTTTGATCGGAGGCGAGCGAGGGGAAACACTCATTGGTAAAGTGATTCTACTCTGTTCTTGCTGCAGTATTGACGCGCGCGAAAAAGCTTTGACAAACAGACAGAGCTCTCACTTTGCCCCGTGCAAACACCATGATAACCTTGCTTTGTGTCTTCCGCACGTACTCTGGTTCGATTCGAAAGGCGGTCATTGCATTAGGTGACAGAACGTGGTTACCGCACGTCCCACGCAGAAAGCCTAAGATGACATCGTGGCAACTCGAGGAGACCGTAACCGTGCTGTTTTGTGGCCACTAGAAACATGACCGGATCGGCTAGTGACACGAGCATGTCTGGAAACGAGGCAGTGTTGAGTAGACATGGCGGCATTGGTGTACATGGTCGTAACTGCGATACACGATCGTCCTTCGGATCATAATTCCTGGAGAGGAAGAAGATCTCACTTCGAGCTCCTTCTTCCAAAGCTCCAACTGGATTTCCTAGTCCTCTCCTGTGGAGGGCTTTGCTTTAGCTTCTTCCTGAAAGCAATGATAGCTTTAGTCTTCTTCAACTGGTCCCTGTTCCGTTCTAGTATCGCCGTCTCGTCCACCCCTATATCGAGCAGGAGGTTAACGAAGTCGTCTTGTTTGTTTGTGAGAGCGTGATCGAGTACGGATGCGGGTTCGGTGTCTTTAGCGTGGATATCCCCGCCGAAAGCGAGTAGAATGCGGGCAAGTTCGACATAGCCGCGCATGGCTGCGAGGTGAAGGGGGGTACGTTTGTGGTCTCCCAGAATGTTTACGAGCGTGCTAGGCTCGGGATGCTGCTCCAACATCGAATGGATCTTCTCAATCAGAACAGAATCGTCTTTGCATCGCAACACTGTTTTGTGGAAGTCCCTCCAATCTTCGCTTGGATTTGAGGTGGCGGGTGTTTGGGCTGAGAGAAGGCTTTCGTCATCGTCGGATTGAACCAGAAGAGCTTTCGAAGACGAGGAGGAGACGGAGGGACGCGAGCGTGAGGTCGTGGTTGAGTCTCTACGGATGTTTGTTGGCTCTAAAATAGTATCCGTATTTGAGAGCCATCTCTCAAGTGCGCTGAGATTTTCTTGAGTGGGTTGACGCTCGTTTCTGCCTTGAATTATAGGTGGCTGCTTGCGGCTGTCAGCAAAAGTTGCTTAATAATAGTGGTTATCATTCAACCTACTGCTGCCATAGATTCCGAAGCGCGGCGCATATGGGTTAACTCACTAAAATATAATGTTAGGAATGTAAGGATTGATAGTAGGTTTGTACGAACAGATGCGACCAAGCTCCAGTGATTAGACCAAGGTCCGTCAGGTATTGCCGTATATCATCGATGGCAGCCTCGATATCTTTAGCTACTGCGTCCATCTTAAGTTTCAGGGAGATCTTGTCGGCTAAGGTCTCCGTGCTGAGAGCTTTTAGTTCTGATATCCTGGGCTTGATATCTCGAAAACGTTTGCGACATTGCGTGATCTTCCCACGTACACGAAGTGACGCTTCACTAGCACCATCAGGCTCGGCTTGCTGATATGTTGAGTTGAGAAAACAGACCACTTCATGCAAGTCTGTAACTTTGTCGGCAAGCCGGTCGACTGATTGGTCTATTTCCCGCACCGCGCCAATATAGGTTTTGCATTCTTTGACGACAGCGACCCCAAGCAGTGCGATGGTAATTATGCTTGAAATCGGCTCGGCCATTGTCGCTTCGGCTTCGTAACTGTTATCAAGATCCGCTTTAAAGTGGATCGTCAGATGGGGTTATGGTCTTTCACAAGGATGCCACCAAATATGTGCACGCGAAAGTGCAACGAGTTTTACGGATGTGGTATTGATTTTACCTAGAGAATGCATGTCGTGAGGCGGCTCAAGGATGGAGGAGGGGCGGAGCAGAACGCGTGGAGCCTGATCGTGACCAGCGACGAATCGAGGGACGGGTAATGTGAGAAGCACGTGTAAGATGGGTTGACGTAAGTGTAAAGTATGGAATACTCAAATGCGTCCATGCTGTGCAGGGGTTAGAACGGGTTCGACACGCTAATAGGCAGGGGCAACTTTTGGCCGTACCTGGAGTAAGCGGGGAAGCTGGACTGTGACACTATTACAGATCAAGTAGGCATCCGCTTATGTGCTGTCTGTGTAGATCTACCAGCTGTCCTGCAACAGTATACATTGGTTAGGTCAGCGAGCGTACATAATGTCTTAGATCTTATAGCCTAAATGCTCAGCTTGAACTTCTGCGATCTTGCGTTCACCTACTCAGATGGAGACGCAAGGAGTAGAACGAACGCTCCCGCGTTCACGCATACCTGTTAGGCAAACCCCAAGGCGTTCTACGAGGGAGGAGGCTGAGGAGAAAACAAGGTGTCACCAATAAAACTAAAGTTGCAATATGATGCAATGGCTGGCCTTCGTGCCGAATGCGGGTTAGTAGTGTATGTTTTGATTGGCCATCATCTCTAGGACCCGTGTCGCCTAGAAAAGGGCAACGGTGCATACCAAAAGCAAATGCAAGGCAGCCAATCCATTGAGAACAAAACGTTCATCAGAACGTACACCCATTGCTCAGCCTCCTCTTGGAGAGTAACTGTAGGCAATATGACAGTGGAGGACCTCGTTGATACATGCCGTATACGTAATCAGACTCGCTTGTTTGAGAGACCGGTCAGCCTTGTAGGACTCAGCCTACTGTGGAAAGCGAACATATATTGCTATATGCGGACATGTAGTCGCACACCAAGCTCAGCTTCACGCAGCATAATCCGTTTCGAATTCCATGGCCACGATCAGAGCAGCAGATGGGGCAGGTGCAGTCGGGAACCGTAGACTAGCAACAAATCGAGTACGCTCAACAGGCGCAAGACAGACGTATGCACATGGATCAGCGTAGTTTGGCTGTGACTGACTTCCGCAGTATAGACAATCCGTTCTTGACATTCGATGACACAAAAGCCGATCTCAATACCGGAAGAACCGAGCTAGAAGAATACGTTTGGCAATTTGCAGCGTTAGCAAATCTTAAAGATCGCTATGAATTGCTCCGATTCGGCGCTCGACTCGCTCGAGACAAGTATGAGACTATCAGTAGATATGCGGGTGAGCTCACAGAACCGGAGAAGAAGCTGTTGGAGAAGGAGAAGGACGAGAGTACAGGATTCTGGAAGCAGTCCAAGTTCTTCCGCGCGACAATCATGACGGCGAGTCTCGCAGGAATGATCCAGGGATGGACGCAAAGCGCGAACAACGGCACTGCCTATGGCATGCCAGATGAATTTGGGCTATGTTTCCGCCCACAAGATAACTGTACTTCATCCGACCTTTGGACTTTTGGAATGCTGAACGCTATACCGTTGCTTTCCGCAGGCCTCTTCGGTACACTCCTTGCAGATCCACTGCAGGAGAACTTCTTGGGGAGACGGGGTAGTGTGATGCTCTCTTGTACTATTACAATTGCATCAACAATTGGTGCGTCGGTTACGAATAATGTAGGCGAGCTCGCAGCCTGTCGGGCCATCAACGGAATAGCTTTGGGCGCAAAAGCATCTATAGGTAGGAGAGAAGCCTCGAATTTGACTGCATCAAAGACACTAATGTCATGTAGTTCCCATATATGCGGCTGAAATATCACCAGAGCATATTCGAGGCGCTGTCCTGGCAAATTGGCAGCTGGCTGATGCAGCGGGTGCGTATTCCTCTTATTCGAGTGGCATGAGATACTGATCCGTTAGGCATATTTCTCGGCTTTCTTGCGAACTTGTTGGTTGTGATATACGTGAAGAATGCCGCGTCCGCGTGGCGCATCCTTACAAATACGGTGCTTATTCCCACGATCCCGTTGTTGGTCATGATTTACTTGATGCCGGAATCACCTCGGTACTTGATGAAGCATGGAAAATACCGCAGAGCACTCGAAGCCTTCGAGCAGGTCCAAACCACGCAGCTGTTGGCAAGTCGCGATTTTATGTATGCGCATGCACAACTAGATTTCGAAAGCCGACTATTGAAGGGGGAGGTGAACCAACTTGGCAACCTGGCCGAACGCGTAGATATCAGCACGTCGAGCTTCTCTGGCGAGCCATCCTCGATGACACCTGATCGCGTGCAGCTCGAAACAGTGGGTTCTCAGGCGTCCACATCGCCAGGCCGATCCGTCCAGGGTTCCAATACGGAAGCAGCAAATAGAGGAACAACAGTAGAGCCAGGTAACAGTCAGCATCAGTCCAGATCGCGGACTGAGCAAAACGAAAATACCAATATCGAACTTGCGACTCTGAACAGAAGATGGAGCGATGTTACAAGCCTAAACTTCGATGTTGAAGTCAAGCGAGCGAAGAAGAAGCACAACCCCTACTCGTACAACATTGGTGTCAACGGTTATTACAAGCGTCTGAGAGAGCTGTGGTCCAACAAACGGTGTCGACGGGCGTTACTAAGCGCCTCAGTCTCCATGATCACTCAAACACTGACTGGCGTTAACACAATAGCCTTCCTCGGCACCATAGTTTGGAAGAACGCCATTACAGCCAACAGCGACCAAACCGCCGCGATAATAGGTCTGGCCTTCGGAGCAGCAAATTACGTGTTTGGACTACCAGCATATTGGTCTTCCGATCGATTAGGACGGTCCATTATGCTTTTGCTCGGCTTACCAAACATGGCCTGGTCAATGTTGGTGTTTGCCTTTCTCTTCAAGATCCCTGAGTCGGAGACGTCCGTTCGAACCCCAATGATCAGCATCTTCGCGATCATTTTCGTCGCCTTTTATGCTCCGACGGCGGGTACGTCTCCATTCTCGATTGCAGCAGAGGTCTTTCCTCTCGTGTCGAGAGAGGCTGGCATGGCTATCTCCGTCGCTATTAATCTCTCAGGCGCTGGTATATTGGTCCTGGTATTCCCGTTCCTGTTGAACAGCATTCAACCGACCGCTGCATTCTCGATCTTTGCAGGCCTGAACTTGGTCGCCTTTGTATTGGTGTACTTGTTCGTTCCGGAGACGAGAATGCGGACATTGGAGGAGCTGCAGTATACGTTCGATTTACCGACGGGATGGCATGTCGCGTATCGGCTAGGGTACATACGGCGGCATGTTTGGGAGAATTGGTGGAAGTATCTGGCTCGCAAAGAGGTCGAACCTCCTATCCCGTTCTATGCATGGGCGCGGGAGACATATAGAGAGATGGCAGACGCCAGCTAAGTAGCGTAGCGAGATGCGCCTGAGCAGGTTGTGGACGAGGCATAGACGTTTGAGGCGCGACGCAACCTCGCACCCACTTTCCCTAATCAAGTGACGTTCTGGTGATAGCGCGAAAGACTTAGTAAGGCAAACTTGCAAGACCTTCTACAAAACATCTGTGGATGCTTGTCAAAGCATGAGTGATGTCGGGATACTGAGATTCATAGATAAAACGAACGACGTGCGAATTGAAACACTATCTACATGACATGCTACTCAATACACGAGAGTAGTACTGTAGAGGCGTGTTAAGCCTACTGCAAGACACTGCACTGCTGGCAATCTTAGGGTAATGAGCGGGCCCACAGCTTCGAGATACGATATGTTACGGTTAGTGGCAACAAGATGATGTAGGTGAGATTCCCAGGGTCGTGTAATCATTGTATTGTACTACTTAGGTAGGCGGTGGCCTATCTGCCATCGTAGCAATACTGCGACTGCCCTTACAACCATAGGTACTAATCGCTTGTAGCTAAGATTGCATCTTGACAACAACATGCCCTCCTTGGCCTTTAACAAATCAGTGTGTGTCTGCAGGTTAAAATAGAACTAGCTCACCTGGCAGCAAAGGCGAAAAGACGGTATCGCCGTTCACCATGAAACTATTGCCTACCCACAGAATTAGCAAGAAGCACAATGAAGCGCCACAGAGTATAAATACCAGACATTTGGAGCAAGTAGTCATTGCCATTCTTGTGCGCAATGACACGGTGCGGGTCAGGATGTTCGTCTGCTTTGAACCATAACACCCTCTTCGGCAGGAGGCTACGATCCTCTATCATTCCTCTTGAGAGAACAAGCCCGTCAGATATGAGACGGCATTCCTTGAGTTCAAAGACGGCTGGTTCTGACCCAGTCTTTGCATGCTTGCATGTTTGGCCACCAAAGGTATCTTCGTCCAACGGGCCATTGACCTTGGAGATGGGCTTGCCGTCGATTTCGATGGTGAAGGGGCGTGGGAGGGAGTCCATAGTTGTGGACGAAAAGACACGTGTTGATAGTAGAAACAGCAGGCAAAGTGCAAAGATCCACGAGAGACTGCAGGTGCGATGCTTTCTGAAGTTTGGCACTTGGTTCTCCGCCGTCTTTATATAGGTGAGTACTATGAGGGTCAGCTGTAGCCATAGCGTAAACTATGCAACAAAGTTGTTTTTCGTATGCGTAGTCGACACCCACTCGCAGTGACGACGAACCTGGAACGACGCTGAAGGTACACCGCTGTTATGCATGCAAATGCAATGTAGACTGAATGTATGCACGCAACGGTGGCAACGCCGCCAGATGGGGAGGAAGTGGGAGGGATGAGGTCGCGAGTACTGGAGCAGCAGTAGACGGCCAGGGCTCCCAATGACGCCTCCGTCTTCCGCTTATCCTGCGCAACATGTTGATACAAGTTTCCAAGTACACAACACAGGACACATGCCGTTGCTTCGACAAGTGCTCTCTTAGGTGCCCCTGGCCCATAAAAGCATTGTCAAGAGGTGAACGCTCTCAGACACTCAAACTAGGTACCCCGCTCCCCACACTTCCTACACGGTACGGTCCGCACCATTGTGTCCGTGCACACAATACTCGGGATAGCATAATGCACACCCTAACAAGCAAAACGCACTACACTCAACACGACATGACTGTACCAGTATGAATTCAGTTAAAGGTGCGATTGAAGCTATCATCGAGTCTACGTTAGACTACAAGATCTTGGATCAATAGGACGGAAATACGGTTGCAGCCTTTAAGTCGTGCATTTAAGATGACCATTAATAAGTCTACTGCATATGAAGTGCCCTCGAGATAACGAGGCTAACGACGGGATAGCTCATGACACGATCGTGAGAACCATGCTTGACGATCTGTTCTCTGATGATCCCATTCTTCCCTTTCCATTCCATTTCCCAACCACCAGCACCCACAGCCGTTTTCTCTTTCGCTTTAACATGTTCTAGTTCTTCGAAGGTCATAAGCGGAGATGATTGAGAGGTCGCATTAACAGCATGCCAGAACAAGATATCTGAGTGACTCCATGGTATATCGTAGTCGTCTTCGGCGTGTATCAACGTGATGTCGTAATTGTGTTTTTTGTTGTTGACCTTGATGCTGTCCAATCGATGAATCAGTGCGGCAAGCTTCTCCTTGGAAGGAAACTTGGTGAGGATGAATCCATTCAGCAGCCTCATAAGCGGTGGAAAGACTGCCAGAGGAGAAAGGAGCGGAAGAGTGCGAGCAACTCTATACGTCCTAGTAAGAGACTCGACATCAGCGAACGGTGCGACTAGTACAACTCCCGCTAGAACAATAGGAGTGGGCTGTGAGGCCAGGTGATGTGTGAGCGATATTGCTACCGCGGTACCCATAGACTGAGCAAATATCACGATCCTGTCTGGTGATATTCCTGCAGTGTCTGTTGCGAATCTGACTAGAGTGATAGCATCGGTAAGGAGACCGGCTTCTGAAGGCCACCCAGTACTGGTGCCAAACCCGCGGTAGTCAATGGCAAGGACATGCACATTGGTTGATGTCGCACTCATGGCCCTGTAACTTTGTGGCCGCCACCCAGATCCCAGCGTGCCTGCAGCACCGTGAAGGTAAATCACTACTTGCGCAGTTGGGTCCTTTAAAAGGCGAAATGAGATTCGGTCCTCGACGTTCGCGCAAAGTCCAACTGGCTCTTCACGAAGCTGGGCTTGGTGTTGGCGGTATGTCTCCAGTGGTAGGACGTGCCATGCATGTAGAGTCTCGCCATCTGGGGTTTTGAGATGAAACGGTGTAACTTGATTGCGCAGAAAGCCCCATTGCTCGGGTATGTTTATGTCTTGACCCCAAGTTCGGGTCACTCGGTGCAAGAAGATGACGTGGTCTTGTAGTGTTGGAATCGTCAGAAGTAAGACGAAGCCGAGATAAACTCCGACTAAGCCAACGAAGATGCCGAGGAGAAGCTTGAGTACGTCGGCAGATACATCCATGACCGGTCTATTCTGTGTCTAAGAAGTACAGCCACGACGACGAATTTTTCAGGTTGACCAGAGCTACAAACGATGTGGGGTTCAGGTGGAGCGTGCTGAACATTTTACACACGAAGATTGCCAGACACGCAGAAGGATACCAGTGTCTTTACGGCACAGAGGACCCGGCATGATGAGATGATTGAACGCCAGACACTATCCACTCGGAAGTGTTAATATTCAGATTTCTAATTTGGGAGCGACAGAACATATCTGCTACGATGTGATCGCGATTGTGATCGAAGAAAGAGTCTAAACTCCCACATTTCTGTGCAGAATGACATGCGCAAATCAGACGCAAAGAAAAACGACATCTGGTGTTGAGGACGCGTTGATCAGCTTCACACGGTTATGCGTCATGATCGTGATTTACAGGCGACTGATCCAGCCTAGCTCAGTGGGGGAACAGGTACTATTACCGAGGCCTAGGCCAGCGGGGAGCCCAACACTACAGCGCGCAAATCCAGCGCGTCTTCTTTATCTTGCGCTCGAAACCTCATGCATTCGAAAGCCTTATCCACTAGTTCTGTCTTTGCAAACTCTTACGCCTTTCGTGATGTTCATGCAAGAGCACGTCATGGCCGACCTAAGACCAGTCGTAGGTGAGATCAGCCACGATCACGGTCGCGTCACGTCGTACTTCCAGGAATGGCAACATCACTTTAGACATAAGTTATAAGACCGATGGAAACTTGATCATGATGTCTGAATCACTAACCTCAAAAAGCTTCGGTAGAGACACCTGGAAGGAGAGGTTTGGCTAGATCTCAGATGCGTTGTTGTACGAGATTAATGCAAGCACGAAGAGATCACTACACCAAAGACAGCTACCATGGGAAAGCTCATGTGTTGCTTAAAGACAAGGGTGTTGTTCATGTGCCCATCCTGAGTATACACAATGTTGATAATACTGACACTATCCACTTTGCAAACATTACTCATTCAAGGCATCGATACCCTCACTCTCAATTGTCTTCTTCACGTCATTCCGCGCCATAACACCATCGACTACCCTCGTGTAGCTCGGATAAGTCTCCCTCATCCCCATCTTGAGCATATTGCCCCACCGGTAGAAGACGAGGAGATATGCGTCTACTACGGTGAAATCATCGTCGACCGCCCAATTCCTACCCTCTAGCTTCTTCTCGATATATTCAAAACACTCTTGAACGTGTTTACGGCCTTTAGCTCGCACGGCGTCGTACATCGCCTCATCTCCGACAAACCGACCCGGCCTGAACACGCATCCAAATGCCTGTCCATGCAACGTCCCGCAAAGCCATACCATCCATTCTTGTGCTCTCGCCTGCGCAATGAAGCCTTTTCCGAGTAATTCTTTCTCTGGCGCTAGCGCAGCGATGGTGGAGAGGATGGCGGGTGTTTCGGTGATTAGCTCGCCATCTACCTCGAGGATGGGGACGCGGCCTTTGGGATTCAGATGAAGATGGGAAGCGGGGAAACCACGAGCAGCATGGAGGTTTGTGGTGCTAAAGGGGAGAGCGGAGATTTGGAGCGCAATATGAGTGGCTAGTGAACAAGATCCTGGTGTGTGGTAGAGATGAAGAGTTGGCGGCATCGTGTCGATAGCAGTAGTAGGTAGCGTAGAAGTGATTTGGCTTTAGTGAGAGACGACGCCTTTTTGTGTACGCGAAGTCAGCAGTCAGCGTGTGTTCCTGATTATTAGATCTAGAGTCTTCGTCCAATGATCTGGAAAAGCTGCAGTGCTGGTTGGTTGTCAGCCGCGGAATCTCAGCCGCGCTTATCTAACTGATAATCGTAATTCCAAGGGCACGCCGTCGAAGATCACCATACATTGCACTCATGCCAGCAATCATCTGTCTAGGTGGTTGAGTATTTGACCCACACCATGGTTTGTTGTGGCTATGTGTACGCTTGCCTGATCGGTGAGCAGGTGCTCTGCATCTACGAATACCTCAGCCGCACCTGCCCTCGTTTCTCCTTCCTCATCAATTCTGCTGAAGCATCAATTCATCAGTTCCTGGCGTGTGTAGTTATGTAAATGAGTATTACTGCACCGTCTGTCAAACGTCGCAAAATTGCACCACGTGCAGGTCACAGGCCGGTCACTAGGGCAAAGCTAGCCCTACCCAGCGAGTTGACTTGTTCCTACTCTTCTATAGCTATCGAGCCCTCAAGCAACCGGACGAGATACGCATCTTTAAAGTCGAGAGGATAGCTTCGACCGAATGGCAGTATGGCATCGAACATACAATATTGACCGATGCACCACTCTTCGAAACTGTCTCGTATGTCTGGGCTCCGGTAGTCTGGCGCAAGTCACGCCTTGCCAAAGTGTACTTCGAAGGCATTCGCTATGTTTCTCATTAACGTGCTAAATAATAACAAGACCTTGCATGCCCTTAAGGTAAGGTGTAACCTATAACACAGAAGCTTCCTCTTGAGTACCGAACAATCAGACACGAGACATATACCAAACAACATCAAAGTCGAGCTCCATATCTATCAACGCCTCCAACACCATTGAACACATCACTACTGCGTCACAGCCCTCAATCCTTGTAACACTAATCCAAACATGACACCTCTTGCAACCCTAGGTTCCTGTAAACAATCGAACACCTTACCTAACGCCTCTCCGCTAGCAGCCTGGCCCATGACACTCGTCAGCGCCTGAGGCATACCCCTCTCCACAAGTAACTTCCTTGCTTTAACCCTCAATTTCTCCTTCTCCTCTTCACTCATCTCCGCGGGCCATGCCTTGAGCTCTTCTTCTGTTGGCAGACCGTTCTCCCGGATCTTTCTGATGTGGTATGCTAATCCGGCGTCGGAGGCGTTACCGTCGAGAACAGTAGTCTGCAGGAGCGATGTGATTGAGGAGAGTTGGGGGTTTCCGGGACGAAGGAGGAAGGATTTTGCGGCGTTGAGGAGTGTGCGGCGGAGTGTCCAGGCGGAGGAGAGGGTGTAGAGTTCGTTTATGACTGCGAAGAAGAGTTCGATGAGGACTGTGGTTTCGGGCTCGGACAGCGGCGTATGAGTGGGTGCTGTACGGGACTTTGATGGTGATTTAGCGGGAGATGAGGTTAATGATGTACCTGAGGGTCGACGAGGTAGTGAGGGTGCGGAGTCTATTGATGACCGCGAAGGCTTTTGGGCGTGCGCTGGCTCTGGTTGATTACGCATAGTGCTGTAGTCGTCGGTTATTTCGCTAGGCATTGGTGGCAAGTTGATGAGTTGATCACCTCCCATCATGGGACTGAGATCTTCTATTTTCTCGCGCATGCTTGGCGCACGACTATTGCTCCGTGAGCCATACCTGGAAGATCTCCCAGAACGTTTGCCATCGCCGTCAGGGTTATAGGATGGTCGACGTTCCATGGGTGCTTCACGGCCTGGCTGCTGATCGATGACAGGTGAATGAGGATCGCGTACAGAATCTATGGATGTACGTTTGGTTACCAACGACAAGGTGCTCTCGGAACGAATGTGCGTGGGAAGTTCAGAAACGGTCGACTCGGCTCTGCTTTGTCGTGTCTGGATTGGCGCCGTATTGGACGATGTACGGCTCAGAGGGCTTCCGGATGCCTTCGTGTCAGCGACGTTGCTAACCGAATCGCGGTTCTTCTTTCCTCCTAGTGGTGCGGTTACGCTGCCGAGTACTCCAGTAACACCGCCGAAGAGGGCCTTGCCACCACCAGCAACTTCCTTGGGCGCCTTGGAAAGTACACCCATCATCCCTTTACCAACAGTATCGAAAGTCTGGCCTGCCCATCCGATGCCTGGGAAGCCACCACCGGGAGTCTTTCCAGAGCCCAACTCTTTGTCCAAGAACCGCTTCATACCCTCACTTTCAGCAAGTGGTTGGTACTTTACAGCATCGTTGAGATACCGCTCCAGTTCTCCACGCAAAGACGCCTTGGTGTGACCTTTCCATGGCGGCAGTGTAGCGTGTGATTCGTTAAAGCCGGCGGTCCCAGTGATGGCTGCTATCCGACGTATGACTTCGTGTAAAGTTTCGAACTCGGCGTACTTGCGTGCTGTCATCCACCCGGTGTGATGGTTCGATTTCGGTTCAATCTGTATCAGATACTCTGCTGTCGGCTTGGCCTTGATCGTACCCTTCTCCCCAGGCATACTATCATCAAAGATCGACATTGTGCTGTTGTGCAGTGTCAGTGGTGGCGGTGCAGGAGGCGGGTTGTCCATTAGCGCAGTAGGCGGCTGAGGTAGTACAAGCTGGTCGAAGCTTGTGAATGCTTTCTTCACTTCCTGGGTCGGTGGTTCCTCGGAACTCTTTGGTGGAGATGCTGGTGTGGCTTCTGAGAACGACCGGCCGGAAAGTCCTGAGATGCTTAAGTCCGTATGCTCGGCATCGCCATGCGCGTCGCTCTCTGACGAGGACGGGGTGACTATCCCTTGAGTGGTACTCTCGGACTGGTCGTCGTTCAGAGTTGACGTGGATGCGCTTTGTTGTTGCTGCTCCTTTAGCCGCTTTGCGTCTTCTTCAGCAATCATCTGGCTCAAGAGCTGTGCCTCTCGCATAGCATCGTCCATGGCTTCCTGAGCTTTGCTCATGACGCGCTTGTGTTCCCTTTTCTCAGCCGTGGTTGTTGTTTCTGCATCGTCGGATTCTTTTTCTACAGTCTTCTTTACGTTTTGTAGCTGCCCTGAAGAACCCTCGACGCCTGCGTCAATAGCATTCAGAAGCTCTGGCTCGCCATCCTCCAAAAGATATACGATCCACCCATTGATCCACTCGGGCTTGGAACAGCTCACGACGATCATCTCGAGTATAAGCTTCGCGAGTATCTGATGTAGGAATATTCGTGCCGGCATGCAGTTGTCTAAGATGGGCATAATAAGTAAGGGTATGCGCATGGATCTAGTATACAGAGTTTACTCACACGTCTTCGGTTCTAAATAGTTTTGTAGGATGTCTTCAGCCGCTACACTGAACTGCTTCATTTGGTAGTCTGGGTCCAGTATGTTGGCTAGAGTACTATCTCGCTTCATCTTGAGATATATATCGACCGCTTCGGTTGGCACATCGCCGGGTGACGCTTGGATTGCAACGGCGATCTCTTGCAGGAGTATGATCATGAAGGATGATGAGCGCGTCACAAAGTCAAGGAAGTTGTCGGCTGGTCGCTTTCGGGAGAGGTGTGCAGATATGGAAAGCACGAAAGCCGTCAAGGTCTGGCGGCACGAGTTCGGGAATGTGTCTTCGGTGGGCAGTAGGGGTGAGTACCACCACCTGCGTTGTATTAGAACAGTATCTAGACACTGCGCGGAGGACATACTTGACATAGTCACGAATGACTGCATCCGTCAACTCCGTCAGCGCAGCGGCGGTCTCTGGCTTGAAGTCTGAGTAGTCGAGCGTCTTGCCCGAGTACAGCTGCACATTGAAGTCGGAGCTGTCGTCTCTAGCATGGCCCTTTTCTTGCGTCTTGTCGGTCCGCCAGTCAAGAACACGCTGCGCTATGTCGACGGCCAATTCTCGCTTCCTCGCGTCGGCGTTCTTCCCCTGTGTCTCTTTGTTGTTGCCATGGTGCCCTTCCCACGTCGCGTGGAGGACTACGCCGCCTACAACGCCTATGAGGACCAGCCCAACGCGGCCAAGTATAAGATATGTGCCTGCGCCTAGGCCGGCAAGACAGGCGCCGAGCGTCTCATTGCTTGCAGTCGCCAAGAAGTGCAAGGTGCGATCCGTGAGGGCCTTGACATCGAATGGAGGCGTATTCGATTCTGTCTTTGGGGTCTCCGGCGTCACAGCGGTGCTATCGGTGAGCGAGTCATGGTGGCGGTCGAGTGCGGAGGTGGGCGGGCTCGGGGGTGGTTGAACGGAGTCGCTCATGGTGGTTGTATGTGCGCCAACATCGGGGTTTGCTGAGCTGAAGAGTGTCGTGGCCTGCAGTGAAGCATGGTCCAGCGCAGCCGACTGGAATATGTGGCGTCTCTAACGGCTGACACTGGCGTTCTGGCCGTTTCACAGCTGCCGCTTGTTGATCGCAGAGCGCTGAATAGTAACGCCGAGCCCGCCCGAGCGTTGAATATCTATTTTCGAATCCCAACATCGTTCTGATCTTCGCATCTACACGCGTCTCGTCTTCCCTTAGCACCCTCAGCCCTATCAGCCATGTCCAGCGACCCTCCTAACGATGCCGAGATTCTCGCTCATGCCGAGAAGTTCTGGGAGGGGCGCAAGCCTAGCAGTCCCATCTACCAGTTCCTGCTTGACGACATCAAGCTGACCTATGCCTCCAAAGGTGTTGTGCGCGCACAGCTACCGCTTACCAAGAATCATGTAAACACGCACGGAAGTATCCATGGCTCGGTCTCCGCAACGCTGATCGACTGGGTTGGTGGCATAGCCATTGCTGCTTGGGATAATCGGACCAAGACAGGCGTATCCACGGATATTCATATCTCGTACCAGAGCGGGGCAAAGGATGGTGATACCATTGAGATTGAAGGCAGGGCAGGCAAAGTGGGCGGAACCCTTGCCTTTACAACAGCGACGATATGGAAGCTTGTCGATGGCAAGCCAGGCCCTATCGTTGCAACCGGCTCTCATACCAAGTTTGTCAAGGTATGAACCGTCATCTGTAGAACGCCATCTTCTTTGAGGTCTCGTCCAGCTCTCCATGGACGATCGAACTCCACTCGGATCGCGAAGATTGACCGACCCTCTCGCTATCATTTCGTGCCCAGCTTCACAGCGACGACAGCATGAGGATGTGGGAGGGTCCTACATATCGCTCAAATGGCCAATGCTATGAGCATCCATGACGTTCCGATTAGTTTCTTCTTTGTCCATTGATTGTATTGTGCGTGCAGCTCCTCTTGAGCGGTTTGCCCTGGAATTCGTAATTCCAAACTTTCATCGTCTTGGTCAGAATACAGGGAGGATTTCCTAGAAAATATCAAGAATCTGGCCAAGCCACAAAACAAAATGTTTCTACGAGCGCTATCATCAGTTCCTGTCTCCATTCTCAACGTCGGATAACGGCATCGCAAGCACAGGACACGCGTCGTCAGCCACACTCATCAGCCAATCAGAGCGCGCATGAGCCACATCTCCACGAAGCCAAGCTCCTTGATTTCCCAGTAAAGCCACAGACTATGCCTTAAACACAAGCCAAACGGGCTGGAATCGCTTGAGTGCAAATAATCAAGGATCATGCGTCCCAAATCGAGTGCCTGGCGTATGTCATACTGCAAACGGGTACTGATTGTGACGTCGATGAACCGGTGGATAAGATTCCAACAAGCATGAGGAGAATTACAGTGAAGTATAAGAGATCAAGAGTCCTCGTAGTGTACTCGCAATCAAGAAAACCAATACTAAATTCTCCAAACCAAAGACGAGTCTAACTTCAAAGGTCCACTCCATTCTGATCAGTCACATCAGACCAACTCACGACACTGCATCCATCTCCTACTACCCATCGCTTCTCTAGCAACAAGATCGATACAACCTTAGTTCATACTCGAAGACCTCCGTTGTCATCTCAACATCGTCTATCACGTACAACATGGGCTGCGGACCTTCACGACCTCGCCGCTTCGACGGAAACGGAGTATCCTACATCGACCACCCGCAAGCTGTACACAGCACTGGTGGAGTAGGGCATGGTCGAAGGCACGGTGGTATGAGAGGAAGCGGTATGAGTACCACTGGTATGGGAGGCAGTGGTATTAGCGGCAGACACGGCATGAGCAGTGGCATGAGTTCTGGCATGAGTATGGGCCGGTCAAGTCGCACGAGCGGAGGCATGAGCAGCGGTATGGGCATGGGACGTTCAAGCCGCTCGGGGGGAGGTCTTGGCGGGATGATGTCGGGGTTTGGGAGGAGCCGGAGATGCTAGTCAGTCCAACGTGGCAGACGGTACTTACAAACAAACCTCCTAAATGCTTGCCTGGGGGTCGAAGAAGATATGTGGAGTGATTATTGAGTTTCTCTGGCGTTCTTGGGATAGCGGGATGGTATTCACGGGTGTTAAGCGTCTATAATTACTATCAGTCTGTACGGTTTTGAGCAAATGGAATCAATTGGTCCAAGAAACAAACTAGAATAACTATTGAAATGGCTCATGTTCATCATGCTACAGTTTGTGGACGCTGGGAAGCTAGCTAACTAGGCATCGACTAGACCTTATCGCTCCTCGTCATCAATTGAGTCATGCTAGCGACGACTTTACACGGGTCAACATACCCCACTAGTCCGCACTCCGTCAGCATACTCCTGCCATGTTCCAGACGCTACCAAACTTGACGCGAATCTTCTGCTGCAACCCGCCCGCCACAGGAAAGGCCTGGATGTCGAACCCATCCTCAGCTAGGCTATGCATGAGATCGTCACCAAAGCCCACCATTTCCATCATCAATACCTGGAAGAACTTCAAGCGCATGAGTTGGTTGATATGAGGCTTTAGCAGTTCGAGAACAGCCTGGCGCAACATGTCAGTCACATCCAAGGTGTTGCGCCAGATGAGAACCAAGGAGTCAAGGAAGGAGTTCAGGACCGATGATACAGGACTGGCATCTGGGTACTTGTGATCGCCATTGACGGTATGGTCGGAGAAGTCAGTGGGGTCTTCGCCGGGGGTGATGCCCATACTGAGAACCATTCTGGCGATGTTGATATACTCTCCGATCGCGTGATCACATAGCTTGGCCACGTCGTACTTATTTCCGACGATGTAGGCGTGAACGTGAAGATCCAAAAGTGTAATGTTGGCGTATTCGAGTCGCATATTGGGATTGAAGGTATAGATGCCGTCTTCTATGTAACATATCATCGCTGCAATGGCGTAGGGGAAGTCATCGCGAACGCGGATGCAGCATGTTTGACCCTCCTTTGGCATTCTTAGCACTGTGAGACCTTTCGAGTGCAGGCGGGATACTTACGACAGATGGACCGTCTAACATCGGTGCAAAGAAGCGAGACTCAGTGCACAAAAGGTACTTGTCAATCTTCATAACTTGCTTACCCTTATCGAAGAAAATCATTACATCGTCCTTCAGAATATGAGAAAAACAGCTGTATCGTCATTAGCATTGATCACTCCAGTAGAGACGGCCGCTGCTTACTACCGAAGATCGATTGATTGCATAACAAAGACACTTGTACGGGTCGCATTGATATCGATAGCCGACTGCAACGTTAGATCCGGGAGATGCCTACGAGGAGGATCCAATAGAGATAGACTCTGGAAGTGAAGCGCACTCGGAGTGAGTGGACCAATGTGGCTGACCGGACTAGGTATAGCAGCAGTGTCTGGGTCCTCGAAGATGACCAGACCAGGCGCGGGTGGATATGCCTCCAATACCTGTCCAGGAAAAGAACCTGAGTCGTGGTCTTCAGAGGTAGTGTAGCTTCGTTCAAAGCCATTGCTACCAAGTTGTAGCTCGGATAGACTTCGAAGGGATGAGATGCGTGGAGCAAGTGGAAGATGATTCCTGAGATCGTCGGAGGGCTTGTTAGACTCGTCCTGAATAGAAAAGAATTGTATAACATTCTCTTTATCGGATCCAAACGAGAATGCGGGCGTATAGAAGATCTGTGGCGTTGAGGCAACGGCCGAGGCAACGACACTGCATAGTGCCTTGCGATGTGGGTGGCTAGAGAGATTGGAAGTCCCATTGAACGCTTTGCCGAAGGCACGCTTACGATCTTGCTGATTCATATCGAGATGATATGAAGGCTGACTGCGTTCAAATGGAGTCGACTGTGGTCTGTAGAGGATAGGTAGGAGGGAGACCGTCCTTCGAAAAATTTCGTTTCTCATATTCGTACGAAACGCGAGGTGAAGGAGAGAGAAGGTGACCGCAGCATCCTGTCCACGTCATAGAGGGAGAAATTTGCAGCAATCGCCGCATACCGGTGGTGAACGTGTGCGTTTGTCGAGCTCGGTTCTGTATAGTCTCGCTCTGGCATATTGAGAACAGCGTACGGGTCTCTGAGTGAGGAGTGATTGTTGCGAGCCCAATATAGTATTGAGTGCAGGTAACTCGACAACACTAGTGGCATCGACTAGCTATCAAATGCGGATCTCGCACTCGCCTCACCCTCACTACCACAGCTATACGTGCTCACGGTCGTACACTAACTATCTCCAGCGAGATGCCATCTCTTCGAATAAGTCCGCTCTGAAATCTGGTAGCTCGTCCATGGACTCATATACAAGAGCCATGGTCCTCCCTGTACCGTGTATGAACGCTTGCACGTGATTGGCACAAAGCTTGATTGCAACTCTTTTGAGGTCGTCCGCGTTAGCTCTTCGCTCAGGTGCGTAGATAGAGCGGATTGCGTGTAACAACTGCTCTTCCTCACCATCGGCAACCAGCACCATGGCCGCAAAGTCTTCAAATTTCTTCAGTGCAAGCGCTTTCAGGCCGGCAACGCCATATCGCTCTGCAAGCATATACACGTCTACGTGAGAGCGAAGAGTGACGTCCTCGGGTACCTCGAGGCCCCAGCCTGCTAGCTGATCGGTGTAATCAAGCTGGTAACAGTACTGCATCATTGCGGCGACGGCTGATGGATCATCGGCGCTGAGATCAATGATGCCTTTCGACGATTTCTGCTTATGTCAGTGCGGTTGAGGTGAGGGGCGCGACTTGAACACACTGGCGATATAACAACGGCACAAACTCTGGCGAACCACCTCGAATGATAGCACATAATCACCCTGTCGACATGATAGACGTCCCTTTTGGATCGCACGACTAGATCGGAGCATTGCCATTCTGCAGCAGGTGACGAAGACGAGCTCACAACGGGCGTGGGGGGAGACGTGATGATTGGTGTAGGAGCTGAAGTTGGCAGTGTTTCCGCTTGTCGCGAGTGAACTTCTTGCGGCTTGCTTTTATGTAAGAATAGCCGGGCTATTGAGCTATTGGAAAAGGTCTTGCGATGTTTTGGACGATAACTTTGGTTGTTTATTGAAGTAGTAGAAGAGGCTGCTGTGGACACAGAGGCGTTGGAACTAGTGGAAGCAGTTCGATGCAGACAGCCGAAGGACGCGTCTGAAGAAGTTGTACTGAGTCGGGACGACAGCTCAGTGCGGGCTATGCTGTCACGCTTTGAGCCATAGATAGAGGGATCAAGTCTAGAACTTGTGAGCAGAAGTGATCTCGGCTTCAATGAAAGCACTTACATATTGCTATTAACGAAAACTGGCGTTGCGAACATTTTAGCGAAGATTGATATATGCAAGGATATTGCGTAAAGATTGATTCGACGAAATCTTGCTCACTGAGACTTCGTGTCTACTGCAACAGTGCAAAAGACCACAGACGGGATCACAGCCCTAGCTGCGCTGCTGCTGTATATACGCACTTACGGTTCTGCCCTCTGGGCATTCAAAACTTAGACAACTCATGACCACATGGACAGAAGGGTAAAGCACAGGAAGAGAATCACCTAGCTTCCGGCATGGAGGGGTGCAAGACAGAGCGTTCTGATATGAAGCTCGTCAACTGGACCAATAATTGAGGATGCATATATTAGCCGTAGCCCCGGGCGAGCCAGGATTATGAGGCTTATCGATAGTGCTTTAATACCGAAGATGCATACTCGTGGAACGAGAACAGCCGGGCGCGCTCCGCTGGAAGATTGTGGGGTAGCTTCCGCATGGCATTCTTAGAGCAGTCAGCAGACTGTAGCTGAAACGGATATTCTTTCTAACGTCGCATGACACTAAGTCCAAAAGGACAGGTGCGCTCAAGCTCTCTCCATATCGAACTGTCCGACGAACAGCAGGGAAGACGAGTCTCTTGAACGGCTTACCTAGGTACTGCAACGTGGCATGTTCGTTGTGAATTGCGACTGACGTAGAGACCTCAAGGACACTTATATCACTATAGACTCTGTCGGTTGGGTTCGCATTAGACTCTGGATACATTCGGGCAAGTCTGCGTTGCGCGTTTTGAATTATGGGTCTGTGGACACCTCGTGGCGTGGATGGATCAGTCGGTCGCTCCCTCCATGTCCGGCCCGCAAATGAGGCTCAATTATTTTAGTGGCGATGCGCTAGAATACCTTGTGTCTTTTCGTCAAATATATGTCGAGGCGCACGTTACCGTCCCGCATTTCGAATGCCGATGTTCCCCAGCATTGCATTTGCAAAACTCGGCCCACGTACACGGGTATTCGAGACAGTGATGTCATTGTCGCGATAAAAGGGCCGATCCGCGACGTGAGATTTCATTGGCTCTACAGATCGCTCAACTCCACAACGCGTCACAGTTCGCGCGCTTTGTTACTGATATCTTCTCATTGGTAATGGCTTGCATCTGGATACCGCTTACATCTACATGTGCAGATTCGCGAACAGGTGGAAGAAAGCACATCATATCGGCGAGATTGACCAATCACCTTTGAGACGTTGTCACCGCCGTCAAATATTGTCACCAACTTTGACGTCGCCAATCTCCCGATCCGCTATCAGGCAACGGAAGTCCCAGCCTAGCCCGTACAGGCTGACGAGTAGGCCTAGATTGACAGATCTCTAAGCGTCATTGAACATACTACGCCTAGCTAGTGCGATGATGATGCGTTCCAACATGGGAATTGCTGAGATGTGGCTGGCGGCGTTATCGAGAAACAATATAAGATTCTTCGACACCTCTGGCGAAGATCCACCTATCCAAGTAATTTACTCATTTCTTGATACCCAGCCATATTACTACCCATTATGCCTGGAAACACAAACGGAACGAATGGCACCAATGGCCAACAGAACTCGAGCACTCAGCATGCTCCAACAGGTTCAAAGAATGGTGACCAGTTCCGCAACTACGCAGACGACCGCAATGCTTCATCTGAGGATGTTGTTTACTGCACATCAAATGGTGTTCCATACCCTCACCCCTACGAGAGCCAAAGAGTAGGCGAGAATGGTCCTCTACTACTCCAAGACCATCACCTCGTCGACCTTCTGTCACATTTCGACCGTGAGCGTATTCCAGAACGAGTTGTCCACGCCAAGGGCGCTGGTGCCCATGGTACCTACACAACCACAGACTCTCTTGAGGATCTGTGTATGGCAGACATCTTCAAGTCAGGCAAATCTTGCCCCGTCACTGTTCGATTCTCGACTGTTGGTGGTGAGTCTGGCTCGCACGACTGCGCACGTGACCCCAGAGGGTTCAGTGTAAAGTTCCGAACCGACGAGGGCAACTGGGACGTAGTTGCAAACAATACTCCTGTCTTCTTCATCCGGGATCCCGCCAAGTTCCCTCACTTCATCGTAAGTCTACCCATGCTAGTTTGTCAGATTTGGGCCATATGCTAACCTTCACTCAGCACACCCAGAAGCGTCACCCAGCAACACATCTTACCCACGCCGATGATGCAACAAACTTCTGGGACTTCGCTTCGCAAAACCCCGAGTCCGCACATCAGTTTATGATCTTGTTTGGTGACCGAGGTATCCCAGATGGTTACCGTAAGATGCATGGATACCACGGCCACACTCACAAACTTCAGAACAAGAACGGCGACTTCGTTTACTGTCAATTGCACTTTAAATCCAGGCAAGGCACTGGATTCATCACCCAGGAGGACTCAGCGAACTACAGTCCGGACTATTCCACAAAGGACTTGTACCAAGCCATCGAGAAGGGTGACTTCCCCGGATGGGACGTTATGTTCCAGACTATGACGGCAAAGCAGGCCGAAGAAGTCTGGGAGAAGCAGAAGATCAACGTGTTCGACATGACACATGTCTGGCCGCAGGATCAGTTCCCGCTTCGCAAGGTCGGAGAATTCTTTCTCAACGAGAATGTACAGAACTACTTCGCAGAGGTTGAGCAAGTCGCATTCAACCCTGCCCACCTTGTTCCAGGTATTGAGCCTAGTGCGGACCCCCTACTACAATCTCGTCTGTTCTCCTATCCAGACACCCACCGCCACCGTGTTGGTGTCAACTACCAACAACTACCGGTCAACGCCCCACGCGTTGCATACCGCATGGGCAACTTCCAGCGTGATGGTAACATGGCGTTTTACAACCAAGGATCGAGACCTAACTATCTCTCTTCGATCCAGCCCATCTCATTCAAGGAGAGAACAGTCGATCTTGACAAGCTCCATGGAAACTTCACAGGCGAGGCTATCACATTCTTGTCCGAGATCCGCCCAGAGGACTTCAACGCACCGCGTGTCTTGTGGGAGAAGGTCTTCGACGATGGCGCTAAGGAGCGTTTCATCAAGAACATCTCTGGCCACATGGAGACTGTAACCGACAAGGAGATCATCAAGCGTCAGATCGCCATCTTCAGGGAGGTATCTGAGGACATTGCTTCCCGCATGGAGAAGGCGACTGGTGTTAAGGGTTACCCTGGCATTGCCGAGCTGCGATTCAACGGAACGCACAATGGCATGGCCAAGTCTCAGGACAAGAAGGTCGCGAACGGTATGACTGGAATCAGCGCAAAGTATGCTGAGAAGAACAAGACTAATGGTGCTGCCAAAGCTGGTACGCATAAGGATATCATCGAAGGCAAGGCCTAGGGTCAGTAGATGGATATAGAGAACTCCTGCACATTTAGCGAATGAAATTTAATGAACCAGCATGAAGATGTTAATTATATAAGAGCTCAGTATGAAGTGGATGCCTTCATCGTGTTTCTCGTGTTCAATTTCAAACTCGTTCTCATTTACGATGCTGGGTCGAATATACCTATCGCTTTGTGCCCTGACGAGCGTATGATGTAGTCTCATCACGTTGTGTCGTTTGCAGCAGTACACAAAGGCAATACTTGCTGGCTCTTATAACCATTTCAACTACCCTGAAAGCATTTGTATCTTAAAGATAATCGTGTATGCTTCGTGGTGATGAATCAAGGACCACTGACGATGCATGCAGCCGGCGGGACCCCTCTCGCGAAAGGGAGCTAGCGCGACTGCCTCATCGGCAGCGGATCGCCAACTTCTGTCACCATCGAAACCTGCCAGCACCTTGTGCCCCTCACCGATTTCCTCCTCGAAGCGCTCAACGTACCCTTACTGCAGACGTAGATGTTTGGCTTTTCTCGCTTTTACGCTTCCAAAGTCGTCAATGGCCTTTACGCGCACGGATCCGCGATGGCAGGGTTGCAAGGGCCGGATGAAATCACGTCACGTGATGTCGGATTACGGTTGGCGTTTCGTTCCAATGACACCCCATTTCGCGTTGCCCGCTAGAGCGTGAGGAGTAAAATCGAGTCCTGGCAGCTCGGTCACTCCCACAGCATTGTCCCGGTCCAACTCCCCAGACGCCCACTCGAAGTCATATCATGTTCCTGTCGCACCTCGGTATTCTTTTCCAGTCGTCAATCCATCCTTTCGTCGCTCTCTAAAGCTCGTGGAGCTTTTGGCCCGCTGTCTCCGCACCTGCAGCGTCACCGTTGCGCTCTCACAGACACCTGTGTCGCCGACGGGCCCACTGTCATTGCGCGATAGCGACGGTCCTGCCATTGACTTGAATCGCTTCCGTCACGTCGTGGTCCATTGCCGCATTCAACTAGTCCTCCCTCCCGCCTCTCACCTAGTTCGACCGGGCGCCCTTCCAAGCGCATCCGACATCGCCCAGCTCACCAGCTCCCCTCCCGCTCGTACACTGCTCAGTTATCGCATTCGTAGATATCGACCGCTACAGAAACAATGTCGCCGCGACGTTCATCGCGGGCTCGTACTACCCAGCCCCCACCCAGTGTCGCAACACACAGCAACTCCTCATCCTCCGTCTCATCAGCGCGTACCGATCGTGCGTCGAGAGTCAACGCCAAACAGACATCGCCGCCAAAGTCATCGACCCCACACTCGCTTTCCTCGGAAGAGCCCGAAGAACCGCCTCACGACGTGCAGCCTGAGCCACCGCTAACCCGCCGACGAACACGCGAGCATGACAACGACGAGGATGAGTCGACTAAACTCGACGAAGAGCTCGACGATGACATAGCAGAAGAGGATGAAGTCACCCGATGCGTGTGTGGCTACCAAGAGTATCCAGGTCCGCCATCGGATGCTCCCAAATCCATGTCTGCTCTCGTGGACCCAGACGTCCAAGCCGATGAACTTGGCGGACTGTTCATTCAGTGCGATGTTTGCAAGGTCTGGCAACACGGAGGCTGTGTAGGCATCATGGACGAAGCTGCCAGTCCGGATGAGTACTTCTGCGAAGAGTGCAGGAAAGAGCTCCACAAGGTCACAACAAGCCCCAAAGGGTAAGTACTTGTATTCATTCGCGCACCCTTCGGATCTCTATACTCCGCTACGAGTTTCTTCTAGATCGCATCACAACGTCTCACACCTTGGGCTCCTTCATTTCGTTACGATTGCTTCATCTATACAATACTAACGGAATTGTTCTCATAGGCAAAAGTACTCTCGATACCTTCCTGTCTACGATCAACAGCACGGCAAGAATCGCAAGTCGTCTGTTTCCAAGGAATCAGATGGGCATTCAGGCAAAGACAAGGACCGCAACAACAGGGCGAGCGTAGATTCCTTTGGCAAGCGTCGATCGACAATGAATAGCCGGGCTGCCTACGACGAAGATGAGGTGCTAAGGAAGGTACTCGAAGAAAGCAAGCATGAGGGCGGTACAGCTTCGGAGAACGGCAATCGAAAGAAGCGGAGCCGCGACGACAGCGAAGAGTGAGTCCTGCTTGCTGCTCTACGTGACGCTGGGGACATTTAGCTGACAAGCTTGTGACAGGACAAAGCCAGAAATCAAACGGCAGCGGACTGGTTCTCGCTCTCCCAGTAACTCGCCAGTGATAGAATCCGAAGACGATAGTACAAAGGCCTCCGCTCCTAAACAGAAACCTCGCGGGGCTGCAGCTAAGAGTCAGCGTGAAAAAGAGCAACGCGAGAAGGAGCGCGAAAGCCACCGAAACGAAGCCGCAAACCGACGAAAAGGGCGTGCAGAGCGAAGAAAGGGGGACGGTAAGATGCTGTTCTCGAGGAGATAAAGCCTTAGCTGACCGTTTTTAGATACAGAGGAACCCGAGCCCACCCCCACACCCGCCTTAGAGGAGCCCGCTATGCCTCCACTAGCGACCGAAGCCACAATTCCCGACACACCCGCTGCAGAACCTAAGCCTGCACCTGCCCCACGAAGAGGTGGACGTCCACCGCAAAAGGCTCGCGGTCGTCTTGGGCGAAATCAATATTCTCGCGACACCATACCCGCGACTAATGGCACTTCACCCAAGAACGACATCGCACAGTCTCCACAAGCAAACCTCACAAACGGAGCGAGCAATGGGCACGATAGCAGCGACGGGACAGCCGGGCATAAACCTACCAAGACGAAGAATTGGCGTCTGCAGAAACTGTCCTGGAACGATATTCGAAGGCCGGCTGGAGCCATGCAAAGCTACATAGCGCAGCGACAGGTTGAGATGGCTACAGGAGAGAAGCATGGAAGTCTGGCTCCGGCTGTCCAACCGACGACCAACGGCGAGTCTGCTCAAGAACAGCAGAAAGATGAGGATACGGACCTGGCAAAGTTCAAAAATCTGAGTACAACTCAGATGATGGACTTTTTGAGTCGCGATCTCGTTCATTGGCAGCAAATGATCACCGAGCCGACGGATAAATCACCCAAGTGACGCACACATTCTTAATTTCTTGTGTGTTATACTGTTTCTTCGAGGCTACTCTACAAATACGGCGCTCTCGGCATAGCTTGCATGAGCCCAATCGGCACAGCATTCACGGCATTCCTTTTATATTGGCGTTTTCATGGTTTATTTTTTGGCACGGATACCCTCCACTTGGTTTACTCGACGCTGGGCTACCCTCCGGCGCATACTTCGATACTAAAGGTTTTGAAGCTTTCCATATGTATTAAATGTAGGCTTTTGGGTGTAACGAAATACAACCACGTCAGAGCGATGCTCCCGTCGTCACATCGTAATGTATACGAAAAACAAGATTCTCCAACGAATTACTAGCTTTTTCCTTTTCATTCTTATTGAACGTTCACAATTATGCGCCTAATCCGAGCTGCCCAGCTTAATCTCCAACACACCCATGACTGGATTTGCCTTGAGCAATTCCAGTATCGCCGGAAAATTCTCATCCGTTACCACGGTGTACTCGGGCCATATTTTGCCATCCCTTGTCTTGGTATCCCAGTGAATTTTAAACTCTTGGATCGTCTCTTTGGGACCGTCGGCGGCCTTGTGTTTCGCCATGACTGTAAGTTTATTGTTAGTCGGGTGCCCCAAGCAAGCTATCTGGTGTGTGGTGTGTTGTTCGACGTACACTCAACGCAGTTGGGACTGGAAGAGATTGCAGAGGAGATTTGTGCGTTGAGAGATTTTAGCGTTATCTTGGAGGAGGTGTCTAAGAGGAGGAATTCATGGCGGTTCGAGGGTGGGATCGTGAAAAGGAGGGGAAGAGACATGTTTGCAATTGCGGTTGTTTGATCCTGGTCTTCGTTAGTAAACCAACTCTTTAGTATACGAAGACCCAAACCTACTGGTGGTATTTGGATGATCGTCTATGCTGCGCGTATTATAGGAAAGAGTTGGGGAACTTAGTAGCCGTTATATGTCAAGACGACGACTGCAAGTTTCCCAGACTTGGAGAGTGTTACATGGGGGTACGATGTACGTCATCGGGAGGGTCGCGCATCTGCGGTTGGACGCGTTGCGCGCCGTGGCTTGACAGGGGTCTGCTTGCCCCGCTTTCGACTCGACCGGATTTTCTTGTCGTGGGTCCAATGCGAACCATGATCCTATTCCGCAAAGAGTAATCTGGTCGCGCTTCGAGAGAACGTGAACGAGCCAAGAATCATCTTCATTGTGCAGGACTACGCAAGTACCCTCTTCCAAGCAGCAATCCACAAACAACGACCCATCACGCAAAGTATTTCATGCCTGCATGCAAACTCTATCTATAACCCCTTGATCTTCTCCTCAAGCGCGCGTTTGATAGCTGATACCACGTTAGCAACTTCCTCAGATCTCCGCCTGTCTAGGAGTTGACTTACCGTTGCAGCTCTCATTAGCATCGCCGAACAACATCTTTGTATTCTCCATAAAGAACATCGGGTTCGGCACATCGGCGTATCCACTTGCCATACCCCTCTTCATGATGACAACCTGCTTGCTCTTCCATGCGTGCAGCACCGGCATACCTGCAATTGCACTACCAGGTTCCAGCGCAATGGGGTTCACTGTATCGTTCGCACCGATAACGAGAGTTACGTCCGTGTCTGGGAAGTCGTCGTTGATCTCATCCATCTCAAGTACAATATCATACGGAACGGATGCCTCAGCTAGAAGGACGTTGCACTGTCCTGGCATGCGACCTGCGACTGGGTGGATAGCGAAGCGCACATTGATGCCCTTGGATCGTAGGCTTTTCACAAAGTCTGCGAGCGCGTATTGTGCTTTTGATACAGCCATGCCGTAACCGACTACAATAATGACGCTCTCTGCGTTAACAAGAGCTTCGGCCGTTTCTTCAGATGTCGTCTTCGTTATCTCGCCCTCGATCTTGGACTGGGCTTGTGCCGTGGGAGCTATACCGCCAAAGAGGACGTTGGTAAGTGACCGATTCATGGCTACACACATGATGTAGGATAGAATTGAACCCGATACTCCGATCAGAGCGCCGACCGTTGTGAGCAAAGGGTTGTCTAGCATGAAACCCTCAGCCACTAAAGCAAAGCCAGAATATGCATTCAGGACAGTGATGACGACGGGCATGTCTGCTCCACCGATGGCGGCAGTGGTCGTATAACCTTTGACGAAGGAGAGTGCTGCGTTGCCGAGAAGGCATGCAGCGCCGATAAGAGGTGCGCCTGGTGCGTAGGTCAAGAACGCACCCATTGTTGCTACATTCGCCCCAAGTAATGTACTATTGATGAGATGCCGACCGGGCAGCGCCAGAGGCTTCGAGCTCATCTTTGCAGCTAACTTCAGAAAGGCAACAATGGATCCAGTGAATGTTACACCGCCAATGAGAACACCAAGGTAGGCGGAAACCATATGCAGGGTCGAAATGTCTCCGGAGTGACCCAGAACGCTACCGATACTTGTGAGTACAGCGGCGAGACCGACAACAGAATGTAGCGCAGCAACTGTCTGAGGTAGTGAAGTAGGCGTAATCCTCCGACCGATCATTAGCCCAGCCACGGTACCTACTGTAGCGAGACCGGCGAATTGGGTGAGAACATCGGAAGTGAAACCAACAGCGGCTAAAGATGCGAGGAATCCAGAAAACACACCGAGTATACCCAAGAAGTTACCGCGACGAGCGGTACTCTGCGAAGCGAGTCCTGATAACGAAGTCATGCAGAGTATACTACTGACAAGGTAGCCTGCTTGGACTAGACCTGCCATACCGGTAGAAGCTGCTGCGATAAATCCGCCGCCAAAGAGAGCTGCAGGGACTGCATATAGCCAGGGGTATTCCCTTGGGTCAGTAGGCCGTCTGAACATATCCAGCATCCTTTTCGAGATGACGAACCCTCCCGATATGTTGACGAAGGCCAACAAAACCGACAAGGCTCCAAGCGTTTGTGGGATGGTTTCGGGCATATAGCCACCACCCATAGCATATAACCCGCCAACACCTATGATACCAGAGATGGCATTCGTCACACTCATCAGCGGAGAGTGCAAGGCGGGCGCAACACCCCAGACCACTCGGTATCCGATCAAACTGGCTAGGGCGAACGTAAAGGCGTTAGACATGAACAATGGACCTGTGAATTTACCCAAAGTCAGAGCAGCAGTCATGCCAGCCGTGACGCTAGCTACTTGCCGAGACTGAATCTGCCATGGTGTTAGCGCGACGACATTTGCAACCTGATCTGCAGGCGATGGTGAAGGATTGGCTTGGACTGGCGGAGGAGCCGGACGTGGAGCTGGAGGAAGGATCTTGCCGTTGTACGTGACAATAGCGCCGCGAGTGACTTCGTCGGTAAGATCAACATCATAGTACTTCTCCCTTTTGTCCTTTGGGGTCAGCGAAAGCAGGAACTTGATAACGTTGTTTGAGTAGAGAGTTGACGACTGGGTTGGTAGACGGGATGGAAGATCAGTGTATCCTACGCTCGAAATTAGCACTGAATCACTGCAGGATATTGTAAAGACAAACCAATGACGGACACCCCCTTGTAATCCACCAGTTTTCCAGGTACTGTAGCTTCACAGTTACCTCCAGCTTCTGCCGCTAGATCCACGACAACGGAACCCGGTCTCATCGCGCCGAGCATGGCCTTGGTGATTAGTTTTGGTGCGGGCTTGCCAGGAATCAAGGCTGTGGTGATGACGATGTCGACCTCTCGGCACTGTTCATAGAATAGCTTCATCTCTGCCTCGATGAACTCCTTGGACATGACTTTAGCATAGCCGCCAGCTCCAGAACCGTCTTCCGAGATGTCGACCTCGATGAATTCTGCACCTAGAGACTGGACTTGCTCACGTGCTGCAGAGCGCGTGTCGAAACCACGGACGATGGCACCCATACGTCGAGCCGTTGCAATCGCACTCAGACCTGCAACGCCTGCGCCAATGACAAGAACTTTACAGGGAGGTATCTTTCCAGCAGCAGTTACTTGTCCAGTCAAAAAACGTCCGAAGTGATTAGAAGCTTCCAAGACGGCCTTGTAACCAGCAATGTTCGCCATAGACGACAATGCATCGAAAACTTGCGCTCGAGAAATGCGTGGTATCATATCCATGGCAAATGTAGTGGCCTTCCGCGATGCGATTCGCTCGACAGTCGGCTTATTCTGCATCGGGTAGAGCATGGATATGACAGTGGCGCCCTCTCGAATAGCGTCGACTTCACTATCTTCTCCATCAATACTGAGGGCTCGGACCTTGAGCAGGATGTCACTTTCAGAGAAAACATTCCTGCGATCCACAGTTTGTGCTCCAGCTTGCTCGTACGCTTCGTCGGTAAAGCTACCAGCACTGCCAGCGCCACGCTCAATCAAGATGCGAGAGAAGCCTTTCTTGAGTAGAAGCTTAACGTTCTAGAAAGGCGAATGTACGAAGTAAGCCCTTGTCTCATATCTAGCCAATATAGGGAAACATTACCTGTGGCGTAATTGCTACCCGCCTCTCGCCAGGATAGCTTTCCTTGGGTACTCCAATAGTGAGGTTGGAATACGGGCCTGCGGTGAATGGCGGGGTGCTAGGTAGCTCCTCGTCGTGCGGCTCCGATGCCTGCCCGGATGCATATCGCGCAACAGCCGTAACCTGCGAGACATGCTTCTGCAGGGACAGCGGGCGCGGACGGGTAAGGCTCCGAAGGCTTGTAGCAGTCAAAGTATGTGTTGAACGATCTCCATGTTCAAACACTGGTGTTGATCTCAACGTAGAGGTAGGGCAACATGGCTTCAGAGTAGCAAGTAAGCTGCCCCGCTGCGGGCGAAGGGCAAGCGCCCTATAGTAGCCAGATAGACAATTCTTAGAGGAGCTCATGCTGTCTCGAATGAAAACGAGCAAAGGGAGAAGTCGGGCACCCGCATCTGCTGGCGATGTTTGAATTTGTTCCCATAAAAGACACGGTTAGCAAGTGGGAAGAATGTCAAAACGCAGTGTGAGTGAGCACCAGAGGTGAGCACCGGCTTGCGAGACATGGTGGTACAATAAGGCGGTACCTTTGGGCCGCGTTTCCCTCGTGTTGTGTTCTGCCGAATTAAACACCAGTAGTGCAGTTTCCCCGCACTCCTCCACTCTCCCTGCATGAACCCCAGGATTTACCAAGCCCACGAGCCACATCGCAATGCACTCTCTCTGACGCCTGTTTTGGTGATGTATAGATGCCAAATATTGCATATTCAATTTGTCTATCGCGACACTTGCTTCTTGGAAGATCTTAGGTCGCTCTATAGTCGCTTTGGAGGTCACTTAGGTATCTTCCTGTAAAGTAGGGCAAGGTCTCCCCGCTCGTGGCAGGCGATCACGCGCTGTGGGGCAACTCCCAACTGTTTGGTCCATTTCCCGGTTTAGAGCGCTTGGGATCCTAGTTTCCGTCCAGTGCCGCCTTGCGCTGGTATCATTATAGCGAGCGTAGCCGCTCGCCACAGCAAGTGACGCACACCTCCTGGGCCGTTATTAAAGAAGCTAGAAGCTTACCTGGTCATAATCAACTCCCGATGCCCGGGCGAATACTTGTATTGCTCTTGTGAATATACCGTATGAGGTGTTTCGAAATGGCGAGATAACGCTCAAGAAGGCAAGGGAAGGCATGTTTTGATAGAAAAAAGCACATATTGGTACATTACAACTACAGAGATGCTAAAATCATACTAAGGAGTGACTATGCGGCGAGCTGACGCTCAAAGTAAAGCTAAAGAGAAAGGGTTATTTACAGAAGAGAAAAAGAGTATTACTCATGCGATCCGCCATCGTCGTCACCGTCTCGAAATTTATTGCGCCCATTCGATGCAGACATAAGTCATTCTTGTTGTTTGAATTGCAACAAGTGTTTACTCGTCACGCTTGGCCTTGAAGTAAGACCAGCCACCCCAGTTGAAGCTGGCGTTGACATCAACGTCCCAGGTGAAGGACTTCTGGCAACCCCACTGGGAAGTACCACCGACGGAGATGTCGAGGTTGGCCTGGGCACCGGTGAACTGCTTGGTGAAGAGACGGCAGTGAGTACCGAAACCCTTGCCAGCCTTCTCGAGGTAAGCAGCCTGGAACTGAACGCAGCCACCCTTGTTCATGCCGAACATGGAAAGGAACATGCCAATGATGCCGCGCTTGCGGTTGACCTCGTTCTGCTTCTGGGCGTAGGCGGCGCAGAGAGAAGGATCGAAAGGACCGGGGAAAGTAGTCTGACCCATGCAGTATGGCTGCTGGTTGTGGAGCTTCTTGCCGCAGGACTGGGGCTTGCTGCAAGAAGGAGGAGTAGGAGGGTTGTAGGTACCCTTGTTGTAACCGTTGGAGCCAACAATGACAACCTCAAATCCATCCTGGCCCTGACCGACGTTGGTGGCAGCCTCCTTCTTAACATCCTGTCCCCAGAGAGTGCACTTGAAGCGGGTAACAGAGTCGGGCTTGTCGCAAGAGCACTGGCGCGGGTTCCACTTGGGGTCACGCTCGATGTAAAGGTTGAAACCGGTGCAGGTGGAGGTGGAGTCGCACTTGGCAGAGCAAGCAGCAGTGTCGTAGCTGGTAAGTTCGTAGTATCCGAGGTAACCGCTGCCTTCAACGGAGGCGCTGGCGTCTACGAAGGAAGAAACGTAACCGGTAGGTGTCTTAGCGGAGGTGGCCAGCTTGTGGTAAACCTCGTTCTTCTTGAAAGCATCGGCAGTGTCGGGAGTGGTAGGTGGGCCGTAGGCGTTGGGCTGAGCGGCACATGGGTCATCGGGGTTGATGAATCCGCAGTAGGTGCCGACCTCGATCTGGGTAGCACATGCGGGGTCCGCGGTGAAAGCGAAGGTGTTGACCCAGTCAACCGGGGTGCACGAAGAGGGTGCAAGGTTGGTGGAAGAAGGGTTGGCAGCAGGCGCGGCGGTAGTGGCAGGAGCAGGAGCAGGAGCCGGGGTAGCCATGGGCTTGGTGTTCTGCTGCTGGTTCCAGTTCCACCAGAAGGTAGGGTCACGAGCCTCAAGCTGGGCACCAGCGCTCCTCTTGGCTTGCTGAGCAGTAGCAGCGCCAGTGGCAGCGGCGGCGGCGGTATTCTGAGCCTGAGCCTGGTTATAGGCGCTCTCAGCAGTGACACCAGCCTTGGGACCCTGAGCAACGTTGTTGGGCAAGGCATTGAACTGGTTGACATCGAAAGCCTGGGGCGCAGGCGAAGCGGCTACGAGGGCAGCAGCCCCGAGGAAGAGAGAGTAACGCATATTGGACGATTGAATAGTAAAGTAGCGAAGGTAGTGTAGTAGTGAAAGTAGTAGTGAAGGACCGATGCTGATGAGCTGATGATGAATTATTGTTCAGTGTACCAATGGTTCTTATATACATCGAGACTCACATACTCACGCGGTCTTTGCCTCGGTGATAGTACTGATTTGAGATCTATGTCATGAGTGGAGACGAAAATATGGCCGGTAAGTTCGAACTGTCTTCCTGAACGAGTTGGCGGCGGTACCTGGAAACAATAGTTCACCAAACTTTAGCCTAGCTCCGGATGAAATGTCATGGTCGCCAACGCCGGGAACGTGCAGAGCGCATGCAGGTACACCACGGCCACAACCAATGAGAGGCCATCGACTATAACGCCAGTCTAATTCGGTACAAGATAACTGCAAGTCATGAACCTTTACCTTATCGCGAAGCAGGGGGATCGATGACGAGATTGGGTTTCTTCAGATCGTGGTTGCGCGCTGTGATTGTGTGTAGACTTCCATGACGATACTCTATCGTAGATCAACAGATCTTGAGTGCTGCTGCTCCAAGCATCGGCGACCCGAGCCTTTGCAACATCGTCAAGGCGGGTCCCTAACCGAAAGCTTAGGTTATTTTTGCTCGACCTGAGATGTTCTAGAGCCCCACTTATCTTGTTAGCTTAGGGGTCCGCTGTTTACTATGTTAATAGTCACCTTCAGGGAAGCAGACTTGCGCTCGCAGTGGTACCGATCAGCTCATCAGGGGGTATACCATCTACGCGAACGTTTAAGCACCTAGTGTTTAAGCTCCCAGTCTTGCCTAGTCCGATTCTTTGTTTATTCATGCGTTCACAACGCTCGGAGAACATTCCACGGTGAGTTCTGGAGAAAGTCATACGGACTGAGTTCCCTACGACAGAGACTGCCTTCATACGTCGAACTGACATTGAGCGATATAAACCTTCAGATCTTCAGCTAAGCATTAGTACCTGCATCATAACGCTTGATTTGCACAGGGATACCGCATCGCGAGTAATGGCGTGAGCATTATGTGGTTCCTGGAGTGGAGTGCTGCGATCGCGATTACCACCATGCCCAGTGGCTGTGGCTGCATGATACGGGCGATTGGCAGAGTTTCTTCAGCCAGGGGCTAGATAGCTGGCTAGTCTGTGGCTTTTTCTGGAGTTGTGACGATACGATGTGGGTGCTCGCGTAGAGATGGTCTCAATGGTCGTCGCAGAGGTCATGCAGGGAGAGACTGCGTACCATGGGTCTTTCAGGGGCTCGAAATCTCCTCGACTGGTGCCCGGCAGATCTCGCGCACCCGTCCATACGATGCGCATCCCAGTCTCCTGGGTCGGTGTGCAAAATTGACGATGTACGGCGAGCTTCCTCACCCTGGGGCTCCTATCTGTCATTGCAGGCTGTGGCTTGACGAGCTTGTTGTTCACGCGCCTGTCCAAGGCGACGGAGGGCGTTGGTGCACAACTCAGTACTATCGAGCGTCGTTAGTCGAAAACCATCCACAAGCTCCCCTCGTGATGTGGCATCGTTGTGCATTGGCAAAATAATCGACAATCCGGCACGACTGTTGCTAATCCTGTAGTGTCAGTTCCAGGAGGCGACGAAAAGTTGGTGAGGATCGCTCCGGAACCTGCGGAGTGGAGACTAAACGGCTCGGTCGATCTCACTGGCGCCACAAGGTTTGACTAGCATTGCTCAGCCTCATCATTGCTTCCACCTGCCACCGCTACTGAGCGTCAACAACGGCTGTCCTCTGTCACCAACTCGAACTAAAGTCACTCGCGTGTCTCGGCCGTATTGCCAATGCTTTCACCCTTCATGGCCCCTCACTATTGTGTGTCACTTTACGTCAGTCTGCCTGCCGACCATCTCGGCTTACGCTTTCATCTCAACTTCAATGTAGAGTACATCGGATAAACCATGGCGTACCACTCGTTTACTCGCTTGCATCTTTGTAAAGTTTTGGCGATTCATGCCTTGAAGGTGTATGCGCTTGGACGGTTGGGACCCAGACCCCTCCAAAGTCCGAGGCAGGACACCATTCCGAATTGGGCCACTCGCTTTCGGAATCCTCAATACGAAGAGTGCAGAACTCCGAGGGCATGAGCCACCTGAGCCACTTTGAGCCACCTCGGCCAGGGGTTACCTGTGCAACCACAGGTGTACTGCCGAGATCCGCCTAATCGATAGTTGATACACTCAGGCATTCCTTCGGAGTAAGCAAATGGCAGTACCCACTACTCAGCGAAACACTGAGGCCGTGCGTTGAAGATGTCTGCTACGTTCCAAATCAACAAATGCATGGAATGGAACAAACGATACTTCCATAGAGTATACATTTCGAGCTCTTGGTCACGAAAGCAGACGAGTGCGTACATTCCCAGGGTGGGATCTTGGTACTAGGTGGATTCCAAGAAGTCGATCTCTTTCGGGTTCTGGGCAGTTTGGCCGTCTTCATCAAACCAGACAACTGGCTTGCTTGCATATGTTCGAGAGAACATGAGCGAGAAAGTCCAGGCGTGTTGGATCTAATGTCTTCTTGGTGGCTATTCCCTATGTGACGTTCTCGCTTTCCCGCATGCAGAAGCTTCTGCCAGAGTAACTATCGCTGCGTATCTATGAAGACGAACCGTGAGAAGCTGCGTAGTTCCGTCGTTGATCTAAACAATCAACAGGTTGTCTTTCGTATCCTTCAAAAGCACCCACGAGTATTTGGTGAGTGGAACGATATATGCTCTTTTCCATGTTATTAACCCCCTTCACGGCACATTAGTGTCGAGAATCACTGTAACTTCGTATACCGAATTATCCGGAGGCGAAGCAAGCCGAGACATGAGGCGAGGCAAAACACGACGGGTCGATTAATGTACATTCATATGCGAGGAAATTGAAGAAAGTCACAGTGAGTGGAGATTCCTCTACTTTGCTTGCAGACACGCTTCTTCTTGAACCCGCAAGCTCAGATCACCAAATGGCTGGTGATCCCGGGTAAACCCTGCAGATTGATCGGAGAGACGAGCGTGGATTTACCAGATCACATATTACCCAATTACGCGACCCGTTTACCGAGCATGCATATTGCGGGTTAAATTACGGCATACTAGTCGAGACCATGTTCTGTAAGCACGATACCCCAGTATTTGGGGATCTGGATATAGCTTCACTATCCTATCTTGTCGGTCTTGTTGCCGGTCATGCATCGGCTGATCCTCGATTTCATCCCAGGTACGGCAAGGTAATTTCCATGTTGCTGATGACTATTTTAAGCGCGTTAAACGGCAACACAGCACTATCATGCAGGTCCAGAGCCTCTTCGAGGGCAACATGGCAATCAATATCCCATCCAAGCTGTTCGTATTATCACTATAATGCTTCTTTTTCTTCCTGAACCCTTGTGGTACGCTGCCAACGCAAGGTCTGTACCACTAAAGAATTTCTACTGCAACGCAGAACACCACTTGTGTAACGTGCTCACCTCCTCCATTTTCGGTTGCTCTTGGTCATAGTCTCGTATTTATCATACCATGAGAGTCAAGTTTTTGGCTGAACAAGATCATTCAATCTAATAAGCATTTTGAGTACCCTAGTCCAGTGTTAAGATACCGTGGTCTTAGTACCGAAGAACTTTTTTTGGAGCTAAATTTGGCAGCGGAACTAGCTGCATCAAGCATACAATGCCTCCAGGCCATCACCTCGGTCATGCTGCGATGTGTGCGAGGCGCTATGGGGAGGTGCTGCAGAGTGTAGGGATCTACAACCGCGAGATCACATACGAGTATCGTTATTCAAGAAGTATAAGATGACTCCTCTTCCCATCTTGCTGGTTGCCATCGCAGATCAACAGCCTTCACTATCAACACTCAATTCAACGCCTCACCACCAACAGTCTTTGTCTGAACAATAGCAAATATGCACGCCAAAATTGCTGCCCTTCTTCTCCCGGTCCTCGCTGCGGCCAACCCTGTCCCTCAGACTACTGCTGGTGACGCTCCTTCTCCAGAGCAAATCACTATCGTTGACACGTCGTACTCCGGTAACGGCTGCCCTCAAGGCTCCGTTTCTACCAGTACCTCGACCGACAAGACTGTAAGTATCACCATAACACATCCCATCTGGGCTTAGAAGGTGGATCTAGTCCTTCTTCACCGACCCCTGGCACTATATTCCTCCAAAGGACTGGAGAGTTGGCATGGTAAGGACACCAGCTTACACAACCAGGTCGTAACTTACGGATTTGATCAATTCCAGACCTACATTGGTCCTGATACTACGCCAGCAGGTAAGTCCAAATTCACATGACTTTGGAAGAAGAAGATGCCAACATTTCTCCACAGACCGTAGCAAGAACTGCCAGCTCCACCTCAACCTCAAGTACCCGGGAGGCTTCCAATACGCCGTCGTAGATGCCACCTACCACGGATGGGCGCGTCTCGACGAAGGCGTGACCGGAAGCTTCATCACAACCTACTACTTCTCCCAGGATGCCGGCAAGACGCAAACTACGCGCATGACAGCCGTTGGCGGCGGCGCCCTCGTCAACGGTCAAGTCTACACCAAGCAAGACAGTGTGGAGACGACTGCGACTATCTGGTCGCCCTGTGGCCAGAACGGCATCCTTAACATCAACAACAGGATTGCGCTTACGAACAAGAAGCCTGGTCAGGCGGGTGAGATGAGCAACGATGATGCTACCGTTGCTTTCACCCAACAGCTTCATGTTGCGTGGAGGAAGTGCACGCCCGGATCTGGATCTGGTTCTGGTGGCGCTGATACGATTGGAATTAACAACCCGAGCTCGGAGACTACCTTTGGTCAGTAGAGGGTTGAGGTGGGTGGTGTAGGTGTGGTGCTAGTGGAGGGATGAGGGTCAGATCGGACATGTAGATAGTCGGTTGCAATGTTTCTGTTTAGTCATGAATCCTGAAACCTGTTATTTCGTGTATAAGTTTATTCGATAACATTGGTGACTAATCTCTCGACTGCAACCCTACTCGTCGGAGTCTGAAGAAGAACGTGCGTAAATGATTCACCGTGTCACCTCGTCGCCTCTTCAAGACTCAATTGAGCTTAAAATACAAAACTGAATATAACATGCATCCAACACGGAAGGTCATAACTATGCACCCCCCATACTGGGTCTGCAGGTGCATACAGCCCACGTGCAATCAAGCCCAAACCCCAGTACAACCCTGTTTGCCTAAATCTACAACGTGGCCTTTCCACATGCAACCAAAACACTCACATCCCCTTAGATGATAAGCTCGCCAGAACGAAACCCACTGATCGTACAAGATTCCAATTAATCCCGCGATCTGCGTCGGTCCTGGATAGACCGTAGTACTTCAAGCCACCCACCATCATCAACATCGCCGTCTCCTGTGGTTCGCGACAAGAATTATCAGGAAGCTGAAGAAAATCAATAGGTTGCCACTAGATACTTACCATTGTATGCAGCAGTGTTTGATGAAGACCCACCCCCATTGACAACAATCGGGTCACTATCGACGACATGTACAGCCAAGCCATTGCCTGCAGACGTGACTGGCGGATCTGAAGCAGAATTGCGAATACGGATGAGGGTGATGCGTATCCGATAGGTACCAGTCTGGCGAATGACGAGCTCGGGAAAGCGCATATAACCTACACCATGGGGGTCGGCCATATCCATCGAAGCAATGGATCCATCAGCTTCGTCGTCGTTGAATGGGTGAATAGAGTCGAAGATTCGCCCGGCGAGTAGCGCATTGAGAGAATTTGGATCCACCGACGCGGGTGTGTTTGGACCAGGGACCAGAGCGGCAACAGCAACGAGATTGGTCGAGTCCGCAACAGCCTCATCCGTATCTGCATTGATAGTTCTCAATCGCACGACGATCGATCCAGGCATTGTTTGGCCAACTCGAGCAGTTCGCGGCGGCTGCACTACGATATCCATGGCGTACCCGATCTCTTCCGGCGATAGAGAATTTTGGCCTGATCTCGGTCGTCCTGAGGTGCGGCCGTTTCCAGATTGATGCCTTGAGCGAACGGATCTGCTTCCTAGCGCCCTTGGTCTTGCAACGTCAGCCATCGAGGATGTGGCGTTGGCTGGGTGATGATCTGTTTCTCCGTTGAGTAACTCTGCGATGCGAACAGAGCGTCGGAGTGACGCGTGGCTTCGACTATTCCGTACAGTGTTGTGCCGTGAAGTGGACCTGGTTTCAGATGTTGATGGTGGATTCGACGTATCCCTCCTAGAAGACGCGCCCCAGTTGGGATTTTGATTTCTACCTCTTCCACGTCGTGGGCCCCTTCGCATCTGATAAAGGCAGAACCTGTTTTTCTTAGTAAAGTTTCATGAAAAGACGTGAGTCAGGCCAGTAGCAGCTTCGCTGACAGGCCGCACAGGATTCGATCGTGGTGTTGAGGCAAAAGATGATATGAAGCAAAGCAAGAAAAGTAAACAAAGTATAGATGAATGGAATACGAAAAGACTGGGAAGAGTCTCCAACGTATGACGATGCCTTGGGACAAGAACAGGCGATGTTGTATAGAGAAGATATAGGAAATGAAGTCAAGCCACGAGTCAGAACTCTCATCTAAGCTCGCTTGATGCACATGGGGCCGCCCCTCCATCAAGATGATGATGGTTCATTCTGTGCAGTTCAACCCAATACTAGGGCCCTTTAATCTCATCACTGCCTAGTGATGAGCAGAAATGCAGCAGCAGCGAGCAATATTTCGAAGGATATAGGCAGAGGTGAGGTTTGGAAGTTCCTCACCAGCCCGCTTAGGCCCCGGCGCAACCCCACATCCCGGTGGGATTCTCCAGTGGAGGGGCTGCCCTTTGCGCCTGCAATTGGCGCTGTTCATGCAGCCCTTCAGCTAAAGGGCTAGGGTTTTTCCATGCTCGGAAGATGACAAGATAGGTGTATAGAGGTAGATAAAAGGCTGCCGCAGGAGGAAAGGACAGCACGGAGTGTGTGGTAGAGATGCTGCAGATGGTGTTGCAGGGAAATTGACGAATGTGATGCGTCACAGGAACCCGGCAGGCCATGTGTTGACAAGGATGACGAATAAGGACGGGATGAACGCGCAACTAAGCGAGATGAACTGCTCACCTTCTGGCTTGTCACACCTGCCCGCCTTTTTCTAGAGCGTGTGTAGGAGACCTTTTGCCCTTTGTCCCTGGCGTCACACTATATTGTCGCGATCCTTGACGCGATTGACGATAGGCAATGCCAATAGTGAATACGCCTAGAGCCTCCTATCGCAGCGCAGATATTGGCTGGGAAGGTGCTTCTTCGGGGCCTCTAGAAGGCGCTGGCTTTGTCAGAGTTCTGTGACGCTCTATGCTGCTGTTGTATATTAGCCATGCTTTGCCCACACAATCAAATGTGCCTTCACTCATCCACATCCACTACTGTTTGCATTGACGACAATACCGCCAATGGAGCGTCATCCTTCATGGACCACACCCTCTGGAATGGACCCGGCATTTCCGACGTACCTCTTCTTGGCTACCGTGTTCGAGGTCAAGTACTATCCAATGCACACGGGCGGAAGAAAGCCTGGATGCGGCTTCGGGATGTTGTGGACCGTCGATGATGGAGGAGATGGAAAATGTCTCAATTGATGAAGGAGTCCGGAGCCAATGCCTTGAAGTCCGGGACGGCAGTATGCTTCCTGGAATCAACTGGCCATATCGGAGACGGTGAGTACGCCGTCTTATACAGAGTCTCCAAGCTACAAGCATCTAGAGGACTCTTACCTGTTGCAGTGGCCTGCAGTTATCTCATGGCTTGCCGCCTTCCGCTATTGGCCTGAGCTGAGCCTCCCCATCTCGAAAGCGCGTCCGCCTGCTTCCATTTCTTCTGGCATGGTGAACCAGGCCGTCCCTGTGCTTGGTGCGCATCGGCTTAGCGCTGCCGCCATTGACATGTCGCCCGTGGAGCTCGAGCGCATGGCGTTCTTGAGGTGCATCTTTCAGCCAGTAGTGTCCACCCGCCTTGCGGCTAGCATCACACGATTGCCGATCCAAGGCACCACCACTGACCCAATGTCATGGTATAGCTGCGTGGCCTCTGTGAGACCACCAATTACCGAGCCGTCGCCTTGGTATAAGCCTGCGTGATACGCACCACTGTGTCTTGCAGCATTGCCTTCAGTTTCGTAAAAAGGAATGTTATTTACATTAGGACTTTGCAGTAACACCTTCCCAGGCGCCTTTCCCCCCCTTACGGTAGCCACATTCATCTACTGTAAACAATCATGTACGCCTGCCCCTAACGGCTCAAAGGAACTCGATTCAATTTTCTGTTGCTTCACTTGCGTCCTCCGAACTTCTCCGCAAGCCAATCTATGCCGAACCTACGTTATTCGGAAGCTGATCCTGGTGTTACGGACGGCTACCTGCAGCTCTTGTACAGTATATTAGACACCTATCAGCTTCATCATGAGCTCCTTATCCAGCTCCGTCGGGATCGTGTGACATATTTGTGCTCCATCTTGCCATCCTTCCGGTCTGGCTTCCGAACGTTGTTACGCACATTGGCCCTGCGAGGTTCTAAAAGGCAACATGTTCGGAGTTCTTTCCAGAGTCTGCTCTCTCGCACTTCTTATCTAGAGAGCCACACCAGATCCTGCTCGCTTTTACGTTCTCGATATGATCCATTATCGAAAATCGCGGAAGATGTCTCTCATAAGATGATGGTTCAAGGTCTGGCGTTTGAACCATTTCTTGATGTTTCTCTAGCACGGTTATTCGCTCGACAGGGGACCCAGGTCATGTACCTTATCCCGCTCGTTAGTTACCGAATCCGATTTGCGCAACATACGGGAGGGCTTAGAAGAGATGACCAGCAGGGATATCCCTAGCTTATCGCTGCATATTGTCTGCTAAAGAACCGATGTGTCGAATCTTGGAGGCTGAAAAAACCGTGATGCTTTCGCGGAAGCGGATCGCAGCAACTGATACCACCTGACAGGGTAACCGTGCCCGTGACGGAATCCAGTGATCCGGGACCCAGTCATCCTCTTGACCGCTGAGTTAGCCGAAATTCTGTCATGTCCCACTTACTCCCACCCTTTTCAGACACTTGCGCTTTCTTTAGTCCATTTTGCTCTTCGAATGTTTAGGTCCGAGCCAGCCACTCATCGATATACTTTCAGTGCGTTAGTCGCGGCTTCCGCGTTGCGATCAAAGTCTTGTGCGTCATCCCAATCTCCTTCAATTGACCATCATGGTCACTAACTGCTTACCCAGCAGTATATCTTGCAGTGAACCCGGTTACAAACGTCACTTAAAATAACACTATCGAACACGTTCACCGAGATTGTAAATCCCAATGCCAGACAGGACGAGTTAGAACCGTATGGCTTGGTCGTGTTAAGTACTGCACCCTCCGTCAGAGAGGAGAACGCAGGATAGCTGTATTGGGATGTTCGTCTCAGATGACTACCAGAATGCTGGACTCAATCTGCGTCAGATCCCCTTTCGTATCCATACATGTGTTCGACCACACTATTGGGAACGACTCAGCGCCACTTCAGAGATGGCCTGGTCTTTCCACGCGAGACATTCCCAAAACTTTGTGAAGTGCGGAAGTCAATCGCTAGTAAAACTATGTGCAAAATCGCTTGTCTTCCAGGCATACTGCGACCCTGCGCCTACAAGAACACCTTCTAGACTCGAGACTGAGTAGTTCCACCCAATCTGCAGCGCCTTCAAATTTTGCCACCGGTTTCTGCCATGCGCAACATCTGGGAACGGTAAGAACTATAAATATACAGCACAGCAGCCAGTGTCACTGCTCGCAAAAGTCACCACTGCAGCGGTCAAGCCTGATGAATTCTCGAGCCGTTGTTACTCGTTCAATCATCCAGTCGAGTTACTTTGACACTCCGAAGAGCCGCATCATACTGCTGTACAGGTGAGTGTGCTCAAACTTGCTGAACTTAATGCGATATGAAGCGAAGGCCTTCATTATCCATACTTACATATCCACTAGAACGGCTAGACAGCGGACCCGTGATCCAAATTGATCGCTAGAACATTTGCCATACATGAAAAGATGTAAGGGTGTTTATTGGGGGCGTTCGACGGCTTTTGAGTGTCACGTATGACTGGAGATCGCGGTACGCAACACAACGCTCCGACACTACGGATCCATCGCGCCCACATCGAGGAAGTGGTCGACATAGCATGGTCAGGACTAGGGCCGCGCGTGCTAGGTACTACGTGAATGAGGGTACTGATTCAGACATGTTCCTTGACAGCTACAGCAAAAGGATTGATCAGCCTTTGCTTAGCGCACATCCTATGTTCGGAGATTGTATTGACGTCGCCTTGAAGCTAGTGAATGCGAAAATTCCTGCTTAGAAAACTCGCATCGGCAAAGCCTTCGCAAGACTACATTTATCGCTTGACACCAAGACACACGACTGGTTTTGAGAAACCTCTACCGATGTAGTGGCCCCTTCAGGTAATCGAATCCGTTTGAACGTTTTCAGCTATCCTCAGACATGTACCCAGCTAGTATGCACATGCGAACAATCTTGGAATGTATGATACTCGTCGCAGTGGTTTCACAAGACAACGATGGAAGCGAACATAGCGACACTTCGTGTAACGTGAATTGGTACGCGGTATGCAATCTAGTTGTCTAACGTGACCAGGGTGCTCATGACGCAACTATAGCAAGAAACATGCGTGCATACGGCTGGGGCTGCCCTTTCGGCTGGGGCTGCTTTCTCGGCACAACCTGACGGAACTTCGCCTTCACTTTACCTTCCATCTACACCTAGCAAACATGCCTTGATCATCGCCATCATGCGAGTGCCACAAACGCTCACTACTCCTGTTGTTTTGGCTTGACGGCGCCTACCGATTTCGATTACAACTGCGACCCCGCTGGTTGAATCTCAACATGTTTCAGTGGTGTACGCGTTTCATCGGCCTTCGCAATTCCATCTTCTTTATAGCCGGATTGGGTGTCCTGCTTGTTTGTAACAGCGTACTGCTACTCTGGCAATCCCACTCACCTCTACAACCCGCATATCATGACAAGCAAGTCAACCATGGACCAGACACGCCCTACATGCATCCGATCGATGATCTTATGGCAGATGCGGAACGAAAGTTTGAAGCCCTTATCTCAGAGCAAACCCCAACGGATCATACAAAGGATACGTACAGGACTGGGATCTGGCTAGAGATGCTTGCCGACAAAGGCATCTGCATGAATCTCACGGAACGTTTATCGAACCAATTTCGATAACGACGACTCATACCCTGGTGCCCATCTTTGGCGAGACGAAATTGCAGCTAAACGCTGACATCGTTCTACCTCCAGCTGCATATCTTTCCGATACATTTGCTAATGGAGACTACTCCAACGCGAATCCTGATGGTAAGAGTTGGTCGAAGAAGACAGCAGGCGCTGTATGGCGAGGCGTCGCCAGTGGAGGCCGTAACAAAGCAGAAAACTGGACGCGTTTCCATCGACATCGTTTCGTATCCATGTTGAATGGAACATACGTGCATAACCTCGAGATGGGCGCGAAGGCATCTAACGGGGGTGAAACTTACACTCCGCAATCATACACGACATACCATCTGCAAACAACACGACACATGAACCTTGGCAGTTGGCTTGATCGAATTGCAGATGTTGGCTTCACAGACCTTTTGTGCTTTCCACAGTCTGGCAGGCGAACTTGCGACTACAATGAGCGTTGGTTCGAGGCTGTTGAGAAGGTTCCAATGTCCAAACAGTTTGACTACAAGTTCCTCCCTGACATTGACGGCAACTCCTTCTCTGGGCGGTATCTCTCTTTCCTACGTTCGACATCAGTTCCGATCAAGGCAACCCTCTACTCCGAATGGCACGACGACCGACTGATACCATGGCTACACTTCGTGCCAATGGACAACTCGTTCGTTGATATGTGCGGCATATTGGACTACTTTCTGGGTACTGGCGACGGCCATGTGGCGATGCTATACGGTACTTACGACGAAGCAGCCAAAAAGGTTGCACATCGGGGACGGGAATGGGCGAAGAAGGTCCTACGTAAGGAGGACATGCACATGTACACTTTACGGCTGTTGCTCGAATACGCTAGGCTGTGCAACGATGATAGGGGGCAGCTAGGCTTCGTTGGAGACCTAGCCAAAGAAGCCCCGGAAGACGAAGCATGAGAGGGTAACGAGAGTTGCGATGTCTTGATTGTACGACAGTACACGTCAGATGCGAACTCGACTCGTCCTACTGCGTCTACAGATGTGCATCTGACTCGGCCTGTACACGGGCTATCCATGTCACATGCTGTACCTTGTCCGCAGCGGCGACATACAGGAAAACGAGCACAAGCACGTGCCGCGCTATACGTTCTGCGCATGTCAGGATGTGGAAGCACAAGATCTGAATCGTGTGAGGCGTGCGTATACGAGCCCTGTCTTGACGCCGTGGTACCTTTGTTTGCGGTTAATCAGCGATGGGCCAGATTGGTAGCGTTCTAGACTTCTCAGGTACTCGGACCTTGTAATTGTAGACCAGGTTTTACGATTGTAAGACTTGACATGATGCTAAGTAATCAGTCCGGTGGCTTCAACCATGCATGGTCGGTCTTTGAAGCCATGCTCAGCCTCATGTCGGCCGCAGCTCTGCTCTGCCCCTCCAAAATTTTGTACTAGCGCGATTGCTCGCATCTCTCCCGAACCATTGACGCATCGCAGCTACCCCACATCTGGTATGCAGCAAAGCCTTGCGAATATTTGTCGCGCCAGACTTTTTCCTTGTACTAACGCTTGTTTGACGAGGCCGCTGGCGACTCTCTCTTCTTCCTTGACTCAGAGATCCATCCGTAGAACAGTCAGACCGGCACACGCTACCCTTGAGCCCAGCACCCCGCGCGTGTCTACCCTTCACACTCTCTCCTCCCAATCCCAACCACACACACGCTCAAGGCCCCATTTGCAAATTCAGCCCATTCTACACCCACGCGACACTGTGAGATCAGCAGCAACACTCAGCCCACTGCGACTCTATTCCCAAATCGACTCCACACCCTTCGAGCCCTTCCGAAACCTCGACGCGTCGGCGCGCTCAAAAGTCAGCATGGAGGACCTCACAAACACACTCGCGACGCTCGGCCTCGACAAGGTCCCGCAAGAGCCAAACACATACCCCGCCCTGAACCCCTTCGACATCTACCGCAGTCACATCACCGAGTTGCTGTCATCTGTGTCTGGCGTGGACAAGCAGATAATATACCCCACACTCGCATGGACGGCAAAGCCAGAGCATGGCGACTTGCAGTTGGCTGTTCCTGCGCTCCGACAAAAGAAGAAGGACATGAAGGCCTTTGCACAGGAGCTGGCAGATGCGTTCCCCGAGTCGCCGCTGGTTAAGAAGCCCATTGTCACCAACACCTCCATTGGCTTCTTCTTCAAGCCAGAGACGCTCACTTCGCTTGTCCTACCCATGGTTCTCAAGTCGAAGGAGGCTTATGGTTTCAACAAGAACCTCGGTCTCAAGAACCCGCTCGACCCCTCCTCCGGCGCAAAGAAGATGATCGTCGAGTTCAGTTCACCCAACATTGCGAAGCCTTTCCACGCAGGTCACTTGAGGAGTACAATTATTGGAGGCTTCCTTGCGAACCTGTACGAGGGCGCCGGATGGGATGTCGTGCGCATGAACTACCTCGGAGACTGGGGAAAGCAATACGGTGTCTTGGCTATTGGTTTCGACCTCTACGGTAACGAGGAGGAGCTTGTGAAGAACCCTATCGGACACTTGTACGACATCTACGTCAGGGTCAGCAATGTTCAGCATGAAGAGGCGGAGCAAATGAAGGCTCTCAAGGCCGAGGCTGCGAAGCTGAAGGAGGAGGGCAAGGATGCATCGGAACAGGAGGCTAAGATCAAGAAGATTGAGGCCGAGGGTATCGATGAGCAGGCTAGGAAATACTTCAAGGGCATGGTCGATGGCGAGCCTAAGGCGCTCGGCATCTGGAAGCGCTTCAGGGTGAGTAGATTCGAATCGCACATCGTGAAGTGCCATATACTGACTTATGCAGGACTTGTCCATCGAGAAGTACAAGCAAACGTACGCACGACTGAACATCCATTACGACGACTACAGTGGAGAGTCTCAAGTCAAGGACGAGAGCATGGATCTTGCTGCGAAGATCATGTGGGAGAAGAAGGTCTGCGAGGACTCGGAGGGCGCTGTCATTGTCGACCTCACAAAGCACTCCAAGAAGCTGGGCAAGGCCGTTGTCAAAAAGAAGGACGGTACATCACTGTACCTCACCCGGGACATTGGCGCTGCGATCGAGCGTGTTGAGAAGTACCACTTTGAGTATGGCCGCTTGTCTCTATGTATCTAGGCAATTGCTAACTTCATCGCAGCCGCATGATCTACGTTGTCGCCTCACAACAAGACCTCCACTTGGCCCAACTCTTCAAGATTGAAGAGCTCATGGGCAGGAAAGACATTTCCGACAAGTGCCAGCACATCAACTTCGGCATGGTTCTGGGTATGATCTCAACTTCAGTCCCTCATCTTCCGACCAATTCACTAACATCACACAGGTATGTCGACACGAAAAGGCACGGCCAAGTTCCTTGACGACATCCTCCGCGACGTCGGCGATAAGATGCACGAAGTAATGAAGACCAACGAGACAAAATACGCCCAAGTCAAAGACCCAGAGCAAACCGCTGACACGCTGGGTATCTCAGCTGTCATGGTTCAAGACATGAAGGGCAAGCGCATCAACAACTACACCTTCGACATGGAGCGCATGTGTTCATTCGAAGGCGACACAGGGCCTTACCTGCAATACGCACACGCCCGTCTCTGCTCCATTTACCGCAAGGCTGTAGACGCCGACCCCAGCCTCGCTGACCTCGACCTAACATCCGTCGATCTGAGCCTACTCCAAGAGGACAAGGCTGTTGAGTTGGTCCGCCAATTGGCGTCTTGGCCCGACACTTTCCTCAACACCATCAAGACGCAGGAACCCACTACTGTACTCACGTACCTGTTCAAGATGGCACATGCCCTTAGCAGCAGTTACGACCACTTGCAGGTTGTAGGCTCGGAGAGGAACGTCATGATTGCTAGGTTGGCGCTATATGTTGCTGCCAGGCAGGTGCTGTATAATGGTATGAGGGTCCTCGGACTGAGTCCTGTGGAGAGGATGTAAGTGATTACTTAGGCAAGCTTGACTTAGATGAATGTCTGGTAGCTGCATCATGTTATAAAAGAAGCCAGCATGTACTGCCTAGATACGAGATACGAGCAATGAAGATTTTATCAAACCAAAACGCTATACACATCTATGCGAATTCGTACGTTGCGGCGGGTTGGCACTAGTAGAAATCATAGAACATAGTAAAATCGGGTGGAAGCTTCATCGATTACTTGGTGTTACATACATAAGAAGCTTCTAGCTAATATTTACCAACTTTTACGGTATGCAACATGACCGTGTATCAACGGGTAGACGTCCAATGTACCACACGAGTTCGTGTGAATGAACAGGATCGAGTAGCTGCCGAGCTTGACGAGCGCCATCCGATCTGTTGTTATATACTCTCCTTACACCGCCGATGGGACATCTGTAACATGGTACAGCCCGTCTCAAGTGTCGGATTTGAGAAATTTTTTTTGTTTAGAGTGGGGTGTATGATAGTTGTTGTTTTGTGTTGTGTCGTGAATGTAGGGGTTCGAGAATGAGTGAGTCGTGATCGGGTAGTAAAATCGGAAACGACCGAATGTACAGAGACTCCGGGAAAATGCTGGAAAACAATGCTAGAACGCTGCAAACTAACATGGAGAAATGCGCCTCAGGTTGAATAAGTTGAGTGCGGTCGGCAACGGCGTGGTGTCGCAAACTGGAGCGAGAGAGGGCGTGCTCGATCAAGTGTGTTGGCTTCTCGTCATCTCAAAGATTCTCTTGACACCACGACTGGATATCCGAGCAACAGCTGCAACGACTCCAACCATGAAGGCAACGCGGAAAGATAGTACAAGAAGACATAATGCAAGAACACAGACGGCCCACCCCGTCTCGTCCGGTTGTTAGGTGCCATTGGGAACAGGCGGCCCTCCTACCCGAGGATCTCCAGGAGGCAATCCAGGAACATTTTGCGGGTGTGGATGGGGAGGATGCGGATGGTGCTGGCAACCATGTGGACAAGTAGCTATTGGTTCGTCGTAGTCGTCATCGTAGTACTCGTCCTGTGGATCCAGAGAGCCATCATCATCGCGTCGGTCGTAGCCACCAGGGGGAGGATTTTGGTTGTGCTGAGCGTTGTTGGCGTTGTTCTGTGCCTTCTTGCTCGCCTTCTTGCCCTTACGCCCCTTCATCCTGGCCTTCTCCAACAGACGTCGTTTTTCCGCCAGACGCTTTCGCTCCTTCCTATCCTTGATCTCATATTGGCGGATCAGAGCCATGGGAGGGTGACCAAATATGTCCTCGTACTCGCAGAATTCGCATATCCATGGCTGACTGGGCGGGTTGTGGAAGTTGGCGTACTCTTGCTGAATGCGACGCTTGCGGGCAGCATACTCGTACAGCTTGGAAGCACTACGTCGCGGCTTTCGAGGCGGCGGGGCCTGTTGTGGTGGTGGAGGTCCCGTTGGACGTCGTGCAGTTCCATTAGGAAGGGGCGGGGGAGGGTATGCGCCTGCTCCATTCATGTTGGGACTGGTCTGGGTGCCCTGCGTAGACACCATCGGGGCATCTGGGCGGACGGGAGGGCGTGCACGGGCAGCTTGAGGGTGGGGAGAAGGAGAGGCGACGTTGGGGTATGCGCCAGGCGGTTGGGGATACTGGCCGTTTTCCTGGCCCGGCCAAACCATCTTGTTGGCCGAGTCGGAGCCGCAGGTGAAAGTAAACTGTGTTTTGCTGGCGGTATGCTTGGCAGCTTCCTGCTGCAGGAGGCTCACGTTCTCGTTGCCCGGGGGTGGCGGGGTCGCGTTTGCGTTGGCAATGGCAGTTGAGATGATGCCGCTTTGCTCCGGGGGTCCTAGAAAACAAATCGTTAGCGCACGGACTCTTTTAGTAGTCAAGACGTATCAATTCCCGAGGTGACACCGTACGTTTGCTGTTCGCTTTGGCGTTGGCGAGATTGGTCGAATTGGCCAACACTCGCCTCTCTGACCGTCCCGAGCCAGATCGCCCGAAACGCCCTCTACCTGCGCCTGAGATGCCTGTTCCAGAATTGGTTGAGTGTTGCGGTGTCGAGGGCGCCGAGCCATAGTAACGCGCAATGTTGTCCCCGTCGTCCGTGGCGCCTGCCTCGTGAACTGGTGCGACGCCCATGCCAGTCAGATCTGCGGAGAGACTCGCGTGATGTGACCCATTGCTGCCCATGTTGGGAATCTTGCGCTTCTTCTTGTTGTTGGTATTCTCAAACGACTCGTAGCCGTCTACCGAAGACGCAGGCGAACCGGGTTTGCGATAGGCACCAGTCACGCCCGCCACGGGCTTGCCAGTCGCGTGCCTGCTGTACTGATAGCTCGGAGAAGAGGGCAGCGGTCCGTTTCGGTCGTCCTCTTCCTCCTCGCTCTCAACCTCAGAATGAGTGTGGCCACAGTGACAGGCATGGTGGTCGTTCGCCCCAGTCCTATGAGGTCTGACGCGCTCGTCGGCTGTGTACGGCGGGTAGTTGAAGAGCGGCCCGGCGGTAGGGGGGTTGTGCGGGAACACTATCGTCTCGGCCTGCTCAGGGGACAAGCGGGCGCGCAGGGAGCGAGCCGGCAGAGGGCGAATGGGCCGATCGGGGTACATGGAGGATGATGTGTCGGGCGAAGAGCGCAGCGGCGAAGAGCGGTTCCACTCGTAGCCTGCGAAGGGAAGAAGCGATGTCAGATATGTGGAGAGACCAGGGAGTAGGCTCAGACGAGGCATGCTGGTATATCATGGTGCCAGTAGGAAATGGGTGAAGAGCGTTGCGGGCTGAGCACAACGACTTCCTTTACTTACCCGCAGTCGCCGCTGCCATGGTGGCAATCCTTCCTCCGACGTCTATCACCAAACCAGTGGGGTGGGTGTGACTCTCAGAACAATTCTACTATGTCCAAGCCGGTCCGCTATCGTGCTGTCATGCCCGCATTAGCACTCGACCACGAACAGTGTGTAGTGCTAGCGCGCAGCTGCTCTGAGAATGTAGAGTCTCTGCCAAACAACGTCGGAACGGAGTGTGGCGGTATCGGGAGCTCTACGCACCTTTTTCGAGAGGTTTGTGTGAAGGACAGTACTGGTGGCCAGTTAGCGGAGAGCCCCTCTATTTGCTCCTCGGTATCAATACTGACAGGATACAACTGACAGCAGCTCCAATATATCCAACAGCCAAAAAGCCAGAGGGTCAAGACTGGATCTCGAGCGTGGTCGGAACGAGTGACAGCGTTGATGATGCGTTAATGCCGAAGACGTGGGATTGGGGTTCGCCCGCCGCCAAGACAATACTCAGGCACTTGGGCTCACTGATGTGGCCTTGAGCTCGCCAAAGCAGGGTCTTTACTAGTGTATACAGCGATCAGGAAACCAAGTCGCAGAGGAGATGCGGTGTATTTGACAACAACAAGAAACAACAGAGCACATGTATGCGTGTATGCACACTTGTCGGAGCATGTCGACGTTGGCTTGCATGCATATCGTCTTGCCGTGACCGTGCTGGTGGCGCTAGGGTCCGCAGGGGATTGGTAGTTGTCCCTGGACCTGATCAGCAAATGATAATCATGGCTGCCTTTCTCTCCTTTTTCCTCGGGATTCTTTACCTTCCATGCTTCTCGAAAGCTATCTAAATGCCCTCACATCATACCTCTTAAAGCTTCTTGGTGCTGCCCGACATTCGGAACACCTCCACGGTATCGGAGCCTCGGCCATCCGCACTGACACCGCCCATGCTGCACAGTGATGAGCAAAGGCCATACGCACAGAGCTTTGTGCAACATCTTCCATCTCTTGCACGTGTCCGAGATCTAGTCGCGCTTTCAAGGCTGCAGAGCTATAATCGCCGAATCACTTCGTCGAACAGGGTCGCAGTGGGAGCTGCAGCTTAGTATAGGAACACATTTCATGTCTGAAACTAGACCAATTTCCAGTCGTCTGGACAGTATCAAATACCAGACTGTCCGAATCCAATTGGCCAAGTCTCCAGGTGCATAACTAAAGTACAAGCGACATTTGTAGGTTGAGCATATACCAGTCCTCGTCTGTAGGCCTTGGTAGATGGGATCTGCATCGAGTAACCTCAGGGAGTACGAAATCCTTCAAGTGACCAGGAACATATCGATACCGCTACCAGTCGCGAGCTAGGTATTCGGATCTGCTGTTCCGGCATCCATAGATCCCGTCGTACCTGCATCCGTGATAGACGGCTGACCCCGCAAGCACATGTCAAAGTACCCAAACGTCCATCCAAGTTCTTCAAGCTCTATGACACTCCACAATAACCATGGACCATAGTCGAGACCCCTGCCCTTGGGTCGCGCTTCGTGACTTCGACGGAGCGTTCTGCATGGGGGTAAGTTCTATCGATTGTTGGCAGCTGGCTACGTCATGCATGGTTTTAGAGCTAACTACTCCTAGGCCATCGGAGGGGGCAGTTGGGCATGGCGTTAAGGGGTTCCGGTGCCTCGCAACAGCTCATATAGCCTATTGAATCTGTTGACAACTCGAACAGCAGCTCGCCATATGGCGAGAGACGCTTTAGTGCTATCGTCGCGCTCAAAAAGCACAAACGCCTATCCTTGGCGGTAATTTCGGAGTATGGGCATCAGGCACGGCGGTTCCTCTTTTTGAGCCACCGAACAACCTAAACCACGACGAAGGATTAAACACATGCTGATACCTGAATAGGAAGAAGGAACATCCATGGAATACCATAATCGGAGGGTTCTGCACTGGAGGCTTTCTCGCGGTAAGAGGTGGAGCCAAAGCCTCGCGCAACAAGGCTATCGGTTGCGTCATCCTCCTAGCCATCATCAAATGTGTCGGTATCGCATTTAGTTGAACGATGGTTGAGAACACTCGGCTTGAGGCACCACCACCACCACCACCTTTTTTTAGACGACAGTCATCGTACAAACTCACGATAGTTGGCAAATCGGTTAGGTCTTGATGGAGTTAAGTACGACGTTGTATTTCTTTGGGCAATGCCGGGTCATTCACGCGCGTCGAGATCAGCAAACAAAACTGTCATAATGCAGTTGTCGTGAGTGCCTTTATACTGTTTGATGGAACTACCTTCTCATCGCCCCTCCGTTGTGCCTTAAGTAGGTTCTTCAGCCCTAGCCGTTGATGCCCTAAGTAGTGCCCATTGATGCCAAAGACAAATGTATAATCTCCAAAGAAGCTCACTAGCAGCGCATGGTGGTATCGTCCATGAAAAGAGCCTATCAAGAGAAGTCCAATAAGCTCTCCCTCGCGTGGGAGCTGACCGCATCATTGTTACGACCACTACGGTTGTCTGCTAAGACCAAAAGAGGCAATGTACAAAGATGCAGTCCGTGCATATGTACATGGAGTCCGGTACAGTGTTTTGCTTTTAAGTGACTGACTTGACGCTAGTTACTAGAGCTTGATGCTTCAAAAGAACCGAGCTTCTCTGAGAGCTGCCGGTGAGCCAATAGACCGAGGTCTGTTCTCCTTGTGGGCTCCAATCGTACATTACATGTCTCCAAGTGCAACGGGACCTATAGCCACAATGGTGTCGGTATTTAAAGCCGACCGCTGGTCAGCGGACAAAATGGTGCAATCGGTGATTGTACCATTAGGTTGCGCTAACGAGGGGAGTCTCAGTACCATGGTCGCACTTGATACATACATGGGTCCAACCTCTTGTCTTACGCGGCTATTTATCACTTTGCATCCCCAGCCTTGCACACTGCTGATATGGCATTTCGTTCTTTCTCACTCGTTAGTTCCGCTTTAGCTCAACAGTACGTTTGCTCATTCATTGCGACAGATTCATGGTCCCTACGTTTCTAACCTATATTTTCGGGGACCCCGCCCAGGCTCACTCTCTCCACAATCTTGTCGTTCGCTTGTCTGGGTTTTAAAAGTTTACTCCCTGATTCGATACCGCGTCTTTCTCACCTTAGGGCTCCTCGAGCAACTGGTCCTAATATCGATACGCCCACAAACACTCTATCTTGTCCTCTCACCCATACCTCACTAATACTAATACTTCACCAAACATCATACGAATAGACGACACTCTCGGCATCCACGAAGATGATAATCGGTCTCGATGGCCGTCCTTGCTATTATGTAACAGAGACATGCCCTATTGAGTATGCGTACTGGGGATATCGACCTTCTTTTAGCACGAATATCACCTTCGCTGCGCTCTTCGGCATATCTACTATCGCATATCTTGTTCAAGGTATTGCGGGCAAAAAATGGCTTGGTTTCACCATCGCGATGGTCTCGGGTTGCGCACTCGAAGTCATCGGTTACGTTGGGCGCATACTGGCACATAAGGACATGTTCTCTGAGGTATGTCTAAGACTGCGTGATCACCAAGTTACAAAGAAGCTCGTTTTTTTTCAAGTCGTACTTTACATGCAAAGTCTACCATGAAGGTATACGCTGTGTCTTACATTGTAATGTGCAAATGTAAAATACATCGAATACCTCTAGAGCACTTTACAGAACTAAAGTACACCTTGTAGACACGAGCGCCTTTAAAATCAGGTACATAAACTGACATGATACAGAACCCCTTCCTCATTCAGATCATCTGCTTGACCATCGCACCCGCCTTTCTCGCAGCAGGCATCTATCTCTGCCTCTCGCGCATCGTTATCACCGTCGGCCCCGAACACTCGCGCATCAAGCCACTCTCCTACCCTAAAATCTTCATTCCTTGTGATTTTATCTCTCTCGTGCTCCAGGCTGCTGGTGGGGGTATGGCCAGTGTCTCGACACACAACGGTGAAGACCCGAAGAAAGGCAACAACATCATGATCGCCGGACTGGCTTTCCAAGTCTTCACACTCCTCGTCTTCATCCTACTCGCTGCCGACTTCGCCTGGCGTACATACCGCGGTCGGACCTCTCGAGGCCAAATTTCTCCGGACCAACAGCCGGTTATTCTCCGTCGGTCGTGGCCGTTCAAAGCTTTTCTCATCGCACTATCTCTGTCTACACTCTGCATCTTTACGAGGTGCGTGTTTCGTGTTGCTGAACTGAGTGAGGGTTGGGACGGCCGTCTTGCCAATACGCAGAAGTACTTCATCGGACTGGAGGGCGCAGTCATTATTGCGGCAGTCTTGCTCTTGAACATGTGCCATCCGGCATACTGCTTCAAGGATGCAACCGATATGCGAGAAATGCAGTTGCAGAGTCTTGCAGATGGAAGTACTACTGAATTTGCTGGGGTTCAGTTTGTTGGGGTTCAGTCTGGAGTACCGAAATATGAGGAGCGGTTGTAAGGTCGCAGGGGAAGGACGCGATTTGATGCACCATGTTTGCGGAGGTAACTTCTGGTTCTCTAAACTCGATTCATCCGTAAGATGTCGGGCTCCTGCTTACACCCTTTTCTTTCTTCTTCCTGTACTATGTATTTGCGTAGAAATTTGCGCTCGTGGTCAGTTCCATTTTTCATATTCACATATCACGCGAACATTATGTAATCTATATAGCTGCCCCTTTAATAGAAGTGAAATTGGGGAGAACCCGTCCAAACTAATGACAACCTATGCGTCATGAGTGGTTCTTCGTCTAATCTGGGAAGATGTGTCTGCGTCAGAGAACTCAACGATATTCCAAAAGTGCAAAACATCTTACAACCTACCTCATCTGCAGCAAGTCACTGTCGAAACACAGAAAACTGGTCTGGAGGAACTCAGCGATCCGTTTGCGGTTCGTTTGACGTTCCTGGGGGTGCCTGTCGGACCCCAAGTACTTGAGTCTCTCTCACTTTTGCGGTTGTCGTAGGCTCTGGTCCACCTTGTGATATCGCACCAGGTCGCTTTACCTTGTCAAATTTACCTTTATGCGTACGTGGTCAACGGCTAGCCCATCAATACTTGCCCTCCCTATATAATCTCCCCACCTGTCGCCTCCAACCTTCCGTCACTCCACCTTCCCAAGCAATTGAAGCCTTCGGTAGCCAACAACACCCTACTACATCAAGATGAATCAAGCAGAAGACGTTGAAGTTATCCTCGGCCACAAGCGCCGTTACAAGTTCCATTCTGGAACTTTGGCGCGCAACTCTACCCTCTTCGCCGACATGTTGACCGAGCCCAACGCAGTGAAGTTGAACAGCCGCGCCAGAAACGCCGGTATCAAGATCCGTTGGATGATCGAACTAGACGATCTTCCTTCTGAGCAACACCCCGCCGGTCGTCTTGCACTTGTGGTATGTGAACACAAATACTGTCGCCCGTTAAAGATAACATCACGATACCAATAACGATCACTGACAACCATGTCTACAGGAACTAGGACCAACCGCCGAGCGAATTGATGGTCGAAATGGCCTCATCGTCAACGAAAATGGGCGCCTCCCTCAAGCTACTAAGATCTTCGACCACTACGAGGGTATCTTCTACGCCTTCTACAATAAGGAGCTCTCCATAGACGACTCTGACATGTCCGCCGCGCTTCAAGATTGCTACCAACTTCTCCGAATTGCCGACTACCTAGGCTGCACCGGACTCATATCCAAGCCTATCGAGATCGCCCTCATCAAACACGGCCAAGACCTTTTCCGCGCCATCCAGAAGAAGCCGCACGCGTGGATTGAGATGTCCTACCGCATCCGCAGCGAGCTTATATTCCGTGAATGCATGATCCACTTAGTTGGCAACTGGAAGTCTCTCAAATCCGCCCGCAGCACACTTGATTGCTTACGTGAAGTCCCCGGTCTACGCGGCTTGATTGAGAAGTATCATCGAGCGATGCTCAGCCAGTGCAAGTCTGTCGAGCTAGCCATCATGTCCCTCTACCCTGGTTCCATGCGCCTCCCTGTCGAGGACCTTCCCATCAAGCGAGAAGCCTTTGCCAAAGACATTTTAGTCTGGATGGCACTGACCTTTTTCCGCCATTGGATCGGACAGCGTCTGATCATGGAGAGAGGTCGACACAGCGCTGACTGTGGGTACGAACTTTACAAGCAGATTGGTACAGCAGGAGAGTCGTACATGGACAAGTCTGTCATCAACCAGTTCCACACCAAGTTCCCGATGACGAAGAAGGCGATGAATGTTCTCGAAAACCATCTGCTCGAGATCAAGGAGTGCATGAAGGGCGTTGTCGACCAGCACAAGATCCTCAAGTCATACTGCCAGTTAGATGTTCACCGCTTTCCCGTTGAGTACTTGACTTGTACGGAGTTCAAGAAGGAGGACTATCCGTGGGAGAACGAGACTGAAGGGCCTAGGGTGCTGCCGGCTAAGCGGGCATACAAGCCTGGTGGCAACGATATTGCGCGCAGGAACCTGGATTTCGCGAGGATGCATCAGGAGAGGAGTTTGAGTGTAGAGGGCGAGGAGATCAATGGGAATGAGGGAGAATTCGAAACCGACGAGGATGTTGAGGATGTCAGGGACAAGCGTGCTAGAATGGGGTAGGTTATGCCTAGAGTGTATCTGGCACGAGATGATATTGGGTAGGTAGTGGGCTTGGAAAAAAAGGTGTGAGAAACTCCTGGGCGTTGTGAGGTTAGACGAAAGTACGGACTGGTTTCCTTTGTCGGCGCCAAACGGACTGTAGAGAAAATGAAATTGTGCTTTGTACAGTATGCTGCCCTGGTTCTATTCCATGCCTCACGTCTGAATCTGGCCTTTGATGACCGAGGTATAGTTTCATGCATCTTCTCTCCGCCACCTCCGCTACCATTCCTTACTCGTCATCGAAACCCGTCGGCCTTGGTCGTGGTCCCTTTGGTACTGTTCCAAGTCAGCAAACCGTACTCTCACTCGGCCTTTCCCTATTCTCCAATCCACATCTTCCCCCGCAATTAACTGTTGTCACTCCCGTCACCTACCTGGGTATGTCATAGGGATCTTGGGGATCTGCTCTTCGCCCATATATCTCCGGATCGGGGGAACGGTAACGACCAGTATGGGTCCTGCGCAGCCAACCATGATGGAGTAAAAGTATGCCGGCTTGTTGATAGAAGCCCACTTCATGTATCGCAGCGGCTGCTGGAAGAAGCGCGGGGAGGGGCCAACGCCGGACATGATCGCTGTGTTGCTGCTGGTATGTGAGCGCGTGGTTTCGGTTCGCGGGGCAGGTGTGCGCGTACGTAGACTGTTCCTTTCGGTGTGGTATTAAATCCGGTAATCAAAAGGCTCAATGCCTCGGTCTGGTGTCGCAATCGCAAGTTGAAGCCGTGAATCGATGTCGTGAGGTCGCTGCTCGTAGCTCACCACGTCCACTCCAATCGGCGTGCAGCGATTTTCCGGGACCGATGGTCTTGGCAAATGCATACGTATCGCTCCCGTTACAGCTATCCACGCGGCGCAACTCGACAAGTGCAACTTCGAATAACCACAAAATGAGGTGGTTACTTTCTATTACTGTCGCCTTCGTTTGGTCGGTGGTAGTGCAGGCCAAGAGTTTCACAGGCAACCGCTTGCTTGTTGTCTTGGAAGAGCAGACGGAGAGGGAGAAGTATAGTGTGTTCCTTGACGACTTGACGTGTAAGTTGAACTATTATCTCAATTCGGTCTCAGAACATTACCATCTCTTCGGTTTGGGCAAGATGGCATGCAAAGACGGGGCATTGGAGCAGATCCGAGGCCATTGACCTTGCAACTTGGCCTTGCGGCAGCGGATGACGCTTAATTGAACTCTATTGTAGTGAGGACCAGTGCTGACAAGTACGTACAGCCCGTGGATTCACCACATCTGTCGAATCACCTAAAGAGAGCAAACTCTCATTACTGAAGCACGGCGAACGAGCATACGACCATGTTCTCCTCCTCCCTGGCAAGTCGAAAGGCCTCGGCCCTGCCCTCACCGCGAGCAACTTCCTCGAATTCATGAAGAAGGATGGAAATATCCTCATTACCCTTTCAAGCGAACACGCTACACCCACGGCCGTTCAGGCTATGCTCTCCGAACTTGACATTAGCATCCCAGCCGACAAGGGCGCATTGGTCGTCGACCACTTCAACTACGATTCGTCGTCCGCACAAGAACAGCACGATGTACTGCTCCTTCCGTTTCCGAATGCGCTCAGGCCAGATGTAAAGAACTACTTCGCTGGCGAGGGCTACATCGCTGTGCCACGCGCTGTCGGTCAGGCTCTTGGAAACGAGTCACCACTCACGTCCCCTGTCCTCCGCGCTCCGGCTACCGCCTACAGTTACAACCCTAAGGATGAGGCCGACGGTGTTGAAGATCCGTTTGCGGTTGGTGGACAGCTGAACCTCGTCTCTGCGATGCAGGCGAACAACGCAGCGCGCCTGGCTGTTGTCGGTTCAGCCGAGATGCTTCAGAACAAGTGGTTCGCTGAGAAGGCCAAGCTGGGCGACAAGGCCATCACGACTGGCAACCGCGACTTTGCGCAGAAGCTTTCTTCTTGGACTTTCAAGGAGACTGGTGTGCTGAAGGTTGGCAAGCTTATCCACTATCAGGACGAGGGTGCGAGCAAGAAGTTGAACACCAGTGTCGCAATCCCTGAAAACAACCCCACCATCTACCGCATCAAGACCGACGTCGTAAGTTTGTGTCAACCATTGTCATAATAGTATTTACTAACTGGCATAGCACTTCCAAGTCGAGATCTCTGAATACACGAACGACCACCTCGCTCCTTTCGTCCCCTCGGCCAAGGACAACATTCAGCTTGAGTTCAGCATGCTCTCCCCCTTCCAGCGCTTGAATCTCTCTCCAATCGCACAAACCGCAAACGCAACCATCTTCGGCGTCGCGTTCAGGACACCCGACCAACATGGAATCTTCAACTTCCGCGTCAACTACCGCCGCCCTTTCGTCACCAACATCGACGAGAAGAGGCAGGTCACCGTCAGGCACTTTGCGCACGACGAGTACCCAAGGAGTTTCGAGATCAGCGGTGCGTGGGTCTGGATTGGTGGTATCTGGGTTACCGTGCTGGGTTGGTTGGCATTTGTAGCCGTTTGGCTGTATAGTGCGCCCAGCGAGAAGAGCGCAAAGAAGACGCAGTAGAATGGTGAATTGTGAAATGAGAAGTCTGGTTAGCCATGTGAGGGTAAACAAAATACCCCTTCGGCGATGCGTGGTATGTACATTAAGGACAATGGGCATTGGAATGACCCTAAAATCTATATGCGAATGCAACATCATATACTACCATATACGTGTACTTCTCATGCATTGTTGTCAACTTTGGTAACCTTGCGACCATCATCTGATGTTCTTCCCCTCACCCTTCCTTTCACAACTTGCTCTGCGCCTCCAACACTTTCGGATGTGCCACCTTCCCAGGCTTCAACTTACTCCAATCCTTCTCATACCCCTCTTCTACGTCTGGATACGGTCCCAATGGAGTGATGCTCAACGGGTTAATATCGGCATGGCTCTTGGTATACTACAGAACAGAGGGTGCAGTCAGCAACAAGCCTCGCAACAGCATCCAGCACTAAAGTTGGGACTTGACTTACGTTCTCCTTGATATGCTTGAAATCCGTACTCTCTTTGAATCCTTCCACATTGTGATAGAGGTTCTTCAGCCAGTTGTTGAGCACAGGGTAGTCATGTCGTATCGACCCCAAGTTCGTTTTGAAATGCTGCGCGTAAACAGTGTCGAAGCGGACTATGGTCGGATAAGCCAGAAGATCGAGTTGGGTGAGTTTGGTACCAAGGATATACGGGCCGCCGTTACCGTGTATCAATTCTTCTAGCTGATTCAGAGCTGCGAAGAGAGGAATGACACCCTTCTCGTAACCCTCTTGGGTCGGCGCGAAACCAGCTTTGTAGACGCCGGCGCAGATTAATGATTGGAGCCAGGGGCTTATCTCATCGATCCTTTGGCGCAATTCTTCAGGGTAGAGATCGAGTTCTTTCGCCTTGTCGTTGCTTTCCAGCACAGATTCGAAAGCACTGGGTAGCCATTTCAACATCTCGGCGCTTTCGTTGTTTACGATACGGTTGGTCTTTTTGTCCCAGAGAAGGGGAACACTGTACTTTCCTTTGTAGGCTGGATCATCTCGGAAGTAGAGTTGATGCATGAATTGGCTGTTGAAAAGGTGGTCGGGTGTTGCGTTGGGGTAGGTGGCATCGAAACGCCAGCCTGGTTCACCTTTGGGGTAAGGGCGCACGATAGACACAGGGAGGTAAGGTTGAAGGTGCTTAAGGTGTCGGACCAGGTTTGGACGATGAGCGAAGGGGCAAAAGAGACCTGAGAATACCTCAGCATGATTGTCTCACTGATGCAATATGTAATGTCATTTTGCCTTACCAATGTAGAGATGGTATCTGTCTTTTTCTGGCGGAAATTCTCCACCCTCCTTGATGACACCGTGCCAGCCATCGTCGGTTCCGTACTTGTGAATCTCTTTGGCTGACATATTGTAGTGACGGAATCGACGGATGGAGTTTCGTATACTGGAAGGACGAGTCGTAGCACACAGAGACGAGGAAAGCTAAAGAAGAGGGGAGTCAAATCAGACGATTTGCAGCCGTTTAATCGTGTATCGTTATGCTCGTTATTATATGCTATGAAGCTGGAACTAAGCTAGGTTACGCATCGCAACGCTCATGTGGGGTAATTTGACGCCCCTCTCCGTAAGCTTATGCAGGGACCGCGGAACCACTTCCGATGTTGCGTCGACTTCGGAGTTCAGTTACAGCATTTCAACTCTTCGCAAAGTACACCACAGGGCACGCCACACTTCTCGATACTCGTTCGTGCTGTGTTCGTAGCACTAGTGATGCCTGAAGCTACCTCCCTGTCCGTATCCTTGACACCAATGAGCCCTCCAGAAGGAATGGCAAGCTCAGGCTGGAGTGTTGCTGAGTGAATGCCATATGCATGTAGACATTCAGAAAAGACCTTGGCCTTCTTCATGAAACTCGCCACATCTGGGTCACTGACCACGATATGTGCAGATGCGACGGCCTTCTTCTGGTCTAGACGCCAGACGTGGAGTTCGTGCACACTCAGCACACCGGGTATAGCTTCAAGGTCGTGCTTGACGTCCTCAATTCTGACGCCCAACGGAGCAGACTGAAGCAAGATCTTGCCGCTGCGCTTAGTGAGGGGAATAGCAGTGAGCAGAATCATGATGGCGATCCACATACTAACTGCCGGGTCGGCGTAGTAACGGTTGGGTGATTTGACGAACCAGATAATCAAAGCCGAGATGATGACACCAATGTTGTTGATCGCGTCGCCAATGACATGAATGAGAACGCCAAGGATACCCAAGTCCATGCCGTGCTTCTTTGGCTTTGCAATTATATGCAGGTGGTTCTCATGTGTGGGTGTAGTTGACATGCTCTCTTCGTCGCCGTTGCCCCCAGAGCCATGGTCGTGATCATGCTCATGTAGGAATAAAGCGCTGATGATATTGAGAAAAAGTCCAACACATCCCACAATCAAGACTAGCTTGGGATTCTGGACGTGCTCGATGGAGATGAAGCGTTCGATAGATTGCAGGGCGATGCTGATGCCTAGGGCAAACAAAAAAGAGCCGTTGAAAAAGGCACCAAGAAGCGAGGCCCGCGCCCAGCCGAAAGAGAGATCCGGGGGTGAGGTCTTGCGGTCCGTTATCTGAACGGCTACCAAGGCCACGATGAAGCCGATGAGGTCATTCAGCTATAATGGGTGTTAGCGGTTGGTCGCGAGGAAGACGCAAGACGCACATAGTGGAATGCATCAGCAACGAGAGCCAATGATTTGGTATAGAAGCCCACGGATATTTCGGCCGCGAAAAAGCAAAAGGAGATGGCTATTACAGCTCTGAGACGCGTTTTTCGACTGACTTGGAAGCGGACATGCTTGTGCCCATGCGCATGGTGATTGTGGCTTGGCTCGTGGTGGTTATGACTATGAGCCATGATTTTGGGGAAAGAATGACTGCGTAGATGTTGAGGAGACGTATGGAAAAGAGGTTATAGTCAGGAAAGTAGGAGAATAGTAGAAGACTAAGGGAGACACCGAGCACCTGGCTGGATCGCGAACGAAAGTTCGTGCGATATTCAAGGGAAGGACGGGATACGTGAGACCTTTCGACGGAAAGACAACGAACTGAAGATAACCAGTATATAGATTTGACAAGATATACTACCTGTGCTGGGTCTTTCAGGTATATGTACTGCCCGGGTGATACAGGACGCGCTACCTGGTCGCAACACCCAACATTCATGGTGACTATCCAGATAGTCATCATTTTCGGGTAGCAGTATTGCAAGGCACGCCATCTCATGGCTCGCGTCCGTTGCCGAAACACGAAGCGTGTGACGAGTTCCCACGCGTCACAAAGTGCAGCTTCGCAATTCGCTACTGCCAGCTGTACATCAGCACAAACACTCTAAACTCATTGACGTGAACGACCGCAAAATACCCTGGGGATATTGTTAGGTCTAGTGAGTTTGCGGTAGTGTCTCTAGACTGATAAGATTGTGGTGGCGTGAAAGATTCATTCACATGATAGCGCGGAAAGCTAACCTGTTACCGCTTAACGCCGGAGATGCCAACACCGCCTTTCCATCCAACGGCCTGGACCCTCCCCGCCGTCGCAAATAATCTCTCAGAACCGTCAGCCTTCACACAAACAAACCACAAACTTTGATCGCTCTCGATATACATATCTCCACTCACACTCAAGCAACTGATTACCAGCAAACCACAAAATGGGTAACGGAGCCAAGTAAGCCATTCCACACGTACCTTCACGCGCCCGAGCCTTCGCTAACATTTTTTAAAGAGCACAGCAGAAACGCGACAGGAAGGGTTAGTATTGCAGCATACCAACTGCATGTAAGACGGACACTAACTTCGTACTCCAATACTGCAGGCGATGCAGGCCCCAAGGAAGCAAAGAGCCAACTGAAAGCCGTATGTAACCCCACTTCCTCGTGCGATTTTGCAACTTTGCGACTTCGTGTCCAACCAACAGTTACAAGTACGGCTGCTAACGTAATGCTAGAACGCCGCCGCCCAGACGATCAAGTGCAAGACCTGCTTCCAGACTTTCCAAGGCACCACGAGCCGTAAGATGCTTACCGACCACGCAACCAACAAGCACAGCAAGGACTTTGGTGTCTGCTTCAACGAAGACGAGGGTGTTGTGAAATAAACTATCGGGCCTTCGAGCGAGCGAGCGGATCAACGAGCGAACGAGGACAGGCGACGATACGACGAAGTTTGCTATTTACACGAGCATGAGATACCACAAGCGAGGAGTGAGGAGTTGATGACGGGGATGGCCATCTAAGGCGACTTGATGATACATGGTACACAGGCGTAGGGGGTGATATATCAAGAATTCGACTCTAGGTTATTCATATACTTGCCCTGTTCGTGTCCACTGATGAGGCGTGATATCCTGGGTCTATAGACTGACAAAAGTGCGATCTAATACTGAGTGCGCTGATATTCCCGTAATCTAGAGTACACGCAGATCATTAGATCTGTCTATACGAGAATTAATACAAGTAACTCGTTAAACGAATAACAGATCTGTAACCAAGAGAGCACAGGCTGACTGAGTCGTTTAGAAGCGATAGGGCAGATGTAACAATAGCATATACGTATGACCTCCAGTACAATAGTCATCCAGCATCTCAGCGCGAGACTGGGTCAGTACGACATTCGTCGTGTCTTTGCTTCAGAAAGCACATGTTTTCCAAGTTTTACTTGACATTATAGTACACTTGTTGGCATAGTTCCGTATCGTGGATGTAGACCTTGCGACTTTCATGTGCAGCGCGCGTTCACTACACCATTACCCAAAAAATCGAAGGATGGTCGTAACATGTGGCAAACAGGGAACTTGATGTCCCCACATTTTCGATACCTACTCTGGTGTATTATGTCCAGGTCTTGCAGAGTCTAGCCCACGATACAAACCCCGCTTTCACCCCACCAACACACTTCACTCTTGGGCAAGATTTTCACGACGCCATAACGACTTTGATTTCACCTTCCCACTTCTGTCGGCCATTCGGGCGTTCTATCTGCAATAAATAATAATGATATATTTGTTGTATGTCCAAAACTTTTCATCAAATCCCTATTACAACCGTCTCCTTAGCTCAATTGGGAGAGCGCCAGACTGAAGTCTTCGGTCATTAAATCTGGAGGTATCGTGTTCGATCCACGAAGGGGACAACGTGCCTGAGCTTGCTCAGGATTCTTCGAACAATTCTTTTTGTGAACATATGGCATATGGTGGATGCATTCTGTTTGTCTTCTTTTTGCTAGTGTTATAGCTTTAAACGAGCGTAGAGAATGGTTCTTCCAGTGGTGTGGGGTGTATCACTACTAACGTGTATAGGACGACATCCCACTTGCAGGTGTTGTAGATGTCTGCATGAATTTGTGTTGTCTTTGTACACAAACATGACACCTTGAACACATCCCAGTAGATGGTGGGTCGACTAGCAGATGAGATTGAGCGAGCCCGAATGACTGGATAGATGCGTTCCTTTTTGTGCCCGCCCTCTCTTTTTGAGCACCCGTATGTCGTGCGGATGATACCTAGTAGTGCATGCCGGCACAACCGCTTCTTGACTTATTCAAGAACCTTTTGTGCATTTCTCCTTCTGAAAGATCCAATCCTTCGCATAAGTACCGAAACAATCATGCTGCTTGTAGGAAGCACGCCATATCATGAGCCTCATATCGCCAATCGGTTGTTGTCCGTCCATCCTACCCACACTCCACCAATCTCCTTTGCGATGTCTTCCGCAGTCCTGCCATTCGCATCCCTCAAACTCCTAATATCGATCTTGTCTTCTGTAAGCCCTCGCATGATACCCATAGCCTCTGCCTCCTGGAAGACTTGCGTCGGGAAGTCTAGCAACGGGTAGTTACTCGCGAGAAGCAGCAACAACCAAGCAACTTCCCTACTCTGCGCGTGTACCGCTGCATGTAGACCCGACTGCATATCCCCAATCGGATCCTGATATCTCAACATCCTGTCGATGCCGACCTCCTTCTCTGGGTGTTCCGTACTGCTCATCTCCACATCACCCTCTTCATCCTCGTCGTCCTCGGAATCATCGAGCAGTAGATCAACCACAGCTTTGTAGTCACCTTCGCGACAGAACTCGAGGAATGCGCGCGCTTTCCTATCTTCGGGGTAGGCTTTTAGGTACGACTCTTCGGTGAGGAGGGGCAGGATATCGAGATTCTCTTGGATTCCGCCTTCGTTGTTGAGTGTGCAGAGAACCTTTTGTATACCGTCGCCTGTGGTGGAGATCTCTTTGCCGCAATGTGGACACGAAGTTATTTCGTAAGCAGAGAGGAGACAATCCCTACATAAGTTGTGTCAGTGATAGCGCGCGACGTGTTGAAAGAGATGTTGCCTACCAGTGGAAGTGGCATCCACAAGTTAGCTGTACGTCATCGGGATATGTCTCTGGTGCCGCTGCAGGTCCTTTGCCAGACGACGACGCTCCTCCCTCGTATTCTTCGTCCTCGTCGCGCTCGATTTCTACCTCTAGGGGCTTATCGCAAATGACACAGCTGGACATATTGGTGACTTTGGTATATATAATTTAAGAAAGTGAGGGTGTTGATGAGATGTTCGGCGGGGCTATAGCGGGGCTTGTACTTTTTTTGTCGCTAAAACTCGAGGGCGTTCACGCGTCACGCGTCGGAGTACACACAAAACGTCATCAATATCGCGATAGCATCAACGACGTCCTCAGTCATGAATCTATTGTATGGCTGGACCTATACCCCTTTAAATTACCGATCATCACAACCTCTGATAGCTCGGGTTTGTCCACATTATAGGAACGCGTGCGAGCGCGAATCCTTCTTCCCCCGAAATCCTTGATCTCCCTTCACCAACACGACTTCTGATCGCATCTCTCACGACCCTTAACCCGTGACTGAACCTTGTGCTAAGCTCGTAAGCTGTTGATCGCGCTATTGAAGGTTCGGGATCGATTCGAAGTACTCGCTCCCTGGTCCGGTTGGGCAGAGTGTCTTCATCATGTCCACAACTTGGATCCGAAAATCTTTGCCGGTTCTTTGTCTTTTTAACTTGCTTGAAGTAACTTTCGTATAGCTGACCCCAATCCACTAGTATAATCCCGTCTTGAACGCTCCAATACCGGATTGCTTCGTTCGATACCACCAGTGTCCAGTGCTGTCCAACACTCATTGTCACATTACATCGAGAACGCGACGTGGTGAAGAGTTGCGCCCATTCGTATGCCGTACCAAGTCCGCAAAAACCTCGGCGGTTATCGCCGCGCCATACGCTTAAGATGCGTGCTTCTTGTTCAACCGAAAACACGGCAATGGATGGGTCCTCCACCAAAAACCGATTGAATTGCAGTCGAAAGGTATGGTGTCGAGAGCCAAGATTTGAGTTTATCATCGTATGAGGCAGGTGGCACATTGGTCTTCTATGTGACATTGTCGTTCCTGAGCCGCAAACATTGGAGTTTCGTGACGGGGTTGATTCCGTGGTGCGTCGACACATGTTGCAGAAATGATCCGAAAACTCGGGGCCGGCCTTGTTGGAGCTGAACATCTTCAAGATTGAATGACAGAACATGTTGAAATTGGATGCGAACTTTCGCATGAGAGAAGCCTTGACTTTGAAGTTGGCCAACACGCCAATACTCTCGATAAGGTGCAGATAATGTCATGCAGGTTTTGCTTCTTTCTGTGGGCGATCAAACTCTCCCCAAAACATAACATTTACGATACCCTGTTTAGGTGCCATGCCCAGGTACGTGCCCGACTACTCCTCACCGTACCATGGGAGTAGATCGCGTAGCCCTTCTCTTCGGTCGCGCTCCGCGGACTAAGGTAGGGCCTCAAGAAGCCGACAAACAGGGAGAAGCAGCATGCGTATTTCCTTTTTGGAATATCCGGTCATAGCAAAGCTAGCGCCGATTTATTTTCTCTAAGAATACAAGCTCCAACACACCGTCATTTTACGAGCGGATACTAACCACGACATTGAAAAAGCAACGCTGTTATGTATGGACGGACGATGTGCATGCGCATAAAGATCGTACAAATTGTAGCAATCGCTCGCACGCTCCATTCAACAACGCACAATACCAAGAGCCTCCACACCACTTCAGTGATCTCCCAATTTGCTTGGCAGAGTTAGCTACCTTCTTGACCGCCATAGAAATCCTCAGAATGCCATGTCAGGGTCAGTCTAATGCGTCCCTTTCCCATACCAACACCCCGGGTGCATGCAGTACTCTTGTTGACCTTAGATTCGGCTGTTGTTCGCTGTCGGCAATCTCGTAGGGGGGGCTTGTAGCTTCCGTGAGTTGTCTGGCTGTCTTGTGTAACCCAGAATTGTCTATCGCCGAGCATTTGCAATCGGGCGTTGATGGTGACGGAATGAGACGGACTTGACTTCCTGAACACCAGTACTCTGCGCATCAAACGCAAGCTGGGTTGCGATGCCTGGAACACACACAAAAAGCGTTAGCATTATCATTCTTCATATCTGTCAAACTAGTTTGGTATGGCCGCTCTACACCTACCATTCCATTCCTCGTCCGCTCTCTTGTCTTCTTCAGCCATCTCTTCAATGCTCTGAATGCTCCTCATCTGGGGCTGTTGCCTCTTCTCCAATTCCATCGAAGCAGCCATCTGCTCCATTATTGCCCTCTCGGCGTCCAGATGTCGTACGCTATTCTTGTTTCGCAGCAAAAGGCGTTGTGAGGCTGTCTTCCAGGTCGCCCTCGAGCCTCCAGCGCGGTGCTGAAGAGGTTTATCCCAGTCATGCTCCCAGCCCCGAACTGGTTCCTTCTCCTTTGGAGGCAAGGCGACCTTGAAATCGAATACTGGTGGATGGCGGATTCGGGCACTAGTCATCGGTTCGGGCTGAATGGGTACCACAGTCGATCTCTCCAACCTAGAAGGGCAGTACGGCTTCTGAGCCTGAAGTTTACGGACTCGCAAGGGTCGGATGGTTACGTCGACTGCCGAATCGTATCTGTTAGAGAGGGGTTGGGGCAGTTCTTTGTTCAATGCTCGCTGCACCTCGAACGACTCTCGCCATGTCAGGACGGCAGGAGGGCCTTGGAGCAGAACTGATCCGTCTGTCTCGTGTTTTTGTGGCTCGCGAAGAGCCTGCTTGGATGTCCTCCCAGCAAAGCTCGGTGTGTGCGTACCCTGTCGTCCTGCCACGAGCGAGTTCACGCTCGCGTTTACTAGTCGAATTGTCTCGTCGGCGGGAGGATCTTGCAGATTGTTTACTTGAAGCCTCCCTGGTGAAGGCATAGCCCGTTTAGGATGTGAGTCCCATGTTCTAGAGCCAGTGTTGATTGCCTTCTTCAGAGGCTGCTCCCTTTGGCCGATAAGCCCGTGTCGTGGCGTGTGCTGACGATGGCTGTGGTGTACAGATGTTGGGAGTGTCTTCTCGATATCTATGTAGCTAGAGGATTTGTACTTGCGGTGTGGACGGTGATTTCGCACACAGCCGCCGAGTTTCCTCGCCCAGCGGCGGAGGCAAGATTCGCGCTTCTTTACAGTCATAGCTGGTATGTGAAGGCCTGGAGTAATTACTCGCAAAGTCGTTCTAGGGAGACCACTCGGTAAGAATTGTAAAACTTGACTGCTCCTCAGAATATTTGCGGACATGCTCTTGCGACCAAATAAACGCCACGGTTGCCGTATAACGTTCTCATGGCAACAATGTTCTGATGCACTCTTGAAGAGGGGCCGACGGTGATGTTCTTGCCCCGTTCTACCTATCTGGGTCCCGGAGTAACGCTGACGGGTGTTGGAGATAGCCGTTGGCTGATTGCTTGGGAGGGGGCGGTAGTACCATGTTCCTGGTCATCTAGTCAGCCAAACCATTTCGCAACTACATTGACACCCCACCAGTTGGACGTTTAGGAGAACTGGTTGGGTAAACGAACCAAGAAGTTTTCAAGCCTCTAAATGTGGTCGCGCGAACGGTCGTTGTTTCGATGGTCAATCTCGCGTGAGTCGATCCGGTAGGCACGCTTTTATCAGTCTACCCAGTAACCCCCACAGGCTCTTGACCACTTTGAACGTTTCCCAGGAGATACAGAAAACAACCAAGGCGACAGTAATGACGACTGTGACAACCATACCCACCACAACGAAGCCTAGCACATGCGCGATGGCCAAAAGGCTTGGTGTGATACGCCACGTCTTTGTCTTCCTTCCAAGTCGAGAGAAGTAGAATACCAGGAATCCATACCGGCGCTGCTGTAGATCCTGGGGTAGATATTGCATACGACTCTGCCACTCTGAAGCAGTCATCGTAATCTCATCGCCTTCATTACCCATAGAAACGTAGATCTTTTGCTCTGTCCTCACAACCGTGCTACACAGTTCTCCGAAAGCTAGCTTGGCAAGCAAAGCTTGGTCGCTGATACAATGTATGCGCACCTTCCTTATGTCGCCAAACAGTGAAGTGATGGTCCTCGCTGAAGTATCCAAAGCGGAGTGTCCAAGGCTGCACCAAAAGCAGCACCAAGAAAAGCGAACCTGCTCCTGATAGAAACATTTTCGCAACAACACTTCATTGGCGCAGCTGTAGAATTGACGGGAGATAGGGCGCGCGTTGAACCAGAGTTCGGATGGGGACATATGGTTGCAGATATCCAAGATGAGCTCGCTGGGTAGACGGTTGAACGAAGACGTCGGCGTCGTAGACTGCGAAGACTCTGGTGGCGTCGCATTGTGTTCCGTATCTCGATGGTCGCCTCCAGTGCGGGTTACAAACATGCTCGCGAGGTGTGCGGCAGATGAGGGGGAGGAATCCAACGACAAGAGCCTTGCGGCGTTGATACCCATCATCATGTTCAGGTCTAAATGAAAGTGCAAGTGGTTGCGTGAGCCAAGCTTGCCGCAGCTCGTCTTTGCAAGAGAAAAAAGCCAGTCATCATATGTAGATCTTATGCAGGCTGGGAACTTTGTTAATAGGGCATGCTCCGCTTATCTCACACTAATTGGTGGCTCACGAGTGAGTAAGGCGGCGTGAGGCTGAAGGAGCTGAAGGTTCTGGCCGGCATGGCGTCAGCTGCAACGTCAAATCGTTGCTGCTAGATAAAGTCATACCAATTTCTTGTTAGAATAAGTGCGTGCGACACCTTCAGGCTGCGTTGCAAACCAGTGAATCTCTTGTAGGGGTGGCGCCACATTGTGGGTTCTATGGCGACAGCAATAATTTGGTGTTGCAGGTTGTGATGCATGTCGTCCTGGGGGTAGGTGCGCGGAGTAAGGGAGGTTTGTGACGTCGGAATCCGAGCTACTCGATAGACGTGGTCGTCAAGCTGAGGTGTTGGTACGTAGAAGAATCTGGATCGCATAGAAGCGTGCACGGCAACAACTCTTCCATTCTCTTCTCTGTGGCCTGATCCATTATTGACACAAATGAATTTGCAATTTCTGCGATCTCAGTCACACACTAGCTCCTTATGAATCAAGGCCAATGTCTATTCATTTAGGTGTGGTTCATAAGAGGTGATTGTGGTAATACAACGCCGTTGCTCGGATAGATGGGTGATGCGCATGACCTCTCTAAGAAGGTAGACAGCTCCAACATTACTAGCCTCTCCTTATTCAGCGCTGCGCTGCGCCTAGCTTTGCTTGCGCTTCAAAGTTCTCGCTGCGCTGCCTTGTTCGAGATCACGTCAGTCTGCATTGAGGACAATTTTATGCAACAAAGCTCCAATCTATCCTGTATCATGATATTTGAGTTTGTAGTCGCCATCTCTTCTTTCCTGTGTTGAGTAATCTGCCGAAGAAACATTGCCCCGGTGGCAGACTAGGTGGATCTCCTCAGCGCGGGCCATGACATGGTTCGTCCTCCTGTCAACATCGTGCGAACTCTGTTCTCTATTCGAAAGGCACCGAAATCATGTCGCGAGAGCTCTGCGCTGTTGTCTGTCGAGCGAGAAACGAACATGCCGAAGAAAAGGGTCGCGTGAGTTCGCGGACAATTCTTTGCAAAAGAGACTCAAAAATCTCCCGAGGCCGTCACGTGTCGAACTCGTTTCGCGCACGTCGGGCCGAAACTTCGTCCGTCTATTAGTGGACCGAAGCGCCTAGCAACCCATCTCCCATACTTTGGAATCAGTCTAGGTTCTGCGTCCACACGTCGTCCGCGATTAGTAACCGGTTCAACTTCTTGCCGAAGGATCGTGTGTTGTACCGTAACGTTAGATGGAGAAATGTACATGTATATTAGTATGCGTGAGCTCGAAAGTAGCAGAATAGCATCATTGTCAACACCAACATCATTACCATAACTACAAGAAAGCACAAGAACCTACTCGAAGCTGACAGGATACCCGATCGAGAGTCAAAGTGAAAGATAACACCAGCCAACACCAATATTACACCAAAGCCCGAGTTGATGCAACACGCCTTTCGACGTTCCCTCGTACAGACATCCAAGATGCAGAACAGCCGTCAACTACGTGATCCGGTAACATTGCCATCCGGTCTGGTTTTCAAGAACCGGCTACTCAAGGTCAGCAATAACAAAGCAAACACAACGCGACCATATTTCTAACGTTTCCACAGGCAGCGATGGCAGAAACCATGTCCAAGTCTCACGACCCAACAGATCAACTCCTGACTGCCTACAAAGCATGGGGGAAAGGAGGCTGGGGTGGTATCATAACAGGTACGGGCTTATCTCCGCCTACTGACCTTTCTCAAGATTGACATTTAAAGGAAACGTGATGATTGATGAGCGCTGGCTTGGAAACGCCCTCGACGTCTCCATCGCCCCCACCACCGATCCCAAAGTCATTGCCCAATGGCGAAGATACGCAGAAGCATGCCATATTGAAGGTACCCCAGCTATCGTCCAACTCAACCACCCCGGTCGTCAAAGCCCTCTCGGAGCGGGTAGCAAAGGTCTGTTCGAGAAGAACATTGCACCTAGTCCAATCGCACTGCAGTTCGAAGATAACATCTGGGCAAAGACCGCGCAGAAGCTCCTCTTCGGCACTCCGCGAGAGATGACAATTGCAGAAATCGAAGATGTTGTAACTAAGCACGCTGATGCAGCCAAGTATCTCAGCGAGCAAGGATTCGACGGTGTAGAACTACACGCCGCACACGGATATCTACTGAACATCTTCATGGCTCCCAACACCAACAAACGTCAAGACAACTACGGTGGCTCGCCTCTGAACCGCGTCCGCATCGTTCTCGACATTATTAAGGCTATTCGCGCTGTGGTTCCAAAGACTTTCACAGTCGGCATTAAACTTAACTCTGCGGACGTTGCACGCGCAAGCGATATGGAAGAGCTAATGCAACAAATCGAGTACCTCAAAGCCACTGGCATTGACTTCCTTGAGATTAGCGGTGGATCGTATGAGAACCCTAGGATGATGAAGGGTGATGAGCCACAACCGGGTGAGAAGCCAGTTTCAGAGCGCACGGCAAAGCGTGAGGCCTTCTTCCTTGATTTCGCAAGGGTGGTCAGGCAGAAATTCCCGGATGTGGTGCTGATGGTCACGGGAGGTTTCCGCAGTCTGTCCGGTATGCACGCAGCGCTCGAGGAGAATGCTTGTGACTTGATTGGTGTGGCGCGACCAGCTGCTATAGATGCGAGCTGGGCGAACAAGGTGTTGAAAGAGGAGGCTGCAGGTGGTGATGTGGTCCTGAGGTTGGACGCTGTGAAGCCGAGTTGGTTGGTCAGCAAGATTCCGGTCAGGGCTCTAGGAGCTGGAGCTGAGACTGCTTACTACGGACAGCAGATTGCTCGTATCGGTAAAGGATTGCCAACACGAGCTCCCCCTACGACGTCATGAGATGGTTCTATAAGCTTAGGTTACTGTATTCTTTTGATGGGCTTTCAATGTGGCCAATGCCCTCTTGCATAGAGGAGTTTATTTCTGCTGGATTTCGTTTCTCTTCACTTAGACTTCTACACAATATACATAATGCTAAGAGATCTCCGCAGTTGATAAAGTAAACGCGATGAGTGATTGCCCAGACCCAGAAAAGAGACGCTTTCATAATACTTTTACATTTCCAGACACCCGAAGATATGATATCCAGCATCTCAGATTCCGTCCTCCAAAGCCTTACGTGCTTGCTCAATGATGGTCGCAGTTTTCTCGTTGAAATGGCCACCATACCAATCCTGTGCCTCCCGATGGACGTTATCTTCCGGAAAGTAACTCGAAAACATGAGTCGGCAGTTCTCTGAGATAGATGTATGCTTGAACGCACGTTTGATATACAATTGTACTCCCAACACCCATGAGTCTTCTCGCACAGCGTCTGGCACTGCAATAGTAGACTTGTTCCGAAGACCCTCTTGGAGTACAAAGGCCCACTGGATCCATTCATATCTTACCACCTCACATTGATCCCACCAGTGATCACGGACATGTACGGTGATGCGTGGGGTTTCAGCGCAAATCTTGCTGTTTATGCGTTGTAGCGATTTGACAAATTCTATCGGTGGGAAAGGATCTGTGAAAAGCTTGCAATTGGAGACATCGATGGTAACCTGATTCAGTGCCGCAAACCTGTATGTCTTACACTGGTCGATAAAACGAGATAACGTTCGTCGTCTGCTCTCTAAGTTCGTTCCAAGTCTGCATCTGAAATGAACATTGCTGCTCTCCAACAATAGACCCAAGGTCTCAATGTACAGCTGGCGGCACACGAGTTTGAGGGGATTCAGCGCAACACCCTGGATAACCATATTCTGTACTGGCCGAGCTTCCACAGGATTTTTTTCAACATCTTCAGTGTTACGTTTGTTCTGGATCAGGAACTTGATACCATCTGGACGATGCATGACGAATCCGTATGTCATGTCGCGCAGTTCTGCAGGAAGCTTAAGCAGTCGTGAGCTATCTTGCGTAGCACAAGGCTTGCTCTTGATCTTAGTCTTGTCGGACAGGGTCTCGCCGGACGAGCGGCGATTTCCGGGCATGGTCGTGGCTGGGATATTCATCGCAGACATTGTGGAGTCGAGGGGTTGCGGAGTGAGTGCTGAAGGTGGGGAGAGCACATGTTTGTATAGAAAGGAGCGTACATGTTGTGTGTGAAAGCACTGAGTGCTGCGACTCCATTGTGTAGTCACTAGAAAATCGGTCAGTGTGCCTCATGGCGTGAAATATAGTGACGTTAACAGTGATCGTCACGAAGGACTTTCACAGTGATGATTTAAGGTATTCCGTGGATGCTGAGATTCCTAACCCTGCCGGCTTCGATGTGCTTTCATTTTCTTCCCCTATACAGCACATTGAACTAAGCCAATGGGTGGTGCGCTTCATTTGGTACCAGTTTTCAGTAATGGGCCGCCTGCTGCCACGATCGATGGATTTTCCTCTCCTACTGGAAGCGGCATGTTGATGTTAACCAATGGAACGCCCTCCTGGAGATCAGAATCTACGTGCTGTGATCGATGGATTCTGCTTCTTGCCTGATACGGTTTGTTGAGCTTAGCCAATGAGCATACATCTTACTGTTCCCATTACCTTGGGTTTCGTTGCTTTTCACGCTGCGCGCTCCCTCTTTCGATGGTTTTTGGAAACTTCCTGATGCGGTAGGTTGAGCTCAGACCACCACTAAGCCGCGGCGATCTCGAAAGATTTGGGACTTGGACGGCGGGCTGCATCATCGTGTTTTTGTAGTCTTTTCGTGTTGTTTGCGACTTGCAGCTGTTGTGTAGCAACTCTTTCCATGTCTATATGCTCTAATTCAGTCCGAGCATTGTCGCGCTCTCGCATTCCGCCAATCAAGACGCTCCTTCCGTTCCTCTACCAGACACCGACGATCCAGCAATGCCAGCCCGCCACACGACCAATTGCTCGCCGCAACATCGCCTCGCGATCACGCCCATACGACAAAGAGGACATACCTTTCGAAGATGAGAATCTACCACCTGCCATCGATCAAGAACCTCCACGAAAGACTACTATAACGGGTACTGAGCGTGCTGCATTCCAGAAGTTGTATAGAAAATTCAATACCGAGGGACGTCAGCAGAAGGAGAAAGACCATGTTGTGGAGCTCGATCAGATAGCAGACGAGTATTACGAAGACGATGAAGAACATCTGAAGCCCTCTCTGGATAAGGTCTTCGACGACGTATTGAAGGGTGAACCGCGGTTGCGAGCATCACGTACAGTCCCTCAAAGGCCAAAGACGACGGCTCAGTCTCCAAAGGAAGAAACTCTACACGCGGAACTAGGCAAAGCGCAGACCAGCAAGAGGAAAGGCACCAATGTGGATGCGGCAAAATTCAAGGAATTGCGTCTAGCAGAACGAGAACGAATCGACAAACTCATACGCAACGCCCCTACCGACCGCGCCCTCTGGCAAACCCTCGAACGCGAAGTTTTCACCAAAGTGCGTAGTCTAGATCTCGACAACGTCAGCAATGGAGGTATCAAAGAGCCAATTTCCAAAGCCAGCACCGGCACATCGAAGAAGTCGTCCAAACCAAAGAGTGTCCACAAACCCGATCCACCCAGCTCCGATGCGCGCATTCTCTTCCAAAACTATCCACACCACCTCATAGTTGCCGTCTCCACATTGCGCACCGAGTTCCCCTCTTCGCGCTTACCCTTCTCTATCTTACCTACGATCAAAAGGCTAGGCCGCTCCTCGCACGCTCTCGGCGCCACGACAACGCTCTATAAACACCTTATCCGCACGGCATGGATTCAACAATCTTCCTACACGACCATCAACACGCTCCTCACCGAAATGGACGATAACGCCATTGAATTCGATGCCGACATCCTCGGTCTCTTAGACGCCATAATCAAGGAGCACAACCAGGCGAGGAGTGGTGTATTAGGAAAAGAGATGTCGCTGGTGTACGGCATGGAAATGTTCGTCAACGACCTACAAAAGATTGTTACGTGGAGAGATGTGATTGCGGAGAGACTGGGTATGAGGAGTGAAGAGAAGAGGGCGGGTAGTACGATTGTAAGGAGGGTATTGCCGCTGGAGCACAAGGCTTGGAGGGGTATTGGGTCGGAAAAGGCCGCCAACACACAGAGACCTGGAGGACACTCGAATGATACTTCGTTGGAACACATGCCGCTTGTCGAGGGTGCAAACTCAGGAGTAGACGGTTCCCGTACAGAAACAGTTTCTGCAAGGGATGACGAGCACTCTGCTTCGCCTGAGGAGAGTGACCTGGGAAGTGAGCAGACCACTACCAAGCAGTCACAAGTAGGAGAGGAAAATACCGAAGATGCAGATAACAAACGCGCCGAAGTTTTAGTGTAGCATCACCGTGTACAAAACAGTATGTAACATAAATAAAGCAAACCAGGGAATCCACTGGACAAGTGAACGAAATTCCGATTTGCATAACGCCTACTCCATATTCATGCATTCATGAGGAAGATTGACTCCCATCCACGCCTTCATACGTAAAAGCGTGATACAACCCCTTGCCGCAATCGAAATTTACAAGCTCTCCCACCCCCCATTATTGATATCTCCCTCCAACCGCCTAGCAATAAGGCTCTGCACACCGCCCTCAAGCCATACTTTCCTCAGCAGCGCATCATACCGCTTCTGATTCAAGAAAAGCTGGTGATGGCGGCGTAACGCAGGATCAACCTCACCGTGCTTATCAAGGTAAGGGGCCACATGCCAGGTACCGTGATCGAGATTGAGGAAGAGGATCATGCATTTGCGGATATGTATGAAGAGACCAATTTGGCCACCGCATCTGTAGGGATAGTTAGTATGATATGTTGAATCATGTAAAAGAGGACATGGGAAAAGATGACGTACTTGGCTAGATGCTGATTACATCCTCCACGATTCTTATTCGTCATGCAGCATACGGCTTGACTACACATAATCTCACCGCAGAAGAGACAAAGTGCCGGATCTGTCAATTCTTTGCCCGTTGTGGGGCAGCGACGTCGTATTGCTTCATCGGTTAGCGTATCATAGTTCTTTGGTAGGCCGACGAGTTCGAAAATTGCTGGGTGCGAGAGTGAGATGATTGGTTTGAGCGGATTGTTGCCTGCTTGTGCCCAGAGGAGATGGCGAAGCCAGCCTCCAACGATGGAGCGCGTTGTATTGCCTGCCGATGTATGAGCGGCAAAAGAAGCAAATATCTTGTCAAGTGATGGTAGCCTGAGGATTGAGGAAAGGCGTGCAAGTTCAGGTTCATCAGCGCGCTCGGCAGTGACATGTGGGAGGTCAACACCATAGCGCACGTGCATCAGGATAGCGGCTTTACGGACGAATGGTAGAGCGTACGTCGAGACCATGGTGTGTAGGAAGTAGAGGAAATTACGATCTTTGAAGCGGTCTGGGACGGGCAGGTTGTCGATGTCAAACGAGGCGGGTGAGTCGCCCTGGTTAGTGACGTTGGAAACAACGCAGGCGAAGCAGAGTAGGTTCCTCATCTGTTCTTCAGAACCAAAATCGTTACCGACTTTGTCTGCGTTGATGAACTGCTCTGGATGCGGGAAGAGGAGTTCTGGATGCACTGCCATATCTTCCGCTGACTGGTTTTTCACACTTAGTGCGAAAACGAAGACTACCCGGACAATCACAGCAAGATAGCAGAGTCGCATTATGTGGTGAATGTCGAGATTCGTGGCTGGCACAACTCCGACTGCGCATTCTGAGAGGAAAATGAACGGGTCTTGGCACAGTAACGGTGCAATGCCTTTCAGATCGAAGCTCAGCACTTCTGGGTCCGATATGCCTGGGTGCCCAACTAACAGCTGGCGGAACTGACGGCGCTGGGTCTCCGAGAACTCATCCAGGGTCTTAGTCGGGCCCTGACCTCGCAAGCTTCCGAGAGCAATGTACGAGGAGACCGTCTCAGAGAATACCCGGAGATGGGTGATGGCTTGTGGAGAGATCTTATCGATCAGAGTGCCACGCACCGACTCAGATTGCACGCCTCGCTGCGCAATCTCGGCGGCAGCGATAGAATAACCAAGAGCCTGAGCAAGCGCATCCGTGTGAGTGAAGTCGTTTGTCATGGCAGGTGTATGCGGATATGCGAACGAGGAGTGAACGTTGTTGACCTTCAAGGTCTCTCTCAACCTATGGTATATTTTAATCAGTTCTCCCATTGGGGCATCCTGCGTCAAAGCCGGGCTATTCTGAGAGGAACCTAATCCAGCTTCGGCGGCCTCCGGAGGCTGCACACCTAGGAAAGCCGGGACCTGGAAACGAGGCGCGAGTTGTCCCGGTTGAGAGAGAGCAAGGCCAGTTGAAGGTAGCGACGGTTTGAGCAAATCGGGCAAGCGACTTGATATGGGCTGAATAAAGTCTCGTTCTGCGTATTCATAGAGCATCTTTTGATCGTGAGATAGGTCTGCAGGGACCTTCAGACCTCTCTCAAGACTCTTGTGGGTCGCAACTAATTGCAATTCCAACCACTCCTCGAATGGTTGCTCCGTCTCAAGAACACCCGTGCTAGAGACCTTCTTTGCTTTCCAAATAATCGGTAAGAAGATGTTCCCAAGAGCTTTGCAGAGTGGACACATGAACTCCTTCAACTCAGGCCGTTCAGGATGATTTCGCGCAATCTGGCTGACATGGCGTCTCTGAGTAGCATTCAGGTACACTTCAAAGCACGCAAAATGCATGATGTGGCCACACCCAGTAGTGACAGGACCAGGCGTCACGGAAAGAGGAGGAAATCCTTTCCCTAACTCTTGACGTTCACTGGTGACGCGCTCACCTGAGGCGGTGACCTTTTCCACAGTGCGCCGGTTCTTACCAGCCACACCAAACGGTCGCAGATCTTCAGCTGATCGATCAAGACTACTCGGTGTCTGCACGACTTCATCTATCCATTCATCATCGTGCAGAGGAGTTTGGCGCATAATCCTGCTTTCGGAAATGTATCCGAAGGAACCGTACAGCCTTTGTTCGTTGCAGTCTTCCTGACACAAGATACATGTGCCGGAGGGATATTTGAGGGTCTTCTCCTGTTCAACAAGTCCGCCCGTCTCGTCTTCCAAATCACTGAAGTCGTCTTCGCCCCAGTCAAACTCCTGATTAGCCATGAACTTTCCCTGCTGCTCTTTGAAAGCTGCCATAACCTTGGCCTGTCGGTCAAGTGCTTGTTTCTTCTTGAGCTCTTTGTGCTCTTTGTCTTGAGGTGCAGGTGAAGCAGTATCCATCCTATCAGCCGGCATGTTGATTGCTGCTGCTGCGATGATGAACGAATCCTGTTGGCGTTGCTTGAGCCTATGAAGGATCAGGCTTATCTTCGGTTCAGACGACTTGAAAGCTTCGTTATCCTGCAAAGTCTTCAGGATTGACAGAACAGTGGGATGGTCCGATATGCCTATATTCGCGTTTTTGGTCAAGACTGAAGTGACAAAAGACTCGGGCGTCTTTTCAGACCATCCGTGCTCCCCTGTTTTGTCCTCAAGGATAGCCACGAGAAGAAGTTGTAATACAAATTGTATGTATGTTTCGACACGAGTGGCTGGGATGCTTGGCGTGGCTGTTGTTGCTCTAAGACCGTATCCCAGCAAATAGTATATGACCTGAGTAAACAACGGTGTCCTGGTAAATGCTGACAAATCTTGGAATAGGCCTGAAGGAATTGGGCGGAGCTTCGGTTCATAGACGATGTCGCTAGCTTGCTTTCCGGTTTTCTTGGCCATGTAGGTCTTGTATATGTTCTCTGCTTCCTCCCTTTGATTGCGGTTGTATTGATGAAGGTAAGGGTCTACCAAATCGATGTACTGTTCCTTCAATTCAAATGTTCCGCTATCAGACAAGCCCTCCGGAGCTCGAAACTTGGTCATCTCAGATAAGACCGCAGGAAACTCGTCCATGTTCTGAATTCGGTCTGATAGACGTGCTGTCATATCGGAGAAGGAGAGAGGCTTGAAACACAGCACATGAGCGATATCTTTGCGCATCGATGCTAGTTGAGACTCATCGTTATCCTCTGCAGGTATCAATGATGTGCGCTCGCTGAGGATGATGATGAGTAAGTGCACAAAGTCTTCGACCACGTCAATAGCTTGGCTGTCTTCGAACCCGTGTTGGCTAGCTTCGTATTTGCCAGTCATCCAGCCATTCAGCCCGAATCGGTCAATCATCGATGCTAGGAAGATTGACGGATTGCACAGTACGAGAGCGGACTGTAGGAGGAAGATGTCTCGCTGATGTGAGACGTCTCTCTGTGATACACTTCGGTACTGCGTCATCTGATGTCGTAACGTAATGCCGTTCCGCACCCAAATGCCTGCACGCATCTGAGCCAACCATGAGCAGACTCGGAGCGGAAAGTCGAACAACGCCAGTAGATAATCTTCGGGTTGGTGTACAGGGATAGATAGAGGAAGGTCCATTTGTAATTCGCTAGGAGAGAACAAAAGTAATCTCCTGATCTCCTCTCGATCCATGCTTCGCGCTCGATCAATGAGCCAAGATAGAGTGTAATGGAGGGCATGGTGAAAGCTCATCGGCTGTGTCGCGACGACATAATCGACAATCTTGTAAGATGGACCAAAGAAGGTAGAAGTTTCGGCGTCAAATTCAAAAACGGGCGACGTCTTGAACTTCGTTTCTTCTTTGAGCTCAGTCTGATCAAAGCGTTTGCGTTCAGCGCCTAGAGAATTTATGATGGCTACTCTAGCGGCTGCACGTATAGCGCGCTGGATGTTGGTTGGGTCTTCGTCGCGGCTCCAGGCAAAGGATTCTGCAAAGTGCCTACACAGCTTGTTGATCTCCCGGGTAATCAGAGAAGCACTAATCCATGCTTCGGACTCAAATTCGAGATGCTCGCCAACTTGACGAACATTTGGACAGATACCTTGGTGAAGCTTTACAAGGTCTAAGAACTGTAAGAGATACCGTGGCTCTTCGCGAATTCTTTCTTGAACGAACTCAGAGCCCAGTAAGTACTTCATATCGAGGAAGAAGTGATACATTCGACGATTAGTCACAGCTCCTTGCTCGAAAGCTAGTGTTGCTCTGGGGTCGACATTTGAAGGATAGCCCACTTGCCGGGTAGTCAAGAAGGTGTAGAGAATAGCCATGAGATTGGTAAGGAAATTGCCACGCTCAACAACCTCGGAGGTTATTGACGGGGTTGTCAACATTTGCAGAGAAAGGTTGATGATGGAGTGATCAGGCTCACGATCGGCAATGAGGTAGAGTTGGGCTAGAGCCGTGTAGACGCCAGCGAAGCGTAGACCTAAGAGGCGCTTGAACTCAGGGATGGTGACCACGGTGCTGATGAAGACATCGCGTATGCCGATACGCAGCTGCTTCCACATGCGCAAATCATATAATATCAAATGATCGAGTCTCAGCCGTTGCCAGAGATCTTCATGAGGTGGCGTTCCAGGCTTCTTACCGTAGCTTTCAGGCTTCTCTAACCAGTATTTGGCTGGCCTTGCTGGCCGCAATGGTAACGATCGAGTGTGGGGTGTCTCTGGGACCGGCAGCATCGGCTCCACATGGCTAAGAGACGGTGCGCCAACCATGGGCTCACTATCTGATTCCGCCGGTGTGACGCTCTGTTCAAGCTGACCTCGCTGCGGATGTGCAGGCACTGGCGGCGGTGGTGGGGGAGCAGGATAACCTGCCATTGTCGCTTCAGACACTTCAAGAGCCTCATCCGCGCTTTCATACGCCCCCATCTCTACATCACCATCATTGTCCTGAGCACCGACCTCGTCAATGTCCATATCATCTTGGGTGTCTGCTGCAGGCCCGCCCTCGTCGTCATCGTCATCGTCTGAAGCAGTTGTGTCATCGTTGGTATCGGCGGTTCGCTGTCGCTGGACCCGAATAATACGAGCTCGTCGCTGCAACAGCATGCCGTTGAAAAAGCCATCCATCTCAGCTTCCTTGTCTTCCATCTCGTGGTCGTCGAGACCGTTCTTGCCAATGCTTTGATTTGACGCTTCGCTGCCAACGCGCCAGGGCTTGAGGAGTTCCTCGCAAACGGTGCGGCGAAGTATCTGGTTATCATCGCCGACGCTACAGCCTGCAATATCCTGTATCCACTCTATGAGGACACCACCCATCTGCTCTCGAAAAGTATCTCTCGCCGATCGAATGGTAACGGTAAGCTTAATCTCCTCAATGATTTTGGCCATGCGAAGGAGTTCGTTAAGGTCCGTCCTATAAACAATCGCACTGCGCCCCACGTCGTTGATCTCGTAGGCTTTTGCTAGACCAAATGCCAGTTTCTGTTTGCATGCGCGAGCAACCTGATCTCTGACGTCGTTGACCGTATGCTTCTCATCGTTCCACAACACGAGGCAGAACTCTTCGCACTCCTCTGTGTCATCTCCCCCCTCGTACCATCGCGAGGTAAGGCGCGAGTTGCGCTCGTCTTGGCGGATGGACTCTTCGGTCTTGGGCAGGCGCAATTGCTCCGGGGAGCAGGAAAAGACGTCGATGAGATAGTCGAGTACTCGTGCGATGGTGCTACGAATGGTGTCTATGAGTTCGTCTGGCAGTATGGGGCCTTCCCTTGCTTTGCCCGCGGCCTTGGACTCGCGCTCAGGGTCTATCGAGTGTATGTTGCAATGTACATGCCGTATCCAGGCCTCGTCGTCTCCGCAGTCGCAACAGCCAGAGTTGCCTGGCGATACACTGACAAAGACTTGATGTCCCTCATGGTCGGATGCATCAAAGCAACGGGCGCAAAGTACGCAAGTGTCGTCTGCGCTGCAAGTTTTACATCGGTATGTAGCCTCGCCATTCTTGAATATATGTCCACATGGCTTTCCCCTCGCCGCCGGTGTATATTCTGCGCCCTCTACTGCTCCCTGGGCGTCGCGAAGGCTCCATGGCTTCTCCTCATCTGACGGAAGTCCATTGGGGAACAAGTGCGATAGGAACTCGTGGCGGCCAGCAAGGGAGCGAAAGAGAATTTCGCGCAGCTCCCGGTCAGCAGCGAGCTCGAATCGATAGTTGTGTCGTCGTGGTAGTTGGCGCAGCTGTCGGCATAATTCCTGCTCGTGCAAGGACATGTACATCGTGCAGCGTTCGCAGCGGGATGGTGGGGGGCGAGGGACGACAAGCGGGGGCTAAACAACGGAGATTTAAAGGCAAAAGTTGTTTGTAGATAGCGGTGTTGTGGACCAGCCACCAAGATAAGAGTCGTGTGTTTGTCTGGAGCCTGGCGTTGCGTGGTAATAGAGAGAAGCAGATTCGCGCTATGTCATTGCTCGTGAAGCAGCGCGGACCCCCGAGACATGCGCGACGCCACCAAGCAGCCACAGTCAAGGCGAGCAATCACCTTCACTGGAAAGGCGGAGTACGTCGCCTGACACATGTACAGTATCATTTAAGAAACCGAACATAACTAAGCCAAGGATGTGCTTATGGATTTGCCTTGATATCTTGTCCTCTACATCCGATGTCCTCCGCCCAAGTACGTTATGAGCGGCATGTCCCTTGTCTGCTCAAAAGATATGTTGATCTCTGAATTACAATATTACCCCGATAACAACATCAATTTCATCACCAACTAAGGTCTTCATTGTAACGAAATCTGTTATAGTAAATGCACGGCTGCTGAGGATCTCATCACACGATTCCATATATAATGGTCAACATCTCGCCTTGGTATTTCGCATGCTGTAGTATACACCACAATGTACAGTGTCCGCTCCAAAGAACCGTAAAGAAGTGTCTATTTCATGTTCGAACTGTGGTATGGCTGGAATCCTACTCGTCGTCCTCGGCGGCCTCCATGTATCGCTGCTTGATGTCCTTCCATTGACGCTGTGATGCACGTTAGCAGATGCCATGTCTATCAGAACAATCTGACGTACGCCGCGGTTGACTCTGTCCCAGATCTTCTCAGAGCCTGTGTCGAATGCGCTGTGCTACTATCAGCCCCCCTCCTTTCCCCGAGTTCCTCTCCGGATGCTGTGGCTTACAGTTGAAGACCGAAGGCGGAGCCGAAAACGGCGAACAACATAGTGGTGTTGCTGCGGAGGACCGCGCTGCAACCGATGGTTAGTCTCGTTGGATCGAAGGGTATGCGCGAGGGACTTGCTTGTAGACGTTGCCGAGTATCTGCGTAGTCATTAGCGCACATTCAGTTGTGTCATCCGGTCAATTCACTTACGCCAGACATTTTGAAGGTGTCGCGAGGGCTGGGTAGACGGTGGAGAGTGATGTGGTGGTGCTTCGCTGGCGATGTCAAAGGTTGAGGTTCGTTGACAAGATTCAAGCTCTCGCGTCACGGGGATTTACGCTGCGCTAATTGGTCCGTCGTGCCTTCCGCTTTGACGTGAACTTTACCTTCAACCCCACCACGACTTTCAATTCACGCTTAACGACGCACAGCCATAAATCCTCGCATTTCCTGGAAGACGCCTGAAATAGCCTGGGGACATCTCATTAAAACGATTGGTGTGTCTTCGCCCATCGCGACTGCCTGACATCCTCCGGCGCATCCTGCCCTCACTCCACATCACAACAGGCGCAACCGACGCGATGCCTTCTGTAGAGACTCCTGCAATTTCCAAAGCTGGTATCACCACCTCAGCGACCGGCGAACGCCACATCCCAGCATCCGTCCGTCCCGACGGCTCCCTGCGCAAGGAGATTCGAGTCCGTCCAGGCTACCGCCCACCAGAGGATGTTGAGCTTTACAAGAACCGTACCGCTGAGGGTTTCCGCAACAGGGGGAAGGCGGGTGTACCGGGTGCAGAGACGGTGAAGAGTGAGGAGAATCTCAGCACATCGAGTCCTGCTGCAAACAAGAATGCTAAACGGAGGGAGGCTCGGAAAAAGGCTGCAGCTGCTGCGGGTGATGGCAAAGAGGAGAACCAGGGAGCCCCCATGGAGACAAAAGAAAAGGAAAAGCCGGTTGAGTTGAAGGCGAAGGAGAAGGACAATGCGAAGCCTGAGACTGAGAAGGCTGTCGACCCTGAGATGGAGAAAGAGAAGGAAGCGAAGAAGCTTACGAAGAAGCTGAGGCAGGCGCGGGAGCTGAAGGATAAGAAAGACAAGGGCGACAAGCTGCTACCGGAACAGTTCGAAAAGGTCATCAAGATCAACGAGCTGATACGTCAACTGGAAAGCCTCGGCTTCGATGCGCAGGGAGAGAAGAAGAGTGAGACTTGAAGGGCAGGCTACAAGCTATTCTATGGATAGCTATACGAACTTCCAAACTAAACCAACTGCTCTTCCAGCATGAGCTAGCGACCCTACGACAGCCGCGCGCTCGTGGTGTGGCCAAACATTACAACAAAAGTCTTTATACCCGCGACTGTCCATCAACGGCACATCGTCCGCGCGTACGTAGGACTTGATAATGACCATGGGGGCTTGGTTATATCTCGCAACGCATCCTCCCACTGCTGCTACATTTGCTACATGCTTCTGCGCTGTATCAAGGCATGTGGTTCAAACAAGGCTCAAGAGCTCGCCGTTAAGTTTCGTCTCAGTCTCAATTTACATGTATCGCAAAATACAGGAAAAGACATTCATCCGCAGATCTCATCAGGCTCTTACCTACAGTAATGTGCTACCACCGTGACCCTTTAACCTTCGAAGCCTATTTAATTGCACGATAGAAAGCTTCTTCGCCATGCATCGAAATGTCGAGTGTTGTAGCAGCTAAGTACATCTTGGCCAGTTTGTCGCTTTTGTTGTTAAACCTGCTGTGCGAGGATGCAAGATTGCTATGATAATCAACCCAGGAGAGACGCGGCTGAGGAAGGGAAGACCAGCACTGACCTATGGTCAAAGCAGGAATTTCGAGACGGGATGCCATCTGTCTACAAGCCTACATCATCAACAGTCGCTCGTTCACGACTTGCAACGGCAAGGCGCAGGGTGCTACAGAACGTCACAAGAGGCGGGTGGCATAGCGTGCCCAGACGCGTCGTTCCAAAAAGCAGGCGCGTAAACAAGCCGATGACGTAGCCCACCCTGCAGCGAACAACAGATCATATATACATACCTACGACCAAGATCGGCCATTGTCAATCCACAATACGAGATAGTATTTCGTAGAAACGATCTGGTGCCCTGAATACCATCTCTTATTTTTACACAATGTTTTCCACAAAGGCAACTTCGCTACGAGCTCTATCCCGCGCACCGTGCCAGGTCAGATGCTCAGCAGCGAGGAGACTGTATGCGACGGACCATGAGCAGCGCACCAAGGAAACGTTAAAAATATCATCACGATTGACTTGGTTAGTAGTCGAGATTCCATGACAAACTGTCATCGCGCCGCAACTTGCATCCCAATGCCCGCTAAATACGCCTTCCTATCTCACGTACTTCCGACAACGCACACCGTACTAACTCCCCCTAGGCTCACCACAACCGCTGCTATCGGCGCCGCAGCTCTCTATTACACCACCGCCTCCTCCGGCTCTCCGAGCCCCTCCACCTCATCTGCCCCTTCCACCTCATCCACGTCCCCAGATCCTCCTAATGCCAACAAACCAGGGCACCGCCACGAGTCCGACTACGCCTCCGACGTCCCCAAGCCCGTTGAAGACCGCCATGGCGATAGCGTCGGCAAACACAGCATCGCGGCGCACAAGAATGAAAACAAAGTTCGCGAGGGCAAGTTCTCAGGCAAGGAGTTTGACAATCATTTGCAGACGCATTCGCCGGGGAAGCCTGGAAGTGATTTCGAGAAGCGGTAGGATTAGAAGGAAAGCACAGAGAACACTACATATCAACAATCTAGGCCTATCTGGAATCACGATTCCGCAGAATCCCACTAGACTCCGAGTCCCGCCTCGGCCAGCTCCGCAAAGAATTTCATCGAGTAAGCCGAATCTACATATTCCAAAAATTTGGTAACCTTCTTCCCATCATCGGTGAAATGCAAAATCAGCGCGTATTCGTTTGCATACGGCCCAATATCAGTTTCGGCTGTACTCGTCGCATGCATGATACACGTATGCGCGTCCGCATCATGCACTGCTGTGTGAACGGTAACCTAAGGCGACGTCAGTCGCTTGCAAGTCTCCTAAGCAGAAGTTCTGTGTGCGTTACAGTGAAGTTCCTGAAGCACGGCAGTATTTGATTGAGGCGTTCGCGGTATTCGCTGTTGCTCATACTTGGTCGCCCCATAGATGCAGGAAGGACTTGTTGTTTACAGTCTGGCGCTCGAAAGGCTAGTATCTTCTCCATGTCCCATGCGTTGTATGCATCGAGGACTGTTTGGGTCGTTGCTTTTTGTGTGGCGAGGGTGGACATCGTACCTAGGTCAGATGATCAGAGAAGGAAGATGTCAACAGTGTTACAATGATGAATTGCTGTGCTGTGGTACTTGTTATGTGTTACGAAACTTACACGAGGTTATCTGCATGTATATGTATGCTTGACTACAACAGGCCGCCGGTAGCGAGAAGCGGGGTTGACAGACGGGTGGTCATTTACTGGTAGTGGTCACGCCCTTGCCAGCGTAGATTAATCTTCAATCTCGTATTTTCTTCTAGAACCTACAAGTGCATAAAAAAGATAAACAGCAAGAACGTTACTGGGGTAAGGTGGGTGTCTTCGAGTCACAAGAAATAAGAGGCGGCGGCCTCATTAAGACATATCTACGAGGCATAAGATAGACACATAGATTAGTTAGTTTTCTGTTTCAGGCCCAAGAGGTTGTCAACCTGATCATACGAAGATTAATTCATGAATCAGGAAACAGGTAACAAAACAGTATCAGTAAAAATGGCTGAGTGAATGAGAGCTGATGTAGCATGGTTCTCTCCGCCACCTTCCTAAGTGGTGTAGTTATTCACACGACCTGGTCGCCCCCCGCACACTCTTCCGTACATGCATTAACCCGCACTTGAGGAGCAACACAGAACGGCTGCGACGACAGACATGTACGCGCAGCCCGACTCGACGGCTTTGGAGAAAGTACGTTGTAAACACTGCGCTTCCAACAACTGCACGTCTCAGTCCATTTGATACATATCCACGAGAACACGTGGGTACAGTCACGTGGTCCCATCTTCCTGGTTCCCGGGCCTCCAGGCCTAGTTAGCGCGTGTTCGAGTCCGGGGGTTCGACCCACTTGGTGCCAGGACATGCCCAGCGTAATGTACAGTAGGCCGAACCAAGCCTTAGAATATGCGATACCGGAGTGAACGAGAAGATGTTCAGCAATCTTGATGTTTATCTCGTATTTACCGGGTCCCACGATGCAACCTCGAGCGGGACCGAACTCACGAGGCAACCTTCCGTCATCGGCATGTTCGCCATATCAAACGCAATTGATATCTTATTCCACGATCTTACAATAGAAAGCAAATTATCTTGTAGCGCTACAACAAATTGAAGCATCTTCTAGTACTATCGCAGCTACTCTACACAGGCTGAAGAAGAAAACGCAAAGCGCCAGAACGGGCTTTCGTCGGAGCTATTCAAAATTGGCACTGCGGACGTTGGTGATCAGTATAACTAGGTGGAGGCTCCCTGGAATTCGAACGAGATTCATTACAAAGTTGTTATCAGCAACCGCAAACGTCTGCCACCATGGTGAACCCTACTTCAGTGCTCGTTGCAGCTTGCTTGCTCTTCAACCCTCTTGCCACTGCCTCAGGAGGGAAGAGCGAGCACGACACTGAGTACTCTCACAGGTGATACTCTGCCCCAGCTACCTGTAGAGACTATAAGACTAACTTTCCGCAGCTACTCGGTGCCAACCTCATACAGCAACATCACCTCCATTCTTGAAAAGATCCAGGCGCGTGGCTACCTAAAAGTCGGCACCACTGGAGACTACAAACCGTTCTCCTACAAAGTGACAAACCGAACAGCTCTGCCTGCTACGCCAACCATCAACACCACTTACATCGGTGCCGATATCGACTTGGCGCAGTCGCTTTCGAACTCTCTTGGCCTCTCACGTCCAGTTGAGTTCGTTCCTACTATCTGGGCGAACCTCACAACGGATCTTGCAGCCCAAAAATTCGATGTCGCTATGAGTGGCGTCAGCATTACCCTAGCCCGTGCACAGAAGGCCTTCTTTTCCACTGCAGTTCAGCGTGTGGGCAAGGCCGCATGCGTGCGGTGTGCGGACCTCGCCAAGTTTTCGTCTCTGGCAGCTATTGATACTGCAGGTGTTAGAGTCGCTGTTAACCCTGGAGGTACAAACGAGGCCTTTGACCGGGCTAACCTGAAAGCGGCTACTATCGTGTTGGTGCAGGACAACAACGCCGTTTACAAAGCTGTCATGGACGGCGATGCCGATGCCATGATCAGTGACATCATCGAGGTCGAATTGCAGGTTCGGTTGCACCCGGAAGTTCTTTGCATTGTTAACCCGAATGCGACTTTTACGTTCGAGGAACTGGGTTATATGGTCGGACGAGATGTTGTGTGGAAGCAGTATATGGATCTATTCGTACACATTCAGCTTGGAAGCGGTGGTTGGAATCAGACTCTGGCGAAATGGATGTCCTATAAATGGCCCTCGGTGTAGACAAGTTCTCAGGAGTTGGGATACAAAGCGACATCCGCCAAGTTTTATTCTCCGCACGATACATCCTACAGCGGTTCTGACCTCAGGAGGAAGTTATTTTCAGCGCAACATTGACAAGTAAGATTGCAAGAGCAAATGGAACAAAAATCTGGCCCCACTCGAACCAAATGACTGGCTTGACTTCTGTCTCAATAGAGGAGCCAACTAGAGGCGCTTTCACATCAGTGTCTGCTGCAAAACGTCCGTTCACCTGGAAGTATTGCAGTAGTTCATCTTTTTCCCGCCAGCGAGCTAGCAGCCACTTCTCGAAACTAATTTCATCGTGGATAGGAATATCGGAAAGGCGAAAGCGACGCCAGTGCATGTTGACGGAAGTGGGAAGACGTCCTTGCGGGTAAGCACCGTGAAGTGAAAGCACATCTTGACCGTAATAGCCGGATCTATAGCTTGTTAGCGAGACAATTTTGTGAAAGGAGAACGACAAGACAACTCACGGAATGCCTCCATAAGCTAAAATACAGTCGTATAAGTACTCAACCGAGCCCTCTAGCTCTGTTAAACAAAACGCAAGACCAGTACTGCGTGGAAGCAAACAGTGCCTCATATCCATGATACCCTGTTTATCCGCCCATTTGCGGCTCGTAGCCCGCCCGTTCTTCGATACATTTGTACCTTCGGGGAATATCAACAACCACATGGGAGTAAGACTTGCTGAACTTGGTCCGTTGTAGCCAATCTTAAGTTTGTCCAATCGATGCTTGAAGCGCATTTTGTCTACGGTCCATCGACGGGACAACAATATGAAGCTATAGAACTTCATAGCGCTGCCAATAAGAGGCACGTATTTGATAGATTCCTTGAGGGTGATGAAAAGATGGCCATGCATGGACGCCGTATAGCTAATCCACCATAGATATATCCAATCAGTGTAGATCTGTACCACATCAGCTCTACTCTATGTTGGTATCATAGGTACAGACCTGATGGTTCGATATGAGCACTATTCGCTCCGGAAATTCACATTCTAGCCTTCCATCTACAGTTTTCTTTAGCTGCCCTCGAACACTAGAATCGCCGCTCACTACTACTTCTACTGGTATCCACCAGTAGGTCATAGTGGTCAAGACGATACCGAAGTGCTTCTTAGTCATCGCCATCCAGGAGTAATATGCAGCTCTGCTGTAAACGTATAATGGCACGCCGATAAGTTGCGTAAGAGAAATGCTGTAAATGAGGATTTAGAAGGTTGCAAGCGGCTACCGGAGAAGCTACAGAAATACGTACACCACTATACTCACACTTAGATACAGGGCGAGTGGCAGGATACGAAGAGTCTGTTGCAAGACTCCGCGTCCTCTTTCTCCATCAGAGTTGTTTAGTTTGCTTGTACACTCTTTGTCCCATTCTGTGTGAGACTCAGCAATGTCGAACGCGGATGCGGACTGCTGCTGCTGCCGCTCCGAGTATTTCGTCGTCATTGTGGAAAAGACCTCGAGCGTGTGCGTAGTGATATGCAGACGAAGAACGTATCGGGAGACCGGCAGAAATTCACGTAGGCAGCGGTCTACTGTATAGATATATTAGTGAGTGATTTAGTCGCCCGGGAGCATGATTGTAGTAGACTGACTTGACTAGGCAGTCAATTGCCCAGTCGAGTGCGCGCAGTCCTCCACGCAGGCAGATTATGCATGAATCTACCCCACTTCCGCATACAGTCAATGGTTTACAGTTCTAAAGTTAACAACACTAGGCTATACCGATCGCTCAAGCCCAGGTTGCACACAATATCGCAGATACGAGAATACGTTACACATGAACATCTTGAGCGAACGTCGTTGGGTGGTTCAGTTAGGAGTCTGCGTGTTCGTGCGAATCCTCATACAGTCACCAGCAAGGCTGAAGAAGGAAGTGAACCGAAACGGGTGATTGGATAGAATGATAGTGAGCCACGTCTTGGCGAATACTGTGGTAACACCACAACTGCTGCCTTATCGCACGTCCCTCATTCGTCTATCATTGGTATGGTCCAATGCTGTGAATCGTAGTGTTACTAAAAGTACCTAGGTACCTAGGTGACTTACAAGGGTTTGATGCAAGACTGTGCAACTTCGTTTATTTGAATGGTATCAAGGTACATACTCCGTAACGAGAGAATAGTAGTTAATCAAAGAACATGCACCCCGCCATGACTTGTACAGCAGCTCTCCGGCCTCCGCGATCTTACATCTCCTATCCAACATAACCTGCTGAGAAGGAAAGAGATGAAACGAATGACAAGAGCAGTGCTCTACTTGGGTAGATCATCTACCATGAGCGGTTGATTAGCGGCATAGGGGTTCTCGTTGGCTAAGAGCAAGTTGTATGGATTAGCCAAAACCCCAAGAATGCTAACATACCACCGTGAACGAGTTGCCACTCTGCATCCATTGACAAAGATATGACCATCAATCTCTACCTGGACATCCGATCCATCTTCTAGCTTCAATTTTAGTATACAGCACACTGATTGATGTGCTTCCTCAAGCGTCGACACGATGACATGGATCATGGGTTCCTCTTCTGCAACTCGGCGAACCATCCAGCCAGCTATGGCGCGGCCGAAAACTCCTGCGCTAAGGACAAGAGTGAGGGCTAGAACAGTCATGGGAAGGGAGACGAGTGTGACAGAGGCGAACATAGCTGTGCCTGTTATGAAAACGGCTATACTGATGGATTTGCTCAATAGACGCCAAAAGGACGCTAGTGAATCACTTCCAACGACAGAAACCATGACAAGCACAGCATTTTGCGACTCTGTAAATTGTGTCGAGCCCAAAACCGACACTTTTGCGGCTGGCATCGTGTACAACTGGTTCAAGGCTAGTCCGACGTTTTCAGGCTCACTTTGAGCCCTTTGTAAGCCGTTGAGGACAGATTGGCCCCCGCTCAAAGCGATCTCGTACGGAACACCCGACACGTAGAGCTTGTGTTGTTTGAGGAACGGAAGCTGTACGATGTTCTCCGATATCGCCGTCAGGGTGACTAGTTGAAGGAGAACAATTAGCACGATTCTTGTTTCGGATGGCTGTACCAAGGTAGAGATCATACCCATGAAATACCACAAGTGCATCCACCAGCGGCTGCCACACCACCATGGAATCACCCCACCCTGCTCTACTACTACCATTGCAGCCTGGGAGCCCACGAATAGCAATGCCATGGCCAGAAATCCGGTGGAAAGGAACCATTTTCCCGGGCGCATGCGCTTCGATCGTGCTATCCGATCACTAACCCTTTGATCAAGCAGATCTAGTTTGTCTCTGAAGGAAGACCCATTAGATTCCCCGAAAGACGACCTGAAGCTGACGATGCTACCGATTGCAATGTTGCGTTTCTTCATGACGTTTTCATAATCCTCCACACGGATTGGCATAATGGCACCGCCGAACGAAAGGGCCATTGCGAGAGCTCCACCAAAAGGTAATATGGTTAGAAGCGTCCAGACTTCGTTTGTAGGTGCCCCAAGAAGCGCACCGATTGTTGGAAGTAGAGCTAAGACTCCTGCAGCTCCGCCATACTCGGCTTTCCGCAGCTCGATGAGGTTGTCGAGAACTTTCAGGAGGGTTTGGTAGCATACAGCGCCTTCGCCACTCCTTCGTATGCATATACCTCTCTCCATCCACGGTGTCATGCTGAACTTGGCTTGCGAGTTCCCGACATATCTGTCCGGCTCGGTCGTGCAAAGGATATCATCGGCAGACGTCGAAGACAACAAGTTAGAGCAAACAATGAAGAACACGGAGGTGTAGCGTTGGAAAATGTTCCGGAAAGATTGCGAAGTTCGCATATTCGGAATACTCGATGAATGTTGTAGTGGCTTCCAATTGAAGATGATTGAAACAAGATAGGTGACTGTTAGAACAACTGTCAGCTAATGGGAAGGACAACTTCTTGTTTGCATTAGTCTGTAAAGATCAGCCTGATGAAATTGACTTATAGTCAGTTGTTTCCGTTCTGATACACTGGAAGCTCATCACGAGCAGGGAGTTCTGCAGGCCGGAACCAGCATCACATCCTCAAGTTTGGGTGTGGGGGCAATACAAGCCGTAAGCAGCCACACGTGTGAGTTTGCCACAATTTTGACAGTTGAACCACTAACGCCTTTACCCCCGAACCCTGATTTCAGTTGTGATAGCTCATCTGCTTTTGGTTCGCATAAGTACGCGCAGCTGACATCTACATGCATGCGCCTTTCCATTTCCGGCGATGTCTGGACTAGTCTTAACGTGCAAATCTTCGTCCGATCGCATACCTATACATCTTCTTACATAGGTGATTACATCTGAGCCGCTTCAACTGGGTTCCAATCTGAATCCGGCGATGTCTGGACAGGCCGTGATGAGCCTGCTCACTTCTGATTGCACTTGCATATACACACCCACGCGCGATTATGATCCAACCCTCTCCCCCTATTGCGCCTTCATCTATCTTTGGCGTTTTCTTGGACTGATCCTGAAGTATGAGATTGTGTCTGATTCTATGCGTCTGTACGTACAAGTAACCACACAAAACCTTGGGGGTCTCGCATGAACCCCTTTCATATTTCGTAGCCTCCTGGTAACTAACTTCTACACCATAAATTTAACCCCCAAACTATCACCAAAGAGAACGTATCTGTTTATCTTCCTTTCGTCATTCGAGATGGACAAAACCACCAAGCCTAGCAGACTGCTTCACTTCAAAGACCTGGCACCGTGGCGACAAGACAACGAGTACATTCATCGAGGCTACCGGCCCTTGTCGAACTCTTACACCAAGTCGCTACATAGTTTGATGTATATCCACAATCAAACGGTCAATATCTACACACATCTGCTTGGCTTTATCTTGTTTGGAGCTTCGGCTTACGTTTTCCGACATACCCTGTATGCGCGTTACAAGACCGCGTCGTTCGAGGACGCCATTGTGTTTGGTTTTTTCTTCGCCGGCGTGTCCGCCTGCCTGGGGCTGTCTTCCGCTTTCCACACTTTCTGTAATCATTCGGAACACATATACGAACAATGGCTGGTCCTCGATTTCCTTGGTATATTATGTCTGATTTCAGGTAGCTGGGTTCCGGGTGTGTACAACGGATTCTATGGCCAGAGATCAACGACAAGATTCTACTTGATTATGGTATTTAAGTGATGATCGTGTTAGACGAGGCTATACACTGACACTTCGTGATAGATATTCACGCTGTCTGCCGTGTGTGCTTTGGTCTGCTTGACACATACCTGCCGAAGACCGGAGTGGACACACTTTCGCACCATTATGTTCTTGTCGCTTGGAATATCTGGTTTTCTACCTATGACATACGCTCTCACAGAGTTCGGCCTTCGACAAGCACACGAGCAGATGGGGTGAGGATGGTTCATGTTGGAGGCAATCTTCTACATTTCTGGCGCAGTGGTGTACGCGAAGAAGCATCCCGAAAAGACACAGCCAGGAGCGTTTGACATAGTCGGCAGCTCCCATCAAATCTTCCATGTCTTTGTACTTCTCGGGGCTTCTTCGCACTTCATTGGGGTACTCAAGGCCTTCGACTACAACCACAGCCCACTTACTCGGATGTGCTAGATTAGAGAATTTGCGGAAATCATAGAGACCACAGCATTTACCGTGGTAGCTGGGGGATAAACTGCTGATAACTAGACGATTCTGTTATATTTACTAGAGGAACTAATATATTGATCCTTGGTCTTGAGAGTCACGACCGTATATTTTAAGTTAATTGCAACGATCTAAGCCGCGCAATAACAAAAGAAGCGGAACCACAAGCCGGTTCTAGCTCAAGAGGAAGCGGATAACAAGTCAAAATGCTTGAACCTAAGATACCGGGAATAAGACTCGGCGTAGGCACTAGGCTTGACCAGCGCTCTACTCAGTAGTAGAAGCTTCTCTTATTAGTCTGATACGAGGCCTCATAACATCTTCCCAACGTGACTGAAATTTTTGACAATGGGGACGATGATCTCTGCGCTCGCCACCTAGTGACAAGGCTTAATGCATCACCAGACGGAGTTGCACCTCTATGCCACCGTTCCCTACGTCCCATTTAGTCATAGAACCTTTTGGTTACAACTCACCACTCTTGTCTCGACATTAAGTGTAGTTAGAATAGAGGCAACAAATGGCCATACCCAAGACGCAGGAAGCCGCACAGGTGGCCTCAGATGCTCTTCTGCCGCATCAATCTCTCAGTGAAGACAGTAACTCTACCATCCAGTTCATCCATAGCGCGTTTGCCGACAGCAACGACTGGGATCTTGTCGTGCCCTATGTCCGCGGCTACCATCTTCTTCTCTCAGACTGCCCTGGACACGGCCATTCTTCACACATATCGTTCTCTATCGAAGCATCTGCAAAGCACATTGCCTGCCTTATAGAGGCACAAGCCATCGGTGGTCAAGCCCATATTGTTGGCTACAGTCTTGGTGCATCTATTGCAGTTCGCCTTGCCGCGAGCCACCCTCATGTTGTTCGCTCCCTGTTCGTGTTTGGGTATAGCGAGACTCCCGTTTCCAGTGCTCTGTTATTATCTTACCTACTTTGGAGTTCAAATTGCGTAGAGAGTGCGGTTCCACGACCTTTCTTTGCTGGCTCATGGACAGTACTAATCTTCGTCGCACATCTAGTGCTTCGTTGTCGCTTTGTACACAGATTGCGCATATTGATAGCGGTGCGGAGCGACTGCAGCCGTGGTCTGCACGAACTCTGACTATTGTGGCAGGGAAAGGTGGCCTTGTCCCCTCGAATGATAGCCCGAAGGCCGCCCGAAAACTCGTCGAACTAGGGAATGAACATGACATTTAAACTTCTGCTTACACACATCCATCTATGAGACATCTCTGGAATCGGCAAGACCCCTCCCTCTGGACTGCAACCGTCGTAGCCTGGGTCTGTCTTCACTGGCTGAGTCAAATGACATCATCTGTCCTGTACAAAGACACAACTCGAGATCATTGAAAGACTTCTCATTGTTGCTGCTACTACGTGCGGAATACTTGCAGCATCGAGATTATTGCGACTGACGAAGCGGAGATGAGTGATGCAATCTGGAGCGTTTTATTGAAGGAGCGATAGTGGCGGGTATGTGAAATTACACGTGAGATTGCATCAGCATGTGCGAATCGCGGAGACCGCGAGCTTGCATGAGCAGAGATAATTACGGAGCGACTTTACAGTAGAAGCAGTGAATGTGTTTCTTGCTGAGGTGTGTGCACTTGGCTGTAGAGTGGCGAAGCGCGCCTGTGGTGGCTGGTGTGTAGGTCTCCTGTTCAGGCGACGATGGCGCGTGGCTATGGCTGATGTGATGGCTGTCGGGTGCTGGGGCTAATGATCGACTCCCAAGGTTAATCACGCAGGTCTCTAAGTCCAGCACAGTTTCTAGACCGCGCAACGACCAGCTACCTGCCGATCGCATAACTTGAACACAAAGGCAGTAGGTGGCGTCGTCTTGATAGACTGTCGCAAATGTCTGACTCCCTAAGGGATGATCTCATAATCACAACAAAGCAAAGTCAGACTGTTGAGCAGCAACAAATGTATTTCGGGCCTACAATATACGAAGGGACGTCATCCTTCAATGCAGCACTTGGTCTCTTTGGGCAGCTGCAGTTGTCAAATTCTCATCTAGTGGCCGAGCATCTATTTTTACGACAACGGGGGGCGGCACAGCCACGCAGGTACCGTTCATGGGGTCATCGGAGTAGGCTACCAAAGTCGCTCTGATGATGAACTTGTATGATTCTCCATGCACAAGAGGGGGTTAAGAATAGTGAAAAATGACTTTGTGCATGGAATGAAGCGTCGCGCAGTTGTCCAACTCTCCAACGAGGACACGATGGTTGACTTGGCGACGGTCTCGAGTGGGACCGGGGTAGTTTGATAGGCTCGCCTTGCACGGGTAGCATTCTTCAGCTGCCATGAATACGACAGTAGTGGGTGGTGTATTTGCATGTGAGGGCAGTATGTCTCGTAGTCGCAGTACAACAAGATAGCCAAGGGATAAAAAGCAGCTTGTTCCCCAGCTCGCGCAAAAGTCCCTGACAGTCCCTGACAGTCCCAACATCAGCCCCAACCCCATCCCGTCGTGTTCTCGAACGCGGCCCAACAACCATCTTCCTTCGATAGCGTCGGATCCAACGACTGCGCCATCGCGGGATTAATCCAGGCTAGCGCCGCGCGTCCCTTCCTGATTGGAGTGAGCCCCCTTGGCTGTTGCCGCACGGTTTCAGAAGAGAGGCAGAATACCGGCTTCAGCACCTCGTCCTCATTTCAACAACATCGCTCGCTCGTTCGTCAATCGTTTCACATTCGCGTCCCTCGTAACTGCCGACTCGACTCCAAACCCTCTTCCCAGGCTCGCCACTCCATCCATTTGCCCGTTCACTGCGACGTTTGCCTTTGTTTCCCGTCTTCATCAGGCACGAGAAAGGTTGAACCTGCGGCCGACTCCCGTTTAATCTACTGCTTGCTTCTTCGTCTACTGCATCTGTGCTTACCAGCAACCACCCACGTATACGAGCATCCCCCGACACATCGCTCCCGCGACCCTCACTCGCTATCGAAAGTCGCCCTCCCGGAACGCCCGCGGGCGCAAAACATCAATAATGCGGCCTCACGCGACATACTCGGCAATGCTCGCACCCTTCTTATTACTGGCATCGGCGCCATTGGGCGTACTGGCCGCCGATATCCTCAAGACCAACGGCTTCAGCTCCTGTTTGGACGGTACGGGTGACATCAAAGTCAACAAGCTGAACATCGAATTCGACCGCTCCACCAAGAAGGTCAAGTTTGATGTATCCGGCACCAACGAGGTTGAGCAGAAGGTCATGGCAACACTCACCGTAAACGCATACGGTCGAGAGCTGTACAACAAAGAGTTTGATCCTTGCTCTGGCGAGTACAAGGTCGACCAACTATGTCCAGGTACGTACACGCCCTAGCTGCGTCTGGCTCTTATGTACGCTAACGCATAGCAGTTCCCAAGGGTACCTTTGGTGCACAGGGCGAGCAGAGCATTCCCGATAGCATCATGTCGCAAATCCCCAGCATCGCCTTCAACATACCCGACATCGACAGTCAAGCCAAGTTGCAGCTCAAGGCCATAGACGGAGGCAAAGACCTAGCTTGTATCACCTCACAAGTCAGTAACGGACAGTCGCTGTCGACCGCAGGCGTACAATACATTGCCGCTGGAATTGCCGGAGCTGCCTTGGCCGTTACTGGACTGGCTTCGCTCGCTGGTGCTGGACATGCTGGTGCCCCACAGTCCAGTCCCACCTTCGGCGACGTTATCGGATGGTTCCAGGCCATGGCTTTGAACGGCATGATGAGCGCTGACGTTCCCGGTGTATACCGCAGCTGGTCCCAGAACTTCGCCTTCAGTACCGGTCTTATCTATTGGGAGGGCATGCAGCACTCTATCGACAACTTCCGTGCGAGCACTGGCGGCAATCTCACTCAGAGCAGTGTCGAATTCCTCAAGAACGCTACCCTCGTACATGTGGACCAGAACATGACCTTGACTAAGCGCAGCTTCGACCTCCTATTCGCTCGCGACGAATTGAATACGGACATCAACGGTACTGCCGAGGAGGATGGCGACAACAAGGTTATAGTCTATGCGAAGAACATGCAGGGCTTCATCCAGGAGTATACAATTCCTGACCGTAACGCCTTCATGACGGTGCTGCTTATCTTTGCCATTATCATCGCCGCCATCACCGTCGGTATCCTTCTCTTCAAGGTCATCCTGGAAACCTGGGCCCTGTTCGGCAGCTTCCCGAAGAAGTTGACTAGCTTCCGTAAGCGATACTGGTGGACTCTGGCCAAGACTATCACCAACTTGATCCTCCTACTTTATGGCATCTGGGTTCTCTACTGTGTCTACCAGTTCAAAAACGGTGACTCATGGGCTGTCAAGACACTTGCTGGTGTTACTCTAGCCGCATTCACTGGAGTCCTGGCTTTCTTCACCTGGAAGATCTGGAGCACTGCGGACAAGTTCAAGAAAATGGAGGGAAAGCCCGATGCTCTTTACGAGGACAAGGAGATTTGGCGCAAGTACAGCATGTTCTACGAGAACTACAAAAAGAGCTACTGGTGGATCTTCGTGCCGGCTATCGTCTTCCTGTTTGCTCGTGGTTGCGTTATCGCTGGAGCAGATGGCCACGGTCTCGCACAGGCTGCTGGTCAACTCATCGTCGAATCACTTCTCCTCATCATGCTGCTCTGGGCTCGCCCATACACACTCAAGTCTAGCACCTGGATCAACATCACCATCTCAATCGTTCGTGTCTTGTCGGTTGTCTGCATTTTGGTCTTCGTCGAAGAACTGGGTATGAGCCAAACAACCAAGACTGTTACCGGTCTTGTGCTTGTCGTCGTCCAGGCTTCCCTCACTGGTGTTCTTGCTATTCTTATTGCCGTCAACGCGATCATCATCTGCTGCAAGGAGAACCCCCACCGCAAGAAGAGAAAGGCAGCTGGTAAGTCTTGCCCTTCCCGTAATCTCCAACATGATCTAACAGCCACTTCAGAGAAAGCCCGCGACCTCGACAACCTTACCCCTCTCGACGCACGAAACTCGTTGCTCATGGATCCCCAAGAGTACAAGCGCACATCGCTTCCTTCGCCATTCGGTCCCCGCACTGCTGGCTACGATCGTGTTCCTCTCGCCGACCAAAATACTGCATACAACGGTCCTGGTGGTCGCTCCTTTGGAGATGACCAAGGGCACCTACTTGCTGATGCATCCACTTTCGGCCGTACACCAACGCACGAGCGAAACATCAGCCGTGACAGCAGTCCAGGGCCCGACCCGGAAGTTGGCTACCACCAACCACCTGGCTACGTCTCCAACGCCCCATGGCAACCTCAACAACCACGAGGTAACAATGGCGGCTACGCATACTAAAGCCAATAGCCTCAACTGATCTGAGAGCGAAGACCTAGACAGGCGAACTATCTCACCACCTAGGCATAATCTCCTTTTGTTTTGTTTATCCATCTGCATCGCAGTGGTCGTGTTTGACAAACCATAGAGCGGTCAAATCACATACAAAGTCATCTCTCTTGCATACGGGCTGGGCCATATCTGCTCACAACGCCCGTGATTTTTACGAATCTTTCCTTGTGTTTATTTTTAGTATCTGGTGGAAAGGAAGATCTGATACAAGCTCTTGTAATCTCACGCAAAGCGGTAAGCCTGGGGCTCGCGCACACATACAACTGTCTATTCTGCTATCGTCAGGTGGAGTGAAGGAGATGGGAAAGGAATGGAGTGTGGAATTGGAATTGGGAATGTGAAATAGGATGTAGAGAAGATGTGAATACCAATACCCAACTGCTATATGTGCGACTCTACCCGCTGGTGACATCTGCCCAAAGGACGCAATATCTTGGGGCTCCGATGAGCTCGGGAGTGGTGAGGACATTGCCCAGAGCAGGGAGGTCCAAGGCACGTGCGATTTTAGCTTTCGCCGATAAGCTCTTCGCTGCAGAAAGCTGCGAGCTGAACACCTCTGCAGCACCGTCGCCCCAAAATGTTGGGACGACTGCGCATGCGCCACCCCTGAACCAATATATCTTAGCGACATATCACCAGAATTAAACGTCTGAACAGAGACCGCTGTTTCCCATAAGACACTCGGCAACAGCCTAAGTAGCTTTGTACCTGCAGATCGCCCGATACTGTTTTCCAATCCAGAACCGTGTCCCACACAAAAAGATGCGCTTTTTCCGCCGAACGCCTCCGGCTAAGTCGATCTCCCGCGGATTTGCTTTGGGTTGTCCCTTTGTGGCACGCCCACCAGGGCTTGGGCCGCTTGTACCTGCGTCACGACCGCACTATTCTGGGCGGACGGTAGAATCTAGCCGGCTACCAAGAGCCGGTTTATCTCTAGGACTGCTCTTTTCGATATGCTAACGTGCATGGTGCAGGTGTAGCGCGGGATGATGTGGGTTATAGATTATATCGTTATCTCGGTACTGCGAGTTTCCTCTCAAGTAGCTTGTGGTTTTGACGTTTGACGGCGTTGGGAGCTAACTCGCGCAGGTACTATTTGGGGAGAAGGGAAACCCTTTTTGAGTACCTAGGTATTCATTCTCTTCTTCTCTTTTAATCCCAAGTTCCTGGGTTGGGTGCACAATATCCCGCTCGCTAATTCCCCGTCCGTCCTACTCAAGTCGCAAAGGCGTTTTTGTGGCTTGCGTTACGACTCGCTTTCGACTTTCTCCTAATAGCTTTGGGTTTTTTCTGGTAGCCGAGCTGTCTAGAAGAGAAGGAGATTTTGTGAAAAGCATTCTTACTGCGTTTCCTATTTCATTGCCTTCTGTTTTCTACGTTACCTTTGCACATTTGCGACGAGCGAAGTGGGATTTTGAGGTGTCCCTGAGTAGTGACATCCAATCGCGCGACGACAGAACAATCGACATTGGATCTATTCGCTACCTCTCCTTATACCGCTGGTACCGAGTACCCTAGTCTAACTTAGACAAAAGTCGATATTCTACAACGTTGCATTCCGAAGCATTCCAGTGGTCAAACCTCACAGCAACGATGCGACGCACCGCCCTCCTCTCCGCCGCAACAGCGGTCCTCACCAGCACAACAACCGCACAGTCCACAGCATCAACATCTTCAAAACGCGGTCTCGTCTACGTCCCCTCCGAAGACCACCCCTCTGACGACCAGATATGGACAACCGGTCCGTCACCACCAACATGGTACTACAACTACCAAAAAGACCCCTCAGCAGCCTATGCCAACAACCCAGATATGCAGTTCGTCCCCATGCTCTGGGGCGCTAGTGACAGCGACACTGGAACCCCCTTCCTCGACTCAGTCAAGAAGCAAATCGCCGACGGAGCGAACATAACCTACGTCCTCGGCTTCAACGAACCGGACGGCGGCCACAGCACCGGCGGTTCCAACCTCGCCGTCACTACAGCTGCCGCTCGCTGGAAAGCCGAAATCGAGCCATTGAAGGAGCTCGGCGTTAAACTAGGTGCGCCTGGTGTTACCGGCGCAGAGTCTGGTTGGCAGTGGTTGGAAAACTTCTACAACGAGTGCGATGGAGGTTGTAACCCCGATTTCATCCCCGTACACTGGTATGGCAACTTTGAGGGCATGATGAGCCATATTGGACGTGTTACAACCATGTGGCCTAATATGACGGTATGGGTTACCGAATATGGATACCCGAATCAGCCGCTCGAGGAGACGCAGACTTTCTACAACCAGAGTGCTCAGAGTTTTGACAGCTGGCCGTGAGTACATTTCATAGATGTTCATAAGGATGGGGACGTTGACTAACATGATAATCAGGAACATCACACACTACTCCTACTTCGGCGCCTTCCGCTCCGATGTTAGCAATGTGGGTGCCAACGCCGCTATGCTTACCCAGGACGGCAAATTGACGGATATTGGATCTTGGTATATGGGCGGTGCTGCTACGAACAACGTTCCTGAGGCTTCTGGTGCTTCTTCAGTAGGAGCTGCGCCAGGTGCTTTTGCCTTGAGCTTAATGGCTGCGGTGTGGGTTTACTTTGCCTGAGGCTGTGAGGGTCTGTGGCCTGGGATTTTGGCTTGTAAATTTTCTTGTACCGGTGAGATGAGATGGAAAATCACGCTTGGAGGCTTACGTGTATACCCCAGTAACTTTCTAAAGATTTGGCAGATAAGCAGTGGGTAAGATGCATGGAAGTCACGTGCTCTTCTCCAGTCAATTTCACTTTCGCAAAGATTCCAGTAGACTGTAGGTGAACACTAGATGCCACGCTATGTTAAAATTCGGATGTGTTACGAACCAGGGCCCTTGTGACTGTAGACAACTAATGCTCGCGTATTGTGCCGATGGTCTGGTCAGGTTACATTCTGGCATGTCAAGGCTGAGACCCTGAGGCCTTGACTGTCGACAATTATTGTAAGCACAGTGACTATTTCTCATTGCCATACTAATTCTGGGCCAGGCTAACACGTATTGCCCGTTGAAGTACTGTCCGTAGCATCGACAACCTATAACGTGTTTTATAAGCGAGTCGTCCTTACAAGCGAGTCGTCCACCCCACCAACTTTGATCACCTTTGAAGATCAAATCAGTTATGCCTCAACGCCAACAAGCTCTATTGCGCTCATCTGAAGCTGATATGCAGCTTACTATATCATCTCTTAATAGCCACCAGATCAAGACTGAGAGAGCTGCTGCTCGCGCGTTTAACGTCCCTCGAATGACGCTACGCGACCGACGCGCTGGCAGGCTTGCACGACGCGATTGCCAGCCCAACTCAAAGAAGCTTACCCAGCTAGAGGAGGAGGTAATTATTAGACATATACTCGACCTTGATCAGCGAGGATTTGGGCCTACGTATACAGCTGCGCGCGATATGGCTAATAAGCTGCTTGCTGCGCGTGGCGCAGGTCGCGTTGGCGTCCACTGGCCGCGCAACTTTGTCAAGCGTACAGACAGTCTTATGACGCGTTTTAATCGATCGTACGATAGGCAGAGAGCTCTATGCGAGGATCCTGTGCTAATCAGCCGCTGGTTTAAGCTGGTAGAGGAGACAAAGGCCAAGTACGGCATCTGTGATGAGGACGTCTACAACTTTGACGAGGCTGGCTTTATGATGGGCAAGATCCAGACTCAGCTAGTTATCACAGGGTCAGAGAGGAGAGGCAGGCCAAAGACTATCCAGCCTGGCAACCGCGAGTGGGTGACGGTAATTGCTGCAATCAACGCTGCTGGCTGGACAATCCCACCGTTCCTCATCTTTGCTGGCAAGTATCACCTGTCAGCCTGGTACGAGGAGGATATCCCACGCGACTGGGCTATCGCAGTTAGCGACAACGGCTGGACAACCAACGAGATAGGAGTAGAGTGGCTAAAGCACTTTATTAAGCATACTGAGGGCAAGGTAGTTGGAGCACGCCGCCTGCTTATCCTTGACGGCCACGAGAGCCACCAGTCTCTTGAGTTTCAAGAGCTCTGCAAGGAGAGCAATATCTACACGCTCTGCATGCCAGCTCACTCATCTCACCTACTGCAGCCTCTTGACGTAGGCTGCTTCTCGCCTATGAAGCGCGTACAGCCGTGAGATTGAGGCTCTAATGCGCTACAATATCAACCATATCACCAAGCTCGAATTCCTGCCAGCCTTTAAGGCAGCCTTTGATCGATCGTTCACCTTAGCCAATATCTGCTCAGCTTTTCGAGGCGCAGGCCTAGCCCCTCTCCAGCCAGACGCTGTTCTATCAAAGCTCAACGTGCAGCTGCGTACGCCTACTCCACCAGCTGCTCTCGCAGAGCTCCCTGGGAGGCTCGTACACCAAGCAACGTACGTGAGCTTGAGGCTCAATCAACGTTAATACGTGATCGCGTGCGGCAGCATAAGAGCTCATCACCAGCCTCGATTATTGAGGCGATTAACCAGCTTAAAAAGGGGGCTGAGGTGATGATGCTCTCAGCCGAGCTTATGCGCGATCAGATTACCTGCCTTGAGAGAGCCAACGAGGCAGCAACTAAGCGTAGGCAGCGCAAAAGAAACGGATACAGAAGCGTGGGACCTTAACAAAGGGAGAGGGAGAGGATATACTAGCTCAAAGGAGGCTGACCAGCAGATTGAGCGTGAACAGCGTCAAGGTGGTGAGCGATCAGGCCTTAGCCGCCAGGCTATTGCGCGCTGCAGGAGGTGCAGGGAGACTGGGCACAACTCACGAACGTGCAAAAAGGATGCTGTAGATACTATTTAATCTACTATATTAATCGCTTTGTTCTACCTTATTACGTTGTTGCGTTGCGTAGCTTTGAAGGTGATCAAAGTTAGTGGGGTGGACGACTCGCTTGTAAGGACGACTCGCTTATAAAACACGTTAACCGATGACATCAAGAAGTTGCTGCCATCGAAGAGTTGCTTAAAAGATCATAAGGCTGAATACCGGTGAGCAGCAGCATGCGCAAATGATACGGGTTAAGCTGGCCGGTCAGACTTATCTTCCTTAGCTTGTGGATATGGCGGGGCTGTGAATACCTTCGAGGCAGACCATAAGGCTCCTGAGGTCCTTCATGCATGTTGTGGGGCGGGTCTCCAGCGAAGGCCGGTGCTACCCCGCATCCAGTCGTGGAACTCCTGTCCCGTGACAGCAAGTATTGTAATGATTGGACGCCAATGGCGCTCATGGATGAGACTTGAAGGGATGTTGGTGTCTTAATAGTGGGCAGATCCCAGATCGCACAACTTGACTCGCGTTACCATGGCACCACAGTCGTCGGATGCCAGTTCTTTACAATCAACCAGTGGTCTAGTTCCTCCGGAAAACCCACGAAGCGGCGAATCTTCACGATTGCAGTTAGAGCGCAGTGGTGCGAACAGGGATCGAGTAGGGATCCAACTAAAGATACGAGAGTTTTACGACGAACGTGAGAAGACTCCACCGTATTGTGCGGAGGACTTGCCTTACGAGTCCAATCATGAACAAATTGGGGAAGGAGCTTACGCGAAAGTTTACAAGACTACGATCAAGGGAGGCTTCTACAATGCCGGGCAAGGGCCCATCTCAACCGTGAGCAAGTTCTTTGAGCTGTGCTGTGTATGTCTGACACGTTTCGCAGGAAGTGAAAATCGCACGAAAGGAATTTTCGGGACCGAGAGCAAAGGAGAACTTCCTGATCGAGAACAAGATTTGCCGAGCCTTTCACGAGCCAAAATCCGGTATCCCCAGGGTGATTGTGACCCCGTTGTTCAGCTACGCTATCGAGGACGCTGACGGCAATGTCAAATACAACATCTGCTTTGAGCTTGCGAGATGCAATTTGAAGACTTGGCTGTCGGACGACAAGAACTTTCCCAGTGGCAATAAAGTTGCAAGGATCGCGAACATCAAACGCATGTATGAACTTGCCTCAGGGCTGGAGTGGCTCACAAACACAATCACCTTTGAGAATGGGTCCTATGGACGCCAGAAGATCATACATCTCGACTTGCATTGGAGGAACATTCTAGTATTTGAGGGCAGCGATACCCGGGACAGTTTGATCTTCAAGATAGGCGATTTTGGGAACGCTACAAGAGGACGAGAGTTGGAAAACAGACAAAAATCTAGCGTCCCATCGGCTGCAGGCTTCCATGGTCAATTCTCCGCTCCCGAACCAAAGCCCGACGAGAGAAGTGATGTATGGTCTTTCGGATGCAACTTGTTGCTTGTTTTGGTTTTCAACTACTATGGAGTCAAAGGTATTAACGAGTTCCTTGCAAGCTTGCTACGGTACTCTTCTCGTGACTGGTTTTACGATAGCAAGACCGGTGCAGCGAGCCACGAGACCACAAGCTGTATAAAGCACCTTCGCCGGTTCGTCGAGAATGACCCCGATCGACTCGTCACCACAAAATTACTTGTCGTGCTGCAGGAAAGGATACTGGTGCCGTTGAAAGGACGGTGGAAGATTTCCCAAGTAGTGCAAGAACTTAGGGGTTGTTTAAACGAACAGAAAACCGTCGAGCCAAAGATCATGGTGAAGCAAAGAGAAGGACCCTATCAACACTGTGCTCATGCTCCCAAAGGGCGATTTGAGATGTTTCATCACCACGCAGAGAAATACACCATGAGTGTTTGGATCTGGAATAGTGGAATGGCCTCGGAACTACCATTCCTAGAGCCTATCGCTGCACCCCAGTCAGGACAAGCGAAAGATCAACCGAAGCGCATCTACCCCCACTCTTCTTGCTGCGGAGAAAGGCACATCTGCCAGGTCATCACAAATTCCGACACTCTTGAGGTTCGTAAGCTTCAGTTTGAGACGTCCTCGAAGTACTGACCGTCGCATAGGTGTTTCTGTACGAGGTGCCACAGAACGCCACGGAACCCGTCTTGAGAGACTTCGTCAGATTGACAGATACTAAGGAAGTCACACACGTCGCAATAGCACCAAGCGCTGAATACATCGCCATTGATGCAGATCGTAGATTGCGGCTTTATGAAACGAAGCAGCTGTTGGAATCCATGAAGATGTATGTATTTGTTTGTTCTAGTTATGATGAGAAGTGAACGTATAACGGTACTGACAGTACGGAAGGATTGACCAACTGTCTGGAAGCGGTACGGTTCCCGGTGAACTGTCACAAATTGGGGTCCGCAGTGACATGCTTGACCTCTTGTGCAGATTTGAAAACGAACGTAAGCAAGCCGAGGAGCAGACAGTGATACTCAGTTTCTCTCCCGACAACCGGTTTCTGTATCATGCGTACAGGACAGTATCCCCGGAATGTGGCAACAGCTCTTACTGCAAAATCACCGTCAAGATTTGGTGTACCGAGGATCCAACACGACCACCACTAGAGTTTTCAAGAGACAAGGATGTAAGTCTTTGTTCATTTTCATCCTTGAATTGATTAGGAAGTTCATCGTTAATGTTTTCTCACCCAGGATGTCGAAAAAGAAGAGTTCCTTATCGGTCTGACACCGTTCAACAAAAGCCAAGAGGTTTTGATTGTTACCTGCTACGACAAACTCACCCGTCACACTTTCGATCTTGACGGTAAGGAAACTCCCCGAGTTGTCATCGACATTCCAGGAGATAAGATCGAAGCCATCCTGATCTCTCCAGATGATGACTACGCTGTCCTTCTGGGTCGAAGACGGACTCTGAGTGTACATGTGGTCGACCTTAATGAGGGCCAGCTGTGCTACTCAAATGAGCTCAAGTTGTCGAAAACGCATATTCCTACACATGGTTTCAATCGGCATCGCGACGCAGCAAGCATCATCGATCGCGAGACCTTGTTAATTACCTATCAGAACGGCCTCTCGGTACATATTACTTTGAAACCCGCCTTGGACATGCTTGATCGTAAAAGGAAGTAGGTTTGAGCTCGTCTTATGGTATTACACGATCAGATCGAGGGACTGGCTGACCAGACGATCCAACAAGGTGGTGAATGGGAACGAAGGTCTTCAAGGCTTGGGTGTTCTTGCTGAGATTGACGACTCACTACAATCACAGAAAAGTTGAGGCATAGGTCCTGATAACTCACAGCCAAGGATGCGAAAGAAGTGACCTGACTTCAACGATCACGGGATCGCGATGATGCATATTGCGCAGTGCTCCTATTGAACAACCCTCCAATTAGCCGCACCTGAACTTCGCCGTCCGCGCAATATATCCCGTCTTCTTCATCGGCTTCAAAATAATAAAAACGTTTCGTAATGGCGTATGCGCATGGAAGCATGAGAGTCTACATAGTCAGCCACTGAATAACACAGAGCGGGGATGCCGGCTTACCATGAAAGCACTGCTGGAGAATTGTAGTCTAGTGGGGTTGTCGCGAAATGCTACATAATGACCACCTAGGAAAATGAGGAAACACAAGATGACTGCAATGGAATCACAACGTCGCGTGCATTTGTCGTTCTTGATGTCCTGTAACGAAAGGCTAGGCACGCCGGCATTTCTGTACAGTCCAACATTGCTCTCCACACTTTCAAGATTAGTATACACACTCCGATTTGATAGGGCTTGTTCAACTCACGATCCACAGAAGCACATATTAGTGATGATTTGTATTGCCCATACAATCAAGATAGCAGAACATACAAACTCATATATGGTACGGAGGATCTAAAAGCATTAGCGACTGCTGTGTAATTTATCTGAGGAGACTCACATTGGGCGTAGCGCCCGGCTTGAATAAGTTGGCCGATAAGAGCACAATCGGCATCAGGGTCGGTACCAAGACAGACACCCACGGCACATTGGACGCACTCTTTCGAGAAAGCCATGACCATAAGAAGACGAACTTGATGCGTCCATCGCTCGTATTACTGTCCCCGTTGGTTTGTCCCGAGTACTCTATTGACATACCATAGAGTGATCTTGACGCGAGGTGAAGAAAGGATACTTCAGTCGCCATACAAAAGGCAATGAACAGAATCTTCATCCAACATCCTAGACTCTCCGAGATTGCTTCTGAACTTGTAATGAAAATCGACGAAGTAGCGACAAAAAGTCCATCGCGATGAAGTGGCCAACTGTCCGTGGTTTGGGAGACGCCACCCGTGACGTATGCAGTAACGAAATGTAGCATTAGGGCCACAAAGAATGCAATTGTAGTTGGCTTGGTCAGGCAATCTTGATATAGAGGGGATACCTGATTGGCAGGCCACACAGAGTTAGTACTTGTCCAAACAGCGCGAACTTGTACTTACACGTTCTCCACTAAGCTTGGAGGGGACTTGTTGCTCGTCCATCATCTCTGGAGCTACCACGGACATGGCTTGCATGCCAAAACAGAGAGGACAAAGCATGAACATTGCATGCAATATTCGTATAATATACGTGTGCACCAAGCCCCCAGAGATGGCGGCATCCTCTTGCGACATAAACTTTGTTGGTCGGTATACGGTGGACTCCTCAATGTATACCATGATTAATCCAATCGCGATGACGACGAAACCCTTGAACCCCGTAAGCCCAATCTGGAAGCACTTGAACCAATTGTTTGGCATCAGGGCTAAAAGTACGGGAACAGTATGCGCGGTAACATTAGCGAAGAAACAACCAGCTCTGCCGAGTCCAAGAGCATCTATAAGTGTAGTTGCTAGTAAAGTCAAGCCAGTATAACAGCAGGCGAATACGGCGCAGCAAAACCAGCCCGTAACCACTCCAAGCCCAGCGTCGATAAAGATTTTCGGGAAATGAATGGTGCTGGATCGAATGCGCCAAATGGAAAGCATTTGCGCTTGGCCTCGGTTGATGGCAAATGCGACCAACCCCAAGACGAAGAGTGCCACCAGTGTACGGCCTCTTCCTACGCTTCTCAATACTGAGCTAGCGATGAAATAAGACCCTGGTTCAACTATGTTGTTGAATGTGACGCAGAAGAGATGAAGCGGACTGTATTCGCGTGGAAACCCGATTGTTCCCTTCGTACGTTGGGGAGCGCTATCTGACCCTTGCTCGAGTCGGATTGTGGTATCTTGGCGAGTGCTTTTGGAATCTCTCTCACGGCGAGGTAGGGTTTCGACATGATCCGCCATGTTCGTCGTTGAGTCAGCGGCTCGTGGTAAGGAAGTAGTGAGCGTTTCGTGAGCCACGGGATGGCGGCGTGATAGTCGGATTCGAAGCGAGGGAATATCGTATGCTGAGAAGTGGGTGTCAAACGATCGTGGTACGCTGTAGTCCTTTGGAACTACGCGAGCTGTTCTGCGTGCAGTGGTTGCGTGATGGTTGCATCGAGGAAAGAGCGGCCAATTCGTGGCTGGAGACAATCGGGCCGGCAACGGCTATGTGTGTAGGTCGCAGAGCACTTCTGAAGTGGTGGGTGCTGGATGTATGTACAATGAAACGAATGTGGGTTAAAAGCAGTGTTGTGACGATAGTTGGTTGAACGCTCAGGGAAGTTAAATGCCACGCGGGAGAGGCGAGGCGGGACGCACGTCACCGCGCCGGTAATATGCCGCAGCCCTATTCGGAAGTCAGCGCTACCACTGGAAAGCCGAAGCCACCCAGGGGATTGTCCGGAAAGTTCTACGGAATTACCACTGTACTACCACGATACTCGTTCGGCACTATACAAAATCCTACTCAAAGCTTCAACGAACCAGCGGGCTGTTACCGAGTTCGCTGCGCCCAAGAAAGATGCTGTTGGTGGGTCCGTGCGTAGGCGCCCCTGCGGCCTGCCGTACCACCCAGCCATTACACGCAACCACGTGAAGTCGCGGAAGAACCACGCAATGGACCTCTTTGGGCCATATTGCGGCCGAGTAACGCATCTCCTGTATCATGAGGACTGAATTGCATATTGCGCTCACTCTGGCTTATACAAAGCTGCCTTTGAAGCAAGTCAGGTTGGTGATGGCACGGCTTGCGCAGGCCTCATTCATGTTCGAACCATAATATCAGCTCAGCATCCTAGTCCAAGGGTCACAGAGATCGTCATCGTTACCATGCATCTAGCTTCGGGGTTCTTCGCGAACCCTCCAATTGCAACGCTAGATGATGCATACGGTGGATTGAATAAGGAGTTCATGCAATAATTGTTTTTGGCCTTCTACTCTTCCACTGTAGATGAGCCGAAGATGCGGGCTGCTGCGCCACAAACGCAGCGCCACAAACGCAGCGCCCCACTCGATCAGTGTTGACATTGTTAAATCGTCCCCGTTGCTGTTTCTGATACGCAGCAGAATCGCAGCCAGAATGCTTGGTAGCCTACCCTATCATTGCTAGGTGTTTGAGAGCGATGGTGTGCGAAAGACGCAAGGAGCGCTGGGCCTAGGTAGCTCCTTCTAGGTTCTTACCTAGGTAATATCTAGAAGATGTGACTTATGCGCTAGTTCTACACTGCACAAGCTACTGGGATGTATATGCAGTATAAAAAGACAGGGAATGGGGATTCAAGCTCTCCAAACTCCAACGTCTGCTAGTTATCATGCTTAACAGCATGCTCGGATATCTTCACTACGCCCAGCGCTTTATTTTGGTTGTCTAGCATGTCTTACACTAGAGACTCCTACTACGCGACCACATGGTAAGCTGCACATAACCGCACTTACGCAGTCGACTTTGCCAGATCCTGTACCGCCTTTGAGCGCACAGCACGACCGAGACTCCACCTCCAGTACCCAAGCGTCAGTAGAGTTAGCGGTATCGCTAATCCGAAGAACAGCCACACGTAGGGCGAAGAGGTCCAATACACTTCAGCATCGTCTCTCGAGGCAAAAAATCCCATTCCAAAGAATGTCTGAATAATGTTCAGTAAAGGAATCACATGTGAGACGCAGAGGCCAAGGTCATTTACTTACAGCCACGAAAGTAGACGGGAGATATACAAGCGTGACGAGGGTGATTACTCGCATCGATGTGCTATCCTCGGCTGCTGATTTGTTCAGTATCAGCATCTGATCTGACACCTTCTCCGTTGTGTGCTGGCTCTTTAGACTGATGGTGTCCGATACCTATCTTATAAGCTATGTTGGACCTGATGAGTGGATCGGAAACTTACAAGTTGGGTAGTGCTTCGTATCTTCTCTAAAACGAATGCTACGTTGGTCTCATATGCTTCAAGTCGCCGGCGCAGGTTACCAAGGATACCCCTCATCTCCGAGCATGCCTCTTCCGAGACCTGACCTCGCTGGAGGTATTGTTCGTTCAGGGTGCCTAGTTGACACACGAGTTTCAGCTGCGCGCCAAATATAGGACGAATTGTAGCTAGCCTTGTCTCGATGTAGTGAAGGTCTGAAATGTCTTTGTACGCATCTTGAAAGGGCATTTTGCTCTCAAAGTTGACAGTAAGTGCAAGGTTTGCCTGTTTCGGTAAGCTAGCATACTATCAGAAGTTGTGAGCAGCCTTACGAGCTCCCAAACCTCGTCTTCAAACTGACTGATACATAATCTCCAGTTGTGTATACGTGCCTGTATCAAAGACATGTGAAGTGACAGCGGATGATATACTACCTGCTCAGTGTTACAAGTCGAGCTCACTTCGTGCACCAGATTTCTTTCAGTACTGGTTTCGGTAGAGGGGAAGATCAGGATCCATGTATTCTGAGCAGCATGTGGATCGTAGCGATGATAGATACCGATCTGTCGCACGGACCAATCTGTCTTTGTCCTGGAGGGGTTTCTTGCCTCAGTGTATTTGAGGAGATAGGTTAACTCTACCACACATTAGCTACACAGTCTTCAGGAACATGATCGAGTTGATGATGCGGAATGTACCTATACAGCCCTTCACATCCGAGACCCACACGCTATCTGAATAGGCTTCTTCCAGCCGGTTTGTATGCCGGCGGAAGGAGAAAACTATTGGCAAGATTTCGGGAGTAATATCGTGATGTGCAATGATTTCTTGTAGCATTTCCTGGGGTATGTTGAAAGAAGCCCAAGAATATGCTTTACACATTGCTCTGGATATAGTTAGTAGTATCAAAGCAGGCTTTATGTATACACTTACATGATCCTCGTAGACCGGTCTTTGCGAGGGTGGCTTAGGTGGGTTTTGAGCGAAGCGATGTCGGACAGTGCAGTTATCTGCACATGATTCAGGTGTGATTCAATGTCTTTTGAAGTAGTTTTTTTTTTGGTTAGCACAGTCCAATTTGCATGTGTAAGAGACTGTAAACCTAGATTTCTCGTCCAGTCGAAGTCCCATATCTCGACCAAAGGCTGACTTTGCGAATGCGCGAGGTGGGGTAGTGTCTCGAACGTAGCTAATTCCATTCTAGCGATTCACCTCAAGTTGTTGGACGTTTCGAGGTCATTCAGCAGAGCGCAAGAGAATAGTTTAAGGAATTTGAGTAGCATAAAGGCTCTTATAGGAACAGACACAAGCTCGACAAATATGTATGTATGGCAAGTTTTCAACCTTGCATAGTTGCCAAGAACTCAGCCATCTCAGCCCCTAAACAGGCGAAAGCACCATGCGGCCGTACAGATCGCCCTGTCCGCCTATTTGCCTACGTTTCGATCCTCAGCCGGCCTACACACACAACGTTAGCTATGCCACTACCACCATAGCCGTTGATAGGTTCACTGACTCTATCTCTGTCGCTGTGAGCTTTTGTGGGGCTTTGTACGTCCAAAGATCTTTTGAAGACTAATGGGAAGTACATGATATTAGCTTGCGACATCATTTTTTCATACGAACTTACTGTGATTTCGAAGCTTGCCCGCGCGATGTCAGGGTGTTTCTTGTGTAGCACCCCGTAGAGCGCTTCCTCTGATTTGATATACTTGCCGGTAGTATACCTGTTCATTTTGTAGTTGGTTATGGAAGGAGAATAGATATGCTGGAATCTCAGTATGTACGCGACATATATAGTCTCTAGGTGCCATATAGGAACGCATCTACCTGTCCTCAGTGAAACCACGTCATCGGTCAATAGAGCTCGACAGATATGCTATCTTCAGCCTTGTGAGCGGGATATAGCCCAGTACCAAATCTTTAAAATCCGTGATACATTGAGTGTGGGGCGGTAACCATCACATAATATCCGGTGGGCTAGATGATGGATAATGGTGTAGGGCTTGCATCAATCTGTACATCGCACAGCAGTAGCCAATCCTTGTCGAACACGACCTACCTTCGAAAAAGCCTTATGAGGAGATCGACCGGAACTAGATACCTGGAGGCTTGCAGAGCTGTGTCGACAGCTTGGGCTGAGGCTCAAGTCTAAGATTTGAACCCTGCCATCGAGGACGTCCGGGGTGAATTGATCGCCGAGAGATGGCTATAAGATATCGTCAAGCATGGGTTTGAGGACATCCTACCGATCAGCGGGATAATCTTTGTGGCTGTCGTTGTCACACCTGGCATGCCCCGCACAAGGTGCGGGGCGGAAGATCTACGTCATTCCCCCCATCTCCAACGTCCTACTTGAACCCGTTAGCATCCAGAATCTCTAGAGAGCGACAAGCTCAAAAATTACATTCCCCAACATCCCAAATAGCACCATGTACTTCATCCGAAGCGCTGAGACAGCGCTCGCGAAAGCATAGACTAAGACCTACGGTCTAGCCTTAAACACAGAAAGTAGATAATCTTATGAGTCTAGCGATAAAACCGAGGCCAACAGCATGCGTTGCACCTCCTTCTCGACTAGAGGCACCAGTAAACTCAGACAGGGAAGTAGAAGCTGAAGGTATCCCCGTCTCCTCAGCAGTAGTCTGGCGAATAGTGTCGAGTAATTTGGTAGGCATGAGTACTACACCGTGTACGTGCGATCAGTCTTGTTCGGTTCGTGACGCAATGGTAATGCGAAAGTAAACTTAGGTTGAAGTGTTCATGTGTGGAGTTAGTCGCGAAGGATGAACGAAGGGGTCGGGGCAGGGGCGCTAGACGTCAGCCCGCTCTCGCACATCGTCATCAAACGTCACGAAACTCTGGTCAATACTTCCGGGAAACAATCGGTTTTGGTTTATGTGAGGTATTGCTACTCTAGCTTTCTACAAGTCACTTTTGCACGGCGTGTTTGGTTGTGTCTTCCATCTTGCCTTCCTATCGATGTGTAGGCGTTCAAGCGACACCAGCGCTGACAGGAATGACAGCGTGACCTTTACGGGGAACCTCACCCTCTCCGTACGCGACCTGCTTGGTAGGCTTCTCGATGGTTTGCTGGACCTTCAAAGCTACAGGGAGGTCATGCATTAGTCTCAAATCCTCTTGTATGTGTTTTTGCAATGGAGACTTACTGTAGCCGTCGCTTTGGGGGTCAACCGAAAAAGTGTCTGGGGTGCACTGGACGCCGTAGACCTGGCCCTTCTCAGTCCAGCTGCACTTGGACTCTAGGCCCTGGGGGTATTCCTCTGATACGAAAACCGCGGTGATTTCGAAGGATACAACCTGCTGGCTGACGTCCCTGTAAGAACGAGTGACGTTCCAGGCAGGCTGGATGGGGTTGCTAGCGCTGACAGCAGCAGCGAGGGCCAGAAGGGGAAGTGTGAATTGCATGGTGGCGGTTGTGGTAGGTTGTTGGTGTGGTGTGGTTGAGTCGGTATTGAGATGGATGGGATGGATGATCTGAACAAAGTGAAGATCTGATGGTTATATATTACAACATCTCGTATTCAGACGTCAGAAGTACCCACACGTTACTTCGTAAACTCAACATCAAGCTCGGGGGTTCGTGCGTTACATCGGCCAACGCACGTTTAATACGAAGGCATGGAGTGATGCTTACATGGATACCATAGTCAAGAGACGGTGAGGGTGCGTGTCCATACTTGTCATTAACAAGTCGAAAGTCTAGTCGTTCGGCTGATCAAGCTACAAGGATATTGTAGAGAAATTCCTGCAACTTTTCGGACTAATATCGACCAGCAGACGTATAGCTGTTCCGTCCAAATACTTGCGAATGTGGCCTTTGATAAACTGCGTTGTCGGAAGCTTAAAGAAAAGAAAGCAAGCATACCATTATGCCATCGTCGGTGCTAAGCATTCACGGAAGACACGGGTGCCGCGGGGACGTGCAGGGAGCGTTAGTTTCCTCGTGTACGGGAAAGATACCCAGGTATAGCGGTTGGGTCCGAGCTTAACTCGCCGTTTCGTGAGCAAGTATCCTCAAAATAGGGATCGCCGTAGTAAAGTCGGCCCGGTGGAAAGACTGGAAACTCCAAAAGCTCATTCTTACAGGTGTACTGGCCTATGGCTGGACGTGTGCCTCGTGTCTGACGGATGTGACGTTGCTCTCAGTTGTACTTTGGTCGGAGTAACGTCCGCAGCCCTCAACCAAAACTGATCAGGAGCGGAGAGCGCTACGTTGTCCGCTCCCCTCCAGCTGATTGGAGACGTCGGTCCCCTGCTCCCCACATATGCGCCACTCTTGATACGCCACAAGAAGTAATGGCGTAGGAGGCTCCAGCGTAGTGGGTCGTCAAAGTTATGCGCTTCGCTCCCTCGGTCTTCAGAGCGGGCCGAGAATATTGCTCTATTCTGGTCATCACTCTCGCTAGTGTTCCCAGATCAAAGTATGGAGAAGCGGTGAAAAGTGGCGGTGAAAGCTTCTTCTGATCTCTCCAGGGCTCCATTCAAGCTCTGATGAACCTCATTGCTGGAACGTTAGCAGGACATGTGGTTTCGGAAATTTTGGATGCGGTGAAAGCATGGATTCAATGGTGAGAGGATGGGTGGTTAATGGTACGATTTTGGCCCACAGTCGTCGTTCCCTGCTATATTCTTATGTACGAGTTCTTCTATCGTTTTAGTGCAACGGCGTCGCCACACAGTCGCCAGGAATGTGGTAAAGAAGGTAAGAGTGAGGTGTTGAAGGGAAGAGCGAGTGATGCACTTGAGAGTGAATAATGCCAAGGCGCCAAATGGAGCTTATCAGCCGTCTACACCTTACTGTCACACTGCAACGAAGGCTGCTACCAGTTTGCATCAAATCCGCATGTAAGAGATGTGGGTTGTTCTCATTTCTAAGTGTAAGATCTACAAGAATAGGTATACCTAGGTATACAAACTTTCGAGGGCGAGAGAGATCAAACGCCCAGATCCACGCTGCAACCATTCCACATTCCGAGTCTCCCACCTAGAGCCAAACCCCACAGGCTCTCTCCGCCATCTTCACTATTCGGCGTATCATCTTGGCTATCATGGTAACCATAGCAGGCTTCGTAGGCGTCGGAGTAACTGTTGGCCAGTCAAACCCCGACGACCAAGCTGGTTTAGTACTAGATGGTGGAGTAGGCCAGTTGAACCCTGAAGACCCAGTACTATATCCCTGATCACCCTCAACTTTCTGTAGCCTACGTGCCTCGATCTTCTGTGCAGAACCCAAGGGCTGTTCCGGACCAGCATAATCCATCTGTGGATCCCGCTGCGCACCAGCTTCATTCGCACCCAACAGCGCCGCCGAATAAGCCAGATACCATGTACGACTTGCGCCGCCATCGAGTTGTTCGATAAAATTCGGGTTGGCGAAGAAATCGTACGAGGCTTGTGGGTCAAAGAGTGCTTGATTGGCTTTTAGTATGCTTTTCCAACCGCCTTGGACTTGTTCGGCGCGTCCATTGTCAAAGTACGTGTCCCACTCTTCTTGAACGAATTGCTTGCGGCGAGTATAAGCGGACGAGGGGTTCAGAGGAATCATGTGTATGCCTCCGATGTATTCAATGTTGCCTCCAAAGTAGGTAGTATGATCAATCTTATTCTCAAAAAGAATGCCAGTAGCTTTGTTTTTGACGAAACCTGCAGGTTGATTTGTGTTGTTGGCCTCCATTAGGAAGTAATTCCTGATGCTGCGCGCTTGTACGGCGAGTTGCAAGTTGCCGCGAGCCTCCATGTTCGGATCTTGGATAATTCTGCCCCACATCTTGAGCGCGTAGGTAGCGAAGGTGTCCTCGGATGTTGACTCCTGGTCCTTACCGTCGCCAGACTCGAAAAGACCCTTTGCCCATGAATGGCCATGAAACCAGTCAAATGAGCGCTGGAACGGGAAATGCTCGTCGGCTACTGGATTAGCAAAGTCGCGTACGAGAGAGTTGACCCAGGCTTTGTTGCTACCTTGACCGAGCCATGTAGGATCAAGATGTCCGATGACAGCGGCGGTGTATACAAAGTACCCGTAATGAAAGTGGTGATCATTGTATAGCGTGTTTCCAAAGTCCAACCCTAGGTCTCCTGAGTAACTGGCGCCCGAGACGACGCCCTTCCAGACCTTATCGTAGACGAGCGGCTCAGGCTGCGTGTTGTTGACAAAAACATTGAAAGCATCCTTGAGGCGGTCCAAACCAGCCGCTGCATACTGACTGTTGCCTGTCATGCTGTTCATTGTGTAGATGATGGTAGCAAACTTGGCCAGGCCTTTGCCGGAGTAGTACATGCTGTTTAACGACGTCTGTGGGATCATGTTCTGACTGAGCTCAGCTATACCAGCTTGGTTGATGAGCGCAAGAACCTGGGCATTCAAGTTGATGTTCTCCGAGCCCCCAGCTGCGTTAGGATTCTTAGCCCATGGAGCAAAGCCAATGGTGTCAGGAAGATCATTCTCTACCATGGTCATTCGATCAGCGACGATGGCCCGTGCAAAGCCTTTCGTAGTTGTGACCAGTGTAATGTCCTTCAAGGCGGCTGCAGTCTGTTGGTCGAATGACTCAACGTGATGAGGTAGCGCATACACAAGCAACGGCCGATCTACTACACCGCCTTTAGTCCAACTTATCGTGTAACTTCCAAAAGCTCCGTTGACCGTTGCGGAAATAGTCGCATCAGTTGCGTATGCACCGGCACTATAATCAAATATGCTCTCTAGCGCCTCGCCTGATGGGTTCTTGGTGACTTGAATTTTGCCAACGAAGTTGGAAGGACCGGTGATCGTAAGGCTATCTTCTAACACGAAGGGGGGTGTACCGACGGACCCGTCTGATGTAGCATAGAGAAGCCAGTGTGAACCATCGTTGAGCACGATTCGATATTTATGCGTGACACCGTTGACCAGCTCAACATAGTCCAGGGAAAGGAAGAAGACGGTGGTTTTGATCACCGGCTTCGCCCTATCATAAATAGCGGTCACCATGCCCATGGCCTGAACAACTGGAAGAGACATCAAGATGCGGGTACCTTGGATGTTGTTGGGTCGCAAGTTCACCCACGTAGAGAAGGCACCCAAGCGCTCAAGCGAAAGGGATGTATCCGATGTTAGTTCCGCAGCGGACAGTATGATATGATAAATACCAATCGGTGAGATGAAAAATCGCGTGTTGTTCGCATCAGGGACGAAAGCAAACTTGTCGCGTGTGGTGTGGCTAACGGCAACACCTGCAACGGGAGGAGGTCTGAGTCAGCATATGCTTGACCTCAACGCGTGAGATACGTACCATAAGAGCCACCATCACAGCGATTGTCCCACGACAAAGAGTAAGGATGTGTCCAGGTCGAGAATGACTGGCCCCCAAGGAAGAAGTTTGCATAAAACTTATTGGTCTGGATTGGTACGTCCTTATCGTCGATGTGCTCTTTCTGAACAGGATGATCTGTTCTCGAAGGGATGGCCGGTGGAGGTGCCCCGGTCGCAATGGGTTGAAAGATGTTTGAAGAAGCCGGATTAAACGGTGCTGTAGGACCGGGATTTAGAGGCGTTTCGTTGGGGCACAGTGGCTTGGTGGCTGTTGTAGTCCCTGGGCCCTCGGCTGGATCTTGTGTAAAACCACCTGAGGGAAGGCCTGTCAAAAAGCTCTATTGATAGTTAGTCTCCACATTCTCATAGGTCTTGCAATGGTCGATGCAAGGTCGAAACGTACCCCCGAATTAGATGGATCACCAGTGGGAGAGGCTGACTGCAACGATGTGATAGCTGTGCTATAACTTGTAGTGACTGAGACGTCCGTCAAGGTTATTTCACGGGCTATAACGATATCTGCGTCTCTTTTCGCTTCTCCTCCTGCAGGCAGACTATGAACGGAGGAGAGATGGACCAGGGTCAGCAAGAAGAATGTCAGCTTCGCCATGCTGACAGTCGGAGGTATCCAAGCGAAGGACAGATGAAGAAAGAGGCAAAGTTCTGAGACTCAAGTGCAGTATGCGTATGTGTTTCGGATATAGGTTTGGTGAAGGAATGTATTGGATGATGGATGGTAAGCCGATAGAGAATGCCTGATTGCAGGAGGAGACGAGTTATATAACCTGGGAAGGTAAGCCATGAGATCTTAGGCCCATGGAGTGTTTTAGTGGGTATTCGTCGTCCATGTTCGCTATAGGAAGGTCAACCTCTACACTTAAGATAACAAGCTCAGGTGTGAAGAGTGGATAGTCTTAGCGCGGCTGAATTGCCAAAGTAAGTTCCTCGGAAGGTACACACCGTCGTCCTGCATTACACAAGACTTCCATGTACCTGAAGCCTCAGCACACGAAAAATCCCGAGCCAGCCGATCGGATGCTTCAGCGCACAGGAATACTGTGGCTCCGGAACGTCCCGTAAAGTCTTCACCAGTAATGATTAAAACTCGTTGATACAAGTCCTTGTCCCAGACAGTGATGTTGTGGAGTCCTGGCGACGGATTTGATGCTCATAAAGTAAGGTGTATGGCGTAGAGACGGTGATAGTCGATACATCCAAAGCTAACGCATTGGTCAGTAGATGCATATGGAATCATGGCTCAATCGCATGATCGAATAACGTGTTTCAGTCGTTCACAGGCTTACCCGAGGGTAAACAAGAAACAGTAAAGGTTCGGCGCAGCGCTCCTAAAGCATTTGTGAGTGCTTGTCAATGATCTTGAATTGTGCTCGAGGCGGATCGGTTCCATGTGAGAAGTGAGACTAAACGTTATGATAGAGAAGAGCATGATAGGGAGACGACAGATGACCAGCAGGTTCCACGTAATGCCAACCTGGTCTGGTTTCCTCGGCATCGTAGTTCTTGAAGAGCAGGGAAATGCCGAGTTCAGGCTTGTGAACAGAAGTCCATGGTGCGAACCTCACGCTGCTCAAACTAGCGAAAATATCGCCGTCTTCTCCATATTAGAGATAGATGTGTTCATCGTGATTTACGTGGTTCGAAAGTGGACAACAATGCTCGGTATCTTCGCAGCGCGCTCGTGATACTGCTGCCCTCGGTCAAGCTTGATAAATCCAAGAAGTGATGATGCTGGAGATGTAACTAGTAAATCCCCAGGCGCAAGAAGCGTTGAACACGAGATCTTAGACTACCGAAACTAGCGCCATGGTCTCGGTTGTCGGTCTCGAGACCACAGTGAGAGATGCGCCTTCTGTCCGTGTAAAGAAATCTGCAGTGTGACAAACGCACATGGTGGAGAGACAAGGCCGGTGTGCGCTCAAGAAGGTTTCAAATGGTTCTCGTGGCTGCGCACCGTTTCTAGGCTTTTGACCTGATGTATGCTAAAGTCATGATACTTCGTGATGTAGATCGTGGAGGCAAAGGGGGGTGGCGAGCAACACATGCAAGAATCACGTCGGAAGTGCTGCTTCATAGCTCCGTCAAGGCGCACCGCCACAGACACTCTGACGTCATCATGATCGGCACCACTTCCTCTACCAAACGGCACTATCGCATTCACGTACACTCCAACAGCCTACAATTTACTCATCCATAAACCCTACTGAGCAAATCGAAAGACTTAGTCTCAATTACACTTCGAAGAACCTAGTTTGACACCTTCTACCACTCTCTGGTATCTACCTAGACCACAATGGCGACATCACATCCACCCAACGAGCCGCCGCCCAGCTACGAGGCTGCCATCTTCGACGCCGACCCTTCACCTGGCATACATCGTGTCTCCACCGACGGCCCTGCAGCGCGTACGGAGCGTAATGGTATCCCTCCCGACCGACGGCGTTCCATGGAGGACGAGATGCGCGAGCTACCTCCTGGCTGGGTACGTAGCTTTGACCCAGAGACCTCGCACCAATTCTTCGTCGACACGAAAGCAAACCCCCCGCGTAGTATCTGGACACATCCTTATGACGACGAAGAGTTTCTCAACACGCTGAGTCCCGAAGAGCGTAAGAAGCACACACGCATGCACAGGACCATGACACTGGACGATCTCACAGCTGAGGACTCTGACGCCGAAGACCAACTCCCTCCGAGACCTACTTCCAAGGGCAAGGGTGCCGCGGCGCCTGGTGAACCTACAGGCATACATAAGTTCTCTCGCAAGCTCAAGGACAAGATCACCGGTCAAACCCATGAGGAACGCGAACAAGCTCGATCCCGTCGCGCAGAGCAGGAACGTCAAGCATACCTCCAGCATCTCCGCACACGGCAAGCAATTATACGCGCCATGGAGACAGGCCAGCCGCAGTTACTAGGCAAGGACCGTCAGGGCAGAGATGTGTATATAGAACCACCTCATGGTCCCTATGCACCAAGGGGAGCCTATGGTTATAATCCATACGGAGCCCGCCAGTTCGGAAATCCAGGCGTAAGGTATATGCGTCCAGCTGGACCGTATGGTAGGCCGTATGGATACGGCTACGGAGGTGGAGCTGGTTTACCCATTGCAGCTGGTTTCCTTGGTGGTGCTATGCTTGGTGGAGCGCTCTTCTAGGTGTCTGCTTTTATGGACTGATGGCAATGGAATCTTGGACTGAGGCGTCACTGATCAAGCATATACTCGTCAACATGCGGCAGGCACGGCGAGCAGCCGTGAAGCCTTTTGCAGATGTTTTCTTCTATATTCAAGATATCCTTAGTAATGATTGACGAATCCAATATGACTGCATAATAAACTCAATCATTGCCTGTCTGTTGCTATGCGAAATTGCATCGTGTTAGCATCTAATATGTTGACCCCCTGAAGATATAACTTCAAGGCTGTGGAACAAGAGAGCCAAATCTTTGAGGTGAAAACATGGGGTATCTTATTGTAACTCCTAGCCTAAGTTAAAACCACAATTGCAACCATGTCAGGTCATCATCGCAGACCGGATATGTCCCTCGACATGGAAGTGACGCGATCCTCGAGTTCCTTCTTCTTCCTCTCAAGTTGACGCATCTCTTCCTCTTCCCGTCTTAGGTCTTCTTCCGTCAGTGGCGCCATGACGGGCTCTGGCTCTTCCTCGACCTCGTCAACGTCGTCGTCCGTGTAGTCTCCTCGTGACCGACTCAGCTTGCCAAGCTGAGCTTGTTGTTCAGCAAGACGTGCTTCGTAGTATTCTACCGAGGCTGCGACCTGTGCGTGTCGTTGGCGCATGGCGGCGATTTTGTCGTGGACTCCTGGTATGGGGCTATGCTTGGTTAGCCATGAGTAACATCTTCTTGTTTTTCGGGACGTACTAGACACCGAGCAGCTTCTCAGCTCCTTCCAACAGAGATTCTACATCGATTTCGTTCTTGTTGTTGCTGTTGTACATTCTGTAGCCGAGGCCTGAGCCTGCTCCTCCTCCACCGCCTCGTCGTATTCTCTCCACCAGCTCATTGCCGAGGACTGCAGCTACAGCCGTGTTACGCCTGGGTGCTCTCACGGTATTTGCGCCGCCTCCGGATGTGCTTGTACCGCCGCCTCCATTGGGATTGAAGATGGTGTTGCGCCTGTTAGTCGATGGAGCTGGTTCGGTATGCTTAGGGGCTGCGGGTGGCGGAGGAACGGAAAATAGAGCGCGTTCGTGAATTTCAGTGTCTCGGATCAGGCTCGTAATATCATGGTTTTGCAGTAACGCGTTGGTGAAGATCTTGGGCGGGGCGAACCTGGGGTGTGTTCAGTCGGATGCTATAGCGGGTGGAAGACGGTGGACCAACGGCAACTCTGCGATTGACGCTGCGCAAAGCGAGATTTGTTCCAGATGGGCATCTAGTAGTGTCATGACGGGGACAAAGTGTATATAGAAAGTGTATGCTAGGGTGACGCGGGGTGTAAACAATGGCTTGTCGGTGCTCGATAACTATTCCCCGATGTTCCGCCGCGCTGGCGTCAGTGAAGCTGGGAGCTCAACCTCAGCAAAGCATCAACACCAACCCTCACCCACCACCACTACCGCCATACATCACCCGCACCTTCCGTCTCCTCCGCATACACATATCAAGAGCGACCATCATGGCGGACAGCATGGAAGGCGTCGTCGTCGAGGGCGAGCAGCCCAAAACCGAGAACGTTGAGCAGAAGGCCATTGCTGGTAAGTAGGCCACTTCGCCGCGCAGCATGCCTTTTACTTCAAAGTGTCCCTGTACCAACTGCACCACCTCGTGGCCTGTTCGCAAGATGTGTCCGAATCACATCATTGCCACCGAGGTTGCGGCGTGCAAGTATCTCTACCACCGTGCTGACCCAACGACTACAGACATTCGGGGCAACTTTGTCCTCCTCGAGCGAGCCGTCGCCCAGTTCGATACCCGCTTCACTCTACGCGCCCTGCGCTCCATATCCTCGCTCCGCAAGAGGCTCACCGATCGCGTACTATGTTCCGTCATCATCCTGACATACTCTCCCAACAACGCCACGGCGCGCAACTTCATCGAGTACATTGGTATGGACGGTGAGGCGATACAGAGCGTCGTGTCCCAGTACAAGGAGGAGGTGCAACTTAACAAGAACAACACCAAGGAGCCCTTGCCCGAGGTGGACGTATACATAGCCATTCTGATACAGGTATGTTTGTAGACGGCATGCATGATGGATTCTCTAACAAGCGCAGGTATATCTTTACGATCAGAAGGAATACGAAGAGGGCGCCGAATTCGCCGAGACGTTGGTAGACAAGATCCGAGAGCTGAACAGGCGGACACTGGACTCGTTAGCAGCCAAGGCCTACTTCTACTTCTCCCTCTTCCACGAGGAGATGGACCCCAAGCCCCCGTCCAAGCAGTCGCCCGTCATCAACATCCGCGGGAAGCTGCTCGCTGCTCTCCGAAGCGCAGTGCTCAGAAAAGACCCAGACACGCAGGCGTCTGTCACCACACTGCTGCTCCGAAACTACCTCTCGACCGCCGACATCACACAAGCCGATCTCCTCGTTGCGCAGACACAATTCCCGTCAAACGCCCCCAACAACCAGGTTGCGAGGTATCTGTACTACCTCGGTCGCATACGCGCTATCCAGCTGTCCTACACCGAGGCACACGAGCATCTGATTAGTGCCACCCGCAAGTCGCCCTCTGCCCACTGTGCAACTGGCTTCTACCAGGCTTCGATGAAGCTCCTGGTAGTTGTTGAGCTGCTCATGGGTGACATTCCCGAGCGTGACGTCTTCAGCCAGCCCCGTCTGGAGCGTGCCATGGAACCCTACTTCCGCCTAGTCCAGGCAGTCCGTGTTGGTGACTTGCAGGGTTTCCTGAAGGTGGTGCAGACATCCTCGTCCGTCTTCCACCGTGATGGTACCTATACTCTCATTCTCCGTCTGCGACAAAACGTCATCAAGACCGGCATCCGCATGTTGTCGCTCTCATACTCGCGTATCTCGCTCCGCGACATCTGCATTCGCCTTGGTCTTGAGAGCGAGGAGTCGGCTGAGTACATCGTTGCCAAGGCTATCCGCGATGGAGTTATAGAGGCTTCGATCGATCATGAGAAGGGTTTCATGCAGACCAAGGTCGCTGGCGACATCTATGCAACCCGCGAACCTGGTGAGGCATTCCACGAACGCATTCGTGCATGCTTGACCCTGCACGACGAGTGCGTCAAGGCAATGCGTTACCCCATGAACCAACATCGTCTGGAACTCAAGAACGCTCAGGAGGCACGCGAGAGAGAACGTGAGTTGGCCAAGGAAATTCAAGATGGTGACATTGACGAAGATGATGCGGGCGGCGACTTTGAAGGCTTGTAGAGGAGCACACAGCTTGGACGATTCATTCCGTGAGCGTGTACGATAGCCACATAAGGGCTGGCATTGATGGACGTTCCAGACAACGTGGGATAGACATCTTAATGATGCATGAATAGAACAGATTCAAGACGCCATTGTATACTATCGAACGCGCCAGTAACATGTGACAGATGCTATAAGAGTCGCTAATCTCACCAACGGATCCATGCTGCGCATCCGCGCGAGAACTAGCCGGTTGCAGCAAGATTCCGTGAAAGTCCCCGCAGCTTGTTCGTTCCTGCCCCACACCAGCTCTCCCTCCCAACGTCACTTCGCGATTGCCATCATCTCCGTGCCATCTGACCATTCAATCATGATTCACTGCCGCAGCTATGTAAGTCGTATCCCACAGAGTAACTCGGCCCGCCGCAAACAACCTACCCGAACCCATCTCTAATGTCCGGCCCCAGGATTGACGTACCCCGGCGACTCCGGCGCGCCATCCTACTCAACGACCTCGCGCTTGTCCAACGCATAATCCGCAACAACCACAAGTACCTTCGTAACCCCGACTTCGACGACCGTTCCAACACGTCGCTGCACCTCGCCGCACAGCATGGCTTCACAACCATCGCTGAATACCTCGTCGACGCGGGCCACGAAGACGGAATGATAAGCCGTAACAACGACTGGGAAACACCCCTGATGCTCGCTGCCTCTGCCGGGAAAGAAGAATGCGGCGTCTACCTCGCCAAACGCTTTCCCGAAGCCGTAGACTGGAAGAACAAAGCCGGTCTCGACGCGTTGATGCTGGCGTGTAAATCTGGTTCGGGGACGCTACACCTCATCCCCACGTTGATTCTCCACGGACCCAGTATACTCTCCGCGAGCGACGCGCAGGGGAACACAGCGCTGCATCATGCTTCTGCGGCAGGGGAGCTCAAGGCACTTAGGATGTTACTACAGTATGGAGCAAATCCGCTGGCGAGTAATTGTTATAGTTGGACACCAGTCCATTACTCGGCCACAACGGCTGCGGAGGCGTATTTCAAGACTCTCATCATCGAGTTTGAGAAGAAGAAGGCGGAAGGGAAACGCGCGGTCAAGGAGAGAGAACGGCAGCGTACTGCGGGTGTTAGGCTGGTTACTGATACCGAGGGTTTAGGAAGCGCGAATACAACCACGCAAGAGGGCAGGGCTTCTGTCGAAAGCACTAGACAGAGGGTAAGGGATGATGCGGCGATTGCTGGGTTGCCGGCACCCGGTATGATGGATTGGAGTCCTGTAGAGAAGAGGAGGGCTATGACGCCTACGGAGGGGAGGGGGTGGACATTTACACCTGATGGGATGAGGCCGAGGGCCGAGACGGGCGAGTCTATATAAGGGTATATTGGGTGTTGGCGTTGAGTGAGGAGCATTAAGAAAGCAGAGCTTTGGTGTCACGGAGTTGTGGTATGCGTTTTGGTACATGTATAATCACTTGTATTCATTTATCCTCTTTCTCGCTCTCACACATGTACTTTTTCTTCTCGTCCTCATTCTTTGATGTTATAGGTTTCTGAAGACATGTCGCACCTCTTTCTCGCCAAATCCTGCGCCAACCTGAAGAAACCTGCCACAAAATCCGCATATTTAGCGTTGGTAATATCTATCACATCCTTTTTTTTTTTTTACACTTTCCTTCCCATCATCTTCTCTCTCCTCCATCACATCATCGCCCTCCATTCAACCACGGGACAAACAGCCCAATGATGTGTACTGAAATCCCGTGGCCATAGTCTCTCATGCGCACATCCAGGACACTCGTTATGGTTCAGTAAAGCTGTGAAGAGCTCTGTTGGGTATTGACCTCGTTGGGTGTTCAAGCCTGGAGGCGGGTTGCGACCTCGTTGTGTGTAGAGGCTTAGACGTGGGTTGTGATTCTGTTGATTGTAAAAGCTCGGGGGTGAGTTTTGGGCTGCTGGTGTGTGGAGACTTGGGAGTGGTGGACGATAGGGGGCTGAGAAAATCTGGTTGGGGTGGGTCAGGGTGTTGCAGCTTTGGTGGCTATTAATTTGGCTGCTTTGGTTTTGGTTGCTGTTCTTGGGGATACTCGTGGAAGGGCTGTTGGCTATACTGTATTCATGGTGGGCGGGAGGTAGGCGGTTGGTGGGAGGGAAGTGCCTGCCTGTAGTGGTGGAAGATGGGGTGTTCAATTTGTTGTTGGACACGTTGTTGAAGATGCGTATGTGAGGACTTTGTATACACGAGAACCGGTCGGCCGTTGTGTTGGCTGCCGCGGTAGATGAGTGATTGTTGGAGGCGGAAGATAGGGTGTTGGGGGTATTTTTGGGTACAATGCTGGAGTCGTGTACATAGTCGCTCTTAAATAGGCTATCGAAGCGTTGGAGTTTGCAGCGGACAGAAGACATCTTCTGGTATGTAGTGTGCAGTGTAAGAACTTGGTATTGAATGTACGTGGGAAAGGAAGGTGTTTGATGGAACTCTCGAGGAAAGAACATTATTTCCCAGCTAAATCGAATACCAAGCATGGTCGAGGCGAAGCTCATTGGGGTGGCCAAATGAAGGGTGACTGTAATACGCTACCCCTATGAAATTCATTGATTTTGCAATGACGGCATGAGGTATTCCATAGAAACCCCTGTCCCTGTTGTATTTGCCTGTTGCTCTTTGGAACAACGGGCGGCAGCGAATGACTGTGATGGTTTATGTCAGTGATGGAAATCCCTATTGCAAACACGTCTTGTTCAAGTCGCCCGGTACTACGGAGAACGCACCAGATCCACAGTATCAAGATTACGCACGCTGGTTAGGAGATTTTTCCGCGGTGGATTGTGGCTCAATTGGGAACTGCTGTCTCAGGATGCGCTGCCGTGAATGGGAACGTAAGCATGGGAACTCTTTCCGAGGAAGTGGATGAGCAAATCCTACTTGTATCCCTCAAGTTATATTTCCTTATCTATCTCCTCATCAAGACACGCTCTGAATGTGTCTCTGCATTGTACACTATCGCTACAAGGGAACAATAGAATGCAGATACCTCGAGGGATGTTCTACTGCTAAGTTACAGTTCGAAAAATGAGCCTTTTCGTATGGGCGACATTGGAGATGTTGCGATGGGTAGCCAATATGTCTCATATTTGGTATGAGGCGCAATGATTGCGTAAAGGGCGGAACATCAAATGAGAACAACATTGCAACAAAAAGAGCGATGAGTGGAGCAGAGTCAACCTGAATAGCGAAGCGAAGATCGGTTCCAAGGTCGCTGCTAGGCTTCACGTCATCGGTACCTAGGTAGTGGTGGCTGCCTTTTCGAATCACGAGCACCGCGAAAATACCTAGTCATCACTTTCCTTCTTGTTCAACTTGTCTAGCTTCCACAAATTTGGCGTTCATACGTATTACATTCGAGGTTTTGTATGTCACTATTATTCATAGTAAAACGCGAAAAGAATAACCCATGTTTTGTTCAAGACACAATGTGCCTACCATCCACTCAGGGTATCTACGTCTATTTGCAGCCATATCATAGCCTACATTCTCCTTGATGTCCACACAGCTTAACATGTTATCAAAGATCTCCAAGATCCCAGTGTCATACACACAAAACCCTCCTTTGCCTTAGCCAAAGTTTCAAGAGTGCTAGGAAGAGACTAAGAGTTTGACGAGTCACTGGTCTTGATAACAATATTCCTTTGTACGGCAATCTAGACAATATGGCCCCAAATTCAGATGGATAAGTATAAGACAAGACAAGACAAGAAAGGACAACGAGGAACGGAAGTTCGTCCACATCACGCTTCCTGTAGTATTCAAACAAGACTGTGAGTTGTAAGCAAGCCTTCCAACCATGCATGCTCCTAGTGAAGCCTAGAGTCCTTTGCCACATTCCTATGTCGTGATCTAATACACCGCCTACCCGCAAAGTCATCCACGCCACACTATCACCAAGTTGAAGCGAAGTCAAGTGATTGGATATTTGGTTTGCATTCCATGTTAAAATAAGCTCATCTGATATCAGTGAAAACGAACAGGTAAGAGTTGCGATCATCCCAATACGCCGAAAAGTAGTTGAAAATCAAAAAGCTCCCTCCCTCCCATGATGAAAACGGTGGTTTCCTAACAACCCAAGATGCATGCCCCAAGATCCTTTGTGATAGGAGTAAAAGAAACGCCGCCTGAATACCCGTCCCGCCTTGATGCTCGTTGTTGGAGATAGATGAATTCATTATCGTGGTTTATAGTGTGGTTTTAAATGCGGTAATGTGGTGTGAGAAGCATATAGGGTTCCTAATGCTCATAGGTAGCGGAAGTCTGGTGCACGAGACCTGCGGTTGCGACCTCGAGGGTTAACTGGCTGCCTGTCGTAAGCGTCGTTGGGGTCCTGCTGTCCTTGCGTCTGCCCTTGTCCGTTACCCCATTGTCCTTGTCCTTGTCCGCCCCACCCGTACTGTTGCTGTTGGTGCTGTTGCTGGTTGTACTGTTGACCGAACTGTTGTTGCTGACCGTAGCCAAAGTTCTGCTGAGGGAACCATTGCTGTTGTGGCATCTGTTGCTGTTGTTGTGGTTGGAAGCCCATCTGGTAGCCGTTCTGGAAACCCATTTGCTGTGGCATCTGCATTGGCATAGGCATACCCATTGGCATTCCCATAGGTCCCATCGGTGTGTTCTTGAGCATCTCCATCTGTTGTATAAAGTCCTGCTCCATCTTCGAGGCAGGGTCAGCCGCTTGACGCATGGCTTTCGGTGCGGTGGGTGGTTTGATGTCTGTCGGAGGCTGTTTGCGCTTCTTTGAAGAGGTTGAGTCAGTATCGGAGACTTCGTCAGCCGCAGCAGTCGCCGCTGGTGGCGGAGTAGCAGTAGTGGTGGCATTTGTATCGTCATTTGCGACAGAAGAAGATGCGTTGTCAGTAGCATGTGATTGATTAACTGATTCATTTGTTGAAGCAACTGCTGCCTTTGCTGCCTTCTCCTTCTCTGCTGCCTTTTCTGCGTCGTATGCCTTGAGAGACTTGACCATATCGTCGTCGGCAACGAGATCATCCATCAGAACATCCTCCTTTGCACAGTTTGGACAAATCAAATCTCCATCTGCCAGCGCATTGTCAATACACTCACGGCAGTATGTCTTACCACAACATGGTGTTTTGACTGGGTCGACAAATCTCTGGTTGTCGATAGGGCACTCAAGACCGCGCTCGCGAAGCTCTTTGCTTGCGGCGTCGGCGCTTGCAGCACGCGCTCGTGATGCGTTTGTCTTCTCTTGAAACTTGTCCCAAGTCTTCTGGTCCGTCATGACTTGTACGTATTCGCCGTCAGCGTTGAGCATAACACCTTTCGCAGCCTCTTCGTCGACAGGCTTCTCGACCTTCTTTAAGAAGGATTGTGGTATACCGGTCGTGCGCTTTGCTTGGAATACGGGCTTGAAGTCGGGATCGTCGTTGGTAGGGCAGGCTTGTATCCAATGGCCTTTGATGTTGCAGCGGCGGCAGACATAGCCAGGAGGGGGAGGATGTGAAGGGACGACAACGTTCTTAGCATTGTTCTTGCGGTAGACAGGCTTTGCGTGCGAAAGGGCCTCCTTCTGCGCGTCCCAAGCCATGGCTGACTCAGCCAGGAAGGCTGCCTCAGCATCTTCTGGCGCTGCATTATTCGTGTGAGGTGTAGGTGCGACGGGCTTGCTTTGGGTCGTGATAGCGCGCGAAGGCGCTTTACCATTAACATAACGGGCAGCTCTGCCTTGCCCTCTTGGCGCTGGGCGGCGAATCGCTATGACGGTAGATGATCGCGGGATTAAGGTGGTGTCATCTTTGTACTCGGAGGCAGGGTCATCTTGGGGGTAGATGTGTAGGTTGAAGTCGGTTCCATCGCCGAGGCCGCTTGCGCTGATGATCTCCTTCTTGAGCTCGAAAACGCTCAAATCGGTGCCGTTAAATACTATACGCTCGCTATCTCTCGAGTTCTTGAACTTGTAGAAGATCGACGAAGTCATTGTGGCGACTTGTGGTGTGGCTCCAGATGTGGTGGTGTGGTGAGAGAAGAGGGTAGAGCTGACGCAGGAGGAAGGGCGTCGGAACACGACTTACCAAGCCGCGTGCACGGGCCACCCAGCCGCGAACCATCAATCCATGGAATTCCACCAAACTAAATGGAATCCCACCAAAGGGCTAAAGGCCTTTACAACATTTTGTAAATTTTATTCGCAACCAACAAATATTATGGGTACCTCGAGCCCTCGTTTTCGGAAAAAACTATTATTGGCGTGCTCTACACCGTATGTAACATGCGACGAGCATTCCTACACATGTGTAGGTCTACCAAACTAAAGGCTGAAAGTCCTCGCCACATTCTGTACAGTTCACCTTCAATCAACGAATTCTCTGGATATCCTGGGCCCAAGTTTCGGGAAATTTCATTGTTCTGTTCTACACACCGTATTTACCACATGGTATCTACTCATCCGCGGCATCTGTCTCTAGTTCATCAGGCCCCATCTCCTCTCTCGCACCACCAGCATCACACTCATGTATGATCTTCTTCCACCCCAGTGGAGCAGAGGCGTCCTTGATATGCTCGATAGTTGGGAAGTAGTGCTCGTTCTTCTTCATGGTTGCGACCCATGGTATGTTGTCGAAGGTCATGACCTTCATACGGAAGTATTCGTTGTCCTTGATCTTCTTGATCTCTGTGAGGAAGACCGATAGGTTCGGAGTAGGAACGTTGTTTACGTGGGTGACAAAGTTCGTGGGCGCGAGCTGCATGTATAGTCAGTAAGACATTCTTAAAATCACTGACAAGTGGCAGGTTGCGAAAAGTGAAGCTTGAAGGTTTTCGCCGGGCGAGAATCCAGGGATCCGGGGCCAAACCCACGCCGCACTATAACGTGAGGATCTAAAAAAAGCTGTGGGGCAAACAGGAGAATCCGGTGTATACAGGATAAGGCCTGAACGTATCCGCTGGATGGACTTTCACGGCCCACAACAGGACCCGGTACAAATAGAACCATTCATGGGATCCATTAGGATGCCTGAGGATATTCGCTAACTGCAAATCCATAAAACTCAGACCAAGTTGTGGGAAGATTGGTAAGCGGAGAGTGAAGGATTGTAGGGCGTCCAAAAGAAGGCCTGAGGGCATTCGCTGAGTGGACTCTTGTGGCTCCAAGATGACATCCATACCATACCATGACACGAACTCGGTATAGAGACGTTGAAACCCTGAGGTGGGGAGAGTGCGGCTCGAATTTACGCGCTGACAAAGACTGTCGGGCCCATGATGGCGTCCATGCTGCAGCCTAGCATGAACTTGGTTGTACGAGATTGGATAAATTTCAGATGTGCAAGTTGGGATCTGAGGATATCCGCAAATAGGACTTTCATGGGTCTCCGAAGATACATTGGCTAGTCCTTAGTATAGTGGGTGGAACCTGAGGAACCCCGGGACGTCTGAGGCGAGGGATGAAGGTATCCACTCATCGAATTCCATAGTTCCATGAAGGCGTCCAGGGTGTATGTAGCACGGACGTGGCGGCTGATCCGTGGCGGAACCTCGGGCTTCACCGAGCGAATATGTGGATCTCTATGTAGCCGTCCAGACCAGAATACGGCATGGGAATGATGAAGCGAGTATCCGACAGACATTGCGCACCCGAGGCGAGGTCTCAGAACGTTGCAAGCTGAGATTGCGTAGGATGATCAAGGCATCCTGTTTTTGCTGCAGCATATCCTTCTCAGGGCGGTAATGGGAGTATTGAGGCCGTGCATATGGTTTCAGTAGTTCTTGCTGATAAGAGGTGTACGCATTCCCAGGATGTCAGATCTCTCTGTGGCATCATGCTAATGTGGGAAAAGAAAGCATGTGAATTTGTTCACAACGAGGCCTGGTGTTCTTTCGAAGCCGCACGATCCAGAAAGCGTATCCAGGATGCGAGTGCAAACTTGCAATATCCAGTGGCATGTCCAGGCTCCAGTATAAAGAAAACATAAGAAAGAAAGAATAGAAAAACAAAAGGAGATTAGCACTTACCCCGTACATGTATGCGGGTGAACCACGGGCCCGCGACGAAATATAAACATCCGAATGAATCTTGCTAATCTGCTGGCGTACAGCCTGGTGGGGGCGATGGAAGGTAGCTCCACAGAAGCTGACCAGGCGGTCGGTCTCAAGGTCCTCTGTTGCGACAGTCGAGACCTTGATAGTCTTCTCCTCGCGCTTGCGCACAACAACAGCGTCCAGGAACTCATTGTTGTACATGACGTCGAGATCAGGCGAACGTGTGACGAGCTTGCCATTAAGCGTAAGCAGAACGTCACCTTCGTTGAGACCGTCGCCATGGCCCGAGTCGACCTTGCGGACCATGAAGAGCTGGTGGCGCTCTGGATCCGCTGTCTCGGTCTTCTCAATCCACTCCTCCGATACACCCATGACGCGGGCTTGGCTCATCTGGACTGTCTGGAACTCAACGTTTAAAATTCGTAGCTTGGGTGTCTTTCCGCCTCGAATTTCATCAAGCACTGGCAGCAGGTTGGGCGTCGCAAGACCAAGGTGGTATTCAACGTCCTTACCGCTGTGTGATGTTCGCTCGCCCAGGTACGAGAGCCAGAGAGCCTGAACGGTGCCATCCTCACCGATAAGCACACCAGAGCCACTATGTGAAGCCTGGTTTGTGTCCACGGTGATGGCGTCGAAGTTGGTCGCGCGGTATCTCGGTGTTATCGCGCTAGCTGGGATCGCAACTGTGGTGATATCAGTGACGACAGTCTTCGCTACGACAGGTCGGAAGTTTTGGTTGATGCCGAAGAAGATGGTCTCGGCTCCCTTCTTGATGAAGTCGGTGGCGAACTTGGGCGTCTTTACAGGGGCGTTGACAAGGGAGGCATCGTACTTGACGATGGCGTAGTTCTGCAATGGGTGCATGAAGACAACCTTGGCGTCGACGAAGATGCTGTCAGCGATAATCAACGAGATGTCGCAAAGGTCATATGGCAGAATTGCTCGGGATACAAGGACAAGCCCCTGCTCAGCGTCAACGACGAGTCCGTAGCCCTGTTTGTTCATCTTGGGGAAGCCATCTAGCTTAATAGGCATAGAGACATGCACTCGAACGAAGCTGCGGACAATGTCTACAGCCTCGGGATAGCTTGAGCTCATCTTGACGAAGTTCGCACGACGAGGAACTGGGGGCACAGATGGAATGGCATCGGCAAGTGGTTTGAAGTCCCACAAGCCTGTCGTGTCATTGCGTGTTGCTACCCGAATCTTTGCATGCCAATGCCTGTCCACAGCAGTAATACTAGTGTTCGCAGTATGCAAATCGCGCAGATGCTTGTACATCATAACCACTCGCTTACGATCTGGGATCTTCTTCATGACTTCGATAAAGGTGTCAAGGTCGGGCGTTGGCTGGTTGTCAACTTCCTGAATCAACCAACCTGATGTGTAGCCGTCCGCGAACCTGAAAGATCCAGCTGCTTCGCAGACATATACACCTGCGCCTTTCAGCGAGATGGCGTAGAGGCGAGCTTGTTGGTATGAGAGGTCGTGGAAGGATGCGCCTGCGACAGAAACGAACTTGTCGGGGGTAATGGCATGGAGATCGCCAACGTCTAGCTCAACATCCATGTTCTCCCCGGCACGCTGTATGGTCACAGAGATCGTCTTGCCAACGTTGTCGTCAAGGATCGCGTCGAGTCGGATGAACTGTGTGAGCAACTCTCCGTTCACACGCAACAGCAGATCACCTTCTTCAACCTTGGTAGACGCAGGCCCCTGGGGGAGGACAACCTCGGCGACCAACATGCCCGTCTCCTTAGGAAACTGGGTGCGGATCTCCTTCTCCAGAGTAGGTGAGAGACCTAGTCTCCGGCACTCGTCAAACGGCTTCAGTATCCACTGAGTCTGAATGGTGCCTCTGGAGACATGCTGGCCTTGGCGAATAAGCTCGAGAGCACGTAGCGGCCGATCCAGAGGTAGGAAGTAGTCGGTCGCAGCACCATCAGCACGTCCACCGGCCTGCAACGCAACTGCAAATCCGTCACGATCCACGACAGGACTGCCCGAAGACCCTCCACTCGCTGCAGCAGCCGCCTGAATGTAGTTGGTGTTGAAGTCGGAGTAGCCCTCGCCGTATTCAGGCGCATTGCGATCCAACCGACTGATAACACCCGACAGAATACTGAGCTTTTCTCCAGCATCGTTACCCACGACACGAATCTCGACACCAACTTTGGCGTTGTCTGGGCGGAGTTTGAGAGCGGTGACGGGCATGTACTTGATCTTCTTAGGGTCGAAGCGAAGGATACCGAAATCGTGGACGGGGTCGCGGTAAACGGGGTGGACGTCGCATTCCTCGTGGTTATCAAAGATGCAGTAGCCGATGAAAGGTCCTGCGCCGACAACATGCCTGTTGGTGAGAATGTAGCCCTTCTCAGCATCCACGACAAAGCCTGTGGCCTCGGAGCTGATGGCCGGGTCTGTATCGAAGGAACACGTCTGACAAAAGTGTATCGACACGACGCTCTTGACCACGTTTTCTATCGTCCTCTGCCACTCTGCTGTGTCCTGCCCTGTCACGGCGGTGATATGCGCCGAGGATGGGAGCTCTTCGGGGATGCTGTATTCGCTGCGCGCGTCATCCATGGCCTCCTCCTGGTCAGGTGAGTGCGGCATGACTCCGTTCGAGGTATGTGAGTCTATTTCGGGCTTGATCTGCTTCGAAGGACGGTCTGTTGTAGGTGAAGTTGGCGGTTGCTTGCGCTTGGTTGTACCATTTTGTTCCATTGGCGGCGGATTATTTATAGACGTGTTGGTGTGTAGGGAGCGTTTACCGAGGACAAATGCGCTAGAGCTAGGAAGTCTGGTGAGGTATCGCGTGTGGAAGAGGGAGAGCGGTCGTGATACGGGGTTGCGGGAAGGTGTTGCAAGGAAACTTCGTTTGCAGGCGGCGACAGACACTCGGCCAAGCAGCATGCCAATCCTGGGTGAGGCGTCTAGATGAAGGAAGCAGCGCAAACACAGCTGCTGTAAATTAAAAGAGGTAGGCACAAAGAAGAAAGACGAAAAGGCAATCGATGAGTACGGGACGGCTTTGAAAGGCCAAGGAGGAAAGTGCCTGAAGAGCCCTGCAGCTGCATGCGCCACGGTCCCCCGGTCAAGCGTCGCCGCACCTCGCGAACCATCGTCATTCGTCTCCACTTGCATCCACTTCATAACAACAGTGAATACATGCTTCAGTTTAATCTCGAGCATGCTACATTGCGCGCACTTTTCGAAAGCTTATGAGATAAACTTTGGTGTCACGTCAAACACGGGAGATGAGTATGAGAATATAGGATCATTTGAATTTCTATCGAGATATGGTCCCCAGGTCGCTCAACGGCAGCATCCAAGCCGAGCCACTTGGACAAAGCAAAGAAAGAGACGGCATGGATAATGACCGACCGCCACCGACTGCTACTTGAGAATGCCGAGCCGTTTCAGTGTCCGCGAAATGTACCACGATGTGACAGCGCATCGAACTGATGTGTGGCGGAGAGATTGATTCTTAGATCATCTCCTCGTCCTCAATCGACTCGCTCTTGACCTCTTCGACCACCTCGCCTTTCTTCTTGCGAGGGCGCGGAGTAACCTTCTTCTTCGGTGAGCCCTCCGCAACACCATCCTCGCTGTTAGCATCCGCACCCTCAACGATCTTGCTCTTGCGTTTCCTAGGCGTTGCCTTGGGCTTCTCTGGGATAGCAGTGGCCTCGACATCGGCAGATGCAGTACTCAAAGGCAATCCGTTCTTGATCTTCTCGATGTCGTTCTTGTGCTTCTGTTTCAGACGCACGAGCAGCTTCTTGCACGAGACGATGGAGCGGCCAGCGGGGATAGGTGCGTTCTGCGATAGATTTCAGTACAATATTGAGTACAACAACTAGGAGGATGACTTACGCCGATCTTGGCGTCGATCCTGCCCTCGTTCTCGCAGAGCACGATGAGGTACGCAATCTAATGTCACTATCAGTCGGTAGTAATGGGGTTAGGTATGGGGTGAGAACCTTCTCGGCTTCAGACCAGGCAGCACCGCTTGCACCTGTCATGTTCGGCGTCTTCTGCTCTGCATCGGACATGTTGGCTGATTATGCTGACGATGCTGATGTTGCAGATGCAGTTTGGGAGTTGCGTGCCACTATCGTACTGCTGCGAGGTAGAGATGTAGAAGTGCTGTAGTGATGAAGAGATGGTTGAGGACGGGAGAGGGAGAGGCAGCGCTGTTTATCAGCATAGAGCGAGGGTAGTATGGCAATTATCAAATCACCTTCACGTCGAATCTGCGGTGTGTGAGCCGGCTCCTCTCTAAATAGGAAGGGGAGTGAAGAGGTGAAGGCGTGTACCTCTGAACATGAAAATCATCATGGTGAGGTGAGCTTCACATGCGCCTTCTGGAAAGTAAAGACGGACTTGTAGTATCCCATACTTTGGGAAAACATCGTCCCACCAACCGTCCCGTTTGTGTGCTGTTGTTTTTCCATCAGGTACACCGAGAGTAAACCTGAGCTATCCTAAGCTCTCTCCGGATTGATATGAAACCAATTATTGCCAATTACTGCAGACACCACTCTCTTCAGTCTTCGCCAGTTTTGAAGAAACAGAGCGGCCTTCGATTTCAACCCCAGCGTCCCCTGCTATGGTATACCCGCATCCTCCTTCATGAGGATTTATCATATCTAGCATCTCCCGTTTTCTTCCATTTTCCAGGGACCTGGACATATGATGTTCAACTTATAGCGTAGTCATGTCGTCAGCCAATCCACTTGCAGCACTAGCCGGCCTCAAGCTTAGCTCCACAGCCCACCTGCCACTTTCCTGTCAGTCTTACACGTTAATATCCCACATTGCAAACATACGATAATGCTCGAAATAGCTTGTTTTAACGCGTCTTCTGCCATCACTGCAGCCCGAGCAGGTGCTGATCGAATCGAGCTATGCGCTGACTATGCAGCTGGCGGCGTAACACCTTCCCTCTCGACGCTTCAGGATGTACGGAAGCAAGTCACGATCCCAGTCAATGTTATGATTAGACCACGGGGCGGAAACTTTCTCTACGCCGATGAAGAACTCACGCTCATGAAGAAAGAGATGGAAATGCTCAAGCCTCTAGCTAGCGGGTTCGTCTTTGGCATCCTAGACGCCGATCGTCGCATAGACAGCGCTCGCAACCGGGAGTTAGTTGAGATTGCAGCTCCGCTTCCATGTACGTTCCATCGTGCAGTCGACGAGACAGATAACTTGGAAGAAGCCGTGGAGACAGTGGTGCGTTGCGGGTTCAAGAGCATATTGACTAGTGGCGGGGCAAAAAGCGCCCTTGAAGGTGCCGATAAGCTCCGTCAATTGCAGTCGAAATTTGGAGCAGATCTATCGTTGATCGCCGGCGGTGGGGTCAGAAGCATCAATATCGAGGAGCTCAAAAAGAGGACCCACACAGCTTGGCTCCACTCAGCAGCCATCACAGCACCTGGAGAGGACGTGAACGATCAGGAAGTGAACAAGATGCAACAAACTTTGTCAAAACTGGAATAAGAAAATGCATGAATCGAGTGCGAAGGGTACGATATTATTCATTAAGCGTGGCACATCAATGCTGTACTGCCACAGTATGTATACAACATGTATATGCTAAGGCTCCAGCGGGTATCATCCATGCAGGGATGTCTCGAATATAAGCCCGAGACCAACCCATCCAAACAGTTCACTACAACGAGCATGACTTCCGAGAAACAAGTTGCTTACAAAAGCGCGTACAGCAACGCACCAACCATCGACATTCCGAAGGACCTTGTTGTGTCGACAGACACCTGCCCAGCGGCTCCGCTGCTTGTGGGTGCAGCTGAAGCGGTGTTTGTTTGTGTTACAACATTGGTCTTAGCAGCGACCGTCGTGGCTTGTGTAATGGTGATAGCGGGTACGGTGGTAGAAACCTCCAACCCGCTGACGGTTGCAACCTCGACGGTTTCCGCAACGGTGGTGGGCGCCGAGTATGTTACGGCGGGAATGGTGGTTGTGTAGACGATGATGGATCCGAGTTCTGTGACAGGGATCGCACCTCCGACACCGGTACCGGTGTACTGCGCAGGAATCGAAAGAGTCGACGTGTTGGGCTTCTCAGCCTCGTTGTTGGAGTAGATGTTGGCACTCTGGCCATCTTTGGTGTAGTCTCCGCTGACGAGGTTGACCTCTGTGCCTCCTGAGTTGTAGGTTCCGGCAGCGACGTTTCCGAAAGAGCCATCTGGGAATTGGAAGTTTGTGGTGAACTTGTCGTAGCACATGGGGATGTTGATGTTCTTTACGTTGACGCAGTCCAGGCTCTGGCGGCAACCAAAACCATCCGCACGGCCATGAACAGATCGTTTGTCGAAAGTGATACCCTGGATAGAAGAGAGGATATCGGTGTAGAGAGAGCTGAGCTCTGTGCCGACTGCTGGTGGTGTCGTGCCAGATGCTCCTTGCGGTTGGCATGCCTCATAAGGGTCGTCGTTGGTGGACTTTGCCATGGACTCAAATGGCGACGCAGTTGCGACAGCCACAAGAGCGAGGGACAAGAATTTCAGAGACATTTTGAGGTAGGGTGTTATGTAGTGTGGGTGGCGGTGGTAGATTACTGATGCCGAACGGTGATTATGGGTATTACACGGCGTGGTACTGAACGACCGACGATTATCAAGACTGGTAACGAATGGCAAACGCAAGCGAGCGAATGTGAGAGCGAGTGACGGGAGGGTACGATGGATTGCTTGCCAAGGGGCAGACGAGCAGCCTCGAGGCTATATACTGACCGTAGGAGTAGCCCATATCGCTCGTGCTTACAGGGTTTAATCAGGCTCGTTCCTACCATGCCGAACTAGCCAACCGGCACCACGCACTTCACTGACGGCGCGCCACAATACGATAGGACCTTTACCAATTGACTGGGATTCGTTATCCGTTTGGCGATCATGTGTTCATCCCCAACACATTGCCCAGGGGCGGCCCTCGCATGGAGACTCGCAAAGGATTAGCTGCCAAACACACGCAACCCATACGATCTTGGCCCTCGCCAATGAGAACACCATCGCGTTTAGCAATTCTGGGAAGGTCGGCCGCAATGCCAGAATTCCTGCTTATGCGACCAGTGAAATGCCATGGGCCTATAATCACCACTAGCCAGTAAACGAGGTCAAAGCCGCATGATTCGTCGGGAGATAGGTCGGCAGCCCCAGCCGAAGTGCTGCGAACGGACACTTTTTCAACCCTCAGGCAAGCCACGAAACGGCCTTTAATTCGACATCACGAGAATTTTCCATTGCCGACATCCTTCCGTTTCTCCAGGTTTGGCCAAGCCTACTATGCCTGCCCATCAACAAATAAAGAAAATGCGGGCTCATCGTCATACCGGCCGCGCCGAGTCCACCTAAACAAACACTAAGCGCATGGCCCTGGTTGGTCCCTGACAGGCACACCTACAGAACTTGCGGCCACGCGCACGTTGCCGTCCCAAATTTCTCTACGGCGCTAATACGCAACGGGTGTCGTGCCAGGATGATCACCCCCCTGAGCAGCGATAGCCTGGACGACAAGACTTCGTGGACATCTGGGCATTCGCTCGAGCCTTACCTTATTTCATCTTGCCCAGGTGAACCACCAAGCCTTTGTATCGTCATCCCAAGATAACTATCCGGCCAACACAGAGCACGATAAGAGTAGCCATTTTTCTTTCCCTTCTAGATCGTGATTTATAGCTCGCACCGGAAGCCAATGAAACCTGACACATACATAAGGAAAAAAATTACCGACTGACAATTCGCGCAACAATAGTGCAATAGTTCGCGGTTATTCGGCACTGAATTGGGTTTCTGCCCGAGATTTCTGTGAATCGCCAGTTGCATCAATCGCGATTGCTATCGTGAGTCCAGTACGATACTACTACGGACTAGGGAAAAAAGAATACCTTTATCATCTATTTATTTCCGGGCCGCTTCTAATTAGACAACATCTCGCGTGCGTTGTTCCAACCTACAGTTTTACCCCACTACAACGCCAAGTTGTAAGCAAGGCTAACTAATAATAAAGTTATGCGATGACCGACGCAGGAACAAGGCATGCATCTACACGCGAGGCGCAACGCTGTGGTTGCATGAGGTACGCCTTCACAAACATGTTTTTTTCTTGATGTGCCTGAGTCGCAGTGCAACCAGCTCTACAGATCCGGTCGTCAAGATTTGTACTGTGGATGCTGCGGATAGGCGCGCGCCGGTACACCCCAAGGATTTTTCCAATGAATTTCGATACGAGGTAGGACCGATAGCGTGGGATCCGCTGTTATGCGAAGTGATCGGAGCTGCAACCTGCATACGTACGGTACGGTGTACGTGCAGTAGCCGAACCACATTGTGAATGACATCTAGAACTCCAAGGCCATTGATTGTAATGGTGTGTCGATGAATTCTTTTCCATCGTGTGTTGAAACTCACTTTCCTTCTTTTTCTTCGCGTACGACGCGATGGTGTGATGCTTGCGAGATTGCGTCAGAAGCATCTGGCGCATGCGGAGTCGCCGCAAGATCAAGATGATGTTGATGCGGTACCAGTACCTTTGAACCCATCACCGTTGTTTAGAAAACACATCAAGATCACCTAGGCAACAGGCTCGGCTAGACCAGGCTGCATACTTCACGAGCCTTCGGGCGGCGAGATGTGAGATAAGCTGACTACCAGGAACTCTTGTAAAGTATATATTAGATTTCACATTTGTGAGGCGCTACGAGGAACGAGGAGGAAGATGCTTCTGGCAGCATGCCTAGAATGCCTGAGGAAGCTAAGAAGATCACAAAGTTCTGACTGAGTGGACAGGACACGGTGGGTGGAACGCAACAAAACATCATTCTCGAGGGTCCACTGACAGTGTGTCAACAAAGGTTCTCCAACCATGCTATATCCCAGCTTCTCTCGTCTCCACGCGTTAATATGCATACTCAGAATCCAGTTAACTAGCATTGGCGCACAGGGACGTGCTACCATAGGTCAGCGTGGGCGCTGGGAGGCATAAAGTCGTTGAAGCTTGGATTTTGCAGTGGACGCGTTTTTACTTGAGGCTCAGCGACTTACTGGGAGCGAGACACATACGCACCGATGCGCTGGAAGCCCTTCCAATTAACACGAGCAAGACATGACTCCATCGAACGAAAGCTCCCGGTATGTCGATTGGCTGATCCTCATGCCGCATTTTGTCAAAACCGTAGGTACATTCTCGAGTGTAGCGATGTTGGCAAAGTACAGTGAACACCGATTATTTATCTTTCACGATCAGTAGGCTAACATCCACCATGCTCATGATTACACATCCGATCGTTTGGTGTACTTCGGAAAGGTAAAACACTGCCGACGTAACAGCTCATTCGGTATGTATACATGTATTGCGTGCGGCATCAGCGCCCCAAGTGTGCTTTGCTTAGCTGTCGATGGTCCTGCGCAAGATTCTATGTTCTACAGTCTTCAGCCTCTTTTCCTAATCCTACACTCCCAGTCAGCCTTGAGCTCTCGCACACCCATCCTAGGAAACACATGTGCTTCAGTATTGAACAAAACATCTGTCAGTGGAAGAATCTCGTCTGGGGAGAACAACTAGTAAAGGTGTTTGAGTATTTCAGCCTAGAAACGCGCATTAGTACACACACACACACACACACACACTACCGTCGTCTTTCCGATCTCACGTACCAGCCAAAGGCTCCCCGTGTTGTCTCTTCGTGAAGGGAAGATATCATTGGCATTATTCCGAGAAAAGAACCCTCTCCGAGCGGCATGGTCAAATACTACAAGAAAGATTGCAAGACCTGCCAACTCTACTCTTGGTAGATGGGATCCTTCGTCACGCGCCATATCAAGAACAGGCTCTTGACCGTCTCCGGTCGTTGCAAATTATGTGTATCAGGGGTTTTAATGTTGGAGTCTCTCTTCCAGACAGCCTCAGAGTTTGAGTTACTTACCAATGGTGCACTTGACATGTTCTTCTTAGAGTGTAGCACCTCGTCACTTGCACGGAACCACACGATTTCTGGTGCGATACTGGTGTCAGTTACTATGTATACGCCGTAACATGTTTGGTAAGCCCAGTTGCTAACTACATCTGTCGCGACTTTCCATCGTTCCAACTGGGTAACCGGCAGGCTTCAGCTTCGGTGAACCCATTGGTTGCTCCAAGTGCGATGGAGCCTGGTAAGAAGCAGACGAGCTGGTCGATCGTCGGTGGTAGTGGGCCACCGATTCCTCTGGGTAGTTCGGCGACAATTCTGAGCCTAGCATGCTTCGTAGGGGTAATCAGGTGCCTTTGGATTCCCGTCAGAGCCTCTTCCCACGTCTGAAGGTATATTGGTTCGGAGGTCTATAAGTACTGTTTGATGAGATATTCTGCAACCATTAGTATGTGAGTTATGAATCGCGTGCCTTTAGGAGCTTACCATAGTAAGAGTCGCCTCGACTTCCTAGACGGATCTCCGTTGTTGTAAAGCTATCGAATGAGGCGAGATGAGGATAGGTACCAAGTCATCGTGCACGTCAACACTGTCAACGACCTCCATAACCTTCTCAGCTTTGCGCCAGTATATCTCATTGCCGATGGTTTTCGACAGATATCTCGTCTTGAACAGTAGCGTCATCGCTTCGGCCGTTGAGGAGGCTCCACCATCAGCATGCGATACAAGACCTGTTCGGCTTGCCAAGTACATGCTTGCGCATGGTATTCCGGAGGGCGAATTGTATGCTCCAAGCAGTCGATCGGCTAGATCCACAACCTTGATGAAATAGATGCTGTCCCTTCACGAAGAAATGTCCGGAAGTACTGTGGTATAATGTGCCGAAAGGAGGCCACTCAACATGCAGGACTATTTGCATTTGTGACCTTGGAATCGTGAGCATGCCATGGTGGATAGTTAACGCAGCGCTAAGGTCGAAGCACAACCAGAACCATATGTTTTCGAGGTGGTACCCACTGAAGATGCGTACCCAGCTTCGCCGCATGATCGCGTTGAAGTTGGCACTAATCATATAAGCATTCCTGGCTGTACCTTCGCTTTGAGCTATTGTTGTGTACCAGGCAGGCGGCTAACTACAAGTTCGTCTCAGCAGTGGGAGCTCGTGTCTCCTACGTGAAGTAAATGTTTGACATCGTTCTCCCAGGTTGTATCACAATATGCTTCCCTAACTCAAGACTTCGGTTTGCGATTTTGTGGTGGAAAGCCATGAGCTTACAGGCTGGGTCTTGTTCAGCGGCTGTAAATAGCGGAGCGAGATCCCATCGAAATGCGTTGCGAGTACTATGACGCTTCAAGGCCCTACAAGGCCCGCGTCATCAAAAGAGTTGATGTACCAACTTGGTCATTGGCCAGGTATAAGCGACAACGGTATCCGATCGAGAAGCCCACCTGCTGTTTGGTCGGGTAAATAGGAACGGAGGCTCCTGCATCTTTCCCTGATGATGATCAACCTTCGTTGGGCTGCAGGTACATTCCTTGCCATCTCTGCATATAGATCATGTAAAAGTAGTATAGTTAGACCATGGTTTGAGCGACTGCGTGACAGCATTTGGCGCTATCTGTCAATATTCCGATGTCATGCATATTTCGACACGTGCGCTTTCGTTGAGGATTACTTTCGCACTTTTGTTCTTCGGTGGTATCAAAGAGACGCTGAGCCCTCGGTGTTTGTGTTGCGATGGTTGCCGTCTGTAATCAGGGCATTCCCACTCTTCTCAGGATGCATGCACAGGTGCGCTCCGCCCGTCCACGTCCTCCACCACTCACTCAGGTATCTCTTTACATCATCTCGTCATCGGAGCCTGTCTCCCATCGTGATCTAGGGAAGAAGACACGTTGCGAAGAGGGCGCAATCGCTGGCATGCGGGTAATGCCGCGAACCCGGACAAGTCGGCGATTCTCATTAAACCTCCCATAATCCCGAAGGAGGTCAAATGCGACATGCGTAAGCCGTTGCGTCAGTGCCTGAGGTACCTGCATGGAAGACACCAGGCAGCAACGTTTGAAAACGCCTCAGAGCACGTTTCTCGTGTCTTGTCGCGTAGCTGGTGATATCAGAAACGGTTGAAACCATGCTGCGCCACTCATTCAGGCGCAGCCCTAAACCCAATCTGGTGTTGCTTGCGAGAAAAATCAACCACTACAACAGCCCCTTCCTGCGATGCGTCTCGGTGAGCTAGACCAATCGGCTCAGACTGCCATGTCACCCCTCGTCCGGTTTCAAAATGCAGTTTACAGTCTTGTCATCGTCTTCCTGCCCTCCCCATAGGTCAATTTTTATACGCTACGCATACGCTCGGTGGTCCGATCGCGAATTCCTTCCCTAGCGAGTGTTTGCACTATCGGCCGTACGCCTTGTCCGACCTACGTCGACGTCAATTTTCTTGTGCTTACCATCGCGTGCCTCGGTTTATGGGAATTCACGATTCCGTTGATATACAGGGCTTGTCAGACATTGGCGAGCTGAAGCTTGTCATTAGGATTAAGCGACAACGTGGGCTTGATGGTAGTCGTAGGCTTCAGAGGCGGAGTTGCCTGATATTCGATTAGGAGTATCGTTGTTCACTCACAGGATCTTTATAATCATAAGCTACGGGCTCCATTTGGAAGATAGGTGTTGTCTACGGGTCTGAGGTTTCAAAACGCCGCTTCGTTCTCTTCATTCACTCCTTGGATTACAGTTATATCACAATGGTTTACACGGGAAAGCCGAGCCGGGGATGTGGCATGTGTAAGAGCCGCAGAATAAAGGTATGTATTGGTACCTCGCGACGATTACTCCTTCCTCTCAACTAGCGATGTCGCCTCCCTGCGTATCCGGATACGCTTACTGACTATGCATAGTGCGATGAGAAGCGACCAACATGTGGCAATTGCAAGAAGTCTGCCCGAGTATGTCCCGGCTATCCCGACGACTTCGATTTGGTCTTTCGAGATGAGAACAAAGCTATGGCCAAGAAGGCGAGGAAATCCTCTGGGACGACCGCATCAAGCAATAGTACCGGGGCGTCAAGCTCGAACACTTCTCCACATCTGTATGTACTACACTACTTTGTCTATCTCGCCTCGCTTCATGCCTTTGATGTATACCAATAAGCTTTGCCGAGCAATTGCGTACCCTAGTCCTTGTGGTATATGGTCTGTGTGTATTTGCATGTGACAGACCCGAGCCGCAGATCCACATTGCCTTTTGAGTATCTACTAACGTTTTTAGTTCACCTTCTTCGACGTTTGATGTATCACCGGGAGAAAATGCAGTACCAGGAGAAAAGGCCTTCCAGATAATAACGTCACGATCAAAATCAAGATCACCATCAGACTTGAGTCAATCACAACAAATACTGGCCCTACCCAATTACACAACACCACCGCTGCCTCTTAACCAGTCGTTTGACTTTGAAGCATTCGTGTGGAATCTCGAAAATGCAGTACCACCAACCATTTCACTTGCGCCAGAAGCTGAAGCTGTACCGTTCTTCTTCAAGAACTTCATCACCCTACCACAGCAAGCCGAAAGTACAAGAGGCTACCTCGAATATCTGGTGCCTCTCTACAACCGCGCCCGTCCATCCTCGGTTCTTCACCTAGCCACTACCGCTGTTGCAATGGCAACATGCGGTCAGTACCCTGGCCGACAAGAGCTCCTCCGTGAGGCAGTATCTACCTATGGCAAAGCTATCAAGAAGCTGAACGATGATCTGAAAGATCCTGTGATGGCGAAGAGTGATGAGACCGTGGTTGCTATTCTCATGTTCTCACTGTATGAAGTAAGTAGATTGGTTACTTCTTGAAGGTCTTTGTAGCTTGTTCTACCAGCTGCATGATATATTTATGAGCTGACGAATGCCAGACAATAATGAGTACAGACGACACTATCACAGCATGGGGAAACCATGTCGACGGCGCTGTTGCATTGACGAAGTTGAGAGGAATGGATCAGTTTAATGATCCAATGTCCCATGCAATATTCCGTGCTGTAAGAACGATGATGGTAAAAACGGTCATGTCACATACCACGTCTCAGACACTGATGAAGAGTAGATCACAAGTTGTGTCCAACGCTCAAAACCTATCGACACATTCCCTGGCACGAAAGGCTGGATCGGTAACGGCGACATATCCGAGGAAAACGCTGCCAATCGCCTGACACTCATCTGCATCGATCTCCCAAACCTACGCGCCCGCGCGAATACCCTCACTACCACACCCTACGACCCTACCTACGAATCGGAAGCAAAGCAGATCCTCGAATTTGCACAGATGGTCGACAGCAACCTCGAAGAGTGGTACCGCACACTACCTCCCGAATGGAAACATCGCATCATCGGTGTCGTCAGCGAAACGATCGCACCCGAAGACATCGCGCTGGCGGAAAGATGGCCAGGCGAGCAGCATGTATATCACGACGTGCCGTTGGCGAGTATAATGAACGACTACCGTGTATGTCGGATATTCTGTCGAAGAGTAATTATGGCATGTGTAACGTGGCTAAGCTTCAGTGGTAACTATGCGGATGGCGATGAAGCATGGAATAAAAGTGTGTTTGTCATTCAGATGATGGTGGATGAGATCGGTGCTTGTGTGCCATTCCACATGAACTACGAACTGCAACCCGTGGCCAAAGAGATGGGGCAAGAACAGAATGGTATGTCGCAGTCCTTTGGGTGGATTATCATCCTGTGTGCTAACTGGTCTGCAGCTGCGGAAGCATTCGGAGGGTACTCGTTGGTGTGGCCGCTATATGTCGCAGCAAACGCCGAGACTGTACCGCAAGAGCAACGCGACTGGCTGTTTGGTCGATTGTCCGTCATTGGTACGAAGTTTGGGCTGAGTAGTGCTCAGGTATTGGTCCTAGCAAGGAGACATGTTCTGACATGTGGACCCATGTTTCCTTGATGCGGATTGAGATGAGGTAACGGACCTGTAAGATATCTGGAGGATGTAAACCTTTCAAGTTCGCGATATGTGAAATCGCACGTGTATTATTTATGGATTCATAGATGCGACAAGGACTCAGCGGTGGATCTAATTCGAAGCAAATGTACTGTCCCACTAATAGTCATCCGCATCGAGCAAGTGCACTTGTGACCCACCGGTTCGAAGCGGGTGATCAATGTGGAGAACGCCCATCGTTCAGGCATCCCAAACAAACCCCCCGTGATAATAGGGTGTCACCAGCACCCTTCACAAGATAAAGTCCGGCGTCGCCGCTCACATGTCGCAATCATTGATCGAGGCATCATCCGGGCGCGATCAGCTGCGGCCCGTTTCCGTGCCAAGGCTGACCCTCCAATTCGTGTTCGGGGTTTCATCTGCTCAGCCACGGCATCTAGAAAGACGGCCAATAGTGGGTCCTCAGCCATTCAACAATTTACGGAAACTGTGAATGCCTTCTTTTATTTTGACTACTTCTTCTCGTCTCGCGCCATCCTACGCCTCATTCACAGCCCGCTCAACTTTCTCGCAAGGTTACCCCGCTACCACGAACGTCAGCGCAACACCAGCCTCACTACGTCACCACCACCACAACCATGGGCGCATTGAACCTCATTCCACTTGTGATCCTCTTCGCAGTCGTCGGAGGCTTAGGATGGGTCGGCTACCAGGTATTACACCTCATCCACAATTTGCGCATTGGATCGCTAATATATGTGTTTTGCAGATCTTCCTCTACTCCAACGAGCTCGCCGAGCGCGGCGTCAAGAAGATGGAAAAGAAGAACGTCGTCTTCACGAAAGACGGCGCAAAGGTCGGGGTCAAGGAAGTCAGCACAGAGTCGTATACAGATAAGACACAACGCGCCTTTGTCAAAACGTGGAACGCGGCGCAGGAAGGGTAGGTAGTATATGATGATATAAAGGCACAAGGTGCAATGCTGACTATATGACAGGGGATCTCCAGTTGCGCGAAAACCTACGAGATAATTACAGTTCACGTGCGATTCGAGTTCGAACCGACATTTCTTCCCGACGATACCTTTTTACTTTGAGCATGCGCCCGCCCATATCACAGCTTGTTTCGCATCAAGTGTCAGTAGGCCTGAGGATGATTAGCAGGTTATACTGACAAGAGTTGGGACGGTTTATATCACAACAAGACGTACGGAGGTTGACGCGCGTGGTGACACTTAGTGCACCTACTTTCATCTGTGGTCTTTCTATGCAGGAGAATGAAGAGACAATTTTTACTCGAATCCTGTCAGTATGGTATGTTTCTATTGTACTTCTGACTTATCGTATAACAGCTGTCGATATGGTCAGACGGCACGAGAATCTGAAAGTCAATGCGTCCGGAATTCGCTCGCTTATCCGACCTTTGACATTCATACCAGTATCATTAGCATCCCAGCAGTAGAAGTCAATGTACACGTCAGTTCACCTCTGCTCGAGAAGTCACACGCAAGGAAGCGCGACAAGGTTTCACCCTGTGAGCAAACAGAATGATGTAACTCCACAGGGCGGCAAAACATCACAATGTATACAACAACGCCATCTTCATCATACTCCGTGGATGTTACTATTAACACTCCGCGGAAGACACTCTCTCCATACCTAAGCTCGGGGTGAGGCTAAGAGCGAGGCTCGGAGGTGACAGAGGGAACAGAGCGAAGAGATGAGGTTGATATAGGAAATGTTTTCGGAGGCGGTAGATGGAACAGAGCGGCAGGGCAACAGAGCGAAGCAATGGGGTAAGCGGAGAGTCAACTACTCCTCGGCCGATGCTTGCGCACTGTATGAGGGGTATATGGAGTCTAAATGTGCTGATCTGATATCGATTCGTGCTAGCTTGATTCTAGCACAAGCAATGTCTGGAGATCAATGGCGCTTACCCTCCGACGCTCCGACGAGCTGCATACTGAATCAATGTCTTGCGCTACGTCGACGACGACCATCCCTAACGTATACGATGATGCTTTGACGATCTCCTGGTTGGCGGGTCAGGTGGTTTCATCGCTATATAATTCCTCTGTTTCATGCCTACGCTTGACAGATGCACAAGGTTGACACAGCTCATTCCAAGTTGCGATCGTTCTTCAATTCAACCATGACGTTCTTAACAAGTATATCACCCGCGGACTCGGAGCTTTTCAACTTCAAGGGCGCAGTTTTTTTGTTTGCAGTGTTCTCAGCATTGGTGAGTACATGCTCTACGTTTTTTAAGCTACAGTCTCTTCACTGCTTCAACATTAGCAGATCGTTCGGTGCTCAAAGCAAAACACTGATTGTGCGAAGTTATGGACACCCACTGACATGGAATAGGCCACCGTCTATGCTTTCTACTCGGTTGTTTACAATCTTTTCTTCCATCCTCTTAAACACATCCCAGGTCCCTTTATTGCACGCGCGTGCGGTATTCCTTACGCCCAACATATGCGTGATGGTAGTATGGTCAGATGGGTAAAAGCGTCCCACGACAAATACGGCGATGCAGTTCGTTTGGCGCCAAGTGAAGTCAGCTTCATCTCGGGAGAGACTGCGTGGCAAGACATCTACGGCTTCCGCACAAGCAAGAACAAGAGCACTGGACATTACTTCAAGGATAAGAAATGGTTGTAAGTCAAATCTGCCTAAGACACGAGCAAGAACATGCTGATTAGGGAACAGCATCCAAGCTGCTAACGGTGTCGATTCAGTTCTCATAGCAGATGAAGCGGGGCATTCGCGAATGCGACGTAACCTCTCCCATGCTTTCAGTGACAAAGCCCTGCGAGGACAAGAGAGTATCATTCAATCTTATGTGGATCTTCTCGTCCAGCGTATAGGCGAACACGCCGCTGAAAACAAAGATATGGACATCATGACATGGTACAGTTAGTAACTTAGATACCGTCTTGCACTTCGCATTTGTACTGATCATATGTGCGATAGACTATGCAACCTTTGATATCATATCCGATCTCACCTTCGGCGAACCGCTCTACTGCCTGCGCGATTCCGTCAAACACAACTGGGTTTCCATCACCTTCAAGGCCATAATGGTTACTTGTTTTCATGCTGCTCGGAACAAACATTTCGTCTTCGCGTACGCCGACGCCTTACGCAGTCTTTTCCAAGACAACTCAAGTCCTACGCGTGCACGACTCGAGTTCTTCCAGCGCGCTCACAACCAAGTGAGCAAGCGACTAGCGAAGATTGATCGTGAGAAAGAAGGAGAAAGAGCAGACTTCTTCACCCATATAGTGAACAACCAAGAAAAGGAAGCAACGAGATTGACCAGAGACGAAATGGACAGCAATGCAGTCGCATTCCTAATTGCAGGTAGCGAAACTACTGCTACAACCTTATCGGGAGCTACCTACCTTCTCCTCCGCAACCCCTCCGCGTACACTAAACTCGCCGCTGAAATCCGTTCTCAATTCTCCTCCACCGACCAAATCAATATAGAGAAGGTTAACAAATTGGAATACCTCATTGCCGTCTTCCAGGAAACCTTACGATACTACCCACCCGTTCCCACAGGCTTTCCTCGCATTGTACCAGCGGGCGGCGACCATATCTCAGGCCACTATATTCCTGGCGGCACCTCGGTATACTGTTCCCAACACGCCATGAACCATTCTGAGCGCAATTACAAGGATCCGGAGCTCTTCGTTCCCGAACGCTGGTTGGGCGAGGAACGGTACAAGGATGATAAGAGATCGGCGTTGAACCCGTTTAGCTTTGGGCCAAGGAACTGTTTGGGCAAGAAGTACGTATACTATTTCTTTCTTTCTCCCCTCCCTCCCTGTCTAGTAACAATCTTCTCTTCTATTGCTTGCTTAGGGAAGGAAGAGCAAAAGAATTACGAACTGACATTATCGTTCTATTAGTCTGGCGTACGCGGAAATGCGTCTTATCCTCGCTAAAGTAATCTTCGCTTTCGACCTCGAACTCGTAGAGAAAGAGAGGGATTGGGTGGGTGAGCAGAAGGTTTTCACGCTATGGGACAAAAGTGCGTTGATGATTAAGGTGAAGCCCGTACAGTGACTGTGAAGTGTGGTCTTGTAGCGCGATGGACTAGCTTATATAAATAGCTACTGTCTTGAATTTTGTAATGACGTGAGGGTAGCATTCAAAGAATATCACCTTTCCACCCATGTTGAAGTAGAGCGAAGATGGACATTGGTTCTTTTCACATTGGCACGTCGCTGATAGCCTTGTAAGCCTCGACCTCGCCACAGGTAGACTGATGATCGGTAACGCCATCTTCAATTAGAAACACGAAAAGAACCCGCCGGTCTGCTGCTAGTCTATGTTAGTTCGAAGGACCGCGAGCTTGGAGTAACTACAGGGAAGCTCGTTTTTCATGAGTTGTACCTAGCCATACAACACCCTAAAGGTATACGCTGTATCTACACTAACATAGCAGAGAACGTAACATTTTATATGTTTGTAGGGTATATTTTGAGTGTTAGGTAACACCGATCAAGAACGAGCTCCTTCGTAAGTGTCACATATTATCCGTAAGCGCCGTGGCGCAACAGGCTGATGATATCGCTCAAGCACATTCGCTTCCGCACGAGCCCTGGTTGGTCAGCCTGACACACGGAATGGAGCTCTTATCATGCAATGATCCCCCAGCCTTGAAATCTCACAGCTTTCTCTGCTGACCGAAGGAAGTGCCGTTTAGTCTGTACGGTACGATCCACCCGTGGGTGTCAAACAAAGCAGGTCTCAAATGGCTGATCATGGATACAGGCATTCTTGTTATCGATCATTACTTGCCGTGCCGGTAGCCTCCATTGACAAGCAACATGTTCGATACTGTCGTAAAGTACTTCGAAGCGTAGGCTGGTCAGCCTTGAAGTCAGTCATGCGGCAAGACGCTGACCACCCACAACTCCTTCATCCTGGTTTAGGAGTAGATCCAATGCACTAAAATCTAGGTATTTCATCGAGAGCTGAATCGGCAGCCTTCATGTCGTAGCTACACTTTGCCGAATATAGGGTGGCGTTCAAGGCGTTCAAGGCTGGACACTGTTCTGGGACCGCACCACAACCTTCTTATTGAAGCTGGATAACGATTGCCTCCAAGTCCGATAACTTTAGACTGCAATTATGTATAACAAAATGATATAAGGTAAGTCTCACTGCTACCCAGATTTTGCAGAAGCACGAATACGCCCAATGAGCCGCGTTGACAGAAAGTAACTCAGTGACTCAGGCTGAGAAACTAAGAACCACGGAAGCCAACAGTGGCTGTGCGCTACGTACATGATGTGCGCATACGCTACTACGGCGACTATCCGCTTTCAGCGAGCACAATCTCAGCTCAACACATTCGCTATATAACTTGTTCGCCTCGTACCCTGAATCGAAGCGGGAAAGCCCAGCACTGAGCGCATTGTTACATTGAACAGATACAAGCAACCATCTCTGAGACATGGAACGTCCAGGGGCGGGCGAGGCCAGCGGCATGTCTGAATACGACCGCAAGCTGAAAAACTTCTTGCTGGGAAACAATGACGAGCCGGATGACAGGATTGCCAGGCAAGGAGTACCCAGTCATCGCGCGCAATATCGTGGTCAGGATCTCTGGAAGAGGTACTTCAACCATCCCAGTGTCAAACAAGCCAAAAGGGTTCAGCAGGCTACAAAATCTTTCAGCTACGAAGGCCTGAGTCTCAAGGAAAACGGCCGTCCGATTCGGCTCTTACGTATCCATCCACAGCGCGTGGAGAATTTTGACGAAACCGTGGTATGCGACCTATACGTTGTGGACTTGAATCAGGTGAAGAACAGATTTGAAGCTCTATCGTACTGTTGGGGCGATAGCCAAGCTGATCAGATTATCTCGATTCATCGCGTTGCGGTTGACGAGGTAGGCCGACTTCAATGTGGACCAGCCCAGGACTTCCCTGTCCGATCCAATCTACACCAAGCTTTGAAACACCTACGCCATACTACGCGATTCGTCAGTCTTTGGGTGGACGCCATATGCATAGATCAGCGCGATCGTCCACATGCAACTGCCGAGAAGAACAGGCAATTGTCCATGATGAGTGAGATCTATAACTCCGCTAAGAATGTATGCATATGGCTTGGAGATCCCGACGAGCAATCAAGCAAAGCCCTCAGTTTCGTTCACAAGATCAGCAATTTCGAGCAGCTCGAAGCATGCCTTCGTATTGTGGACGAAGCCACAATAAGCCACTGGAGGAACCTTGTCGAAACCCTGAAGGAAACACAATGGTTCAGTCGTCGTTGGATAATCCAAGAAATTGCATCAGCAAGAAGCGCTTCAGTTCATTGCGGGCACAACGTAGTGCATTGGGATGATCTCGCAGTCGCTATATCGATCTTAGAGGAGAACCAAGCAATGATGGAGCGCACCTTCAACCCAAAGCCGGTATTTGCACAGATATCGACTTTGAGCGCAACTCAGCTGGTCAAGTCACTGACGCACGTCTACCGAAAGTTTTCTACAGGAGAGATTGCTGAAAGGCTCCTTGATCTTGAGACACTTGTCTGCACGTTCCAGCAATCTCAAGCCAGGTTTCCCGAGGACGTTATCCATTCAGTGCGGGCACTCGCATACGACTCACCTGGGTTAGAAGACTTTGATTTCAGTGCAAACAACGAGAAGGGCACGCCAGATCTGTTCATGGCATTCGTGCATCGTTGCATTGAGAAGTCAGGATCCCGAGATATCATCTGTCGGCATTGGGCTCCACTAGTGACTGACACTTCACGCGAAAGAGTTCAACTACCTTCTTGGATATCAGACCTTACCAATGCTCCATTTGGCTTGCCGGGCACGTCTCACGAGAGACAAAATGGCGAAAATTTCGTTGCTGTTTCTCCACATCGAAGATGGAAGCAGTATAATGCTTCGGGAAATTGGAAGCCTGAGCAGGACGAACGTCTCAGTCAGAAGGTTCCCCAAACACGAGTTCCAATCACACAGGATCGGTGGTCAACCGGCAATGTTCCAATGCCTAGTATCTCTGCTAAGGTCAATGGCGTACGTACGCGCGAAGACCACAGCTCTCAATCCTCGCCAACAGCGAGATTCCAGAGTCGACCAAACGTCAGCATGCCGGATGAGCTCTCATTGCGTAATGCTATCCAAGAGCCTCGCCCCAAATCGACTGACAGTCTTAGCTTCACGTCTACAAACGAGGAAACCCCGCCAGATCCAGTTTCTCCAATAAAGGGCCATAGGCGTTCTATTACCGCGCCTTCAAACTGGGATCCAATTCTCTCAGCTTTTACCAAGCCCAATGGTCTCAGAACTATCAGAGAATTGGCTGATCCCTCACGTTCACCTAACAGGCAGGCCTCGAGATCTTTACAAGGACTTTACATACAAGAAGGCAAAGAACAAGTACATCATACGGGACACGCTGGGTACCTCAGTGTCCCAGGATTCGTCTTAGGTACTGTTGAGAAACGATCTGATATAATGCGAGAGGGTGTCATACCGGGCGACTGGATAGCGGAACTGAGAGAGGACAAGAGGAATGTTGTCCCCGATCGCTTGTGGCGGACACTGGTTGCCGACCGGACTGAAAATGGAAATAATCTCCCGGAATGGTACAAAAGAGCTTGTCTTCATTGCCTTGAAGACTCACGCTTCGTTAATAGCCAAGGTGATCTGAACACCAATAGGTCACTTTCGGATACTCCGCTCGACACCATGACCTCGAAATATCTCAAGAGGGCCAAGAGTGTTGTCTGGAGGCGCCGCTTCATGCGATTGAGATTGGATCTAGCCTATGGGAACGATCGGGTTTACGGACTAGCCCCCGAAAAGTGCAAGAAAGATGACATTGTATGCATCATCGGTGGTTGTTCGGTACCTGTAGTTCTCAGAAAGGTTGAAGATTTGGAGATGTGTGCTTCGACTGAGTCCGCTAACATATTTACACTAATTGGGGAAGCGTACGTTCACCAGAAAATGAATGGGGAAGCTGTGCAAGATCTCGAGCGCATCAGAAAGCTTCAGAAGACTTTTCTATTGAAATGAACTAAACGGATGTTATGGCTAGCGCTGTATGTAATTACTGCTGATCGAAGAATTTACTACTCCGATGTGACTCAAAGAAACGGAAAGAAGTGTTCTTGCGATTGCACGCCGTCAAACACCGAGAACAAAGCAGTGCGCGTAACTTACTTATAGATGGTAGGAGGCTAAATGTAACCTCCCACATAGTGCCACTTATGAGACGGGCTACAGATACATAGGACACACATGGTGGGGTAAAGCCGAAAGTGAGCGCCCTAAGGCTGACGTCCAATCGCGCAAGCTCCCAAATTGATGAGCATGGTTGACTGCATGCAGGTGCGCCAAACCTTAGCCAGAAATAGTGACCAGCCCAACTGTAAATAAGAGGTGGTGTGGTTGGGCATCTACGATAGTCCAGGTATCTAGGCAGGTTCCGTTATATCCGGTGAAAGTTCCTTATGGACCTGGACGCCATTGTTCGCTGTGACCACATTTTGTTTAGCTCCAGTTGTCTCAGAAATGTCCGCCTTTTACCCAAGACCAGAAGCTGGGAGCCCTGCAGCAAAAGACGTGGAAGATAAGATTCAGAAGTCTGAAGTTGATGTCAGAAGTGGAAACCATGTGAGAGGTTTTTGGTTGGCACAAGAAGCTATAGCACTTGCTGAAAGCTGTGCGGGGTGGGATATTGGCGATGTAATCTCAACGCAGCAATTGGTCGTCGCAATGCTAAGAAAATATGACCTTTTCAAAGAGGCCGAACAAATAGAGACAAACATGGAGTTGAGCCTCGAAGACCTTAGCGATGAAGAGACGAGAAGAACAATTCAGGACGAGATCAACGCACACAAAAGGCAAATGCCGAGCGGCCTGAATACATTGAATCAATCAATTCGTCCAGACCGCTGGCAACAACACTCGCCTCTAAACCAATCGTCAAGTATCGAACGACATAGCCTTGAACGAAGTACGAAAGACATTACTACTGGAGTCGAGTATGGCTCGGCATCACAAACACGCCCTTCTCAGCTCGTTCCAAGCATGAGTAACGTGGCAGTGTCTAGCCTGGACGGATATTCGACAAAAGAACCCCATGCGCCGACATCGAATAACCGATCCGACGCCAGTCCGTAGATTTTTGAACGGTTCAATCTCTCTGGGTTCTGACTTACGAGTGGATCGCCAGCACTCAATGCCACACAAACTCCTGCCGGCTACGTCTACAAGGTCTCATCGTTGGAGCGGCGAATTACACAGTCTGTGAGTCTGACTAGAAACGGTATGGCAAAGAAATTGGCTAATACTACCAGAAGCGGCGGAGGCGACGGTGGACCTAGCAGCTGAAGGCATAGACTGTCTGGACAGATCGTCGACGGGCTGGTCATAGAGTTCGGGGGGGAAGACAATATCGGAAGGTGACATTTTCAGTTGACAGCGCGGCTCATAGCAAGAATCGGGAAATCCGTTAGCTACAGTATTACAGCATTAGTGATGAAGGGTATCACATGCCATTCGCAATCTAATATCTCCACTAAGTATACTCCCATCCCTCACTCAAATGCTAAACTTTTGCTTATCCCCATCCCGAACGCCATGAAAATGTATACACAACACCCACTGCGATTCATCATGTCTAAACGCACAAGGTCAGCCTACCAACCCCTACGCTTCCCCCTCTCCTCAGCACTCCTCTCCTTCCGCTTAACTCTCTTAACATCGTGTCTCCGCCTCTTTTCCTTGCCAACCTTCTCCGGATCCAACACAGCGTCAACCTTCCTCTTTCTCCTCCTCTCCTCGCGCCTCTCGCGGACGCCTCTTTGCACTTCAGCCATGACGTTCAGGTATTCTTGCGTACCGAGGCGCTTCTGCAATGTGTTCATGACTTCGCGCGCCTTGTCGGCGAGGGATTTGTAGGGGTCGTTGGGTGCATTGTTAGAGACCAAAGCAGCGGAGGATTTCGGGAAGGTTGCAGTGGCGTCGGTGAGGGTGGAAAGAGTTGTGAGAAGGTGTGGAAGGGATGTGGATAATCGTTCGAGAGGGAACTTGGCAGCGATAGTGTCGAAAAGGTTCATGATGGCTGTCTTGGCGTTCATGGTGCTCTTGTCTTTGCGGACAATACCCGATAGGCGGATCATCAGGCGATGGATGGCTGTCGGTGGAGTGTCCTCTGTCTTCTTGGGTTTTGCGGCCTCAGGTGGAGGTGAAAAACCGCCAAAGTCTTCCTCATCTTCTACGGCTGCAGCGTCACCAGTCGTTGGAGCCACGGTATCTCCCACTTCTTCATCGTCATCCGTCTTCTGCCAATGCCACTTGGCGCCATTTACAGCGAGGCATCGGGCCAGGAAAGCGATGTTCTTCACGCTCTGCATGCAGAGCTGTTCCGAGACCTCTGAGTTGAGCAAGTTTCTCAAAAATGCATTGCAGAGCTGCGTCATGCTCTGCTCTGCTAGCTGTAAACCGCCTGACCCTTCCAAGGGCAGTGCTTCAAGACCAGTATCCTTGTTCGATACTCCAAGGTGCGCGAAGTATGTACCCAAGAGTTCTGCAGCCTTGAGCTTGACCCACAAGTGCGGGTAGGTTGCACTGGCCTGCACAGCGGTCCAGAGGCTGTCTTTGTTCGATGCAAACATGGTGTCTGTGTACTTCTTGCAAACCTTCGAGAGCAGCGTAAGAGAGTAGTATAGCAACTCCCAGTCGTCTTCATCGCGTCGTGTCAAGCACTCGTCAATTGTGGAGTCCAGTCGGTCAAGGACGTATGCAAGCTCTTTCGGCTCTTCATCCTCCTCCATTGCTTCGAAGTAGAACCCGAAACATTGGATGCCAAGACGCTTCAGGCCGACATTGTCGTCCTGTTCCAACCAACTCTTGAGGTCGGTCGCAAAACTTTGTAGTCGTTTGTCGCTGGAATGTTGGAATAGTCTCTTGATGAGCAAGCTGGCCATTTCACGGCATTTGCTTGAGTCATCGTTCGCCACAGTGTTGATCAACGGGAGGAACATGATACCATGGTACTCGTACTGTGCCTTCTCTGGGAAGCGAGGCAGCGCCTTTCCGATGATGAGGTCGAGCGCCTCCATAACTGACTGCCTGCCCTCTACATGCTCGTATCGGAGGTTCTTGAGGAGGAATTCGATCTGCTTCTTGAAGCGCTTCTCACTCTGCGTATACGATGTCAAGAATTGGAAGTAGTGTGAACGAGCGATATCGCGTGCAGATTTCGTCTGATTGGTGATCATCATCTCGGCGACCTTATCCATGGCTTCATACATCTCGGGAACATCGATGTGCCGATTCATGACAGCCTTGAGGAAACCAAAGCTCACACCTGAGCGATCTGGCTCATCCAAGTCGGGCATCATGCGCTTGAGAAGGTGTCCGATATCTCGTTCTTTGATCTGCACGTTCGGCCGCTCGCGTAGGACGGCTGAGACTAGCTTCAAAGAAGCCTGCGCAAGCTCTGTGTTGGACGATAGTGCGCCTTTGATGGCGCGCATTGCTTCGTCGATGTACACAGGGCAGTTCGTGTCCAGCTCCGTCATAGGTACCTTGATGATGGTTGTAAGAAGACGAACAGCCGAAACCTGCACCTCCTCTTGACCTTGTACCATGGCGTCGCCGATGATCGGAAGGAAGCCAGCCAGGTTCTGAGGCGTCTGGAGGTCTTCGTGCTTGCGGAGCACAGTTCGAAGGATGTCCATACCAAAGCGTATCATCTTGTACAGGTACGAGGACGTGCTGAGTCTCGCGCCGGACTTCGCCGCACCACGGTTGTTGATCAGATATCGCTTGTTCTTTGGATCTATCTTAGCCTTCTTGTCGGTAGACGTGTTCGCGGCGTAGACCTCCTGGATGAGCTCATAGCAAAACACCAGGATGTCCCTGTTGTTGACCGTCGGGTTCTGGAGAACACCGAGTCCAATGCGTCGCAAAAGCTCGTCAATCTTTTGGACCATTCTGGCGTTGAGCTTCTCGATCAGTAGTGACCTGATTGGGAGCACAAGCTTGATGATGTGCGCGGGCGTAGCTGATCGTGCTATGATATCCATGGAATCGAAGGATTTGCTGCTCTTGACTTCCTTCATCTTGGATATGTACTCCTCCGCATCTTTCTCTTGACCTGCAGCACCAAAAGTATCATCCATGACCTAGATTTAGTGTCAGTTTACTTCCTCAGGTGCGACTTTTTTCTTTGAGATACTTACCACGTCGACTAGATCCGCTAGACAGTAATCGAGATCACCCGGTTTCGTTTGGTCGGCAAGCTTGACTAGAATCGAGTGCAAAGTGAATGAGAGAACGTGAAGCTGGTATCCTCGCTGGAGCGCAGTTCGTAAAGCCTTCAAGATGAACCCCAGGTAGCCCGGGCCCATCAGCGTAGCGATGTCGCTCAGTGTGTTTCTCGACATATCGCGAGCCTCTTGCGCGCGACTCTTCAAGATGTAGCAGATATCCAAGAGAACTCCCGGTAGGCGTGTCTCAATCTCGAGGGGCGGGAGCACCAAGAGAACCTTCGCGATTGCGACTGCAATCGGCACTCTTAGACTGACAGTGGCCTCGTCCTTCTTGTGCAGGAAGTTGGTCAGATCAGGCAGGAAGTTGTTGATGAGATCGCTGCTCAGCTTATCCTGTTGTGGGAGAGTCTTAGCCAGGGTCGACAAAGGCTCATCAACATCCATTACGTCCGAAGCTTCGTCGTTCTCGGAAGCAATGTGACCATCTTGCCCAGAGGGGGCCTTTGCGATATACCCTTTGGCGCGTGCTGAATGATTCAGACCGTCCATCAAGCCAGCGATCAATCGGATGATTGGCTTTTGCATGTCTTCCTTGCTTGTCAAGTAGCCGATATAACGTTTGAGCAATGAGCGGAATTGTGGCCACTCCAGACCTTCGGTCAAGGAAGTAAGTGTTTTGATTGTCTCTCCCAAGAGGCTATCCGCAGCCTCATCATCGCCTTTGTTGAAGACGAAGTGCTCAAGGAGTGGTATGAGGGTATGATAGATGTTTGTACCTCGCAAGTGGGATGCGTTTGCGGCTAAGCGGCGCAAGGCTCTCAGTCGTCGATGACCCTGGATGTGAAGAATGTTGCCGAAGAACGACGCCTCGTCATCTTCTGAAAGGAGCACATGAAGATCTGCTACAGGTGCCCAGTCAGGGTGTGTCTTTACCAGATGCTCAAGGACAGCAAGGTATTCGACACGCACAAGCTCCGAGGTTTCCCGCATACCAGCGTGGATCCCAGGCAGGACAGCCGCTGAGACGAATGCTCTGAACTGTTCGCTTGACGATACCTCGCTGAAGCGACGCAGCGATAAAGATGCATTGACCCGAATACTGAGCTCGTCGTTGTCTTTGATAAGATACAGCATGTTGTAGACCAGAGGTTTCCACTGTGTGAGCGTGTAAGACCGATAGCTTTGCTCGTTGATAGTATTGAAGGCTTGCGAACGGCGTTCGAAATCCGGCTCGTCGAGGCGTCCAGTAGCGAAAGAGTTGAGATCATGGCACAACTTTGCAATTACCATGAGGTCGCCGTTGGTGTCAGAAAGATCTTGGAGAACATCGCAAAGCAGGGTTCGGGCTGTTCGGTCTTGAACGAAACTGAACATAGGACAGACGGCATCGTAGATTGTGTCGAAAAGCTCAGTCAGACCCTGACTATCACAACGCTGTATGAACTCATGAAGAATCTTGAGTAAACCTAACTTGGTCCGCGGGTTTACGCGCTTTGATGGCTGGCGAAGCAGGAAAGTTGCGATCTCGATCATGCTACGTGACTCCGTGGCACCGACTACATGAGGGGCTAGGTCTGCAACGGTCTGTACTCCAGCTTCAAGCAGTTCTTTGCTAGGACTTTGGCGAAGCAGTTGACCAACCCGGTGAAGTATCGCAGTCGAGTATGGCTGGATGATGTCTGTGTGGATACGGTTCCGAAGAAGCTTCAAGTCTGTCGTAGGCACTTCATCTTCCACAGTAACAAGAGAAACGATGTTCCGGATGATGTCGTTTAGAACAAAGCACTTGACCTCGTCCTTGGCTGACGGTACCTTGAGGCAGTCGATGACCTTGTGCAAGATCGCAGGGTTAAACTCTACCAAAAATGGAGCCGTAGGGCTCGATTTCGACCACGCCGCGAACAATCGTAGAAGCCCAGAGACAGATTGAGCCGTCTCAATGGGCAACTGCTCGAGCCTGGGTTCGACCATCTCCTTGACGAGAGCACCTGTATACGGCTTCCATTCGAACTCCGGGCAATTCTCGAACAGCCTTCCTAGAATCTGCAAGGCGCGCTGCCTTATAGTCTTCAGCAAGGACGTGTTCGTTGCTCGGCCTTCATCGTCTTCACGATCGTTCGGTCTTGATAGTTCTCGTGATGCTTTGATGGCGGAGTACAGAATGGGGTCCACGACGGTTCCGGCGAATGGCGCGAATGTAGTTGCAAAAGTACTCAGCAAGTCATCCAGTAGGTTTAGCATACCGACTTGCTTTCGTGCGTCGACTAGATCTTTTTGCAGCAGCTCTTCATCGACCGCGGAGTCTTTCAGTATTGAAATGTGGCCTAGAGGCCCGAAAGCGATTTGTAAGAATTGATGTATGGCGTCATCTCCAAATCTGTTCTTGAGGCCGACGAAAACGGCTTTCCTCTTCGACTCAAGCCCTCGTTTGCCAGCTATGACCTTGCCGTACAATAGGCGCAACACAATCGGGAGTACTTGATCCACATCGGTATCTTGGAGCTTTCCTTCGCTGAGGAAGATTGGCAGCTCGTCACGGAAGCGCTCATCGTCGAGCAAATTGAGCAGTTGTTCTTGATATGCCACGATGGCAGGATCTTTCCAGGTGAGAAGCGCCTTCAGTGCAGCTTTTTGGATCTCAATATCTCCATTACCCAGTAAAGCGAGCAAGGCTTCACGGACTTCATCAGTTCGGTACAGAACCTTGGGGTTGTTGAATTTCGCGAAGATCGAGAGCATTGCTTTCTGGTCTTTTCTTGCCCAGCGGTCCTGAGCAACAGCGCCAGCATCCTCTTCCGTGTTGGAGGCATCTTCGGGTTCCGGCGTGGCTTGATTCAGCGCCCAGTTCAAGAGTACAGGAACGAGAAGGCGCGACCGCTTCTCTGCGATATGTGGCAGAGAACTCAAGACTCTGAGAGCTTGTGTCCTGCTGAATGGGTTGTAAAAAGGTACTTCGGCGTGGTCTTCTTTGAAGAGAGTCTCTAGCTGCTCTTCGGTGCTGTCAGCCTGAGACTGTATATTGGAGATGTGGTCTTGAAGTTGCATGAGGTTGGTACACTCAAAGTCGGTGGCGTAGGGGCGCTGTGAAGAGGTTGGTTGAGAGTCGTCAGTAGCACTCGGGCTAACATCGGCAGCAGTCAGCCATTCGAAAACGATTTGAGTAACAAAGCCCTCTCCCTCTTTCGTCTCGCATATTGCCTTCAAAGCTGTGCAACTGTCATCCCAGACCGAAGCTAGTCGGACGTGGAGCAGTCCTAGACAGAACGCAGGTATAGCCTCCCCTACCGACTGATCGGAGCATACACCTGGGTACAACTTTGCGATTTGCCCTATACGCATTGCAATGGACCTCTGAGTTTCGAGATTCAGTGGCGTCTGCTCGACCAGCATTGCAATATGCAGGATTTTCTCATGCTCTTCGCTCTGTCCTGCGATAATCTGCAGAACATATATGGCTGTGAGTCTCAGATCGTGTGATGGAGAGCCCAAGCAGCGCATGAGAGTTTGCTTGAGAGGCTCCATATGTGACCCAGTGATGTCGAGTTTGGTCTTCTCTCGCTGTAACAGGCCTAGGAGCGCGCGCCAGAAGGCCACGGAATGGCCGTATACAGTGGATGCTTGGCACAATGCAGGCCACAAACTTGCTGTCAAGTCGTTGCTGTCGCCTTTCCCGATGAGAAACTGGAAGCCATTCCCAGTAGCAAAGATGTCTGTAGTCCGTCGGGTTTTTGCGCTGTCGATATCTACGGCATTTCGGAGTAACTCTGCAAGGTTGTTCCAGATTCCGCGGGTCTTGTCGTTGCCTATGCGTAGCGTCTCTATGGCGCCTAACAAAGCATTGCAATAGAAAGTATCGTAGTCTGAATCGACACCACCACGTGTAGACTCAAGGAGCTTGTCGAATGGCTCATGTAAGGTCGTTTGCCAGCGCTCTGAAGGTTGCAGAGCGCCATTCGCTAGCGCGCCGTTGTGATACAGTCGAGGAAGAATAGCGCAAAATTGCGATCCATGCTCATGTGCCTTCTGTGCGATGAACCTCTTGAAATACGGTAGTAACAACGTTCTGAATCTCTCCACTCCCAGGTCAGCAAAAAGGTTGCAGAAAGGTAGGAAGTAGGGCTCCCATGGGCCACGGCTGAGCCCTTCAAGCAGTTTTTCATGGGGTATCGCCGCATCCAAAGCACAGTATTGGAATACCACGGAGATAACAGATAAGACCTCCCATGCATCAACAGGATCCAGAGCCGTGGATGTATTTGTCGATTCCAACAAGTGACTGACTATGGCCAGTGCAGGCTGCCAGTCATCAATACGGTCACCTTGTCGCACACCGCACGTGACTAGTAATAGACGAGACGAGAGGCCCAGGTATCGCGTATCGGAGGATGTTTTATTGATTTGTGCGAGAATCACTTCGAGTAAGGGCCCGAAGTTTTCAGCGTCCGTGTGGTGAATCGCGGCAGTAACGACGCCAGCTAGCACGGGCTCGAGAGGCGGAATTCTAAGTTGGACGTGCTCTTCGTTGTACGTCTCTGCTAAGAGCTCCTGTAATATCGCCGTAGCGCTCGAGTGAAATCCTCGCTGCACGCCTTTCAGCGAGTCGGTCAAGAGGTACATGAGACCCTGTTGAAAAGCGTAGTCCTTGCCCGACTCTTGTTGGTCCTTCAGCTGGTCTGATATGTGCTTTATGATGGTCCTGAGCGGCATCTTGTCTCTGTGGTAGCCAGCACCGGCTTTGCGGACAAGGAAGCTGAGCGATTCGGCGGCGAAACGGGATACGAAGGCCTTCTGACGCTCTTTGCCTAGCAGAGGCGACATAAGATCGAAAACTGGGCGTAGGTTCGGTACTAAGAGCCGCGAGAGGTATTTGAAGAGCCATGCGAGACAGCCAAAAGCCCACTCTATGACCTCGACATCAGCATGTGTAGCTGCCAAATGCGATACCGTCTTCACTGCCTTCTCAAAATGCTTCTCAAATCTCTCGCCCAAGTCGTGAGCCAGATGCGCCGTGAGACTGAGCAGCGGTTCTTGGCTGAATTTCTCGCCTTTCTCAATGTATTCTACGAGCAATTCGAATATGCGATCGCTGTGATGTAGGACCTGTGGGAGGCTGTCGCATAATGGCGCGACTTTGCGGGCGAAAGTCGTGAAGCCTTCGGACATGTTGAGCTCTCTCCACTCCACGAAAGAGTCGCGGAAGTAGGAAAAGGTGGATTCGAGTTCGGCATCGTCGAGAATGGTGCTGCGACCGCGGCGAATGGGTTCGATCTTGAGCTGGGCAATGCGCTGGGTGAAGCCTTTGAAGACATGGTTGCGCGTCGATTCGGTGCCGCCCTTGACTCTTTTCTGTGGGCGCGTCGACTTTGCTATCTTGGATTTCGGCTTTTCAGTCGACTTGGTAGTGAGGCCTCGTGACATGGCGGCCATAATGTGGTGTGGTGTGGTGTGGTGTTGAAGGCCGCGGTGGCTGTATCTTCGCTCGATGATGCTCCACTAGAATTTCCTTGCGCTAACAAAAAAGCTGGACCCTGGCACTGGCACTGGCACCACCGAGGTCTCCGACGCGCCAATCACCCATACTCAACACCACGCGTCTGCAGCCTAACACCAGACGTATTGGGATAATCGCAGCAGATTACAGTAGCTATCCAAGATAATATCGCTGTACCAAACTTAAAGAATCACGAAACTACACCTCTAATCACGTTTACCACCGCATCAAAGGTCAGCTGCTTCACCAGCTACGTCATTCAGAATGGCCTCAAAAATGTAAGTGAGATGCAATGTTATCGCGCTGTATTTTCCTAACGCGTACAGTGTGGTCGTTGGCGACGTGAATGGCCAATTCAGGACTGTCTTCCAGAAGCTAGGCGCGTTACACGCCAAGAATAACTTTGCTTTCGCCATCGTTGCAGGCAATTTGTTTGCAGGCTCACCCGAGGCAGAAGGCGCGGATGCAGCCGATGTGCAGGCGCTCGTCAATGGTAACATCGATATACCACTACCGACATACTTCGCCCTTGGCAGCCATCCTCTCCCACCAGCAGTAGTCCAGAAATTAGAATCATCGAGTGACGAGCTATGCCACAACCTCTTCTTTCTGGGGAAGCGAACGACTATGAAAACTTCTGAAGGAATCCGGATTGTCGCGCTAGGCGGACAACTTGATCAGAACATCATTGCCGGTCAATCCAAAGACAAGTACCCACCGTTCTATAGCGAGACGGATGCGAAGGTCCTACGAGGAGCAACCACAGCAGATATTCTGATCACCAACGAGTGGCCAGAGGGCATCCGAAAGCGTTCCAAGGTCGAGTTCAACCCCGAGGTACAGCCGACTACGCAACAGTGCATCGCCGACTTGGACGTGGTTCTGAAGCCCAAATACCACTTTTCAACGTCGGGAAACACATTTTACGAACGGGAGCCATTCTTCCATCCACCTAGTGACGAGACTGATAACCTCTACCCCGTCACCCGATTCATTAGTCTCGCTTCCTTTGGCAATCCTAATAAGCAGAAATGGATATATGCCTTTTCTCTTGAGCCTTCGGCAAGCCATCCGGTCTCACCGCCAGCTGGCTCGACTGCTTGCCCCGTGACACTCTCAGAGAAGAAGCGAGTTGCACCGGAGCACCGCGAACAGCACCTGGTCTACGATGACGGAAACCGCGGCCGAAGAGGCAACAAGAGACGCAAGGGCGAGTCCAGAGGACCAATCACGGCATCAGAATGTTTCTTCTGTCTAGCAAACGAAAACATTGCGACCCATTTGGTGACTTCGATCGGCGAGAACTCCTACCTGACCACGGCAAAAGGTCCCTTACCGACATCACAAACATATCCCAAACTCGGCTTCCCAAGCCACATGCTCATTATCCCGTTCACACATCAACCCACGCTTGGCTCCATGGAAGAAGACGAGCGTCATGCAACCTACGCAGAGATGCAACGTTACCGACACGCGATGAACAGCATGCTCAAGTCTGTTGCAGACACCGAATATGGCTCCGTCACTTGGGAAGCGAGCAAATACAGCTTACCACACACGCATTGGCAGTATCTCCCAGTAAGCGCGGATCTTATTCGCAAGGGACTCGTCGAGGCGGCTTTCAAGGCGCTAGCAGAGAATCTACATTGGCCGAAGTTCGAGAAGGAAGATGTTGAAGATGGGTTCGAGGAAACCAGCGACTTCTTCAGGGTTTTGGTGTGGGACCCGAAAGATGACCCTGACAAGCAGACAAGCTACATCATGCGCTTTGATGAGAAGATTCGGTTTCACAACCAGTTTGGACGTGAGGTACTAGCAAAACTCTTGAGGCTCGACAATCGTGTTGACTGGAAGAATTGCGGACAAACACAGGCCCAAGAAGAGCAAGATGTTGAGAAGTTCAAAGAAGCGTTCAAAGACTTTGATTTCGCTGCATAATACCTGCAATTACCAACTTACGCGTACAAGTCTCGACTTATCTAACAGTGGCCGACATAGGCACTGGGATATCTCTCTACGCGTCTAGTGAGAGCCTGAGTGGTAGCAACAAGGTCCTGATCTTTACCTCCATTTCGATATTAACTCATCAGCCAAGTCTTCAAGCCCCGACGTCGCTGCGAACATACTCGAAACGGCAGTTCTCGCAGGAAAGTGTCCAACACTGCACTAAAGGGTTGGCATACCAAGCTCCGGTCTCGCCAGGCTTATTTCCGAAGCCGCCGAGATGTCCCATCTTCGTTGGCGCTCGTCGCGCAATTTTCATCACATTGAAAAGTTTTCGCTTTGCAGCATCAGCTCAGGAATCAAAACTTATGTATATTAGGGTCTGCGCCATCCGGACAACACTTCACCATTTGTGGCTTGGCACCTCCTATTGAGGCTACCGACTTTCTTCTTCCAGCCAAGACCGACGCTTGGCCTCACGTGTAGCATGAAGCGGGGCAACTACCAATCAACTTCCATCCCGATCATTTTCTTACCTACCAAATCATCTCAAGTACTTCTGCGCGCTCTTTCTCACGTTTACTATCTCTTATCGTTCATTCGCTCTACTTGATCGCGCAAAGGGATAACGTCCCGAACCGTAGGAAGCGCCGGTACGTCGTCGGGGGTTTCATATCGAGCTGCCAATCAAGATGACGATCTGCACCCATGCCAATGCACCCCGCACCCTATCACACGTCGCGATAAGAGCACCTGCGATCAGCTGCAACTTTGTTTGCTACAACAGTAATCTTGCCTCCTGCCAGTCATGTCTGCGCTACCATGCAAGTAGGTCGGCTCCGGGCCCCACGAAAGGAAGGCAAACCAGTCGTGGTGTGTAGCGGGCATGTAAACACGGCCGATCAGGTACACATCCCCAATAGGTAGATGATGCACATAGTGTCGGTGACTTGGCTATCAACTTCACCTGCCTCTTTCGGGGTCGTGAGAGTGGTAGCGCATCTAACAGTAGCCTTGGTGGTGCGAAGACCGGGTGTGCGGTACAGAAGCAAGGGCAAAGGGGCATACGATGTGCGTGGTGCTTATCATTGGGTTCGACGATGTGTGAACGGAAAGGCGCCGACTACGGCTTTAGAGAGAAGAGTATATAAGCGCCTACGAAGCCGTGTTTTACCAAGAGGACAAGTCAGAGATCATAAAGCCGCTCTACTTCATAGCGCGAACTCCTCCCTCTCAGAACCTCAGCTGTCACTCTTCCAACATATCACCATGAAAGCTTCAATCTTCGTCGCTATGGCCTCGGCCGCCCTAGTCTCAGCAGCTCCAACGCCAGCTGTTCTTGACGCTCGCGCTCCTCCCAATGTTCCCAGCAAATCGGCTGCGACTACACAGCTCGCTGGTCTTACCGTCGCCGCTCAAGGTCCACAGACTGGCTACTCTCGTGATCTGTTCCCTCACTGGATCACTCAGTCTGGAGCCTGCAACACACGCGAGACAGTTCTCAAGCGTGACGGCACCGGTGTCGTTACTGACTCTGCCTGCGCTTCAACCTCTGGAACCTGGTTCAGCCCTTACGATGGCGCTACATGGACAGCAGCCAGCGATGTCGACATTGACCACATGGTGCCCTTGAGCAATGCCTGGAAGGTTCGTTTCTCTAGTATTTGCGTTCTGAAAGCTCTATACTAACCACTTCACAGTCCGGCGCCGCTTCATGGACCACCGCTCGCCGTCAAGCCTTTGCCAACGACCTCACCAACCCCCAGCTTCTCGCAGTGACTGACAATGTCAACCAAGCGAAGGGTGACAAGGGACCTGAGGATTGGAAGCCACCGCTAACCAGCTACTACTGCACTTACAGCAAGATGTGGATCAAGGTCAAGAGCGTGTATGCGCTGACAATTACGAGTGCGGAGAAGAGTGCGCTGACTAGTATGTTGGCTACTTGCTCGTCGTGAGGGAGATGATGTGGTTAATATACCTATATACCAATCAATTGCTGCACATCCATCACGCCTGATCAAGCTTTATCGTTCATGCTCTTCGTTTGAGTTAGACGGACGTGTCTTACGCCGACTTACAACCACTCGAGCCAACCAGCCTTGCTTCGACGTGGTGGTGGAGACTAAAGTGGAGTCTTCTAGAATGAACGGGATAAATACGGTTTTTGTTATGTCTTGGGGGCCTGCTGGCTGATGGCACATACAACTCTAAGTGGATGGTTGGAGAAGCCCAACAGCGAGTGAAATGGCGTCCCAATGAGTGATAGTGTCTTGGCACAAGCGCATCGTGAACTCAGGTCCTGACGTAAATCGAACAACACACGTACATTCACATCGAATACAGTTCTCTTAGTAGATTTCAATAGCTCGTAATTTGAGGACATCGTTCACGGGATTTGGACAGATTGTGTTGAGATGATTCATTCTTCGTCTCTTCTTGTCACCTATAGGCGTACAAGGCATGTATTACTCCACCGACTATATCGTTTCTGAAAACAAACAACATCGAGCGCTTACCGATGTGTTGCTCCTGCAGACTCCGTTATTCCGCCATAACAGGCGCATCTCCATCTACGAGTCGTCCTGAATATCGACGACAGTCTTTGTCCACTTGCGGGCCGGGACCTTGCGCTTGAACAGGATGTCAATCTCACGGTACGATCGGCCCTTCATCTCAGGAAGGTAGAAGAATGCAACGACGAAGCAGAAGAAACCAGTTCCAGCCCAGACGTAACCGCACTTGCCACCAAGGTTTGCCTCCTACATTTTGTTAGTAACACGTTTACAGCAATGTTCGGAGTGTAAGAAATCTTACGTCAGGGTTGAGCATGTAACTGGAGAGAAAAATGCAGGGAATGTTGACAACGTAGTAGGCACCACGTCCAATACCGGTGGTCAGAGGCCTGAGACGAATCGACGATGTTTCTCCAATGATAACCCAGGAAGCGGGGGCCGGTCCCAAGGTGAACAGAACGGAGACAATCAAACCCAGGGAAGCCTGCGCTAGTGATGCTGCCTTGGAAACACCGACGGAGGCTGCGATACCAAGGGCGACTAGGAATCCGACGTTAATGAGCGATCCCCAAACGTAAATGGTTCGTCGACCAAGGTATGTGGTCAAGATCCAGGACAGCATAACGAAGATCATCTGTAGAGCGGATGTGATAAGACCAAGGGCGAACGCGGTGTTTACTGAGATGCCAGCCTGTCGGAAGAAGTAGACGGCTTGGTTGGCAATAAGGTTACCAGTCAAGTTCTGGGCCGCGTACACACCACAGACGATAAGAGTTCGGTATCGGTCGGTGCCCTTCCACAGTTCCAAAAGACTGGGCTCCTTGATGGACTTCTCGAGATCAATGGTACGGCGCATCATAGCAACAGCCTCGCTGAGGTTCAGCTGGCCCTTGCGTCCTAGACGTCCGACAGCCTTTTCGGCTTCTGCGAGACGTCCCTTTCGTACTAGCCACCAGGGAGACTCTGGGGCCAAGTAGATGAGGATCGCGAGAGGGGTTGGGAACATCCATTGGAGCGCGATGGGGACCCTGTACGCACTCGAGTCGCGCTTGGGGTTGTAGTAGTACGCGACACCGTTGACGATGATAGCACCAATGGCCCAGAACATTTGCAACATCTGGGTAGCGGGAGCTCGCAACTGGATTGGAGTAATCTCACTGCAGTATGCCGGTGCGTTGGCAATGAAGATACCCCACGGAACTCCCTCGAGGAGTTGGGAGATGAACATGACCGGGAGCGAGTTGGCGAAGTAGAAAACAAAGATGAAAGCGTTAAGGAGCATGAGACCGACAATGGTTGCCCAACGGTATCCGATGCGGCTGGTAAGGGGACCAGCCAGGCAAACACCGATAATGGCACCGACTGGACCTCCCATCTGAAGCGCCGATTGCCAGCTAGCCGCGATAACCTTTCCCCATGGGCGTTCCGGGTCCGCGTGTGTGAGGGGGACACCGTACTCCATTTCGAAAGCGGGAAGGGCGATAAAGTTACCCATCAAGAAGACACAGTAGGCTTCCATGATCTAAATGTGCTGTTAGCAAGAAATCCTTGATTGTGAATTTCCAAAGCGAGAAGACTTACAATGGTACAAGACATGATAAACGCCCAGAGAGCAGCCATAGGATAGGCCTTGACAGCCTGCACTACACCCATGTCGTGTTCCGCAGTCTCTGCATCCATAGCTTGCGTCTTGTAGAGAGCTGCTTGCGCCTTCTCGTCGAGAGCAGCGGAGTCATCGACGTGTGAGATGGCCTTCTCGACGTGGACGTCGCCGCCATAGTCCTTGTTGGGGCCGACAGCGTCACCCATATTTGCGAATGTGGCCGGGGTAACAAGAGTGTGGGGTATAAGAGAGAGAACGATGGCAGGGCAAAGAAAAGCAGAGCAAGACGTGTAAACCGGGGATATGTCTCCACCTTATAAACAGCACAGGGACATAGACGCGGGGCTTAAATGTAACGTGGCGGAACGGCATTTAGGCATGTTAGGATGTGTGTAGTTACGCTTGAACCACCCCATACCCCATCTAATTCCCAGAGATACAACAAGTACGCACCTAAGTGGTGGGTCCTTGTCAGCGCTATGTGCACATGGAAGGAATCCGTGACACAGATTCCGTCAATCACAGCACCTAGCTATCAAGATGGTTCCTTGCGCGGACTCGCAAGGGCCCAAGCTGTGCGATTCGGCTGTCACAACCTCGTTTTCGTAGTGCTGCTACGCGGCGAGGGCATGTCCTAGCAGCGGACCGCTCACCAGAAGGAACCATAGCGTGAAGCAGCGCTTTGCGCTGGTTTGCAGGTGGCTGTTTCTTGTTCGCTCTAGACTTCGTATCAGAGCACCGTCAAGCCTATCAGCGACCGCGTTGCAAAGCTTTGTTCCGGTGCTAAAATACGCACGCTATATCCCCGCACCGCTGCAGGCATGCAACTGGAGTAGACCCGTAATTTATCCGAGGCTTAACTAACGCCCCCCAGA